GAGACCCGCCAACAATACCGAGAGAGGTGACTGGCCACCCGCCGGCCGTAGATCATCTAGATGAGCCTTTAGGGCGGTTTGGCTTCCCCACCTGTAACCACCGGGTTCTGCGAGTAGTGGTAAGTGGTACGGGCAGGCAGGCTTGGGCTTACAGGCTCCGTCACGCTCGTCGGCAGTCGAACCCGGACTCGGACTCGTAACTACCATGGACTGGACGCTGGATTATTATTAAGCGGACGTTCATCGGAGGTCCACTGGTTCCTGGGCCGAGCAAAGAATGGTAGGTTAACTCACCACCTAACTTTGAGGTTCGGTGGGAGCCAGATATTGGGACGGCGGACTTGGGTCCAGATCTGGAGGTAGGTCTGGTTTTGGCTTTTGGGTGAATTTGCATATAAATTATGAAAAAAAAAAAAAAAAAAAAAGTTTACACTACGGAGTACGGCGTAATAGGGAATGGAATGGTCGGAGTTGATGCAGTTGTCCGGAAAGAAATCGGATGCGGAACTAGGGTCTTAACAATTGGTTTGTTTAAGATAGATTTGGGACGATAGTACCCTTTTTTTTTTTTTTTTTCGTTTGCCTTTCTCTGGGCGCAGAAGAGATATGCATTCACACATATCGGGTATTCCGGTCCAGAACCCTAAAAAGTGAGTAAGCAGGGTTAGACTGGGAGTCGAGAGCGAGTGAAAAAACCAGAAAAGAAAAGAAAAAGGACATGAAGGGCCGACACCCGCACCCGTGACCAGACCCAAATCCCAGTCCCAAGACTAACAATTTTAGCACCTCCTCAACCCTGCCAAGAATCCCCTAGAAATCCTCCGTATTTCAATCACGCCACGTTAATAACCAATCCGGACTTGGAGTCCGGATAGCTTATTTGTTAGCTAAAATCTCCCTCTCGTCCCTGAGGTCGTTCTGGTTATCAAGTCTCCTCTACTCCGTACTCCGTACCCCTCGCGGGTCGTCTCTATCTCTTTCCCATTTCGATTCCACCCCGTGGCTGACTTCCCTGCTATACCTGCGTGCCCGGACGCATGCTTCAAACTGCTATAGCAGGGATGAGGTACTATAGCGTAGCAATCGATGCAGCTCATCGGCACGATGGTACCCATCCTGACAGGGGGGAAAAGGTATGGAGGAGGGGGGACCCATGATAAAGTTTCAGGTTTTCAGACTCCTCTCACATCAAGTTCCCAGGTGCTCGCTCGCTCATCTGGCATAGGAATCGATTTGCGCGCTGAAACAATGGTATCGAGGCAAACTTGGCTGTCAATGACTCGATACTACGACAGGCACGGATGGTAATAACTACGCCGTGTGGTAATAATAATGTCATTGTTGATTGTGCTTGCTGGAAGTAAAGGTACTTCGGAGACTGCAGGTGCTGACTAGTTACCGAGTACTACGCAGTACTAGGTGGTAGTCCTGCGTTACTAGTTATCTGCCTCGCCTCGTGTTAGTTCTTTTTCTACTCCCTGCTTCCCTTGTCGTCCCTGACTCGGTCGATGTTTGTCTTTCTTTGCTTTTTCCTCGCAGCGCTCTAACTAAGTAAGCCGTCGTACCCACGCTGTCAGCACAATGGCGTTAAGAAAAAAAAAAGAAGAAATAAATTACAAATAGACAAAACTCAACTAGCGAAGATACCCCGGCCTCGCCCTATTTCTGGCATCGATACCTCTTTCCATACCCACGGAGAGATTCCGTGGCGACTCCGTAGTCCGCACGCAAAGGCCCCGGAGAGAGAGGGGAATCATGAACCCTAAAAGGGACCTGAAACAAGCCACACCGGGTAGAGTCAGGTCCAGCCAGGGCTGGAAGACCAGGAGTTTTTTTTTTTTTTTTTTTTTTTTACAGGCGGACACCGAAAAGAAATTACGCAAAGAACTTTTTTTGGTTTCCATTTTATTTGTTTATTTGCTCTCCTGCAGGGAGTGTCAGGGTCGTCGTCGTAGTGTAGTACTCCGGAGTAAGTAGTCCTATCCTATCTGGGCTGCATTAACGAGCACCGGGGGTTTATGATCTTTGATTCGTTGTCGTTATGGGATGCCGTTTCTGCCCTTCTTGTCTTGCATCTACCTTACTGACGGGGAGTCGGACATAGTAGATCCCGTCCTGATCAATACCTAGTTAAAACCTCTGCTGACTCAAATATCATCAACCGGTCGAGATCTTCAGGGTCCCGAAAAGAAGGTTTGGAACGGGAAGGGAACTGAACCTTGTACATACATGGATACCATACGGGCGTACAGTAAACCCAGACAGAAAACCTAGCAGGAAAAGATTCCATGCGTACCTCGTATCGCACACCTTGCTGGGACCTAGACCGAGGCACCAGTACAGTTGTTGTGGGTTCGTCAGGAACAAGTTCACCAGGGCTCCATCCGTACCTGACTTTCGGGGTGCTGGGCTGCTGGCCAATTCACCGAAATGGGGTTATTCCGAGCGTTAGAAGTATTCCCGGTATATTTCGTCTCCCTACGAGGTAAGCGGGCATTATTCTCTGGTCGGCCAGGCTTTAGGGTTGCCGTCGGTTCCAAACTTTCGCAAAACTTCCGGGCCCCTCTCTCGCTCAGGCTCGGGTGAAAGTGAAAGATACTGGTAGGTACCGGAGGATCGTGTATCATACGCGGCGGATACCGGTAAATCCGAGCGATTCTCTCGGTTCGTCTATCTGGGAATAGAGTGGTCTTTTTAGGTAATCCCGGACCCTAACTAAGAAACTTAGTAGGAGGTGACTAACTCAGTCAGTCAGTAAAGTTATCCAATTCCGAGGAGATTTTCCAGTGGTTCGAGTTTAGCGACGGGTTATTGTTTGGCGTGCTGGTTAGGTGGTAAGGCTTGTTGGGTGAAGTGGACTGCCAGTCCACCTGGTTTGATTACTCGGTGGTGTTCGGATGACTGGTGCCTACGGAATGCAGATATGGATACTGAGTTACTACGTCGGAGTAACACTGCCCTCTTTGCTTCGTGCTGTCGCTGTGTGCCTTGATGATAGTCATGCAGAATGTGGATCGGCGATGAGCTGATGTTGATAACACTAACCGTCATATCCGGGCTGGGATCTCATTGGATGGCGGATTCGATATGCATGGCTATGACGCTTTACAGTAGGATCATCCGTCGCATCGTTTGCAATTGCCGTTGGTGCGTGGGAGGGATGAGCATACGTGGACCTGATTAGAAATCTTAAAAAGGTAAAAAAAAAAATAAAAAAAATAAAAAAAATTAAATAAATAAATAAAATAAGATAAAATCAATACTGTCATCATGATGTCTTCTATCCGGGATCAGATAGCAATCCACGCCGAGCAAAACAAAACAAAGCACTTCGACAAACGCTAAGCTACGTAAGCAAGAGACGTCACTCAGTGGGGTCCGAGAGATGACAAGCCACGCGTAGACAGCAGGAGAAAAAGAAGCATCGAAGCTTGCAGGTGCCGGGTGGCAGGTGCAGAGTCCTCCGTGGAAGCTAAGATGCGTTGACCGGAGATTTGAAAGGGGTGGAAAAGGTGTCGACAGCAGGGAAGTTTAGACGCCGGACCCGGGTTTAGCAAGCCACGATACGCCATCGGGGGTTTTCTACGCGTATCTAGGCTCGCCGTTAGTGTCAAGCTAAGCGTTGTCGGCGCTGTGGCTGGTCATACGACCATACGTAAGCCAGCTGCCAGCGAGCCACAAGCATCGATACTACGGAGTAAGGTAGAGTGAGGATATGGTGGACGCTAGGAATCGGTGGGTTTGGTGGGCCTCTAGCATAAGGCAGACACATTCTTCCCCGGGTCTTCCCTTAATTTTCTGGTTTCCTTTTTCTTCTCCAGAGATTGCGGCGTCGCTAAATTGATAACTTTATTCATGAGAATCCATTCCCTGCACCCTTCGCCGTTCCCAAGTGCCTCCAACTTACGTAGATGCATACGAATGCCCCCGTTCGGGGTGGGGCCGGACGCCTGCAATTGCTTAGGGTTACCCGGTTGACTGGCCGGAATTGGCTGACGGACTGCCATCGCGCACTTTAAACTCGTGGTCCATACGCCTTTGTGCTTCCTTCCCACTCCTTGTCTGCTCGCCCGTCGCGAACAGGGTCTTGGCATTCGTCTCCATGATTCATTAGCTCGTGGGCTTTGTTCCTGGGTGGATAATGCCGCGCCCCTCTCTGGCCCTGTCGCCGTGTCCATTGGCTGATCTGCCCGGCATTCCCGCGCCGATGAGCGAGCCCTAATCCTGACCGGAGTCTCATAGTACGGCTGGTATGCAGGCATTATGGATGCTGCTGAGTTTCATCCGGTTCTGTTTTATTTTATTTATTTTTTTTCTCTGTACTAAAGACGAATGCTTGCGTGGCGATGTCCTATCTACACCATTGCGTATGCTCTCAGGCGTCTCCGAAGACCAATCACTTAGTCCCTAAACGGAATGCGGCACCGGATTTATTATGTCAGAAGGCCTGCGCTGTGCATGCCCTAATCCATTAGTCCTCGCACACGATAAACACCAAGGCCTTAGTGTAGCAGGCTAGGCTGGGACACTCGCGGGACTGGACTACTGGCTCGTACTACTCCGCTCCCCGGACGGAGTCGAGGAGAGGGAAATTGGACACGCCGGAGAGAGGGGAACTTTGTCCTGGCGCTAGAGGGGAAGTAGCTCGAGCAACTGCATCAGCATTGCGTGGACACGAGCACCGGTTGCTTGAGCTGGATGGAGTCGTGACAAGGGCCGGCGCGTTTCTGGCCCCTAGCAGGACAACGCTTTCCCTGAATCTTGGAAGGTGTAAACGAACTACTGCGTACCAAAGATTCAATGCAATCTGTTTTCGTGGAAAAAGAGTTGGACTCCGTAGAAGGACCCCTAGGGGATTCGGTCGTGGTCGTTATGAACCTGCAGGGACTGTAGCCACTCCTTCCATCACTACCCACCCTGACCCTGTAGTTGATTGCCCGTCGTTCTAGCTTAAGCTGCCCTGAGATGAACGGTCACATAGTGGAGTTGGTTGGTGAGCACTGAATTTGATATTAGTTGATTTGACTAACCACGATAATTTGGCGCCATTCAATTTGTGCAAGGGAAGCAGACGCCGTTTCTGTTGCTCGACACCGAGACTCTGATGGCAACGATGCCCAAGTCTGGCCGCTAAGCAGAACCAATGAGAGCCGCTCACAACGGGTTTCCCTGCAGTTGGCCGACGTCGACTCCCCATCATGGATGCTCTTTTGCAACGCCCTCTCGGTCTTCACTGACCATACAGTCAAAGAACAGACATGCTCACTTTCCCAAATGACACCAGACTCCTCTGTACAGGCAAAGATCAATTTAGCACCCGCTCCAGCTCCCCCTTCTCCGCCATCTCCCGAAGCACCCTCTCCGCCGTCCTCGTCGCCTCCATGCCCGCCGGCGCACCGCAGTACACGGTCGAATGCATAATCGCCTCGCGGATCTCCACCTCGCTCAGGCCATTGTTGATGGCACCGCGAATGTGCATCGCCAGCTCTGGCGTGCGATTCAGAGCCATCAACAGCCCGATATTCATTAGACTGCGCTGCTTGCGGCTCAGGCCCGGTCGGTTCCAGACATTGCCCCAGGCCCACTCCGTGACCATCTCCTGCATGGGGGCGGCGAATGCGCTCGAGTTGCTCTCCAGGGCACGGTCGACGTGCTCGTCGCCCATCACGGCACGGCGGGTTCGCAGACCTTTCTGGAAGAGCGTGCTCTGGGATTTGGGTGGTCGGCCTGCTTTCCGGGGAAGCTCGGCGGGCGCAGCTCCAGGATGAAGGTCGGGCTCTAGATGGTGTCGGATCATCAGCGATGGGCATGGGATAGGAAAAGGTAAGATGCTACGAGGTAGCACGACGGATGATTCTTGCAAGGATAGGATCTTATCGAATTGCAGCGATGGCCCAAAACTGCTCGAATTAGGGATGTTGGATGGCCCAAATACACATTCTTGGCATTCCGCGGTATTGGTTGGACAAGGGCCAGCAGCTTCAAACGGATGGGTACGTTCTCTCTCTCTCTTTATTCTTTCTTTCCTTCGCAGGAGGAATTCAAGGAAATATATCTATACTACCATTTCTGACTTGTTCGGGGCTTTTAGGTTGCGGCGGTGAGCCCTCTGCGTCGGGACTCGTCGGCACCGGCGGTCTCCAGTTGTCATGCGTCTCAGCTGGGCAGGAGTGCAGGGGTTCATATGTTTGAATCCGCACGAGGCCGGTCTTCCGGCTCATATACATGCGAACCTTATACGGGCAGTCGGAGCCGCTGCGACACGCGGTGAAGTACTTCTCTGAATTGGCCTTCTCGACTCGAAAGGAGGTGTTCAGGTCGAGGGTATGCCGGACCAGCGCATCGCGGGCCTCTTTCATTGACGGGAACTGCATCCCGACTTGCCAGGTATCGTCTGCTGCGGTGGTCATTGTGATGGCGGAGCGGACGAAGACGACCAGAGCGATCGAGAAAGAAACAAAATGAAGGCCACAGACAGGTCGAAGACAGTCCCGGAGAAAGCCGAATTCTACCTCAGATATGAACAGCCTGGACGACGCAGTCACCAGCATTAATTGCCTCTAGCCGAAATGTCTTTGCCGAGCTGGCTTGATTGGCCCTGCGTTCCCGTCCATTCGGTCCGTACCGCCATGAAGACTCGCTTCGACGTCATCTCTCCTGCCGGAAACGCTCTGCATAAACACTACTTCCTCCTCTGGTTGACTTGGGTACGCTTCGGAGGCTCGTATAGGAGTCATGGCTGGTCATCTGGTATTTCTCAGTCCAGGTTTCACATCCACACTACCGCCCAAGATCTACGTAGTACGACCATGTCCTCCGTTTGTCTCTGCTATTTAAAGACCCGTAGATAGTGCATTCGTATGAGAGTCTAATAATGGATCATCTATAGCTTCAGGGCTCCATCATTCCAGTATCTTAGCCATCTTAACCATCTTGACACGCCCATCGACGCACCATGTCATGCTTCTTACCCGATCGGGCTAGCGCGTTACAACCTGCCGGGTCTCCGTTTCGCCTGGAGTGACTGACTATAGTTACGATGCAGCAACTCTGACCTTCCACCTTCCATCGAGACGGGCACACTTTCCTTGCCGTTTCCCGCGATGCATCTCGCCGATTCCATCTCCTCGGGATCCCCCTGAGATCCGATCTCCGCGGTGGCCAGGAACATCCCACACTCGGGGCACCAACGCGCCCGTGGTCGCGACCGTGGCTTGCGATGCCCTAGCCTAGGTGCTCAGGAAGGGCTGGGCTGAACTATAGCTAGCTACCACATTGTTACCTGCCTCGTTGCGATGCACTGCAGCACACCATGAAGCATTCCTTCGCGCCATCGATGATTTCATGGTCCCCGGTGGCGAGAGTATGTGAGTTCTCGCGACGCAGAGATCCCTCGCCCCGCCCTACATGGTTTTGACATCTCGGGAATGCAGTGCCGTCCATTCCTTTCTAGGGGCGTCGCTCCCTTTCTCATTTCCTTCATGGGGGCTTTTCTCTCGCGACAGGCATCACTGGATGAAATTTGCGAATGAGGATACGGTCGCTGTTGGACGTGTCCCTTCAATGCGTGGTTGATCCTGCGGTCGGGGGTCAGCGTCTTCGTGAATCGGGTCGCGTAGGCTGGCTGGTACATGGGTTGCTCCCATACGTTGGCTGGCCGGCTGGTTGGCCACTGGGCTGACTCTGGTATGCAGAATGCATAGGCCGTTGCATTCGAGCCAAGAGAGGGTGCAGATGGTGCCGAGACGTCTGGTATCTGCCCGCGCGATACCCCAGCCGACTTCCATTCCAGGCTGCGGCAGAATCGCTCGACAAGGAGACAAGGAGGCTATTCGAGGGTATATTAAGGGCCTTCAGGCTCTGCTATCATGCTGATCATCATTCAAACAATTCCTTAACTTTATTGATACCTTAACCTTGCTCGAGCGGTTATAAGTTCATACTTCTCTCCCATCTCTCCAATCTATACAACAGAAGATTGATAGATCTTTGATCATCGTCGAGAATTATCCGAGCCCTTATCACAATGGTTTCATTCACGGGAACATCTTCATTTCTTTGCTTCCTCATGACCTGTCTGGTCTTGTCGTCTCTCAGCTACTCGCATCCCCTTCCTCACCCAGGGTCGATCCAGCCACGATCTCCCAGTCCTGTATGTTACCCTTAACTCTCCAAGCACCATCACCCATACAGACAACTTACTAACCACCCTCCTCCACAGGCAAACTACCCCGGCAGCGACGACATCGTTAGCGACGTTCTATCCTCGCTCGGCTTCACCCACCTCGCCAAACTCAACCACTGGAAGAGCTGGCAAGACGCGAATGTCATCGACGACAGCAACTCCACGACGCCCACCTCAACCGAGCACGGAAACCAGAACACCAACACCAAGGACGTGACGAAAGAAGAGCAATCGGACATCCTCAATCCTGCCACGGACCCCTTTGGCTTCGTGAGCGGTATCTTTGATTTCCTGTCGCATCGGTTCTCGGAGGCCAAGAACAGCAGGGATGAGCATACGCTGAATTAGGATGTTTTCTGGTCGTTCTCTTTTCCCTGCGTTTTGTTTTACTTGATTTGATTCTACTTGATTCCCTCATTGGTTTATGATTGATTGTTCCTTGCCTCCTTCCTCTCCTGTCCCTTTCCTTCCCCAGCGATACCGACCCTGTCCTTCCTTGAAAGAGTCTTCCAGCGGCGTTGATGAATTAATGACCCAAAAACGGTGCGAGAATAGTAATTTAGCTAAGATAATCCAGTCCAATATCATCCTTGGTCCAAATCCCTCAAGCGCTGATCACTGCCGCCCGCACACAAAAAACCGGACGTAAGCATTCTAAACCCCGACAAGCTTTTTGCGGGCCCAGGTAAATTATCCCCGACGCAAAGACGAGCTTATTTCCGGTCATGGATGTTGGGCTCGGAGGAGAGCAGAATGCCGATGAAGAAAGTGCCAGTACCCCTATGGTCCATGGACTAAGAAAGGGTGCTGTCGGAAGAGTCGGCGGAATTGAAATGGCATGGGATGCGGGGAGGGTAAAAGTCACTTCGGCGGTTCTGGGTATTTATTCAACTTCCTTCTCTCGGGGTTGTGGAGTGCAATTTCTTTTTTTCTCTCACATTTGTGTCTGCGTCTTGTGTTTCTAGTCGCGAAGAGAAGATATCTCTAGAATACAACTGCTTAGACTTGAATGAGAATGCCTTCCCTCGTTGGACGAGATGTCGGCCATACAGGCTATGGGATGATGAGTATGCTCCCCTTCTCTCTTTTTTGCCCCTCAGTTTCTGTCTTTCAGGTCGATAGGACCTCAATTGTGTCCTGTCTATCGATCTACTCATCTCTAAATCGATCTATTAACATTCCCACCAACAGGAATGACCTGGACCGCCCAACCACCCCCACCAACGACCTACTTCGCAACCCTGAATAAGACCCTCGAACTCGGCGCCAACTTCTGGAACGGCGGCGAGCTCTACGGCACGCCCGAGTACAACTCCCTGCACCTCCTCAACAAGTACTTCAGCGCGCACCCGGAGAAGGCCTCGGAGGTGGTTCTCAGCGTCAAGGGCGGCCTGGTGCCGGGACAGCTGCGGCCCGACGGCTCGGAGGCGAATATCCGGCGCAGTGTGGAGGAGTGTTTGCGCGTGCTGGACGGGACGAAGAGCATTGATATCTTTGAGTGTGCGAGACAGGATCCGAATACGAGTGTTGAGCAGACGGTTACGGTGTTGGCGGCGTTGGTGAGGGAGGGGAAGATTGGGGGGATTGGGCTGAGTGAGGTGGATGCGGAGACGGTGAGGAGAGCGTAAGTCTTTTTTCCCCTTCCTCTGTCTCATAATGTTTTATTTGTGGTTTACGGACGATTGGTTATGGGTTGGGTTTGGAAGAGGTTACAGCGGGACAGGATTTAGCTGACTGGGTGCAGGCATAAGGTCCATCCGATTGCGGCAGTCGAAGTCGAGCTGTCCCTGTGGGATACCACCATCCTTCAAAACGACGTGGCCAAGGCCTGCGCGGAGCTCGACATCCCCGTCGTGGCGTACTCGCCGTTGGGCCGGGGGGTGTTGGCCGGCGCCTTTACCAGCCTATTCGAGATCCCCGAGGACGATTTCCGCAGGCACTTGCCCAAGTTCCAGGACAACGCGATGAAGCAGAACATCAAGCTGGTCAACGAGGTCAATGACCTGGCTGCTCGCAAGGGTGTGGCCCCCGTGCAAATCGCATTGGCTTGGGTTCTCAGCTTGAGCGGCCGGCCGGGAATGCCCACCATCATCCCGATTCCGGGCGGCACGACGATTGACAAGGTTACGCAGAATATGCAGGGAGTTCCTCGCCTGTCTGACGCAGAGATGGCCGAAGTCGACACCATTCTGAAGCAGAACGAGGTGGTTGGGGGCCGGTATTGAACATGATACGAGATGTAGGTAGGCAGTTTAGATTATGCGGTATGGATACCGTGGTATGTATAGCACGAATAGAGGTATTTAGATCCTTTGAATATCATTGCATTAATAAGGTAATTTCTGCCTAGGTCCTGTAGTCCATTGTGGTCAGCTTGGTGTTCACGCAAGACGAAAACAATCAAATTGCAGGCAAGTCAATCAAGTCAGATCAAGTGTAGAATAGTCAACATGCAATCTCACAGACTCGGAGGAGTTAGGAGATTGTCAGATTTGCAGAATTCTTGAATAAATCATCATGATGAGAGGACGAGCGAGGGAAGGGAATCATGACAACGTACCGTGAATGTTAGTAGGGGTTATTTAGCTGGATAACGAATCATTCACAAGAAAAGCGATGCGATAAGTCAACCGATTGAAAACATTGTTTCAATTGCAATCGAAAGGTGAGTGTCAAGATAAGAGCAGAGGGGAAAGAAAAGAAAAGAAAAGAAAAAGACTGTGCGCGGTTTTCCGCAATGGCCTCATCACGTGCCCTGCGTATACTCGACCCAGCCTCAACTCCATCGGCGATCCGTCGGGATGCTCGTCGCCCCTTCACCCTTGGCCTGCTGCCTCCCGCTTCGCTTCCTCCTCTCGCTCTGCCACCTCCTTCGATCGCCACCTCTCCCTCCTACCCCCAATGGCCGAATCTCCGGGCTCTCCTCTCTCCTCCATCGCTTCCGACGACATGTCGGACCGCGAGACTGAAAAGCTGCCCTTCTCACCCTCGGCCTCCAACCTACCTCCCTCCAAACGTCGCCGGACCGGCGTCGCGTCCTGGGATCGCAACACCCCCGTCTCCACCACCTTCCAGGATGAGATTCCCCCGCCTTCTCCCTCGTCTACCATCTCGTCCGACTCCTCTGGCGACATCCCCAACTCTCCCGGCACCTGGGCCCTGATCGGCGGCAGCCAGGATGACGACTATACCGGCCAAGGCAACGACCAGGTCACCGTGTGTCGCTGGGATGGATGCGATGTTGGCGATCTGGGAAACATGGATGATCTGGTCCAACACATTCACAACGACCACGTCGGCAGCCGGCAGAAGAAGTACTCCTGCGAATGGTCCGATTGCACTCGAAAGGGACAAACGCACGCCAGCGGCTACGCACTGCGCGCCCACATGAGAAGCCACACCAGAGAGAAACCTTTCTATTGCGCGCTACCAGGTGAGTCAAGCTTGAGCATATTATTTTCTTTGCTACCCCCTTTTTGTGCCCTCGCCTTCTCCTTCGCCGACAAAGGAATACCTCTGTCTCACACATCTGAGTATCCGTGAGATGGCGCAACTAACTTGTCCGATCCGCTTCGCAGAATGTGACCGCAGCTTCACCCGATCAGACGCCCTCGCAAAACACATGAGAACCGTTCATGAGACCGAGGCCCTTCGCCCCTCTGACCCGGTACCCAAGCATCATAACGTCTCCGCATCCACGGCCGGCACCCCTGCCGGAACGCCAGCTAGCAAGCTCCAACGCATCAAGCTGAAGCTTACGCAACCCAAGGAGGACCCAGATCGGTACAGTGAAAGCGCCAACGACGAAACCGCAAACACAGACCTCGACGAGCTCGAGGACCCCGAGTTAACCTTAGACCTGGGATTCGATGAGCACGAGCTCACGCTTCCTCCCTCACAACTGTACCGAGTCCTGCGGCGACAGATCCACTGGGCCGAGAAAGAAGGAGGAAAGCTACGCGCCGAGTGGGAGAAGATCCAACCCAAGCGAAAGCATACTTGGTTGGAGAAAGACGCCATCTTTGACGATGTCATCGACGCTCAGCTCCGACTCTTTACTGCTTTGGTGGGCAGTGATAACGGGCCTGCGCCTGTCGCAACCTCCGCCGTCACGAATGGTGCGGAAAATGCCCAAAAGCCATCCGATCCTGTTGAAAAAGAGGCACTCTCCAATGCAGACGCGGGGCCTGTTCCTTCATGAGGACCTGGTCGCTTGATCGATCTCATCGCCTTTCATCTCTTTCTATCCTCTCATCGCACCCTCTCCATACCACAACTGTTCTTCTGGCCTCGACATTCATCTCCCTTCTCTCTTCAACTTCTTCAACACCTTGTATTTCCCATCCATTTCTTTGGTTCCCCCTTCCATGCCCGTCGCAATTGTATTCAAAACAAGACCAATCCTATACCCACATACCTGACTCTATTTACTCCGAAATATCAAATCTACCTACTCTAATCTCTCTCTGGTCTTGTCTTTCAATTCCATCTTCATTCTCCGGAGCAAGATTTTTTTGTTTTTTCCGGTCTACGAGAAACATTCGTGTTGGTTGATGTTCTGTATTCTATAAAACGGGGTTTCTTCTTTTTTTTTCTTCCTGCTCTTGATTGTTTTATGAAGCGTCCAATCGAAAAATCTAATTCACAATCTTTCTCTGATCACGTTTTACTATCTTTCAATTCCGCTGATGGGATCGAATTCCATTGTCAGGATATTGAGCTGTCTCTCTGAATAACATCGAATGAAAGGAGATAATGCCAAAAGTAATAAACTAATAATGCACAGGGATGTCCAGTCCTTCCATTGGGAAATATTTCAAAAGAATCGAAGAAGAAAAAATGAGGTCTAGAGAGCACATAGGCTCGACAAGTCTCCCAGGACAAATGCCTGAATCCCAAACAATGGAAATCAACCAGGAGCCACACGACCTTTCCAGTAAACCAGTAAGTTACATGAGAAGAAAGCGATGTGGGAAACATCCCGCAGGGCCCAGCGCCAATAAAGGGGGTCCCGTATGGGATGTTTAGTCAAACAGATGAAGAAAAACAGACAAGAAGAGAAGAGAAGAGCGAGGCCCATCGCGCCCAAAATATGGGGGTGACCAAGTCGCTAAAAGAACAAGTCAAAAACATAATGCAAAGTCCAACGCGCCAATGGGGGGGGGACAATGCTTTATAGGAAATAAGAATATGAAAAGACCAAAGTCATGCAGACAATAAAGAAATATTCATAACAAATCCACTCATGCTCAACACTCCTTCATAGATCATACCGGACGCCGTCGCCATGCTTTCCCAATGATGCATATTTACCTCGAAAATCAAAAAAAGACTCCGTAGAAGCAAGCTGAAATCCACAAAACGCTTTTGCTGCACGCTGGACACGCCCGAGTCTAGTTCCCATTAGACGTGGGCTTGGCTGCGACCGGATCCTTTTTAACAGCCCTGAGTTTTTGATACATTTCTTGAAGTTTGGTTCCTCCTGCGTCTTTATTGGGCCAATAGTTGACAGAAACATAGTGCCTATTTTAATAGTCAGTGAGTGTCCCAAAAGAGCGAGGGACAAGAACAAAACATACCATAGACGAGTATCAAGGGACGAAATGGAGCTGTCGCCTTTCAAGTTGCGGTCGATAAAGTCACCGATTTTTTGAAGCAGGCGCCGTAATTCAAGGGCCCGCTCGGTTTTATTGGCGAAATTCTCCTTGGTGACCCCGGAAACACGTCTCAAGTCATCACGGATCGGTTTGAAGAACAAGCGTGCAACGTCTTCCTTCGCGGTCGAGTGCCCGTTTTCGCTGTTTTTGCGGCGGCGAACGTCTTCACTCGAGACATCCGAAGTCCTATGGCGGGGACGATCACTATCATGTACCGACCTGGGTCGTGAATCGTGACTTGGTGTGTGATGGCGCTCGGAACTATCGCGGATTCCACGTGTATTGGAACGGTGTCTGGACCGATCAAATTCACGATGGCCTTTGCGCGAGATGGAGGGCGCTGGCGACGCCGATACACTGACGCTTGCATTGTTCCTAGACGCTTTCCGATTGTTTCGATGATGGTTTTCGACAGCCCGCTTGACATTGGCATTCGATCCATTGGTGACTTTGTCTCTCAAGACAGACAAAAGGTAATCCGCACGACGAACAAGATGCACGGCTCCAGGAGACTTGGTCGACTTATCTTCGGCGTTCATACGTTCTGTCTTTCGTTCAACGCGATGCTCTTCAAGGAAAAACTTGTCCCCAAGGGCAAGGTCCGGGTCGTCCCGAATTTGCGTCCATGCGCCATAGCCGTGTCGTGCAATGCCAATGCAGAGCATGCCGTCTTCCCGTGCACCCCATGAACAGGTGTAATCAGCCGCCTTGGTGGCTTCTGGTACACGGAAGTTTTTAGGGTCAGGCACCGAGGCCACGGTCTCCTTGAGGATGCGCATCTCATTGGGACGTTCGACGATAGTGTAGGCATTCAAACGCTTGACACCATTGTGATCGAAGAGAACGGCCTTCTTCTCCTTCTTCGTTGGCATCTTGCCCGCGTTCTCAAGAGCCTCCATCCGCTCGACATCCTCTCGTACAAGATTAGCCGCCTTCTCCGTGATCTCCCGAAGAGCGGACAAAACGGTTTCTTTGTCACGGTCAAGCAAACGTGCTTCGCGGATAATGTCATCCTCCCGGTTTGCAATATCGCAGTAGCGCAAGTACGCCTTGAGAAGGTTACGGTACTCTTTCTCGATGAGAGGCCGTTTCGGGTCAGACTGGGGGGCTGAATCAGAGTCGTCTCCAATACCCTCCATGCTAACCTGGGCTCTTGCCCGTCTCTTAGCCTTCCGCTCTTCACGAGTGTCTCGTTCTTCTGGGGGAACAATGCGTTTTCGCGGTCGATTTTGTTCAATGACTTCCGCAAGATAGCGCTCATCCGCCTTCTTCTTTTCGTCGGCTTTGATTTCCTCTAGCTGATCTTTCGGGATAATGTCATCCCACGTGAGATCATCAACCTTGATGTCAACATAATCAAAGGCTTTGAGGAACTCTTCACCTCCGTCTGCTTGAATCTCCTCAGCTTGTTCAGTTTGGTGCAACTCGGCATTTGCAAGTACCGAGTCAATGTCAAGCTGCTCGAGCTTCTCTTGGTTGCCCGTTTGCTCAAACATTCTTTGTCCACGACGCTTGAGGATGCGAGAGATATCATCCGTCGAATTGGGTTCACCCATAGAACGAGCCATCTTATTCTGGATTTCAGTGGCTTCCTTATCCGTGACGCCACGCTGGATGGTGATGAACTCAAGAAGTAGCTTGTTCCGCGCACGCTCAATCACTTCCTCTTCCACGGTATCCTTGGAGACCAAGCGATACACGCTGACGGGCCTGGTTTGACCAATACGGTGTGCTCGAGCCATAGCCTGAAGATCGGCTTGAGGATTCCAATCCGAGTCGAACAATACCACAGTATCAGCGGTCATGAGGTTGATTCCAAGACCACCAGCCCGAGTGGAGAGAATGAAGGCAAAGTCGCTGCTTCCAGGAGCATTGTAGTGTTCAATAGCGAGACGACGAGACGATGCGGCGATTGTTCCATCGAGACGTTGGTAAGTATAGCCCCGGTAGTCCATGTATTCACCAAGTAAATCGAGCATTTTAACCATTTGACTGAAGATCAGAACACGGTGTCCATCTCGCTTGAGCTTCGCAAGAAGCTGATCAAGAAGCATCATCTTACCGCTACTCGTGATCATGGCTCTCAATAAATCCTCACGTCGGGTGCTACCTTCCAAGATTCTTGCCTCAGCATTGGGGAACATGAACGGATGGTTACTTGCTTTCTTTAGTTCCATCATGATGTTCAACAAGGATTGCTTTTGCCCCTTTGCGCCCTCGTTCAAAGCGGCATAATTCTTGGTCAAGATGTTCTTGTAGTATTCCAGTTGTATATCCGAAAGTTCCACTCGAATGATCTTCTCAGTCTTAGGAGGCAGGTCTGATTCCACCTTAGACTTCGTGCGGCGCAACATGAAAGGCTGAATGGCCTTTGTCAATTCCGCAAGCTTTTCGGAAGCTGCATCGGCGTTCAGGTCCATGTCCACGTCGATATCTACAAGGCCAGGGTTCAAGAAGTCCAGCAAAGCAGAGAGTTCGGCAAGGTTGTTCTGAATGGGGGTTCCGGTAATAAGAAGGCGAGAGGGGGCCCTGAATTCTAGCAATTTCTGGTACAACTGAGATTCCCGGTTCTTGAGACGGTGGGCTTCGTCGACAGCCATGAACTGCCACTTGAATTGGCTCAGAAAGGCGGAGTCCTGCAGTACATATTCATAGGTCGTGAGGAGAACATTGAACTTGGGCCGCTTGGGGTTGTCGTCAACCATGAGTTCATGCTCTCGAAGGACGGTGCGGGCAGCCTCGTTGCCATTGTAGACAACATAGTTCAGGTCGGGGGTCCAGTTGTCAAATGTCTCCGCCCATGAGGGCATAGTCGACAAGGGGACAACAACGACGAAGGGTCCTTGCTGACGTCGAACATGGCGAAGCCAATTGATGAACGCAACGGTCTGCACGGTTTTACCCAGACCCATCTCGTCGGCAAGGACGACGTTGCGGTTCTTCACCCAGTTGAAGGCCATAAAGTTGACACCCTTTACCTGAAACTCTTTCAACTCCCCGTTCTGCAAGAAACTAGGCGTGCCCTTGATGGTCTCAAAGGCCTTTCGTGTGGCAGGGTTTGATTCTGTCTTGTCCGAGACGGGGGGGCGGGAGGAGCGATCTAGAAAACGGTCTATTTCGCGTTGAGCGATCTTACTGACAAGGTCTTCGGCCTCCCATGTACAAGAATCGTACAATAGGCGCTTCCACTTCACGAAGTACTCGGTTTCTTCGTCCCCGTCTCGCATACCGATCACTCTCTCAACTTGTTTGTAGTCCTCAATAGCGTCTACGTCTCTTTCTCGATCAAGATTCCATTTTTCTCTGTCCTCCGGGGGGACGCCTTCTTCCTGGTTCAGCCGAATGTCTTCATAAACGGATCTGCGAATGTAGTTGTCGAGCCGGCGAACGCTGCGGCAATTCGCGAGAGATTCGGTGGTTTCCCACGTAGCATGATAGTGGGACTTGTCTTGCCACTTGATGTAGTATTCAAAATCATGCCGCCCGAGGTTGGGTTCAGTAAAATCGACACCTTCCTTGAGGCGGTGATTGAGAACGACATCAATGGCCGGGCGGTCATCCTCCGCCGTGTTGACCCAGTAATTCTGGGTGAGCTCCTCGGGGTCATCCTCAAACATAGAGTCATCATCATCCTCGTTGTAGTTAGAGACCTTAGAAGCATTTCTGGTCGAAAAGCGAACCTCGGCGTGGGAAGGTTGATTCGCAGATGCTTGGAGGAGTCGCCGACGCTTCGCTTTGCTTGTGCGAGCGCGGCTTCCCCCATACTCATCGCTATCTGATTCTTCCGAGTAGGGTGACTGGGTAGCGGAACGCGAGGGACGCTTCGACGACGGTTGCGAGACCACAGGGCGCCGGCGTTTGGAGCGAGGTGCCACTGCATCGGACTCGGAGTCAGAAGGCGACTCAGCCAATTGACGCGTCGTGCGAGCGCGTCCGCTTCGTCGTAACCCGTACAGATCGGGGTTCTGCCTCATATAGTCCGATTCGTTAACCGACGGTGACTTCCGTTTCGTGCCACGATTGGCTTCGGGGGATGAAGCTTCAGCGCTAGATTGGTCGCTGGCATTCATGCTGTTCTCCATGGGGAAATCATCCTCATCGCCCTCAGCATCAAAAAAACCGGTATGGTATGACTCGTCCGGAGCATCTGCTTCGGCGGAGGAGTCGCGAGCGACATGGTGCTCAGGTGAAGCGGCGGATTCGCTCTCGCTGTCACTGGAGGCAAGCTGGTCCTTGACGCTCGCGGGTTCGGAGGTAGGAGAGGCCGAATAGCCATTGGTAAAGGCCATTGTCGTCATCGAAGGTTCGGAGGAGGATGGGATCACCACGCCAGTCGCTATTGGAGAGGTAGGACATCAGCATTGAAGCTCAGCACAAGCTCCGGGGGGGGAGCAAGGCATAGTCAAGGGTAAATGCGTGTTACGCGACCCGGAATCCGCCCAATACAAGCTTGATCGTCCGGGTCAAAAGGGTAGGAGATAAGGCATGATGAATGAGGATGATCTCGATGGATGGTTTGATGAAACGCGACGGAATGAGTCGGTGGGCAGATGGCAGCTGCACGAGGGGAACCAAGCCCAAAGACAGAGTCAAGGAGAGGAAATTATCCAGACCTTGACCTTAAGAGACTCAGGAAACCCCCCAGGTACGATCTGGAGAGGAATCCTTGTATTCTTCGGTGGGTCGAGGCCGTGGAGAAGTACCCCAGGCGACAAAACCGGAACACGTTGGGCAAAAACTAGAAAAGCAAAATAAAAAACTCACAGTCCATAGCTTGGTGACCCCGAAAGAGGTGAAATTGAGGGAAATAATGGTGGTCAAGGCAAGAGGAAAGGTGGGGGGAGGGGTGGGATGAAAGGGTGTGGAGGAACAGAGAGGCGATGGAAGGAATATGATGAGAGAGTAGGAAGAGAGTTGCACGTCGGCTGGAGGAGAGCGAGTCCCGGGACGCATTGGCTGGCTGCCTGAGCCTTCAGGCGGCCACAAGCCACCATGCTCTGTGGGGTTTAGCGCCCTAACAAGCGAGCCTCCAATAGGTCGAGCGGGTCGCCCGCTCACGTGGTCCGCGGCGCCGGCGCAACTTTTGTTCCGAGCAGATTCTGGCGGCTGTGCGGCCGGCCAATCAGCGCGCCGAGAAATAATGCAGCGCCGGGCGGCTGCCTCAGGCACTGCCCACAATGCCCGACATAGTTTTCCATCGCTCCAGAGCCCCTCTTTCAAGCATCGTTTCTCCCTGCTCGCGACCTGGTGGCTCTCTGTTTACGCGGATATCGGGCATCTCCTGCTTCTGGCTAGTCCCCCGACTGCAGTGCCATCTTTTGTGTCCGGTAGAGCTCCCTCCTCGGTCCATCTGGCAACTTTTTACTGATTTGCCCCCTCCAGATCTCGATATTCCGGTTTCCCTCTGCGGGTCGATTCCCAGTCTGAATAGCCATCATGTCTGACAAGCTTACTCGGTAGGTCTTTGTTGCCACCTGTCAGTCCTTTTGCAATCCAACGCCGAGTACTAATTAGTCTTTTTCTCTCAATAGTATTGCCATTGTCAACAGCGACAAAGTGAGTATATACTACCCCGCTGCCTGCCATCAGGAGCGCAATACATTTGCTCACACAGATCCTTTCTGCTTCCTATAGTGCAAACCGAAGGTATGAGACTCTCCGCCTGGTCCCCCGGCTCTTCCGTCCATAATACTCACGTCTCCAGAAATGTCGCCAAGAATGTAAAAAGTCTTGCCCCGTCGTCCGTACGGGTAAGCTGTGTATCGAAGTTTCTCCGGAATCCAAGATCGCCTTCATCTCCGAACGTCTGTGTATCGGTTGCGGTATCTGTCCCAAGAAATGTCCTTTCGGCGCGATCCACATCATCAACTTGCCGACCAACCTGGAAACCCAGGTCACCCACCGTTATTCCGCCAACAGCTTCAAGCTTCACCGTCTCCCGATGCCTCGTCCCGGTCAGGTTCTCGGTCTGGTTGGAACAAACGGTATCGGAAAAAGTACTGCGTTGAAGATTCTCAGTGGCAAATTGAAGCCCAACCTTGGACGCTTCGACAACCCCCCGGACTGGGAGGAAATCTTGAAGTACTTCCGTGGTTCCGAACTGCAGAGTATGTTTTCCCAGGCAGTTACATGCAGCGCACAATGCAATTGATTCTAACTTGCGCAGACTACTTCACCAAGGTCCTGGAAGATGACCTGAAGGCTGTCGTGAAGCCTCAGTATGTCGACCAGATCCCGAGGGCAGTGAAGGGTCCTGTCAAGAACGTTGGCGAGCTTATCAAAGCCCGCTCCCAATTGGACAACATGGAGCACATCCTCGAGAGCCTCGGTATGTTCTTTCATCTAAAAGACCAGATTATATCACATATGCTAATCTTTCTGCAGAGCTGAAGCAAGTCCGGGACCGTGATATCGACCATCTTTCCGGAGGAGAACTTCAGCGTTTCGCGATCGGTTTGGTTTGTGTTCAGAAGGCTGATGTGTAAGGATTATGCTCGTCCATGAGTCCCCGATACAGAGACTAACGGCGATGCAGTTACATGTTCGATGAGCCGTCTTCCTACCTCGATGTCAAGCAGCGTCTGGCCGCCGCCCGTGCCATCCGAGAGCTTCTGCGACCCGACGACTACGTCATCGTTGTTGAGCACGATTTGTCCGTCCTTGACTATCTCTCCGATTTCGTCTGTGTGCTTTACGGAAAGCCCGCTCTTTATGGTGTTGTTACGCTGCCTGCTTCTGTTCGTGAAGGTATCAACATCTTCCTGGATGGTCACATTCCCACGGAGAACCTTCGATTCCGTGATGAGTCTCTCACTTTCCGTCTTAGCGAAGCTGGCGATGATTTCATGGCCGACAAGGGCCGTGCTTTCGCCTATCCTAGCATGGAGAAGACTATGGGTAACTTCCACCTGAAGATTGACTCCGGTCGATTCACGGACTCTGAGATCGTGGTCATGATGGGAGAGAACGGAACCGGAAAGACCACCTTCTGTAAGATGCTTGCTGGTGCCGAGAAGCCCGACAACGGCATGTCGGTCCCTCGCATGAACATCAGCATGAAGCCCCAGAAGATCACTCCCAAGTTCCAGGGTACTGTTCGCCAATTGTTCTTCAAGCGTATCAAGGCTGCTTTCCTGTCGCCGCAGTTCCAGACCGATGTTTACAAGCCCCTCCGCATTGACGACTTCATTGACCAGGAGGTTCAGAACTTGTCTGGTGGTGAATTGCAGCGTGTTGCCATTGTCTTGGCCCTTGGTATCCCTGCCGACATCTACCTTATCGACGAGCCTAGTGCCTACCTTGACTCCGAACAACGTATCATTGCCGCGAGAGTCATCAAACGTTTCATCATGCACTCCAAGAAGACCGCCTTCATCGTCGAGCACGATTTCATCATGGCTACCTATCTCGCCGACCGAGTGATTGTCTTCGACGGCCAGCCGTCCGTTGATGCCCACGCCAACGCTCCCGAATCCCTGGTGACGGGTTGCAACAGTTTCCTGAGGAACTTGGATGTCACCTTCCGTCGGGATCCCAACAGTTACCGCCCTCGTATCAACAAGTACGAGAGTCAAATGGACCAGGAACAGAAGTTGAGCGGCAACTATGTAAGTACCCCAAATACCACGGTTCACTCGCCGTGCCCACCTTGGCTAGGCGGTAGTCGGATCATGCTAACGTTTGTCATCAACAGTTCTTCCTGGAAGAGGAGAGTTGAAAAGGTTGTTCCTGGAAAGCATGACCGCGATCGTCACAGGCGCGATGATCGCGACTCCCACCGCCGGCGATATAAACGTCGCGGGGAATGGAGAAACCTTCAATTGATGGCGTTTTTCGGCGTTATGAAGGCTTCGGCTCAACATAGGCGACGGGGTCGCTGTGGTGTGCGCCTCACCGATGATATGGATGGTGCTACAGAGGAAGAAGGTGACGATGACGACGATCTTGGCTAGAGGCAGTGGTTTTTTAAACCCCTTGTTCCAGTCCACGCTTTACTGCGTCCGGATCTCGTCGCCGCCTCTTGTGTGCACCCCCTGCTCCTTTGTCGGTTCAAGATAATTCGCCTCCAGGGTTTTTATAAAGATGCTGGGGGCATAGGACCCCGATCCATGAGGGCTTTGCTTGGGTTACGGTTTCTGGTTGGCGTGATCATGCCGGAGTTGTGTCTGTCAAAAGTTTGAATGATTCTATGATATAGATGGTCTCATCGACCTGCATGTTTGAAGGATTCAGTATAAGATGACTGGAATAGGTTAGCTAGGTTTTTTTTTCACTGTCCATAGATACTTGTGTGTGTATGCACGGTCTTGCTAGTTGATCTCACTTGAATTTGAGTTTTGTCTTCATTCACAATTGATATCCTGGTTGGTTAAATGAGCGTATATGTCTAGATCTTATTTTCATGGTGACTCGATGGATCTGCTGCAGATTCTATGTCACTCGGGCATAACCCAATACTAAATATATATTCAACGAGAGAACAGGCAAGGGGAGTATGATTCGTTTTTCATATATAGATTTGTTTCTTTCGATTGTGGTTTGTAAAGGCTCCCTTGAGAACAAGTCCACTAGGGGAAATATATACCAGAGCAGTGAAAACGCTCAGTTCATGCTCATTTCGACCCAGTCTTGGGAAATCGAGCGTATATATTTCTAGTATATCGTTATTGGTTTGATTTAATAGGTTGGTATTTACTTTGCGTTTTATCTATAGTGGTCTCATATAGCTCGAATACTTTCACTGATGTATTTATTCCTGTTTGTGCATAGTTGAAGTTGATCGTAGATACCCTCACGCGTACAGTAATTGCTATTAGTTGACATGCTCTAATCCTCCTCGATCTCTCCCTCCTCGCTACCAGAGTGTACTGCCTTCTCTTCTTTCTTCGCGTCTTCGGCAATAGTAGCCGGGGTACGTTCGCGACGCTCCCGATCTCTTCTGGCGCCTCGACTGCGCTCGCGCTCACGACTGTCGCGGCGATACCGCTTAGCAGAGCGACTGGCGACGCTCTCTGCATCGCTGTCCCGTCTGCGCCGGCGGTCGTTGCTGACGGTGCTTCGGGTGTCGGCGCCGTAGTCGAGCTCGTCGCGATTGCCACGCGGATCACCCCGGGCGCGATACATCCGCTCGCGCTCATCTTCTCGCTCTCGGCGGTCACGTCCATAGTGGCTGAGAGAGCGGGAGCTTCTTTCCCGCTCCCAATCCCGATCGCGCTCACGCTCACGGTAACGGTCCCTGTCGCGATCTCTCTCGCGGTCGCGCTCTTCCCGTCTCTCTCGGACTGGAGACAAGCCACTTGCCTTCCGGTAGGATCTTTCCCGGTCTGCCTGAGCCTTGCGGCGATCCGCTTCGTAAGCATCTGGCTCGGGGGTGCGGCTGTGCCGACTGGAAGCCCCTCGTCGTTCGCCTCTGTAGGATGCCCCGCTACGGTAATCCCGGTCGCTGCGGTCGTAGTCACGACGGCTTCCACGATCTTTGTCGCGCGATTCCCGGTCCCGGTCGGCGTCTTCCTCCTTCTCTTTCAGACGGCGGATAACCTTATCAAAAGCGGATTGACGGGCCTCATCAGACTCAATGGTCTTGTATTCCTCGAACTTTTCCACACGAGGTCGTACTTGGTCCCAAGTATCGGTGGCCCGGATCGGGGGTTCTAAACGTTTAATCCGAGAGCGCAAAGCATCGACCGCGCGTCGCTGGTGACGATCTGCCGCATGCTTTTCTTCCTCGGTTCTTCGGATTGCTTTGTCCTGAATGCGCTGGAATAGGAGCTCGAGAATTTCGGGGTCCATGTTAGCTGTTCGGCGATCATCAGAGACAACGGAGTTGAACTCTTCAAAAGTGGTCTTCGCCGTGACCTCGAATCGTTTATCCTGGAGACAACTGTCAGAGACCTGAATACGGGATGGTTTTGGGTATTACTTACGTCAAGAACATCCAAGACATCATTTCGAGGTCCTCGCAGCGTTCGCTCTTCCTCCTCGACTACGTCCCAGAAGAGATCTAGGGGCGAAGAGCCAGAGTTACCTAGAATGCCCTGGTAACGGGGGTCCTCGCGAATGACCGGGTAGAGATTGCTCCACTTGCTACCGGCTTTGATTTTACCCTGAGACCGTTGCTCCTTCAACAGGTCGACAAACTGTTCACGAGCATGGCGTTCTTTTCTGGCCTTGGCGGCCTTTTGTTGCTGGCGCGCATCGTTAAAAGCTCGCTCAAGAGATTTGATGTGATTCTCAAACGCAGTCAAAATGTCAGATTTGCTCAAGGATTTGAATCTATCGTCACCTTGGACCTTGTCATTAGATTGAATGATGGCCTGCGCCTCTGACCAGCGCGTATAAGGTTCCAGGTCCAACGAGTTCAATATATTGACGAGCTCATCCATGGCGGCTTTGCGGTTGGCAGATTCCTGCTCGTGGTGCTCTTTTTTCAGCTCAAGAACATACTCCTCGAAGAGCTGGCGCCTCTCGCTTTCATCGCTCGTAGACCGGAAGATGGTCTCGCCCTCGATGATCGGGCGAATGGTCTTCCAGCGACTGTAGTGTTTAATCTCTGGGTGGCGCTTCAACATAGTATTGAAATCTGCTCTCAGCTTAGCGAATCTTTCTTTCGCTCGGTCCTTCTCCTGCATGCGAACCTCGACCGCATATTTCTCAAAAGCTGATTTGCGGTCTCTGGGATCTTTCAGAGCCCGGTACTGAGGATCCTTGATCACTGTACGCATGGTTTGCTCCCAGGTCGAATCGGCTTGCACATTGTGGCGTTTGAGCATCTTCATGAACGCGCTCTCAGCCTCCTCAAGCGAGCCATATTCGGGCTCCGTTTGCGCGGCCCCCGGTATAGATGCAGCAACGAATCCGTTCATATCGTTTGAACCGTAGCCACCACGTCGATCACCGTAACCTCGGTCGAAGTCGTCGCGCTCCCGCTGCTGAGGGTACGAGGGAAATGAATTGCCGCCACCTGCGACAAACGTCGGGGCCCTATAAGAGATAGAGAGAGTTAATACACGATCAAAAGTCGCAAGACGCAGAATCAAAGGCCCAACTTACGCTGCTGGTGGGGCTTGGGCGGGTTGTGCCTGTGCCAAAGCAGTCTTGTAAACATCGGGCATCTCCCAAGTGCTTTGCTTGGACTCCGTATTGTACCAGTATTTTCGTCCACCTTCGGCGGTATATTCCTTCCATGGCTGATTTGATAGAGCTCGCTGCATGAAAAGAGAGAAATACGGTTAGCAAAGGGTATGAAAGACCAAAACGAAAGGGAAAAGACAGCACGAACCTCGACGGGCGTCATCAAATCCAAGGGCTTTTGCCATTGCGTGGCCTTGGTTTGAACATTGTAGTAGTAAGGTCTTCCATCCGCATTGCGAGCCTCCTGCCAAAGAGAAGGCGTCGCCGGGAGCCCATTCACTGGATTCATTATGGGAGTGTCGGTACACTCGTGCGCGTCGATGCTCTCGTCGATGATGGCTTGGGCTGAAGCTCCGATGGGAAAATGTCGCGGCAGGAAGCTTTGCGCCGCGCTAAGGCTGTTTGCCATGTTTGCATCTGCCCCCCGAACACCGCAGCACCTCCGTCGGTCTCTCCTTCACGACGATCTTAGTGCAAGTACTCGATATCCCTGAGAACGGTTTGTTCATTTATTGAGTGCCCTTTTCCTGCCAATCACGGGCGGGGAAGCATGCGACTGTTGTCTCCAACATGCCCAGCTTCGATGTGCCGGGGGAATTCCTAAGGCATGCCGTTCTAGACACATTTGTCCCGCAGGCTCCAGGAACAGACCTGGAGGCGGCGCTGACCTCCGCCTTAGAGGGAGGTGCCGACGACTTGTCTTCGGTCCTCTCCTTGATCCCCCAACGATCACTGCTATTTTTCGGTAGATGAAAGCTCCATGTCCAAATCGAACTCTATCTCTTACTCATGTATAGTGTGCTACAGATGAATTCTGCACCGTTCGCGTGGTCCTGCGGCTGTCCAATTGTTCGCAAGCCAGTTTAAAGCACCATCTCCAGAACCTCGAAGTCAAAATTGATGCATTTGCAATTGACCCGGCGGAGACTGTTGGCGAAAATCCCACACCCACCCGGGACTTGATCTTTTCAGGGGTCGTCAATACAGAGGAGGAACCGTTGGTTGTGGTAAACGAGTTCGAGGGGGAATCGGGCTCTGGCAACCATGTATACGTGATTTGGAGCGTTGAGACTTTTCTCAGTAAGTCACTCGATGGGCCTATTTACTGTCGTTCTTGCTGACCATCGCAGAGCGCCCCCGTATCCGTATTCAACACCCGTCGTTCCTCTTCATTGCATCGGCAAGCCTCAACCCATCGGACGCTCGACAGGGCGAGTCCCGCGAGGACGACTATCTACCTTCTTTAGTCCCTGCATCGACGAATATCTTACAACCGTTGGCTACCGATAAAGCATTTCCGCAAAAGGACCCTTTTCTTCCAGCTTCCAGACTGCTACGGGTCGTACCTGCGAAATATAGCGAAGACCCTATATACAACGTCGAACAAGCGTCAGGCCATCCTATTCGGGTGGTTCCCGCGGCCAGCGCGCGCATACGATACTCCCGTCTGAATTCATTTTGTGGACGGCCTACCACCATTGCCAGCCTTGATTTCGAAGTGACTCCGTTCCTCAACTGTGACGTTGTGTTCGAGAAGGCGGACCTTCGCATCTCAGATGGAACGATAGAAACCCTTTCAGACCAGCAAGGGCTCGTTCCGCCAGTAATATGCCGTCCCCGTGACGACATCACTTTGATATACAAATTGACGCCGGAATATGGGCCGGATCCGAACCCGTCGACCACTGTTATGATTAGCGTTTTGGATATTTCATTGGAGGCAACAGTGAGGCTGTCAGAGGACTGCAATCCCCGGATATTGATGCAGTGGCGGACAAATGTTGATTTTTCCATGGCCCTCAACCCGACATTCGGAGGCCCGAGCCAGGCGTTGCAGCGAAACAACCGACCCGCGAGCCTTCCCATGACACCAAATCAATCCAACTCCGTAATTGGTGCACCCGCGAACAGGAGCTCACTCAGGGACCGAGCGTACTCTGCTACAGGTCTAGGAGTGACAATCTCGTTCTCTGGACCCTCTAGTGTGGAAGTGGGTAAACCGTTCTCTTGGAACGTCTTCATCGTTAATCGATCGACACATCCTCGGAAATTTGCCATGGTCGGTATCCCGCGGAGAAAGCGAGCTGATCCACGGGGGCATGTTGCGCGACCGTCCTCTTCGTCGCTCTCCAGCCGCAAGGAGGACCAGGTAGCCGAGGCAGTGACGGATGATAATATCGTCCACGCAATGCAGAAGAGCGTGGCCGGACAGGAGGTTGAGCTCGTGTGCTTGAGCACCGATGTTCGAGTTGGGTAAGTAACACTACATGTTTCATACGAAGGCGATGTCCCTAACTTTGCATATCATAGGCCTCTTCTTCCCGGCACCTGTTTCGCGACCGAGCTGAAGCTCCTTCCTTTGGCAGTTGGCTCCCTTCGGATGGAATCCGTGCGGCTGGTGGAAGTCAACACGAACGAGACGACCGATATCAAGGATCTGCCCGATATCCAAGCGTTTTCCTTGGATCGAAGGGCGGTACCATCTACCGCATAATCAATGCCGACGGATGGTGTCATTGGCTGCGGCGAATGACACGATCGCGTTCAAGAACTGACGGATGGAATGAGCATGTAACGCATTCGAATACATAGTCCATGAGAATAGATCAGCGTAATCAGACTGTACAGGACTGACGAGAGGCGTGTAGTTTTATTGTAGATAACTCGGAGTTTACTATCCTGCGTACTGAACCAGTTAAGCATGACTGCGGGCGTGGGGTTTACCCGCGCCGGGCGGCCGAAGCGGGCAGCTGATCGTGCGGGATCGGCGATAACTCATTTCTTCCCGTCTGGACAGCCTGGAGACTCTTCCTTCCAAAGTTCCATCTCGACTGTTTCCAGTTCTCCAAGGTAGATCCATTCTGATCCCCGTCAACTTTTGTGGAGATCCTTACCCACTGACTCCCTGCTTCTAGCTAATTTCCTCTCGATCATTCTTACCCGCCCGTCCTTGTGAATTTCCTTTTGTCATTTCGCCCTCCTTTTTCGATACTCTCTTTTGCGTCATACTTTGCTCAATACCGCCGGCCGGGAACCTTGCTTTTCCTTCTTTTTTTCTTTCTTGTTCATCGTTCATATATTCCTTAGAGACTCCGTCTCCCCCGACTTCACGATGTTCACCGTCGCGCGCCGAAGAATCCTAGATGGACTGAACCGGAGGTACATCTACGGTCGCTTGGTAGGTCACGTCCATGATGCGCTCATTCATTCTGCCTTGCACGTCGCACACTCCCGTCTTCCCTCAACGCCAACCCCCTTTCCTCACCTCCAAATTAAATGAGAACTCATCGCTGATGCTTTCGCCGTCATTCTTTCTGATCGATAGCCCCTCCTTCATACAATCATCTTTTTAATCGAAATGGCGGCGGCTATGCGGCTCGCCGCCAAATTTAACTCCTACTATGCGGAGAAGCCGGGTAAGCCTCTATTCGCCCCCAATAAGGGATATAAGCCACCTCTAACATAAGTGTTGCCTACAGTATTGACTACCATGGTGACCAACGCGGTAAGCACAATGCGCCTACCATATTGCGGCCTTGACGACGGCGGAGATTAATACATTATGACGAATCCAGATCCTCGGTGGCATTGCGGACACTACTGCACAACTTATCACGGCCTTTAGATCTCGCCCCAGCAGTGGCCGTACTGACGGCAGCGACTTCATCTCCATCGAAATTCATGACCTGGACAAGGAAAAGCCCCCGGCGCTTGGAGAGCTTGGCCTCTCGAGACATGCGCCGCAGCCTTTCGACTTCGAGCGCCTAACTCGTTTCATGTCCTATGGTTTCTTCATGGCCCCGGTTCAATTCCAATGGTTTGGTTTCTTGTCCAGAGCCTTCCCACTCACCAAGAAAAACCCGACTCTCCCGGCTTTGAAGCGGGTCGCCGTTGATCAGTTCATCTTTGCCCCTTTCGGTACGGAAACCCCTATTTTGGTGCACCGACCAAGGGTCTCTTGTTAACCACCAATATCTAGGTCTGGTGTGCTTTTTCACCTTCATGACGATCGCCGAGGGTGGCGGAAGAAGAGCTTTGGGACGCAAGTTCCGCGACGTCTACCTGCCGACTCTGAAGGCCAACTTCGTCCTCTGGCCTGCAGTTCAGATTCTGAACTTCCGCGTTGTGCCAATCCAGTTCCAGATCGTAAGTGCAATTCTGTACGCTTCAAAGCGCGCTGACAGGGCCCGGGCTAACTTTATGTTTTCTTCGTAGCCCTTTGTATCCACCATCGGTATTGCCTGGACTGCGTACCTGTCCTTGACCAACTCGTCGGAAGAAGAGTAATTCAAGACGCATGGCCGCCTTTCTGCGCTTGATTCCCCTCTTTGGCAGTCTTCGATTCCTGGTATTTTCTTGTGTTCTTCTATGTTTCTGCTCACTCGGCGTTGGAAGTGACCACGGGGCGGGGTGTTCTGATCGGGTTCCTATGGACGGTGTACAGGTTTATCCACCGTTGTCGACCATGTTTCAACAGGCGTTTTCTTCAGGCTTTCGCTATACAGGACAGAGAGAAAAGAAAAAAGAGTATCATTATGCAAGGCGGACAGCACCGGGGGTGCAGAGGATAGAACACCGAAGGCCCGAGGTCCTCAGGCCACCCACCTCGTAAGGTATAAGGTATTGATCAGACAATCCTCGGACGAGGCCAAGAGCAGCAAAGTCCCCAGACACCCGACGCGGCAAATCCCAACTCCCCGGCTGGCCCAGCCCGAGGCTATCAGGGGCAGAGTTATCGTGGCAGGCAACGCATGCCCGGATGCTTCCGTCATCGATCACTGACATCAGTCCCGCAAGCGCCCGATGCGTCAGCGAAACTCTCACCGGACGCCCCACCAGTGCGACAAAACCAATGCCAGCTACCCCGCCGCTCAACCGACCGGTTCAGACTCACCGTGAACGTAATAAGAAGGATGTTAGTAGCGTACCGCCTTTTTCTCTCCCTCCTGTCTTCTCCTTCCCCTCTCGCTGACCAGACTCCGCGATAGTTTGATTGTTTGACCATCCCCTTCCGTCACAATGTCTCTCTCCAACAAGCTCGCTATCACTGACGTCGACCTCAAGGACAAGCGTGTCCTGATCCGGGTATGCTCTTATCCTAGGTCTCCTTAATTCAGGGGCCCATCCCCGTTCGGAGCGCCTGTGCTAATCCTACGGAACCAACAGGTCGACTTCAACGTCCCTCTTGATGCCAACAAGAACATCACCAACAACCAGCGTATCGTCGGTGCTCTGCCCACGATCAAGTACGCCGCCGAGAATGGCGCCAAGGCTGTTGTCCTCATGTCCCACCTCGGCCGTCCCGACGGCAAGAAGAACGACAAGTACAGCTTGAAGCCCGTCGTTGCTGAGCTCGAGAAGCTGCTCGGCAAGAGCGTCATCTTCACCGAAGACTGCGTTGGCAAGGAGGTCGAGGAGACCGTCAACAAGGCCACCGGCGGTCAGATCGTTCTCCTCGAGAACCTGCGTTTCCACGCCGAAGAGGAGGGTAGCTCCAAGGATGCCGAGGGCAAGAAGGTCAAGGCCGACAAGGACCAGGTCGCCGAGTTCCGCAAGGGATTGACTGCTCTGGGTGACGTCTACATCAGTAAGCTTCCATCCTTATCGTCATAACATTGACCTCGCAACCCACTGGAGGTCAGTCCATGTGAACGATCTTTCTAACGAATGTCGTCCTCTACAGACGACGCTTTCGGAACTGCCCACCGTGCCCACAGCTCCATGGTTGGCGTTGACCTGCCCCAGAAGGCTTCCGGCTTCCTGGTGAAGAAGGAGCTCGACTACTTCGCCCAGGCCCTGGAGAAGCCCCAGCGCCCCTTCCTGGCCATCCTCGGAGGTGCCAAGGTCTCTGACAAGATCCAGCTCATCGACAACCTGCTGTCCAAGGTCAACAGCCTGATCATCACCGGTGGCATGGCTTTCACCTTCAAGAAGACCCTGGAGGGCGTCAAGATCGGCAACAGTCTGTTCGACGAGGCCGGCAGCAAGATCGTCGGCGACATCGTCGAGAAGGCCAAGAAGAACAACGTTAAGATCGTTCTACCCGTCGACTACATCACCGCCGACAAGTTCGCGGCCGACGCCAAGACCGGCAAGGCCACCGACGCCGAGGGCATTCCCGACGGCTACATGGGTCTGGACGTCGGCGAGGAGAGTGTCAAGCTGTACGAGCAGACCATCGCCGAATCCAAGACCATCCTGTGGAACGGACCCCCCGGTGTCTTCGAGATGGAGCCCTTCGCCAACGCCACCAAGAAGACCCTCAACGCCGCCGTCTCGGCCGCTCAGTCCGGCAGCATCGTCATCATCGGCGGTGGTGACACCGCCACCGTTGCCGCCAAGTTCGGCGCCGAGGAGAAGCTCAGCCACGTCTCCACCGGCGGTGGTGCCTCGCTGGAGCTGTTGGAGGGCAAGGAGCTGCCCGGTGTTTCTGCCCTGTCGAGTAAGTAAACCAAAAACAACTTGGCAAATATTCCATTGGGAAAGGGTCGACTTGCCAAATAAAAGCTTTTGTAATTTGGCATGTATAAAGCCTTGAATTCCCCCGCATCTTATTTCATCTTTATGATTTTATGGCGGGCCCTGTTATTTATTTGCAACCCCCGGAACGAATGTAATGTACGACATTGAATTTAATAAAAAAAAAATTGAAATGCATGTTCTTTTCTTCATGATCTTCTTTCTAATAATTGAGCGAACGCAGCTACGGGTCCTAAACTATGAGACTAAGTAATCTTCCATCCGTGTGGCCTTCCACTCAGCACTCATAGCAGAAGGGGATGGAATAAACCAGACTCCTCGCCAGCGGGAAACCCTGCTAAGCTCCATCACGCACATCTGTAAATACTCCTAGAATGGAAACTGTAGATAGGGGGGAGGGGCAACAAATGCAAAATCTCACAACCACGTCTTTCAACCTTCTCACGAGTTTAACAAGGAAATACCATACGTATTGAGATGGGGTTCAAGGGAAAAGTCCCATCTAGATAGAGATTGCACCGCACCATCCAGTACGAACATCGCTGTCTGTGTCTCTGCACCTCTCCGCTCACAGCCTAGAAACAGCTACACCAGCTAGCATCCATAGCCACTGCCATGTTTGACAGAGAACTCCGGTGCTCATTCCAACCAAGGCTTTCCCCCCCCCTCTCTCCTTTCCTGATGGCTTGTTTCTATATTCTGGTTGATATCGTCGTGGTCAATGGTTCATCATATAATGGATTGCTGATCGTTCGATGGGCGCTTCATCGAGATGCTATTTGGACTAGGCTAAGGTAGACTAGACATGATCTTTTCATTTCATTTTTCTTTCTTTTTTTATTGATCCGAAGTTGGGGCCCCCAAAGCTCAACCGGGTATCTTAACGAGATGCTTCGACTTTCTTTAATTCTTCTCTGTTGGGCGAAGTGGGGTGTCAGTATCGATCAATATGTATCAAGCTCAAGATAAGAGATGATGATAAAAGAAACAGAAAGAGACAAAGAAGATAGATAGATAAATAGATAGATAAGAACAAGACGCGAGAGAAACGTACTGCAACTGCTTCGAGAAGTCCTCGGCGGCATCGTCGTCATCCCAGCTCTCCTCCCACAGATGGGAATTGGCGCCGTTGGCCGCTTGTTCGGTTTCCTCTTGTGGCCAGTCTAGAGGATGGGAGAGATCATGGTGTCAGCGCAGTCCATCCTAACCGCCGAGTGCGGGCTCATCGTCGTGAGGAAAAGGGTAGTCATCGAGATCGAGGGGATTGGGACGACTGCTTGAGTCTGTCTGGCTGGCGGACTCACCTTCAACGGGGAAATCCTCGAACTCGTCGTCTTCCTCGAGCACGGGGGGCTTCTGTTGCTGCGGTTGCTGCGAGGGCTCGGTCTTATCTTGGGGCTGCGTGGTGTTCGACATGGTGGGCGGGGAGGGTGGGAGTGTTGTTCGGGAGCTTGATGAGAGAGTGGGAGAGAAGGGCGAGATGAGCTGACAGGAGCACAGGATAGGAGGACCGGAGAAGTAGCTGAACAGGGTATATAAGGACGATTGGGATGAGAGCTGCCGGTAAAGAGAGAGGAGCTGGAGAAGTGGCGCTGAGGCCGCTCACCGCCCGCGGACAAAGGCGGTTGCTGGCCTGAGGCGGAGGGTTCCCTGGACTGGATAAAACGGTATTAGAAATAATTGGAATTATTTTTTTATGAAAAGATATACTCGGCATTAATTTTAAATTGGATCTAGATTGTATACAGCAGATGGACTCCCATGGCTCAGGATCAGGCGGACGGCAGCCTTGTGCCCCAGGAAGCACCGTACTACGTAGTCCGATGATGTATTGCCAGCCTGCCTTGTCTTATCCTTAAGATTTCCATCTCACGGCCGGTGCGGTTTGGCTCCGCCTCGCCGACTGGGTGGACCACGGTACCTCTGGAAGTTCCCTTTCTTACCTCTTTCTTTCCTTCATCTTTCTCTTCCCCTTCTGTCTCCGTCTCACACGATACTTGATCGTTCCTGGTGCCCGTCCGCAAGGTGATGCCATCGGAAGGTCTCCACTAGATGGGAGACGCTGCATTCCTCGCATTCCGTTTTCTCTCGGGGTTCGGACCCCTGCGGCTCCCGCTCTAAACCAAGAATCTCGATCGGTTCGATCGATTTAATATACCGGTCGATTTTTTCTTTTCGTTCATTATACTTGTTTCCCCCTTTTCTGGTCCTGTTCCTCGCTATTCACTCGGTAATCACGGCGGCCCCCAGACTTCGGAGTGCAATATGCTTCGAGTAGGCTCCTGGCTCTATGGCAAAAAGCCAGCTGCCAACACGCAGTCGCTGGACTCGTTGACCGAATTGCGAGATCGTGAGTCTTCTAGATGAATCTCCACTAACTCGGATGTTCCGGCTGACACCGTGGGGGCGCAGTTGAGGATGCGATGAAGGGTAAGCTCGCGTGCCCTTCGCTTTGGGAGCCAAGACGTCACGTTCTAACCGATCCCGAGCACAGCCGCGACGCTGATCCTGAACGACGATGTCGACGGGGCTGAAGATGGCCTTTCGGAGGGAATCTCATCCTTTCACAACGTGTGTATTTCCCTGCGCTATCACCAGTGGCTTGGGGGACTGACCGCGGTGAAATTCCGATCTAGCTGGGCAGAGGCGTGGTCGCATTTATCCGGGCAACGTTAGGTTTCGAGCAGGAGGTGATGCGTCAAGGTTTGCGGGTCTTCTCTCACGCCGTGTGCGCTTCTCTCCTAGTGGATGGCTGATTTTGTTCCCCTCGTAGCGTCGGAGCGACTCAATGCAGCCGAGAACAGTGCCTACAATGATCAGAGCAAAGCGCAGCACAACTCACATGCGCCGAATTCGTACCATTCGCAGATCTATGCGCCCGGCACCGAGTTCGCGCTCTGTCAGGCAATGGCCCAGCTGATGAGTGCCGTGGTGGGCGTACTCAACGAAAGTCTCACGGAGAGTATCAAAGGATTCTATAAGTTGCGAAAGGCGTATATCACCTTGGATGGGATTTTGAAGATGGAGCAGAAATTCATGCAGTTGAACCGGTCGGGCGCTACCACTCCTACCGAACTCCTGCAGTCTTCCAGCCACGCTTCGGGCCTGGATGCAGCTAAAAACCCCGATGCGAACTCCGTGGAGGCTGCGGGGCTTTCGCAGAAGTTGTCCGACATCAATGTTTCTAGCGAAGAGGAATCGACGACGGACGCGTCTTCGACCCGGAGTCCCGCAGACATGCTGAGCCATGACCCAGACTCTGACATCTTCAAGAACGAGATTGACGTCTTCGTGCATTCTGGCGCTAACTTCTGCTTTGGTATTCTGCTCTTGCTGATCTCGATGGTGCCGCCGGCGTTCAGCAAGCTCCTCGGAATTATTGGGTTCCATGGCGACAAGGAACGAGGGCTGCGGATGCTGTGGCAGGCCAGCAAGTTTCACAACTTGATTGGCGCCATCGCTGCGTTTGCAATCCTGGGGTACTACAACGGTTTCGTGCGCTACTGCGACATCATGCCCGACGCAGTCCCGGGCGACGAAGGAGACGTCCAGGGCTATCCTCAGGAGAGGCTGGAGTCGCTCCTCGCAAAGATGCGACAGCGATTCCCCAAGAGCCAACTTTGGCTCCTGGAAGAATCGCGGATGGAAGGCGCAAACAAGAATCTCGAGCGGGCGTTGGAACTGCTCTGTGGCGAGGAGAAGAGTCCGCTGCAGCAGGTGGAAGCGTTGCGCGTGTTCGAGCGGAGTTTGAACGCCATGTACCTTCACAGGTACGAGCTCTGTGCGAAGTCGTTCCTTGAGGTAAGTGACCTGACCTCCGCAAACGCATCCGAGGGAAATATGCTAACTGATAATATAGTGCGTCGATCTCAACTCCTGGTCTCGGTCCTTGTATTATTATATTGCGGGGTCGTCGCATCTCTCTTTATACCGGAGCACGACCGGAGACGCCGAATTGGCGGCCAAGCACGCGGAGAAAGCGACCGAGTACTACCGAATGGCACCTCCGCTGGCAGGGAAGAAGCGGTTCATGGCGCGCCAATTGCCGTTCGACGTCTTCGTTACACGAAAGATCGCCAAATGGGAGGCTCGCGCCAAGGAATGGAAGGTGCCACTAGTTGACGCCGTGGGTGTCGATCCGATCGAGGAGATGATCTTCTTCTGGAACGGACACAGCCGCATGACGACCGACCAGCTCGAGGAGTCGCTCCAGAACCTGGCCTGGTCGGAGAACGACGCCAACAAGAACTGGTCGCGCGAGGGGCCCGAAGAGAAGGCCATTCTACAACTCCTGCGCGCCGCCGTCTGGCGCTCGATGCGCAAGCATGACCGGGCGAAGGAGCTCATTCAGAACTCTGTCTTGAACCACGACAAGACGCTGTTCACGGGCCATCTTAAGGACAACTGGGTGCATCCTGCCGCGCACTTCGAGATGGCCGCCAACCTGTGGATGGAGCGACCGAACTACGTTGCCGTCCACGGTGACGGCTCGGGCGATCCTCCTGCCGAGGCCAGCAAGGGCGACGCGTCGACCCAGGTCGAGAAACAGAAGGTGCGGGAATGCAAGGAGTATCTCGAGAGGGCGTCGCGGTGGGAGAGCTACGAACTGGACGCCCGGATCGGACTGAAGGTGACGGCTGCGATGGAGGCGGTGCACAAGTGGGAGAACACGCATTCTGCCAGCACCAGCGGATGAATTGACGATGTATAACGAACCATGTAGACTTGATTGATTGCACACATACACGCCATGCATGCGGGCTTGTCAGAAGACTGGTCCTCTTGACGAGAACCCGGGCAAATAGAGGGACTGGGAATGAGGGTACAGGTACATAAAAGGCTGGATTTATAGTTATTGATCTTTGATTTGATTGACATTCCTGGGAGATATTCTCCGTCATCTGTAAGCCATCGTAGGCGCATACTCTGTCCATAGTTCACTGTCACGAGGCTGATGACTCAGGATTTTCTCGTGATTTCAGCCCTGCGGAGGCTCCGACTTTCTTCTTTTCTCTCTTCTCTCTTCTCTCGGCCATCCACATTGACTCATTCGATGCAAATTAATTACGTTCTCCATCCATTCTCCATCCACCTCTACCATCAGCCGAATCAAAACCAACCACAAAAAGCTTGCCCTCGAAATCCCCACCCCCAAAGAATCCACCGCGGCGAAATTCCAACCGTTCCAGCAATTATCTCCGACGGGCCAGTAGTGGCGATCGTCGTTCCCCGAGGTGGACCTTTGGGCTCGGAAAATAATCCGGGCGGATTTTTACCGACTCCAACGGCTGTCGCCCGCGTCTTGGCCGCAGCATTCGGCGAATAGATAGACTCGCCGAATCTGCAAGTACTCATAAGAGAAGGCCAGAGGGAGAGGCATCGCAGACCCTGAGAACCGGTGAGCTGGTTCTTAATCGATTCGCCCTTCTAGTGGTCTCTAGCCCCAGGCTGACGAGCCCATCCTCCACCGCTTGCAGGTGTCTCCACACGACTGATTGCTGATTGCTCGCTCGGCGATTGAAACCGAAAGGTCCTTTGTCGGACGTCCGATGGCCTCCCAGCCTGTAACGGACCTGGTCCGGCTAAGTCGGCTTGCTGGTCCGTCATGGATCGGCCTTGGAGAAAAATGTTAAGAAAAAAGATTCTTGACTTTGACTTATAAACTACTTTGGTTCCTGTCAGATTTAATTTTTAGGAATGCCCAGACTGGTTTTTTCTTCCCCTCCATTGTAATGACGTCGGGTGTTAATCGCTACTAATCGACTGACGTTCAATTGCTGCTCGCTCTGTTTTTGGAGATCGCTTTGATCGACACCGGCCATTGCTGTCAAATGTCAGAATTCTTATCTTGATTTTCAGTCTTGTGTCTTTGAATTGCGACCCAACGACTGCCAACTGGGGTGTTCCGGTCTCACAGCCCTTGTAAATACTACCCTCATCAAGCGTGGCGATTCATGTCGCATCGCCATGGCACGAGAAGAGACAGATCAACTGTCGCAAACTTCGTCCTCCGGCATTGATTCCCTAGAGGAACAAGTCACGCGCGACGATGCGCACCGGAATGGAACGCTAGAAAAACAAACCACTGCAGCCTCAGGGCTGTCGGTGTTTGAAAATCGCGCGCACTCGGTCATTTCGAGAATTCGAAGTCGAGAACCCGGCCAAGATGCGCGCTTCACTCATCCCCTCTCACATACAAAAACCACAGATGATGTCATCGTGGACTTTGACGGGCCAGATGATCCCTACAGGCCGATGAATTGGCGGTTCGAGAAGAAATGCATGACCACCTTGCTATATGGCTTGACGACGATGGGCGCCACTTGGGCGAGTTCCATGTAAGTTGGATCCTGATGGCTTTGCTGGTTGCGGTGCGGATATTGACTTGGTTATAGCTACTCCACTGGTACGAAACAAGTTGATTCGGAGTTTGGGGTAGGCGAAGAAGTTGGGACTCTTGGTACCTCCTTGTTGCTCTTTGGTTTTGGTATGTGCTGCTTACTACATCGTTAATTTACACTTGATAACGTTTTCTCAGGTCTGGGCCCCCTCGTCTGGGCTCCGTTGTCCGAAGTTTACGGGCGTAAGCCTGCGGTCCTGCTGCCGTATTTCATTGCAGCTATCTTCTCATTTGGCACGGCTACGGCCAAAGACCTGCAAACCATCATGCTCACTCGGTTTTTCGCCGGGTTCTTTGGCTCCGCGCCGATCACCAACACCGGTGGAGTCCTGAGTGACATCTGGACGGCCGAACAACGAGGAGCGGCCATCGTAGGATACGCCATGGCCGTTGTCGGAGGTCCCGTCCTAGGCCCCATCGCCGGCGGTGCCATCTGCCAAAGCTACCTCGGATGGCGATGGACAGAATACGTGAGTCCAGACCCTTCCTCCACGGCGACAACCCCGACTAACAACACCCCCCCTAGCTCACCGGCATCATGATGATGTTCTTCCTCGCCATGGACGTCCTCTTCCTCGACGAAAGCTACCCACCCGTCCTCCTCGTCTACAAAGCGCAACGCCTCCGCTTCGATACCGGCAACTATGCGCTCCACGCACGCCACGAAGAATGGGACGTGACCTTCAAAGAGCTCGGCAACAAGTACCTCATCCGGCCCTTCGCCCTCCTCACCACGCCTATCTGCTTCCTCGTCGCGCTCTACGCCTCCTTCGTCTACGGCATCATCTACCTCAGTCTAGCCGCCTTCCCCGTCGAATTCCAAGAAGTCCGCGGCTGGAACCAAGTCGTCGGCGCGCTGCCCTTCCTCGCCTACCTAGTGGGCATCTTCTTCGCCGCCGCCGTCAACCTCCTCAACCAGAAATTCTACATCAAGCGCCTCCGCGCCAACAACGACTTCCCCGTCCCCGAAGCCCGCCTGCCCCCCATGATGATCGGGAGCATCCTCTTCGCCGCCGGCCTCTTCATCTTCGGCTGGACAGGCGACCCGCGCATCCACTGGATCGGGCCCCTCATCGGCGCCGTCCTCATGGGCTTCGGCTTCTTCACCATCTTCCAGGCAGCGCTGAACTATCTCATCGACACGTTCCAGAAGGTAGCGGCTAGTGCCGTCGCCGCGAATACCTTCCTCCGGAGTCTGTTTGCCGGCTGCTTCCCGCTCTTTGCGCATATCATGTTCCGGGAGATGGGCGTCGACTGGGCATCGAGTGTGCTGGGCTTCGTGGCCATCGCGTTGATCCCTATCCCGTATTTGTTCTATATCTTTGGGAAGAGGATCCGCGCGAGAGGGAAGTGGTCGAGGGGGTCGGTTTACGGGTACTGATCTGTGCATCTAGAGGTATCTCATCAGACGCGGCGGATCCCGAGCGAGGAGAAAGAAAATAAAATGTACAGCAAAAAGATGGGATTGTTTATACCCATCTAGTTGATTATGAAGGAAAAAGGGAGGGAAAAACATTAACTGTTTTGTTCGAGATACCACCATCAGCGATGATTCTATCTGTTTAGTTAAAATAATGAATGGATACAATGCATAGATAATAAGTATACTTTTGAAAGTGTTTTTAGTGACTTTACAGGTTAAAAATACTAGTTATCTGATTCATTAGAATCTTGTAGTGATACGTCTCATGAGGTAACGTTGGTTATATCCAAGGATAATACTGAATGTGAATATGAATCTATTAAAAAAAATACAATCAAATCTAGTAAATAAAGTAAACGTGTATAAAGGACAGACAGATGCGAGATCGCAGATTATATACGCACATAGGAAACAAAGACAGGGAGCTGTCAAAATCAACTCAAATCAAGACAAGACACAGATGTCAAAAGGCATGCATGCATATATGCAAGTAAACCCAGCATCAAGAACCAAACCATAACCAAACCAAAGAAAGGCAATAAAGGATAGACGATACTCCAACACCCCAATGGGTGAACGAAGGCATCAACCAATCTTAATCAATTCCTCGATGAGACAGACCCCCATTTCGTGAATTTCCGGGCCAAAGTAAAGGCCCTACCGAGCGGATTCCATGTCTCCTTTTTCGTCAATGCCTTGGACGAGACAGACGCCGAAGATGTGTCCGGAGCAGGTGATGACGTAGTGAGCTCATTCGACGGTGCAATGTGGTTGTTGCTGTTGGTTTCATTCCTCACTGCGTCCTCATTTTGTCTGTCCGCGCGATCATTGTGCAGAGTCAGGACAGCCAATTGCCCGAGGAAAGTGGGATGCTCGAGCAGATCTTCCAGTCGGACCTGGAGTCCCTCTTGTTCGAGTAACCAGACGACCTGCGCCATGCTGAGGATGTCGCCGCCGAGATCGAAGAAGGAAGAGTTGAGCTGGTACGGGTTCTGATCGTTGCCTGTACCTCTGGCTCGGTGGGCATTGTTGCTGTTGGATGAGAGAACTTGTCGCCAGGTCTGAGTGAGAAGGTCTGAGTGGACGAGGATCTCGGAGATGCTGCGGCTGTTGAGGTTGGAGGAGAGGAAGACCTCGTCGGAGGACCGAGGGAGATCGTTGACGACTTGGCAGGAGAGGGTGCGGAAGGTAGATGGGGAAGGGAGAGGGATATTGGGGTTGGAGATGAGGTTTTGTACGGTCTCGCAGACCATTTCAAGAACCTCAGTGGCAAATGGGGACTGGATGGGACCCTTGAGAGAGTACCCAAGAGAGATTTCGAGCTTCTGCTGGTTGGGAAAGCCCTTGGAGAAGAGGTTGAGGTCGGTGAAGTTGTCAATGACGCCGACGCCGCCCATGCGGTAGTGGTTATCGTCTAATTGCATCTGGCCCTCGTACTCGACATTCTGGTGGAAGACGGACGTCGTGAAGTGGGTGGAGTCAGACCAGTCCGTACAGTGCCGGATGATCTCCCGGAAGCCCAGGGATTCGTAGGGCATGTTGGCAACCTGCTGGTCCTGGAGATAGCGGAAGAGATCCAGGCCAGTCCAGCGCTCGCCAAACTTGACGCGGACGGGGATTAGATTGAGACAGGGCCCAACAGTGGCTTCAATGCCGGGGATAGTGGCGTTTCTGCCGCTGATGGTAAGACCGAAGACGACGTCTGCATGAGCGGTGAGCTTGGCCAGTGTCATGGCCCATGCGGATTGCATGACAGTTGCGATGGTGACATTCTCAAGGACTGTTGGCGGGAAATGGATGGTTTTCTTCTGCTCGGTGAAGGCACCGATGTGTCGGAAGTTGTTGGGGGCTTCGCGTCGGATGATTTCCGTCATTTGAGATCCCTTAAGGAGCGCTTTCCAGTGCTGATAGTGTTCCGGAGTGATCGATGCAGGGAGAACCCGCATGTAGTTCGAGAAGGATGTGGTTGGAGGGATCGCGCTGCCTTCATAACCTGTCTTAATGGCAGACATGATTCTTGGAAGGCACACACCATCGAATTGGGCATGGTGCATGCGAACCAAAATGCGGTGCTGGTCACTCATCTTCTTTTTAACAATGTGAAATTGCACATACTGTTCCCCTTGACGTGGGATCTGCGCGCGGTCTTGCTGCTGCAGAGATTCGGTATAATCATCCAGACTCTTGTCTGTTTCGCACACGAAGATTTCCGGCCGTACCTTGCGTAGAATGACCTGGAAGAACTGGCCATGGAAGCACACGAAGACTGTGCGCAAAATGTCGAATGCATCGACAACGCGCAGGAAGCTTTCTCTGAGTCTTCGGATGTCCAGTGGTCCCTGGCCATCGAGGAAGAAGTAGTTAAGCATCCATCGTGATTTGAAAAGACTCGCGGTCAAGGATAGAGCCTGGAAGTCTGTTACTGGAAGGACATCGGCAATACCTCCCCGGAAGACACCAATCTTAGGACTGATTCCCGCGCGAAGGGAAGAAGAATCAACTTCCGATGATCTCAAGACCGTTAGCTCGTTGGGCGTCTCAGGTCTGGAAAGAATAAACGGAGTCTCAATGGCTTTCTCATTTTCAGGAGTCAGAGGTGGTGTGCTGGCACTTGAGCTTGCTGGACTGTCTCTAGCGCTGAGAATCGCCAGCATGTCTCCAAACACAGGATTGTTGAAGACATCGGCCACAGTCAAAACTAATCCCTCTTCACGGGCAACTCCGACCATCTTCATGGCTGTTATGCTGTCGCCACCAAGCTTGAAAAAGCTGTCTTGATGTTTGATGGCGGTTTCAGACCGTCCGAGGGCTGTGTTCCAGAGTTTGCGGAGACGACCCTCAAGCTCACTCGTTTCCTTGTCGCCCATTAGGGTCGGTACTGAGTCTGAGAGAGTCATCTTTTGGGTATCATCTGCTTGGAGGTGAGAATCAGAGCCCTTAAGTTGATACTCGTTGGGCTGGTTCTTATTCTGGCCATCAGATTGGGCGAGAACGAGCTTCCCTGATTTGATCATTTGGCTGATGGCTTCATTCACCCGTTGATCAATCAATCTCTGTAGATAGTCGTGATTCAACATTTGGAGGTCAGGGAGGCCATGGCCCTTCGGGAGTTGATTATGGATGTGGGCTGGCTCAGCGAGAGCCAGGTCAGAAACCAGTCGGAATGGCTCCTCAACGAAACAGGTGAAGACTTTAGCAATGGAATCTGCTAGATCCTTGGCCTGACTTTCGGACACAGCGTCTGTCCAGAACCTGAGCAAGATACCCTCATGGCCCCTCGCGGTCTCAACGTTCACTGTCACGGGGTACTAAATTATATAGTTAGACTTTGACCCTGTTAATGAGTATGGGTGACCGAAAATCTTACCTCAGTCGGATCGTACGCATGCTGAGTATCAAAAGAGATCATGTCCTTTTTGGCGACCTTTGACTCGGTATGATTCTGAATTGAAATAGTCGTGTTGAAAAGCGCCTGGCCTTGACGACCAAGCTGATGTTGAATCTCCGCAAGAGAGCAGTTTTGATGAGGGATGCTCTTGATGTGATTTTCCTGGACCATTTTCGAGACATCAAGAAGAGTGTGATTGGATACAAAATTGACTCGACAGCACAACATGTTGATGAAAATTCCAACCGCGTCCTGGATTCCAGGGACTGGAGAGTCGCGACCAGCTGACGGGTATCCAAAAGAAACGTCGTTGGATCCTGTGAATTCCCGAAGGACAATCGCCCAGGCAGCGAGAGTGAGAGTCGCGAGAGTGACCGAGTTTTTCTCGCAGAATTGCTGTAGTTCGGGGAAACGGTCGAAATTCATCATCATGGAACCTAGTTGCCGTTCACCCTTTGCCTTGGTTGAGAACGATAGATGGCAGGGGTCCACTCCAGACAAATATCTCTTCCAGTATGCCAATGCCTCCTTTTGATCTTGTTTCCGGGAATATTTGATGTACTCGCTGAAGCGCGGTCCTGATCCTGCGACAAGATTGTTATTGTACGCCAATGCCAGGTCTCTCAGAATGATAGCAACGGATCCACCATCAATGATAGCATGGTTCATCTCAATCTTCATGAAAACGCGACCAGAAGTCGTTTGACAGATCGAGAGTTGTTGGGGGAGATTCCAGGATCTTTTCTCGTTGATATCGCGTAATTTGATGCTGTCGAGCGTCTTGAACACCACATCGTCCTCACACTGGAATTCAACAATCTCGTCCCCAACTGACTTTATGACCAATTGATCGAAGGAACCACCCTTTGAGTTGCTGTCCACGAACAGAGTCCTCAGGACTTGGTGGCGATTTACCACCATCATCCATGCGTCTCGGAGTTGGGTTGGGTCGATTCTTTTCCTCTCATTGTGATGGCGAACCTCGAAGATTACATGGAAAATGTATTTCTGCGGATCACGAAGTTGGCTGAGAAGAATACCTTCCTGAACCGGAGAACAGGGATAGACATCCTCGACCTCATCCCAGCTTTTCATTCCGACACTTGGGATCGTGTCTTTGACCAACCTCCTTAGTCCATTGTATGTCATATTGAGCAAAGGGTAGTCAGTGAGGGTTGGCTCGGGAACACGATCCTTGGAGTAGAGGAAATCTTCCTCGAGAATTCTCTTGCACTCGGCCATCCACTCTAGGATCCGGCTTTCATGCTTCATCTGTCGGTTATAGGTGAAAGAGACATGAAGCTTCTCTTTGACAATAATTGCCGACACCTCAAGGAGGGCGAATCGAGGTGTTTTTGGACCCATGTCTCCCGCTACTTCCAGTCTTTCACTGTCGAACGTCTTGCCGAAATGCTGGAACAGAGAGTCGTTACGTTCGAGTTGCTGAAGCTGGCCGAGATAGTTGAAAATGATCTCGAACGGAACAGGGAATTTGGTAGCGCCTGTTTGATGGAGCATGTTCTGCGCGAAATAAGCTTGTCCATCAGTGGTGATCTGGCGTCTTGTGTCCTTGACATATTTCAGGGTTTCCATTATGTCTAATGTACAATATGTTAGCAATATTTCAATCATGAAGACAGCGAAAGAATTACCTGAGCCCTTGCTGACTCGCAACGGGCAGATTGTGGTGAACCAGCCGACCGTCCTTGAAAGATCGAGAGTTGAATCCTCCGCATCACGACCATGGCCTTCATTGTAGATTGTCGGGATATCTCGGTCATTGAACACCTGACGGAAGCCATGAACGATAGTGGAAAGCACGACATCAATAGCCTCGGCCCGGAGGATGCGTCGACCATGCTCAAGAACTAATGCAGTAGCATCTTCGCTCAAGGCAAAGGATTCCATCTTGGCATTGCCATAAACATTTAGTGCACCATCCATCCCCCAGTAGCTCAGGTTAGGTGTCTCCATTTCGAAAGGAAGCTCAATGTTGTTGATTCCAATCTTGCTGTTCTCAACCTGCACTTCACACCAGCTTTGGAATGAGATTGGCCTTTCGGAGTGAAGAGATCCGGATTCAATGAATTCTTCTAGATCCTGCAGGACAATGCGCCATGAGACCATGTCCACACACAAATGGTTGGCCACAAGGAACAAGATTTGCTGGCTGCCTTGAACCTCGAACAGATCGGCAGCAAAGGTTGGTCCATTTTCAATATCTAGGCTTTGCTGACTTTCTCCGATTTGGGGGAACACTGCTTTAGGGCTATTGACCGTGTGGATGCGGAATCGGTAAGAGCTTTCAACAGTCTGTAGACACATGTTAGTCCATGGTCCTCTCCGTAAAATGAGGAGAATTGACTTACATCCTTGGTCTTTTGTTGCCATCTTCCGCCATGTGACTTGGTGAAACGGGCCCTGAACATAGAATGACGCTCGATAACAGCTTGGACGGCTTGTCTCAAAGTGTCGGGTTTAATACTTCGAGAAATGCGAACTGTCATGCTTTGATTGAAGCGTGCACTACCGTCAAACGCAGAAGCAGATTCGAAATACAGCCTCTGAATCGGAGACAGCCCGAATAACTCGCCGGACTTCTCTTTGTGTTGAACGGCATTTGTCTTTGCGCTAGACATCGCAGCAAGCTCGCTTATGGACTTGCTCTGAAGCACGCTGTGCAATGTCACTTCAATTCCTTGCTTGCGGGCCTTGGAAACGACAGCCATTCCAATGATACTGTCTCCACCTGCAGACTTTTGTTAGCATATGTCATCTGGCTGATTATTTTTGTGCAAAGGGTATTGCCTACCTAGGCTAACGAACGAGCGGCTGAGATCAATATTGTCTGTAGGAATGCTGAGCACTTGAGCGAAGATATCACGGAGAGTATTGAGCAAGGTTCCTTTGCCATCATCCTCTTCTTCCTCTTCGGGCTCAACCTCTCCTCGCTTAATATCGTCATAATCTTGCATGATACGACCGTAGCTGCGTTCGTCAATATTCTCAAGCCAGCTTGAAATCCGCTTTCTGTCTAGCTTTCCTGAAACAAGCATTGGTAGTTTCTTAAGCACAGCCCATGTCTGAGGAACCATGTAGATAGGCAGTTGTTTCTCAAGGTTCTTCTGGATGTCAACAAGGTCGGGTAAGACACGTTCCATAGTAGGCTGGTTGACTAGTTCACAGGTCTCATCTGACAATATGCTCTTGTCGACATTGAGCGACTCCATGGACATGATAGTGACCAGTCTCTGTCGGAGGAGCCCCTTTGTTGGCATTATCACGACAACGTGACGAATCCGGGAGTCCTCATGCAGACGATGCTCAATCTCTCCGAGCTCCATGCGCTGCCCGTGAAGCTTGACTTGATGGTCCTTGCGACCGATACACACAATCGACCCATCAGGATTGTACTTGACAAGATCGCCCGTTTTGTAGATTCTCCGAGGGAAAGGCAGCGAATGCTTTGAGCTCTTCATCCAATCTGGTTCAGTCACGAAGGACTCTGCTGTCTTTTCGGGGTTTCTGAGGTATTCTCTTGCAAGGGCAGGGCCTTCCAAGGCCAACTCACCAATGGCACCCAATGGAGAAAGTCGATCATGGTTTTCAGGATCCACGATCCAAGTCAAAGTGCAGGGGATTGCATTTCCGATACAAGCGGCATCCGTGTTGAGAGAAACCTCTGGGTTGATCACGGCGAAGATAGTAGTCTCCGTTGGACCGTATCCATTCATGAGTTTCACACAATGAGCCCATTTAATTATCACTTCTCGTGACAGTTTTTCTCCACCACATACCAGGACCTCCAGCGACGGTACAGTTGAAGGCTCGATGATGCTGGCGATCGAAGGGGTCAAGAAAGTCCAGGTAACGTTCATGCGTTGGATGGCGCCGACAACATCATTCAAACGCTCCTCTTCACTGGGAATGCATATACAAGCTCCATGCATTAAAGGAATGATGATTTCCAGAATTGCCGCATCAAATGCCAGTGACGCGAACTGGAAGCACCGGGATTGGTGGTTCATGTTTACCACAGGACCAAAAGCCAGGCCGCTGCTGGCAAGCGCCCGATGATCAAGAATGATCCCCTTGGGACGGCCTGTACTGCCAGATGTAAAAATCGAAACTGCCATGTTTGAAGGCTGAGCTGTGTGAATACTTTTGGTCTCGGTGCTCAAAGCACTATACGCCCTGATGGTCTCCTTGCTGACAGGGATGATTGTCTTGACGAGTCCTGCGTAGCGCTTGCGATATTGTGGAGAGCAAAGAATGACCCGAGCTTCCACCTCTTCAATAATCTCACTATGTCTTGATGTCGGATGAGAAGGATCCAGTGGGACATATGCTGCTCCAGCAATGAGAACGCCAAGTATTGAAACGACCACCCAAAGGGATTTGTCCATGCAAATAGGCACCAACATCTCTGGTACAACTCCACGAGAACAAAGGTAAGTCGCGAAAGAGGAGGCAAGATCATGTAGTTCCTTGTAGGAAAGCTCGCCGTCCCAAGCGCAGACAGCCTTAGCCTTCGGCTGAATTGTGCAATTATCTTTGATGATCTCGTGGACACACCTCTCGACGGCAGGGACATCTCTCTGATTCCACAGAGAGATTTCCTTCTTGTCAAAAGCGCTGAGCAGGTCAAGATCACCAACTTTGCGAAGGTCGTCACTAGAAACCGCTAGCAATTGCTCAATAACATAACCGAATTGGTGAATAAGCCTTTCAGCCAACCAGCTATCCAGAACAACCTCGTCATGATGGAGGGTTATACCCAGAATAGATTCATTGATCTTGCACTCAACAGTCAGGGGGTGTGTGAAGAAGTCACCACTAGTTTGGCCGTCTCCAAAAGCCCAGATAGATTTATCAAGGCCACCCTCCTCTGACTGAATTACGAGAAGATTTTGGAAGTCGCAAGCAATGGAGGAATCGCCACTAAGGTTTCGAATGCGCTGCAGCCCGGAATGTTGATGTGGAATGGTCATAGTAGTCAGTTCTCGGACTTTTTGCAAGTATTGAGTAACCGAAACACCGTTGTCAACTTGAACACGCGTTGGAACCGTAGTCAGAACGGGTCCAGCGATATCCGTAACGCCCGGAAGAGCAATGTTTCTACCCATCAAAGTCTCACCAAAGCAGACATCGCTGGAGCTGGTGTGGACAGATACCACAATAGCCCAAGCAGCGCGGATAATCTCAGGGAGCGTCAAACCTAGAGTATTAGGGGATCGAGAGATGGCAATGCTGCTGTGGTGCCGATTGCCCACCCGCACAGCATCTGGGGAAGATGACTTGTTTTGGGGAAATGGAGAGCAAGACAGATTCGACAGTTGAGACCTCCAAAAATCATCTGATTCGGACATATCCTTGTTCTCAAGATAGCTGATGAAATTCTTGTACGGCAATGTTGTCTTCTTGGTCGACGCATTCAGATACATCTCCTCAACTCTTCGGAGAATCAGCGGCACGCTCCATCCATCGTAAAGAGCGTGATGAACGGTCCAGACAAAGTAACGTGTCGCGAAATTCTCGGATTGAACAATTGCATAGCTCACCAGTCGGCCTCCGTTGTGGTTTGACAGCCCAAAAGCGCTATCTAGGGCCTCGTCAACTGTACCTGCAACGGTCCATGAGATTGACTCTTTCTTGAGCACTGCCTGAAGGAAGCCCATGGAATCGGTATGCACGATACGCGTTCGAAGTATGTCCAACTCATTCACGGTCTCCTGCCATGCTGCCTTGAATTTTTCGAGATCCAGTCCGTCCGAGAGTTGGAACACTGGCTGTGCAATGTATGCTCCTTCTTGTTTGAGAGACAATGCAAGAAGACCCTCCTGAACCGGGCTGCAGGGGTAAATATCGGATATTGATTCTTGTGGGACCGACGATTGATCAGACACATCCGCCAGAATTTCCTCACGAGAAGTAGAATCAGACAGCAAGCTGAAAGGCTCCACATTCGTGTTACCAGTGTTCTTTTCCGAAGTTCCACAACATTTTGCCATGTCCGTCAAGGTCGGGTTGGCGTACATTTCGGCCACGCTGAGTGAAATTCCACGAGAATGCGCGGATCCGACAAGCTTCATGGCCGAGAAAGAGTCACCACCAAGTCCGAAAAAGCTATCGTCAGCGCCAACAGAGCCCGGTGCAAGACCGAGGGCTTCCTCCCAGAGCCCCTGAAGCTCACCGGAAACCCCACCTTGGGAAGCTTGCTTCTTACCACCACTGATGCTGCTGTAGCTCAGGAGTTGTTTCTTGGACAGGGATTCGATTATGGCGTGAAGAGCTTTGCGATCAAGCTTGCCTGTCGAAGATAAAGGCAAGCGTCGCAATGGAAAGAAAAGCTTCGGCATCATAGTTAATGGCAGAGTTTCCCGTAAACAGGCTTGCAGGGTTTTCACTGTCTCAGCAATCTCCTCTGACATGGACAGCAAGAGCTGAGAAGCTGCGCCCGGCGCGAAATTTTCTTCTTCAATGGTGAAAAAGGCCCCCAGGCACTTTGCCATCGTCTTCTCCTTCGGGACAATCACTTCAACAGCCACTTTGGTATTTGGAGGCAAATGCGAGATGCATTGTTGCTCGATCTCTTCCACTTCAATTCGGACACCGTTCAACTTAATTTGAGTGTCCTTGCGTGAGACGAACTGGATCGTGCCATCAGGGCTATAGTAAACAAGGTCTCCAGTGAGATACATGCGTTCTCGTTTCGCAAGGATATTCTTCAAGCCATCGTGCTTGACCCATTCAGGATCGCGAATGAAGGCTTGTTTCGTCTTCTGCTCATTGTTGAGATATCCTCGGGCAACATTGCAGCCTTCTAACACAAGCTCCCCGACAGCACCGACGGGAAGGAGACGGTGATGGTCATGTGGGTCAACGATCCACGTTCTGCCCAAGGTGGCAGTGCCAATTGAGCTGCTATCAACATCGAGACGCCTTCCATCTCCGTTAACTTTCATGCTTGAAGTGGCGATGATGGTTGCTTCCGAGGGTCCATAAGCGTTAATAAAGCATCTGTCCGCCCAGGGTTGAATATGGCTGTCCATCATTTTCTCCCCGCCGCAAATAATTGTGGTCAGCGCAGGGACACTCTTGGGATCCAAATTGTTGATAATAGTTGGAGTGGAGCTTATGGTGTTGGCCTGTCGTCTCCGGATCGTTCCAGCCATGTCATTCAGGCGGTCGTTGTCGGATGGCATGCAGATACAGCCGCCTAACATGAGGACAACCATCGTTTCAAGGACGCTGACGTCAAATGTGAAACTTGAAAATTGGAGCATGCGAGTGTCTGAGCTGAAATTCAGCGCTTTAGCGAATTCGGTATAACATGACGCAAGTCCAACATGCTCAAGTACTGTCACTTTCGGCTTTCCTGTCGTTCCCGAAGTGAAGATAACATATGCTGCATTGTCCACAGTCGGGCTTAGAGCTGATTCAAGAGGAACGTGGCTCGGGAGTTGCATTATGCTGTCCTCGCAGACAGCAAATGGTGTACCGCAAATTTGGGAAGCTTTGTCGAAGTACTTGGAAGAGCACAGGATGATCTTGGCACCGATGTCCTCAACCAAGTCCTTCAGTCGACTTTCCGGGTGACTAGGATCCATGGAGGCAAATGCTCCTCCTGCTTTGTGAACCGCCAGTTGTGCTATTATCGCCCAGGCTGACTTCTCAAAGCACATTGCCACGAATACCTCAGGTTTGACACCCAAGCATCTTAGGTGGCTCGCGAGCCTGCTGGATAAGAGATCAATCTCGGCGTATGTGAAATCACCATCCCAAGAGCAGATCGCCTGGGCTGATGGGCGTTCCAGAACCCGCTGTCCAATGATCTCATGTGTACACTTGTCGGGTCGCTCAGATAGTGTGGCATTCCATTCGAGTAGCTTCTGACGTGAAGCATCATTGAAGAATTCAACCTCACCAACAATGCCATTGTTGCCAAGTGTAATGACAGAATGAAGAACTCGGTCGAAGCAACCAACGATATTGGCAATGCTGTCATCTGCCAACGCCTCCTTTCTATATGTGAAAACAACCTTCCCCACCCATTTTTTGACTTCTGCGTGGACAGCAATCATGTAGTTACCTGAGTGGAGCTTTTCGTTGGAGACCACACCTATCTCATCTGTGCTAAATATTGTGTTGAATAGGGTGGTGTCGTCAATTGCAAGTTCCCGTTGAACCACGCTCAAGGGAAGGGAATGGTGCAGCATCTTCTTGAGCTCCTGCTGCCTTGATTTAACAACTTCTCCAAGCTTGACATCGTCCATTAGCCGTAGTCTGCAAGTAAGAATATTGCTGTTTCTATGCCCGAAACAGACATCCTGTAGACCCGTGTAACTTCTCAAAACCAAGCCCCAAACGACTTGGAGAAGCATATTGGGGTCCACTTCGGCATTTTGGCAGAATGCATGCAGGTTATACGCAGAAGAAATAGTTAGTTCAGTGGATCCGAAACCGTCACGGGGTGCCCTAGATGGCAATGCATGCAACATGCATGGCTCAACATCGGCCAAACATTCCTTCCAGTATTCTATGTCTGTGCTGTTGGAGTAGGCCTTGAAATTGAACTCCAATCGAGCATCAGCAGATAGACATCGGGCCGAGCTTCTCAATGCTTGACGATCGAGTTTTCTGGCCTGATTCAAGGGTATTTGAGAGATTGGGAAGTACAGAGCTGGGACATGACTCGAAGGCAAAGACCTCGACAGATGAGTATGAAGCTTGGAAGCCATATCTTTGAATTGGGAAGATGCTCCAGAGATTAGTGCTCGGCTGTCTCCAGCAACAGCATCGTTGTCTTTCTCGAAAAGTAAGAAGACAGACGGGCCATTCCGAGGTTCATGCTCGTAATCAATCATCTCCACAGCGCAGCAGTGCTGAGGTGAGAGAAATGAGTTCATGCGCTGCTCCATTTGCCACATATGCGTCTGTGATAATGGTCCAGTCTCTGTGGCCTTTCTTCCCATGAACACAAGTGACCCATGTGAATTGTAACGAGCCAGGTCACCCGTCTTAAACATGCGCCGACCCTCTTTTGTCTGATCAGGATTCTCTTCATCACGATGTCCGGCGGTTTGCTCCAACGCCACAATCCATCTGGGACGCTCGATAAAATCACCTGCTGGGTTTTTATCCCCATTCAAGTAGCCATTAGCAACAACAGGCCCCTCTAGCACAAGTTCACCAGTGCATCCTATAGGAACCAGAGAATCATGATCACTGGGGTCAACAATCCAGGCCAGGCAACCGTTTCTTGATCCCATAAGAGGCTCATTCAGCGAAGCAGTGGTAATTGGTTTGTGTATCGAAGTTGAAGAGCTCTCTGCTGTGCCATAGAAAGTATGTAGTTGAACCTTGGGGGACCAAATCTCATTCAGGCTTGTCGGCGAGACTTCTCCCAACAATGCAAGGGTATGAACTTCCGGAACATCTAATGGCTGCAGGTAGGAAGCGACAGATGGCGTTATGCTGATGCAATTCGCATTTAATGCATTCACTGAAACTGGAAGGTTCTCGTAGCTGTTGTCAGATGGAATGCAAAGACAACCGCCATGCAGAAGTGCACTGAAGACCTCCTCGATGAACATGGCGGATGTGTACGCAGAGTACTGGAAGAACCGCGTCTTCTCATCTATGCCAAGCGCTGAAGCAAATGCTTTGGCTCTTGCGAGGATATTCAGATGATTTAGAACAACAGGCCTGGGTGTCGAAGTTTCTCCCGAAGTGAAAACCACATAGGCATCATTTGACGAGTCGATGGAGAAATCAGCCTCCCCATTCAAGCTTGGAAGATATTTAAAGAGGGAGCTCCCCACGGGAATAGCATATGGGACAGTTCCCTCAAGAAAATGTGCCCTGGTAGGAGCCGCAAGGGCAACCTGCGCTTCATTGTCGATAACCCATTGGTCGATGTTTTGTATGCAATTTTCACCCATCGGGACACAAATACCACCTGCCTTCAAGACTGCTAGCACGGAGATAATTTGCCAACTCGTTTTCCCGAAATCAATTGGGACCAAAGCCCCAGGGCTGACACCGAGCTTGATCAAATAAGTTGCAAGAGTTGAAGACAACTCATTGATCTTAGCGTATGTAAAACTGCCATCTCCATCCACAACTGCCAGGGCATTGGGTTGCAGCTTAGCCTTCTCATCAAGGACCTCGTGAACAGAATTTTGAATAAAATGTGGAACCCGACGATTCCACATTGTGATTAGATTCAGGGCCCAATCACTCATTCCGTCCAAGGAGCCGATTTCCTTGTTCTGGAAATAAACGATGTTTTCCAGATGTTTGAGGAAGGTGCGAGCGACACTTTGCGCTTGAACATCTGACAGGGCTGTTGTCCAGTAATTGAAATCCAGGCAGACTTCGTCATCAGTCACTTCAACATTGATAAAAACTGGAAATTCTGCCGGGTCATAGATTGTTCCAAGCTCTTCGAACTCAATTGCCTCTTTGGGCGAATTCTTGAAACTTGGGAGCTTTCTGAAAGAAATTCCAGTATTGAATAGCGTTTCCGATAGCTTCAAAGAGTGCTGAATATCGATGAGTGATGCGTGTTTGTAGGGCAGCTGCTCCATGTAATCGTTCTGAACCTGGTGCAAGGCCTCTCTGAGTGGTATGCTACCCGAGGCGTTCATCCGGCAAGCTAACAAACTAATGACAGGACCAACAACCGACTCAATGTCTTCGACAGGCAAATCTCTGAGAGAAGCCATGTAGCTAAAGCAGACGTCGTCGTTGTTGCAGAAGGACTTGAGCGTAAGACCCCAGCCCGTGCTAAAAGCAGTTGATAGCGTCAATCCATCCTGCTCACAGACTCTCTGCAGTTCTTCGAGCAGTTCGAATTTCAACCGCATGGTTTTCAGCTGCTTAGGAGTAGATTCGCCATCGGTAAGTACGGGCAAGTGGCAGGGCTTGAGCTTTGACAGGTACGAGCACCAGTAATCCATGGTATTCTGCTGGGGTGTGCTCTGGAGGTAGTCGATGAAATTTTTGAACACCGGCTTGTGATCATCCAGCTTTTCGCTGTATGCCAACTGCAAATCGCGGAAGATCAGGGAAATAGACGAGCCATCCATTGAGGTATGACTCATCTCAATTCTGCAGAATAGCCTACCATTTGCTGTTTCGCAGACTGTAAGCCTGTGGGATGGTTGGTGTTCATGATAATTCATTGGCGGTTGTTGATCAAGGATTGCCAGCACATCACTAGCGCTCGAACACTTCACAAAGGTAGGGCGGGCATCGAATGTCTTGAGAACAACTTGACAAAACAAGTTCTGGCTGGTAAAATTCTCCCCAAAGATAGTTCGGAGCATTGGGTGCCTAGAAACGACCTTTTTCCACGCGAGCGCCAGACGATTGGCATCTGGTTTGCCCTCCATACTTTTCACTTCCATGGTACCATGAACAGCGTAGAAGCCATCATCGCCACGAAAGCGGCTGAGGAGTATAGCCTCCTGCATGCGCGAGCATGGGTAGATGTCCTCCACCAGATCGGGGGAGTGTATTCCCATACTCGAGAGTCTCTTTGAGAGGATTGTCTCCAGCTCTCCATAATTGAGCGACAGTAGTGGAAAGCTGCTTAACGTAGGTCTTGGCTTTAGGAATTGCAGTTTGTTGCCGAGGTATTTCAAGGTATCCTGGCAGGATGCTACCCAAGCCCGAATCAAGTTCTGATGTTCCATGTATCTGTTGAAAGAGAAACTGAAACGCAAGCATCCATGTACGGCAAGTGCTGATATCTCGAAGAGCGCAAAACGAGGAGTCTCTTCACCAAAGTCGGCAGCTCCGCCTCCCCGGCCAGTCTCACCAGCCATCTGATTCACGAGATGAAACAGACCGTCTTTTCTTTGCAAGTCCCGATGCTGGCCGACGTAGTTGAACGAAATCTCCATGGGCCCAGGATGATCACATTTTTGGGCCCCGACTCCGAGGACACGACGTGCGAAGTCTTGTCGTCCATTGTCCGAAACACGGCGTCGAAGGTCTTTAACCTGAATGACTGCATCAACAGGGTCATCCAATGCAATATTTGCAATCAAAATGGGTTGCAAAATTGTAAACCACCCGACGGTACGTGAAATGTCTATTGTGGGATCCCAAACTTCTCTTCCGTGACCTTCATTGTAAACCGCGGGCAATGGTCGATCGGTAAACGTTTTTCGAAATCCGTAGAGGAGAGACGCGAGAAAAATGTCGATCGGTTCGGTCTCAAGACTTTTATGGCACTCCATCAGAAGGGCGCGCGTGTCTTCTGGGCTCATTTCGAACGTTTCGCAGTCAACGTCTCCGTATGTAGTTTGGTGATTCTCCAATCCCCAGTAAGCGAACTCGGGGTCAGGAAGGCTGTCCAGTTCTTTCTGGCCCTTGGCTGCGACTTCCTGCGCTTGCTTCTCCTGTAGCTGGGACCAGGTCTGAAATGGAAGAGAGCCGCTTTGTGGCAAATCTTCGCTTGGGTTGAGCAAAAGCTCCTCCAAGTCCTCTAATATGATCCTCCATGAAACGATATCAACCACTAAATGATGGGCAGTCATCGAAAGGAAGTCGTCTCCATCATTAACGTGGAAGAGATCAGCTGTAATCATTGGACCGGCAAACGCATCGATGCATGATTGGCTATTTGAAATGGCCTGTTGGATCTCGTCATCGCTGGTCTCATTGTGCGAGCGGAAACGGTAGGACCCATCAATGTCTTCAGTGATGTACTGTCGCGCTCCTCCCTCAGCATTCATCTCCGTAAAACGGGCTCGAAGCATGGAGTGTCGCTTGATGATGGTTTCAATCGCACGGCAAAAATCACGATCGCTAACGGGCCGGCTCAGGCGCGTAAGAACACCTTGGTTGAAGTAACCCTGGCCCTCCTTGCGCACCTTGAAATGAAGTTTCTGAATTGGCGAAAGTCCAAATGGTTCTTCGATCGTTTCTTCGTAAACTGTAGGCTGGCTTATTTCTGTTACCTGTGTTGCCAGAACCCTAATTGATTTGCTTCGAAGCACTTCTTGCACTGTAACTCCAAGGCCATGCTTCTTGCAAAATCCCATGCAAGTAATAGCAGCAATGGAGTCTCCACCTAGACTCAGAAAGCTTTCTTCGAGACTTATCTGGCTCTTGGGAATGTTAAGGACGCGGCTCCATATGGAGGCCAGTTGGTCCTCTTTCTCATTTGTGGATCGAACAACCTCTTGGCTTGAATCGTTGCGAAGCCTAGATGGGTCCTGACCAGGGACCTCTTCCATGCCTGCAACCCAGTTTGCAATGGTCTTTCGGTCGAGCTTACAGGATGCAAGCTGAGGCAAGGCCTCAACACATAACCAGCCACTTGGAATCATGTATGTCGGCAATCGTGATGATAAGCGATGTCGAATATCGGTAACAGCTGTCGTTTTAATTGAATGGTCCAGAAGCTTAAGAGGCACTTTTTCTGTTTCTGTTTTAGTATCCCCGTCCGTAGACAAAGATAAGACAGCCACTAGTTTGCCCTCGTAAACTCCCGACTTCGGAAAGAAAACTAGACAATTTTTAACGGCAGGGTCGGTATTGAGATTATCTTCAATCTCCCCGAGTTCAATTCTCTGTCCGTGGAGCTTGATTTGTCTGTCCTTTCTTCCTATATATGTCAGCGAGCCAGCATCCGAATTGTATCTTACCAGGTCACCAGTTTTGTAGAATCTCCGGTCCGAGTGGGTTTCACCCTCACTGTTGGCCCAAACTGGATTGTGAATAAACACTTCTGCGGTTTTTTCAGGGTTGTTGATGTAGCCACGGGCAAGCGTTGGTCCCTCTAGAATCAATTCTCCCGCGCAGCCAACGGGAACAAGTTTGTCATGGTCCTCGGGATCCACTAACCAGGGGCGAACCCCAACGGGAAGACCGATGTCCCTGCAGTCTGAGAACCGCGTCATCTTATTGTTCAAGACCGCCGCAACGGAACATTCGGTTGGGCCAAAACCATTGATAAGCTCAACCTTAGACCATATGTTCAAGTGCGAGAGAGACATTGACTCTCCCACTAGAATGAGTGTTTTCAAGCCCAGCACCTTTGACTGGTCAATGAACGTAATAAAAGTTGGCGTCAAAGAAGCAAGGTTCACACCCATGTCGTTGATCACTTGGACGATTTCGTTCAATCGTTGTTGCTCACTTGGCACACATACGCAACCACCCTGTATTAATGGGGTCAAGATTTCGAGGACACTGGCATCAAATGTGTGTGCGCCGAATTGCAGTACTCTTGAATTGTGATCGATACGAAGCTGGGGTGCGTGCGCGGCTGCGCCAGAAGCATATGCTCTATGCTCTACCAGGGTGCCCTACGAGAAATTAGTGCCATGAGCTCACTGGGTATTGTAGAGCAAATACCTTCGGCTCTCCTGTGGAGCCAGACGTAAATATCACATAAGCCGCATTGTGACCTTTTACTTCTGCTGAAAGCGCTCCCTCTTCAGGAAGAGCCAGGAGCTCTTTCATGGCTTCATCATCCAATGGCAGAATGTTCTCCGTGACGGCTTTCATATTCTCTTCGTGTCTCCTGGAGCATATTAATTTTTCCGCTCGTACGGATTTCACTAGAGATTGCAGTCGGGATGTTGGATGCGTCGGATCAAGAGGCACGAAGGCACCTCCAGCTTTCAGAACAGCCAGCACGGCAACAGTGTACCATTTCTATGTAAGATAATTAGCAACAGGAATGTGAATTAAAAGAATAATGACGGATAATATATATCACTCACGGATTTATCGAAACAGAGCGCAACGCGGGCCTCTGGCCCAACTCCCTGGCCCTGGAGATGTAAAGCAATCCGGGAAGCCAAGACATCCAATTCACGGTAAGTCAAACTCCCGTCCCAGGCGCATACAGCCTCGCTGTCCGGTCGTAGGAGCACCTGTTCATAAACCTTTTCGTGTATACAACAATCGTGGCATTCCGGGATCGCTGTGTTAAATTTGCAGACTCGGGACCAGTCCTGTGCCGTAAACCGATCTAAAGCTGCCACCGCAATGTCTTCTCCGGACAGGATTTGAGTCATCGTCTTCTCAAAGTAATTGGTGATACTTTTCATTTGCTCCGTGGAAATCTCGTCGTTCCAGGTTTCCAAGAATACACTGACATCGTCCTCCATGATTTTCACATGGAGTCTGACGCGGGTCTAGCATTGGCAGGTTAGTTGGGTCGTTTTGTAATCAACTTTCATTATCCTTGCTTCAACACACCTTGTCTGGCAGAGTCATAGCCAAAACTGGCTGTAGAGAAGCGTTTCCGATGTCATTTGACGAATCGCAACAGATGCGTATCATTAAGACAGTATTATATAGCATGTAGCCATCATGGCCCAAATCCGACTCTGCGTCTGCCCCGAACTCTTGGGCCAGACCACTCCCGTCTGCCACTTTACTTTGGACTCCTCGGAGAGAATCATCTTCGTTGATGGTGAGACTGAAGGTGGACGGGTTTGCGGTGTCAGAGCCATCAAGGTATTGATAGCCAAAGCAAACATCTTTAGATCCGATATAGCGGTAGAGAAGGAGGGCCCACGCAGTTTGGAGAAGCGAGTGGATTTTTTCCTGGCGCCAGGCAGCCAGTAATTCCAGATTTTGCGACGGCGTCGTCCTGACTTTCATCGAAACGGGCCGTCTAGGTCCACAAGAGGAAGGACTGAACCTTGGTAGGTAGCATTGCGCAGGGTGAGCCATGGTTTCTTGTGAGTAATACTCCGAAGAGCTTCAGTAATCCAAAAACGAGTGTGAAGTAAACAACAGGCACGGTTAACAGTACTCAACACTGTACCTGTTCTTAGCTTTAAATTGGAGACGAAGATCCGTGGGTACCTCATCATCAGACCTCCTTAAAAAATTTCAGCTTTTTGACAAAAATAGACTAATCAAACTCGCTAAGGGGCAGTTCATAGCGACGGTCCTAGCTGTTCACAAACAATGTCATTCATCCATAAGTCGAATACGAAGGTCAGCAAGGGCCAATGACGAGAGTTAGCGTTCAAGAGATGGGTCGAAAGCCTGCGAATTGGCCACCCTACGATGCCACGGGCGATGGAACCCACCTTCCGCCGACTGTTTGAAGCCAAATGGGGGAGGCAAAACGAAGTAGTTCGAGTGGCGTAGGTACTTCTTGCAGGGGGGGATGCAAACCCATGTGCGAATGGCTTGAAGCCTTGAAAGTTGGGATGCCACGGAGTGGAGCATGTCCAAGCCCCGTCCCAAAATAATCGAAACACAGGCAGTCAGAAGGCGAGAAATTGGAAGACATCAGGGGTCGACCCTGCATGCATCAGTCTGGATACAATCCTGGACGTTCGAGCTGGGTCTCGAACCCAGCCTGACCCTACGTAATCCTTCGCAACTCATGGGTCCTGTCACGCTACGACAAGCGGATGTTCTGGGTCCACGCCATGCTGCTGATGGCAGCGCTGGCTGTCGCTGGCCAACGGAGACATTTCCTAAGCGAGAGAAGGTTTGATGAAAAATCTCTCTCATTGAGACTTGGGGTCAGTGGCACGGTTCATTGACATTCAAAGTTCCGGCCGAAGAGGTACCTCTCTTGTTGTCCTTGAGATAGTAGTGTCAGATCGGGGAAGCCAAGGGACAAACCGATGCGAGGAAATTTTCTCATTGGACGATCACGGGGCCTGGGGGTGTTGAAGGAAGGAGCCTAGTCTCTAAGGCACCTCCGGTATAGTCAGGTATCGTAATTGGCACGCTCTTCAACGCCATCCTTTAGGTAGGTAGGTAGGTACCAAGATAACTGACCTGGTCAAAATTACAAAATCCCGTTAGTTAGTAACCTAAGGTACCTACCTACCCAGGTACTTCATAGCTATTGGGGTGGGATTGGTAATAACGCTACGGTAGTAGATCCGGGATGTGTCGGTTAGTCGACGGAGTCCAAGAATCCACTATCTCCGTAAATTTAGTTCGCCGACTGCCAATGACCGAAAGGCTAGGAGACCGGCGGAGTACAAGGCGGACTATCCGCGTGCTATCTGCGTATACGAGAAAGTATCGCAAATCTACCGGGATGGCGCACCTGAAATGGTCGACAACATGTTCTTTGTCAGTTTGCCCCATTCCTTTTGCTGTACTCCGGTCCATGCAGGTCCCTCTGGTAGTCTGCTCCTTGACAGGATCAAAGCGTTGAATGATAGAAAACAAGAAGGATGTTCTCCATACATAAGCTATTTATGCAGTCTCCTTTCTGCAGCGACGCCATACTTATGTACCCATGGAAGAAGTGGCTGGCTTCTATATTTCCCCTTGCTAGTCATTTATGCAGCCCTCTGGAGATGGATTATGTTCAACATAAAGTGAACCTGACATCTTATCCCCCGCCAGATATATTGGCACGTGGAGGAAGAACGGAGGATTGTTGACATATGAGACGGAGTAAAAGTTTTCTCCATTCGGGAGTAAGACGCTTTACTCCGTCAGCAGGAAGATTATTTTTCTCTTGGAGTCCACCGACATGCGTCCATTGAAGGAGCAGTTTTTCGGCCCAAACCCGAGGAATTCTCTCTTCCATTAATCCGACAATCTTAGTTCAAACACTTATAGCCGATTACCCGAGACTGGGATTTGGAATGTTTTTTTTCTTTCGTCTGTTTCCTGTTTGTCTTTTCTTTTTTTCGCTCTTCTTTTTAGCCCCAGTTGTTATATCGAGAGGTCATATATTGCCGGGATTGGATGCAATTGGCCTAGACAAGCATCAATTTGGAAAGCTAAACTGCAATTATTTAATTAAATGCAAGGGCTGCAAGGGGGCGCGTCGCTAGAGAAATCCGCTCGGTTAGACTACCACCGCTAGCGAATGGTGTGCATAATCCGCCAGTTTCCTGTCATTTGCTCGTCGATTTTTATTTGCTTTTCCCACCCCAAGTTCGTAGAGTTTGCCTCTATCGAACGATAATTCCCCATCCCCATATAGCTCTGGCATCTGCCTTGGGGATAAATTGCGCCCCACCCGGCTTCCAACACCCGCTCCGGATCTCCAAACCGATGGATGATCGTCAAACCTTCCGGAGAATGAAGGGGGGAAAGTCAAAATAACGATCGAAAATCAAAGGGGGAAAACAGGATATCGATCCAAGCCAGATGACATACGATCTGCTCGTCAATGTCACTTCGTGCGCCGTCATCTGATCGGAGCTGAACGCCAAATGTCACGCCGAAGCGAAGCGACAGAAAACGGAAACTGGAGACAAGAAAAAGAAAATATAAAACATGTTTAAAAAATTTTCACGCCGCGCCTGCGTCAGAGGCAGAGACCGCCGTCGCTGGGGTCCACACCTGTGCTATCCAGGTTACGGAGGAGTCGAGCACAGTCAACAATGGGTAAGCGTGTCCCGGGCCCTGTTTTGATGGCGCTAACCACCGGGGGATTAGAGCGACGGGCCAGTGAGACCATCCAAGGTTCTCGAGGACCTCCTCCACCTATGATCGTCCGGGCCAGCACTGTCATTCCGGTGGGGCCAAAGGATGGTCCGCCGTCAACTAAGAATCCAAGAATCCAAGAAAAAGCCCAGGCAATCCAGATGATCTAGGACGCCCCTAGCTCGGCCATGCCCATCACTAGGTACCGACTTCCTCCTATTATTACGGAAACCGGGATCTGACTGATCTCCACTGCCCGTTCTAGGCAGATTGGCCGCCATTAGGGCAATCGTTCCCGTCACTTCCCTGCCAGCCTTTGTTAGTTTGTTGGCTCCCAATGGCTTATTATTAAACCTAGAAGGTGCGAGGAATCGGCTAGGCCCTATCCACTGCCACTCGCTAGTCAAGCCCACTCACCTCTAGCCCCCCTTCTAATGTGATCCCGACGGCAACCTGCGGACCTTCAACGGAGGGAGGGTACCGCAATCCAGTGGTATTTTTTCGCGAGGAAGTATCCGTAAAACCACGGAACTCCTCCGATCGTCTCTGGTATACCACCGTCATCTCATTCGTGGAACGGACGACGGTGGCTTTTCGCCACCAAGGGGGATTGGGTAGTAAATCTGCATCCCGCAATCCCGCAGAGATCTAGTTTTGGGAGGGTGTCCTGGCTGGAAATCCTTCTTGGCCAATCTTCTGCGGCTGATGTGGCACCAAACTTGGACGCCGCTCGTGGCCCGATTTGGAAATCGGTCGACGATTGGGATAGGGACGCTTTTCCAGGTCGAGCTGCAACTGCAATTGGAGTTGAGTTGGCGCCAGAGGAAATCATCTGCAATGAACGCGAGCTGTCTGATATCAGTTTTGGTCTTGTTTAACATTAGATGCTTTTCACCACTACCCCCAGTTGCTTGTCCGTGTCATTCTTTCATCGCCTCTCGAAACATTCAAAAAATCACTGCAGGAATCTTCTCATGTAGGGCCAAACAAATGGAGTCATCGTGTGCATGAGACACAACTGGACTAGGGTGCTTGTGCAACTCGGAAATTCAACCAAGGCACGTATAAATTGTTACGCCATCACTATTTAGTTAGTCTCTTGGATGCGTAAGCGGCGGGCCAGTTCATGCTGAGGGCTCCATACTCCGTACTTTTGAAACGGTTCGCGAAAGTGGAGAACGGAGGTGTCTCCTACTCAAGTCCACCACACTGTTAGTGAACTAAAAAAGCCCCCCGCCGTTAACAGAAAGCGCTGAGCGAGGCTAGATGGGCCATTCACGGTGGACTCGACTCTCCGACTGCTGATTTGCTCGCAGAGTTACACGGAATCTCCCTCGTGTTGGGCGGACAAATATCCCATCGCGTCTCTCGATTTGTACCGGGGGATTTTATGATCATGGATCTCTTTCAGGTCTCAGTAATAGTTCCGGAACAGGTCAAATCACCACACCGTATCTGAACTCTAGCCCATGTAGGGATCGTCAGCAACATATCGTGGCAACACTCTGATCCGTTCCCTGGGAATAGGGCTCCAAGTTAGGCAGGAGAAAGCCTTGATGCAGGATGTATGTTAGTTTGTATGAGCCTTGTTTAGTCTGAGTATACGAGGTACGCCTTGATCGATCGGTTGGCGCAAGAGCTGAGCAAAGAGAAAAAAAGAAAAGAAAAAAAAAGAAAAAGAAAAAGGAAGGAGAAGGGTTGAGGGGAAAGGGGAAAGTCACCTCGTACATCCTAGCAAACGATAGGGTAAGAAAAAACGTCAAAAATAGTACACATGATAAATCTAAATTAATTTTTTTTTCATGCAGTCATCAGGTATATCAGACTGGCTCGGAGTTCACGATGGGTCATTCAAGGTCAGGACTTGGAGGCAAATTGACGAACCATCTGCAGTCCAGCTCTTCTCTTGAATCGAACTTGGGTGGAAATCAAAGTCGGCGGCCGAGTCTCTATAATATTTTGGCCTATCCATGGCAATCATCTGTTCGTAGATCGATTTTATAGCGCAGCAACCATGGAAGGGCGCCCACTGTCTCTGGCATGCCAGCAGGCGGACAATTCTTTTCGCGTCCCAGTGCAAGGTTGTCGAGATTTTGATTTCTCTCTTCTTTTCGAGGAAACAATTCTGGGAATATTGCCTTTAGGAATTCTGCTGGTAATCAGCCCTTTTCGTCTATGGTTCTTGTCTCGAAAGCCGCGCAAAGTAGCAGGCTCGTGGGCTTTATGGATCAAAACAGTATGTCAAAGTCCCCTTAGAACAATGGCATTGATCATCAACTTGTCTCGCACGTCGTTCTGACCTTGGCCATCCCTTTCAAGGTCACATGGGTCATCTTAGGGGCGATTCATTTCGCTCTGGTTGCTCTGTGGTCTCTTCCCTCGGCGGCGCGAACGCACGCATCCATTGCGACGAGTACCGTGACCGCGGTGGGGGTGATCTGCTTGAGCGTTCTCTCCTACTCCGAACACACTCACTCCGCTAGACCCTCTTTTCTCCTCAACGTCTATCTTTTCATCACGCTTCTCTTCGATGTCGCGAAGACAAGAACCTTGTGGCTTCGAGACATCGAGGGCATCGGGGGAACGATTGCGATAGTCACCTCTGTGGCTACCGGAGTCAAGTTTCTTCTCCTCCTCCTGGAGACGTTGGAGAAGAGACGCCTCCTCAAGCATGAATACAGGGACTATTCCCCGGAAGCTACTGCTGGCTTCTTCAATCGGGCTCTCTTCCTATGGTTGAATCCTTTGTTCAAAAATGGTTTTTTCAAGCAGTTAGCCGTCGATGATCTTTTTACGCTCGACAAAAATCTGGGCTCTCAAAGACTTCAAGATGCCCTGGAAGCCAATTGGAACCAAAGTAACTCGCCCGAGATACCTATTTTCTGCCATCGATACCCAAACTAACAAACCCCAGTTGAAAAACCAGGTGACAATGCATTGCTGTTCACGATTTTCAGAACATTCGCATGGCAGCTGCTCGCAGCCATAGTCCCACGGGCTTGCCTCGTTGGGCTAAATGTCTGTCAGCCTCTACTTCTGCATCGATCGCTTTCCTTCTCCGCTGAGCCAGACACGAGTAATACAACCAACGCCGGATACGGATTGATCGGTGCTTACATCCTCGTGTACACGGGAATGGCGGTGGGTATCCCAGCCATTAGTTTGTTATCCCGCTACGAGCGTTTCCTAACGAAGGCTTCAGGTATCTATGGGACAATATCAACATTTGACATATCGCGTCATTACAATGGTGAGAGGGGGAGTTGTCTCTATGGTCTATAAGAAAGCAAGTACTCTGAGCGTGAAAGACGCTGATCCTGCTGCATCTCTCACATTGATGAGTGCCGACATCGAGAGGATCGTTCAGGGTTGGCAAACGATACACGATATTTGGGGAAATACTCTCGAGATAGCTTTGGCGATCTTCCTTCTTGAGCGGGAGTTGGGGATCTCTTGTGTTGTTCCGGTTGGAGTCTCACTTGGTAAGCATGAACTTTATCTCAGTGTTGGCGGGTACCCTTGACGCTTTTCACTTCATCGTTCTCACTTCTACCTTTTTCTTTCTTCTTTTTCTGCATTTATTTCTGACAAACTTCTCATTAAGTGGCGCTCGTGGGATCCTTGATCTCGCTTTCGCTTGTTGTTTCGAGGCAAGCCATGTGGCTTGAGGCTATCGAGAGGCGTATCTCATCAACAGGGTCGATGCTTGCTTCGATGAAAGGGATCAAGCTGCTTGGTCTCAGCCACTTTTTCATGACTCATGTTCATGGCTTACGTTTGGAGGAGCTAAAAATTTCGAAAAGTTTCCGGAAGATCCTGGTCTGGAATCTGGCATTTGGTGAGACCGTCAGCACTTAAAATTGAATTCCCAAAGTCTAACCACACTATACAGCTTGGATGACACGAATATTTGCCCCAATATTTACATTTGGCGCCTTCGTCGGTATATCGCATAGTAGGGGAAATGATTCAGCTCTGAACACTTCAAATGCATACACTTCCCTGTCGCTTTTTGCCCTTCTATCAGATCCATTGCTATCTCTTGTGATGGCGCTGATGACATTCGTTGGCTCGGTTGGGTCTTTCAAGAGGATTCAAGAATTCCTCCAGATGGACAGCCATGTGGATTCCAGACACGGACTAACTTCATTCCCGGTTGACGTTTTTAATGAGTCGAAAATCTTTGGCTTAATCAGAGATTCGGACTGTTCGACAGATGAGTCAAGCTCATCGCAGTCGGTTAAGGCTACTTCTCTGCCATTGCCCTATGAGATGATCACAATTCAAAGAGGAAGCTTCGGATGGAACGGAGAAAAAGCTCCTTTACTCAAGGATTTAACTATTACAGTTCCGCGGCAATCATTTTCCGTCATTGTTGGGCCGTCTGGTTGTGGAAAATCAACGCTGCTCAAAGCTATCCTTGGAGAGACACCATGTCTCGGTGGAAGCCTGGCTCTATCATCCCAGAGTATTGCATATTGTGATCAGGTCCCTTGGCACATGAACGCAACTATCAAGGACAGCGTTGTGGCAATGTCTTGCTATGATGAGAAGTGGTACAATTCCGTGGTAGAGGCATGTGCCCTAGTTGAGGACTTCCGGCAATTACCACGAGGGGACCAGACAGTGATTGGCAGCAAAGGTATCGCTCTAAGTGGGGGACAGAGTCAACGCATTGTGAGTGTCACCTATTGATATACGATCTTGGAATCTCGGCTAATTCAAGTGTCTCTAGGCACTCGCAAGAGCAGTGTACGCCAGGAAAGATATTGTTATTCTCGATGATGTTCTAAGCAGCTTAGATGCCGCAACTGAGGATCATATCTTTCATCACTTACTGGGCATTCATGGCTTGCTCCGCTCGATCGGCTCCACGGTTCTGTTTGCTTCTTCATCTGGTCAGTTTCGATCCAGACGCCATTTACCTTTTTGGGGGGGTTGAGCCTCATATTGACCGAGCATCTTACAGTAAAACGAATACCATATGCTGACCACATCGTGGTTCTTGATACTGAAGGTCGGGTCTCGGAACAAGGAAGCTTCAAGGCCCTTGATCCCGCCGGAGGATACGTATCTGGCTTTTCTTTAGGGGCACCCGACTGGGATTTCAAGGCAGAAGGTCTTCCTGCGCCAGAAATCCCAAAGGCTTCGGTCGGCTCTAATGATCAAGACAAGGAATACATTATTGACAAATTCGGAAGCGGGGGCGATGTCTCAATATACCTTTACTATGTTCGCTCCATTGGTTGGGTCCCGACCATGGTTTTTATCGTAGCAATTACCGGCTTTGTGTTTTGCATATCCTTTCCAAGTAAGTCAATCTCGACTCTTCCCTGTTCACTTCTCTTAACAGTTGATCTGATCAATTCTTAACAACTAGGCATCTGGATAAAATGGTGGGCTCGATCAAATGAGACCGATCCTGGAAAGCAAACGGGATACTATATCGGAATTTATGCAATGCTCGGCGCCGTCGGCATGATATCTCTCATCATAGGTTGCCGGTCAGTATTTTCCAAATCATTTCAGCCGTTGGTTCAATTCAAAACTCATGGTTTGTCCAACTTCTAGTCAGATGATCATCAGCATGGTGCCAAAGTCAGGCGAGAAGTTTCACCGCCAGCTCTTGAGTAAGGTTCTCAGGTGAGTAAAATCCCGGATTCAAACATCTGGTTAGAGTTACTAATGGTCACGGAGCGCACCAATGCAATTCTTTGCAAGCACGGACACCGGTGCTATTCTCAACAGGTTCAGCCAGGATTTGCAACTCATAGATATGGAGCTCCCAGTTGCCGCCATCAACACATTCGTCAGTGAGTTTCCGACTGTTATTTTCTGACACCAAATCCAATCTCCGCCTCGTTGAATTCAGTAAGCTTACTCAATTTACTAGCCTTCGTTCTTTGCTTATGCCAGATGGTTTTCATGGGAATCGCCTCAAAATATGCGGCCATTTCATTTCCCCTGGTAATTTTTACCATTTACAGCATCCAAAAGATCTACCTTCGCACCTCACGGCAGTTGCGATTCTTGGACCTTGAGGCAAAGGCGCCATTATACGCGCACTTCACCGATTGCCTTGGGGGTCTAACAACTGTAAGAGCTTTCGGGTGGCAGCAAGCACTGCAAGACAAAAACCATCGGCTCCTTGACTATTCTCAAAGGCCGTTCTACTTCCTCTACGCTATTCAGCGATGGCTCACGCTAACTCTAGACATGGTCGTTGCTGGGATTGCGGTTCTTTTGATTATCCTTGTTGTAACGCTGCGAGGGTCAATTGGCTCAGGCTATGTGGGAGTCGCTCTGCTCAACGTCATCTTATTCAGTCAGAGCATCAAATTACTTGTGACATTCTGGACAAATCTTGAGACTCACATTGGTTCAATACTTCGCGTGAAGTCATTCAGTGAAAACGTGGCTTCGGAGGATCAGCCCGATGAGAACGGGGATGTACCGCCAGAATGGCCGTCGAGGGGAGAAATCTCATTCGAAGCTGTGTCTGCCGAGTATCGGTATGTATATCTTGGGAATCTTTCGAACGATTTACTAACAATGTATCTCATGTAGGGCTTCTGAGCCGGTTCTTCAAGACATCTCATTTGCTATACAAGCAGGAGAAAAGGTTGCAATTTGCGGGAGAACTGGCAGGTCGGTGACCTCGTTATGGAACCTCGGTCGGATTATAGGCTAACACGTTGGCTATAGTGGCAAAACATCTCTCATAATGAGCATCTTCCGCATGGTTGATCTCACTTCCGGGAACATCCTGATTGACGGCATCGACATATCTCAGATACCTCGTCAAGAGATACGCTCACGCATCAACGGCGTCTCTCAAAGCCCATTACTAATCCAGGGGAGTGTCAGACAGAATGTCGACCCGACGTGCCGTTCTTCTGACGATGCTATAATGGCAGCTCTCAAGACTGTTCACCTTTCTACAAAGATTCGAGAAAAGGGAGGCCTCGACACGAATATCGATGATCTCTTCCTATCGCAAGGACAAAAACAGCTCTTCTGTCTAGCTCGGGCAATTTTGCGCTCTGGAAACATCCTTGTACTCGACGAGGCTACCAGCAGGTATGTTAAACGGGGAATTCGCTCAATTTTATTGGCTTTCACAAAGATGTTAACGATTCTCGGGCAGTGTCGATACTAAAACCGACGAGATAATGCAACGAATCATCCGAGAAAAGTTTGCCAACCACACAATCATAACAGTCGCTCACAAGCTCGAGACTATTCTCGACTACGATAGAGTCATCGTACTTGATGCTGGTCGTATCATCGAGTCTGGAAACCCCTATACTCTCCTTGGCTCAGAGTCCCATTTCAGCAAGTTGTATGCAAAATCGGTGCTCGAAGAGTCGGAGTAGGCTAGTGATGCATCACATTGCGTTCTTTCAAATAGTTCTTATTTTAATTCTTACTTGCATCTTTGCGAAATAGAGTAATTCTATTTTCTACATATATCCTTCTCTGCTGGCTCGCTTTTTTCTGTAGCTATATTTAGAAATTTGAATAAATCCCTCACAAAATTAGAAGACTGGGATAGCTATATACACATTCGAAGCACATGCACATGAGAATTCATACCATTGGCATAAATACTGAATAGGCACAATCCTATCATAGGCGAGTTGAGCTGGCCCCTGTTCAGGCCTTATAAATCAGGCATCCATACGGCGGCCTTGCATCGGCTCTCCGCAGCGTCCGACAACTTGACTTGTTCACCTTCACTCCATCATGGTCTACCGCGGAAAACCCAGCAAGTCTTGTCGCGAATGCCGAAGGCGTGACATTAAAGTATCCTTGTCCTATTACCATCCAATCATCTGATATAATCGCTGATCCTTGCTTCCAGTGCGACAAGAAGAAAGATGGATGCTCACAATGTTCCCGAGCGCACATCCCATGCTCGAGATACGCGGATCCCGCCAAACTCATGATCCACGATGAGACACATTCAACAATTGCGAGAGCTCGTCAAAAGCGCGTTTCGCAGGGCCCATCATGCCCTGGCCCTCTGTCCCTTAACTTGCTTCCCACGGTGGAAGATCGCGCAAAATTACTCTACGCATCGCAATACATTGGTGAATCATCGGCAACCAGCCTGTTCTCCTTGATACGGGTTTTCTACCCGCCGAAACCTGATCCCTCTTCACTGCTGGGCACCGCCGTGCGCACTACCTTCTTAGCTTTCTTCTCGTCCTTGCATGAGTCAAGTTCAGTCCTTTACGAAGCCCGTGTCAATTATGGGTTGGCGCTCACCCTCGCTAGAAAGGCAATTCAGTCGCCTGAACAAGCGAGAACAGACGCCACCTTATTTTGTCTGCTGCTGTTGAGCGTCTTTGAAAGATTCGCTCATTCGGGGCAAGGGGAGCTCCTAGTCTCAGATGGTCATTTACAGGGAGCTTTGGGACTGATGTTCCTGAGGGATGACAGTCAGTTTGAGGGCTCAGTAGGCATCACGATGCTCCTCCAGCTAAGTGAACTAATCGCCATCAATTGCCTTGCCAATGAGTCAGATATCCCGTCTTCTCTCTTGTCTTTAAGGCTCAGGGCACTTCGGAGCGTCGATTCCTCGTCTCCCAGGTGGAGGTTCTCAGAAGTTTTGCTACAGTATGCGCATCTTAAAAATCTCATCCGAACCGGTCTTCCGCATGCGCAAGCCATACTCCGGGCTGAGTTGCTTGATCATGAACTCGATCAATTGTCCCAAGAGCTGCTCCCCAGGAACCAGGTTCCCTTGCCACTGCCAGAGCCCACGGGACAACCAGATCGATGCCCGGATCATAAAACGAGAAAGGGCTTGAATAATATTCGCGTGGTCCGCATTCTACTAGCTGAATCGATTCGCGAGCAAAGTACTCCACTTCTCAGAACTTCGACAGATCATGCGGGTCTGGTCATGGAGAGACTTCACCGTTCTACGCGCACATCCAGTTCACTCAGTCTAGAGATCTGCTCCTCCATTCCGTACAGCAACTCTGGACGTTCGCTCACTTCCGACCTTTCCAGTGTACAGGTTGCCTCGCTATCTTTTCATCTCTACGTGGCCAAGGAAGCGGGTGTGATCCCGGACCAATTGCGACTGTCTATCCTTGAACAGATGCAGGCTTTACAGCAGAAGCAACTACCAGGACATCAGAGACTGCTGGCCGAGTTACAAGAACGGCCTCATCAACGACCAAATGTCTGGAAATCATGGCTCAAATTTGGAAAGGAAGATTTCTCAGTGTGATTTATTAGAGTGGAAATGGCGCAAATACGCTCTTTAGACCTCTATATCTAGTACTCATTGAGTGCGGACGCATGGGCCGGGAATCTCTGGCCAACAACAGGAAACTCCTCCAGGATCGAAGCGATCTTCTTGAAATCATCATCAGTCAAGTCAAGGGTGCTCACGTTCTCCAAGACCCTTTCCTCAGACCGCGCACCCGCCACGGGAAGAATCACCGGCATGCCCGGTCTCCCATTGTGCGATTTCACCCACGACAGAGCCAACTGGGCCGCAGTGCACCCCTTCACCTGGGCCAACTTCTTGATCTCCTCCGCCGACTGCACATTCTTCGCAATATTCTCTGGCAGGAACCGAGGGAACCCCCGCTGCAAATAAAGCTCCGGCACGTCCTCCACGCCCTGGATCCGGCCCGTCAACAGCCCAGCACCCAGCGGCGTATGCGCCACCAACACAATCCCCAACCCCGCACACGCCTCGGCAACACCATTCTCAAACACCTCCTGCGACCAAAGATTGACCTCCGCCTCCACCAGGTCGATCTTCGCCACGCTCGCCGCCCTGCGGATCGTCTCCGCCCGGACCTCACTCAGCTGGATACCGCCGATCCTGCCCTCGGCCTTCATCTCCGCCAGCGCCTTCACGCTCTCCTCAATCGGGACGTTCGGATCGACCCTCGCCGGCCCGAACGCATCGATCGTCTTCTTCCCATCCAGCACCCGCAGCGCATTCTCTAACAGCCCACGGAGTCCCGCGCGCGAACAATCCATCTTCACGGTCTTCATATCCACCACCCCGCTCTTCACCATCAAGACCACCTTCTCCGCATCCTCCGGATACTCGCTGAAATAGCGGTTCACGAGATGCAGCGAGTTGTACTCCGGCGTGCCGTAGAAGTCCGCCGCGTTCCAGACATTCGCGCCGGCGTTCAGCGCCGTCTTCAGGACCTTCAGCGCCTTGTCTTCCGGGGTCACGTCGCCGGGCAAGCAGAATCCTAGACGGGGAATCCATCCATAGTCAACCACTGGACCGAGCATGAATGCGCAGTATCAGCATAAGTACGGAAAAAAACTCACGCATCAGACCCAATCCATCCAACGAAATCTCTTTTCCAACAACGGATGGCATCTTGTCACTTGAATCCGTCTTCGAACAGAATAGTAATTACCCAGAGGGCGTAGAAATAGAATCGCAAGAGAGAACTGATAACTTGGAGTTCAGAGTAAACGATCTGTACCTCAAAACCAAACCAACCCCCCGTCCCCATCCAGCTTTTTATCTTCCTCAGAAACCATCCCCTCTCTCACACCCATACCCATTAGAAACCAATCAACCCGGAAATAAGCCCACAAGACGGAGATAACAACCGCATCTCCATCTTCCTGTCTCCTTCGTGGCGCCGTGGAAAAGACAACCCAAAAGCAATACACACTCGCGAATAGATCTACACCGAGGCCATACTCCGTAAGTCCGGTAACGCCGGGAATGGCATCAGTGACCAGGTGGTTACCCGATTGGGGATAGTGGGGGTTGCGTCGAGACCCACCGGTTTACTGGAATTGGAGTTGGACCCAGAGGCCTAGACTCGGTGTTTTGGTTATACTTAGTCTATACTATGCAAGGAAAATTGGAAGGGATTATTCCGAGATTGGCCAGGTCCTGCGTCTGAAAGAGAATTACGCCCCAAAGGATCATGCTAGAAAGAGAGGCAAAAAAAGAACAACACATCCGTCCGATTGTGCACCGTAGAAAAAAAAATATAACGAAAATGGAACAAAGACCCTACAATTTCCTGCTTCTTTTTCACCGCCAGATAAACTAACATGTCAAGAGAATTTCTAGCCTAGAGTACAAATGCAGTCCAAGAGCTCAAATCAGGAAGACGAGTGTAGGCCAAATCAACGGAGAGCGGGAGAAAAAACAGCACAATCATATGGCAAACTCTTGTGGTGAATATTGATCTAGAGTAGCATCGTATCATCATTATCGGCCTCATCGGAATCAAGAGCCCCAAACTCCCAGTCCCCTCGTTCGATCCTGCTAACCCGGTCTAATTCGCCCTGGTACTCGCGACGCAGGTGGTCGAGAGTGACTATGACGCGACGGCGGGGACCGACGGTCTCGGCAGACGAGGATTTGCTTCCTCTACGACTGGAAGGTCGGATGGCCGTAGGACTCGCACTTAGCCTGCGCTTGGATCCGTAAGGAGTGGGCGAGCCAGCCTCGGCATCGTCCATAAATACGTTTCCGTCATCGTCGGCCTGTAGGCTACGACGTCTGTACGGCGGTGCAGCAGACACGAATGGGTCATCCTTCTCGATGAGAATGTAAGATTCGCTCTTGTCGACGCAGCCAAGAAGGTTGATGAGTGACAGAAGCTCATGTCTTATCTCCTGGCTCTCGGGGTCATCCTCCCCGGCTGCGGTTGCCAGATCATCCGTGGCACGGCCTTTGGCAAAAGCTAAAGCCGACGAGCTATCCCGAGAGTTCCGGAGTCGCTGAACATTGCGGTAGGCAATCTCAGCAGCGCCGCGATAGTCACCTCGTGCAATACGATACGCCTGTAGGATCCGTTGGTAGTCTGGAGTGCCGTCGGTCCATTGGTTCTCGCCATCCACGTAGGAGGTAAAAGAAGTCTGCTTCCGTGCGAGTGAGACCAGGGCCTCATCTACATAGGATGCGATATTGGGGACAAGTGCTGTTGGGAAATGAAGAATCTGCTGAAGTCCGGCAGTGCCGGAACCTGATGCGGCCAGGATACCTGTGATCAAAGAGCTAAGCGCAGACTTTTGAAGTGTGAGGTCCTTGTAGCGGGCAAGTGCCGAGTATGCCTGGTCAAATTGACAGTTGTGAAGAGAAGCATAGAAGAGGCGCGAAAGAAGATCCGTTCGCAGGCTGATGTATTCGGGATCCTGCTCTGAATAGCCTTCACTCGCCAGCGCCTGCAATGCAAGACTGGCAAAGTCTGCAACATGGGTGAACGAGCGAGCGTGTTCAAAGATAGATAATATGTGCTGGAAATACTTCGGTAGACCGTTATGGAAGCAGTCCACCGAAACGATATCTAAAAGAGTCGACGACATCTCGTGCAAGTTACCCAGAGGTTTGCCGCAGGCTACATAACCGGTTAGAAAGCAAGAATCGTGCCACATTCAGTATACAGGCCAAACTTACAGAGCAGATATGCAGATTTCCGGAAATACAAGGCTGCAATGTCGAATTCGGACATGGCCACGTACAGGCGGCCTTTAACATAGGTCGCCCAGGATGTGCTTGGCTGAAAGCGGAGGAAGTCCCAAGCAAGATCGATGTTGTTTTTCGCAATGAGATCGCATTGAATGTAGACCAGTGCGTTTGGATAGGCAACCTCCCCTTGACGCGTGACCCACGATAGAACATCGCGAATACCAAGGCTCAGGGTATAACTTTGGGGTAGGCCGATGGTCTGGCGAGGTTTGATATCGGTAGCAAACAAGTCCTCCAAGATGGTTGCAATCCTTTTATTGCCTTTCTTTGACGATGATCCCTTCGGTGAGAATGTCGAAGCGGTCAGGTCTCCAGAGCTGTCGGCAGGTCTGTCGGCACATTTCCGGGAGTTCGAGCTGAGCCATAACATCATTTCATATTCCCTCAGCAAAGTAATCAGCGATGCAAACAGTTCGACGGCATCGAAATCAGAGCCTTCCTCCTGCTCTACTTCGCCATCCACGAAGAGAACCAGGGCTAGGAGGTCGATGAGAATCTGACGCGTAAAGAGGATGGCCTCCTGGACACCATTGACGGTGACCTTGACGCCGAAATGTGTGGCCAAAAGATCGGAATCCTTGCCGGGAAATCCCAGCGGGATCGTGTCGATGATGGTGTAAAAAACCTCATTCCTTAAGTTGAAAATGTTCAGGTGTTTGTTCATAGCACCGACCAGGCCATCGTAAATTTTGTTAGAGACTTGCTCCCCAAATTCGCATCGATCGCGGAAGGTATCCATCCTATCGGGAACGGAGGACGAGGGCTCCGTGAACAGCTCTGCTTCAAGGGCTCTTTGGCATGCCACCTCAAGCTCTGCTGGAAATCTCTTCCTGAATCCCGCGGCGACTTGGATAAGATGAGACGCTTGCTCAAACAAATCACCGATTTCCGTGCCCAGATTCCTGTGCCTCCAGCGGTCCACGATCTTGGGCCCTTCTGAACGAAGCTCCGAGCCCGAATTGTGTAATAGTAGTTCTGTAGAACTGCACTCTCTGATCACCGCACAGCCGCCTGAAAGAAGCAGCCATGGAATCTCATAGTAGGAATCGTACGCAAGTGCAACCGGTTCGAATCTTCTTCTGTTGATGTCGTCCGCGATCTGCCAGAATTGACGCCACTTGGAGTCGGTGTCTGCCCGGTACCGCGTGAAATCCATTTCGTCGTCGGCGTACTTGCGGAGTGAGACGGTAGCGGCGATGGTGGTGCAAAGCCGTTCCGAAAGAGGGGTGTCCTTCTTCAGCACACTAGGCGAGGACAATGGCTTAAGGGCCTCCTGGTAAATCGCCAAAGCGGTTTCAAGCGCCTCGGGCGAAATCCTGTTGGGATGTAAAAGAAACTTCAACCACTTTTCAGTCGGGTCCTCGACATCAGAGGGCACCGGCGGCGTCGGCGGGTGCTCCTCTCCACGGGTATCCATAACTGTCGATACCCAGTTATTATCCCAATCCGTAGTCAGGCTCTCGAAATTGAAGTGCAGCGTGTAGAGCTGATAGAAGCTGCTATTTCTCCAAAGGACCCATAGCTCCATTCCCCTCCCTTCTTCCGCGGGCTTAACCTGGAAATCCGCAATCGTCCAGAACATGTTGCCTGACGTATCGGGATCCAAAGGCCTCAGCGAGGCATCAGGGAAGAGATCTTCAATAATGAGAGGCGATGTTAGGCCCCCTTTGATGGCCCAAAATTTGAAGCGACCATCCTCGAAGGGCGAGTATGTGATGAGATAATACCGGTAGCCGCCATCCAACGCTCTCTCCACGTTGAAAACGCGAATGAAAGATGATTCGGATGGGTTGAGTGAGTATGTTGTCGCATCCGACTGTGGTACTTCGCGACCCAATAGATCCTTTGTCGCAACCAATTTATTCGTGGCGAGGTTCCATATCTTCAGGGTGTGGTTTAGACAGATCGCGAAAACGTATGTCTGGTCGGAAGTGGTTGCGATCGCATTGGCGAGATTAGTGTCGAGATGACGGCCATTGTATTTGATCGAGGGTTGCGCATGCCACCTGACCAAGCCTCGAATCGACGATCCCCAGGTTCTTTCGTCGAAAGTCAATGGGGTCCAGTGTGAGCCTAAAGAGACATTGCGTTAATATTTTGTTTTGGGGCGATGCGCTTTTTTATAAACAAGGGCCTGGAGGGGAGGGGAGAGTGCTATTACCATCATCGCTGGATTTCCTAGTTAGGCGCAAGAGAGAGCCATTGTCGAGGGAAATGAATAGCTCAAGCGGGCTGCTAGCATGTAGTCGGTGAGGGTGAGAGAAGGTAAGAGGTGCCGGGACACAGGACTTGCACCAGTCCGAAATGTTCTCATCGATCGCTTCCGTCCGTCGAAAGAATTCCGGGCGCAGGGTCAGAGTGTGTAGCTGTTTGGAGGCCGTAATAACAAACACGCTGAGCACTTCGTGGTCCTCCAAGTCCGCGAGATCAACACCCGACGGAAGTATCTCTTCTTTGAAATCCAATCGCAAGGTCACGTTGTATTCGTGGTGCTCAATTCCTCCCTTTGTCAAATCCACACACTGGATCTCCAGCACCTTGCTGTCGTCGACGACCCTCCAGAGGAACGTTCGGGGATAAACGCTGCGCTTGCGGAAATAAACGGACCCCTGGGTGGCCAGATAGCGCTTGGAAAATTCGTCTTCATCCCTCGCGATCGAGTCGTCGGGTTTTGTGAGAGGGGAGGTCGAGAATCGAGCGCGGCCTGGCGAGTTCGCTTCTGATGGGATGCGGATGGTCACAACGGAGTTCGGCGAGTACGGCCGGAGGTCGACTCGGGTGTCTTTGTAAATTCTGGCCATGTCGGATTTGCGACAAACCACCTGGGACGATCTTGGGAAGAAATGGTCACCTCAAGTCTCCATGGCCGGAAGTCGCCGAGGAATGGAATGGAGTTGTCGCTGCCCGGGAGGTGGACGTGGAAGTGGAAGTGAAAGTGAAATGACAAGAAGCAGCTCTTCCGCTCAGAAAAAACAAGGTCTTGGCACGGGACCTGCACGCGCCGTCCGTTTGGGAGCTCTTTATCTTATGCTTCATTTCTTGCCATTCCTTCTGGTTCTTCTATTTTTTTATATTAATGTAACTACGCCACTATCGCCTCTGGCTGAAAATATACTGATCACGCTCCCCTGGTAAAATTAAAAAAAAAATAAACTATCTAATATGTACTGACTAACTCAGAAAGCGAAATTCAATAAGCGTACGTCTTGATCGTCATGTCATAACTGAACAATTATGCAGGCACCTCCTCATTCATTTTCTAAATCCTTGGGGCTTGGGTCTCCGATACCATCCTCGTTGATAGCGAAGAGGCAATCGCTTTCTGGAAGGCAGGGACTGTCGTAAATCTTGCAAACTCGAGTCTCGCCGCGGCCCTTCTTCAAGCTGAGTCGGGTCGTACTGGCATGCGCGATGATATTACCACCAATGGGCTTCTTCGGATCCGGATTGAACATGGCACTAGGGCCACCGTCCACTTGCGCCACGACCTGGTTCGTAATGACCACTGCGATACCGAATTCGTCCGCTAGACGTTGGAGCGTTCGCAGGAATTTGGCCAGATGAGTTTGGCGAGTTGACAATTCACCACGGCCATTGAAGTCCGTCCGGTAGAGCGACGTTGCCGAATCGACAACAAGCAGCGAGAACCGAGTCTCGCACATCATTTGTGATGCTTGGTTAAGCAGCTGGAGCTGATGATCGGAGTTGTACGCGCGAGCATATGCCACATTGTCAAGGACTTCCTCTCCGACAAGACCGAATCTCTGGGCAACGGCGAGCAGTCGCACCGGTCGGAAAGTGCCCTCGGTGTCGATGTAAAGACATTTACCTTCGCCCCCGCCCATATCAAAGGGAAGTTGGCAGGTCACCGCAAGCGTATGACATATTTGACTTTTACCGGTTCTGAATTCGCCGAAGATTTCGGTGATCGAGCCCGTCTCGATGCCGCCCCCTAGTAGAGTGTCCAGTTGTTTTGAACCCGTTGTGATCGAGATTAGTTCGCTTCGTCGCGCATGCATTTCCGTGGCTGTTGTGAATCCCATCGGCACAAGCTTCGCGGCTGTTCAAGAGTATAGTTAGTCATCGGTCCAATGACATAGGCATAGGCTTGTCACGATGTGACTGAAATTTCTGGCTTACCTTCAATGAGAACTTTTGTAGCCTTCTGCTCGGAGATGCCCTTGATCTGTTCCAGCACCCGCTTGGGTCTGACGCCGGGTCAGCCGCATTGATCCTATGGATAGAAACGAAAGCGAACAGGGTACGTACGTATATGCAACAGCTTCGACCGTACGATAGCCTTCATCGACGAACAGCTTGATATCTCTCGCCGTGAGCCCCGCAACTCCCTATGTGACGAGCCACGAATTAGCATCCCGATGCACTCCATGCGCGTGTTATCACCTCAGTCTCTCACCTCCAAGGCAGAGAGTGGCGTCGGCGCTCCTGGGCCCGGAAGCCCACTCTCATCGTACTCATTCTGGGTGTCCATGTCGGCAGTCATGTTGGTTGACAAGAAGTACGACGCGCAGCACGTGCCGATGTTGATTCTTAGGCGCAGGTGATTGGATTTCTGTTGCTGGGGGGGAAGGGTCTGTTCGCCGATTCAGGAGGGGTGAAGGCAAATTCTGATTGTACAGCCAGACGGCAACCTGCAGCAATAAATTCGTTGAGGTGGCGAATGGCAACGATCGGAGTCAATCGTCGAGGTGTTGTGGACGCGTCGAGCCGTCACGACGTCACGTGGACTAGGCAGTGAGGCCGCCGCGGATATGAGGAATCTAGGTTAGCCTCGTTGCCTGCGGGCGGTGCTGCCTGGGAAAGCAGGCATCCTTTTCTATCCCGACTGACGATGGCCTTGAATAAGAACTCGGCGACTTGATAGAAATCAGTGCAAAAAAATGATTATTATATTTGAAGAGGTCCATTACTGACTATGCTACTTATGTATGATAGTTAGTTAGGTAGCTTCTTGTTGTGAGAAAAGATGTGAGGCGAAAAGTTCAAAAAAGAACACCGAAAAAAAGAATCAAGAAGCAAAAAGAACAGTTGTCCAACCAAGCAGCCAACTTCCCTGTAACGGGTAGGTGTAATCTGGTGACGCCATCCTAGGGTGAAGATGTCTCTGCAGAATTGCTTCCCTCAAGGGTCATCTTCATTGCTTAATGCCTCCTAGCATCGTGAATTACTTGCACGAGTAAGATGACAACCCCCGGATTCGTACCAGGCACCTCTCCCGCTGGCGCGAACGCCGAAGCAAGGTTACTGGCTTAGCGGTTGACTCTCCCGCTCGACTATCCGTAACAGATGGAATAGACGACCCAAAACTTGGTTTTAAGTAGGTACGGTCGCAGGTCAACACCATCACTTCTTTGCTCTTGATCTTTCTACTGTGTTCATATCTGTATCTCATCTTTATTCTAGGCAGGAATTGGAATTTAATGTTTAAGGGCTTGTCATGTCTTTGGTCATTTTCTTTCTTTCCTACTACATACCAATATCTTAGTCGCCAATGTCAATCAATAGTCATGCTGTTCTCCGGTCAAATCGCCAGAATATATAGAGCCATTTAAGGTGACTATATCGGCATATCACCCATATTGCCAAATAACAAGGCAGAGACACACCGGCAGCCGTTTTAATGCTACGGCCGCTTTGAAATCCTACACCAACATTAAAACCGCAATCCCACCCACACACATCTCTGAACCTACGCCAATACGACTCGCACCCCTATTACAGTAATCAAGGCCTCCCCTGCACCCCTGTCGGTACACGGCACTGTTCGTCGCCTGGGGTAGTACATATGCCATCATTGCATACTTGTCCAGGCACAGTTCATGTTTGAAAAGCAGTCACATAAAGAGAAGAGGTTATGAATGATAATCGCTGAACGACAACCAGTGTGCATACTACAATGATCGGGTTCCTCATTTGAATATAAAATACTGTCTCTGCGGCCTAAGGACTGCGACACCTCCAGGGCCATCGATGCCAACTGCCTCATCATCCTGCAAAGAGGCATCTACTGGGGAGACATCCGGTTATAGTAGGAGTGGACCGTGCAATTGTTGGATACCGTTGGTAAATATTAACTTATGCCAAGAGGAGGTTAATACTTAAAGCAATCCCAACCAGCTAGATAGAAATGGATAAGACATATAAAGCAAGCCAGATCTATTGCGTGCACTGTCCTGCGTTGATCCAACCGTGGATATACTCCGGAGGAAGAAGGAAAGACGCCGAGACGGGCATACTCCGTCCAAACTTCAAAGGGAACCAACACTTTTCTCCACGGCCAGTGGGGCAACCCTATGCGCCGGACAAATTCCAGGGCGCCGTGGCCAATGGCAGCGCCATCATCGCACGACGATCGTGCAGCGTCCTTACATCAAAGCACCACCTCACTTCACAATTTGTACCGACGCCGAACCGCCGATCATGTGAGGGTTGGGGTTCCTTCAATTTGGCCACCCTTCTCGCTCTTGTCCCAAGTTCCATCTCCGTTAGACTTCAGCCTGCCTTCCCCTTCTTCCTTCCCCCCTCTCGTGTTGGCCTCGGAAGCCCTATGTCCGATTCTTTCCCGCGCATTCAGCCCTTCTCTCCTGTCCCATTATTATGGTTCCGTTCCGCAACTTCTTGGCCAAAAAGTCCGCCGCGCCCAATGGCGGGGAGGTCGATACCAACCTCAACAATGGTCGCTTATCTGCTGAAAACCCCAGCTCAACGGCCGTGAACATCAGGAAAAGTTCAGACAACGAGCCGCCCGAATATAAACTAAGTGGTATGCCCGGGTTTTGTTCAATGCGAACGGCTTGACCCCGCTAACGTTGGGCTGTGGAACACAGTGGTCGACGACAATGGCGCTTACCTTCCGGTATCTAAAACCCTTTCCTCTTCATGTTTCTCATTTAAATCCTGTTCCTCTGAAATCTTGCGACATGGCTAAACTCGATAAATAGCCATCCCCTCCGGAGAAACAGAGTTTCTGGCGACGATACCCAGGCTCCTCGAAATCATCGAATCACCGAGATCTAGTCGACGACAATGAACCCTTCTCCATATCCCGCGAATCATTCGATTCATACCGACGGTCCTTTGTGAGTTTATTCTGTTGCCCGAGATCATGACCCCATCTCGCGCGGGGAAACATTCCCTGCTCACATTTGCTGCCAAGGACATCTCCGCCCGCTCGCCCGTGAGCTACAGCGACGCAATGCCCTCCCGAACCTCCCTCGACTCTCGCTTCTCCCGCATGACCTCGCCATCCCGCACACACTCCGGATTCGAGAAGAAACCGGAATCAATGGAGGAAGAATTCGAGGACGTGGGACTCGACGACGAAGAAGCGAAACCGAAGAAGAAGGGCATCTTTTCGCGCCTCGGCGATCTCACCGGCGACTCGCAGACATCATCCTCGAATTCCAAGTCCTCCCACTTGGGCTTCCACATCCCCGGCAGGAAACGGGGACAAAGCAACGTGGGCTCGGAACTTGGCGCCATGAAAACCCCACCGCAGGGCGCAGAGACCGCAGAAGTGCGCGAGGGCTGAGAAATTCTCCTCGCGGATTCAGTACAATGTAATTGGGGGGTTTTTTACCGGGGCGTTTGAATGGGGCCGATTAATGAGACATGCGACCTGACCTACCTTCTCTTCTTGCTACAACTTTGTTGGTTCCTGGGTTGTTTGTTGGATGATTTGATGATTTGTAGTTTGATCATCATTGCTGTATACAAACCGATTGCTTGTAATGCACCTAATGTTAAGTTTCAATTATAGAACTCTGACTTGCTTTTAATTTCACTGTTTATCATGTTTGCTTCTATTTTCTTGCAAGAATCTCAAAAATAGTCCGATGAAGATCCCACCCTTTGCTTATCAGTGGAGTGCAAACAGTGCAAACGCCACCCGACCGCTCTCAAGAAAAAAAAAAAAAAAGCAATTCCGCGGCAATAAATTTATCGGCGCAGAAAATTATCCAAGCCGGCGGCATTCGTTCCAGACTTGCTCCGCTTGAACATTTCCACCTCTTGCACGTCCTATCCTTTTCTTTTTCTTTTACCGAAAAAAAGTAGGACATAGATCATCATGGTCGGAGTGAAACGTCCAGTTGACGGCGCCGACGGGCGCAACGGCAAACGAACGAAGACGAAGACGGCCGTTCCGACGAAGAAGGACAAGTCTGCGTCGGTGAAGAAGGCCGTTTCGAAACCCGAGTCCAAGAAGGGCGACAAGTTCGGAAAGAAGGACAAGAAGGCCCCGGCTAAGAAGAAGGTCGAGGAGTCGGAAGACGATGACGAGGATGATGATGAATTCGACCTGGATGATGTTTCGGATTCCGATATCGACGGGGAGAGTGGATTCCAGGACGACGAAGATGTTGGTATGGAGGATGTGAATGACGACGAGGAGGACGAGGACGAAGATGAAGATGAGGAGGAAAAGAACTCTGCAGAGCCTGCGAAGAGTAGGTCCTTCTCTTGACACTGCCTGGCATGTCGGATTTGAGCTAACGGTCGTGAATTCTAGATGGCAACAACAACAACTCCCGCGAATCGCACATCAAGCAGAAGGCTCTCCAGCAAGAGCGTAAAGCCGCCCGACCCAACGCCGATATAATTCTCCGTTCGAAGCAGCTGTGGGAGCGCCTGCGTCGCAAGTCGCACGTTCCGCTGGAGGAGAGAAAGAAGCTCATCGCCGAGCTTTTCGGAATCATTACCGGACGGGTTAAGGACTTTGTGTTCAAGCACGACTCGGTCCGTGTTATCCAGACCGCCCTGAAGTATGCGAACACCGAGCAGCGCAAGCAGATCGCCAAGGAGTTGAAGGGTCACTACAATGAACTGGCACAGAGCCGATATGCCAAGTTCTTGGTCGGCAAGCTGATCGTTCACGGCGATAACGAGACCCGCGATTTGATCATCCCCGAATTCTATGGCAACGTGAAGCGACTGATTCGTCACCCCGAGGGATCTTGGATTCTTGACGATATTTACCGCATGGTTGCGACACCGGAACAGAAGGCTGTCCTCCTTCGGGAGTGGTACGGAGCGGAATTTGTGGTTTTCAGAGACGAGAAGAAGTCGCCCTCCGCCGAACTCTCCGAGATCTTGAAGGAATCGCCCGAGAAGAGAGCGCCCATCATGAACTACCTCCGCGAACTCATCAACCAACTTATCCAGAAGCAAAGTACTGGATTCACAATGCTGCACGACGCCATGCTGCAGTACTTCTTGAACACGAAACCGGGCAGCTCGGAGGCCACCGAATTCATCGAGCTGCTCAAGGGCGACGAAGAGGGAGATCTGGTGAAGAACCTGGCTTTCACCAAGTCCGGCTCGCGGTTGATGTGTCTGGCCCTGGCTTACTCCAATGCTAAGGACCGCAAACAACTCACCCGTTTCTACCGAGACACCATCAAGATCATGGCGGGCGACCTCCACGCCCACATGGTCCTTTTGGCTGCATATGAAGTGATTGACGACACCAAGCTTACCGCTAAGCTGATCTTCCCCGAGCTTCTGAATCAGAGCGCAGATGCCGAAACTCGCATCGAGGAGCTGATGTTCCAAGTGACCGATTTGACAGCACGTATTCCCGTTCTGTACCCGTTCGCAGGAGACCGAGTCAAGTGGCTTTTGCCCGACATGGACCAAGAAGTCCTAAAGGAGATTCGCGAGGTGCGCAAGGAAACGTCGAAGAAGGACCCGGAAGTTCGACGCCAGGAGCTGATCAAGGCTGCGTCTCCCAACCTCCTCGAGCTCATCGCTGCGCGCGCCGACGCGTTGCTCGAGACCAGCTTTGGCTGCCAATTCATCTCGGAGGTCCTGTTCGACGCCGACGGAGACAAGAGCGAGGCTCTGTCTGCCGTTGCCACCGCCGCCAAATCCAGAGCCGACACCAAGGATTCGCCGTTCGTCGGCCGGTTGTTGAAGTCTCTCGTCCAGGGTGGACGATTCAACGCCGCCACGAAGGCCGTGGAGAAGGTGCAGCCGGCCCTGAACTTCCACGGGCTCCTGTATGAGCAGATCTCCGACGAGATCATGTCGTGGGCCACGGGCTCCAACACCTTCGTGGTGGTGGCTCTGGCGGAGTCGGACGAGTTCGAGAAGAAGGCCGAGTTGCTGAAGACGCTGAAGAAGAACAAGAAGGCCCTGCAGAAGGCCGTGGACTCCGGGAAGGATAATAAGAAGGCAGGACCTGCCAGCAGCGGTGCGAAGCTGCTGCTTGCGAAGATCTAGTTCGTCTGATAGAGGCTTGTATTTGTATGTTTTTGTATGTGTGCAAGCTGAGGATATTCTTTAATGCTGTTTGGATCTCAAGGTTCTAGGGTTTGCATCTTTCATTTGTACAGGGTCTGAGATATTTTTTAGGACCGAGAAAGCTATAAAAAGCATTTGATTTTTTCTTATTTCCCCGGGTTTATACATGATCATTCTGGGATTTAAACCCGTAGATACCTTCTGGGAGGACAATTGCAGTCTCCAGGGCTACTTTTAATACTTGCAAAAAGAGCGCGAAAGGGGAGAATCATCGTACACAGGCAATTAAACAGACAGCTATACAACCAACAAATTTCGTTGCTATCGTCACAGATGGAAGACTCAGGAGAGGTAATGATCCTTGAATTTTTGGACTTCAATCTCAATTAGCAGTGTTCACTCTCACCCTGAGATATTTACCGCTTACCTTCTGTTGCCAGATCAGACCACTTCCTGATAATTTTCGCTTTCTCATGCCCGAGAATAATCTCGTTCGCAGGCTCGCTAGTGTTTTCGATCGCGTTCTGGATGGCTGTGAGGTCGGTTATGACCACACGGACGGAACCTTCATACACACAATTGAGTCTTGCTCTGGGCCATTGATAGAGAACTGGCCTTACCTAACGCTAGTTGTAGGTTCTGCAAAGCTCCTCCTGACTGAGCCTCCATATCCATAGCGGCCACTTTGTCCTGAAGTGAGATTCTCAGCGTGAATACTGAATACTAACCCCAATCGGTTGACAGATAGCAAACAGTTCTGTACGCACTCGTATATACTTCAGCGCAGCGAGATCGTCTTCCAAATCGTCTTCCGGATCATTCTTGCGAAGTAGATCCTCCAGCTCCGAGTCGTCGAGGTTTCTCAGAATGGTTTTCAGCTGGTCCTCGCACGTTTTCACCCCGTCGGTGCCGTCCTTCATTTCGCCGAAGGTAGTGTCCGTCTTCGTCTCCAGAGTCGTCACACCGTCCAGTCGGTCAGCAGTGAGCTTTCTGACTTGCTCCCGCAGCGCTTCATTGTCGGGGTCGTTGGTCAGGTCGTTCAAGCCTTGGAACAACGCATCTGCCGTTTCGAGTAATCAGCAATTGACGGCCAAGCATGCTCTGGGAAGGTTGTCTTGGCTTCAATACCATAATCACTCTGCGCTGTGGACGCAGTGCTTAAAATCAGGTCACAGACCGTGCCTACTTCCCTGTATCCGTGCTAGAAGAGCGAGTGTAAATAAGCCTGTTTCCTTTCCTCTCTTCCTAAATGAGATGACGTGTTGCACATGGTCCCAACTTACCCCAAGCCCCTGGATGGACTGCACAGCCTAATTTCGCAAGTCAGCATAGGTCGCGGACAAAAGCTGAGCCGGCAGACAAGACTCACACTATAGCAGGTGTCGACGAGCGGAATGAAATAAGTATTGAGCTTTTGATAGTGAGCTCATTGCCGAGGCAAAGTAGGAACATGGGAGGTAGAGGCCATACGATATTCCACCCCATCGGGGATATCCCGCTCCAGTATTGAAAGCGATCCTGGGTGTATGGTAATTCCAGACTTGCGTTGACGGCTGTCTGGAGGTCCTGAAACGAGGGTCCATCGCAGACAAAGCTGCCCTCGACGAGCAGGCCGCGCGGAGTGAGAAAGTCGTCGTCGTCAGAAGACATTTTCGGTAATTTGGGGAAGGGGGGGATGCGATACTGCGTTCTCTGGAGGGTGATTAGTTCCAGCTCGCGTTCCTCGACAAGGAGCCTTTATAGATGCTTTGAAGTACATATGCAGCTGTTAGAAGAACAGGGATATCTGCTTCAATCTGCCGGTTGATGCGCATTTTTTCCCTGGAAATTTTGAACGCCGCTTGCGAATGCCATATCTCATCTTTCATGCCACTTATTAATTGCTGCGTCACTCGGGACGACCGGGAAAACTCCCGAGTGGTTCTGTACGGCAGCAGAGTTGGAGGCGTGAGATCTAGACCTGCTTCCAGCCCTTCTGCAACCACGCCACGGGGGAGGATAATTATGCTATCTAAACCGCATAGATGCAGATAATCACTGCATTGTGCCTAGTCGTAAGCATGCACCGAGGGGGAGTTTGATCTTGTTCTAATCAGATAACCGATTTCTACTGATAATCTGTCTATATGAGATATCTATTAGCGATTAAGTTGTCTCTTGACTGAACAGCTATGCTCCATCGAAACAAGGGCCCGAAGAATTCTCCTCACGCAATGTTCGTCTCGGCCAATGACTTGCGTGACGCATAGTGACGCTTTCAACACCGCATCCAGGCCATTGTCGGTGCTATAATCCCGAGAAGGAACTCGGACATGCAACTCAGACATAAAAGGGCGTTCTTCATCCATTGTCCCCTTCAAATCCAAGCAAATCCTCCATTCACCTGCATAAGACTTTCGAAGCCTTTACTCAGGAATTCGACAGAACCTTGTCCTGCCCCACCCCAAGATGAGCGACAAGCCCCCCGATGATCCTACCCGATGGTATCCCCTCGGCCAGTACGTCGAAGATGAGGATAACTACAGCGGGAACCGTGTCGGGGTTGCTGACGACGACGATGGAGGCCAAACCTTCACCCTGGCTCGAGAAGACATGGCGGCGCTGAACCGATTCACTCAAACAGGCCGAATGCTCCCCATGACTCGCAATGGATATGAGGTTCAAATGGGTCTCACCAGCGAGGCCGAACTGACTGACCAAGTCTGGAACGCGGTAGACACGATGCTCCTTACCTTTAAAACCGTAAGTTGTATACATACAAACCATTGCACTATCCTCTGACATGCCTTTGAACGTACCAGATCAATAACGACTGCAACTCCTTCTTGAGCGAAGAAGGCAATGGAGACGCGGGCAAGGGCACTTGGGCCAAGACTGTTGACGTTGCTGCTCAGATTTGGACCTATAGCGACAATGCCGGGGGTGAGGCCGGCGACTCGTTTTACGAGAGTATGCTTGCGGCTGTCAATGCCTTCAATGAAGCAACCAATGAGGACGACAAGAACGCACAGAAGGATTTGATCAAAGAGTATACGGACATGCAGAAAAAAGATTGCTCAGCACTCGCGACGGCCGCCGAAACAGTCGAGACTGAGCTGGGTGCGTTTCAGACCAGGTGCTCGGGCTATGCCACAGAACTTACAGGCCATGAGAAAACGATGGAGGGTCTCCTGCAGCAGGAGTATGGCGATATTGAGTGTCTGAAGGCGGACATTGAAAAGCAGACCGCTATTATCAAGTCAAAGCAGAGCAAGATTGATGCAGGTAAGCTTCCAGCCGAACCCTTTTCTCGCCAGAAAGTACCAACACAAGATCCAGACCGCCTCATAGAAAAGCAAGAAGCCTACTACGAGTGGATGTAAGTTAGATGTTCCCATGACTAGAGCGTGGCTGACACCTAGGAAAAGTCCCTTCGTTGGCGCCATTGCCGCTGCTATCGTAACGGCGGTGATGGAAACCAATATTGCCGACCTGGAAGATGCGATCAAGAAGTTGCAGGACATCATCGCCTCGGACCAAGAGAAAATCCGAGTTGTAGGAGCTGTGCAGGGCCATGTTACCGGCATGAAGGTCAGGCTTATATTTTCCTTTTCTAGTTGACACCTACGGGTCGGTTGACAGACAACGCTTTCCCTTCGATATGCTGACCACGATTCCCCCCCCCAGACCGAAATCCACGAACTCAATGACGTTCTTACACCGGCCATCACGACGCTGGGGAAGCTGAAAGGAGCCTGGCAAGCCATGGGGACCATGCTGGACGCGCTGAACGCGGCATTTAGCAAGGCCAACGATGAAATTGACTACCCAAGCATAGAGAAGAACGAGCTTGATAAGATCCGGCGCAAGTGGAACGACCTTCGAAGCTACAGTGAGTAGGCCAGTACTTCTATTCGATGACCAACGAGAACCCTAACATGTCTCTTAGCACAAACGTATCAGGAGGTCGCATATCTGACCGACGTGCCCAAGGCGACTTCCTTCGGGCAATATCTGGATGAGTTGGAGCAATCAAAGAAGTCCCTCAACTGATTCTGGTCATTGATCTCAGGGCGGGTGTTGCCTATATCGATTAGCATCATCACAGATTTTCACTAAGTTACCTAATAGTTATTGAAATGCATTCTGTTCTTCATCCTCAGAGCATACCAAGTAGAGAGAGAGAGAGAGTCTAGAGGAATCAATGGAAAGCCGTTGATGACTAATATCGGCACATCACATGCTCAGCACAATGAAAAGAACTTCCAAGACTCGACAATCTGAATCTTCTCGTCGAATGAAATGAGATTGTCCGACGCGGCATTGAGAAAGAGCCCGTCGATTTATCCCAATGACTTGCAGATTCAGGGTAGCAGCAATCAGTCCTGCATGGAATCTCCAAATAATTCAGGGGTTGGCTCAGGCCCGTTCAGCGCTAAGAATAAGCCGGTCGGCTTCTCCTTAAGCCGGACTGGCGCAAGGACCGTGGGCGTCCCTCCTGCTAGCCAGAATACTTATTAAGTATTCGCCCATCTAATCTCGGTTTGATGATGATCTCCGCCTGCAGGTGGTTTTTAAACTTGGCCCACCTACCCTGCGGTGGGTGCTGCTTGGCCTGGAAAGGTGGTGATGGCCACAGGTTCCAGACTGTTCAGCCTTCACGAATCTTGACTTGGTTCCTGTCTGCGCCTGTCGGACCCTGGAAATGTCAGACCAACAGCCGGAAGAATTTGAAAGCCACTAATTGTCTAGTTTGATGACCACTTGCTTCTCTCGGCCCCATGGCAGAATCAACCAGAGGGTGGATTAATCTGACTACCACAAATTAGCGATGATTATTGAATTCGGCCTCATCAACGGTCGATCCCCACGGCTCAGATCCCTGCCTTTTCGGGGCCAGTCAGGCAGGGCAAAAAAAAAAAAAAAAAAAAAAAAAAAAAAAAAAAGCCGGACCGTGGTTCACTCAGGGACAAAAGAAGAGCGAGGAGAGGAAAAGTGACTGCCCAATGGACGCCCTTCTGGTTTGTTATCCTTCATGATTCTTCTGCTTCTGACTTCTGACGGCCATTTCAACTGCTTCTTCTTGTTCTACATCTTACTTTAATTGCTTTTTAATTCCTAATTTCCAAGTCCTTAATCCTTGCCCGCTCTTTCGCTCATTTCCTTTTTTCCTTTGTCCCTCTATACCTTTCCCTCTCTTAATCATTTGCTCTTGGCAATTACTATCAATTGTTTTAATTGACCGATCTGGTTGTTTCGCATTTTGGCTTTGCGACTGCATCTACATCCCACCTACAGCTAATAAACCTATCCCTTCGTTACCCTCATTTGGCTTTGCAGATCCAAACACCCTCTTCGAACGGAAAAGCAGACGATCTCTCGCATCCTCCATGGCCTTGTTTTGAGTTGGATCATCGCTCCGTCGTTCGAAATCTGGGTTTATCGTTGGCCCGTCACACCCCTCTCGTGTGATCTCTCACCTCCCCAGTCAAAAACAACATGGCCCATGTTGCAACCTCTGCAGAGGATGCGAGACACCCCCCGCCCATCCCTCCCTCGCCGACGCTATCGAACCCGGATATGATCCTGCCATTCGACGGCAACGAGCGCGAATCCTCCACTCCATCACCTCCATTTAACCTACCGTCCCTGTCCCACCTGCAGTCCTTCTACGGACCTCGAACCGCGTCCACTGATTTCGCCGGCGATTCCACCAGAAACGGTACCTACGCGCCCGTCTACCGACCGCAAAAGAAGGGGTTCCCGCGCCACACGTGGCTGCACGAGGGTCACGAGGCCAGTCGTCGCTTATCGGATATCGGAGAGGAGGATACGCCGTCCCCGGCATCATATTTGGGCGGATTTTCGAAGAATGCACACGTTGTGACCAGCTCCCCCGTGCCATATCGCGTCGCGGAGGACAACGAGAATAAGGATGCCGGTGCGTGGAGTAGCTCGTCTAGCTCGACAATTAGTGCCACTAGCGAAACCTCTTCGGAAGGGACTAAGGGGCGTGCACAAGGCCAGAGTGTTGTGTCTCAGGAGGTTGACAGCATGAATAATGATCAATTGAGGCAAACCATTCGGGCCATTGAGACTGGCACCAATGGTGACCCTTCGCGTCTGAGCGTGGTGTCGACCACGGAGGAAGGGAGTCCGGCCGATGAGCTGTCATCCGTGATTTTAAGCAGCGAGGCGGAAAGAATTCTCGAAAATGCAAAGAAGCGACTCACGGTATGTTGGATTGATATGGGAACAAACCAAAGGGAGTTTTGACTAACGGTTCCACTGCAGCTCATGGAAGGTAATCTGACGCGGGCCCGTTCATCGGTGCGCGTCTCCCCGTCACTGCCGACGTCGCCAACGCCGTCCGGCAATCAGCCACTCGGACTTGGTCAGCCAGTCGGCGGCCTGTACCAATCGATCTCTCGGGCTGATCGCAGGGTGTCCACGCTACGCCCTCGTGCAACGTACTCGGCCTCCCAGGATTCGTCGAACAATCGCCATTCGCGTGTGTATAGCGAGACCACCCTTCCGTCGACGTCCCTGTCGAGTCTACCACCCGCCTCGCCCAGCCTGTCCCGGTCGATGAGTGCTCTGGGATCGAGCACCGCCTCCAATTTCAACAACGATGACCGATCGTTTCAATATGCCCCCAACCGAGCGTATCTCACCCATCGCGCATCTATCAACTCCCTCCAGCCCGCCTCGCAAGAACAAAAACCCTCCGATACCCCTCACGGCTTGGGGATCTCGACACCGGAAGAAAATGACCAGCTCTCGACTGTCGATGAGTTCGATTCGAGCTACCAAACCTATGATCCCCCATCTCGCTCACAGTCGCAACTTCAGGTCCGAGACCTCCAAGATCAGATGAAGGGGCTGCACATCAAGATATCTAGTTTGAAGGTCAAAACACAGGAGGATAATCTACGGCGACGGAGCTTGCAGAGCTTGCGAACCCCGAGTCCGCTCACCGCTGCGGATCATTGGTATAACAACCCGCTGGAAACGAGGGATCATAGTAACCTGAACCCGGGGCGTGGACATACCCCGGACTACGCTCGGGAACGGCGATCCAACGAATCCAACCGAGAGCGCGATCATGCTCGATATGGACAGGAAACAGTCGGCGCCAATGGTACTGCACGGCCAAGCGGGCAACATCACGCCCCGCCCGCTTCTCGAGCCCACCAACCAGCGGAGGAGGACGACAACCAGTCAGTGATCGAAAGCCTCTACGAAGATGCCCAGGAGGGAGAGTACGACACGGACGGCTCGTCGGGCTCGGAAATCGACCGGGAAGCTCTGGATGAAATTCTGCGCGAGCCGTTGGACGACGACCTCCAGGATCCCTTGGGATCCTTCCCCCCCGTGCCCGTGAATCAGGATTCTCGGCCTCATGAGGAACGCGAAGATGCTTTCGACTACGAGCATTTCATTCTCCACAGTGCTTTAGGAAACTACACGCAGAACCGAATGCGCAGGAAGAGTGAAGTGTCGACTTCATCCGTCGAAACCACGCGACCTGCTCAAGATAGCCAACCCCCCCGTCATGCCCGGACGAACAGTGACGCGTCGGTTTCCACCATGGCGACATTCGCAACTGCTACAGAAGGAGATCCCGATGATTTCGAAAACGTGCTGTACTGGGATCGGAGATTCAATGCCGGTAAGATTGCTCTACATAACAGTAAACAGTACATGAATTCTAAGCGATGCTGACAACATGGTAGAATTGCTTGCTCACCCTCAATATGCCGAAGAAGAGAACGGCGACGAGTCTGAGAATATGGGGACCCCACGAGCCAACCGGCAGCGAGATAGCAACGAGTATTGGCCTGCGGAGTCGCTCACGACACCCCAGCGGTCTGAATCTACGACGACGGGTTCTGCCACTCCGACGGCCCTGGCATCGACTCTCGTATCGACGGTGCGAGCGGCCGCTAGCCCTCACCCCAACTCGGAGAATAGCAACATGGGTCTCAACAACGACGATACGCGGCTGCTGGAGCATCTGTTTCAAAGCCTGGGAGATGTCTGCATGGATCTTCAGACCATCACGACCTCTGCCGACCCGGATCCCAAACATGTGCGGCTGCTGCGGTGGCGATTGGACGCGGCTCGACGCGTGCTGGACGGAGAGCTTGATACTGATTGATTGATTAATTGATTTTGCGCGGTGGTAGTTGACGAAAGGACGGTTGATATTTGATACCCTGATGTTTGATTTCTCGTCTTTCTGTCTTTCTTGTTGACCATGTTTTTTGGCCTCTGGTTCTATGTGCGAGGATATACATATATAGCATTGATCTGGGCTGACGGGAGGAAGCCCGCAGCTCGTCTAATAGAGTAATGTATAGAATGAGTTACATGAGATATCAAACTGATCATCATCATACTCCGACTATGAGGCAGAAATCCCAGCAAGTGGGGAGCTGACTAAGCGGGATGTCGATCCGAAAGAGGCAGGTCGCGCTGCTCGTGGGAAAAGAATCCACGCCGTTCGTTCAATCACTCCCTGCTCTGGTTAAATTATCGTCCGGTCAACTTTCCCCTGGCTTCTGCACTCAGACACGTTCCTGGTCTGCCACTTCCACCGCCACCCGCGTCTTCTGCTCGAACGCGCGATCGATCGGCGCATCTTCCCCGCTAAGAAGGGAAACTCGCGCGGAACATTATTCCTGGCCTGCATATTGTCGCGACCATCATATCCAAAATGAGCACTCCACACCCCAGTCGCCGTCTCTTGATCTTCCAGGAGGCGCGCAATCCCCAGTCCTCCGAGATGGTCTACCTGCCCGTCAACAAGCTGGGTCTTCCCATCTGCGGACCGGGCCCCGAGATGCCTTCGATCCTTGAATTGCCGCTGCGCGCGTTGAGGGCGTTTACTGAGATCTTCAATCAGCCCAAATATAAGGGATGGTGTGTGCTTACATCTCTCTGTCCTGGTGTAATGAATGAACTAGGTGCTGACTATCTCTAACAGGTCGATTCTCGCAGCTGGCCCGTATCATGATACCTCCGAGGAGGGCAAGTTCTATGCCGTGATCCTGGAGCAGGCGAAGGATTCCTTCCATCCCAGTGACTCAACTGGCCCATGATCTCTTTCTCGCTAGCTGCCTAGCTGCCTAGCTGCCTAGCTACCTAGCTGTCTGCCTGTCTGTCTGCTGGGTAAGGGGAGTGCAGATGGATTGTATGCTTAATGTTGATGGATGGTTCTTCCTTGCCATGGAACTGGCCCAGTTGATGTTATTTTCATGTGTATGACGCGTTGATGATCTTGATGAGACCTTTGGTTGCTTTCTGTTTTGTTTTCTCCCTGTAGATCTTTTTTGCTTGTGTGTACAAAGTTGTTGCTTGGGTGAGGCGTTGTGAGGTGGTGCACGTTTCCCAGAAGATTCTCTCCTGTCTGCTGCCTGCCATTCACTTGTGCCAGTATGCCAGTGAAGGTCATGACACTGATGAGTTCTGTCTTGTTGGATTCACCTGGCAAGTTGATTCACGTGTGAGGGTTCACTGGTTCTTGAGTTTCTACTTCTTTACCTCTCTACCTCTCTTCCCTTCTTTCCTTCCTTCCTTCCTTCCACCTCCACCTCACCCACTATCCTCCCTCCTGACCTCTCCTACTTTCTTTTCATTTATTATTCGTTATTTCGATATCACCTGTATCACTTCTATTCCATATAAAGGTATCTTATCACTTTTATCTTATCATTACTCCATCCAGCATGACTGCCGTAAGTTCTCTTGCCCGTCTCCTTCCCTTCTCCATCCCCTGCACGAGAGACCCAACTGACCCAACTGAACCTATCCAAGAACGCAAGCAAATTGCTCCTCATATTTGCCAAGAAGAACAATCAGATCTTGCCCCTGAATTGTCCCGGTCTCCCTATCACCGATTCCTGCCCCATCATTGCCACCGGCAAGAAGAACTTTGTGACCGACCCTCTTCTGTTGCTTCACATTTCGAGCAGCATCAAGAGCAAACCGGCTAAATATGGCGGATAGTAAGTCCTCTTCCAAGCCGCATCTTTGATTGGCATTGGTTCTGGATGCTGATTCTTTTACAAGCTTCTTCCATCTGAGTTTCCAGGATGAAGACAAGCAGTTTTACTACGTGATCCTGCAGAAGGGTGATTCGGATGTCGCAGAAACCAAGTCTGCTTCTGACCCCATCACTAATGAAAGTGGTTGGGCTGATGATGACCATCTCGCTGGTGGATGGGATGTCCTCCATCACCCTGACATTCAGGCTATTGACCAAACTGAGTGGTGCTCAACTCACCCCGACCCTGCCGTTGATTCTCATGATGGCGATTCCGTCAGACACGACACCCATGAAGATGCTGCTGTGACCTGTACCTGTGGTCATATGGGTGGCTGGGATTGTCATTGTCATAGTTTCGACGGTCCTGTCAAACATGATGCTCATGAAGATACTGCTGCGAAACTTGCCGGTGATCATGGAAACAGTTGGGGATGCGGTTGCGATGAAAATTCCTGGGGATGCAGTTGCATTGAATATGACTGGATGTGCCAGTGTCATGATGCCACCCAGCGACGTGACAGTTCTCGTGTTGCTCATACCCATGAAATGAAAGACCACGACGAGGGCGATGACCGGCTCCCACACGCTCACCCAGCTTCTTATGTGAGATCCAAGAGGGCCCACAGACGCAGAAAGCACAATGTCAACAAAGATGTGACATCCTGGTACACCGAGCCGAGCACTCAAGTTGCAGAATCTGGGTGCTCTCCTTCCACCAAGCGTTTCTTGCGCTCGCGCTTCGGATCGACCAAAAAGGTTGCATCCACCCGGGGCGATGGCAGAGAGAACGGTAATTGGACAGCAGTTGGTGACTCCTCCGTGGGTGGCTGGAGTGTCGACTACGACTATAGCGATACCAAGTCGCCTCCTTCCTCTGCAGGTCCCCGAGCCCCCTCCCCGGCCACTGTAGTATCTTCTCGAGCCACGGAGGCCGACAGAAACCTTTCTGAGTATGATGACACTGCTTCAGGTGATAACTTGAACCGCGCAGCCAATAACTTCACCAGTGCCTGGTGATGAATTCGCATATGACAGCGATTTTGATTTCGATATCATTGAGTGGACCGAGGAAGACGCGGGTCTGAATTACAGGGCTATGGAGTTCTAAGTCAGCAGTTCTCCTCAGGGGAGTTCTCAGTGGTTGGTAAATGGGTCCTAGGCTTTTTCTTCTTCAGTTTTTGGAAACCGGGAAAGGTTCTACTTGGGTGCTTACTTGCTTTGCTAGTCTTGATTTGGAAGTTTCTTTTTGGCTTTTTGGCTTGGTCTTTTTCTTATTCTTCATTTTCCTCATTGTCTTTTCATATCACTATCTTCATCTACACCCGCACCGACGCTGATGTTGACGCAAGTGGCCGTCTTTTTTCCTCCCTCTCTGATCATTTCCTTTCTGTTCTAGCAGGGAATGGGCATCATCACTTGGAAAAAGCTGGGTTGATCTACGGCCATGTAGCTGCCAATAAACTGCGTTCGCTGGTCGAATACTACCTCCAGTCCGGAGTACGTGGGACTCCAAGTATAGGATACCTTCGTAGCTCTTCTAATCCTCTTGGACATCCATTCAATTTCAATCAGATTCATTCAAGCTACACAGAATGAAACGAAGACAAAGAATTTGAACCATGTCACATACACAATACAAGACAACATCATCAACAGCAGCAACAACAACAACAAACTAAAACCAAGGAAAGAAGAAAACAAAAACAAAGGCAAACTAGAACCTCAACCCGCTGAAATAGAAAGATTCCTCATGATCATTGACGATGTGTCGTTTCATACCTAATCCTAAGAAAAGCAGTAGCTACTACCCACCGCACCGGACCTACCTACCTAGGATAGAAAAAAAAATAGAACAGAATAGAAGAGAGCAGAAGAGAATAATCCCTAAACATGCACATCCACATGGACATTCACACGGTACGCACATCAAGATATGACTTGGTATGAATGACATGGTATGACGGGGGCCGGGGAATAGAAAAAGAAAGAAGGCCAATTTTAACAGATTAACTCGCTCCCTCCAGCTCATAACCCGGTCGGTTGATTAGTGAGACTTCATGTGTAGACGTTTGGTAGGGGGAGCAGCTTCGCGCCGTAGTGGAGGTCGAGGGAACGGGAGTCGCTGGGGTCGAAGACGGTGGCTTGGCGTTCTTCGAGGAAGAGAGCTATTGATGATATTGTTAGACTCTGCGTGTTATTGTGGTTATTATGAAGAGAATGAGACGTACGGGTGATTTTGATCATGTCGAACCAGCGGGCGGCGTGCTCGTCGCTCCCGTCGACGGCCTTGAGAATGCCACTGTCGGGACGGGGATTGGCCTTGGGTGGCAAGCTGCGCATCTTCAACAGCATGTGCAAGATATCCGAAAATCGATCGCCTTGGCTGGCATAATAGGGGGGACGCTTGTCCAAGGGCCACTGCCAGAGGTTAGCAATTTATCTAAGTAGAGCGAGGGGATAACTTACCCGCTGGGCAAATGCCTCGTCCTCCCACGAGCGGAATAGCCAGCAGGTTCTCTCCACGCAGTTCAGCAAAATTATAGACACAAGGAAAGTTTCAAACCAGCCACTCTGCTGGCGTTGAAGCAGACGCCGCTCGAGGTCATTCATCACTGACTTGCTCAGCTGGGAGGCACGCTTCTCGGTGGCCGCACGCAACTGGCTGCACAAGAGTCCGTAGGATTCGGCGTTGGTCACCTCGTCGATCGGCATGCGTCCGTCGTCCGAAGGCTGCGCCAGAGAGTGCATCGAAGTGGGTGGAAGAGTCGGATTGCAGAATACTTTCCAGCGCAACTCCGAGTCGGCAAGCATGTGAGTTGCAACCCACAGCTCCAGCACTCGCTCCAGTAGAACGTCCTATATCGGATTAGACCTGCATTTTCGACAGAAATGACACAGAACATACCTTCTTCTGCTGACTCAACTCGGACGCGAGCATCAAGGTCGGTCTCATGAACTCCGAGGATTCACGTTCGTAGAAGGAGGACGCGGTCTTCTTAATGTACATTTCAATCTTTCCAGGAAGATCGTCTGCGTCGCTGTCGAGGAGGAAAAGTTCGGAGAGAGGTCCCTGGAATTGCGAGTCGTCTCCCAGGCCCTGAAGCTGGGGGTCTAACGTCGACGCTGACGGCTTGTGGGCCTGGAGAGTGCTGAAGGTGACAAAAACCAAGCTCTCCTCGAAATGCGTGACCTCGATGCGTCCCGCATAGTGCTCAAACTTGAGTTGGTTTCGGATGCTGCTCACGTCGTGATAAGCAAGCGTGGCGTGCAAATCTAAAAGGCGGTCGTCAGTTCTGTCGCATCCAAAGAAACCGGCAAAATCAAGGCAACCACCTACTTGCGTTATACAATTCAAACTCCTCCGCAATGCGCGTCCGAATGCACGGATGTTTCCACAAGCGCGCACTCTCGACGCTGGCGCAGGTGGTACAAGGACTATCGCCAGAGCACTGGCAGAATTAGTTAGCAAGGTCCCAAAAAAGCAGTCGGCGCTCAAACATACGGGTTTCTTGAGCATGCGACACCGAATACACGCGCCCCGCTTCCGGACTTCCTGGACCTCTCGACGCCGAGTCGCAGAGAACCGTCCGCGAACCTTCGGTTTCGTCGGTTTGGTTGAGTTGCCGAATTCGTTCACAAATCCCTTCGCCTGCGAGTTCGGATTCATCGCGATCGGACGAGGGAAGGTGGCGGCGCGTTGCGTCGCGGCGGTCAGGGACGGGTCGTGCTCCTGAAGACTATCGAACAAGAGCTGTTCCTGAGTCGAAAGCTGTTGATTCCACGGGTTCCCCAGCTTGGCCAGTCCGTCGGGAAGTCCGGCATTGGGGTCGTGATCCATCGGCATTCCCTGCGGCACCATCTCGCTGGCCGAGGCAGCGATCATGGAAAGTTGTGATTGGCGAGCATTGGCAGCCGGATCGGGGGTCAGCGAGGCGTCCGCCAGGGTGGGGGATGCGGACGAAGGGTGATCTTGAGAGGTATTGGGAAGAGAAGGGAGGGACGTCGCGTTTGAACCTTGAGGTGTCACTGTGGGATTGTTTTTCATTAGCGCGCCACCGAAGACACGAGGTGAGGTCAACGACAAACAAAGCGAACAAAGAGAGAAACACAAACAGTAAGAAACAAAATATCGGGAAGGTGAAATTAACAACTCACCAGGTGGCTTGACATCCTCGTCCACCTGCTCCGATTGAGCAGGGTGACCCTGGAAGCCCTCTGCTTCGAGCGCAGGGTCTACAACAACCGTCTTGCCTCCCACGGTGACCGACTGGGTGTATGCAGGGCCGTTCGCATTATTATTTCCGCCGCCGCCGCCGCCACCACCTCGTTTCCCCTGATCGGATGCGCCCACCTGCCTCGACGCCTCCGCCAACACATTGAGGCCGTCGAAGTTCTGACGCGTGGTAAATGGCAGATCCACCCCCTTGCCTTTATTCTGCCCCGCCAGATTGGGGTCTTTGTTCTGGTCGCCGTCGGCAAGGTCGGGCAGCTCATGGAGTCGCAACAAGACGCGTTGTCGATCGCGCAGCGGGATTGCTTGACACTTCTTCACCAGATGGTTGGTCAGACTGTCGATGCGACCCTTGGGGAATTTCTCGCCACAGGCCTTGCAGGTATGCTGGTAGCGATTACTGGCATCCTCGAGTTTCTGGCCGCGAATGAAGAATTCGAGGATCAACTGGTTGGGTTTGCGACCCATAGTGGCCAGAGGGGAGGGCTAGCTGCGCAAGGGAAGGGTGGCAGAAAAAAACACAGGGCGTTTTTCCAAGGGACTCGACAGGAAAGCCTCGGATTCGCAAGCGACTCGAGGATGATGCAAGTCGAGCACGGCCTCCTCCGCAGATGCGCGATCGCAACAAGAGAGGACGCCGAGTACCTCGAGGAACGGTGCCGCACACAACAGAGGGAGCGAGCGAGCGAGAGAGCCGAGGGGTGGATAGACGGGCAAAATGGCAGTGGCCACCAAGGCAGCGAGTATTGTGGGCCACCACCACGCAAGATGGAGGGAGAAACGTGAAAATGGGAGTCCAGATGGGCCTGATGGGCCTGAACGAGCAGATTGAGAAGGGCAGCGCGATGGCAGCGATGAGAATGGGCGAGAGAAGCGAATGAGCAGAGGAGTGGGATGGATGGGAATAATGTTGCAAGTTGCGGCAAAACGCCGACTTTTGCACGGGCGGTCTGGCCGCTGCCGCCCGGCCGTTGCGCTGCGGTGGTCACGGGGCTGGCGATGCGCCTCACCGCATGAAAGGCGGTGATGAGATCGGTGACCAGCTTCACTTCATTATTATTCCTTCTGTTGCGGTTCTCTAGGCGTCCTGGTTCTGACCCTCCTGCTCGTCTTCCTGTCGGCATCTATCCCCCTGTTGGCCCTCGATGCACATTCACATCCTTTCACCCTTAGTCACCGCCCCTGGTATGTGAGCCAAGTCGCCTCTCTGCTGTACTACGCTTGTCCCTCGACCAGAAACACGTTAGAAAATACAATCAATTCTTCTTATTATTAAATCCCCCGTCTCGGCTCCGATATCGTGGCCAGTGACCGCTTTTTCCCCCATGCCTTGCGCCGTATCCCATGGCCAGTCCTCGTCAGCCGTGGCGACATCCAACTGACGTCCCTTTCTTCCTCGACAGCTATCAAATGCAGGCAGAGAAGTCGGTCTGCAAACTTAGAACAGCAAATGCAGTGCAAGCCCTAATTACAGATCAGATATTATCTGTCATCCATCGGCTGACCCGCTCTGAGCGGCCCACAGACGAAAGCAGGAAAAGACATGCGTGGGGACTGGAGAAGAAAAAGAAAAAGAAAAATAAAAAAAAATAAAAATAAAAACTTGAATGTCCTCGATTCAGGCACGTCAGCATATGCGGTGCTCGGGAGGTCGCCAGGGAACCCCTAAGATCTCGAAGATTCGTCGCTCGTCGCGTCCTTCGAGAAGTCGACCGGTGGTGACTTTCACCTGCCGTGGTCCACGTAGCACGTCGGTATAGAGCCCTCGCTGGTTTAACCGCATGCCTTTCTTTCGCGCCAGGAGCCTCATGCTCCGGTTGAAAATGTCGTTCCCCGTGAAGTAGATCAATGCAGCCCCAATTTCCGACCCCGGCACGAACAGAAGATCAATCCGACGCCAGACGGGGCTGCCTGGCAACTTGGACGCACCGTGCCACTTCGAGCCGTCCCCTCGGGACGTGCTAGCCAGGCTGACTTGGAGGAATCCCTGTCGGAACAGTTGAGGAATCACATCTTCCGTCATCATCGTTCGGATCTGCTCGTTGGTCGCGTCGGGCTTGGTGATGAGCACGTCGATGTCGCCCGAGTTGGCCGCTCCACGTCGATAGGAGCCACTGATGATGACTTGCATTTCAGGGTCGGTCCTTTGTACGGCTTGCCGGACGACGTCGCCGTGCGCCTTGACCTCGCTGCGCTGGATCCGCTGGGAAAAGTCATGGTAATGTTCCACACCCAGGCGCTGGTTTTGACTCAGCGAGGCTTTGGTTTGAAGATCTTCCAGGGTCTTATAGCCTTGAGCGATCCATCTCGATGCCTGCGAAACCCCAGCCCCGTAGACACCAAGGAATAGTTGAAGGATCTGATCCTCCGCCGTGGTGTTCGTATTCTCTAGGCGACGGAGGCGATTCGTGCAGACGATTTCCTCGATCTTGTCCGCCAGGCGTGTTCCTATTCCCGGGATGGCGAGGGCCTGGGAGCGGTTCACAACTTTCTTGGACTGTCGACGAAGGGCGGAGATGGCTTTTCGATAAGCGATTACACGCCAATTATCATCCGTCCTGGTGTAGTAGTCCAACATCTGCTGAAGGACTTCGATGGTCCTGGTATTCGGTCCTTCGGCGTTCGACTTTGCATCGTGTTTCTGCATGCATGCAAACTTCTGCTGCCAGTCACCCGTCGCTTTGGTGTCCTTCTGTATTGATCCCCTTTTCTTTGCGATGGGTTTCTCAGAACCCGACTCCTCGGTCTCGGCGTCGGATTCTTCGATCGTAGGGTCTTCATCAAGGGCTTCTAGAGGCTCGAGGGGCTACCTTTCGTTAACTCTCGCTACCTGAAACGCTTGCTGTCACGTACCAGATCTTTCACGGCTTTGGCCTCGTCAATCATATCATCCAACGCATCGCGTTCCCGCAAATGGGTTTCATGAACAGTCTCTTCATGCCTAGCCTCCGGAGGCTCCTGTGCTGTATTGACACCCACGGGGACCTGATCATTTGAAACTGCAGAACTTTGGGATGGTGTCGCGGCTTGCAGATGCTTCCCCGCCGGCTTTAACGGCAGGGATTGGCTCGAAGGTGCTTCTTCCATAGGCGCTGGTTCTTTGACCACAGTGGATACCGGCGCTCCCTTGACGCGAAATCGGCTTTGCGTCGTATTGAGAATTGCCCGGAAGTTGATACATTCCGCCGGATAGCCCTCGCCGACAAGAGCTATAGTTGACTTCGCCAGGTTAGCGGGCAGAACAGAAATAAATAACTCTCCCCCAAGCTTACCGGGAAATCCTCCAGCTTCAGATGTTTCAAAACTTCCTGGAAAGTCAACCCCTTGTCAACTATGACATGTGTGATATTCTCATCATCCCACGACTGTGCCCATCGAGCCCCGTATTCCTGCGCTCGCTGGATCCGTAGGCGTCGGAATGGCGAGACGTCATTGTTTGGAAAGAAGACTAAGGTCACGTATCAGTCATCGTCTAGTCGATGAGATTCAAACTTATCACTCACAGAAGTTAAGACCCTTGAAAATCTGCTGATGCTCGGGGATCACCTTGGGCAAATGTGCCCGCTTCCGCTTACTGGTCGTCGATGTCATACTGACTTTGGTCTTGTCCGGCACAGGCCCGTCGATATTCGGTCTTGTTACTGCAGGAGCTACGCGATCCCCACTGCTGGCTGAATCACTTCTGTGCCTCGAGCTCACAGCACTCGCTTGAACCGAAGATTGAAGACCCGAAAGGGAGCTTGTGCGCGCCAGACTCATCCGAACCGGAGACTTGGTGTTCAAAGCGGAAGTCAAAGTATGAGAAGAAGTGACAAAGGAGTCGATTTCGGGTTCATTCCTCTTTCTCGAGCGAGCTATAACACGATCAAAATCGGACTCCTTGTCCTCGGCTTCGTCTGACCAGCGGTCCAGCTCATCGAGAAGTTCGAAGAAGGCCCTTTTATCTGCCATGCTGTCCATCATGGCGGCTGATGAGGGAAATCTCCAGGTTCACTCCTTCCCGGCATGTGAGCCATGGAATGGGATACGAATCTCTGCCTGCTAGGTAGCAGGCGACGGCTTATTTTATTCTCCGCGGATACTTTCGGTCCAATTCAAATAGCGACAGCCCACATATCCAAGCTCATCATTGGATGCAAGGGAAGACCCCATCCTGACACGCTGACCAGGCAACGCGTTGGAAGAATCCACGAAAACGCCGCCAGGTCACGGGACTCAGCTATCCCCATTAGGCTTCCCAGACGGGACTAGCGCCGTGGAAATTCGGTGGATCATCGAAGCTCCCGAGAAGTTCATCGTCTCGTCTCTCCGACATTATCCAGATCTATAAGAACAAAACACAAAGAATGTGGAGGCCGTCCGTCTTCCTCTCCTCCCTCCCAGAGGCTGCCGTCCTCCGAGGAGGCTCCAGTCGCTGCCTCAGCTGCCAATTCCAACTTCGCAACGCCGTCGCCGCCGCTCGATCAAGACCGTCTCTTCGATACTATGCCAGCAGCAATGGCAAGGATGCCGGGAAATCGCCCACCACCAAACCCCCGGTCCCTGAAAAGGTCCAGTTCCAGCAGCACGCTCCTCCCTCCTCTGATTCCGCGCCTGAACCCGGCGACGAAGACTTCACACCGCCGACCCTCGACCGACCCATCGGAACGGTCATCCCGCCGCAAGAGGGCCAGAACTCGGGCGTCGACTCGCGCAGCATCCGGCAGCGACGCGATGATTTCGTGAACTACGATCGACATCTGGAGCGACGGAAAGAACTGTACTTCCCCTTCTCCCACACCCTCCCTCTTGTCCCTCAAAAAACCCGTCCATACTAACCAAACCAACCTCCTAGAACCCGCCAAGTCGCCAAACCCTACTTCCGCGAATGGTCGAACATGCGCCACCACGAGGGCAAGACCTTCCGATCCAACACCCGGCTCTTCAAGCGCGACAAGGCGCTCTACTTCCCGAACCTCAGCGGGATCACGCTCTCGTCGCCCAAGGAACCCCAGGACACGACGGCGCTGCTCCGCGGCAAAGTCAGCGTCATCAACCTGTTCTCCAGCGTGTGGGCCGAGTCGCAGGTTGCGACCTTCACGGGGCCCAAGCAGAACCCGGGGCTCTACGAGGCGTTCCAGACGGCCAGCCCGCTCGTCCAGAAGGTCGATATCAACGTAGAGGAGAATGCGCTGAAGGCGTGGCTGGTGCGCATGTTCATGTTCCGGATGCGGGCGAAGCTGGACGCCGCGCAGCACCCGCGGTGGTTCATGGTAAGGAAGGGCCTGACGGATGGGCTGCGGGAGTCGATTGGTATGATGAACAGTAAGGTGGGGTATGTTTATCTGGTGGATGAGAATTGTCGGATCCGGTGGGCGGGCAGTGGTCCCGCTGAGGCGGAGGAGTTGGAGGCGCTCAACAACGGCGTGCGCAAGCTGATCCAGGAGAAGAGGATCAGTATGGAATCGGAGCTGCCGGCCCAGGAGTGGGAGGCTCGGACGGGTCAGGATGGCTCGGCCAGTCTGAAGCCCCGGGTGGTGATGCCGTGAGCCGGGAATAAGGCGTAATGAGCGGATCAACACACTCCGTGTATATTATGGATCGGTTTCGCAACCCCAGTATGTACATACACAATATATCGGCAATCTCGACCTCGAAACGCCAGCGCCGATGTGATTAGAATTCCTGTATAGTAATAGAAATGGAAAGACAACCATGCAACGCCATCCCAAATGATACCAGCCAATAACCAATATGAACAAGACGAAACCAGGCTATTCAATCAGACAATCACCCCCTTTATAAACAATCCCCATCCACCCACCCCTCAACCAGAACATCAAACGAACGATAAGAGGGACCTCATCTCAAAAACAGCAACATCAAAAAACAAACCCCAATAAACGCCCCCAGGATCAACGCATCCCTGCGCCTCTTACTCCCAATCTTGCCCATCAACGCATTCATCCCAGGCACCTGGCCCGCCGCACCGACAATGCGCCGATTAATACTGGCGATGGTCTCGCGCTGCAGCCCGAAGCTCTCGTTGATCGCATACGCCTGGCTCAGGACGCCGTCGATGACGTTATGCGAGCTGTCGATGCGGCCGCGCTCCTCGAGCATGTAGTCGGCCTCGGCGGCGGCGGGGTTCGAGGCGTGGTAGGCATTGATGTCGGAGCGCACGTTGGAGAGGAGGTTGGCGCGGTCGCGGGACTCGGCGATTGCGGCGGCGAGGCGCGACAGCTCGCGCCGGTGGTCGGTTAGGACTTCGCGGTGGCGGGCGAGGTTGTTTTGTTTCAGGGCGGACGAGGTCAGGGTTGCTTCGGAGTCGAGGAGGCGGGCGAGTTGGGAGATGAGGGAGGTGCGCTTGACGAAGTTAGTGGGATGCTGGGGTGGTTGGAGGGAGATGGGCGCACCTTTTCGAGGAGTTCTTTCAGTTGCGATTCGAGGCGGAGTTCGTCGTCGGAGGGTGTCGAGGGGAGTTTCGTCATGGAGGCATATTGGGCGTAGGAGTGGAAGAGGGTTTCGGTCTGTTCATCGTGTCAGCATCAGTATCTGGTATTCCCGACGATGAAGCCATAGAGGTCATCAAAACCATCTGTCATGATCGAGGACGAATCGATCTAGGCAGCAGCTTCACGTACCTGAGTCTCCAGCGAGCGGGCCTGCTGGCGGAGTTGAGCCCAGCCGGTGCCAGTCGAGGTGGCCATGGATGAGAGATAAAAGGATCAGAGTCAGTCAGAAGAGAAGAGGGTAAATGAAACCAGCGACAGCAATAGTAATACACAAGCCAGAGATGCGCAGCGACAATCCTTCTGCAATTGCAGCATCTCCAACTTCCCCGGCTCGACAGCCTCCGCCAACTCAGCCCGAGCGGCAGGCGGCAAGAGGCGGCAGAAGCGCCGCTCACCAGCCACACATCACGTGGCCGCTTAGTCGGCGCACCACCGGCCAGAAAAAATTAACCCTAGTCCCACAACGAACATCCAATTTGACCCGGTCCATCTTCAATCCTCACGTCGACAACCCGTACGATACGACACGAAGCCGCCCACCATGGTATGTTGCGTCTGCTGGATATTTGAAAAACGCGGGAAAAAAATTATCTGGAAGTGCTGACGATTTTTCCAGTCGACATCCAAGGTCAAGGCTGGTCAGCTCTGGGGAAAGAGCAAGGATGACCTCTCCAAGCAGCTGGAGGAGTTGAAGACCGAGCTGAACACTCTCCGTGTCCAGAAGATCACTGGCGGCGCCTCGTCCAAGACTCACAGAATGTGCGTTTGAATTATACCCCTCACCCGAATCCGAATGGATGGATGGAATGGAATGGCATGGAAGAAGATGAAGTATCTGCGCCGGTCGGAGAATCGTGGAGGAACAACGCAACAAGGCCCGAAAAGGGGGAATCATCAGGAATACAGAAAGAGGAAGAATGAAATCTCAGGAACAGGCACAAACGACCGGGCGCAATTCTCTTCCATCGTCAATTTCAACCACCCACTTCCAGGACCAGCACAGGAGAAGACCAGACCAGAACCTAACTAATATCTTCTAGCCACGACGTCCGCAAGTCGATCGCTCGCGTTCTCACCGTCATCAACGCCAACCAGCGCGCTCAGCTCCGTCTGTTCTACAAGAACAAGAAGTACCTTCCTCTTGACCTCCGCCCCAAGCTCACCCGTGAGCTCCGCCGCCGTCTCACCAAGCACGAGTCTACCGTGCAGACGGAGCGCAAGAGAAAGCAGCAGATCCACTTCCCCCAGCGGAAGTACGCCATCAAGGTGAGCATCTGATACACCTGTGGGCAGGTGGCTATGGGCGCTGTGCCCGTCACAACCACATAAAACGAAAAAAAAAAACATGATCTGACAACTTCCCAGGCTTAAATGGATTCCCGGGGCCTGCTGCTGTGGATCTGATCTGGATGGAGTTATGGGAACGTCGTTTATCAAGATGACGGGTTGACCTATACCTTACGGGGGAATACGGGTCGGTTTCATCGAAAAAACGTTTCTTTATTTTTTGGAGAAAATTGATCATGTACCTTAGAGATGAAAGGATGCAAGGTCGACATAAATGAAGCCTTTACTTGACGTGAATGATCATGATTCTTTTGCAAGTCTTTAACTGCGCTTGCGTTTGGAGTATAGATGTCTTGACCCTGGGCCTTGGTCATATCGGACAGCACCCTGCGTGGTCCCTCGTCTACTCTGTCTAGCAAGGAGGACCGAGCATGTTTCCCTGCCGAAACAGCGCCAAGTGTATTTTCCCAGATGGGCTCAGCTATTCCAGACTGCCTCGTACAGCCCTCCTATATCCACCATCCACCATCCATATTACTCCCTGCTTCAACCCAATCGTCCACTAGCAAAAAAGTATCATTCGTAACTTATAATATATACACATCCAACCCCTGCCCCTCCTACTTCGCATCCGTCTCCAAAGTCCACCCCCCACCACAGATACAATACCTCACATACCCCAATTTATACAACATGCGAAACGACAGCGACGGACGCGGCGTGTACATCCCGGACAGGATCTCACAGCACCTTACACATCTCCTCCTCGGCTGGTGATGAGCCACCACGAACCCCTTAGCCGAATCACCAGCACCACCCGTAGAGACCTGCACCGGCCTTACCGGAATCTTCTTAATGATATCCACATCGCGAGAGCGACGATACATCTCCGCCCGACGATCCGTCCCCAGCCCCAACCAGCTATAGTCGGCGGTGTAGATGGCCAGACGGTCGATGTCGGGCTTCAGCGCGGGGACGGTCTGGCGCAGGATGGTGGCGACGGCGGGGACGAGGACGGGGGCGATGCGGGCGTTGACGAGCAGTTCGCGCTCGGGGCCGGGGCGCTCGGCGTCCCCGAAGCCGGCGGCGTGGTAGCCGTGGCGGACGGCGGAGTCGACGCCGGCGACGAACTTCTCGTACACGTCGATGCGCACGGGCGACGCGTCGATCGTCTGGCACACTTCGCTGTAGGAGAGGCGCGCGTCGCCGGAGAGCGGGGCGGCGCCGTAGCCGGTGTGGATGCCGTGGATGCCGCGGAGGCCGCGGCAGATGAAGCGCAGGAAGGCGCGGGACATGCTGGATAGGAGGATGACGAGGGGGAGGGAGGTGGTGGTTTTGACTGGAGGAGAGAGGGTTAGACTGGGGTGGGTTTGGGGGGGGGATGAGGTGGGACGTACGTTTTTGGGCGAGTGCCTCCTGGTCGTCGAGGACATCTTCGAGTTCATCGGCGAGGTCGAGGAGGTCGTTGAGGACGAAGTGGAGGAAGTCGAGGGCCCATTTTGTGTTGCCCAGGAGAATGCGCAGGGCATCTGGCCAGAAGATTGGATTAGTAGTGCCGGGTGGATGATTAATGGGTTGTCATACCGGGGTCTGGGGGCTCGGTCTGAGCTCCCTTGATAAATTGGAGGAATAGAGCATATAGAACGGATGCGTGACGCAGTTGAAGGATAGTCCAAGGAACGTTGGATGCAAAGCTGCGGGACTTGTATTTATCCTTGAACCCGAGGGCGGCCTGTATGCTGAGACATCGTGGAAGATATTGATGGCTCATGAGCTTGTCGTTCTCCTGGGTGAAGTTGCAGTTGACGGCCAATGCACGGTAGACTTCGTTGACAAACGTAGCTTGATCGTCTGGCAAAGAATATTAGAAGAGGACTTGAGCACAGGAAAGGATCTACTAACCCGGTGATACTTGACGTCTAAGAATCATCAAGATATCATCTGTGTTGAGTTCGCTGCCACAACCACGGCAGAAAGCCAACGTAAGAGACGCAATGGCTGCAGATAGTTTACCTAGCAAAGTTAGCACAATGTGTTCCTCGAGTGCATCCAGCACGTACTCTCATCCGGGATCCCATTCACCACGCCATACGTGTGCTCCATGACCCTGAGCTGCGTTTGGCCGTCGCCATCAAGCGTCATAGCAATGCAACCGCTGGGAGAGAAGCCAATGTACAGCCCTACGGCAGCTGTCAGCAGTCCATCCATAATACGGGCTGAGAAACAAACCTGGGGTATCGGGTGGATAGCTGAAGCCAGCCTGGGCCAAGCTGGTAACAGTATTTGCATCGTCGATTCCGTTGAGAATGGCCATCGTTTTCGGGTCGTAAAAGGTGATTGTGCTGTCATCGTAGGTGATGGCCAACACGTTTCCAAATTCCGTCTGATCAATCGATAACACGTATTTGTCACACTGAATATCTTCTAACCGACGGATGGCAGTTTTTGGCTAGTTAAGGTCAGTTGAGAACATCGGGTTTCTAACATGGTTCTTCATACCTTCACCTGAACGTTGTTCTTCTTCGAGGTAACTTCGTCGAACTTGGGGTGCAACACCGGCGGGGCCGATTCCAGCTGCCACCGAACGATGACACTGCTCGGCAGTTGTTGCGAGGGATCCGGCACGGCATGGGGGGGAATAGAAAACACCGCAACGATCCAGGGATTCGTCGTCATGCCCGAGGGATTGTCATGTGCTGCCATGATAATGTCTAGATGGGTGAGACAGTACAAGGAATTTGTGGATTGAGGGGCATCGTTGGGATTTTGACCCTCGGCTCGGTTCACAGAGGGCACACTGGAAGACGTTTCGACTTTGGCGTGCATGAAGCGGAAATTGGGGACGGGGAATTGGTTGGGGGCATGCTTGAGCTGGCTTGGATCCCATTGCGCCGGAGTCCAGTTGATCTGCGCCCGGTAGAAACAGAGCTTCTCGCAAGCCGAGTGAGTCGCGATCACGATGCCACCCTGGACCGCCCCGATGGCCGCATGGGTTAACAGCCGGTCTGAATAGGCGGTGGTCTTCAGCTCTGCCGAAATCTCCGCCCATCGAGCGTCGGGATTCTGATACAAGAGTCGAATCATGCCCGATTTGGTGACGCAAACCAACGCCGCCTTTCCAGCCGGATGCAGTGGACCGATGGGACGGCGTCGAAACGGGGAGTACGCCCATCGGCCTTGCACCTTGGCCGCTTGGTTGAACGCATGGACCTAACAGATCAGTCATGGGTCTGATATGCAATTCGGGTTACTTACTGAGCGCTGAATGTTCAGCCACATCATGCCAACAATCTGGCCGCCATCGTCATCGGCATCGTAGATCGCTTGACGCTGTCCGGCGAGACTGTTCAGACCGATGGCGATGTTGTAGATAGACACGCGACCCGACGAATCGGCCACGGCCAGTTCGGACCCCAGCTCATTCCAGGATAAGTGGGCAAGAGGATGACCCCCATGGGCCTCCGCCACCGGGTTCAGCGGCGTGTCTTCACTTAGAATCCACTTGCCATCGGACGGCCGACACTCCAGATGACGGAGGTTCACCCGTGATGAATCATGGGTGATATATGCAATGCAGCCCTGTCGGGACCAGGCAATTTTCCTAGTTACCTCGTTGGCCAGTCTTCTTCACATCGAATTGTCGAGTCACTTACTGGCAGCAGCCCAGGAGTCGCAACTCATCCAACCGCTGAGCAAGACCTTTAGTCGTGGTGGCAGGCGGCAGGGCCAACTCCAGGGAGGCCGGCTCGCCAAACAAATCATCGACGTTGATTCCGTCGTCCATCATCATGGGCATGATCGAGAATAGGCCTTTTTGAATCGTCCTTTTGAATCGTCGCTTAACTAATGGATCCGTCCGTAGATAGTTCAACTATCGCAGTCGGGGTCTCCCGTCTTTGTCCTGCTTGCGACAGAGCCGCCGGCAACAAAGGAGAGTGAGCACACACGACAAGGATACCGGAGTCGCAGTCAACCAATACAGCCACCCATTGCCCTGAACTCGGGATATTCTGGACCGGCAAGCGTCATGATGGACGCCGCCGTTTTACTTCGTCGAGGGTTTAATTCGACGGAGGGGCGCTGACTCAGCATCACGTGGGGTCAGGTGCCGCCCGTATCCCGGCCAACGCGGCGTCCAATCATCGTTTTTCTCCATTCTCATCTCAGATGATTATCAGCATCAGCATCTTCGACACGAGCATTATTATCAGGATTATTATCATCACGCAGGTCTTTCTAGGACGGCTACCTGACGACAGCAGATCTCAATATCGATGATGATTACTGAGTTTCTTTAATCGTCGGCTGCATCCAGAGACACGAACGGAATCACGACGTGCGGAGAACAAAGAAGCTACGGTCCTACGCCGGACGCCGTACAGCATGGGAGATTCCTCGAATCAAAATGCATGACTCACCGTCCCCGTTTGCGGCAGGACAGAGGACTGCGTATACCTATGCATGTCCATCTCGACCGAAACCGGTTCAGTCAGACCAGCATTGGGGGCGATCCGAGGGGGCTTTGTCTGTCCCAAGAGACTTCCTCGTCAAATTAAAGCCAACAGCTCAATGCGACAGACCGGCCAATCAGGCAGCGCAGTCTAAACCCGAAGAAAACTAGCAGCCCGAAGATTGTTGTGATTCTTGGGGAACCATCATCTGATGAACATCTGCATCGATCGTTAGTATGCAATATGAATAGGAGGAATAGCATTATGAATAACGTTCGCTTCGTCCTTGCGTCCTGTCCCAGACGATCTGCCATCTCCGTACGAAGTAGTTCTCCCATGATCCTGTAGCTCTCTGGGAGTCTTGACAGCATTCCACATACCACCCCGTTGCCCTCTTCTCTCTCTTGATCTCTCTTCCAGTCTTCCAGTCTCTGTCCTGGTGTCCGGAGAATTGCCGTGGGTCAAAATAAACACAAGCGAGAGAGAACCAGACTCTGTATCCCTCTCGACCTCCTCCGCCTTGACCTCATCACTTTCTTTTTCCATTTACCTCCCGTTCGGTCCCTTTTTTTTCCTCCTTCTGCCGTCCCTCCACGTCTTGCCTTCTTCTCTTCTTCTCCTGCCTCCGCTTTTCGTCTTCTCCCCCTCGATCCCGGAGTTTCGACGCGAAATTCCTGCTGGGAGTCCGACCTTCAGACTTTTCAATTGACCCGAATTCGTCCCTTCATTGACGGCCCTTCATTCCAATTGACATCCATGATTGTCTGCTCGGGTGTGGCATTCACCTCTTTGTGAAGGCTCTGTTCTGGAGTCTCGCTCTCTTGGCTGCTTTCTCGTCTCCTTTCTTGCGGCCACGCCAACGCATCCTCTTTCGCCCTCTGATCCCCCATCGACCGTGAACATCGACACCGCCTCGTCATGGACGATGATTTCTCCGACGTGTCGGAGCTGAGCTCGGCGCCCGCATCGCCGTCACCACCGCCGGGCTTCTATCCCTCGCCGCCGCCGTCGCAGGACGCGGACGAGAGCCGCCAAGCAGAGGCAGCGCCCGCCCGGAAGAAGCGACGGACGGCGGCGCCCAAAGAGCGGCGCACGCAACGTCTCGATCTCCGCCTCGGATCGGATGACCAACAGCAGCAGGTCGATCTGCTCACCAAGACCCTTCGTCGTCACCGCAAAATCGTCGTCATCGCCGGTGCTGGCATCTCCACCTCCGCAGGAAGTATGCGTCCCCACCACCACACCCATTTGGTGTCCCTCCCCAAGTACACCCGCTAATCAATGTCTGGCAGTTCCCGACTTTCGCTCCACCGATGGTCTCTTTAAATCCCTGCAGAAGAAACACAACCTCAAGGCGTCCGGCAAACTGCTCTTCGACGCCGCCGTCTACCAGGATGAAACCCTGACCGCCTCCTTCCAAGATATGGTGCGGTCGCTGTCCGAGGAGGCCGAGAAGACCTCGCCCACCGCGTTCCACCACATGCTGGCTCGTCTCGGCCACGAGGGTCGTCTGACCCGATTGTATACGCAGAACATCGACGGCATTGAGACCTCCATGCCGCCGCTGGCCACCCAGATCCCCCTGAACGTCAAGGCACCGTGGCCGCGCACCATCCAGCTGCACGGCAGTCTCGACAAGATGGTATGCCAGAAGTGTCGGCACCTGGGCGACTTCGACCGCGTCATGTTCGACCGCCCCGATGCGCCCGAATGTCCCGCGTGCTCTAAAAACAACCAATTCCGCATGGAGACCGGCCAGCGCAGCCACGGCATCGGCAAGATGCGGCCCCGCATCGTGCTCTACAACGAGCACAACCCCGACGAGGAAGCCATCACGTCCGTCATGAACGCCGACATTCGCTCCCGCCCCGACGCGCTGGTCGTGGTGGGCACCAGTCTGAAGATCCCCGGGGTGCGTCGTCTCGTGAAAAGTCTGTGCCAGGTGATCCGCACCCGCCGCAACGGAACCACCATGTGGATCAACAACGAGCCCCCCGTGGGGAAGGAGTTCGAGGACTGCTGGGACCTCGTCGTGACGGGCGACTGCGAAGAGGTGGCGCGACTGGCCGCCCTGAAGCGCTGGGACGACCACTCGGAGGAGGTCTTCGACGAGTGCAACCAGTCCGAGGTCGAGCGCGTCAAGAAGGGATCGGAAGTGTCGATTGTGGTCTCTACGCCGAGGAAGAGACAGAAGACGGCCACCGGCTTCCTCACGCCGTCCTCCAGCCAGGACGAGGAGGGCCGGAAATCCCAAGTCCCGGCCAACACGCGCGCCAACCCCGCCAGTCGCGGACCGAAACTGGAGGACGTCCTCAAAGGAAACAAGACCGCTGCTGCGCCCAAGAAAGGAGCTGCCGCGAAGAAGAAGCCGGCCGCTGCACCTCGCAAACGGGCCAAGAAAGAAGCCCCGGCCAAAAACACCAAGATCACCACCTTCAGCAAAGTCACCAAGGCGCCGAAGGTCGCCGCCGAAGACAAATCCGTCAAGCTGGAAAAAGACGACTCGAAACCCATGCATCCTCTTCCTCCTGGTGCCGCGCGCAATAACGGCCCGATGTTTCCTCACCTCAGCCAGAAGGGGGACACGACGCCGACGCGCAACAGTAGCAGCGATTGGCGGCAACCCGACACGATCTCTCCCAAGTCAGTGCCGAACGGAATGAGTGAGTTGCTGAACCAACCAACCGCATGAGTTGAATCACAGCTCTTACGTTCTCGTCCTTAGTCTATGTCTATCTTTCTACTTCAGTTCTTGTCTTTTTCACCTTCACCTTTCTCTCTCTGGGGCTGCGTCGTGGTCGCCCGGAGCCTGTTTCTTGATTCCATGTTTTGTCTGTTCTGTTTGAGTGTCAAGATACCAACGATAGACTATCTTGCTTTGACTTTGGCGTTTGGGTTGAATCAGAGGCCTGTGTGACCCGGGATTGCTCCTCCGGTCGACCTGCTTCGTGGTTTTTTCTTTTTCGTTGTACAACTTGGGACGGCATGATCATGTACCTAGTGATTGATGCATTGCGTGGTCGCTGATTGGCGTTATGAGGAACGACGGCGTTTGGGATCAGTTTTACTTGACTTTATTTTTATGTGCATCCATGGAGGCACCATTGCCGCAGCACTAGTCAGATGGACCGATCGTCCAAGGTCAATATCAGTGTTAATTTTATCAGTCATATCATACAATCAATCTACCCAAGTCCCAGGTCCCCTCGCAGCTGCGACCCCGGCCCATTCTCGTCCTCGCTTTCTGTATCATCGTCGCCCGCCGCGTCGGGGTCCATCGTCCGCTTGGCTCGCGGGTCGCGATCTAGATCTTCCACGCGGTCTGGGTCTTCTTCCTCTATTCCGTCGTCGGCGTCCTCGTCCTCATCTTCTTCTTCATCGTCTTCTTCCTCTTCCTCCAATTCCGTCTCATTCTCGTCTCCCTTCTCCGGCTCATCCTGCGTCTCATCCCCATCATCATCGTCCCGAACCCCATTCCCATTCTCATCCCTCTTCACCCTCTTCGCACCCCGAACGGCACTTGCACTCGCAGCAGCAGAGCCCTCCATCTCCATCTCCACCTCTTTCTCTCCCTCTTTATCCGCATCCTTCCCTTCCACAACCCCAACTCCAGAATCCGCACCCCCCAGCCCGGGGCCCTCTTTCCCGCCTTGACTTTGACTCTTACTTTTCCTCTTCCCGGCCTTCAGGTCGGTGAATGCGTCGAGTTCCTTTTCCAGGCGCGGGCGGAACCCCTCGAGTTCTAGTTCTGAGAGCGCGCTGAAGACGTCCGAGGGCGCGACGGTGCGTTTGAGGGTTGCTTCGTTGGCGCTGTTCATTCTTTCGTTAGAATTGTCTGACTTGGTCTTGGATTGGGATATGGGATATGGGGTGTGGAGAGTGGGTTCAGGTTGGGTTCAGGTTGGGTGTAGTGTAATATAGTATAGTATAGCAAACAGGACTCTCCGGGGGAGAAAGGGAGCGGGTGGGAAGAGGGTGAATGAGGGAAACATACTGCGACGACAAATACGACACAAACACAGTAGCCGCCTTCTGGATGGCCAGGACGGCGTCCTTCTGGAGGGAGGTGTTGGGCGGGAGGACGGACTTTGCGAGACGCAGGGTGAGCGAGCGAGGGAGGAGGTAGTCCTATTCATTTTCCATTTGTCAGTCATCCACTATCACTACCATTGCCGTGGCTATTGTTTCAACTGTTCCAATCCCTCCACTTCCAAATCGCACCACGATAGAGGAAAGCCACAGGAAATACATACCTCGATGCTCACGCCCTCGGCACGCGCCTTCAACTGCTGCTCCGTCGCTTGTACCGAGGATTGCGTCTGCGTCTGCGGCGGCTGAGATGGCGAGGGATCGTGCTCGACGAGAGAGGGGGAGAGGGGCGTCTGCGTGTCTTCCATGTCGCCTGGTGAGCTGGTGGATTTTCGAGGCATTGTCGTTTGCTTGGAGCCGGTGCTGCTCGTTGTTCGGTGGTTGGTCGGGAGGTATTATTCGATCGGTGGAAGAGGTATGTACGGCGAGAAAGAGGAAGGGTAAAAGGAGGTAAGATGGTCGGTCGGTCAATAGGTGATGTGGTGTAGGTGAGCAGTGGAGGTGTGTCGGCGTAGACGCAGGCGCAGGCGAGAAGCAAGGCAGTAGGAGTAGAGTCAGAGGTTCAGAGGCAGGAGAGTGGAATATTCAGAGAAGAGCAGAGCAGAGGGCAATCAAATCAAGCCAGATTAAGTATTATGTCTGCGAGAATGTTAAGGACCGGTCGGAGAGAGAAGGTCTGGAGTGGGATTCTTTTTTTCTTCTGGAAAATACGCGACGCGATGGGCGGAAGCGCGACGGGTTGGATTGGTCGGTGGCGATTGGGATTACCTACTCAGGTATTGTTCTGCAGAGGGATCGGGTGGAGGGCTGGATCTTATTTTATGCGATGATAACTATATTGTGTTATTTGCTGTACATATTATATGAATATGGAATATGGTTTAGGAGTATTAAGAGGTGGAATTGGTTTGCAATTGCTGTTCTATACTAAGATCAACTCATACTGGACTGATATGTGTAGTCCATTTAACGATATAAACTCAATGAATAAGTCCAAAGATAAGATATATAAAATATAAAAAGAGAAAGAAAAAAAAAGCAAAATGAAAAATAGAGATAAACCCCATGTCTTCTTGATAACCTCCATCTCCACATACACCTACCTGGATGTGTATACTGAAAGCGCAAAAGAAAAAGCAAAAAAAAAATGACAAGAGTGGGATTCGAACCCACGCCATCGTGAGATGAGTAGGAAACTCAGAGAGTTGTGAATTAAGGTAGACCTTAACCTACCGCCTTGGACCGCTCGGCCATCTTGCCGGTTGATCAAGATTTGGATCAAGTTTATGCTACATAGACCTGGCATGATAAATATGATCTTACAGACAAGAAAGAGTCCCCTTCTAGGCCATTTCCAAGCGCTCACCCTAATCATCCAGAGGCGCATAGAAAGCTGCAAGCTGTAGGCCACCACAGCGCCGATAGCTGAAAGTCAGCTGGTCTGTTCCCACATGCCCATCTAATTGTTTATCGAAATTCCCTCGTAATCCCATGCAAGAGTACTTCTACCGGAAACCGCGATCAGCTGACCCCAGCCTCCTCGATAGGGTACCACTAATCGAGAGCTGTCGCGGTAGGTTGTCTCAGCCTACTTCCCCCTCGGAAAGACCGATGGCAGACAACAACTCCCCAGATTACAAGGCTCTCTTTCAGCAGGCTGAAGAGCGGCAGAAGCAGGCCGAAGAGCGACAGAAGCAGGCTGAAAAGCGACAGAAGGAGGCTGAAGAGCGACAGAAGCAGGCCGAAGACGAAGGCAGACAGGAGAGAGAGAGACGGGAGCAACTTCAAGAGCTCAGCCGACCGGCCACTTTCGTGGAATTCTTGCGCCATTCTCATCACCTGCTCTCCCGTCTGCTCAGAGTTGAGACACCCTCTCGCTCGACTACTGGGAAAATCCCCCCTCCCACGGGGAAATATTGCCCAACACGATTGGAACCCTGGGCCGACTGCTCAGCACTACAGTCGGAGCTTTACAGGTCCGTCTACAGATACCTTCAGTTGACACCCCGGGGGGCGCCTCAGTTGTACTCATCTTTGCATGAGCTGGAAGGATTAGGCCGACGACTTTGTCGGAAGCCTATAAGCAGCGAGCAAGAACTCGGGCATTATGAGCGATTCGCCGTGGAAGAGCATGTCCACGACATCATTACCGAATTGTGCAAACTACCCGCTGCTCGCGACGAGTTCGGGCTCGGCGATGGAATCCAGTTCAGCAGTCATACAAATTCCTTAGACGAGAACGAAGCTCCTGATGCGGATGCAAGCCAATCGTCAAGTATACACCACCCAAAGCCTGATCAGTTCTGTATCCATCGTGTCGACGGCAACACTACCACTCTCCTCACATCTGTCAAGTATAAGCCTCCTCACAAGCTTTCTGTCGCCACCCTTCGCATGGGGCTCCGACCAATGAACTTATGGAAGGATATGGTTAGATCGAACAAGATACCGACAAGCCAGGAAGCGAAACTGAGGTATAATGCAGAGCGACTTGCCTGCTCCGCTCTTGTCCAGGAATATCATGTCATGATCCAGGAAGGGCTTGAGTACTCCTACGTGACCAACGGGGTTGCTCGGGTCCTCCTGCGTGTTCCGCATGATGATCCGAGCACGCTTTATTATTTCTTATGTGATCCTAACAGCGAGTTGAATACAGAAGTTGAAGATAGTTTCCGACTACGGAAGACTTCTGTTGCAAGAACACTATTTCTGTGTTTAATGGCCTTTCGCTCATCTGTGCGGGGCCAGGAATGGCGGAATTCCATACGACCGGAGCTTCCTCTTTGGACGACTAGTTTTGACCACACTCGTTCTCAGATTATGTCCCAAGCAGAGCCGCCGCAAACCGTTCCGAACTCCGATAGTACAACCCTGGAGTACATGAGTCCGGAATCCGGTTCAGCTTATGAACCGCCGTCATCTCCGCCAGATTCTCCAACGGCAGCGGCTCGCCGAGTGCCTACAAGGTCTCAAGCCAGCTGTGCACCATCGGCTGTACAGCATCGCTCGCAGTCACCGGACTCATCAGGCTCCGATTCGAACCAAGCAACAGGCCGCAAACGGGGTTTCAGCCAAGTCGCGTCCTCTCCATCTTCCCAACAAGCAGGTCGTCAACGGGACACGGGAAATAATCATGGAAACCAAGCCCGATTTCGCGATGCGCAATTTTGCACCCAACGGTGTTTACTCGGATTGCAGTCTGGCGGCGTATTAGATGCCTGCTGTCCAAATGTGATGCTTCATCGTCGAAGCAAAGACAGTCCCCAACATCCGATTACTTCAAACGATCTGGTGCGTTTACTTAACGCGCAATTGGATGAAGACATTGACCGATGCATACCCCTCGGTGGTTGCGGGTCATATGGTGCGCCGTTCAAACTTACTTGTGTTGAATATGGCTACACTGTTGTCGGAAAAGGAACCACATCGGGGCTATGGAAAGAAGTCTCCCGCGAAGCAGAAGTATACCAAATTCTGCGGAAGGCCCAAGGGTCTGCTGTGCCTGTTTTCCTGGGCATGATCGACTTGGCGAAAATATATTTTCTTCATGGGGCTGGAGAGATTCGTCATATGCTAGTGATGGGCTGGGGAGGAGAAAATACAGCATCGATGGAGCCGACGCCGTGGCTTCACCGGGAAATTCGCAGATCAACCAAGGAAATCAAAGCCTTGGGAATCACTCACGAAGATCTGCGGCGTGATAACGTTCTTTGGAATAAAGAACTTGGACGGGCGTTGATTATCGACTTTCACCGGTATACATTGAAATGTCGACCGAGTTTGCGGCGATCGCAAGCGGTAAAACGACCGTGTCAACCAGAGACGAGAGATACGAAACGTCTATGTGTAACGTGAAGCAATGTGCTTACTTTATTGGATTAGCAATTCAAGCATCCATGACAATGAAGCATGCAAGCACTTTCAGCCCGAATCCGAGTGAATCAACCATGACTTCGACCTGCCGTCGATCATCGATGCCCTGTTTCCACCCCGCCTACATTGCCTCAAGAGATGGATGATTCTATATGTATTGACAATGATATTGACAATGACGAGCTGACCGTCCAATTCTGGCTCTCGTGCTCGACTTTGCTGTCATCGGCGAGATGCGAGCCTGCGGGTATCGTCAAGGACCACCAACTAATCTTGATGACGCCGAACCTGCTTGCCAAGTGTCCGCAGCTCGTCGAAACAACCCCTCATGGTAGTCATGGTCGAGTCCTTCTCAGGTGAGGTCAGCCGAGGCCACGAAGACTGTGGCGTCTCAACCATGGACTTCCTCCATCACAATATAATTTTTCCCTGTTTCAGGGTTCGTGTAGAGGGCATGGACACGGGGAAAGAGGACAGTAGTGATTTCTCGGACGAACAGGAAGTTCTCCCCTTCAAGGAGGTTGACCCCTTTCCCGAACTTCACAACAAAGTGCCCGAATCTCCGGTGGATCTTTGGGGTTCTAGCTTTGAGCAATACATCGATATAGGCAGGAGTTTCGATTTGCACTTCACTTTAATGACCAGAGTCATCGACTGGATGATCTCGGTATCGACGTAACACAGTCGATGGACTAGCAATTGGTGATGAATAGATTCAGCAGGATATGGCACCAGCATGCGGTATATGATATTAGTTATTTGCCAGTATGTAGTAGAAAGGCAGAGAGAATGGATAAACAATTGCGTCTGGGCACAGTTATCTTATTGTAGCGAGGGAGAGGGAGAAAAAGAAACAGCCACGGTAAAGAGAGGGAGGGGTGGGGAGCAAAAACAAAAAGACATGACAAGAGTGGGATTCGAACCCACGCCATCGTGAGATGAGTAGGAAACTCGTAGAGTTGTGAATTAAGGTATACCTTAACCTACCGCCTTGGACCGCTCGGCCATCTTGCCAATTGATGAAGAAGGGCCAACGTTTTTGACTACATGAGCCTGCCCTGATGTTAGCCCTAGAATCGGTACTTCTTGCCGAGTATAGCCATATCTACATCCACTCATGATATAAAATTGGCCCGTCTACTTGGCTTATATCATTGTTGGAGTATTGATTCTTGGTATTTCAAGAATATATAACATTCAAATAGATTTACTCTCCTTTTTGTTTTCTCTCTCTCTCGGATTTCCACGACATCTGGAAATATAAACATGTATACACTTCCAAGACCAGCAATACATGTGGATCATTTTTGCTTGGATTGAGAGACTGCGTACGGTTTGATTTCCATACCCCGAGCCCTTCCATATGTAAATACACTGGCAGCATCTTATCGTCTCTATGGCGTGGCGTACTTTTGTTTCAATCACCCTGCCCCATGTATATGTACCGTGGAGTGCCATCCTTGGCTATGGCTTGCATGACCTCGAAGGATACTTGCGAGACAGGTGAGCTAAGCAATTCATTTCCATGCACACTCACTGGGTTAGTATGTCATATCAATGGGTCTCTCCGCTTATTGGTTATATCCTCGGTATGGCACTTTGTGCATCTCATGCGGGTACATGCTACCTAGGATCTACAGGGTCTGTCAACCCACCACACACCTGACGATAGAGAGCTGACACACAGAGGCCCAATATATACACATCAACTATATGTACCAAACATACCCACTGATCAAAGGATGGACCCCATCGTGACAACACCCACATTAACTGCCCTAGGACCACACAAAGCTAGCCAGGCATTGTACTACCGGGTTGATGCTGGTGGCTGTAGAATAGATGTCGCTCAGCTGTCTATCGGTGTGGTTATCCATGGTTTGGAATTAACTTGTATGTGTTACGGTGCAGCCTGGGAGGCATCTTACCCTTCGCCTGCCTCTCCATGCCTATTTCCGATATGCAACACCAGGGATCTCTGGCCTCCCGTGCGGCAGTCATTTGACCTGATACTACTCACCCCACGGTGTTCTTTTGACTTTTTTTCAGTGAACATGGTAATACTGGTCATAACTCTAAATGGTTTCTCTGAAGTGGCACTGGAAGGAAGACAGGGGAAAGCAGGCGAGGGAAGGCGGGGATGTCTACATTCATTCCGGGGAAGTATAGTTAGTGACTGTTACTTGTATGGGTTGTGGAGTTGGCTGATCAGGGTATCGCTAGGGATGAAACTCAGATGGAGACTATCTGCAGTGGGTGTTTAGGCTGATGGTATTCTGGTATACTAATCTAGGTCTCAAGTAGACCTATTGGCATTTGCTGTTGCATAAATCGGAAATCCCCAATGTTGACCGATAACCCAGGGCAAACAATATATAACCAGTCCACCGATACTCCCTCTTACCACACAACACCAAGCCTACACCCGAAAAAAAAAAAAAAAAAAAAAGACTGAATCCACAAAGCAAGAAATCCACAGCCCTTTTTTTTTTGAAGAAAAAAAGAAAAGAAAAAAACCCAACCCCTCAACCCAAACCACCCCTCCCACCAAGCCCTTAACCCGCAAATCTTAGCCCCCACAAACAGAGCGCAGAATATCCGACCATCTTCACATCAACCGGCAAGATGGCCGAGCGGTCCAAGGCGGTAGGTTAAGGTATACCTTAATTCACAACTCAACTGAGTTTCCTACTCATCTCACGATGGCGTGGGTTCGAATCCCACTCTTGTCATTTCTTTTTGCTTTTTTGGATCTCTGGTTCTGGTGGATGGCGGATATGGGTGGGTGGGTGGTTGTGCGGTATGTGGATCGTTGATTTTTTAGTTTAGTCTCTCTCTACTCCGTACCTACGGATAGGATGGATGGTTGAGGCGGAGCTTGGTTCGGATCTCAGTGATATAGTTACTTACCTCTTTTATATACCGCCGTTTTTATCCTTGCACCCTGTATGTTATTCATCGTATGCGTGATATCTTAAACAAGGACAGAGGAACAAGAACAGTCGCAAACTCTACACCGTTTATACAAACTGAACGAAAGACATCTTAGATTCATGAAGAGTATCAACATCTATAAAGAGAGAACCATCATCTCAGACCATCGAAAAAAGACAAAAAAAAAACCAGGCCTACAACGCCTTCTTTTTTAAGGTATCCACAGAAGCAGCAAAGAAATCAAAAAGTCATGAAAAGCCAGACTCGCAGATACAGATAGATCCAGGTCATATCTACTCAGCCATCTCCTCATCGCCGTTCCCCCACAGTCCCTCGATCTTGAATTCCTTCGCCCACTCCGTGACGATCTGTCTCGTGTCCACGCCGGGGCCGACCTCCGTGGCGGCGGCGCCCTCTGTCGTGGTGACGACCGGCAGCACGGGGGCGTTGACCCAGCCCTGGATGCGGCCGTCTCTCCAGTCGTTGATGACGGTCATGGCGGCGGCCTCGAGGTTGGGGACACCGCCCTTGCCGAGACGGCCGCGCTTGCGAGCCACGTGGATCAGGAAGTCGTTGACCTGGTCGCCGCCGGAGGGGAAGAGGGCGGGGATGCCGTAGAGGGCGAGGAGCTTCTGGAGGAGACCCTCGGAGGTGGAGAGGCGCTTGATGAGGAGCTTGACGGCGGGGATGGGGTCCTCAATCTGCTTGGGGGGCACGGCGTTAAGGAGGACGAGGCGGGCGTGCTCGTCCTGCTTCTTCTTGTGGCTCTTCTTGTTGGTGGCCTTCTCGCTGCCGCCGGCGTTGGGGAACACGATACCCGGCGAGTCGATGAGCTTGAGCTTGCTGTCGAGTTTCACCTGGCGGAGGCTGGTGGTGACACCGGCTTCGGCGCCGGTGGGACAGGCGTTGCTGGAGCCCTTGTTGAGGCGGGCCGTCAGGGCGTTGATGACGGAGGACTTGCCGACGTTGGGGTAGCCGATGACGCCGACGGAGACGGAGCGCTTCAGCTGCTTGGTCTGCGCGAAGGACTTCAGGGCCTTGAAGAGCGTGTCCGAGGTGCCCTTGACGGTCAGCTGCTTGTGGTCGAAGCTGTGGGCGTTGCCGGTGCCGTTGGACGCCTTCAGCGGCAGAGTCGGGAAGTATCGGCGCAGATGGATCAGCCAGTCCTTCAGCACGGGCGGGGGCACGAGATCGATCTTGTTGAGGATGAGGATCAAGCGCTTGGTTCCCGCGGCGGCGGACATGATCTCGCGCTCGACCTCCTTGGAGCGAGTACCCTCGGGGTCACGAGCATCCAGCACGTACAGCACGACGTCGGCACCGTCAACAACCTGCTTGAACACCTTGTCGAACTGTCGTCGCGAGCTCTCCTTCGAGTGAGGCTGCGAGACAAGCTGAGGGGCTTCATCGTCGTCGAGAGCCGCACCGCCATCCTCCTCGTCATCGTCCATCGCATCCATATCCTCATCGTCGTCCTCGTCCATCTCGTCATCCTCATCCCCGTACTCGGCCGCTCTCGCCCGCGCAGACGCCAGCAGCGCAGCCATGGGGTTCGAAGAGTCTCCATCCTCGTCCATATCGTCATCATCCATGCCATCGCTGTCGATATCCTGCTGAATCTGACCGTCGATCACCTCGGCGCCCTGTCCGGACTGGGCCTTCTGGGCGGCGCGGCGAGCACGAGCCTCATCGCGAATACGCTGCTGCTCCTCCGCCTTCAAGCGCTTGCGCTCCTCAATCTCATGGAGCAGCTTATCCTTGTGCGGGAACAGGTTCGGGATACCGGGGTCCTTCTTGATCTTCGAGCGCCATGTAGGATCCTGATAAAAAAATTGTCAGTGAAATTGCGCCGGCAAAAGAGAAATTCAAAATGCATTATGAAATCCGCAGCAATTGCAAACCCGCAAGAACATACCTTCTTCGCCAACTTCTTCTGCTTCCGTTGCTTAGCCGCAGAGGCCTTTTCAATCTTGTGTCGTAGTCGGACGGGAGTCCGCTTAGAATTCTTGCCTGGACGAGATCAGTTCAAACTTTTCTTCTGGGTTTTACGGAGAACAAAAAATGGACCGGATAAGCATACCGATATTCACCATCTTGTCAAATCAGTACTCAAACACTCAGCACCAACAGGGAAATGACCGGGGAAGATGTAGAAGAGATCCAGAGCGTCTCCGAACAATTTTGTGCAAACTTGAGCGGCCGCCAAGATTTCACCGGCGCTAAGATAACCGGACAAACGTCCCGCCGATCTCCGGCCATCCCGCGGATTTCGCGATGACTCGAGATGCTTCATGCGAGGCTTCTGCCTGTGGTTTGATTTCGCATGTTCTTTCTTTAGATTTCGTTTCATCGTTCGGCTTATCTCTCCTTTAGAATTTACCACCCTCTCTTCCGTTTCATAGACAGCGCCTATAGACAGCATACCATGGCCCAACCGCAAGGCTCCTTCTCTGCCCCGCCGCAAGTCGTCTCGTTCGATGGCATTCTGTCCGACTTTGATGGGACCATCGTGGATTCTACCGATGGTAAGCATACTATGTTGCATGAACTACCCAGCGATCAAGAAAAGACACTAATGATGGGCCCCTGTCAATAGCAATCGTCAAGCACTGGCACAAGTTCGTCCGGCCCGATAGAAACCACCCCACCTTCCGACCCAACGAGACGAAACCTATCCCTAACACTTCACTCACCCTACAGGATCGGAGCGGAACTAGGCGTTGACCCCAAGATAATTCTCGCTACCTCGCATGGTCGCCGAAGTATCGATACCTTGGCCCTGTACGACACGTCAAAGGCCAACTGGGAGTGTAAGTCGCCGATGTCCTCCCTTCCCCCTCTTTGTCTGTTTTATACAAACGAGTGAGATGTCTTATCTGCCACGACGGAGAGAAAAAGAAAATCCAGGCCTGACGATGTGACCTTTGGTTTGTGCAGACGTCAGCTACATTGAAGGCTGTATCCCGAAAGAGTACGGGTCCGATGCTGTAGAAATCCCCGGCGCCAGATCTCTCCTCTCGGCTCTGGACGAAGCTGGCGCACGCTGGGGCGTGGTCACCTCCGGGACACGCGCGTTGCTCGAGGGCTGGTTGGGAGTCCTGAATCTCACGCATCCCGACATGCTGGTTGTCGCGGAGGATGTCGAGTTGGGAAAGCCCGATCCACGATGCTATCTCCTGGGTCGTGCGCGCCTGGGATTGGAGAATTCCTCGTCACTGGTGGTTCTTGAGGACGCCCCGTCCGGAATCCGCGCTGGCAAGGCGGCCGGATTCAAAGTGATTGCGCTTACCACGACCCACACGCTGGCCCAACTTCAGGAAGCCGGGGCGGACTGGATTGTGGAGGACCTGAACAGCGTTTCGGTGAAGGCCGTTGCCGATGGCCAGATTCAGCTCGAGATCCGGAACGCATTCCAATAAAGTGAAGCCGGGGGTGCAAGGGTCTTAACGACGGAGTTTTGACTCCAATAGATTACGGGACTTTTTGCTTTTCTTTTCTTTTTCTTCTCTCTTTTCTTCCCTCTGCCGCCTTTCTCCCCCCCGTTACCTGGTCGGGCCCTAGGGGCTCCGATAGACTTTTTTGTTGTACATAGAATTAGAACCATTGTGTCTATCTTGTAGTGCCTCTTGCCTCTGCCCAGATGATATGACATGTATCTGCCGTGGGTGCGGGTGGAAAGTGCCTTGCATGGCACCAATGTACAAACGGATGCGAGAATCGGTTTGTACTCGTATTTTAAAAGACCCATATGGAAACGCCATGGCAACCATACCGTGCATGAAACAAAGCCAATCGACCGGAGCCAACGGTAGACAAGGCTGGCTCACCGAGCTGGCAACACGATATCGCGCAGTGGATTGAGAGTGGGATTCCGCGAATTACAATAGGCCCGGGACCCAGAACCTGATAACGGGAGGGATCTATCAGTGGAGGCTCCATTGTCGAACGCAACATGCTGGCGGTGTACAGCAATGCATATTGGGAATGATATAGGCTTCCATGGAGACATGGCTGGCGGGTTTCTCCATGCGCTGTAGGTCCGAGCTAATCAGATTCACGGACTACACCGAGATGTTTGCCGAGGACATCACCGCTTTCTCACCCTGTATGATAAGTCTCATGGCCCGTCTCGATCCGGTAGTCCAGAGGCAACATATCACAGAGAGGTTAATGTTTAAAGTTAAACCACACTGGAGAGTTAGATCTACCGGCATGCTCACCGACTCGGACAACCTACTGCACCCTCGGCCGACCATGGATACGCATAATCACACGAGAGAAAGAGAAGGGAGATGAAGGGGGACGAACGGAGGGACGGGAACAGCTGTTGCATGAATGTGGCTGCAGCATGCAGCTGAAAAAAAGAAAACAGAAAAAAAAAGTCCAAGGTGGCAATCGTGATTTTGATCAGGACGTGCCTTCCGCACCTCCAAGCAACCTAGACAAATCAATTGTGCCACCGTCTCAGGACGCCGCCGTTCGGAACACACGAGCTGTTGCAGGATTCCCTGATTGCAGGGTTGCCCCCAGGGCTAATCGCCTCGTTGACCGAAGGGGACGATCGGGTTCTGGAAAACGGACGTGTCGACTGGAGCCCCCAAACACGGCTCGATCGACATGGATTTCTGCTGCATTGCATCGGGAAGATCTGGCCGAACTCGTCAGCGATACGGGTGATGTAGCTGGGGGAAGTCTGGCCCCAAACCAGTCTCTGACACTGTAAGCAAGGGATGGTGGGCGAAAACCCTCGGGGAGAGAGGAGTGAGAGGTTTTATTTTTTGCTTTCTTCCTGCTCTGTCCCTCTCTTTCCCGCTCAGGGCTGACCCGTGTGGTTTTTATCATTCTGGGCGTCTCGAACGGTAAGCGCAAAGTTTCCATCGTTGATCAAGGCCATTCTGGGAGCCAGACAACCCATAGGAAGAGACACCTATGGTGAATGGGTCAAGAGGCGTCTTCATCCCGAAGAGGCTCAGACAATGTGACCTCCTTGTACCAGTCGAGTTACGATACGTGCACTGTACACCACATACGTCCGACAGACATACAGTCTAGACCGGAACATGGCAAAGGCTGGTCGGGAAGTGCCCGCAGTCGCCCTGAGCGTTGAATACAGTTGCATAGAGCGGAAGAACTAAACAGAAAAGAAAAGAAAAACGGGCACATCCAGATGCCATGGCGTAAAGGGTTGGGCCCACAAATCAATCTCATTCGCCTGTCAGTGTTGGTACTATTGTCAAAGAATGACGAATTTGAGGCTATCCATTGCTTGGCTTATCCGTGCACAAGAGATGGATCGGAACGAGGAGAGAACGAAGAGCGAAGGAAACAAAGAAAGAGGCGGAGGATGGACGACCCTGCAGGCGATCTCGGAGGATCTCGAATCGCCCAGGGAGCGTGTGGCTGAGGAGAAGCACCGCCATGATCATCGCTGGACTTTAGTTCCGTAGGTCGCACCTGCCTATTGTAGCCATGGGGTGTGGCGTCGTCTCTCAGGGCTGAGTGTTACGCATTACATACCAGAATACCCAGTATCGTCTGTACCTCCTTACGATGATACACCAGTACAGGTATCGTAAAAACACCGCATACTCGGCGGATGGTCAGTACCAGGTAGCAGGTACAGGAGGTTCCTGTGCTTGCATCTCAGGCGGAGAATAAGGGCAATGATTGTCGATGCACCTACATCATGGAGCAGATTAAGCCGTGGCGATTGACGTATGGGACCTCACGGAATGATTGACGGTGATCGAAGGGTTATCGGGGGGAAATCGTAGACCCAAGGGGATGGGAGACTGGAGATGTTCTGCTGTACACGCTAAAAGGCTAAAAGCAGGGTGTGCTCACGGGCAGCAATTAGGGGAGGATCCCCCAGTGTGCCAAGTCAACCTTATACCATCCGGGCAGGGATGTGATGCCATCATTGATCGCCCCAATGGCATAGCGTTTCAGGGGTTGGCGTTCATGCACCACGGCCAGAGCAACTAGTCCTTCTCAGCCAACAGACGGACCGACAGGCAGGCAGAACGACAGACAAGTCGCAACCATGTCGATGCGCCAGCATTCTCGGCGAATTTTGGCCCATAGGGTCTCATATTTGGGATCCCCCTCCGTCTATCACTGCACCGGGCAGCAACGGCTCGTAGGAGGTCGGTGCTAAGAGGAAGGACTAAGAGGTCTGCGAGGAAGATCAGTGCGGGTGGATCGTCACAGGGGAAAAAGAGGAAGGAGGAGAAGAAGTGGGAAGGTGATGACGATGGGTCAAGCTGATGGATCCATCCGGCCCCCCTTTTTTCTTTTCGTTTTTTCTTTCCATTTTTTTTCTTTTTCTTGCGTTCTTTTCTTCGATGGCGAGAGTTGTTGGAACTTGTGATGAATGCAGTCCACCGTGCTTGATCGTGGTGTAGATGGCAATGACCCGCCAATCATGACCCCGAGTAACGCGCCGGATGGTCGGCCAGCTTAAGCACCTCCCAAGCCTGCATACATCCATGGATACTCCGTAGTCGACACGTGAACCGTTCCATCCAACAAGTCAGTGAAGTTGAAGCTTGGGGCGACGCGACAACAGCGAGTGATGTTCATCCCCCCGAGTCCACCGCGTCGCACACGGTCTCGTTCATAAGGCCAACGCTGTGGGTGAAGTGAAAAGTGCTGGACCCCATGACTCCGAGGGCTTCTGATTGGCCTCATGCCGGCCTGAGGCCCCACCGCCGACCCCCTTCAGTTCGCACTTCTCGCCCATCCGGGGCTTCTTTTTCTGACTAACAAACCTCAGAGGCAGGCGGAAACTCCATCCGATGGGAACTTTTAGGGGATCGTTCCAAGATGCCGGAATCTGCTGTGTCGCTCCGGGATTTCCCCTCCCTCATGTGAACGTTGGACTATCAACCCGAGCTCCCCCCCTTTGAAGTTGGGACGTTGGTCCTCCGTACAGCGTGTCTAATGTATGTACTGGATTATACGTGCCGTAGCGCTGGCAAGAAGAACATAGACGTACATTAAACGGAGGCGATCAGAGGAAATGCATGCACACATCATTCGCGCGAAAGCGAGCATCATGGGGATCGGTCCATGTGAATGGAGTATGGAGTAGTAACGTACTACCAGGAGCAGCGCAAAAACGGAGCGGATGATGGCCCCTCCCCCTAACATGGGCTTTGCTCCCATCTGCATGAGAATGGATTGGGAACCGCTGTTGCGTAACCTCGTGACTTGGCGTGGGCGCTTCGGGCTGCATCATGATTCGCGCCGCGACGGGGCCAGAGGGCAAGAACTCGAGGTGACAGGAATCCTGGTGCGAGAAATGGACGAATGGCGGAAGACGCCGTCCAGGGCCCGAGAGTCGACGGTTCCTAAGGCCCTGCTCCGGAAGACGGCGTAAAGTCCCAAGTAACAGCCCAACCGCCTAGCAGGAAGATCAGGTAAAGGATGGAAAATGTTCGAACAATCGACAGATCCTGGTGGCTGATCGACGGGATCTGTCGACTATTGGTTTTAGCGGGGCTTGGCTGGCTGCTGCCACGCTTTTGCAGCTCTCCCCATAGATTTTAGTTAATTAAATTTAATCTATTTTTCGCCCTTCTTCTGGAGCTTCGAGATATAGTTCCTATTCGAATTCTCGACTTTCTTTCGTTTGCATAGGAAATCGTTAGTTTTGGGACGATTCGCCGGCCAAGCGGGTTAGGAGCTTTGCGGGCAAAACATGACAGATCGCGGGAGATCCGTGCTGTACGTATGTATTTGTTTGTACGAGTACTGTACAGTTACGTCCCAGGTACCCAGGTACCCAGGTACAGGTACAGGTACATCCGTAGTGTATAGAGTACAGGCATCCATGGATACAAACATCCCTCTCGGTAAGTCGGACTCAGTTCCCCGCCTGTCCTGCGCCGTCGATGATGCGGAATATGCGAGACTCCAAACTATAATAATAACTCTAACCCCTTCGCTCGGGTCATGTACGATGGGAGAAGAACCAAGTCGACCTGTCGCAGACGGAGGGACCCAAGGGACCTGTCGGCAGGTATTGCTTGTGTACCGACCCGCTCGGGTAAATCGCGAGGAGAGTCGTTGGGACCTTGGGAGTTGGAAGCGGACCGCCCAAAGTCAACCAGAAGCAGAGCAGGAGTGGACGGGCAGCTGTGAATGGAGGACCGGCTGTGATCCCCGTCCAAAACCCATGGAATGGATCCCGATCACCCACTGCCCCGTGATCGATTCTTGGCCGCGACTTGCCAGGCCATTGGCTCCTTTTCTCGCACTCGCTCTCTCGCCGCAGTGTGAGACATGAACAGCGATCTCGGGAGTCTCCAAGGCGCGTCTGACTTGACTGCTGACCCACTTCGGGTACGGCAGCAACAGCAGCCGTGCTTCTTACGGAGTCGCTACGACGCAGTACTCCCCTCTGACACGATCCTCCTGGACGCTGGATGATAATCGTCATGTCTGGTGGTAGTCAAGATGACCTCACCATCTCCCATCCCCTCCGTTCCTTTCGTCCTGGCCCCTCATCGCCTTCACCTAATACGAACGGTCGGTGTTGGCATCGTTTGGTGCTATTTTCGCCTTGGTTAGGTTCCTCCACTATGGAGCCCTCGCCCTCTTAGACTCTTCCACTTTTCTCCCCCCCCTGTTAGCAAAGCTAAATTTGTCCCTTTTTCCCACGCTAATGCAGGAACTGACGAAAAGCTCGTTTGCGATCTACTCAGCTCCATTGCAGTTTCACTCTGAATCATGAGGCTTGGGATTAGGGGAAGGATGGGATAGGGATCCATTGGGGGACACCTGACACTTAAGCTTTATTCTGCCTCAGGCGAGTCAGCATCATCGCAACCCCTTTTCGGGTTGAAAGGAGGTGGACAGCGGGAACCTCTTGGATTTTTTTATCTTTCCGCCAATGAGATCTTCTCCTCGCGTGGCACGGCTCCGCGGGAATGTCGGATACCATGGAGTACCCGTCTTCACGCCATTACGGAGTAGGTAGGTAGGTATGGGTAAGCTTGTACATACGGAGTAATCACCTCTCAGAGTACCTAGATACCTGGAACCAGGTAAATCCATAGTACGTGGGAGATACCGGATGGATTTGAAAGATATCATCACAACGAGGGGTACCAAAAAAGGAAAGATAATACTGCACACCCCCCTCTCTTAGAGAAAAGAAAAAGAAATAGTTAACTGAAAAAGCTTTGGTCATCACACATGCCTTGATGTTCCCAGTGATATCAAGGAAAAAGCAATTGACAACAATCCCCGAGGCACAGGATGCATTATGGACCCGTCGTACAGCACACCCTTACCCCTCCGAGTAGCACAGTCACCGCCACGCTTGCCACTGAGAGCTGCTCCATCATCATCTTGACTTGTCCGAGCTCTATCCTAGCGTCCCTCAGCAGAGTATCACCCTTAGCACCGAGGAGATGGGAGTGGGTTTCCTCATGCTATGACGCTTCCTGGTGACGGACTGATGCTAAACGATGACAAATATTACACCCGTACTCCGTACAGCCGGCAGTATTTAATTTAGTTAGTTATTTTAAGCCCTGACTGCGAGGTTAGTTTGTATGAGCCTGGGCTGGGCCGCCACCCCCTAGAACCGCGCGGGCGGAAGCACCGCAAACCCACTCTGTTCGGCCAATATTTTTGGTGGTCGGTGCCTTTGTCGGTACCGTACCTGATACGGTTCGTGACAGTCCCCGATAACCGGGCTTGAGGTACCGGTACCCAGGTACCTTTCTCTCTAGTATGGCTACTTAAGTCCCGCGTACAAAGTCAATCTTGAAGCATAGGGACTAGGGACAATGTCAACGGCATGAATAACCATGGGATTATGAGAGGATATCACGTAGGACGGTTGTAGATCCATATTTGAAAGAAAGGATCCTGCCTTCAGTGTAAGGTTCCTGCTGAGTGCTGGCAACAAAAAAAGATAAAGAGACAATACGAGTTTGAAGCCCGATTGTCCCGAACACCTCCAGCTCCATCCTGGGCTGACGGTAAATACGGGCTTGATACACCCACCCCAAGCCGCCGTGAATCCTCCCAGTTCCGGATGGCGATCTTCCAATCAGAGCGGTCCCCTCCACACCTTTTTTTTCCCAGGCAGCCGCCGCCAATCCCCATCCGCCCCCCCAAATCCAATTCCTCACCTCACACTCTTTGCTGTCAATCTTTTCCCTTTTCTTTTTTTTCTTTTCTTTTTTTCCCTTTTTCTTTTCTGATTTTTTGAATTTCCAACTTTTCTTTTCTTTTCTTTTTTTTTTCCCTGAAAATATTATTTTTCTTTTTCCTTTTCGTCCTTTTCACTCTTTCTTGCTTCGACTCTCTTTTTCTCCTCTCCCCTTTTCCTCTTTCGTCCCCTCTTTTTTTATTTCATTTTCATTTTTCTGTGATTTTATTACCTACGTTCCTTTTCTCAGTCAGCTTAGTCGTTCCTTATTTTATTTTATTCTATTTTATTTATTTGGTTTTCGCATATCCTGTGATCTGCCTATTAGTACCTGTCTTTGGAACTTATACCCTCATTGATCCTCTCCTCTGTTTTCTTAAATCCAGAACTGCTGTGGTTGTATACCCACCTCCGACCTCAGCAAACCAGTCATTCTCTCATCACTCAATCCTTCAGTTTTTTACTCTTTAAAGTGTCAATCTACCCTCCACTGTCGAATTCTCCAGCTGCTATTTATCTTCTATTTTCTTTCGGTGGTCCAATCTGTTCAATGATCTAGATTCGTCCCCTCGTCCCAGTTGCCGCCCGCCGAGCAACCCATCGAACCTCTCAACCTCACCGACCTTCTCCCTTCTCTCTCCTCCCTGACCTCCTATCGCAATCATGAATTACATTCATCATCCGTATCCATATGCCAGCCATGTCCCAATCGATCAGCCGATCGCCTTTGATCCGGCAATGGCACACCCGTCCATGATGCACCCGATGGACGGGTACATCTACCCACACCCGCCATTCGACATGGTTGACTTCTACCATCAACCGATCATGGATTATGAAGAATACGCAGAGAACCTTTCGCGACCGCGGTTAACAAAGGAGCAAGTCGAGACCCTGGAAGCTCAATTCCAAGCCCACCCCAAACCGAGCAGCAACGTCAAGCGCCAATTGGCTGCTCAAACCAATCTGAGTCTTCCTCGTGTTGCGGTTAGTGGTTCCTCCAAAGTATCTTTGAGTGTGATTGGTGACTGACGATCTGGCTATCTATAGAACTGGTTCCAGAACCGACGAGCGAAGGCTAAGCAGCAGAAGAGACAGGAGGAATTCGAAAGGATGCAGAAGGCTAAAGCGGAAGCCGAGGAGGCTGCCCGGGGGAAGTCAGAGAACGCGGATGATTCTGAGTCGAACCAAGATGCCAAGGCTTCTCAGGAAGGCACCCAGAAAGATACCCCTAAACCCGCGGATGGAACAACGTCCCACACTCGCACAAAGACGTCGGGTTCTTCACGGTCGAAGCACCAGAAAACCAAGAGCGAGGCGGCTCGCGAGGCTACTTTTGCTTCCTTGCAGAGGGCCCTGAATGCCGCTGTCGCGGCTCGTGAGCGATATGGCTCGGAAGAGGAAGAGGGTCAGCCCGGCGCTACAAGTGCCGAAGGATCCGTATCTCCGACCGCGGCATTTTCGGTAAACAGCAACCAGGACGCCAGTCATGGCGACCACCACCAGAGCGGACTCAACTCGGCTTTGTCCGAATGGGACCATACCAAAGATGCCTCCATGTCGTGGACCTCGTCTCACAGTTCGCAGGGAACTCTTGGGTATGGCAGCTTGAACGCCACGCCGTTGACTTCCGCCGCCGAGTCGTTGGCTGTCCCGAGCTTGGACGGTTCGCAACATCAGGATGCTTCTCATGACGACGTCATGCAGAACATTCAATTCCATCCTTCGGAGGGCGAAGAGTGGGCTGGCCAGATGTCGACAAAATCGCTTTCGGGCTACCACTCCACGAGTGACGCCGAGGCTCCTTACCATACCGCTCAATACCATATGCAACCAGAGCTGTCCTTGTCAAGGCGAGAGTCGTCCGATGAGCTTGCCGACACGCTGGAGGGTATCGGAATCCACGCAAACCGTGCAGACTCGTCGTGGAAGGACGCAGGCAAGGAACTCGACCTCGCTGCTCGGAGAAAGCGACCGAGGCCTGCTGCCATTGGCACATCGAGGTCTTCGTCAATGCTGGCTGGGTCAGCTTCCATGTCTCCAACCACGTCAAGGCTTCCGAACTACGGCTCTGGCCACGGCGTGAGACAGTCCAAGTCCGCCCAATGCCTGAACTCCCGGTACGCCGGAGTCCGAAAGGCTTCTGCCGCTCAGCGTTCGCCCCTCAATCTCTCCACGTTCGCCGAAGCCGGAGCTCTGGCTTCCTCCAAGGCCGAGATGTCGTCCATGCTGCAACCCACCGTGACGACGGGCGCGTTGGCACCTCCGACCCCCCTTACACCGGAAGACTTCCACCACTTGCTTCCGACCACACCCAGCGATGGCGGATATTGCCTGTCAGCCCAACCCACCAGCCAGCTGTTCCCCACCACGCAGCCGATGCAGGCTAACATCGCGTCACCCCCGGCCACGCCACTGGCGGTGGACATCATGGGCTCCTACCCTTATCAAGGCGTGGCACCGCCCATGTCTGCTCCTGCCCACTATACGTCGTTTCCTGACTACGCTGCTGCCTGTGACGGGACTGTCTTGACGGGGCGAAGCTGGACCGACGCCACCTCAATGCCTTCGCCGGAAGCTGCTTTCCAGAGCCGCTGTGCAATTCCACAGGGGGACATCCCGTCCATGTCATATGAGCACTCTGTCGACAGCGTGTCGGGCTCTCCTACTTTGGTGTATCCGACAAGCGATGTCGACATGCCGACGTTGACTGCGTCGCTGGCCGGTGATGCGAAGCCCACGGAATTCTACATCCATGAGTTCCCGGAACAGCAGGAGGCTCATCGATTTGTTGCTCAGCAGCTTCCTCAGAAACCCAAGGCGTACACGTTCACGAACCAAACGCCGAATGATTTCCCGAATTAAAAAGAAACCAGAAAAAGGACCCAAAAAATACTGGACAATTTAATTAGGTCGACGAGTAAAAGTCCGACCAATACATACGCTACTATCCTTTACATTCTACTGTGATACTATTCTTTGATATGCTCAAGCCGTGCTGGCATTATTTGTTGATATCCACGGGACTTCGTTTACTATCCCGTGTTCTTTTGGCTGCATGATTCCCAGAGCACGCGTGTTGGTGTCGTTCTTTGGCGTCTGCCATGGTCTTCAATTCGTTTTTCTTTCTGGTTGGTTTTGGGATTCGACTCCGTGTTTTGATTCTGCATGTGAATTTGGAAGCGGCTGGACTTTTCTTTTCTTTGACATACATATGGAGGCTCTTGTTTATTGGCACGTATCTACTACTACTACTTACTGTAATACATATAATATGGCAACAGGGCGATGCGTTGGAAGCATCGTCAGTCACTCTCTTCATACTCATACTCTTCATACTTTTCATACTCTCTTCGTGACTATCTTTCATCGTACATTTGTTCGACTCTGGCGAAGCGGGCACCGATCTTTCAATGCCCTGAAGTTCCTCAGGACAGGCTCCTTTCAAATCCAACTCGACAAACATTGGGTCTTATGTTCTCGGCTCCGACAGCACGATAATCCCGCGGAAAGACGCCAAACATCTGGCGTTCCTCACACCCCGCATTCTTAGAAGCGGCATTATAATAGACGCGATATGACAATCTTCCCTGGATTTCTGACGAGCTCTGTCTACCGACTTCACCATGAAACCTTCGACTCGTGTCTCCGTTACTAAGTCTTGCTGCCACCGCGAAACCTTCCCATTTTGATTATACCACGGTGACCGGGTACCTTGTACAAGACGACGATGATACAGATGATTGTGAACAGTGGGGGAAGTCATAGGTTCCGAGGACACGTATCGACGCGAGGATTCTGTGGGCAAGGAAATATATCAAGAGTGGAGGTCTGGAGATTCAAAGGTTCTAGAGCAATGCGTGAGGATCGCTACGCAACAGATTGGTAGGAATCACTGAAATTGCTAAAGCTAAGGAAAGAAGGAAAGGAGAGCAATCCCATAGGGATAGGAATTGCTCGTGATATAACGATTTTTGTTGACTGTAACCAAAAAAAAAAAAAAAAAAAAAAAAAAAAAAGGAAAAAGAAAAACGGAAAAGATTGAATGATGCAGTCCAGAAATGTACCTCCTTATATCGGGAATCAAGGGGTGATCCATGAAGGAAAGACAGGAGATCCAAAGGAAATAACATCAATCAACAGATAAACTAACGAAATCGACACAAAAAGCGAGGTACTGTCTGGTCAACTACTGGACCCCCCTGCAATACGCTTATATTGCGCTCCTTTCCTCTTTCACCAGCATACTAACATCTCGGGTCTGTCGAACGCGTGTGTTGTGGCCGTACCAATATCGATCAGTCCGAAAGCTGTCATGGCTAGTAAGCGTTGCGAGGAAAAAGTGATTGGGAGCCAGAAGACGTACCTCCAATTCAAGTTTGCCGCGGCCACATTCCGGATCCCTGAAATGTACTGCTGCACTTGGCTGTCAATCTGCTCGTTCCAGAATGGAACCTGTGCTAAAACTGAATACCACTCCCGATACCGAGAATGAAGTAAACTGGCACATTCGTCGAATGCAGTTGTGATATCCCCCACCTTGAGGAGGTAGACCATCACGAGATTGTGGTTCTCTCCGAGATCCTTTGGCAATAACAGGGTTAGCCATGGCTCGGCTGGAAGATAGAGGCATTGGAAAGATTGAAAATACCTGCTCTTTGAAGTAGGATACGATGTCATTTTGTCTGCCTAGGTCAGTTCATGTTTGAATGGGAGAAAAGCTCAAGGATGCCTACATGAGAACAATGTCCGTGATGATCTCGCCGAGCTTCTCGATGATTGGGTGTTGCATCACCGAGTCTGGGAGTTCTAGATCGTATGCGTATCTGGCATATAATTCAGCTGTTGCTCGCTTCATCGGCTATGTATGACATGTTTCGATGCACTCACTCCACCAAGGCAAATATAGGCGTCGCCCCAATTGAACCACGTCGTAGCTCGATGAGCCTGTCGATGGTGGGGATTTTGCTGGCCGAGTGGAGAGTAACCTGGTCGATATTGGACTCGCAGAACGTGGTCATGTATTTGACGAATCGTTTCTGAGTACCTTGGGGTTTTGTCAGTGGAAGACTGGAAGCAGATTTCGGGTAGTATAGATTGACACAAGCGAATGAAGAGAATAGATTGAGTACGAACCGTGAGGAGCCTGCTGCGATAGGCGGTCCCATATGGACTTGAAGGCATGGAGAATCGGCTGCTCAGGCGCCGCGTTTCGACCGTCAATGATTGAAAGACAAGCATCCACCATTTCCTGTGCTCCGGCAGGGTCACGTTGCAGTGGCCCATTGTCAAAAGCTGGAGAAACAATGGCTAGTATCACATGAGAGTCCGATGGATGAGATGAAGGATCATACCATCGTCAAAGGGGAATACCTGTACAACGTCAGTACTTCACGGATCATGGAGGTTATTGAAGAGGGAAACATACCCAATTCCCCCAGTCACAGAGCGGTCGCAGTTTCGTAAAGCTAGCCAAGGGGATCACCACCGAGCAGAAATACGAAAAGTCAAGTTGGTGAAGAGTGTGCTGGAACTTAGGGCTAAAGCTGCACTCTCTGTGTCTGGTGAGTAGGGATTTCCATCAAGAATTCCGTGGCATACCTTGATAGCCATGTCTCGGACTGTGTTCGTATTGTGTCGTAGTGAGGGTTGATCTCAGGAGGGGACGCAAGAAACGAGACAAACATGTCCGGTAGAATCACTGGCATCTTGTCTTTTGCAGGCTCGAAGAACTCAACAAAGTCTTGGGCTATGTGAGTGAACTGAGGCAGTCGGAGAATATCTGTACGTCTCTGATGAAATTCACGTATATTTATACCTATATGGTGATTCCACACCACCCACTGGGAATTGGTTTCATCGCAAGGAGTATATCGCCATCTGTCGGACTTAGGAATCATAAGACCCAGGACAGATATTGAGAATGTGTAACATCCCAATGTGGGTGTCTGCATTTGAAGACGCTACGCCTCATAGGCTGGACGAGGTTGTGCTTTCATGCCTATCACCGCATATAGAAGTATATATCGTTATCGCCAAATACTGGTTCCTTGTTGAGCATGGTGCATATGGGGCATTCCTCGCACCTTGATAAGCGGATGGTGAAGTGGAAAACCCACGTCATGTTACTGAAGAAAAAAGGGTAGATGTAAGGGAAGTCCCATCGTTGCATAGACCGATACACCCACAATCTTTTATCTCTCCGTCAATAACCTGTTTAGCCATACGAGCCGTAGATTGACACCCCCCCTGTTCCTCCAAAACACTGTACCCTCCCACAAACATCGTCGAACAAACTGTCTGACACGACGAGGCTACAAAATATGAGCTCTCACATAATTCATCATCTAGGGCTACTCTTAGGGATATATGAATTCTATATCCTTCTCAGAACTTTCTACAGAATCTATCTGGACCCACTGAGACAGTTCCCTGGGCCCACTCACCTTTATGAGCTGTACTGTGGTATCATTCTTGGTGGTATGTGCATGAAAGAGGTTGAGCGAATGCACAAGAGTTATGGTACATTACTTCGCCACCTTCCAGTTTTAAGTGCCTACTTGCAGCGGAAAATTATAGGACCCATCGTACGCATCGGAAAGTGATTCACCGTTTCCACTGAGTCGTATAGGGGCCGGTATATTTGGAGACCAGCGCCAGGGCAGAGCCGATGCCTCCATCGTTGCGGCCGGTGATGAGAACATGACGTCTGTCGGACATGTGCGAGGAGGTGCGGTGGACTTGGAATGGGTGTACGCAGGATTAGAGACATTGGAACCGGAACAATGAATTCTTTCCAAAGGAAAAAGACATCAGAACTAGACCATGACAACCACAGCACAAGCCACTTGATTAAATCATACGCAAGACCGAGCCCAGTTAATTCTATTCATGTATAAATAATCTCACATAGTGATAAAAGGACCAACAGCTCCAAAAGTAGACTTGAAACCGAACGAATATACCTACAGGGCATGTTCGTATGAAGGTATAGCTGAATAGGAAGGCTTATAGTCTATACCATTAATATTTAGAACAGAGTCATAAACCAAAAAGCAACAGAACCTAATACCCTTTCTACCTAAAGAGAAAGCCGAAGGTCAAGACGGAGAACGCTAAGACGAAGACCAAAAGTGAAGAAAGTATGTAGGCAATAGATACCACAGAACACAGAGCGAAAAAAGCAGAACGCAAAGAGAAAGAGGCAGCCATAGTAAATACCACGATACCCATAGATCATAGAACCGAGCAGCCAGCAGTGCTCATCTCTATAACCATACAGCATAAGAATCCACCGTGCAACGACGGTACCTGAGCGGCTAGCAGAGCGAACGAGAAGATCCAATAGATAATCCTCACTTCTCACGTAGTATAGGTAGCATAGATATACCTCGCTCCGGCGCGTAGTTTGCTAGGTAAGTGGAGGCGAGAAGTCGTCCGACTCAGCCGCATTGTATATAGTTAGTATAGGTTACATTGCATTGCATCGCGCTGCATAGATACCAAGGACGATCATAAACCCCCCGGCCCCTCAATCAACCGTCAATCAGCATGTCCTATTCCCCACAGATTCGTGCTGATGGTAGCAGTGGAGCGGCCGGGGATTCAGCCTTGTGAGAGAATATCAGCCGCGCGCTTGGATGTGCATGGCACCTAAATTGGTTGGTTTCTGGTCGGTACCGAGGGACTGGTAAGCTAGACATGCATGAACTGCTAGGATTCGTTGGGTTCTTGGGATTGACTAGGGGAGTGCTGTGATGATGGCGATGGCCTGTCGTTTAGCGTTGGAGTTGAATAACCCGATTTGTAGACGCAGCTGCGGCAGTGTATAGATAGATATATGAATTTTCGGACGAAAATAAGAAATGGGAGAGTCTAGAACACAGCCCTACTGGATTCGAAACAGAAAGACGAGAAAATGGCTCGTACGTGTCCGGCTCGTGCGTGGCCGGCGTGAAGGGGTACTCTTTCAGCTTGTCCTGGACTTCTTTGGAGGCGAGAAGTTCGGGCGTGAATTTGCTGGGGTGGGATCGTTAGCGACGGATCCTATCCTTGAATAGATAGAGGTGTATATGCCTATAGCCAAGAGCATAAACAGCACAAGAGAACGTACAAATCTTCTCCCGTCCACTCATAACACAGGATCGGGACCTCGTCATCGTTTTCTGTGGTGCCGTGGTCGACCAGAAAGAAGCAGAGCCGGTGACTGTACCCGAACTCGTCGCCGTACGAGTAGAACCGATTGTCGAACGGCCAGTACGGGACCCGCCAGTGATATCGGGAGATGCGGTGCAGCATGGACGTCACCTTGTCGCCCCAGATGTTGTTGTCCATGCCCTGGTCCCTGGGGACGAGGTGCGTCATGGTCTGGACCAGGATGCGGACCGGGGAATCTTTGGGGAGGGGGAGGTCTGGGGGAGTTTGCTCTAGCATGATTTGGAAAGGGGGTATCAAATGGGGTTAGAGATGAATGGAGGGGTTTTATGGCCCGAGGAAGTAGCGATTATTGAATCAAGAATAGAGAAAGATGTGGAAGATGGGAAGTACTGAGTAGATGGAAAGGTAGGAAGTACTTATTGATAGCCCAGACGGATGGATGTCCATCGATGCTTGTCATCCAATCAACTCCCGCCCTTTTAGCGCCGGGGAAACGCCTTCACTCTGGAGCCTCTACTTTTGCTGTTAAAAATAAATTGTAAAAAGGCAAAGGATTTGAAAAGGCAGGATTCTATCTTTTATAATTGCTTTCTATATATAGCGACAGAAGAGTAGTGGCAAATGTGTAGAACGTCGTCTCTCGTGTTCACTGCGTCCCTATACTCCGCGAAAAGTAGGAATTAACATGACTATACAAGGGCTGAGGGGCAAGCTGCCAAGCATTTCGCCCCTCTAGCCATTTGAAATTGTTCATGAGTATCTTGCATCGTAGATTCCCATATACATTCAAAGTTTCTTATAATTATCATAAGTCAAACACGAGGCCATACCTGGATCATCACAAAGGGTCTTAGGATTATAATCATACTGGAATTCTAAATTTGATTCAGTTACGAGAACATATACAGACAAAGCACCATAAGGTGACGATCCCAATGTCCAGAATCAATGCGATAGACAGAGCAGAGTAGTGCAGTTTGGAAAACCTAATGCTAAGACAGACACGGCAGAAGAGAAGAAAACAAGCACGAACAAATTGAATTGCGGTCGACAACGCTGGCCCAGAAAGTCGAGAGGAAAAATCAAGTCATCATCACACTCTGGAACCCGGCCTTTCTATCATAGAACAGATGAAACATGCACAGCTTTCATACTCATTACGTGGAATCCATCGCCGGCCTCCTCGACGAACAGCTCCCAGACAATCAACAGCCCCGGGACACTTGCATAAACATCGAACACATAACGTCGAAATCAGAAGAATAAACAAACACAGCAGCTTCGGGTATAGCAGAGGGTATAGAAACGAAATGCGCAAATTATCATTAGCTCTCATCCTTGAGCTCCCAAGGATCATCTGAAGCAGGAATGAAAAAACGGCACGATGAGAAGGAGTCGGAATGCAATAAGATCAAAGGGGGAACCCGCAGACACAAGACGAAGAGATCAGGGGATGAAGGAAGGGGTGACCGAATTCCCAGTAACTACTAACAACAAAGTTTCACACCAATTTGCAGTCCCGACGCCTCATGTACCCATGAACGCCAAGTTCTGGACAACGCCGGCCCATGAAATTGCACGAAGAAAACAAAACAAAAGAAGAATGGAGGGGATGAAGGTTTTTTTTTTCTTTTCTTTTCAATTTTCTTCTACCTTCAGTAGCCCGACCATCCGAGAGGAGCTCCAGACTGACCAGGCTGGGGATGACCGGGTTGCATCGGTGCCCCTGGTTGCTGAGGCCAGCCGGAGATGGCTCCGCCCGCGCTCATTCCCATCGCCATTCCAGGTTGCTGGGGAGCCCCGGCCATGAAGGGTTGCCCCCCGGGACCTTGAGTCGACGGATACATGCCTCGCGCCGCCGTCATGGAGGAGTAAGGGGCTGCCGTGTTACCCGGGAACCCCATCGAAGCCATGGGCTGCTGCTGAGGCGTCTGTGGGTGATGCAACGGGAAAGACTGCGGCATCTGGGCCACGGACGGACGAGGTTGATTACGAGGGGACTGAGAGGGATGTGGCTGTTGCGGCAGGGAGTGGGCGAGAGGCGAAGGCGAATGCTGCTGCTGCGCATGCAACTGCGAAGCATACTGCGGCATCGCCACGCCTTGGGGCCCACTGGCCGGCATGGGGGAGGGCTGCGGCTGCGGTGGTGGTTGTCCCCACATCTGCTGCGGCTGAGATGGGAAGCCGTAAGGCCCTTGAGGCTGCGGCGTGCCCCCACCCGACATGGCCGGGTTGGACCGCTGATGCATGAGGTCGGGACGAACGGGCGGCATGGCGCGAACGGGCGACTGGCCAACGGGGGGTGGTGGTTGGTGATGATGACCCGCCGGTGGTTGGAAGCCCGGCTGGCCGGGCATCATCGGAGGGGCCTGATGAGCAAGCATGGGCTGCTGCGGCTGGGTCGAGTTCATCACCCCGGCCGACGGCATCTGAGGCGACTGCAGGGGCTGCGAGACCGCCGCCGCGGTGTCCAGCTGTCCCGGCTGGGACTGGGCCGCAGACTGCGGGATCTCGCGCTGTTTGGCGTAGAAATCTTCCAGACCCTTCTGACGATAGCTGCGCTGCGAGCTCAAGATCTTGTTGAAATCGGCCGTATGCGACGCTTGGTTCAAGATATCAGCGGCCGAGCTGGGCTGGGACCGGTCCTGATACGGTTGGCCGGTCAACTCCTGGCGGGCTCGGGGCATGCTGTTATACTCCCTCAGCCGTGGGTCATCCGTTGTGGTGGCCATGTGGATCATCGGGAGTGGTGCATGGGACACCGAGGACGGTGGACCCAAAGGCAGGCTGTTTGGCATCGCCTCGAGCGCGTTGCTATAGATGACATCGCCGTGGGCGAGGGCCGGCAGCAGGTTAGCCGCGCTGGCCGCCTCGGCGGCAGCCGCATCGCGGGCCTTGGAACCACCGGGTCGCTTCTCGCCCGCCAGGTCGTCCTCGGTAAAGCCTTGCTTGCGCGCCTTGCTTTCCCAATAATCATCACGCACCCGCCGCCCGTTCACGATGACCCTGCTGCCGAACTGTCGGAACATGGATTTCGCCGTCACGATGGCAATCTGACGGGATCGGTAGGAGTACGGCAGGATGTCTTGCGAGATCAAATCGTCTTTCTCGATTTGGGTGGCAATGATTTTGTGCAGGGAGCGGTTCTTGTTGAACAGGAGATAAGAGTCGCGATACCCCAGAACGCGGGCGCATTCGGTCGCCAGCATGAAGAGTTTTGCGCCGCGAAGAGGGACCCGGAACGTGCGGCACTTGTATTCCCGATTACCCTGGGGATAGCCCATGGCATCCACCTTCTTCTCACCAGCCTCGTCAAATTCCTTGGGGATGTACTCATCTCCCTCGTCGTTGAGTTGGTCCGTGGTGTGGTCTCGCACGGTCGGAAGCGCTTTGACGAGAGTGGTCTTGGTCGGCGTCGTCTTCTCTGGAGGCGATGCCTGCGGCGGCGAAACATTCACGCTGGCATGAGGCGGGGGGAGCGGCTGGGTTTGCATCCGAGGAGTCTGTACATGAAGGCCGGCCGACTGATCATGCGTGTTCGCGGTGGAAGGTCGCGGCGTCTTTGGGGGGCGCCCCCGTTTGCGACGACCATGGTCATCTGCTGGAGCCATCAAGGTCGAGCCGACCGCACGTTAGCCTATTCTAGGTCTCTCGAGGAAGAGCTGAGTGTGTGTACGCGTCGAAAGCAATGAAAAACAACAAAGAGACAAATCAAGTTAAATGAGACGAAGCGGCTCTTTCGAGTATCTCACGGCCATAGGAAGGAGCGGACCGCAAGATTACCCGCGACGCGCACATACCGTCATCGTGATCCCCGTCAGCGCGTGCATTCCCGCGCGAGTCCGGAGTTCGACTCCGTTTCACGCCACGAGGTAGGGGAGTAAGGGTTGTTGCTGCAGCAGCAGCAGCATAAGTCGGTGCAGGGAGAACAACAGCGACTAGCAGAAGGCTGTCAGTTTGGAGGTTGTCGCGATGGACAAACAGATAGAAAGATTAAGAACCGTAAGAACCTCCATAAATGACGACGACGTGATCACCGTCGCAGTGGAAATATCAAAATATGGCAAATACGTTTAAAGCATGGCAGACGATGGGATGGAATGTAAATTTTCACCCGGGGGAAATACTTAAAAAAAAAAAAAAAAAGATCGCACACCAAAACAGAAAAAAAAAAGCATGGGTGGGTGAAGAATGGGGAAGGAAGGGGGGGAGGAGAATCGAGGAGAGCTACATACCACTGTTGTTCAAGGCGGCCGGATTGATAGTGCCCGAGCCATCAACAAGATCTCCCCCGATCCCATTCATCGGGGCGGAAACGGAGGAGTGGGAAGTGCCGTACATGGCGGGCCAAGGCAGGACGGAAGGAGGTTAAAGAAGCCGTCGCAAAAGGGCCGCGGGCGCGTCAAGGAAAAACGCGAGAGGTGTCCAGACGCCAAAACGGGAAGGGATGACAAGCTGGGTCGGGTGCTGCAGCGAAACAAAAGCGAGAGACAGGCACGGGCGACGATGCAAGCGATCCTCGGAACAAGTCGACGGCGACCACGACACGCATGCAGTCAGAAGTCAGAAAGGGCAGCGACGGCGAAGGGTTCGTGGTTTCGACTGGTAGGTGGCAGGAAGCGGATCAGCGGGAAGTTCGAGCAATCGGGAGTTTCGACACGGCGCCAACGGGAAGGCGGTGACCAGGCAGAACGACCAAAGAAAAACAATCGACGGGGTGTGGCTGCGCACCGCCACAAGGGGAGGCGGTACCTGGTGGGCAGTTCACCTCCGGGGGGGCGCCGATTCCCAAGGTTCTTCCCTGGGCTGCAGAACGCAGCGGCGGGAGGGTCGAGGCGAGCAGAGCGATGGAGAAGGAAGGAAAAAAGAGGGGGGGTTGCAAGAGACCGCTGAAGATGATTCACGGCGTGCCGCTGATGGAACCGATCAGTGGGGACGCTGGACTGGGGTTGTGTGACCGTCGGTGTCTGTGTGTACAAGACGGCGATGTATGTGAGTGTGTGTGCAAGGTGGGATCGAGGGATTATTGGGTCAGACCGAAGGAGGGGGGGGGACAAGGTGTGGAAGTGGGGACGAAAGTTAGGTTGGAGTTAGGACTGGGAAAGGAAGGGGAAGGGAAGGGGAGGGGAGGGGAGGTGAGAGAGGGAAAAGGTCAGGACGGGCAGGACGAGGGGGGGCGAGGGAATCAATGAAAGAATGGAAAAGGAGGGGGGCAGCAGCAGCGATGGGATAGGACGGATCACTTTCGCCGGGCGGGAGGCGGCGCCACGGAAGGGGCTGATTGGCTGCCGGTCACGATACTCCCGCATGGGGGGATCTTCCCAGTCCAAGTCCAGTCTGGAGGGTGCGATAAGACACCCTCCACCGTGAATCCTTCGGGGTTTTGAAGGGTAAAAACAACAGCCAAAGACCAAGAATAAACATTAACAAAACAAAAACATAAACACAAAAAGAAACCGAACGCGTAGACGCGCTCCGGGCCGAACGCACCTGGGCCTGAATTACCTAATCCAGGACTACATGCATCGAATCGAATGGGGATCGCGTCGGGTAGCGCGGGCGCATGTAGCAGACTACTACTGACCTAGTAGTAGTAGTAGGTCAGTATCTACTGCGTCGGATGCTGCATGTACGGAGGACTAACCTCGTCGGAGATTGGCCCAACTTCCTGGTGCAAGACCGACTCTGGCTGGGGGTCAACCTTCAATCGTCCTCCTTGCCTGTTTCTCCGATGTCGCCCTCGTCACGTTCCCGGGGAAGAAAACAAATCGGAGCGCTCGACGGGATCGATCGACGGCCGCAGAGAGGAGAGAATCACCCTCAAGTCATGGGGAAAGTGGGAGGATTGCGTGGATCAGCCTTAGGGTAGCAATGGCCAGAGGATGAACCCGATTGACTATTCACGGAGAAATTATTAGAAGACCAACCAGGAAAAAAAAAAGGCCAGGCAGAGAGACCAGGCAACTGCAGGATGCAGGAATAGATTAAAAAAAAAAGAAAAAGAAAACACCGGTGGAATCTCAATGGGAAAAAAAGCAACGATCAAATAGCCTGAGATCCGAACCGCCGCGGGGCAATCCTTGGATAAGGAAAAAAGAACAGAACGGACAGAGCCGCTGCGTGCGACTTGCTCCCGGGAATCCGATCGGGATGGAGGGCAATCCAGACAGATCGTGGGGGCGGTACCTTTCGTTTCTTTTTCCGTTGTTCGACGGCCACTCTATCGACCCTCTTCTTTCTGCCCTTTGTGCTCTCGTCGCCGTCCTGCGCGAGTGGAGAGGCCGACTGCTGGGGAAGCGGATGTGGCTTGTACGCGGTGATAGTACATGAATAGCGCCGTAGCCAAACAAGGCAGATTGCACTGACGAATCCCCGGCGAGCCAATGATCGCGCCGTCGGCTGCTTCTGCTGACGATGACGAGATACGCTAACGATCCAGTAAGCCGCGAGCAGTACGCAGTCGTCCCTGGAGAGGGGCTGGCGGCATGCGTTCCCGAGGTTGGACGGGATTTGCCAAGGGTTGATGCTCGTTTCAGTCGGATGAAGGCTACTCGATGATTAGTGACATGGTTCGATTTATTGGTCTGGTAGGAGTGGCTCTGACGAAGCTGGAGGTTGGGAGGGGAAAGGGCCGTACTATAGGGAAGGCAGTCGATTCAGTGCTCCAAGAAGTAGGATTGACGGGGTCGGGAGATCCTCAAACGCCCCGAGTCCAGGACCCTCGAGTGGAGAGAGGAAGAGAGGGGGAGAGTGAGCCGATGAAATAAATGAGTCGATGATTGGATCCGGCCAGGCGGCGAGGAGAAACAGGGAAAGAAACGAAACAAAAGCAAAGAAAAGCAAAGAAAAAGCAACGAGCGAAGGGGCAGTCACAATCATTCATATTATAATTACGAGATTAGAAGAGGCTATGTCTATGAGTTCATCGCCATGAACGAGTTCTCATGCTACTCCTAGCAGTGGTATAGAGAGCATCTCCCGTCCAATGACACTCGCTCCCAGCGATCCCCATCGATGTTCGCATTTTCTGGTTTTCGGGGGATTCTCCTGGGGATTTTCTTTTTTCTTCTTCCCTTCCATTCCATCACCATCGCACCTTTCCCCTTCAGGTCCAATCACAAGACCGGCGCTTCTCCTCGCTTCTGATTGACGGACGACCTCTCGTATCGTATTGTCAGGCCCTGCGAGATTTGCCATTGGAGGAGCATTCATGGCATCGACAGCCTATGGATGCTGCCTGGGAAGATTCATCCGGTGCCTTTGGATGGTGCCGCCTGAGCCCGGAGACTAGTCCGTATTGCTTGACCACTGACAAGCAAGTCCGGTAGATGCTAGGAAGTACCGGTCTCCTTGAGAGAGGCCTCGCAAGGGACGAGGATGCCGATCTCGCATGAAAGGATGGCATCAAACCGCGAGCGGGAGGGATAAAGGCGGTTACCCCAGTTTAAGAAGGATAAGTTTATTTAGACTTGTGCAACAAAGGACAAAGCTTCGTGATGTCCGCAAGGCGGGCTTCCTTGTTTCCTAGAATCTGCCATCCGTCGATCCATCCACCATCCATCCACCCTTTCGGCGGGATCTCTGAACCGAACAGGCACCCCGATGATGGAGGGGGGAAGGGTTTCGAACGAGTTTGACGTGCAGAACCAGGAGAGACAATCGGAATCCTGCCGAAAGCTATCAAGAATTCCCCATCGCGACAGTTACATCTGGGGTCGTCGCGAGGCCATTCTTTTCAGGATCGGAATCCTTTCATCTGGAGACGTCAGCGTCTGTATCGGATGGGAGAAATCGCCAGAATGACCACGATGTATCCAGCAGAATGAATACCCGAGAAGCAGCCAATCAGAGGCAGAGGAAAACCGAATTCGACCCAATAAAGTGACCATCAAATCATGGAGAATCATGCATTCGTGGCGCGAGGGCAGATGACCGGCCATTGACTTTGGCGAAAAGGTCACTTGAGCGGGAACTAGCGGCGATCTTCCAAGGACCGTGCGTGGCTTCCGCGTCGGATCCAAGGATGTACCGTCGCCAGTACTTGGCTCGTAGCTCCAGCTTCTATGCCAGACCAGGTAGAGCAGGTGTACTCTCTGTACATCCGTGCTCGAGAGGATACTTCCCCGTGTCCCCGTTGGTTTCTGGTTCTCTTTGTATGTACGTCTGCTTTCTCCTCGACCGTCGCACAACGCCGTCATTGACACACGCCTCCTGCACATCAACGCCCTGTTCGTCTGCCCTCAAGGCCGTTCAGTCCGTGGCAGGACAACTGCGGTGACACCTCAAACGTTCCAGACACTCCATTCGGATTCAGTTTCTGGACTGTGTCTTTGTGATACTTTCTTGGTGTCTCTCCCCCCCTCCACCATCATGACCACCTAAGCCGGTGGTTCAAGCTTTTCTGCCTTCCCAATGCAGCGTAACAGGTATCCTATGCCGGTCGGGAGATAATGGGATGGACAGCAGCCAGGGAGGCTTGACGGGGTTGGGCCATTGGCAGGCAGACAGGATGCCAAGCGACTAAAGGTCAAAAGAGCATGCAAGTCATCAGCAGAACAGGGAGGTGCAGCAGTTGAGACACAGACATGGAGAAACAGTCCTAGTCTAGCCCCGACGGGTCTGGTCCGCCGTGACTCATGGGCTGATACCGGTCATTGGCTGATCCAGGTCTTCAAGGGCCATCATTTGTCCAACCTAAGAATACCACATCTCCCTTTGGCCCTTGATATGGCCTGATAGGGGATATGCCTGACTTGGATAGGCGGCTTTCGGGCGCGATCTAAGAATAGACGAATCTCCATTCCGGGCAGATTTTCTTCCCAGCGACGTTAGAAGCGGCCACCGGCCCCTCCCCTGTTATCGTCGCTCAGGTAGATATCGCATCATCGGTTTTAACCAAGAGAGTTCTCTGTATTGCGTACGGCCCGGAATCAAGCAGCTAACTCGATACGGATGGGCTGTGTTTAGTCTTTTACCTTCATCCGGTGACTCTTCTCTGGCGCTGGCTGTGCATCCGGTTGGACACTGGCTCCGTCAGTGTTTCCAGTGACTCGACATATCTCCTTCCCGCGCCATGCAATTACCCGAGACAACCGCAACACCTCTCCGGCTGGATTGTTCAACTCGTGTACGACCCTGATGTGTGGAGAAAGCGAAGTTTGGAGGGTCGAGACCAGTCCAGAAGAAACGTTCTTTGCCCCGCCATGACACCTAAGGTTCATCCGCGTCCTCATCGGCATGGTTATCTTCTAATTCCGCTGGCAGAGGGACAAAATTGGGCGAAGTCGGATCTCCGCGCCACGGCGTATCGGTTTGCACCGTTGACAAACGGGGACAAGGGATCCTGCACAGATCCAAGAGAGGCCGTGTGCTCGGTTCGCCGCCTCGTCGACTTCGACCCGGGGTAGGTATGAGTCCAGACCATCTTCTGTTCCCGTACCCCTCCATGTGCATGCCTCATACCCGGGCGTTGGGTATCAAATGAATGCGAGGCCGCGTCTCAAGAGCCCCGCCAAGAGGAAGGTGGCTTGAGAGCCCGAGGCAGTCTGGTTAGTGCTCGAGCACGGTGCCTGAGGCAGCGCAGACCAGCGCGACCTGCGATAAGCACATGTTTGCAGATTTATAGAATCTGACCAACGGTTCGGCACGTTGGCGAATTGCAGACATGGTAGGGCATTAACCTAAACCCATAAAAGCCGAGGACAGGTTCGTCTAGCTGTGAGCTGTGTCCGAAGGAGAGGAGCTAACGAGAGAGTTAGTATCTACCGTGGTTATCTACCCCATAACAACCACGCAATCTGCCGATACGGGGGTTGGAGATGAAGACGACGATGACGATGACATTTCGAGATGACGACCGCAAGGGTCATCGTTCCAATGCGATCGACTTAAGGGGTTATATCATCGCTCGAGGCTCCGAGCGATGGCGAAAATTGCCAATCTTCAGCCTTATGTTTCATGACGTTATCGCCATACCTTCCCTGGAAAGGTTGGCAGAGACTAACGCAGGTCTCATCTCTCAATTGAACGATTCAGTATTCAGTATTCAGTCTGACTGACCCGTTGAGCGAGTGGGGAAGAATGTGAATTGAGCAATTAGGTTAGCAATAAGGTATGCGACACCCCATTGTTCGACAATTGCAACCGTGGGATCATCGCCACGGGTACTCGGAGCTGCCAATGAAGCCGTGGTGGTTGAGGCGAAGGCGGCGGGTGGAACGAGCGATGAGATCATGAACTTAGAGGCCTCGCCTCCGCCATGGCTGATATGCAATCCTTACATCACCATTGTGAAGGACGATCTGATATGATATCAGATGATATCAGGATTGGCACAGAATGCTCGTGGTATCGTCAGGATTCCGCAATCCTCACCTAGGCGGCGAGAATCGGGAGCGAAACGTCGCCAACGCATCTTCTCTGGTCAGTCTCATCCATCGCGTGTGCTCGACCGGTTTTTCCTGGCAACGGGCAACTGGCGCCATTGCGTTGGTCACGGGGCCGGAATTATTAAGCGTCTTAGTCAGGGCGGCTTCAGGGCTGCACTATGCCAGAAGGGGCTAGCGTTGTTGTCCGGGGCGCAGTCTAGGCCGGAAGCGTCCAACCCCGCAAAAAGCAGCCAATCAGGGCGGTCGATCATATTGGGCGGACTCCCCGTCCCTTACCTCAGGCGAGTCTAGGGTTCAGTTCTATTTTCACCCAGACTCCTGTCTATCAATAATGGATTCCACCGGGGCTATTTTGGTTTGTTCCCCGAGGTCAAAGTTCACCGGATGGATTGGTACAATAATTTAAAATTAAATAATATTTTTTTTTTCGGAAAAAAAAAAAAAAAAAAAAAAAAAAAACAGCACCATATTCTACCTGTAGACGTACAACACATCAGGAGAGAATCACCTTGAATGACCCGTCACTTGAACACCTGCTCCAAGCGATCAGACAACCGCCAGACAACTGGAGCGAGACAACGCGACGACTAACGAGGCGGCATGGAACATTCCATGGACTGCCGACCCAGCCGGACCCACCACGACGAGGTCAGCTGCTCGATTCTGCTTTTAAAGTGGACCCGCCGCGTTGCGTTTTGTTCGGTGACTCAGCTTGCCACCGGTTGGATTCCACCAGTGGGATTGAGGTAAAGGATATGAAAGATACGAAGTGAGAGTACGGAGTATAGAGTGACAAAATCATTGTAGATATAGCTGTACTTATATACACATAATAAAATTGATAAAAATTCCTGGCACCCGTATACTCTGTCCAGTGCTGAGACGGTCTAGACTGCCAAGGATCATCCGCTTGCAGACTCTGCCAGATCAGATGGTCCAGCCGGATTGCTGTTTTGGGGGTCCCGCCAGGAGGACAGGGACTACTGGCAGTACTGCGACTACTCGCCTGGGTCTGGACTCGGCATCGTGACTCTGCCTTTTTTTTCACCCGCTCCGCTCGCTCCCCTTCCCTCCCTCCTCTTCTCTTCTCTCTCTTAAGAATTTCCCTCCCGCCAGTCAACCCCGGATTCCTTTTTCCTTTTGCTTTGACTATACTTTTTCTCCTCCCGGGAATCAGACACCTCTCCTAATTGCTCCTCCTATCATCTCTGACTATATAATTCCTCTGCCCCTCGACTGGAGCGCTAAGGACGCCACAATCTCCTACCCCCCCTATACAATCACCACTGCCAACCTCGTATTCCATCGACCCCTCCTGTTTCTGGAATATTTAAACCATTTATCAATCCATCAACCTGTCTTCGATCATATTCAAGACAGTTAATTCTATCCCGCCTGCCACATAGAATGGCCGTTCAGTCCCTCCCTCCCACCAACACGACAACCAAACCATCCACCATGAACCCCCGTCTCCCTCCTCTCGCCAACAAGTCCTCCCTCACCTACAAGCTCACCTCGCTGTCGAAACAAAAACTCGCCCGCGAAGCCACCGCCCCGGACCCCGACATCCGGCGCTGTCTGGGCCACTTCCGTCTGCACGTGATGTCCATGGAGTGGGCGCAGAAGGAGATGACGACGCGCATCAACTCGTTCGAGCTGGAGGACGAGAGCGACGAGGAAGAGGACGCCGTCGTTGACGACGTCAAGGAGATGGCGGATAACGAGGTCGTGGCCGACCAGCCGCTGCCGGTCTCGAAGAAGACGGAGACGGACGACGACGACAGTGTCGCTGTTACCGACGAGGAAGACAAGGAGGCCCAGGCCCGCTTCCACGTCTCGTTCGAGCAGGCCTCCACGCAGCCCTCGTCCACCGCCGGGTCCGCCGATCTGCTGGACGAGGTGACCACCACGATCCCGCCCTCGGGCCTGCCGGTCCACGAGTCGGAGATGCCGGCGTCGACGAACCCGCTGCCCACGACGCACATGCAGACGCAAACGAATGCGTCGGCCAACACGACCCCCGTGAACTCGGACGGGGAGTCTGACGGCGAGAAGGAAGATAATGACACCGCCACCGAGACGGACTACGAGACGGAAACGCAGACCGATACAGAGACCGAGACGGCGGCCACGGACACCGACCCGGAGACGGAGTATGAGCCGGATTCCGACCAAAAAAAAAGTCCAGAAGGCACATTGCTCGAAAAGGGCCGAAATTGCATTGAGAAGACCGTTCAGAACTCTCACTTCTGGCCGTCGAATCACGGGCAATGCATGCCCGTCCGGATCTCGGGGTGACTCCAGTTAGTCCCGACGGAAGAAAAAAGTTCTCAAAATATATTGTGAAGAACCCTTTGGGAAAAAAAGAAAAAAAAACAAAACAACTTATAATATTCACGACGTCTACGCAGTTACGAATCTTTTTGTGTTGGTGAAGCAACAGATAGCAGGTTGGATGTTGGATTTCTTTTCCTCTCTGGATGGCCAGGTGTTCAATAATAGGATCGGTGTTTTCAAAATTCATGTACAGGTAGTTTTTATTTAGCTATACATATTATCTTTCAAACCAATCATTAATACAACCATCAACAGAATCCAATTCCAAGTAAGGAGACCATGACCCGAGTAATCAACCAACTGAGCATCCACAACACACTATACACGCTGATGCCAATAACATCGTAAAACAACCATAACGCCGATCCTCTACTCCCACACGCAGTCCGCAGTCCGCAGACGCAGGAGGTCTTCCATGTGACCAACCCAACACTGGCCATACATACAGCATGCAGTCCAGCGGAGTATAAACATGAGATTGGACTCCGTCTTTCCCAAGCAAGGATGCCTGCAGACAACCAACCCTACCCACCGTACATCCTTCATAAGCGCCGTTGCAGTAGTTTACCACCCTGCAGCTGCACCCTGTCTGTCCCTTGTCCCTCTCCCTTGTACGGAGTATATGTATGTGGCAAGGACAAGGATCAGGGTTGGGTCGGGATAGGGGGTGGATTGGAGTGTTAGGGTCAGGGGTAGGGTAGGGTAGGGGATAGGGCTTTCGTAGTCGGCTTAGTTACTGCTACTATTGCTACTTACCGACTCCTAGGCTTATTTTTACTCCGTACGGAGAGTAGTGCAAGAACTCCACAGGGCGAAAGGATCGTGGTCGTGATTATGATACTTACTACGGAGTCGAATTCGGTACGATTGCAATGCAATGCCTAAGGCTACCCCGTCCGCTCCGTAAACGGGGAAACAGAGAGGGAGGTGGATATCCGGAAAAACTAACACCAGCGAGGCTATGTTGGTATGATACCCATACATATGAGACTGAGGATGAGTAACCAGACCACGTACTCCGAGGGCTGTGGGCTGTGGACCGGAAGACATCGACGATCACCGCTTATAGAGCCGACACACTCCGTAAGCCCTCCGGAGTACGGATACAGACTACAGAGTGAGTACAGTCATGTGGCAAATAAAGCCAGACAAACTATGCAGGATCGACCTGCCTGACCCATTCCTTAATAATGGACCCAACCCAACCAACGGAGTTGGGGACGGGGAGGACGGGGAAAAATCAAAAAAAGCCCAATAAGTACGTCCAGTTCTTCCCCCAATCGTGATCCATATCCATATCCCCAAGTCTGGTAGTGGTGCTCCACAGTTGTTTCTTTTTCCGGCGATTACTCACTCACTCACGCTCTGGAATCCATACTCCGGACTCCGGACTCGGTCGATCGCCGACTTTCAGTCTCTCGTGATCGTGATCCATTGTCGCCGAGGGAAGGAATGTTTATGGAATACGGAGTACGAAGACTACGGAGGAAGTCTGCAATGCCGAGGTTATAAATCATTCCGTAGACACTATTACAGCGAACGGATATCGGAAACCGAAATAGAAACGAAACGTTTATGAATCCGACTCAGACAGATTCAGATTCGCTCCGGATTTCGGAGGTTGTGCCTGGTCCGGGGAAGCGGTTAGCAGCTGAGCTAGTACGCAAGTAACTAATTCCTAGAACTAGTATTTCCGGCGAATAGTTCTAGTGGAAGGATGAGGATGAGCGATGCGTTGGACAAAACAAGACGAGGCGAGACTTCTCTTCTCGGCAGGTTTAGCCACCGTCACGGGATGCGTCGGTCGGGTTACCTTCCTTTTTGCTATCCGCTGACTTACTTGCCTCACTCACTGTCTTGGGCGGTGGAGGCGAGACGAGGTGAGGTGGTTCTTACTAATCTGGTTTTCCTTGTGGCTTACTCTGGCTTACTTTCTGGCTTACTCTCTAACTGGGTGTGGTTTTGGCGATAACGTGGTGGTGTCTTTTAAGATCCCGGAATACTCCTAAGTGTCGAAAGAAAGTTGGTGGTGCCACGGTAGCGGACAGCTACTAGGTAACTAACTATGTAGATGTACACCGTATAAGGTTACCGAGGTAAACAACGTCTTCGTTGTTGGGTCTCTCGTGTTTATTCAGTCTAGTACTGGGATTACTGCAGCATATTCACTGAACCAATTATTGATCTATATACATCTATCTAGACTAGTCATAAATCATCCAACCTACGGAGTACCACACATACACCGTCTGACATGCACCATAACGCCCGCTAAGCAAAACAAGAAATCAATAATCAACTACAAATCCATCTCATCGTCCCACCCCAACTGCTCGTAGATCGACTTTTCCGGCGTAACTGGCGGCCCGGTCGCCGCTGGGACCCTGAGTGCAGAAGAGCCCCCCTTCACCGGGGTGCTGAAGATCTTTGCAGGGGGAGGCGTTTCCTGGATCACGGGCCCCGCGGGACCCTTCTTCGGTGGTGTCTCCATGACCATGGACGATTTGGGGCCGGGGTGGTGTGGTTGATCATGATATGCGTCCACGTGTCGGGAGGACACTGGCGTGGAGGGGGCGAGCATGTCCGTGGTCGCGGAACGAGGCGCAGGCCGTTGAGGAATACGGAAGAGGTTCTTGGAGATACTGGGCGACTCGCCGATGCTGGTGACGCCGTCGTCGTAGGAGCCAACTGGCTGGGCTGGACGGCGTGACGGCGTGTCGTGGATGATCCCCGGGTTTCTGGACATCGGGGTACCCGAAAAGAGATTGGGCCGCACGGCGCCACTGCTGGAGTTGCGTCGCGGCGATCCGTCGCCGCCGAATAGGGCTGCAGAAGAGCCCTTCGGTTGGGTAGATGATCGCGTGAGGCTTCGTGGCAGAGGAGGCATGCCGATCACCGCGTCCTTCTTGCGACCTCCCTTGGGCGTGGCGGCCACCTGCACGCCCTGTCCCAGCGGATTCCGCACCGGGTTCTTGGGCTTCCGGCCGCTGCCGCCGGTTCGTCTCTTGTCGGCGTCCTCGGCGATATCCTTGGCCACTAGCTCGCGGTTGGGCTTGCGGAGAGTGTGGATGGCTGCGTCGAGCTCCTTTTTCTGGTCCACGAGCAACTGCACCTTCTTCAGTTTGGTCTCGTGCTGCCGGGCCACGGCGATCAGATCAACCTCGCGGTTCTCCACCCGCTTGGCCTTCTGGATGCCACCACGCACGCTGGTGCTGAGACTAGGTAGGGGAGGGTCGATAGAATCACTCTTCGCGTTAGGATTGGAAGGCGCAGTGTTGGACCGATTCAGCGACGGTGGGTGCGCTTGTGACGTGGTTTGACTGTCCGTCAGCACTCGCTGGAACGAGCGACGAGGATGCTTCTGTGGCTTTCGCTCGGCTGCTCCAGGCTCCGGATCCTGGGGCGTCTTCTTCGTCTGAGACTGCTTCGAAGAGGATGAAGATGGCATGACACCCGAGACACCTAGTTTCCGCGTGATGGCCTTGCACTTGTCCGGTATACGAGAAGCGTAGAAGGGGATGATCACCTCCGTACAGAAATCACGAACCGCATCGCTCTCGACCTTTTTTCCAGAAACGCCGCTTGCCTTGGCGGTTTCGGACACGCCAGTATCTTCGAAGTTGACGGCATGCCAGATGCACAATCGGTCCAGATGCAGCTCGAGCATGACCTTCAACTCTTGCAACTTCTTCGTCTTCTTCTTCGGTGACTTGTCCGTAGGTTCGCCACCACTTTCCTCCGGCTTCTTTGCTTCGGCAGCGACTGCGGCGGCAGCTTCTAGAGCCATCGTCTCCAAAATAAGGAGGATCTGTAGTTGAGTCTCGCGCATTCGCAGATCGGCAACGTTCTTCTTCACCTCTGCTTCGCGCGACAGTTCAATCGTCGCACCCATGTCGGCCATGGCGCGGTCCCTCCACCATTGCCGGACGAATCGGTCTTCTCCGGGGTAGAGGCCATTCTTCCCCATCTTCTCCTTCCTACTCTTGCCCTTCTTCTTTCGACCGGGTTCCTCGTCAGAAATAGCCAGCATAGCATCCTGGATAGTGGTCGGTAGGGTCTCTCGGTATTTCAGATCCATCTTCTTGGCAGTCAAAATAGCCTCTTGATAGAAATTAATGAGATCCGCGGGAGTTGCCGACTCAGAATCAGGGGACTGAAAGCCGGCGCGGCACCGAGTCAGCGGTCCCTTGGCGAAATATGCCACAGAGGTCTAGAACAATCAGCAAAAGTATACCCAGTAGGGAAACCAGAACCAACCTTAGACACATAGAGAGCTTGCAGGTACTGCTCCCTCAGATTATCTAGTAGCTCCTGCGGCGACTGCAGAGCATCGGGCCTAGCCTCCTCAGCCCCCGACACCACCGCATCGATGGACCCAAACATCTGCACCTGAGCATCGGAACTCGAGCTCCTCCGAGGCGGCGCCAGCGACTGCGCGCGACTTTCCGTCGAATCCCGCGGCGAAATGTCCTTCATCCGCGCATCTGCGGTGTCCGCAACGCCCGCGACGCCAAACACAACCGAAACGTCGAATTTCGCCCGCTTCGTCGAGAACTCGGGCTCCAGGACCGGATCTTCAATCCTCGCCAGCTCCCACCACTCCCCCGCGCCGTTCGCCACGGGCCCCGCCTCTTCCTCCAAGGCCGAGGGACTCCATCCCTTCACCGCGACGAAGATATCGCCCTCCCCGACGTCCCGGGCGAGCTTCGAAAGCGCATAGATCCCCGCCTTCACCCTCTCGACGACGTAGATGCCGCCGTCGCTGAGCAGCCGCACCGCCAGCACCGGCGGGTCTCGCGGAGAACCGGGCTCCAGGACCGGGATGTCGGCGACGAAGAGACTGCCCGGCTGGATGGGCGAGAGGGCAGAGGGCGGCTCGAGCCACGAGAAGGGCAGTCGAGAACGCGGGACCACGGCGATCGGTTCGAGGACGAAGGGCTCATCGGATAGGGATGCGGCGTGGGCCTGTATGCGGATCAGTACGTAGGGTATAACCAGTTAGACAGGGCACGCTGGAGGGACTTACCCGGATGTTGATCGTCTGGTTCGCCCACTCCACAGCCGTGTGGCATGTTTTGCGCTTTCGAATTAGCGGGCGGGCAGCGTGGAAGGAGTGGGATAGAGGGGTGGTGGATTCGAGAACGCTGAGGGATCCGCGAGAGGCCATGGAGGCGGTGTTTAATCATACATCGTGCTTCTAGAGGATGCAAGGAAAGAAGAGATGGGGGGTTTGGATAGAGACGTAGATAGAGAGTCTCCGAGTAGAATTGAACTAAGGGAAGATAAGATGTGGTGTTGATGAAATCGGAGTCGAGACGCGGTCCGGAGTCTTGGCGTCACGCGTCTGGGAATTGGAATGGTTTCAGTCATCGATTCATTTTCACAACAGACGGTATTCAACTGAAAGAGTTGAAAGAAACCCTGGAGAATTTGATAAATTATCTCAACAGCCGTAATTCTACATACAAGCAATCAATGCCGGAATTTTCAAACGATTCGATTTACAGTCTCTCGGATTACTCCGTTTACTGACAGATCAGTGACATCGATGATGTTATATTCATTACTCTATATGCTAATGTTTAGATTAGCACGCCCATGATGCAAGCCAAACTCGCGTCATGGAAATGTTACCTCCTCCGCCAGACACCCAATCCCAAGCACAGCTTGCGACAAAGGTGTCTCGGCAGCTTCCTGGTGGAAGTGCCCTCCGCCCACGGGGAAAAGATGTGGGCAGGTGGCACTCCCCGGTCCAGTATAAGATCAAAGCCTGAGGAGGCCGTGTGTTGAAGACTGTCGCTCCCTGAAAAAGATCAAACGCCAAAACTTCCCTCCCAACAGATGAAAGTGGTATCATGTTGAATTTATCCTCGCCGAACCCGTCGCCCGTGGGCGACCATGCAAATATTAAACAAACATTCCGAATAAGAAGCTTTTTCACATGTCTATGCTCGTGCTTTGAGTTGTTGAAAACAAAGCAAAATCATCACATTCGTAAAAAGAAATGAAGGTGTCACAGACAAAGCACGTCACAGTTCTAAGAAACGAGCGGCACTTAGAACTTGAGAGCCTTGGGCTTCTCCCAGGAGAAGCTCTGGTTGGTGAAGTGACCGTTCTTGGCGGTCTCGTTGTAGATGGGCTTGGCCAGGTCCAGCTCCTTAACGATGACACCGGGACGGAGGTCGAAGTTGTTGCGGATGATCTGGACCAGCTCCTCGGAGCTCTTGGAGGAGGTGCCGTAGGTCTCGACGAAGACGGACAGGGGCTCGGCAACACCAATGGCGTAGGAGAGCTGGACCAGAGCACGGCGGGCAAGGCCGGCGTTGACCAGGGACTTGGCGACCCAACGGGCAACGTAGGCGGCCGAACGGTCGACCTTGGAGTAGTCCTTTCCGGAGAAAGCACCACCACCGTGGGCACCCCAGCCACCGTAGGTGTCGACGATGATCTTACGGCCGGTCAGACCGGCATCACCCTGGGGACCACCGATGACGAAGCGGCCGGAGGGCTGGATGTGGTAGACAGTGCGGTCGTCCAGCAGCTCGGCGGGGATGACCTTCTTGATGATCTTCTCCTTGATGACAGCGCGGAGCTCCTCGGTGCTCACGTCGTCGCTGTGCTGGGCGGAGACGACGACGGTGTCCACGCGCTGGGGCTTGACGGCACCGTTGTCGTGGGCGTACTCGATGGTGACCTGGGTCTTGGTGTCGGGACGGAGCCAGGGGATGGAGCCATCGTTACGGGCCACCTTCATAGCGTGGTTCAGCTTGTGGGAGAGGAGGATGGTCAGGGGCAGGAGCTCAGGGGTCTCGTCGGTGGCATAGCCGAACATGATACCCTGGTCACCGGCACCGAGCTTCTCGAGAGCCTCCTCGTAGTGAAGACCCTGAGCGATATCAGGAGACTGCTGCTCAATGGCAACCAAGACGTTGCAGGTCTTGTAGTCGAAGCCCTTCTCGGAGGCATCGTAGCCGATGTCCTTGATGGCATTACGGATGACCTTCTGGTAGTCGAGGTTGGCCTTGGTGGTGATTTCACCGAAGACCATGATCATACCTGAGGAACATTATTAGCATGTTGCATTACGGGGAGAATTAGGAGCGAGCATACCAGTCTTGGTGGCGGTCTCACAGGCGACCTAATATCAATTCTGTTAATCGCCGAAAATTTCGTGCGGAAATGGGCCGGCCCAATCAGAAGCGATTACGGGGCTGCGGAACCAAAGATTGGAGGGGAACAATCTGTGCCTACCTTCGACAAGGGGTCCTCGGCGAGACAGGCATCGAGGATGGCATCCGAAACCTGATCGCTGTGGGATGTTAGCCAGACATTCGTAAAGCAAGAGAAAGAACAGAAAAAAGATCCGCAGCGAGGGAACGCACGCAATCTTATCGGGGTGACCCTCTCCGACCGACTCGGAGGTGAACAGGAAAGTTCCGGGCTTCTGAGCGACGCTACCCATTGTGAAAGATAGAAGAGGAGAAGAGAGGGAGAAAAGGAAGAATTGAGCGGAGTGAGAAGAGGAGAGATGAGAGAGAGAGAAGCAGAGGGGGGAAAGAAAGAAGATAGACCGAGCGGGTGGAGAGAAAGAGAGAAAAAGTGGATAGAAGAAAGGGAGGAGCGAGAAGAAGAAGAGGGGGAGAGAAAAAGAAGAGGGGAAAAGCCGTAAGAACGTCCTTCCGATCGCGCCATCGCTCCGGCGGTCGCGGCGGGCAGAAAATATCACCGGCGGGTTTTCGTCGCTTTCATTGATTCATGACCGATGATTACGGAATTCGCAATCCATCCGCTTATCCTCCTTGCGCTCCGGTCCTGATCCGGTCCTGATCTGACCTGCTCCTGCACTCCTCGTGCTGATCCCTGTCTCACGCCTCACCCTGCTCGGACCCGACATCTGCTCCGTCTGCTCCGTCTGCTCCGTCTGACTGTGCCCCTCCATCCTTCGCCCCTCATCTCACCTCACCTCATCATATCACCATGTCCAAGTTCGGCGTGTTGGTGATGGGCCCGGCAGGCGCCGGCAAAACCACCTTCTGCAATGCCATGATCCAGCATCTTCAAAATACCCGCCGGAGCTGCTTCTACGTGAACCTCGACCCCGCCGCGGAAACCTTCAGCTACGAGCCCGACCTGGACATCCGCGAGCTGATCACGCTAGAAGATGTCATGGAAGAGATGGGCCTCGGCCCTAACGGCGGCCTCATCTACTGCTTCGAGTTCTTGCTGCAGAATCTAGATTTCATCTCGGAGGCACTGGATCCGCTCAGCGAGGAGTATCTGATCATCTTCGACATGCCTGGCCAGATCGAACTCTATACGCACGTTCCGCTGCTGCCGTCGCTGGTGCAGTTCCTGTCGCGCGCAGGTCCGCTGAACGTCAACATGTGCGCGGCGTATCTCCTCGAGAGCACCTTCGTCGTGGACAAGGCCAAGTTCTTTGCCGGCACGTTGAGCGCCATGTCCGCCATGCTGATGCTCGAGATGCCCCACGTGAACATCCTGACGAAGATGGACCAGGTCCGGGACATGGTGAGTCGCAAGGAGCTGCGGCGCTTCACCAACGTCGACGTCCAGCTGCTGCAGGACGACAACGACGACAGCCCGGCGGCGGTCGCCAACCCAATGTCCAAGGACGCGCTGATGAGCGGGGGCTCGTTCAACCAGCTCAATCGCGCGGTCGCACAGCTCATCGATGACTTCAGCATGGTCTCGTTCCTGCAGCTGGATGTGCAGGAGGAGGACAGCGTCGCGGCCGTGCTGAGCCATATCGACGATGCGATCCAGTACCACGACGCTCAGGAGCCGCGCGAGCCTCAGGATGCGCAAGATGTGAACTACGAGGATGCGGACATGTGATTTGCCCGATAAAATCGACCCACACCATTTTTGACCGACATCAAACCCATATCCGGCCGCACCGCGATCGACTACCCCTGTTTTCAGGGGCGGCAGCTAGACCGCCAGAATACCAGTCGATGACTGCGATACCCACGCAGAATTCTCGGTTCTGCAAGGGGAATGAACCGAGTGAAACGTTCGACGCAGACTGCGGATGCAACCGGAGAACGAAAACGTCCAGCCGGTCGGATGTAACCGAGCGATACGATGATATGATCATCCATGACGATTAGCGACGATAGGAATAGACAAAAATACAATAATGAAGCATTCATGCGTGATCATCGTAACAATATCAAAACAAAACTATACCAATGCAGGATAGAACAACAAGTGAAAAAAAAAATAATAATGCTGAACCCGATCGCTCAAGCGACAAAACCAAGTCTACTGCGTACATTCATGCAACCCCAAAACCAAACCCCTCCCCCTTGCCATAAAACAAAACGGTGCCAGAAACCAGAGCCCAGAAAAAATCACCCCCGAACCTGGCTATCCCCGTAAGAATACCCACCGTAACCACCCGTCGACGCCGACGACTGAGCCTGCCCCTGCCCCTGCGCACCATTCTGAAAGCTCTCCACACCCCCCTTCACCAGCCCATAAAACCAGCCGAGGTCCTGCGCGGCCTTTTCCAACCCCGCGTTATAAACATACACGCCCGCCCCGATAATAAACCCCCAGTAGACCAAGCGCAGGGCCAACGTCACCCAGAACATCACCAGGCGACGGCCGTAGTCCAGCACCTTCAGCGAGATGAAGAGCGCCAGGAGGAGGACAAAGACGGAGAGGAGGTCGGGCATGTTGGTGAGGAGGTTCGCGAGCGGCTGGATGATGAACGGGTCGAGGTAGGAGGCGCGGAGGTGGTCGATGCAGGGATCGAGGTAGGTGGAGCGGGCGTGCTCGAGGTGAGCGGTGGCTGAGGAGGCGATGATTTTTTGGTAGGAGGAGCGGACGAGCTCGTTGTCGAGGAGGGGCTGGAGGTGGGAGTAGACGGCGTCGGAGTGAGGCATCGAAGAGAGTTTTTCTTGGATGAAGGAAACGAGGGATGCTGTTGTTGGTGGTGGTGGTTAGTGGGCGGGAGGGCTGGGGGATCGATCACGACTTACTCGGAAGGGACGCCATGGATCTGGTATGCAAGTAATATAGTGGGGATGTCTGTAAGAGTAGGTGGTAAGAGGTATATGTCTAAGATGGGTGGATCTTATAGGCGAAGCTTTATAGCGGGAGACTGACAGATGGTCAAAGAGGATTTCATGTGAAAAGAACAAAGCGCGTCGGGACAAACCAGTCAAACAGCGGGTCCGCGTCGATCATTCCTCCACTGCCGGAGTATAGAATGAGTATGGAGGGATTCTCCGACAGAAGGATGGAATTAAATGATGATGTATTGAATGTGAAGTTTATTTTACGAATGTAGAAGGAAAAGCCTACCACACATTTTACATGACCTGTTGGGACTGTGCAGACCTGAAAATAACAGAAATTGTATGGGCTCTAATACTCGCACGCCTCTGCCCCCCGCAACACGCGGACAGAGGTCCTCAAAATTTCTTATCTGGCACACAAAGCTATGATATCACAGATTCCGTTTTCCATTCTTGATGAGTGCCACTTTTGTGGTCATGGGGTTTGATTTTGCGGTTGCAGGGCGCTCCCCTCCATTTCCGTGCGACCGAGGTTTGGCCTGCACTTGGTGGCCACCAACGAGAGCGTAGAGCACTGGCGCGTCGTATAAGAATCGATCTGGGTGATTGTCCGCCAGGGCACGCTTGACATGTTCCGTGGGCGCTGGGTGTTCCAACATGATATCAACATCTTGGAATAACAGGTCAGTAATAAAATCGATAACGCGCGAGCATGAAAGGGTAAAACGAACGGGGGATTTTCTGTTGAGGACCTCAAATGGCTTTGTACAGCTATGTCGGAACAGAGAAGGCTGATTAACATCTAGGTAAGTGCTTAATATGGCAGTACAAGAAAGTTTAACGATGTGAAAAAAGCCAGACTGATGACCATATGGAAAGTTTACCGGATGTGAATAGGTTATGAAGGGAAACTACAGTCCTATAGATGAGTCTCCCGGGGCTGGGTTGGAGTCCGGGCCTCAGTTTGCAGAATCATATCCCTTCTGCCTCCCCTTGTGCCATCATTCGTTCCCTGAAAGGTTCCTGGTGCATTAGTCTTCCATTTCCATAGCTCCCGATATTCCGGCTCGAGGTTGCCATCAATGGCATCCACCACCTTCTCTCCAATAATCGGGAGTATTTTGAAAGCATGCCCACTGTCGCCGGTAGCAAGAAACAGTCCGGTAGCTCGAGGATAGTAATCAATGATAAAATCACCGGTCGGTCTAGATTGTATCAGTTCTGAGATCGATGCAAAGGTCAGTGGGCTCAGCCTACGTATCGCAATACCAGCAGACGCGCGTTTTGGAGAATTGCCGATTCCTCCAATCCGGGAACAATTCGACTAGAAATTCTTTGCAGGCCTTTTCTGCCTCGAGTGGGATGGGGAGGTCAGTTCGTGGCACGCTGACCATCTTCTCGACGAATTGAAGGTCTCCTCCCGGGTTTGGAATTGGGATGGACACCTTCATGGGGTTTTGATATCCAAAGCCATGCCGGCCTACCTTAAGCTCCCTGTTATGCGGAGGCACCATAAACATTCCGCGGCTGACGTTGAAATAAATAGGCACAGACCCCATGGTTCTTTGCTCATGCTCAGTTATAGGTAAGTATGCGAGAACCTGGCCAGTGGCCGCTGCTCTCCCTTCAAGATCGACGAGAGACGGTGTCCATGCACCGGCCGCAAGAATTACCAGGTCTGCGAAGACATGAGAACCATCGTGTAGCTCGATGCCGGTACATCGGGTGGATTCAGCCCCGTCAGCTGGCGCATAAAGCAGTTTGCGTACTCCGGCGTTGGTCTTGATGCTAACCCGATCTCCACCCCGGCGCTGCAGAGTTCTGATCGCATATCGCACACACTTCTCAGCATCTGCCCAGCCACATCGTTCATTGTAGTAGCCAAAGTCGCCACTGGCTCCGCCGGTGAGGGTAGCATGTGCGATGGCTTCTCGATGCGGCAGTTCGCGCAGGCCCCGGAGGTCGACTGCGTAGTCTCCGGACCTGGCCAGGTCTTTGGCGTTCTCCAGACTCTCTTCCAGATAGCCATCCACATGGCCCTGAGTGCCTGGCTGGGCTGTCAGTAACTAGTTTTGCGTCGTGGTATCGTCCCTCTCCGCCCCAGCCATCGACGGACTGGTCTCCCCACAGTGTCTGTGACTCAGAGACGAGTTTCGTGTACGCTTTCAGAGCGTAGTCGGCGCGCAATACGCGGCTCGTATCCACGGACGCTGCGACGCTGTTGGGGATCTCAGATGCAGCGTCCAAGACAGTGATGTTGGACTGGGAATATTTAGGACGCTGGACAAGGGCCAATGCGGTGCTGAGGCCGAGTACGCCTGCGCCAACAATGAGGATTTTAGATGGAGTTTGGGACATATTTTGATATTAAATATTGAGTCTGTTCAAAATGGCAAATCTATATACTATAGTCATTTTTAACCATGTATGGGGGAGCATGGGGTAAATAAGGAACCATGGAACGGGATCGCCACGCCCTTCGCTTGACGACCCGCTTTTCGCCCGCCTTCGACCATCCTCGACATTCCTACTCCGTCCCATATCACGATCGAGGCATATCCACTGGGTTTTCTTGACGTAACTCTCCAGATCGCAGGGGCATGAAGCCGGTAAAATCAACGGTCTCCCGTCGAAAGGCTCGGACGGGCTGCCTGACCTGCAAGTGAGTTCATTCGGGCATCCTTGCATCACCACGCTAACGTAGGATTCTTCAGATCTCGGTATGACTTGAAAGGCTGCTATGGATGCATCCCGGAAGACTAACGATCAGATCCTGCTAGACACGTCAAGTGTGATGAGCGAAAGCCGGCCTGTCTGCGGTGCATCGCCACCCAGCAGATCTGCGAGGGCTACCGCGTTGTCCCTCCGTCCGTCTCTTCTCAGAATGCCTTGAGCGACGAAGAACGGAGAGCATTCGCTTTTTTCCGATCCCGGACGGTTCCCAGGATCCTGGGCCAGCAGGACGCGGATGATTGGGTTCCGGTCTTTTTCCAACTCGGCCAAAACGAAGACTCCGTGAAGCATGCAATCACAGCCCTGGCCTCTCTGCACGAGAGTCTTGAGCCTAGCATGGCGTGTCCAATGGTCCGCAGCTCCCCGAGGGCTGCTAGAGCTTCCGCACAAGTACTTGCGCTGAAATACTATACGCGAGCGATAAAGTTGCTGAGGGTGGAGGCCCCCAATATGGTGTCGAACCCGGATTTGATGATGATTCTCTGCATTCTTTTCATCTGCTTCGAACAGCTTCGCAGTGGCGACGCTGCCTGTGTTTTGCACCTAACAGCTGGACTCAAACTCATTCACTGGTGGAGGTCGAATACTAACAGCTATACCCAACTCAAGGGTTATTCCCGACTCACGCTCGAGCTGATGAATGAGAGGATCACCCCCATCTTGCAGCGTCTGCGTGTCCAGTTCGCCCTTTGCATGGACTCCCGGCATACCCTTAATAGCACCGGGGTGCCATCCTCTCTACCACCTCCTACCATCCTGTCCTCTTATTCGTCGCTGGATCTCGCACGGAAGGACTTCGACCGCGCTATGAACTACGCTTTCTCCACCCTTGAAAACGACCCGATCACAACCCCCCAACGGCCTTGTATTAGCCCTATCCTCATCCTCCAACAGTGGAAAAATGCCCTGGACGCCTCAACTTTTGCCACGGAATCCTCCGCTCTCCAGACCTGTGTCCGCAAGCTCTTAGAACTCTACCATCACGTTTTTCTCATCATTACCACCACATACGGCACCCAGCGGGAAAGCGTGTTTGACCAGTACATCCCGCAGTTCGAAGCAATCGTCGACCTAGCCGAGCAGATCACCGAAATCTGGGCAAATGCCTCCCAGCAATTTAGTTTACTATTCAGTTTCGATCTCGGTATCACGCCACCCATGTTCCTCGTTGCGTCGCGCTGCCGCCACTCCCGAATCCGACGCAGAGCTGTCAGCTTGATGTTCCGGTCTCCTTTTTATCATGGCATCTGGCGTGATCAATATTCGGGGCTGTGCGCGCAACGCATCATTGATATTGAAGAACAGGACCTGGTCGTGGAGCCAGGGGAAGAGCTTAGTGTGTGTGTGCCGGAGCATCGACGCATCCGGAAGCTTTCAGCCGATATCCAAGAGGAGAACAGACGGATTATAATGCATTTTCTTCGACGGCCGCTTGATTCAGACACTGAGGTTCTGACTACTTATATACCGTTAGATACGGAAGCGACTTCGGGCTATACGATAATTTAGATTTGAATAATTGAAGGGTTTTTATATTGAGAATTCTGTAGCTAGAGGTTACAAATGTTGTTTACATCGACGCTAAATATAAGACTCGCTCCTGGAAGGGACAATAAATCACTCTAACAAAGTATCATTCCATATGAAACAGTGAACAGCTTTTCTTCCAACAAACCAAGTTATATACTTCAAGAGCGCTCCTCAAACGCATCCCCCAATCTCTCCTTTTCATCTCCCCCGTCCCAACTCGGACGAACACAATACAAAAACTTGAAAAAATTCAAAAACGCCAACCCCGTATACGTCACCGGAACATACATCGCTCCCCTCCGAATCCACCACATCGCCACGCCAGCCGCCCACTCCGGCGACACAATCGCCCTCCCCATCTTAGACTCAAACGCCGCAGGGACGATATGTCGATACACCACGCGCGGGTCGTCATATAGCGCCCGCGCAAACGGCACAAACGCCCGCTTCGAGGCAGAATAGCGCTGCAGACTCGGTATCCCCCACGCTGGGTGCACCTCGATCTCACTGCCCACGTACCATATTTCCGGGAGCGTGAGTGTCTTCCGCTCTCCCGCTGCCTTCGTCTTCAAGTCTATGAACCGTCGAGCGATATGCATGCTGGATGTGCAGTTCGCAACCATAGCGTCAGCGCCCTTGCTGCCGTGCGCAAGGACCAGAATATCCGCCTGCTCGAGCATGGGTGTGGTTCGAGAGAAGTCGCCATGTGTCCAGTCCCGTCCGTATCGCAGCTTTTGTACACTGTGCACCCCCTCCCCGTGCAGTCTGGCCTCGATCGCTTGTCCAAACGCCCCCGAGCCGCCTGTGATCACGACGCGCTTGTTGCGTAGGAAGTATGCTGTGCCGGCGATCCAGTCGAAGAGCTTCACCATCGAGCTCATGTACCGGTCTGGGTGGACGTGGTGGAGGGCGTGGAATTGGGGGCCTACGAGGACGGCGTGCGGGTCTTTGGGCACGGTGTCGTAGGCGATGTGGTTCGAGTCATGGCCGCTCATGGCGATGACGACGAGGGTGCGGATGATCTGGATGATGGTGATGAGGTAGAGGGGTTTATTGTCGAGGGTGTTGTCCGCTAGGAACCCCTGGATGAGGACCCTGCCGAGGATGCTGCCGAGGATCTGGCAGGCCATTTCGAGGGGGAGGGCGATCCAGGCGTTTTGGAGGCGGTAGCGGGCGTTGAAGTTCAGGGAGCGGTTGTAGTAGAGGTGGTGGTATTGGTGGCAGTGGGAGAGGGCTCGGAGGAGTTTCCATTGCGAGGTGCTCCATTGGTGCAGGAGGTAGTGGGCTATATCGAAGAATATGGACCCTGTTAGGTACAGGTAGATGATGGAGAAGAGGAGGATTGGTAGAGACATGACTTGCTGGGTTGATATGAGTTCTGCTTGTTAAATTGGCTGCTCAACGCGCTGGAAGGGTTGGTATATAAGTCTTTCTGCTGTCAGTAGGCATATATCCTACATCGTGGTCAACTACGGCTTCGAATGTGCCTGCACTGTGGATCCTTTAGGGTAAACATCCTGTGTATTTGCCTGGTGGTCCATGGCAGTGTCTGGTAGGCCCACCTGCGCAAAATTTCGACTGGGTTGACCTTGGCGTGGCATGAGATGGAAAAGGGGTAGCCATACAGAGACTTCATGAAGGGAGGGTTCTGTTCATAGGATAGAACCATCCCTGTAAACGTAAGTGGCTAAAGCGAGGATGTCTCATGTTGTTCTAGGGTCTACGAATAAGGAAGTTCTGTAGAGAAAACCCTAAATGGGTATGAATCTGTCGATCCAAGATGCTTAGCGCAGAAGAACCACAAAGAATCACCAAGTTAAACGGAATTTGGCTTGAAGGGGGTAGGCTCATTGGGTTGTTCAAATTAAACGGGACTGCTTGATCCATTGTGGCTGGGAAGTTTGATATTTGCTTGTATTCTCCTGTGTCAGATGGCACAATATCCAAGGAAGATGAGGAGAGTCGAGCAGTGTGGACCTAGATCACAGGAGCGTGAAGACTTTGCAAGTTCTATCTCCCTAGCGGGCGATACTAGAAGGGACTCTGCCTAAATACTAACTCGATTGATCGATGGTAAACCAAGAACAGCTCTTTGACGTGCAGAGATCTTGCTAAACACGCCACATTGGTTAAGCAGTAACTTGTTGACCACTAGGTTTGCCCTGGGGTTGGCACTATCTTCGTATGCACAGACATGAGTCTAAAGCGAGCAGTAGGCAGATGTAATATTCGGAAATCTGCGAACAAAGAAATGCTTGGCAGGGATCATACTTCTGTGGCATATCTTCTTTGCAGACAAGACATCGAGAACCAGGAATCCGTCTGTCACTTGGTCCGAAAACCTTCCCTCTTTCGTCAATTCTTTCGTATTCCATGCCTACTGCAGGATATAACTCACTTTGTTACATTGTGGGCACTAAATATTGGCTATCATGAGCTTAGATGCCCTAAGGTGGTTTCAAGTCTAAGATCGACATCAAACCTGGCCGAGTGTACATATCTTCCATGGTTCCTTTCCCTACGAAATGTTTCAAAGTGCAACAGCAGGCAAAATCAGCCTTGTTTACTTAACGTGCGCCTAAGTTTAGAATTATCTGTCAAGCGTTGACGGAGATCCACCTTATCGGTGGCAGTGCACACGAATACGGAGACGGAGTTTCCCCACGCCAGATGTTGACCGCGGAAAATATATTCACTGCGTAGGCAACTGTATTTTCACTTCACAGGAATACAGTATGTAGGGAATGGGAATCGAGGACGTTGGATATACGAATACGATTTCGGGTGATAGATGGGCACTTGGCTAGTATCTTCTGCTGTAGCTTAGTATATTCTAAGCTCTAGACCCCAAAGATAAGAATCTATTCAAGCATTTTGTATTGCATTTTCAATCCCTTTGACTAACATATAATGTTCGCCAATACTACCATGGTACACCTGGAACCGGCGCACAGATAGTTCCTGGCCATCGCCAAGTAAATCTCAGACATCAGTCTGTGCCGCCTAAGAGATGCCTGTTCTTCATTCGATTACTTAATCGGAATTCGAGCAATTGAAGTTCCGTTGTGGAATGAGAGATATCTTACTTGATTGTGGGCCTGGGAGTGGAAGTCTACGATCAGGGTCGAAGTGGCTGGCTGGCCGAAAAGGGCAGATCGGCCAGATTGGCTCTTTTGAGCTTCTTCACTATCGTCCTTGTCTCAAGCTTACTTCCTGTTCTTTGGTTTCTGCCTTCTTTGATTCCCTAGAGTGCTCAAACTTTCACTCCAGAGCGCCCTAGGGAGCAAATTCTGAGATGCTGGAGGTAAGTAATTTCTCCCAGTTCCCCATTATGTTTCTTCAATCCGAACTTCTCCAGAATTTTGAACAATATTTGAAGATGATACTACCAAATGTACTAGCAGATTAAAAGTGGTATTGTAATAACCGATCTATCCTCCCTCTTTATGGAATCAGACCCGGCCCGCCAGATAAACAAGCAACGAGAATTGAGTAATTTTGACACGCTCAATTACAAACAAGACGCGCCAGAATTGTCTTATACCCAACCTATTAATATCAGGAAACTTTCCATCATGAGTTTCTGGCTTTCACCTTTGCTCAAAGGTTTATACTCAGTCCCCAGAGTTGTGGCTGAAATAATGGACACTAGGTGCGTCGGACATATATTTCACAGCCCAGCTTCAACCGAACGACCATGATCTGTAACATGTACCCTTAAGTTTAAAAGGTACAGTGACATATTCTAAAAAATATGAGCGCTAATATCTTGAAGCAGAAAACAGGACCTACTGGTAATCGTCGCAATAACCGCCCGTCCAGCCATGGCCTTGTTGGATACACTGGAGCACCGTCAACACTGCATTGAGGGAAAGGTCAGGAACCAATGGCACATACAGTGTTTCTGCAGATAATACTGCCAAGCTCACCCCCTCCGTCGGTCTGACAGGAGGTCTCATTTGCTAGAATCACGTCGCGTGCGGGCAAAGCACCCACGAAGGAGGCTAGGAAAAGTCCAAATAGAACAAATGACTTCATTTTCCGTTCGGATACACCAATCTGTCAATTGATTGACTATATTTGAGATCCCGTGAGTTGAAAGAAAATATCGAAGTTTGGGGTGTCAACCGAAATAACAGATGCTACTGGGGATCCTATCGGCCTTATAGTACTACCAATACCCACCGCATTTCCTGGTTTAACGTTGCTCCAGGGCACGCCAGCATTTGATCTACGAGGCGGGGTTGGTCGAGCCCGATGCATCGACGTGAGGGTTTGAATGCGTGTTTCAAGGGTTTCTTGGTAGATTCTGTGGGTGTATGCAGGTTGTCGTATTAGCCGCAAGGATTCGGGTCAGCATCGCAGCCTCGCAGGCTTACGGAGGGGGAGTACTCGTCAGCCAAAGTTCGGTTCCGGAGGGGAAACGGGTTCCTGAGCCATAGGGAGTATACGGAGTCGCACCCTGGACCTGGGATCCATACCCTAACGCAGTAGGCAATGACCTCACGGATGACACCCTTGCATCGGCCTTCAAGGTCCTTCCCTTTTGGGTTGTCCAGGGCAACTGGCGCCCGGAGATCGGCGCAACGTTGGGCCGACCGACGCAAGCCCCGCCTTTCCCTCTTTTGGCCCCGCCCCTCTCGACCTTTTTCTTTTCTTCTCCTCTTCTGCTCCTCTGCTCTTCTCTTCGGTCATCATCCCTCCCCCTTACTCTTTCATCCCATCTAGTGAGTGCTCCGTCCGGGGATTTCCATCCAGACCTCTCTGGATCTGCATCATTGACACCCATTGCTAACCACTTCCATCTAGTTTCTCCTTTTACACTCCGCTGTAAACAATCATCATGGCTGCCCCCGCTCAGACGTTCAAGGTCGCCGACATCGTAGGTGGCTCCCAAGTCTCGGAACGCATGCCCTGGCTTCAGATTGCTAACTTGCCTAGTCTCTGGCCGCCTTCGGTCGCCGTGAGATCGAGCTCGCCGAGATTGAGATGCCCGGTCTGATGGCCATCCGTAGCCGTTACGCCGCTGACCAGCCCTTGAAGGGTGCCCGTATTGCCGGTTGTCTTCACATGAGTATGTTATTCTCGAACCGATCGAGTATTCCTTTCCGCTAACTCCGTCTAGCCATCCAGACCGCCGTCCTCATCGAGACCCTCACTGCTCTCGGTGCCGAGGTTACCTGGACCAGCTGCAACATCTTCTCCACCCAGGACCACGCTGCCGCCGCCATTGCCGCCGCCGGTGTCCCTGTGTAAGTCTGACTCTTGCACCCGCCGATGCCTTGCTCTCCGAACTAATAAAATTGTGCAGCTTCGCCTGGAAGGGTGAGACCGACGAGGAGTACACCTGGTGCTTGGAGCAGCAGCTCAAGTCCTTCAAGGATGGCAAGAAGCTCAACCTGATCCTCGACGACGGTGGTGACCTGACCTCCCTTGTCCACGACAAGTACCCCGAGCAGCTCAAGGACTGCTTCGGTCTGTCCGAGGAGACCACCACCGGTGTCCATCACCTCTACCGTATGCTCAAGGAGGGCAAGCTGCTCGTCCCCGCCATCAACGTCAACGACTCGGTCACCAAGTCCAAGTTCGACAACCTGTACGGCTGCCGTGAGTCTCTCATCGACGGTATCAAGCGTGCCACCGATGTCATGATCGCCGGTAAGATCGCCGTTGTTGCCGGTTACGGTGACGTCGGTAAGGGCTGTGCCTCCGCTCTGCACAGCATGGGCGCCCGCGTCCTGGTCACCGAGATCGACCCCATCAACGCCCTCCAGGCCGCCGTCCAGGGCTACGAGGTCACCACCATGGACAAGGCTGCCTCTCAGGGCCAGATCTTCGTCACCACCACCGGTTGCCGTGACATCCTCGTGGGCCGTCACTTCGAGGCCATGCGCAACGACGCCATTGTCTGCAGTACGTTTATTCTCATTTTTATTTTTTTTTATCTTTTGAACTGCAATTCAAATGCTAACTGAATCCAGACATTGGTCACTTCGACATTGAGATCGACGTTGCCTGGCTCAAGGCCAACGCCAAGTCGGTCCAGAACATCAAGCCCCAGGTTGACCGCTTCACCATGCCCAGCGGCCGTAACATCATCCTGCTGGCTGAGGGCCGTCTGGTCAACCTTGGCTGTGCCACCGGTCACTCTTCCTTCGTCATGTCCTGCTCTTTCTCCAACCAGGTCCTGGCCCAGATCGCTCTCTTCAAGGCCGAGGACGCTGCCTTCGGCCAGAAGTACGTCGAGTTCGGCTCCGCCGGCAAGAAGGCCGTCGGTGTCTACGTCCTGCCCAAGGTCCTCGACGAGCAGGTCGCTCTGCTCCACCTGGAGCACGTCAACGGTGAGCTCACCAAGCTCACCCCCGTGCAGGCCGACTACCTGTCCCTGGACGTCACCGGCCCCTTCAAGGCCGAGCACTACCGCTACTAAGCGGAGCGGCACGATTTCCTTCTGTTCTCCTTTCTCGTTTGAAGATGTTTGGTATACCCTGATCCCTAGACTTGTTTTCTTCAACATGTGACGATGTTACGATCAACATACACCGAGTTCTGTATCAACTTGGAACTCAAAAGCATTTGTCCTTCAACGGCAATACACAAAAGTGGCATATACGGGGGTTTCATTTCTAATGGCTTAGGTTTTCTGGTTGCAAATGGGCTGGAGTATTTTGCATTCAACTGTGCGTGCCGCTGGGGATTTTCTTTTTAATGTTACTATAACCTGATACATATTAGACCGGGCCTCTGGCCGGTGTCGTGCATGAATGAAGACATTCTATGCTATCATCGCTATGTAGGACTACGAACTAGTATATACGGAGAGTCGTGTCTATGCCGGGAGACTGTCGGAGATGAGCCGGACGAAGGACTGGGCTGCCGTGACGGCAAAGTCCTTGTCGTTGATGGCGCGGGAGTCTCGCACGACGCTGATGCCGGTGCCCTTCAGCTCGGACTCCAGCGTCGAGAAGAGCATCTCGTCTGCCTGCGGGTCGTGGAAGAGTTGACCGGGCGTGTCCAGCAGACTGACGCCGCCCGTCGGCAGCAACACCTGCACGCGCTCCGGCCGCTTTGCCCGCTTCAACTTGTCGGCGATCCACTGCGCCACGCGACGGTTCTCCTCGACGGTCGTGCGCACGATCGTCACCGTCGGGTTATGCTCGTAGATGTGCCGGTCCGCAAACTGGGCCGGCAGCTCCTCGCGGGGCCCGAAGTTCACCATATCGCAGGCTCCCACGCTGACCAGCTGCGGAATGCCCGCCTCCGCCGCGGCCTCCAGTCGACTCGCCCCGGCGCTCAGCACGCCGCCCACCAGCTCGTCCACCACCTCCGTCGTGGTCATGTCGATCACCGCGTCCAGCTGCTTCTCCTTCACCAGCCGCTCCATCGCCTTCCCTCCTGCCCCCGTCGCATGAAACACGTAGACCTCGAACCGGTTCTCCCCGTCCGTCTCCAGGTACTCGCGCACCCGATCCACACACGGCGTCGTCACCCCGAACATCGTGATGCCCACCCGGACCTTCTTCTTCTCCTTCTCCCCCTGCTCTGCCTCCGCGCCTTGACCCGTAGCAGTAGCAGTAGGAGCAGTGTTCCCCACCATCCCACTGATCGCCGCCGCCGCATTCCTCAGGATCCGGTTCAGGATCGTGTTCGTCCCCGCGATGTCCACCACGCTGTACATCATCGTGATGTCCGTCTCCTCGACGAACCGCCGCACGTCGCCGCTCGCCATCGTCGACACCATCAGCTTCGGCACCCCCACCGGCAGCGCCTCCCGCATGATCGCCGTCGCGATGTTCGTCCCGCACGACCCGCCGATCCCCAGCATCCCGTCCACCCGGCCGTCGCGGTACAGCTGGGTGGCTGATTCGATGGCCGCGTGCGTGATGGTCGTGATGTACTCGGCGCGCGGGAGGGTGGTCAGCGACGGTGTGGACGGCGGGAGCGTCGGGGTGAGCGTTTCGAAGGTGTTATCTTTGTTGTGGGGTGGGGATTGGGCGCGTCCGACGTCCAGGATGAGCACTTTGCAGGCGTTCAGGCGCTCGATTTCCCGGCATGTGTAGTGCAGTTCGGGGGATTTGGAGTCGAGGGTGCCGATGAGGAGGATGGTGGGTTGGGGCATTTTGGATGGCTTATGGTAGGGCTAGGCAAATAATGTAGAAATGGGTATCAAAGGGACATAGAAAGGGAGAGGGTGGAAGGTAGAAAGAGGAGTGAAGCTGAAGCTGAAGATGAAGTGAAGTGAAAATGACGTCGTGCGGGGTCGTCGTCCCCCTCTTTTTTTAAGTGGCACAACTTCACCTTCTCTCCCGTCGACTCGAATTCCCTCCGATCCTGTGCAACGCAGTCATTTGGATCAATTAATCCCATCTCAATCCAGTCCAAGATGCCCCGTCCCACCACTCGTCAGGAAGTCCTGGCTCGCCTCCGCAAGACCATCGCGGACGGTGCCATCGTCGTGGGCGCCGGTGCCGGTATCCCATCCCCTCTTTTCACCTCCCTGCATGCCTCCTGCAGGATGCATTGAAACGCTGACTCGGGATGCGACGCTGCAGGAATCGGTCTCTCGGCCAAATTCATCGAAAAGGGCGGCGCCGACCTCATCCTCGTCTATAACTCCGGTCGCTTCCGTATGGCCGGTCGCGGCTCGCTGGCTGGCATGTTGCCGTATTCCGACGCCAATCAGGTCGTGGTGGATATGGTAAGTCACCTACGCTCTTTTTATCTACCCTGCTAGGTGAAGAGAAGCTCACGCGGTTGATCCAGGCCAACGAAGTCCTCCCCATCGTCGAGAACACCCCCGTCCTGGCCGGCGTCTGCGGCACCGACCCGTTCCGCAGCATGCCCGAGTTCCTGCGCGAGCTGCAGCGCATCGGGTTCGTGGGCGTGCAGAACTTCCCGACCGTCGGGCTCATCGACGGCAAGTTCCGCCAGAACCTCGAGGAGACCGGCATGGGGTTCGAGCGCGAGGTCGAGATGATCCGCCACGCGCACGACATGGATCTCGTCACCACGCCGTACGTCTTCACCGTCGACGAGGGCGAGCGCATGGCGCGCGCCGGCGCCGACGTCATCGTCGTGCATGTCGGCTTGACGACCTCGGGTACGATCGGTGCGCAGACGGCGCTGTCGCTGGATGATTGCGTGGGGATTGTGCAGGAGATCAGGGATGCGGTGGTCAAGGTTAATCCGGAGGTCATTGTGCTGTGTCATGGGGGGCCGTTGGCTGGGCCGGAGGATGCGCAGTATGTGTTGGCCAGGACGAAGGGCGTGCATGGCTTCTTTGGGGCGAGTAGTATGGAGCGGCTGCCGGTGGAGTTGGCGTTGCAGGAGAATGCGAGGCGGTTCAAGGAGATCAAGGTGTAGTCTGTACATGGAGTATAAGTGTATGAATCAATCCATGAATGAAATCATGAATGAATCTGAGGTGAATTAGGGCTCCCTCCGCCGGGCCCCGAATAGGCAATTCTCCAGCGGGGGAGGGCGAGTCGCAGTATAAGTTGAGGTGCCAATTTCTATACCTTCTGTCTTCTCCCTCTCCCCTCATTCTCCTCCTCACTCTCAGACACCATGATTCGTGCTCTCGAAGGCAAATTCGGCATCGTCACCGGCGGTTCGCGCGGTAAGTCTCCCCTCTTCTATCTCCATCCCCATCTCCTAAACAAATCCAGGAATCGGCGAGGCCATCGCGCGCAACCTCGCCGAGAAAGGCTGCTCGCTCCTTCTCAACTTCACCTCCGCCTCGTCGCGCGCCCGCACCGAAGACCTCTGCGCCTCGCTGTCCAAGGACCACGGCGTGCGCTGCGTCAGCGTGCAAGCCGACCTCAGCGACCCGGAGACGGGGACGTCGACGATCCTGTCGGCAGCCAAGCAGCACTTCAGCTCGCCCTCGGGCGAGATCAAGATCGACATCCTCATCAACAACGCCGGCGTGTCGGCCGACCGCCTCCTCAACGACCCCGTCGAGGGGCCCATCGACCCGGCCAACTTCACCTGGCACTACAACGTCAACGTCCTGGCCCCCCTGCTCCTCACCCAGGCCGTCGCCCCCTACATCCCCCGCGCCGCCCCCCGCACCGGCCGCATCGTCAACATCTCTTCCGTCTCCTCGACCCTCGGGTTCGCGGGCCAGTCCATCTACGGCGGCACCAAGGCCGCGCTGGAGGCCATGACGCGCACCTGGGCCCGCGAGTTGGCGGACCGCGCCACCGTCAATGCGGTCAACCCGGGCCCCGTCATCGGGGACATGTATTTCCTGACGGGCGAGAAGTTCTGGAACCAGATGCAGGGGTTCCAGGATAATACGCCGCTGAGTGAGCTGGTCGAGGGAGATCCGCAGCTGGAGTCGTTGACGCCGGAGCAGATCCGCCTGGTCAATGAGAAGATGGGCGGCAGGAGGCCCGCGTTTACCGGGGAGGTGGCCGGCGTGGTGGGGATGCTGTGCACAAAGGACGGGGGGTGGACTACGGGGAGTGTGGTCTGCGCGAACGGGGGGATGAGAATGGGATGTTAATGATCAGATAGATAGATTTTATAGAGTGAACTCATAGTGCAGTTACTGCAGTACATCCTTCATCCGGATAATATGGCTAAAGACAACATTACGTCATCCCGCCTCCTCCGTCTTTCTCGTCGCTTCTCCAATTCCTCTTCCTTCATCCTCCTTCAATTCCATTCAATTAATCAATTCCATCTCAATTCATCCTCCTATTCCTCATAGATCATCTCCCATCACTAGAAAACAGACAGAATGTCCCTCCCAACATCCCTCCGCTTCCTCCGTCTACCTCATCCCCGCCTCCTTCGACCCTCCACCCCGTCTCTCTCCGTGCCTTCAATCCGATCATACCACTCCAACACCAACACCCTACGCTACCAGCCCTCTCCTCCCCATCTCAGCGCCTCGAACACCCCAATCGCACAGCGCACACTACTCTCGCCCTCGACCCCAATCTCAACCCCAACCACACGATCCCTCTCCACCTCGTCCGGCAAATCCTCCGCCGACGAGATTGTCGAGGAACTCCAGGAACTGTACGTCTCCCCTCCCCGCTCAGCCCTCCACAGATGCAAAAGTGGAGCTATCCAACTCAGGTTGATGTTGGAAAACCCAAGCTAAGCTAACGCAACCGCTGACCCGTAGCTACGAAAACGCCAAAGACGAATTCGAAATCGCCACCGACAGCACCGACGGCGGCACCATCTACGCGCCCTCCGACCGCGAAAGCGCCCGCGACGCCCTCAACCAGCTCCTCATCGTCTTTGAGCTCTACACTCAGAACGAGAGCCCGACGCAGGCGGCGGTGCGGGCGCAGGCGCAGGCCGAGGCCGAGGCTCAGGGCGAAGAAGGGAAGGGTAAGGAAGGCGAGGGAGAGCAAGATCTGGAGGGGCAGTTGAGCGTGGAGACGAATTTCGATCCGGAGGCTGTGGAGCAGGGGGTCAGGGAGGAGGTGAAGAGGAGGGTGGCGCAGCGGGTGAGGGAGTTGAGGAATGCGGTGGAGTTGTTGGAGGAGAGGGCTTTGACGGAGTAATCTACCTCACCCTTTTTACCTGTCCGGTCGCTGGTCGGGTTGAGTGTGTTCATGCAGTTGTATCGTGACATACTCGACGTGAAAATCTTTCGGATTATCTTAATTACTTCCTGAAACCAGGAGCTGTACCAATGGTACGTACTATATACTATGTGCGTGTATATGTGTACTATACAGACATGACATCGTCGTTCAACTCGTCATTCATATCCATAGCCATATTCAAAACAATCAAACAACACTAGGTATCATAACATCCCTCCCTCGTACATATGCTTCGTACTCCGTAGATCAACGCCGGTTGCCGAACGCCCGCTATGCCACCGTGGGAAAGGAGAGATCGAATGTGTCCGTCAGCGGAGACATCATGGATGTCTCGTCTTTGTGTGTGGACCGCATGTGTCGTTTTAATTGATCTGTTCCGTTAGTCTGTTGCCATTTGCCAGGAGGAAGAAGAAGACTGGGGAAAGAAGAACTCACCAGGTCGGGTAAAGCTCTTAGTACACCCCGGGTATATACACTTGTGTCGGCGTTCGCCATGAGCTGTGACAGTTAGTATCGTTCCCTCCAATAAATCAAACCATACATACTTAGTCGATGACTGGACATGTTCGAAGACTGCTGCCATTAGCATTTTCCATAAATAGAACGAGCAAGTGAACTTACGTCGCCGGTCTGGAAGTTGCACCCCGGATACGTGCACTTGAATGGCTTCTCGCCCGAGTGTGTCCGCGAATGGGTTTCTACTTCGGTCAGCTCAGCTCGTGAAACCTGGTAATGACACATACTCAGCTCGCTGCTGTCGGTGAACGACTTCCCGCACACCGAGCATTTGTACGGCTTCTCGCCGCGGTGGCTGCGCTCGTGTCGTTCCAGCGTGGCCTGACGCGCGAAGAACTTGCCGCAGACAGAGCATCGGAAGTTTTTATCTGCCGATGGTCAGCGAGATCTTAGGTCAACAATGCGAACAGTAAACAACGTACAGTTACTGTGCGTCAAGAAATGCCCCTGCAGTTTGGACTTCTGCGAGAACGGCTCGTCCGGCCGGTGGCACCCCTCCCAGCAACAATAGTACCCAGTCCCCTTGGCGCCCTCCACCGTGGCCATGTGCCGGGAGATCAAATGCTCTTGCAGAGCACAAGAGTCCGGGAAGGTGGCCCCACAGGTGGTCTTGATGCCGTTCGAGCTCGAGACCCATTTGCAGACGTGCAGGTCGCGGTCCGTAGGACTGAAGTCCGGACTGGTGAGGACCGAGGAACCCCCCTCCAGCGGCGGCGGGGACTCGCCGGGGCTGGACAGGAGTTGCGAGCTGATGCTAGATCGCGAGTGGCGGGAGAAGGGCGAGTAGTGAGCGTACGGATGGTGATGGGTATGAGCATGAGCATGGGACCGGCATCGGTGATGTGAGCGACATGGTCCCCTCGAGGCGTTACCATTCAGTTGGGCGGGGCTTTTCATGAGATCATTAACGTTGAAATGCGGGATGTGAAAACAAGCGAACGAGTTTGGATCAGGGCTCTGATTCTGACTCGGGGTCTGGGTCGGGGGTTCCGATGGAGGTTGATGGTGAAAGGTCTGGTCTTCATGGACATGGAAGTTCTGGCAGGCCGACAGGTCAGGACACATGCCCAGCATGTGGAATACTTCGGCCGGGTTCACGGCGTTGGGTAAAGGATAGGACGGGTTCATCAAGTTGTCATGAACCTCTTTCGGAAAGTCATGGCAGTGAAAATGGGGCATGTTTTGGGGGTGGCAGTGAGGCAGAGTAGTCGAAAAGGGAGAAATGAAATGGTCTGCGGAAGGGGTTGGGCCCATGAACCCAGGATTCCCGGTGGCTTTAGATAGTTGGTCTTCCGATGAATGGTCGAGAGAAGCCGAGGGAAGCAGATCATTGGACTCGAGGGTGAGAGGGGCACCCAGCCCTAGTAGGGACTCGAGGCTGTGGTCCGTGCCATGGACATGGCTGTCATTGTGCCCAAAGCAATGATCCTCGAAACAGGCCGGATCGGGATTTTCGCAGTTATCGTCGCAGTTATTGTCGTCGCAGTTGTCATCGCAGTGCACTGCAGAGCAAGCCGTGGACTCGTCGCATTCGACAAAACCATCGCAGACGGAGCCGCAATCGACGGAACAATGATCCTCGTCACAGCAAGTTTCGTCGACCTCACAATGAGCCAGCGAGGCGTGGTGTTCCTCACCCGGACAATCCCATTGCGACGGCTGGTGAGTGGCCGTGGCAGTGGCCGTGGCAGCCGCAGGAGTCGTCTCCTGCGAGTCTTCCGAATCTTTTCCGTCCAAATGGAAGGCCTCCCAATGGCATTCCAGACAGTAGTCGTCTTTTTTCGTGTGGGAAGCCATTGTTCGTGTGATGTATCAAGGCCTCGACCAAACACCGATTAAACTTCCGACGAGGGGGGCCGTTTTCCCCTGATACCCGAAGCAAGAAGATCGGTTTAGGGGCTCGTCTTAGCAGTCACAGCAGCAATTACGGAGAGAACACCGTGCAGTGGAGGTCAGGCAACGGGGGAAAAAGGAAAGGAAGAATAGTAGGGCGGGGAGCAGCCTGAGAAATCTGGGGGGCGCAGACGCAACGAAACGTCCCGTCTCTCTCTTTTTTTTTTTTTTTTCTGACCACCGGTGTTAGTGTGAAGTGCTTGCCACGCGAGTTCTGACGGACAGGAACAAAGAATACCAATGAGAATAGCCGAACAGCAACACAGCAGCAGGCGAAAACGAAAAAAGAAAAAAGGACGCAGGCCGTCAATCAGGGCCAACAGGCAGTGCGTGCGCAGAGATCGCCTGGAAGAGAGAAGGACCGACGGGACGGGGCATGAGGGACGACGGACGGGGACCTTGGGAGCATGAGGTCGGTATAATGAAGACGCTAGGATTAGTAACTGGGCAGGTTGGCGACTTGGTTGCTGGTGGAGGAGCAAGATGGACAGACTCTCTGGTGGTGACGACGTCGGAGAAGCAAATTATTGAGGACCTTGCGAGAGTTTGGGGACCTTGCGGGTTAGCGGGGGTCAGCCGCCGTCCGCCAATCAGCGCCTGCAGATTGTCACGGTGGGAGCCTGTCTGCTCAGGCCGAAAAGACTGCGGTACCTGGACTGGAGGCCTGCAGAATCAGGCCCCGCCGAGGGGTTGCCTCAGACTCAGTCGTGCTCATTACCTGGACGGCGTAGTACTCCCTAGTGGTAGCAGTCTTACTACTAGTCATGTCCATGACTAACGCTGATCGTCACGACTCGTCCCGTACTATGCAGCATCTCCACCATGAGGTGATGCCAGACTTCTATACTCACCACTCCGCGTAACACCAGATAGCTCCCCGGCAGGTCCCTCTGCAGCTCTGGTTGCACGGCACTCTCATACCACATCATACATCGTACACTTCCTAAGGCGACTAGACCCGATCGGAAGGAATGCGGGAAGACCACGTGCGGCGCCCACCGCCTTTTCTCCAGATCGTCATTCTCTCTAGTACTCGATCTATCATCCTTCCCATTTGCTCCCCACACCTATCGACCAAATCCTGCAAATCCAATTCTACATTGGAGATACCTGGAATTAAACACTCTCCTCTCTATCCTGCTCACTTCCCCACTCCCACCCAACCCAACCCCTCCAGTTCAATCCTCGACCTCGACAACCCAACCAATCTCCAACCCACCCCATCCACCCCTCCAGCAAGACAACCCAAACATGGGCAACATCTGCTCGCGATCCAAAAACGAGCCCGAACCGTTCTCCCGTCCCGGCCGCGTCCTCGGTGCCAACCAGCCCCCAGCCGGCGCTGCAGGTACACCTCAAGGGAAGAAACCCGCCGGCCCGCGCGCCCCGCTCCCCGCAAACTCCAAGTCCCATTTCGGCTCGCCGGGGAGGACCTTAGGGGAGGGCGGCGAGAACTCCGATGCCCGCACCAATGCGGCGTTGGCGGCGCAGGTAAACCCTCTCCCTCTCTCTCGCTGTCTCTGACGCTTTTTTGTTTGGTTGTATTTCGATGGATGGACGATGCTAACTCGTTCGGTTGCTAGAAACGCGCAGAGTCGACCACGACGGGTAAAGGCAAACTAGGGTCCAAATTGGCGGCGCAGAAGGCGCAGACACAATCGCAGACCTTGAACGAGGCTAGTCGCGACGAGAGGGCCGCAAGGGATGCCGACGATGCGGCGAATACGAGGAGGTGGGAGTAATTGGGATTTGACTGGAGGCGCTTCGAATAGTATACCGCTGCAGTGTCTAGATATGTATCTGGTGCGGGTCTGTCTGTTCTACTAATTCCTGTTGACTGGTTTCTTTTTGATTCATGCGTTCTACCACCTGGAGCCGGTATCCAGGTCTACGATTGATTATAGCATATTGCAGCATTCTGTCACGGTGGCATGGCCAAGAGCTTGGCCGGTTGATACCCCATCTGGCACTGGAAACATGACCATCTATTTCATTCCATTCCCATCTCCCATCGTCTCGCCAGACATCGCCCGGGCAACGTAGACAACGAAAATTTGGTATAGTGTATTATGATACAGGTATATTTAGTGCGAGAACGACGCTCTCAGACCACGTTGTACCGTCCTCCCACAGGTGCGCGCGCGTCGCTATCGGCCGCCGCGATGGTTCCCTCCTTGAGCAACCGCATAAGCTCCCGCATGGCGTTCGTAACCGAGAGTTCTGTTTCGCCTTCAACAAGAATGTACAGCTTGGGGTTCTCGCCGGGACCCGGCTCCTTGCCAGTCCCGTAGAAACTGCCTTTGGTGGTGATGGACGTTCCCGTAGCTTCGAGGATCTTGGCCACATTCGTGCGGTTGGTAACAGCCCACCGAGCTTTCTCTGTTTCGGAAATGCCATTAGCATTGGTTCGGCACGAGGATAAAAGGTTAAAGGGGAAGGTAACTTACGAGGAAAGTCGTTGATCTCCAAAGTAGCGTGGAAAGCTCCGGCATCAGGCCCGCGGTTGTCAATAGGCACGCCAGATCTCATAACACCGGCCCGGCTGAGACGTGCGTGAATATCCGCAACTGCCGAGCCCACCTTGTCCAAGGGGTTCTTCGATGCATTGGCAGGATCCTTCTCGGTCCTATGCACGGTGATCTTGCCATCCAGATCGATCCCCTTGGGAACGCCGGGCATGGGCGCCGCGGCGGCATTTTGAGTCCCGGATAGCATCTTGTTGAACTTCTCTTCGGCTTGCTCGTTCTTCTTCTCATCCTTCTCTTCTTCCTCTTCGCCCTCTTCGCCGGTCTTGTACGTGCGGCGTTCTCGCATCCGAGCGGCATCTCGTTCCTGATCCAGCCGCTCCAGTCCTTTTCCACCGAACCCAGACGCGCTGGCCTTCTCCTTGCCGGCGCGCACTTTCTCCAAGAACGAATCAACCAGCTTCTGCACGGGCTCGGGCACTTGCTGCCCACTCTGCTTCAGCGCCTTCGCAATATCGACCGAGTAACGCTCTTGGTCTTCCGTCAGGAACGTCACCGCGGTTCCGGTGTTTCCGGCCCGCCCGGTTCTTCCTGCGCGGTGGACATAATCTTCCAGGTGGTTTGGTGCATCATAATTGACCACAAGCTTCAGTTGCTTAACGTCCAGACCACGGGCAGCAACGGAGGTGGCAACCAGAACTGGGAAGATGCCAGCCTTGAAATCCTCGATCGTAGAATCGCGATCAATCTGATCTTTTCCGCCGTGAATTGACATGCACGGGTAGCCCTTGCGCATCAACTCACGCAGAAGGTTGTCGGCGCCCTCTTGGCGATCAACAAAGATCAGGGCCCGGGAATCTTCATTGGCCTCGTCGGAATACAGGTTGCCCAGCAGCTCGAGCAGACGAATAAACTTCTTGTCCTCACTGCGGACTTCTACAATTTGTGTGATCTCGGGCGCAACCACGCTCTTGCCACCGACCACGATCTCCACGGGCTTGGACAACGTCTTGCGAGCAAGTGCTTCCATGTTCCGCGGGAAGGTAGCGGAGAAGAGTACCGTCTGTCGGTCCGGTCGAATGTTGGCCATGATCTTCATAACCTGGGGCTCAAAGCCCATGTCGAACATGCGATCGGCTTCATCCAGGACGACATAGGTCACTCGACGCAAATTCGTTACGCGCCCTGCATTAGCCGCGAGCAAGTCAATCATCCGCCCCGGGGTGCAGACGATGATCTCAGCACCGCGCTTGAGATCAGCAATCTGGTCTTTGATGGGCGCTCCGCCGTAGGCGCAAACGGCCCGGAGGTTCAAGGCTTTCAAAAACGGCTTGCAGTCCTTATGGATCTGAGTTGCCAGTTCACGAGTGGGCGTCATGATCAACCCAACGGGTCCTTCCATGTTATCCAACGGCCGTTGGTCTTTGATATGTCGGAACATGGGGATCAAGAAGGCAACTGTTTTACCAGAGCCCGTCTTGGCCACACCGATTACATCACGCCCGGACATGATTGCTGGGATGGCCTGACCTTGGATCGACGTAGGACTGTCGTAGCCAAGCCGGTCAATGACGTCCAACGTCTGCACGCCCAACCCGCATTGTGACCACTTCTGCACTGGCTTAGGAACGTCCACTCCACGGACCTTGATCCCGTCAAATTCCAGTCGCAGATTGGCGACCTCGTCTTCGGACATCTGTGCCAAATCACTAGGCTCGGTGTAGAACTTCTTTCGGAAAGGCTCATATTCTGCCTTTTTGTGATCGACCGTCGGGATGTCCTTCTTCTTTTTCGCCTTATTGGCAATGGCTAAGAAGTCATCCGCATCACCATCACCTACGGCAGTCATATCTATCTCGTGCTCATCACCGAAGATAGCCTCAGGCTGCTGTGGTTTTGCTTTAGAGAATTTGGCGCCCGTGGTTTTCTTAGGGGGCGCCGATTCGGCCAGCTCGGACATGAAAGCGTCCAAGGGGTCGACTTCCTCTTCCTCTTCCTCTTCTTGCGCATCAACGTCCATTTTATCGGATTCTTGCTGCTGACTGGCAGAGACATCATTGGGTTGCGCGTCGCCATTGGTTTCATTCTCGTCCGCCGGTGTTTGGGACTTGAGCGCTTCGTTCTGCAGGCGCTCTTCTCGCCTTTCAGCAGCTGCCCGTGCCGCCGCGGCATTTTCCTCTTCGGTTCCCCCGTCTTGCATGTCGACATCGTCATCTTCTTCGGCGCCCGCCTCGACCGGCTTATCAACTTCCTTCGTATCATCTAATGGGGGCGTTGGCAACTTTTCGAGCTTTCGCCGCGTCGATTCTTCTTCACCAAACCCTAGGGTCTTTTTCGTCGCCGAGGACTTTTCGGTGTCCGCGGCTTGTTTGTTGACCAGGCCGAATCCACCCACATTGCCCTTGGCTTTCAAAGCAGCTATAGATAAATAATTAGCTCATGTCAATGGACAGATGAACAGAGAGTAGACTTACAAGACGACGCACTTGAAGAGGCAGCAGGTTTGTTAGCAGACGCCTTAGTGATGGTAGTGGTGGTAGTGGATGTCTTAGCCGCAACGGGCACGGAGATATCAGTCCCCAACACAGCTGGCGCAGCTTGAGCTGGGGCAGCTGCATTCTTTGCGATCACCTTAGGATCGAATTTCCCCGCATACCCAGTGGGGGCTGCGTCGGCAGCCGGGGTTGCAGGCGATTGAGGAGAGTCGACAGCTGGCGAGAGACCGGACTTTCGGTCGATTTCTTCCAATATATTCCTAGGTCCCCCAGCAGCAGCGGCTTCCTGCTGTTTCCGTTCCTTCTCGGCAGCCTGCTTTTGTTTCCACGCTTCCAATTTTGCTAGCCGTTCGGCGCGCTTTTGGTCGTCCGTCGGCGCGGCGGAGGCAGTTGGTGTGGAGGGCTTCGACGTCTGTCTATCGATTAGTACAAAAGCTCCTTGTTGGGCATTCATGTCAAGACGCACCTCGCGAGATCGCGGGGCCGAATCCTTTCCCCGATCTCGGCTGTCATCCCGTCTAGACTTGTGTTTCAAGTCAGCAGAATCGTCTGTCCGTCTCCGAGCCCTATCGCGGGAGTCATCTCGCCTGCTTCGGTAATCCCTCTCGCGGCTTCTGCGACGGTAATCCCGGTCATCATCTCGGTCTCTCGATCGACGTCGGTCACGGGAACGATCTCTGCGACTGGGTCGATAACTATCTTCGTCGCGGTAATCATCGCGTCTATCTATCGAGCGGTCACGCCTGCGGTATGAATCACGATCACGATCACGGTCGCGTTCGCGTTCGCGGTATCGTCTCTGCATGAGCCACCGATCATTAGTTCCCAAACACGACCGAGGCCTATCGGATGACCTACCTCGGGACTGCGAGATCTTCGATAACTTCTGCCATCGTCTCGTCTACTCCTTTCATGACGATCATCTCTGCGACTGCGTCTGGATGAAGAATATGTGCTGCCTACAGGTGATGGTGAGCGAGTATCCCCGTGGCGAGCCATTGTTGCAGGCCAGCGATGAGTGAGTATTACTGGAACTCAGAAGCACCCGATGAGACTGCGGAGAGGACGGTAGAAAAAAGGCAAATTATTACCCTTCCATTAGACGTAGATCCCGGCTGGCGTAAAAGACGGGCGTTGGGAGAGAGGGAGTGGCAACGGCGGTCTTTAGCAGGGTGGAGAGTTTCTTCTTCAAGGCCTCTCAGCGACGACAATCCCAGCCTGGCGCAAACTGCCCGGCGGTCGTCACGTGAGAGCTCCGATCGGGCCATGATGTCACGTGGTGCATACCTTCCCCTTTGGGGCGGCTCCAACGGGACCCGACGCGCCCAGCCTCGCTCCCGCTTGCGTCTCAGAAGCTCCCCTGCGGCCAAGCCCCTGCACGCTTTTCTCCTCTTGGTTGGCTGTTCTCCAATCTCTATTGACTGTTTACCTATCTTTCCCAAGCCTCCGACTCTGGTTCCATCAGACCCTATCGCTCAGTAATCGCCATGCCTCTGAACGTCGTTCGAGGTGGAGGCGGTGCCCTTCGGAGCCTCTATCTCAATGCCGTCTCTCGCCCCTTCCGCGTGGCCATCTCCCAGCATCATGTCCGGCGCGTGTGCCTTGCGACCCATCGTGGCTCCTTGAAGCCTATCGCCGGAGCTGTCCCTGCCTCGGGTATTCTATCGCGACAGCTTGTCAACACTTACGCGACCGCCAGTGAAGACAAGACCGACAAGAAAAAGACGACGACGAAGAAGAAGGCGGAGACGACGAAGGCGAAGAAGACCACCAAAGCTGCCTCGAAGAAGACTACGCCAGCGGAGACCCCCAAAAAGACCCGGAACTCGAAGCGATTGACCGAGAAGGAAAAGGAAGCCAAACAGGCGAAGGAGCTGAGAGAGAGGATCAAGGAGCTCAAGGCGCTCGCGCTGGATCCGCCCGCAGTTAGCAAAAACAACCCGTGGACCCTCATGTTAGCTAGCAAGCTTCCCGAGACCCAAAAGGTTCACCACAAGCCCTCGGAAGCATTCCAGGAAGCTGCCAGGCTTGCCAGGAATATCAGCCAGGAAGAGAAAGACGTATGTGTTTCCCACTAGCCATTGCTTGGTGGAAACGCACTGATGCTCACATATATCTACAGCGCTTTACGGCTATCGCCCAATCTAACAGAGAAGAAGATCTGGCCAAATACGAGAAATGGGTCAAGTCGCACTCCCCCGTTGAGATCCGGAATGCCAACCGTGCCCGACGAACGCTTACCCGGCTGCTGGCAAACGGTCGCCGCACCTCCCGCTTCAATCTGCTAGAGGATGATCGGTTGGTCAAGCGCCCCAAGACGCCTTTCGTCTTTTACTACCAAGAAAGAACCGGGGCTGGGGATTTCAAGCACATGCAACTCCCAGACATGATGCGTCTCATTAGGGAGGAATACAATGGCCTGACACCCTCCGAAAAGCAGGTGTGTTTTTCTTTTCTTTCTCCTTTTTCTGTCATCTTCTTTTGGGTCGACCGGCTTGATCCGACTAATGCTAACTTAATTCCAATAGAAATATGAACGGCTTCACGAGGATGATAAGGCACGCTATCATAGGGAGATCCAGGATGTCTATGGCGAGACGTCCAGGACCAAGTTCGAGTGAATGGTTCGAAGGCGATGTCATGCGCCTGCAGTGATTTAATGCTCCTTGTTTATGGATATGGGGACGGCTGTAATGGTGCTCAATGGGAGTCGCCTTTTTTAAAGAAATTGGAAGAAGTGTGCCATGTCGACACATACCGCACCCTCGTGCCCCTATGTTTTATGCACCCCCTTTTGTTTGGTTCAGTACTGTCATACTCCACGAATTGTATTCTTTAGCCATCTTGCGTGAAAGCCGAATCAATCGGTCAGCTTGCCATCATACGTAATCCCTCATGCTGGATGGCGGTGTGTATCCCTTGGAGGGGGAAATTCTTCCGGAATAACCATCGGAAGTAGCGGGCATTCTCTGTGTCTATGGCCAAAAAATTATATCCATCGAGTCCTTCAATTTCTCGGGTTCATTGGGTAGACAGAAGAGAACAAATGAATACTCTTCTACAGAGTAAACTGAATTACTTCCTCGGTGGCTCCCGAGTCCAGGCTCCTCGACCAGTCGACATGTCGAAGAGCCCGACTGACGACACGAGGTCATAGCTTCTCTCCTCTCGCCAATATGTCTCATCAACAAGAAATAGGGAGTCGATCAAGCGGAAAGGCTTCGTCAAACCAAGCCAAGCCAAACCAAACCAAACCAAACCAAACCAAAGTCCCCATGCCGTGTCACCGAGAGTCCCCGACCCATGATGCAAGCCCGTCGTTTCACTTGCACTGCTCCTCCCGAAAGCCATGCAGGCACATACTGCTCCATACAGGTTCTGGATGTTGGGCAGGGAGAACTACGGAGTTGCGCTACATTACATCCACAGGACTGCGACATACATGACGAGGTGGGTATCCGGAGGACTTGCGGACATAGCGACAGTCTCGACCCTCGACACCCATGAGTCATTATTTGCATTGTGATCAAGCATCGTTGCGTTTCTTCGAACGTCGTCATCAGCTTGGACTTGGTTGGGTCTTGCACCTGCCGACCCAGCTACTTCTGGACCCCGGTGGGAACGCTGGACGGCTGCATGCAGTGTCTGAGATGAAACATGCGGTATAGGCTCAGTGACTTGTCCGGGCTCTAGAAATTTCCTTCTCACCGGCAAATCCAGTCGGAAGTATGACTCGAGCGGATGGGAAATTTGCCCGCATATGCTCCGCAGCGGGGATTCCGATGCAGCCAGACTGAAGAAGTTCAGCCTGATGGACAACTGTCACGACCGGACCCGAAAGAAGAAAAGAAACACCATAAAACAAGCGTCCGAAAGAGGAGTCGTACGGAGACGTCGGAGCAGAGGCTACTTTCCCTATCAGGGCGACCCCAATGGAGCGTTGGGGCGTCAGGGAAAGCGCCGGCTCTCATAGGCTCGAGCAGAGTCTTTGCCTTCGATGCGGTGAAGAAAAGTCGGCGCTGGAGGAGGGGCTAGTCTGCTGGCCATTTTCCTATACCCGAGATTCTCGCTGGATTTACGGGGGAGTTGGATGCCCGATGTGAGGATGAGGGAATATTTCAGGAGGGTTCAATTTCAGAAAGAAGGGTAGAGAGTAGAGTAGAGTAGAGAAGAGAATCACCTAGTCATTCTTATAGTTGGACTGCGAAGGGACGGTTCCTGCCTCGTTGCCTGAAATCGATCTTATCGCCCGTCGCGATTGTCTTGATGTCTTGATTGTTCTCTCCATCTGATAAACCCCCCCCATAATCGTTTTGTTCTCCTCAATCATCATCATATCATCCCGTGGACCCGTGGTCATGTCTATGTTTACGTTCATTCGGGTTTAGTTCGAGTCCCAGCCTTTCTCCCCCGACGGTTGAGTCGTTGACCCAAGGAACCGGACATCTTTAGCTTCGTCTGCTGGCCAGTACTGAGCAAAGTCACCCCACTTGGACAACAAACACGCCTGCTTGCCATTCGGGACGGTTGCATCTCCTGGAAAGAGAATCGAGGTTGATCAAGCTGATCTCCGATTCAAAGCACCCTCCTCATCATAAGTCCACCGTATTACATCCAGGGTTCCGCCGACGTGCCCACCAACTGCACCGAGGGAGGGGGGCCATCTTTATCGATAGGATCGAGCGTCGCAATCCGACCGGGTGTGTGACTGGCCTGTGCCTGCGTGACTCTCGTTTCCCTACACAATTCGCTGATCTGGCGCCAATCCAAGAGATCCGCGGTGTTTTCTCGTTGGTTCCCACCGGCCTTTCCCTTTCTCTGTCCCCAGCCACCGTTTTACTTCTGCCTCTCGGAAATTCACTTCAAACTGCCGAAGATACTGCCTGCATTCCGTACCACCGATCTAGTCTCATACTATCTGAATTTCAATGTAAGCCAGGGAAAAAAGTCCCAAACTTTTTTTTTCCCCCATTTTTTGTTTTCCGCGCAACTGCTGACTCTCGCCATGTACGTGCCATACTAGTTCGCATTCCGAACGCTGCCCATCGCATACCTCGCCGTCCAATCCCATCTGCTCGTGGGATGATCTTCACTACTCTCTCCCTTCTGCAATCTTGCCCACCGCCTCGTCATGAACTACTGCCCTTTTCTCCGTATCCCTACGCTGGCCTACTGAATTCTCCCCTTCAAGATTTCCAATTTCTCCCCCGTTTTTTCTTTTTCCCGTTGAACTCTCGAGTTTCTCATTTTTATCTCGATTCTCCGATTTTCTCTGGATCTCTTGACCACCCGTTCGGCTTGCTGTTAGCTGGCATTTCTTAACTTTCGCGTCTTACCCCCGTCTGACTCCCATTTTGCGTCTGGTGTTTTAAAGGGAGGCCCTTTCGTTTTTAGCCCTTTTTCTTGCTCACCCCTCGACAACCGTTCCTTTTATTTATTTCATCGCCCTGGATATCTGGTTTAAATAAACCACGACGTGCCTATACTCCGCGATCGACCCAGTTTACGTCAATTGTTCGCAGCCGATGCACCCTCAGTACCCATGCGCCTGACGCTATCGTCTTGCTGACCTTTGTCAAACCGCTTATATATTTTCGTCTGGTGGCTTTCAACTATGGAAACCCTGCGCCTGGCTCGCGACAATGTGTTTACTTCCGCTTTCGGTGTTTTCTCGTATGCGCGTGATGCAGCCGTGCGTCATGGACAGCAAGTACAATGCAAGGGAAGTGGGTTGACCGGGAAAAATGTGGGAGACGGGGAATTTCGCCCGGACACGGCGAAAGATGCCCTGGAAACGGGCTTTTTGAGTGTATATGAGGTGTGTTTTGTTTGGCGAAGACTACGAATACATTTGAACTGCCTGCTGATTACTCGGATCGATTATAGGTGAAGAGCTCTCGGAGTGCTCTCGGCAAGCTGGCTATACTCTCAGCAATGAGCTCTCAGAGGCCAGACGACCAGAATTATGAGGACGTTCCTCCGTCATACGACGACGCTGTCAGAGACCTACCACCAGAATACGCTACGCTTTCGCCATTTGCCCGGCGAAAGGATTTTGTTCACGATTCTGCGCCACCCAAATATACCCAAGATACCAATTCCAAATCTTCGCCCGGTGCCGTCGATTTCGATAGCTCTTTCGGAATTCGAGAACGCAAGGGCGCGAAAAAGAAGAAAAAGCCGGCGGCGGCGCCCCAACGACAGGCTACACCACCGAACGACGACAGCGACAAAAAGGATAAGGGCGCGGATGATCCAGGTAACGGCGGAGATCCTCCGGCCGATGGTGGTGATGCCGGCGACGGGAACGGCGATGGCGGAGACGGCGGTGGTGGCGGTGGTGACGAAGGTGGAGACGGCGGAGAGGACGACTGTGATGCTTGGAACACGAGCAGCAGCAAGAAGAAGAACAAAAAGAAAAAGAAGGAAGAGGAAGAAGAGGAACTAAAGCGGAAAGAGGAGGAAGAACAAGCGGCCAAAGAGGAAGAAGAGCGGAAAGCCAAGGAGGAGGAAGAACGAAAAGCAGCAGAGGCGGCGGCGGCGGCGGACAACAACAATCTGAGCTGGGCAGATGATCCCGACGGTCATGGCGATGACTCGTGGGCTGGATTTGCCACGGCGGGGAAGAAGAAGAAGAAGGGCAAGGTATTTTAAGTCATACCACTTTCATACCGGTCTGTCGCGCTAAAAATTTTATAGGCGGATTTGTTGGGGGCTGACCCCCCCTCAAATTCATTCCAGGACATCAGCTTAGGTGACGGAGCACCGCAACTAGACTTGAGCCTCGACCCTCCGGGTGGGAAGTCTGCCGGGACCGATTTTAATTTTGGCACTGGCTGGGGCAAAGGCTGGGGAAGCGGGAGCAAATGGGGATTGGATGCCTTGGGAGACATGAACGGTGTCAAAGATGACAAAGGGAAGGACAACAATCCCTGGTCGCTCGGTTCTAAGGATCCTTTGAAAGGCTCAGTTGGTTTCGATTTCGGCGGTTTCAGTGACCCCCCACCGGCCGAACAAAGCGCTCCTGCGGAGGAGCCAAAACCCGAAGATGATGACTGGGGAGGCTTTACTGTCAGTAGCAAGAAAGACAAGAAGAAGAAGAAAAAGGGCCTTGTGGAAGAAGAACCCCCCAAGGAACCTGAGCCTGAGCCAACTCCACCCCCAGAGCCTGAACCCGCACCCGAACCGGAACCAGCTCCGGCAGCAGACATGGCAGGACTCTCCAAGAAGGAGAAGCGCAAAGCAAAGAAGGGGAAAGCTGCAGATGAACCACCGGCGCCTGAGCCAGTTGCTGAGGAGCCTAAGAATGACGACATTTGGGCAGAGATCGACGGTAAGAAGGACCCAGAACCGGAGGTTGCGGATGACAACGACTGGGGCTGGGGCCTATCAACCAAAAAGAAGGACAAGAAGAAGAAAAACGCGGTTCTCGAGGAACCGGTGATAGAGGAGCCTCCGCCAGCCCCGGAATCGCCACCGGAGCCCGCCGCGGAAGAGAAGAAGGAAGAAGATGATTGGGCCGGATGGGGGGTTCCAGCTAAGAAGGATAAGAAGAAGAAGAAAGGCAAGCTGATCGAGCCAGAACCTGAGCCAGAACCTGAGCCAGAACCTGAGCCTGTGCCTGAGCCCGAACCCGAACCTGTTGTGGAACCGGAACCTGAACCAGAGCCAGAGCCAGAGCCAGAGGTCCCTGCACTACCCGATGACCCTCTCTACAACAATTGGGAAAACCTGTCTTCCAAGGACCGAAAAAAGCGAGAAAAGTCGCTGAAAAAGAAAGGCCTTCCCGTCCCAGGTATAGACATTATAATTCCTCCGCCGCCACCTCCAAAGCCCGTTGAACCCGAGGAGCCCATAAAGGAGGAACCTGTCGCAGAGCCAGAGCCTGTTGTGGAGCCTGAACCCGAGCCGGAGCCAGAACCAATTCCCGAGGTGGTCCCTGAGCCGATTATAGAACCAGAGTCGGTCGTCGAAGAGGACAGCTGGGGAATCTGGGGCTCTTCGAAGGACAAGAAGAAGGCGAAGAAGAGCAAGATCGCCGAGGAACCCCCGCCACCGGCACCAACTCCACCTTCCCTTGGATTGGATCACGATATCAACGCATTCGCTATCGAAGATGTACCCGAGGAACCCATGCTGGATGACCCTCCTCCCAAATCTTCGAAAAAGAAGGGATTAGCTGCAGAAGAGCCTCCCGCTAAGGCCACTAAGGGAGGAGGATTCTGGTCCGCCTTTGGAGCCGCAACTCTGGGCAAACCCAAGGCCACGAAGAAGAAATCCGAGGAAAAGCCCAAGGTGATCGAGGAGCCGAAGGAGCCCGAGCCTTCTCCGGACGACGCTGATTTGCTCATCGATGTCGGTGACGAGCCTAAGGAACCCGACGCGCCTGCCGCGCCTGACCCGCCTATAGTAGAAGAGCCGGCAGCCGCGCCGCCAGCGAAGACACCTGTTGTCAGCTCCAAGTCCAAGTCATCAGCCAAGCTGTCCGTTGCTGAGCGCATTAAAGCCCTTGAGCAGACCAAGAAAGATAAACTCAAAGACAAGGCTGCCGGGAAATCTAAGACGAAAGAAGCCATCCCGCCCCCAGAGGATCCTCCCGAACCGCCTCAGCCGGACCCGGAGCCAGAACCGGAGCCAGTAGAGGAACAGAAGGTTGCACGAGACTCGGTCCCGGGAAGTTTCCCTGACGCTTTTGACGACGACTTCGAAGACCCACCGCCCCCTGCGCCGGAGCCTGAGCCCGAACCGGAGCCCAAGCAGGAACCCCCACCGCCAGTTGAGCCTGAGCCGGTGCTCTCGTCGAAGAAGACCAAGAAGAAGGACAAAAAGAAAGGAAAGGTTGTCGAACCTGAGCCGGAGCCTGAGCCTGAACCAGTCCCTGAGCCGGCTCCAGAGCCCCCACAGGAACCAGAACCAGCGCCCGAGTCGGAGCCAGAACCCGCTCCCGCCCCGGTTTCTAAGGCGGATAAGAAGAAAAAGAAGAAGGGCAAGCTCGTTGAGCCTGAGCCCGAACCTGCACCGGCGCCAGACCCTGAGCCTGAGCCCGAGCCTGCTCCTGCAGATGAGCCCCAACCGGAAGCGGAGCCGGAGCCAGTTCCAGAGCCCGAAAAGCCCAAGAAAAAGAGCAAGAAAAGCTCAACCTCGAAAGGCGTCATGTCCTCTGCAGATACTCCACCTCCAGATGTGACCGCGGCTGACGCGCCACCGGAGAATGATGCCGGTGGCCCCCCGACACCGCCGCCCGAGCCTGCTGCGCCTGAAAGATCGGCCAAGAAGGAGCGTGCCCATATCGACCGAACGGCAGGTGCCGCTTCCTGGGCATTCTGGGGCGCTGGAGCTCCTCCACCTAAGAAATCAGGTCATCGGGAATCCAGGCACCGACGGGAACAGTCCCCCGGGGCTGCGAGGGCCAAGTCCTCGAGACACGGCCGACCTCGTGAGCAGGAGAACGAGATGGAGAAGTCATCGACATCTGAAAAGGACAAGCGCAGAGAAGCCAAACTCAATCGAGGAACAGCCTTCTCAAAATTTATCCTTGGAGGGCCTCCTCCACCTTCCCGCACCAAGTCGAGCCGTCGGAATGGTCATTCAGCCTCAAAGCCCACCTCTAGACGACCATCAGTCGATATGAACGATGCTGGAATCCCGTCGCCCCCGCCAGACGACGGACAGGAGATACCTGATAAAGCGGCGCGAATGATGGGAGCATCCGGAACAAAGCGAGAAAGGCCGCGTGGGACGCGGACGAAATCAGGTGGTATGTGCTCTATATTCATCCTATGCTTGAGAAGTGGTGCTAATAATTTGTATCTAGGTGTTCGGGACCCGTACGCTTTGGACGACGAAGACATGGTCATGGTGGATCGAGAAGATGTCGAGGGGTATCCGCCAAAGACACGCTCCCGCGAGTCTAGGCATTCGGAGAAGAGGTCAAGAAGACAGGTAAGCCGACATAAAGCACATAGAGTGTGTTTGTCAGCATGAGTCCATTTGCTAACAAGTCCTCCTAGTCGCGCTCGAGGCCCGAGGAGCTTCAGGAAGATGCTGTTATGGTTGATGCCGAGCAGGCGCAGCAGGGACCGGACGTCTTTTCTGGGCCGGATGACATCGCGTTTGTCGAAGCCCCACCAAAGGAGCCACAACGTCTCAAACGCTCAAACACCGCCTCGAAGAAACCTGAAACGGGCGGATTGATGGGGCTCATCGGTTCGTTGCGGAGGACTGCGCGTGCGGAGCCGCCGGAACGTCACAAGTCTCGCTCTCGCCGTGACGAGGATGCGAAGTACACGACGGATCCCGAACGGGACGAGGCTCGCCGTCAGCGCCGTGAAGAACGAAGGAAACGCTCGGCTCGCCCGGAAAATGAGGGTGACGGCTTCATGACCGACGCGCCCCCAGCTGAGGAAGTGCCAGAAGCGCCAGTAGACGATGTGGAAGCTAGGAGAGCTGAGCGAAGAGCTCGACGTGCCGCGAAACAGGCCTCTTTGGACCAAGCCCGCGAGAGTGAAATGCGCGAGGCCGAGGAGAGGCGCGCCAGACGAAAGGAGCGAGAGATGGCTCGGGAGCGAGAGATGCACGATCGACAGCTTCGCGAAGAGGAAGAGCGGGAGCAGAGACGTCAAGAAGAGAAGAGAGCACGTCGGGCTGCTCGTGAAGAGCGCCGAGCTCGTGAAGAGCAAGAGGCCCGCGAGGCGGAAGCCCGAGCTGAAGCGAAAGCTGCGGAACGCCGTGAGAGGCGTCGACAGAGAGATGCAGAAATGCAGGAGAACTCCAGGTCGCGGCGTCACTCGCGCGTGGATGACCACGTTGCTCGGGATTTCTACTACACCGAGGATCCTCACGCAGACCCGGCTCGTCGTTACCGGCCGGGAGAGGACCCGGAGAGATCGAATCGGCGAAGATCCAGGGCCCCGGAAATGCCCCGGGAACAACCGCCGCCGATGATGTCTGGCGGACGCAGAGATAAGATCTTTTCTTGGGTCGATCAACAAAACATCAACCCTCCGGAGCCGCCGCCCCTTGTGGCTACTGTACTGGACATGCCACCTGGACCGGAAGAGCAGGTCAATGCGCACTCGATGTCCTCGGACGAGGAAGCTCGTCGCGACCTCCGCCGCAGAGCCCGCAGACGGGCACGGTATCCGGGACTGACAGACGAGGAAATCAACGACCTGCGCGAGAAGAAACGCGAAGCACGCCGATCCGACCGGGATGGCCAGAAGAGCAGCTCTGGCAGTGGCGACTACGAGCGAGATCGGGGCATGAGACACGACCGCTATGCTGCGCCGCCACCGCCTGCGTCCGGTGGGAAAATGCCCAACTGGTTCAAGAAACTCACCAGTCTGTGATGGAAGAAGAAAGATATATATGACTTTTGCGAATTTGCGTGATGATTGCCATGATTGAAACGAACAGCACTATTATTTATGACTTTGTTGGATTATGAGAAAAGGGAATTCCATGACACGGCACAATTTGGGCCGAAGTTGGATATGAACGCATGTATGAATAACGAGAAACAAAATGTTACTCTCAGCTCGATGATTATAACTCAATGATGATACATTATATTACATCTACATCTACTCCGTACTATATCTCCCCTCTTGAGTAGGCAGGACCTAAACAGGCTCCCCAGACTGATCGATCTCCTCCGCATAGGGCACTCCGTCTTGAGCTCGCCGTCGATTCTCCAGATAGAGGCGCCCTCCCTCGTAGATGCCCAAGTAAATACTCAACGCCGCGGCCGACCACACCGACCTGATGGCTCCGCCTCGAAACAGCCCTCGCACTCCCTCATCTTGGTAGATCTGCCTCCCCATCGCCCAGATCCCTCGCCTCGCCACCCTCCTCATCTTCTTCCTTCCCTCCTGCCCTTCCTCCCCATCCCCACTCGTCCTCTTCCCATCAGCATCCTCACTCGCAGCCAACATCACCCTCGTCTTAACCACATCAATCGGCGTCGTCACCGTCGACGCAAAGCTGCCCGACACGCTCGCCGCCAGACCCGTCACCAGCACCCTTTCCAGCACGGGATTCGCATCCTGCCTCCCCTCCTCCCCTTTCTTCCTCCGCCCCTCCGCCCTCCACGCTAACCCCTTCCCTCTCAGATACTCGAAAATCGGAAAATGAAGCCCCGTGAAGGGCAGATTCCGTCCGACGAGCGCCGTATACCCCTTCCAGAGATTCCACGGCCGGTGGCGGAACTTGGCCAGGGCTTGCATTGTTGCGTTCTTGGGGGGCTGTGTTTGCGAGGTGATTTTCGCTGAACTGGCGGTGTCGGTCATTATCATCTGTGCGTTTTGTTTGATGACTTCTGCTGGGGTCAGGATGGCGCAGGACACTGCTTCGCCCGTGCAGGAGGCGATGGTGTGGATTAGGGGTTGGGGGAGGGGGGGCGTGGTGTTGGTGTTGGAGAGGGTAGTTTTTATGGCTTCGTAGGTGGTGAAGAAGGCTCCTGCTTTTTATTGGGGGTGTACGGTCTTCTGTTAGCTAGGTAGGTACTTAGGGTGGGTTGGTTTGGGGGGTAAGGACATAGGTATAGTGTTCTACCATAGTTCAGGTTGGGGTGATGGAATGGGGAAACATAACGTACAAGAAGGAATCGTGGCCAGCAACACGCTCCCCACTCCCTGGTAGAGGCCTCGGAAGAGGACCTTCCTGTTAATTGACCCGTCGGCATGCTTGTACAGTTTCTCGTAGTTGGGTGACTGGATGCGCGTCTTGAGCGTGTCGAATGGGTAGACGGAGAAGTCAACGATCACGACGGCGAAGGCGCCAGCCTATGGTCATTTGTATTCGATTTTTGTCAGTTCTTGTCTTGGTCATGGTCATAATCGATGGTTACGGGGCTATTGAAAGCTGGACTGGCTGGGATGTAGATGATGGAGTGTTCTCGACTCACGAGCCAGATGTCGGTGTTGGTGTTGTACATTGCGACTGATTCCTGTCTGCTTGAGGAATGCCATCTATGCAGGGAAACCGAATGAGGTACAGAAGACAGAAGGAAAAGAGGTCTGAAGTCATGGCAGAGGCCATTCTATTCATGATATCTTATCTAATCGGTTATCGATTGCGACGAAATGATCTCATCAGGCCATCACGTGCAGCGGGTGCCCTAACGGCCGCATTAGGGCTCGGCCATGGATATAAGAGATGACGGGAGGGAAAGAGGAAAGAGAAGAAGAAAATAGGTCAGTGCCATACGTAGGTCAAAAATTCACAAAGAAAAAGCAAAAAGAAAAGAAAAAGAAAAGCAACATCAAGAAGGAAGACTCAAGTCATATCCCGTAACTCTAGTCGTCACTGGAACATATTAACAGCCAGATACAAAATTTTCCCTCCCTACGCCGTTAAGGTCATGCATGCGGTTCCCAGAATCCCCTCGGTTTCAGACAAAAAACATCGTTCTCCGCCAACAGTCCTTTCCTCCTCTATTTGGCGGTCTCTCCCGGCAGCAGGTTGCCCTTGACTGCGAACATCTTGCCCGTCGTGGCCGAGACGAAGCTGTCGACCTGGCGGGCGTACTGCTCAACCTGTCGGCTGTTCAGCATGGTCTCCAGGCGGCTGGGCTCCTGGGGAAGCTTGAACAGTCGCTGCCACTCGTCCTCGGGAAGCAGGGGCTGCTTCAGAGCCGCACGGCTGGCGTTCTCCTGCTTGCGCTTGTTCTGCCAATTCGTGATCTTGGTCTGCTCCCGAGCAAGCGACCGCTGGTAGTACTGGTAGTTGTTGGTCTCGGTGTGATGGGTCTCGATGCTGTCGAGCAGAAGGTCGCAGTTCTTCTCGAGGAAAGGGTCGATGCTGAGGGCCAGGTTGTCGAAGTTGGGCGCCAGCACGTTGTCCTTGATGAACGGGCCGGATTCCAGAGCGGCCAGAGACGGGGGGAGATCCGCGGGGGCCGACTGGCTGGGGCACTGAAGCTGGTGGAGGAAAGAGGTGATCAGGTGAGAGTTGTGGATTTCCACGGGGAGTTCAACGAAGATGTCCTGGAATCTCAGGTTGGACTTTTGCAGCCTGTATTGATGTTAATGAATCATCCACTAAATGTAGCCAAAATTCGTTGCAGTAGTCTGCAGGAATTAAGAAGAAGAAATGGAAGCATACTCATCGGAAGTGAACTTGTTCTCCTTGAAGGCAGTCATGAACTTAGGAGACAGACGGAAGGCCCGCAGGCTCAGGCTGCCCTGGGCGCTACGGCTGACGTCGTGCACGAGAGCCACCGTCCTCTCGTTCATCTCCTTCTGGTAAAAGAATTGGTTCTCGATCACGTTCATGTTGACGAAGTTACCCATGTTGGCGCTGGTGTACCATCCGACGTTGTTCGCATCCACGTTGACCTCGCGAAGCATGCGGATCATCTCGGCCTGGTAGGCGGCGTTGGCCTTCGCGCGAGGGGCGGCAGCGGCCGGGTTGGCGGCGGCGTTGTCAAAGTGCGACTCCGCGGGCACTTCGACGACGGGGAAAGGGAAACAGTTCGTGACCTCGAGGCCGGAAGCCGCGTCCATACCAACGATCGAACCGGTCGCAGTCGTCGGGAAGGTCTGAGAGCAGTGCTTGATGATTTTCATCACCACCTGGATTCATCACGGCATTGTATGAGCTTCGCTGTCGCGGATAACATAACCATCGCGGGGGAGAGAGGATTTTCACGGAGGGAAATGTCATACCAAGGCCTCGACCTTGATGGTCGCGAGGGGGAGGGGAACGGAAACTTCTTTCCTGTGAACGGCATTAGCAATCGAGCTCACGAGGACCGTCGTCCGGCAGCGACGGGGGGCACGTACTCCGCCATTTTGAATGCAAGCAACGCAGGATATACGATGGGGTTGATCTCGGGATGGAATCGTGACTTTGTGTGGATGGATTTGATCAATTTCCCACCGCCTAACGCCCTTTCCGGTTAGCGCGCCAAGCCTGGCAGTATCGCTCGTTCGTTTCCTCTGTTTCTCTGAAGTACGGAGTCTCCGGACTCTCCGTCCTTTCTTCATTTCTTTCTCGCCACCTCGCTCATGTCGGTGGCTTCTTTCATGCCTCAGACCTCGATTTGCAGGTCTTCGTCCCAGTGTTTCCTGTCACTTTCGGGGCCTTTGGCGGACTAGAACCACATGCTGGGGCCTTCGGGAGGCACACGGCCATCACAACCACCGCTAACCACTAGCCAGAACCCCCTCCTGGGCTATGTATAACCACTACTATTTAGTACGCATCGCCCTCTCTTGCCCCTCCCATCGGCTTTCCCCATCCCTAAGCATCCCCATACTACTTATCTTCATTTCCATCACAATTCCACGAACAATGCTCACCGAACCTTCCCAATTACAGTACGGAAAAGACCATGTCCTCCAAACGGTGGCGGTCACCACCCTCCCAGAAACCTCTCTCCAAGACAACAGCTACTGGGTGATGTAGGTACCGTACCGTCTTTGGAATCGCCAATGGCCTCCGCTCACCCGTTGGCCTTTTCATCCCCGGCCTCCCCTCAATCCTACAACAGCAAAAGACTAATCGGTGACCACCCGTGGGTAAATCCAGCCTGATACACGGTGGCGCCTGGCGAGACCCGACGCAGACCTCTATCGGATACCTCACCCACGCCGCGTCCATCCTGACCTCCTCGCCCGCCTACACGTCCTCCACCCTCCCTCGCATCGCCGCCTTCGCGTCCATCGAGTACCGCCTCAGCCCGCACCCCGCTCACCCGCAGGACCGCCACACCACCGACCCTCGCGAGTACCGCGCCGCGAAACACCCCGACCATCTCGCTGATGTGCAGGACGCGCTGGCCTTCCTGCAGCGCAAGTACGGGTTTGGCGAGCGGTACATTCTCGTCGGGCATAGTTGCGGTGCGACTATGGCGTTCCAGTCGGTGATGGGGTGTTTGCGCAGCGGCGGAGATAATGAGGAAGAGCTGGATGAGGAGCGGAAGGTCTCTCCCTTTGCTCCGACGGCGATCCTAGGCATGGCGGGGATCTACGATCTGAGGCTCCTGCGCGACACGTTCCGTGATGTGTCTGCGTATCAGGAGATCGTCGAGGGGGCGTTCGGCAAAGACGAGGCCGTCTGGGACGCGGTCTCCCCTGCGGCGGTGCAGGGACCGAGCGGGGTGGCGGGGTGGAAGGCCGGTCGGTTGGCCGTGCTGGCATACTCGCCGGAGGATGGGCTGGTGGATCCGACGCAGCGAGAGGCCATGAGGCAGGCGTTGGCACCTTGGGAGAAAGGCCATTCCCACGTTAAGAGTCGGCGTGTGGAATTGCTGTCACTCACGGGCAGTCATGATGAATCTTGGGAGAAAGGGCAAGATCTGGCGAGGGCGATTGCTTTCACAATCGACAAGCTGGACGATTGATGATTGTCTTCCCTTTTCGATAGACGCATTCCCCGTACATAACATCTAGACAGTGCAGGACAGAATGACTGCATGTTTACATATAAAAAATTGAAAGAGTTACCTATTTCGCATTTGTGCCCCGAAGTCCGCGAAAGACTCGTTGGGATTATAGAACTAGTTCACATTAGAAGAAAAGAAAAAGAGACCGGCCATTTTCAGAGCTTCCGACGCCCACCAGTGTTCGTGATCATGAAATGCAGTACATGAAATTGCAGCTTGACGATCTCCGTCATACGCCGGGTATTGGAGAAACAAAAAGACTGAACAGACAAATCGTAGCAGGAAAGGGGAAAGGGAATAGAAACACGGTTATCTCGAGCACCACAGTATCTAGCCAGTACACGATTGGAGAATTCCACGAAACTATGAGAGTTGAGGAGGGAGGGAGGAGAATAGGGGGGATAGAATCAAGGTAGATGACAGACAAAACATCGTGCAGGAAGACGTATGTAGCGAGACCGGGTCAGAGAACCAGCACAAGACAGGCGACCTTCTTAGTTGCCAATGTCCATGCGGCCGGAAGCAGCATCGCCGGCAGGCTTCTCCGCTTTGGTATCATGACCAAGCTCGTCAATTTCATCGTCGTCGTCCTCCAAGTCATCTTCATCGGTGTCTTCAATGTACTTGGCTTCAATGCCGGCCTCGCGAAGGCGCGCCTTGGTATCTTCACGATACTGATCCTGCCAGCGAGCAAGTGCAGCACTGGCATGAACACGGAACCCATAGATACGGGGCTCGTAACGGCGCACGCTCTTCTCCGGGATCAGCGCAGGATACACCTGGAAAAGCATGCTGTGGAATGTGGTTCCGAAGTAGGCACCATCGATGGAAGCATGCCGAGAAGACTTCGGGTTGTAGATATCTTCGCACTTTGCGCAGTAAAGACGTACGGTGCTTGTGTGGGGAAGATCGTGCTGACCCATGGGAAGAAGAGGGTGACCTTCACACACAACACGCGGACATTTGCCGAAATCGCCCTTCTTATACTTGTCGACCTATAGGCGAGTCAGAATCATAACAGAGGCCCGGGGTTTCGCTTTTGTTACGCACCATTTTGGACAGACCACGAGTGGTGATGATGTAGCGAGCATGGACGAGGCCGTACAAGTGACGTGCCGATTTCTCGATTTGCTCGCGCAAGTCATCGTCCGCATCCAAGTCAAAGACGTCGGTCACAAGATCCAGAGCATACTGATAGTATGCGACCTCGGTGTTCAAGCCGGTAAGGTTGAAGCGATCGGTCAAATACTCCTCGTCAACTTCGCAGAAATACTCGTTTCCACGGGACGAAATAAACTGTTCACACCAACGACTGTCAGGAACGTCTTTAGGAAATTCGGGAGGAAGTAGGGGAACAGGAATTGCATATGGGAATCTTTCATGCTCTCGCATTACGAGTTTAGGGGAAGGAGCCTCGGGTTTGGGGTCGGGGGATTCGGCATCATAATCATTGGTCGAATGAGCAGCTTCACCCGGCATGTTCATTTGCTCTTCACTTTCCTTCTTCACCTTTTCCTCGGAGGAGGTAGAAAACTCGTACCACCAGGACTCGAGATGAACGGGAGGCTCGGGAGAGTAAGGCCTCTTCGGAGAATTGGATTTCTCAGAGTCCGAGGAAACCGGCTCCGAAACCATTTTGAATGGGAACAGCTGCGCCGGACAAAACAAGTGTGGTGGGTGACATGCGACTGGAAGATCAAGGGGCAGTCCGAGTGTTTCTAGACTTCTCCAAAGAAGAACCCTCTCAATTCACCCCGCCGTGATCGCACCGTCATTGTGTTCTCAAGTGCAGCCGCACCCTCCTTCCCTCCGATGCACTCACCAGCCGCAACTGTCACCCGAGGCAAGATCCATGAACGAAAACAAGACCAAACAAAAAAAAGCAACACTTACCCAATCTCTCCAGTAACTGGTGTAGTCACTGTCAGTCTCGCTGTTGAAGTCTTCCATCATCTTGGCGAGTGGTCACAAGACAGAACAAGAGAAGTTGTCTGAAGGTAAGATTATTTCTGTGCTTTGCCTGTAGCAGTTGCTGAGAGAAAACTGGGTCAGACCATCCCAGAGCAGGAAAGCCCCCAGAACTGTACAGCTGGAATAATCTTCCTTAGAGCTTCCAACAGCCAGAGGTTGGAGTAGAGGGGTATCGGAAGCGTGCAAATAGGCTCACGGGCGAAGGCGATGCGAAGGCGTGAAGATGGATGAAGTGAGTCTTTCTGCTTCATTCCGTCGGCCTGTTATCTGTGGATCTCCTTCTTCCGGCTTAGCGCGGGGTTGGCGGTGAGTGGCGGATGTTTTTCTCACCGCCTTCACCGGCCCTCTTTGCCTTCTTGTGTTTTTCCTCGCTGATTCTAGATTCTGGGTTTACACAAAGAATGCATAGGTATTCACACACTATTCCCCTAATATATCTAAATATTGTTTGTTCAATTAACTATTTACTATGCTTGATCAACTGGCATCAAACTAGACACTCTGGATTACAGACAACTGATAGAATACTATACATGCCGATTTTTATACATCCAACGAACACTAGGAAATCTTGACCTAATTCTAGTAGTGAGTGGCATCATCTCCAAGGTCAAGTCCTTACTAGACTTAGGGTACAGGCACTGCTTGGTATATCTTCAACAGGCTTCTACTAGCTCGCTTTCGCTGCACAAGATCCATAATTCGTACCCATCCCTTGATTTAGTTCTCCGGGACCTTTGCGACATAACCACGCAATGAGCTACAAGTGGGCCGAGTTCTTTCTCCAGGGCTGTGAGCCGAACATTTTTAACTTATACAACCAACCTATTCTCGATCCCGAGGACTTCAAGCAATTTCACTGCGATGATGCCTGGAAATTGGGACGGCGAATGCGTGATGATATGCCCGGGATGCATAGTATCATGGTGTTGAGATTACGAGTAAATGGACGAGCCAAACTTGTGACGAAAACGGTACACACTCAGAGTACACAAAGCCACATACCTACATAACTGACTCGGAGTAGTTCTTTGGGGAAGAACACTTTGCATCGAAACAAACAACTAGACCCTTTCTTAGATGAAAGTCGAGCTTACGAACATATTCTTCGCAACTGCCCGCCCTCTAAACTGTCTTACTTCCCAACTTATTATGGTGTCGTCCTAAACTTGACACGCGAAAAGTATCCTATGAGCTATGCATTGCGTCCTCGAGCATTAGTGCTTGAAAGAGTCAGCCCTGCCATATGTTCCCGACGTCTTCTAGGAGAATCCCCACGACCATCATCGAGCCTATTCGAAAGCTTTGTTACGAAAATTGGCGATCTACCTCTCAGCAGCTTTGAGAAGGAGTGGTACATTTCGTTGTCCATTGACCAGCTTCAGCGTCTTGCAGCGTTACATGATATTGGAATTTTACACCACGATATCTGTGATGAGCATTTTCGTATGCCTCATGATTTCTACGACACGGTTCTCTACCATTTCTCTCATTCCTACACGATACACACACCATGGCCATACGTAAGACGACCTAAGCCCTTGGTGGAATTGATTCGAATTGAACAGGAGGAAGTGTTGAGTGGTGTGCTCGGTCGGTTAGTACAGCCCTACCTTCAAATAAATGTTAGTTAACATTTCCTCAGTGCGAGAAAATCGGATCTTCGTGATAATGTTGCAACGACGCTCGATGTAACCCCGGTGACTGTTCTGAATTTCTGCTCCCAAGAGCTGGAAGACACTGAGAACAACCTAGAGCTGATCTCTCTAAAGACTAAACACCGACCAGATGGTACGTTAATAGCTGTATTCTTTTTATGATAGCCCTAGTAACATTCATTAGTGTTTACGCTTCCATCCCTGACGTCAATATTTCCATTCTTGGAATCGATTCGCCCGAGTCATTCTCCAGCATGGCATATCAGTAGGGCTCGACTTCTCCAAGACTATATCTCCGTCTGGTTCCTCTACACACCCAGCTCAGACAAACAGATAGAGATGATGTCGTTCTCTGGGGTAGAATGTTCCAAACTGGATGTAGATGCTACAGGAAAGAGGTCTTTTCTACTTATCTTGATTCCTAGATCGTGGGGGATAGAGGAATCCGATCAAAGGCTCTTGACCTGTGCTAGGCTTATTTTGAACCAGGAATGGGGCTCTGTCACTGAAAGAAAAGATTTTGAACAACTTGCCAACTAGCAGAAATTGATGACTACGTTCCTTGTTCAAATTAAAAATTATACCCATACTCCTCATATCTTCCAGGAGATAATCGGTTCTATTCCTTGTATTGGTGCTGCAAGTGCCGTTGCTAATAGCTTCCATGTTATTTTCTTTCCATACACCCAGACTCGTTTGCTGAAGCCTTTCAAGATCATTCTACGTTAATTGTACCCCACATTTCTTTTAATCTCAGTGTGATTCTTGCGCCGATATAAGCATAGCAAAACCCACTAGGTCAACAACACATGTACCGAACTATATACATTCATCCGAATCAAAAAACGAAAAACCACCTCTGTACCTAGCGACTCCTCATCTACAAAGACGGGTTAGCATTCTCCACAAGCTGCTCAAAGTATGCCTGTAGTACAGCGTCAGTAAATCAGACCCAAGTCCATTTGCAGAATATATTGCACAAAACTTACCTGGAACCAGGTGCCAGCCTCGGGAGCAGGCTGAAGGGCAGCATCGAGACCGCAGGTGGCATCATAGCGGTCCGCAGAGCTATCAGAGGTTCCGTCGCTCTCTCCGCCCGGCTTGATCCAGACGAAGGCGTCGACCAACTCATCGCCCGTGTCAGTCGTCGGGCGAGCGCCGAAGCCGGTGTTCTTGATGTTGCACCAGTCACCCCATTCGTTCTGGCCGGTGGGCTGGTTGCCGTTTCGTCCTGCCAAGGCGGGTTAGAGGATGAGGTTTTAATATGAGAGGATTGGGAATGGAAGTACCGGTGTCGACGATGAAGTGGGCGTCGAAGCCGGCGCTGGCCAGCTGCGGCGCAAAGTTGTTGATGTAGCTCTTCTCGTCACAGATCTCGTTCTCGGATGTGTACGACGGGCAAGAGTTGATGGAGAAGGCGTTGTAGTTGGCCACGTTAGTCGCCAGTCCACGAAGAGCATCGGGAGAGGATGCGTTCTTGTACACGGAGGCGTAGAGCTCGGCTGCAGGGCCGATGTTCGCAGGCCATCCGAGCCATCCAGCATGGCCTAACGTTGTATTAGTGAGATTTCCACTCCCAAAATCTATATGCGGAGCCGTGGCCACATACCAGCATCCAGATACATTGCGACATTGGGCAGGTTCAGTTGCGTGATCGCGTAGTTGGTGCACTCCAAGTACGCATCCTTGGCGTTGGCGCACTTGGGCACATCCAGATTGGTAACCAAGTTGGCCAAGCTGTCAGGCTCTGCAGGCTATTAGTGACAGTGTCCAATATATAATCGTTTGGATGGTACTTACCGATGACCAGGATAATCTGGGTGTCCGAGTATTCTTCAACGTGCTCACGAATAGCGTCAATGTACGCCTTGTACTTCTCCACGCCACCATCATCGATCGCATACTCGCCGTTACTGGCCAATGCAGCGCAGTCACGGTCGGGCAAATCATACACGACGAAGATACCAGCGACTGGAGGGCTGGCTCCGTCATCGTTTTGGGACTTGATGTCTTCCAGGAATTCACCCATCGTCGGGACCTTATCGGCCGTATCCCTAACGACCAGTTCGTCAGCAAACAAGTTGAATCATGAGAGTTATCTTTGAGGAGCATACAGCCAGTGGAACGATGGCACATCGGCAGCGGCGCTGGCCTGTTCAGCCAGCGAACCGGTCATAGATGGAATTGCCAGGCTTTCCACCTCGGACTTGTAGTACGGGTTCACATATTGTTTCACGCCTTCAAAGGGATTGCCCTCTGCGAAGCTACCCGTGGGGGTAGGAGAGCTCGAGGGGGGATTCGACGGAGAGACCGTGGTGCTCGCAGCAGGCAAGGCCTTCACGGACGAGAAAAGAAGGGGGAGAAGAGCTGCAAGAGCCCGCATGTTGACGGTCTGCATATTGAAAGAAGAAATGCCGGAGTCGTTGCTGCTGTATTGGCCTTTTCACTTCTCAGAAAGAATCGAAGCTGGCTGTTACCACTGTCAATGCCAGACTTTCAACGACAATGGCCCCCTATTTATACCAATTGCTTCATACTCGGTGACCCTCATCTCAACGCTCCGACTACCAGAAGGAACAAGGAGACGGATGAAGATAATCGGCTAAAACCAAGCCATGGCAGAGTGGCTCCAGCCGGCATTCAGAGCGACTGTAGGGCTTAATCCAAGGCCTCCGATCCGTTAAGACGGACTCTCCGTCTCCGAAAGGGCCGAAAGGGGGATGATCATCATTACAAGGCTGTCCCTCGAATTCTTCCGGAATTAGTGTCTGGTTTGATTCCCTATAGATCAAGGAGATCTGCTTTTTTTGTTCCTGACTCATTTTACGCAGTTCGGGGAATGGCCGCGAAAGGGTGTTGATCGAGTTGCTGCCGAAAAAGCCATGGAATCTGGAGATGTGACGCCCAACAACGCCACGGAACGCCATGGCGCCACCAATGTATTTATTCATAGCCCGTAAGGATAGGGTCTTAATCGCAAGGTCAACAAGCGTGAAGGACTGTGGGGTATACTGGGGTTTGGGGTCTTTGCGGGGTGAAAGAGCAAATTAGGTAGGCTATACTACCGAAACAGAACCCGTTTCATCTATAGGGCTACTGGCTTAGGGCGCTGGGATTTAATGCTCTCATTCGAGATCCACAACGACACCATTGCCAAGATGGGGTGCCAATTGACCAGATTTATAGTATCAAGCGCTTGTTCGACTTGGATTCGGTCCTGCGGCCCGAGTTTCCAGAGTCCTCGTGGATGGTCTTCATTGGACTGTTGCTCATTGCATCCATCATTCGTAAGAAATACCAAGAAATGCTTTGAATTATTTTTTGGTTTATTGACAAGGTCGATGTGGTATCAAAGTATGACCTTCCCGCTTCACATTGAGCTTTATACAAAAGAAAAACAAATGAATGTTTAATAAAAGGTCAGAATCCAAGTGAATGCGTGTATCCTCAGTCCAGCTAATTGTAGCGCGTTGCGTAATCACATTCCGCTAGAAACCTGTGGATCCCTTCGACTCCATCGTATCCAGAAGAGCTTTCGGGGAAACCGGCGCTTGAGACCTCTGGGAAAAGGGCCCGATCACCAAGCTCACTAACGTTGATACTAGAGTATCCAGACGATGATGAGACCCACGGGTTTTCAGCGAAAAGTGTAACATCCTCAAAACTGATCTTGTTGGCTGAACGTCCCAGGCCACTGGATGAAGATTTAGCTTTGTTCTCCGGGGACATCATGGCCTGCCAGTCGACTTCCTCCGGATTTCGTAGCTCCGACGGTTCCTGTCGGTAGAAATATTCTTCCATATCCGGGGAAGGGGGTGCACTTGGAGCGAACGGGAAAAGCAGAGCCATATCAGCGCCGGTGAAAGCATCGAAATCTTCATCTTGAACAATCTTGCCACGCTGAACCCCGACCTCGTCGCAGAGCCGCTCCACAGTGTCGGCATCGCAACCAGGGAACCGCACACGGATAGTCGATTTATCGTGAAGCAAGATAGGCAAGTCACCCAAAGCTGAGAGACGCTTAAGATCATTTAGCACAGCGGCTAGGTCCTTGAGGGCACGCGCAAAGTCGGCGGAGAGGAAATCCAGAAGGCCCTCCGAGTTGATCGTCTCGGACTGGAAGGCTCCGTTAGGATCAAACTTCTTCTGCAGGCCGAAGGCCGTGACAGTAGGTGAAAGCTGGAAGTCAATGAAAGAACCCGGAGCGGAGCGGGGGATGGCCATCATCTGCTTCTCAGCCTGATCCTGCAACTTAGTCACAGCCTTGTATTTCTTGTTTCCGCTGACGGAATCAATGCCATCGAATCGGACCTTCTGTCCGGACAAGAAGAAAGCTCGCATTCCCACAGAGACATTATTGATAACCTGGGCTGGGGCCGCCGGGCCATGAGAGAAATACCGCGCACCCCCAACGCGGCCAGCACCAATGGCATAACCGCCCGCTGTACGACACAAAGTACCACCGGTCAAGTTTGGGCGGAGGGTTGAGGCGAATGGCGCACGACTTGTGAGACGGCTGATGTTCGAGGCAACCTGCGATACCTGTCGGGGAGCCTTACCACCCTGGAGGCCAGACCGGATATAGGAGACGAAGGAATCTGTGGCACGAGTGGAGAAGTGGCGGCTCCGGGCTTGCCGGATCGCAGCAGCGCGGCTGATGGGCTGTCGAGGATTGATACGAGCATACGCTGGTTGAAATCGAAGGGAGCTCTGTTGGACAGGCTCTGGAAATTTGGTTTTGAAGGTTTTCCAAGCCTTCTCGTAGGCAAACCTGCGGCCGGTCAGCAGGGGGAAGTATACCTAGGGCGGGAGTGATTGACTGACCTCGCTGCTCTCCAGAACTTGGGGAGCAGCAGGTGCCCGCTAGAAGGCGGCATCCTGGTGGTGATGAACAGAATAAATTTAAAGAAGATGAACGGATGGAGAGACCATTCCTAGGATGAACCGTAGATGGGAAAGAGATGGAGGATGGCGGATGACTGGGTGCCTGATGATGACGGCACCCTGTGGCGGTGCAGCACCTGACCCGGGCGCTTAGTCATCTCAAGCGGAATAACTCCGTAACTAGTCCGCGCGGAGTTAACGTACTTGCCCAACTACAGCGTACCAGTACTGCGCGGAGTATCGCTTCAATGCGAGGTCGTTTCTTCTGATTTCTGACCCACATTCATCGTATTTACCAGTTCAAGTTTAAAGATCCTGTTCTAAGTTTTTTATCCGATCCTGCACGTTGCTAACACCGGGCCTGCTCTTATCAGTGGACCCATGATCCGAACGATCCACTCCACCTGGCTACTAGATTTGGATGACGACTGTATAACTTGTTCGGTGGCATTTATGTGAACGAAACATGATGTTTATTGAAATTCACCCAACAGAAGCCTTTCAAAAAGCCTCTGTCCTGTTGCTACCCCCATTAAAAAAAGAAAGAAAAGAAAAGAAAAAAAGAATACGGCGAGGAAACATATCTCAAAATATATTTACAATTGAATTCGGAATTTTCGTCTAGATACGTGGGATATCATAAAGAAGCATTTACTCATCATCGCCGAAGAAGACCTTGATGGGGAGCCAGGCATCACCGCAGACCTTGAAGCGGTCCTTCAGGTTGTCAAGCTGGTTGATCTCGTCGGCAGTCAACTCGTAGCCGTCCAGCTCGAAGTTGGCATCAATGCGAGACTTGCTGACGGACTTGGGGATGACACTCCATCCCTTCTGCAGACCCCAGAGAAGGAGAACCTGCTGGGGAGTGCGGCCCTTCTTCTCGGCCAGCTGCAACAGGGTAGGGTCCTTGTACAAGGGGGAGTTGGTGGAGCCCAGGCAGGAGTAGCCGGTGGAGTGGATGCCCTTCGAGGTGTTGTAGGCAACCAGCTTGGGCGACGGGTTGTTGGGGTGCAGCTCAATCTGGTTGACGGCGGGGACGATCTTGGTGCTGGGGTCGTTCAGAAGCTTCTCCAGGTTCTTGATTCCGAAGTTGGAAACACCAATGTTCCTGACCTTGCCGGTGGCAGGGAGCTTCTGCATTTCTTGCCTGGAGAGAAACGACTGCTGTCAGCTGGCTTGTTCTTCCGTGGAATCCAGTTCACGGGAAGGAAAAGATGAGATCCTACCAAGTCTTGATGAAGTCCCAGTCGGGAAGGTGCTTCGACAGGTCGTTGGGGTCAGTCGAGCTGGGCCAGTGCACCAGGTACAGGTCGACGTAGTCGGTGCCGAGATCCTTCAGAGAGGAGGCGATGCCGTCGGCAACGCGGTGGTGCCAGGGGTTGTCGAGCTTGGTGGTGATCCAGATCTCGCTGCGAGGGACGCCCGAGTCCTTGATACCAGCACCGACTTCAGCCTCGTTGCCGTAGGCAAGGGCACTAGAAGCGGGATTGTCAGTATATGGATCACGATGCTAGACAAGCTGAGCAATCAACATACGTGTCAATGTGGCGGTAACCCTTCAGGAGAGCATTCTTGACAGCCTCGCGGACCTCGTTAGGCTTGGACTGCCAGGTACCGAGACCAAGGGCAGGGATCTTGTCCCCGGTGTTGAGGGTGTAGACCTTCCTATCATTCCAAACAAATCCACATTAGTCCAAGTGCTGCGTAGGGGGGGTAAACAAACGCCAGATCCTGTACAAGACGGACACTTACTTGGTGTGCTCAAGGTTCGACATCGTGAATAGCTGTGGATGGAGAGGGTTTTAGAGATTGGAAGAGAGATTTGGTTGTTGAGGATAGAAGAAAGGGTCCAGCGGACAGGGGAGGAGGTGGGCTTTATAACAAGGATCCGAGAACCTCGTGAGCCTAAAAACACGCATGATAGGAGGCAGGTCCATCCAGCACACCCAGGGCGGGATGATGTCGACGGAGGGGCAACTCGCGCCTCAGCGTTGCCCCTCCAAGCAGAAAAGTGGGGGGGCCGTCGAGGGAAATCTATGGCCAGTAAATTACCCGAGCTACCGTCCCGATTTACCCAGCCAGGACATCGGCGACAAGGCACGCAATGCACTGGGGCCAATGGGTGACTCGGGACACGAGGGGCGGCTGCCCGGGTGATTGATCCTGGAACCAAAACCGAGACTGTGAGACATCGACCACGGGGTGCAGGTTTGGGGAAGTCAAAAGAGGAGGAATCCAGCGCATTTTGCCTAAATTCGCGTCTCCACCCCGGAGCGGGTCGGCCTCAGGCCAGTCGGGCAAAGACAGCGCCTCTCACCGCCCGATTCTGCCGACCCTCCTGTCCACTCGAGGGGCTCCGCTCGCGGAAACTCAGTCTCTCCGGTTTTCCATTGTCTTCTTCACCTCCCTATACTCCGGAGTGGTCCCGGCTCATTGGTAGTCCGCAGCGCATTCCTTGCCTTCCACGCGGTTAATTTCCAATCCCCACTACCAATTGGTTGGTTTCCCTTACGTGTCGACTCTTGTTGAGTCCGTTGACTAACGATTACCTTCTATCCGGCAGGTTCCTTGACTCCAGTCGCCCTCCCCAGCACAAAATGTCTTCGGGGTTTGTGTCTGCTGGGACAGACCAAGAACCCGTCGAGCGGGACGACGAATGGCTCCGCGTACAACATGAGCTTGAGGAGGAGCGAAAGCGCAAGGCCGATCTAGGCAAACAGGATGGCGGGAAAAGCTTGTACGACGTTCTGCAGCAGAACAAAAGTGAGTCGAGTCATTCGCGGGGATAAGGCTCGACTTCAAGGCTGTGCGGACGCTTTGGATTGACATATTAGGGTGATTGTTCCTATGGCATGAAGTGGCCAAGCAGGAAGCCTTCGAAGAGAAGATCAAGTTGAAGAACCAATTTCGCTCCCTAGATGAGGATGAAGTCGATTTCTTGGATTCCATCATGGAGTCAACACGCGCCCAGGAGGCCGCGGTTAAAAAGGAAACATCCGAGCAGCTCGAGTTATTTCGCCGACAGCGGGAAGAAGCAGAGAAGGCTCTGTTAGAAGATACGTCGGCAGATGTCGCGCCAGCCGCTGAAGGGGAGGACTGGAAAATACCGGCCCGCAAGAGAAGACGAGAGAAGAACAAGGAGTTACTTCTTCCTGGTAAGAAACGCAAATCTACAAGCGAGGTTGCTGGTGGATCCTCCGCTTCAGGAGAGTCCAAGTCCGCCCAAACTACGAGGAAGCCGGAAGAGGCGCCCGGGTCTGTGTCGGCTCAAAAAGCTACACCCATAGAGACGCAGAAGTCTCCAGTGGAATCAACAAAGACGATTAATCCCGCAAAGAACACGCAAGGTGCTGCGTCGGATCAATCAGAAAAGAAGTCAGAGCCAGCGGCGAAACCGCCATCGCTGTCTCTTGGCCTCGCAGGATATAGTTCGGATTCGGAATAAGACTGCTTATCCAACTGTCGGATCTCTTGCAATTTCTTTCTTTGACTTCAATTGCGGACCCCTTGCGCATCATAACTCCATGATTTCTACAATTGGGATCCGGCTCTACCCATTGACCGGATTGCTCGCGGGTATGGGTTTACTGGTAAGGACCAAAAAAAGTCGACAGTGCAGGCTCCAGCGATCAACAGACCACAACCAGCGCGAGGTTAAATTCGTCTAAAATTCTCTCATACCAAAGAAAGCATTAACCCAATATATGATTGAAACCTTTAGCTACCTCTTAGGCTGGTCGCTCATTGAAATAGCCTAGTCAATTCAAACATCTGAACATAATTTTCTCTGGAATATTCAGCGCCTTCACGGTATGCGGTATACTACGTGGTATGTTTGAGACATGAGACATCCGTCTAGAATTGATCTTTTCCTCAAGTCATAAATATGCTTGGACTTCATACACAGGTATTAGAGTGGACAATATTGCACCAATTCAAAATCTCAGAACGGTCGTTGTGACTGTTTGAGAGCCTGATCTCTCAGGTCTTCCATGCGTCCGGCGGCTCAGTTGAGAGGGACTGCCAATTACTCGCCGCAAACACCACACGCTCATCCGCCAACTTGCTCTTTCTGTCATGCCATTCGCCATCTCCTTCATTCTTTGTGGGTCACATAGGCTTCTTGCTTTTCCTCTTGCTCTACCACCTTGCGCTCCAAGTCGTGTGGCAGGTAATCCTCCTTCTTGGTTCCCGGCACAATCCAGGGCGAGTTGGTGAACAGATAGTTCATCTCTTCCAAAGGCAACTTCTTGGTTTCCGGCAGCAGAAGCCAGAAGAAAACCGCATTGGTGAAATTGCAGATGATGAAAACGAAGTAGTATTGGTATTTAATGGTGTCCATGGCCAGGGGCGTCACCTGGCCGATCATGGTGTTGAAAGCATAAGAGGTCATGGTGGCCAGGGAAACACCCTTGGATCGGGTTCGTGTGTCAAACACTTCGGCCGGGATAATCCATGACAGAGGACCGCAAGTGCACGAGAACGAGAAGTTGTACAGCCAGGTCATGATAATAAAGCCCCAGTGAGCTCCGGTGTTGTTGACCTCGGGAGGGAATTTGGCGAGCAGAATGCAGGCAATGATGAAAGTGACCATGTTACCCAGGTTTCCTGAGATCAGAGTCCAGCGACGACCGAAACGATCGATGAACATCATACATAGAAACTGAGCAACCAAGGCAATGATCGAGTTGATGGCCTGGTAGCGCAGAGTTTCGTCGCCCTTGATGCCGATTTGCCCGTAAATATCCACCGAATAGTATCTGTTGTGTGAAATCAATTAGTCCTGCAGCCCCAACGTCTTGAGAGGGCGAGTCTAGCTAGGCAGGCACTTACTGGATAGCCGACACACCAGTCATCTGCACCGAGGCCTGCAGCGCGCAGCAGAGGAAAAGCCGACGGAAGGACGACCGTGATGTGAAAAGCTCGAGGTATGATTTCGCTTCATGTTCGTGCTCGAACGTGACGGCCTCCTGGATCTGGTTATATTCCGCACGGACCCAAGGGTCGTTTTCATCTCCGTGGGCGTGAAGCTTCGCCAGGGTTTTAAGTCCTTTCTCGTGGTGTCCGTGGTCAATGAGCCAACGAGGCGACTGCTCAAATGTCAGAGACAGCGAGATTGCGGGTAGGGTAGCTCCTATCTTACCTCGGGGAAGAACATGATCAAAATACCTAGAAACACGGCCGGCACGATTTGCAAACCAAGAGGTACCTGCCACTGAGCGTTGTTGGTAGGGGCGAACCCGATATAGGTACCGTACGAAATCCAGGCAGCGCATAGTGAGCCCACTCCCAGCATGAACTGCTGCAGCGCTGTGACTCGGCCTCGAATGTCGGGATGGCAAATTTCGGCCTGGTATAGGGGGATAATCATGGTAAGGAAACCGACACTATCTATTGTCAGAAATCGAGCCTCTGTTTTGGGTGTTCCACAGAGCTTACCCTAGACCGGCCAAGAATCTCCCACTGTATAAATAGTCCACTGTTTGGGCTCCAGTCTGGAGGCCTCCACCAAGGACAAAAATGACACAGCCGAGCGAGATGGTCCATCGTCGCCCCAGCATGTCACCGGAAGGACCAGCGAAAGCGGCGCCAAAGAATGCGCCGGCAGTGAACAAGGACACTACCAATCCACTATCCAATTATTAGAATACCCTCTTGGGTATACTATATTCTGCAACTGTTTGAACGGTGCAAACACTTACGTCTCGGTCGAATTTGCCTCGAATTTCGAGGTGAAGGAGTGACTGGCAATGACCTCGGCGATAACACCCAGATCATCTGTGGAAAAGCAATGTCAGTGCCCACTTCGACATGCACCACCCGGGTTGAATACATACATCCATAAAGAAACGATCCTAGGGAGGCGAAAACGCCGACCAGGAACTTGAAGGCCGGTTAGTTTGGGTGTGAGGGATACTTCGTCGGACCGGGACTTGCCTGATACCATGACGGAGAAAGACGCATGGTGGGCTCAATATGGGGCTCCTTCTGGGCCTCAGCGCATTCAAAGTGCTAATTCCCCAGACACTCAAAAACAGGATGAATTGTGGAGGCAGCAATGGGGTGGGAGGGTCCGCTCGTCTTTTTAACACTGTCCGGGGATCGGATGCTCGCCACCAACCCATATTTAAACCCGGGGATTTGGACGCGAACGTGATCAGGTCCCTTGGGATTTATTACTCATGGCTCACGAGAACCAGTCCAAAAATTAATTATCATCGTTCTATCCGCCGGAGAATCGACCGAAACTGTGACTTTCTGCGCCATCTCCAAGGAAACAAATCCCCGACCCAACTCGAATTGTACCCAATAGAGCTTCCGCAGCAACATGCCACGACCTATCACCATCTAACCGCGAATAAGGATTCGCACTAACCCCATGGCACGCTAAATGCCGCTTGACCTTTGCGGGGTGTAGCCGACTGGGGTGAGGAGAGACGCTCATCAAAGCTCGCGTGCTGATTGACGGAAGATCTCGTGGCGCTGCCTCGGCTCCAACACCAAGACGACGGCGCCGTCCAAGACTGTCATCTTACACCATCAGCTCATGATTTCCTATATCGCCCCGTGGCCTGGAACAACCCCGCAGGGGATTTGCCCAATTCATCCTCATGGCTTGCGCTGAAATCGGAAACATTAATATTAGCCGTCAAGTCGCTTCCGCCACAACAGCTTGGTCCTTCAACAGGTCATCGTTCAATCCCATAATTCCTTTCTTTTTCCCAAGATTCCTACCAATCACCGGTATTTGAGTTCATTGCTTTTACTGCTTAAACGCTTTTGACGGCCGCATCGCATCAACCATGACCACCTTCACGCAGCTCAGTGACCAGGATGCGCCTAGTCTGGCCATCCACCCAACCCGACGCATTTCCAAGATCAACCCTAACATCTATGCGGGGTTTACAGAGTAAGATCCGGACTTCTCCCCCCTTCCAATCCTATAATGTCGTTCCAATCGTGTGTATGGCGCTCTGACACGTGGTGACAGGCACATGGGCCGCTGCATCTATGGCGGCATCTACGACCCAGGTAACCCCTTGTCCGATGAGAACGGGTTCCGGAAGGATGTCCTCGAAGCTTTGAGGGATCTGGACATCCCTGTCGTCCGTTACCCCGGTGGTAACTTTATGGCGACGTATCATTGGATCGATGGAGTTGGACCCAAGGATCAGCGACCTTCGCGGTATGTTTCATCTTGTATTATCTCCTGTCCCGGTTGATTTGTAGGCCGTGCCGTCTCTCTATCTACCTTGCGCTAGTCGTCATCGTGTGACATGCATTGCCCATGTGGGTGCTAACTCTAATGAACATCCAAAGGCCCGAGCTTGCTTGGCTGGGAACAGAGACGAACCAGTTCGGCACTGATGAGTTCCTGAAATGGTGTGAGGTTCTTGGAACTGAGCCCTACTTCTGCCTAAACTTCGGAACTGGTAAGTGTTCAGCCTCCTATGTGGTCATGAACTTGAATGCTAACAATCTTTCCAGGAACTCTCGATGAAGGTAAGACTTTGTCTTTCTCGGCTCATCTCCATGGCGTCCGGTCTAACTCAGTTCTAAACAGCACTTGCTTGGGTTGAATACTGCAACGGCACCAGAGACACTTACTACGCCAACCTCCGCCGTAAGAATGGTCGCGAGGAGCCGTACAACGTAAGTCGCTCGTCCCCTTTTCTTCTCGTTAGTCCACTGGTGCTAATAATTCGCCCATCTAGGTCAAATACTGGGCCCTTGGAAACGAGACGTGGGGCCCGTGGCAGGTCGAACAGATGACCAAAGAAGCATATGCTCATAAGGCATTCCAATGGGCAAAGGGTACGACTACTCCGGCGTCAAACCACTCATGATCACGTCAGTAACTGACTCTCTATTGCAGCCCTGAAGCTCCTTGATCCCTCCTTGGTGCTTGTCCTCTGCGGACAGGACGGTACTGCATCCTGGGACTACTACACTCTGAAGCAGTGTCTGCTTCCTGCTCACTCTCCCCTATCCACCAGCACCGTCCCCCTCATCGACATGCACAGTATCCACCTGTACACTTCCTCCTCATCCCACCTGCCCAATGCCACTGCCCCTTTGGCCGCAGAGCGCGCCATTGAGATCACATCCTCCCTGATCGATCTCGCACGGATTGAGAACGGCGTCCCGCCCGACCAGCTCCGTCCCACCATCTGCTTTGACGAGTGGAACGTCTGGGACCCCATCCGCGCCGAGGGCAGCAAGGGCGCCGAGGAGTCTTACACCCTCTCTGATGCTCTCGCCGTGGCTGTGTACCTCAACGTCTTTGTCCGCAAGAGCAAGGACGTCGGCATGGCCTGCATTGCTCAGACTGTCAACGTCATCTCCCCTCTCATGACGACCAAGGACGGCATTATCAAGCAGACCACCTGGTGGCCGTTGTACCTCTTCTCCCGGTACATGCGCGGCTGGACCATCAGCGCGCACATCGCTTGCGGTGTCTACGAGGGCGAGACCTCCCCGAAATGGGTGCGCGGCGTTAAGGACACCCCTTGGCTGGACGTCAGCGCCACGCTGGGCGAGGACGGCTACGTCAACGTGGCTGTGGTCAACATCCACGAGGAGAAGAACATCGAGACCAAGCTGGAGGGACCTGCCGGTGAGGTTGCCGTATTCACGGTTACCGGTGACAGCGTCGCGGCTTGCAACATGAACGGAAAGCAGGAGGTCGGCATCACCGAGAGCACCTGGGACGGCAAGGGCGCGTACGTGTTCCCTAAGCACTCGTTCACCCTGCTCCGGTGGAAGGCTTAATAGGGATCTGTCTGCTACTTCCTATGAATCATGAACACGCTGCGTTATCTAGAATTAAATTAGACATGTTGAAAACAAGAAATGAAAACATCATATGACCCCAAATATTCGTACATCCACCTTATCTTGGCCCTCGCAGCCCTTCGGATATTATCCTTGGTCTAACCATATTAACCGAAGTTGACATCATGCACGATATCATCTTCACCCACGTAGACGTTTAGCCTGCAATCCGACAATATTAGCCAACTATTCGCGGTTTCCCCTCTCTAGGGAGCATAGCAAAAAGGCGTGAAACCCACCGATCCGGCCTATAATCCATCGTCATAGCATCATTGGGCTTGAGAACTCGATGTGAGCTTGGTAGATCCTTCTTCGCGAACGTCTATACAGCGAGATAAAAGAGTCAGCCCTCACCTTGCACCAGAGCCTTGGAATAGCAGAGAACAGAAGAAATTTGAAAGAAAGGGGGAAAATACGAACATTAACATCACTCGTCGACTCGCTGATTTTCTTCCCCGCCAGCTTCGTGAGCCATTCCTGCTTATTGTCCGCGTCGTTTGCCGAAGCGTTGGTCATTCCGGGGACGACGAGGGGCATGGTGGTGTGGAATAGTCTATTAGACGAACGGGTTTTTGGCGTTGAGAAGAATGGTTTTTGATACACGGGTGAGGTCAATAAGGGAAGTTTCATGAGATCGTAAGATGATCGATGAGTGGGAAGACGGGAGATGAGGAAGAAACGGAGACGACGTACTATATATGCCTGGTTCTGGAAGGCGATGACGTCGGCGGATCGGAGTGCCCGTTTTGGTTTAGCGTCTGGGGTGTCGTGATCTGCCGGCCCGAGTTTAGTCATCGTATTATTTCCAGTGCCATACACCGTACAATACATCTTTTCTCTATAAGGTACCTATTCTTCTTCTCTTCCTCTTCCTCTTCCTCTTCATCTCAATCTGCCAACATTCCGAATCAATGACACAAATACCCTGTCTGGTTTATCCCTCAAAGGCAATGCAATACCTGTTAAACGCCGATCGAAAAGGAAAACCATTGACTAAGAAGACATCTACTAGCGAGGGACCCTAGGATCGCTCAATATGTTGACCGGCTTTGATAGCACCGTTGATCTACCACTATGTTTCGTTCCAATACCACGTGTGCCAGAGTTCCATTATTAGGCTTGTGATGTGGAAACAGGAAGCAGCGTTGGGGAGACAGTCCCGGGGGCAGCTGCCTCGAACACGCTGGATGCTCCTCGAGATGTCAACAAGTAATGCTCAAAACGAGAACGGCGCTTTTTCATAAGCTGTTGCCCCCAGCATCGCTCCTTAATCAGTATACACTTACTGCATTGCTAATATTGCTACTGGGGCTCGATCTGCAGTTCAGCATATGTCAATTTATTACCTGCATCTCATACTTCTCCTGCAGCCCGACGGAATCCTGCAGTAGCGTCAACGATGTGGCAAAGATCCAGAGCGTCACGGCTCTGGTGGACAGAGAACTGGAAGCCTGTTGATTCTGCCACTCGCGAAAGCCGGTTGAAGAGATTTGATGACCGATACGATCTTCATACGCTTGCAATTCGAGCTCCTCCAACACCGACCTCGGCCAGCAACGCAACCACTACGAGCAACCTACCTTCGGCACCGGCAAAAACTCACCATTCCTTGGTCCCGCATTGGAGCTATGAAAAGAACTCAATCGCTGTAGCGATTGTTATTTCCGTTGTGACGGCCATAGCCTTCATCACGCTGGCCATTCTCTTTGTTCAGAAAGTCCGCAGGAGCTGGAGGCGTCATAAACGCGAGATTAAGGACTACTCTGGCTCCAGGTACCGTGTCTACTACATGAACGACAGCGCTGAGAATGGAGGGCTCGAGGACAAGTTCAGTCGTGAATCGGTCATGTTCGGCAAGGATGATTCCGCCCCTCAAGAGTATTTTGTTGAGCAGGAGGGTGATGTAGTCACTCGAGTATACCGCGCAGGAAAGAGTGATTCGACACGCACATTCGATTCAGTTGGCAAACCCCGGGAACAGCAGCAAGAGCAACAACAGCAGCAATCAGCCCCAGAGCAGCCAACACCACAGGAAATTCCGGTGGAGACGGTCAATGCCATCGACCCGGTCGACCCGGTCAACCCGGACGAACCTGTATCTGAGGCGCAGCCTGACACCGTGTTAACCGTTCGTGAGAATTCTAAATCCATCTCTCAGCCTGTAGTTGTCGTGCCTCCTCCCTTGGTGCACGTCTCCTCGTCGGAGGCAGCCCCAGTCACACAGCCGCCAGATCCGCTCCCTGAAAAACCATCGTTCATTCCAAAAACTCGAAATGAGGCAAGAAGAAGTCTCGTCAAGCTGGCAGCCGACGCAGGCTTGTTGTTCCGATTACCTTCGATCAAGAAAACCACGTCACCTTTTTATCGACCTTAAGGCAAGACGACGTGTGCTCGTGTATATGCACTCGGTCAAGAATTATCAAGCAGCTGTTTAGCTGAAATAATGGAGCAGAAATACAGGGGGTTGAAAAAAAAAATCAAGAATGTGACTTTAATGGCACAATTATGTTCATGCTTTTGCATACCCTCTTTGTTTATTCTTCTTTTTTCTCTTAGTCCGATGCCATGTCATCGTCAGTTGGTGTTTTTACTTGTATTCTTCAAAAAGAGCGCACTTTATAGCTTTTGAATTCATTGTGGTTTGGCCTGGTTTTTTGTGAAGACTGGCATGTGTTCCAACAAAATACGGGTGTCTCTGCGCTGTTTATATATTGCATACCCGAATTGCCACCCATAATGCAAGGACATAACTCAGGAATCAATGTTTCTCATTATATGCGATCTTATTTCGGTCTCATATCATCATTACAACAGAACACCACACCATAGAACAAAACAAAAGGCAAAAAGGTACAGACGACAAGTACAGAGCGGCAAGGGGGAAAGAAAAGATAGCGAGTACATCTACAGCGAAAAGCGAAAGAAGTCAATGTTGAAAAAAAGAAGGAGAGAGGGAGAGAGAGGGAAAAGGGGAGAGAGACATATCTATCTATAATACCATCCACACATGAACAAATCACAAATCACATAGGAGGCAGGGGAAAAAACAAATCTAACTCAAAACCTTAGGTAGATTTAGCCTCGTGCACGTTCCTCAGACACCTTTCCAATCTCTTCCCCCGTTCCTTCTCCCGGACGATGGTCGCCCTAACAAAGGAGCGAATGGCGTCGCGGCCGACTTTCTCGCGCCAGGAGGTCCAGCCTGCTAGCTCGCTGACGACCACGTCCTTGTTCCAGGTGATTTCGCGGGAGACGCGGGCGATCTGGGCCTCGGATTCTTGGATCTTGGATTCGAGGTCGCGGACGGACTTCTGGCGGGATTCTTCGAGACCGGGAAAGTTGAGATTGAATTTACGGGGGAGGGAAGAGGAGACGAGGGAGGAGCGCGAGCGGGCCAGGGAGCGGTTGGCAGAGGAAAGAGTGGACATGAGGGAGATGGGGCGCGAGAGGGAGTGCAGGATGGCGGTCGTGGTATTGTCGACGGAGGTCAGGGAGGCGAGGAGCTGGAGGAGAGGCGAAGAGTCGGAGGATGAGGTCGAGAGGTACGAGGCGTAGCGGGCGAAGGCGTCGACGTGAGATTGCGGGAGAGCGTTGGTGGGTTCCTTGAGGGTTGATATAGTGGCCGAACAGAGGGTTACGGCGTCAGCCACGTCCGCGGCGGAGTTCTGGAGTGCATGTCCGTGGCGGATGAGACTGCGCGTGTTGGCGTGCACCGAACGGACCATGTCCTGCGCATGCCTGACGAACTGCTCCGTTTCTCGCATGCCATCGTTCGTGATCGGTTCGTAGTCATCGGAAATGGACTCAGAAAGAACCTGCGCTTTGCTACGAGACCGGTCGGCCATCATTTCTGGATGCAACTCCGGTACAAGGAAGAATTCCCAGAGCATTTCATGGGTTGCGAATGTGGGATGTGATAGCAGAATCTTCAGGAACCGATCGAGTTTCTCCTGCATGTCGTGAAGCACCGAGCGAGACGGCTTGGAGTGGATTTGGAAGGGGCTGCGGAAGTCCGATAATGAGGGCATGTACGAGCCTGGGTGTTCGATTGAAAGCCACTTGGCGAGATTTTCGAAGTCAGAGAATGTCCTGCGGCAGGTAGTCACGGTGTACGTCGTAGATCCGGGCCGAGACTCAGCAGCTTTGGCAGATGGGCTTGGGGCGCCCGATTTGAGCACAAAGCGCACCGTTGCATCCTCCACGAAGAATGACCGGACGACTGTGGTCACTCGACCGGATGGATCAATGGTTGCCGACGGGGAGTTGGAAATGAGGATCAGGTCATCAATTCGATTGCGGACTTCATCGTCTTTCGCAAGTTCGACCGCTGTCAGTCCCCGGGCCTCTTTGAGATGCACGTCCACTCGCGGATCTAAAAAGAGGATCCGTACTTGATCGATTCTGCCGTACTTGCTGGCCATCATCAAGGGCGTGAACTTCTTGTCGTTCGTGGCGTTCGGATCACAGTCGCTTTCCTGGAGGATGCGAATGGTGATATCGGGGTCGCTGACGATGTGCAGTAAGGTATTACCTCGCGAGTCAACGTGGCTGTCGAGATGCAGGGGCTTTCCATCTTCCTGGGACTTCTGGGCAGCCGTTAATGCCTGGTGAACCATCGATTGGTAGTCCGGGTGATCATAAGATCTACACAGAGCGAACAGCGGCGTTTGGCCATGCTTATCGCGCTGCCTCCAGGGGAGCAACCCTTCTAATCGATGCATGACTGACGGCGTACTGAAGAGATAGTGAGCCACGGTACGGCCATGGATGTCGGATTTCTGGAAGTAGGAGACCACCGTATCCCTGTCAGTGGTACCGAACAGGTAACTAAGCAAGACGTCCACAATTTCGGTGTGAGCCAGCTGAACGGCAGCGTTTAACAGGGTTGTCCCATCCATGTTGGTATCCACAAGGATATCCTCGAGGGGATAGTATTCTTCGAGACTCAGCAAGTATTTCAAAGCCTCTGGCTGGCAGCATTCAACCGCCATCATGGGGATGGAGTGGCCTGCAGGATCTTGTGTCTTGGTCAAGGTTTCGATGGAGCTGTCACCTTCTATCGTGCTCGTAATGGATCCCATTGTGGTTGTTCGCGAGGTCATCGATACGGCAGACGATTCGGATAAACTACGGACGTCCATGGAAACCTTCTTGACCGGGCGTTTGATCTCTCTTGGGGAGGTGGTTTCCCACGTTTTGAAAGGGAAAACGTGCGAAAGCGGAGGCACGTCTTGCGTATCATCCAAGATCGCCGACTCGCCATTTGTTTCGGCGTGCCCGTTCGGTATAATCAAGGAGCCTCGAGGGTGATGTGGTTGGTCGTCGTCTTCCGTCTTGAACAGGACGCTCTTGCCCTCGGGTTCGTAGGGAATGTCATCCAACGATTCGTGGTCGCCATTCGGTTCCAGGATGGCCTTCATGTCGGTGAGTCGCCCGCCCTTGGTAGCATTCCAAAGGCGCTTGTTTCGGATGCTGGCTCTTCGCAGGCCTGCGGAATCCGTCACAAGATAAGTCAGGACCGCTTCAAGAGTACTCAGAGCGTATCCCATTTCGCCACTGTCGACATCGTCAACGTAAATAAAATGCTGCATGTATAGGAGCCGTGCCTGCAGGTGCTTAACCTGAGACCTGATGACAACGATAAGCAATAACGAAACCAAAATGTCGGCATTCACCGTCACTGGAGACCGCTGCTTCTCGGACGATTGAGCATCCGCTTTGTCGTAGTTGCCCGGATACGAAAGGATCTTGATTGTTTCCAACAAGATAGTGAGCATGTCGTGAGGGCATTTCGCATCGAGCATTTTACGGAACTCTTCCACCGCTTTGCCTAGACGTTGCAGGAGCTCACGCTTGCCTTCACGCCCGCCTTCGACGGTGATCCCAACCTGGGAGACATCGATGTTGTCCATCTGGCGGATTCGCAAATCCAGCTCTGTGTCTTCGGGCTGCCGGAACCCACATAACCGGGGGAAAAGAAGTGTTTCGTGCACCTGCTCCGCCACATACCGCTCAATCAAGCGCTCGACCAGTGGCCCCGTGAGATCCGTCGTTGCCCCGAGGAAGGAGAGTTGTTGTTTGTCGACCAGCCGGAATAAGTCAATAGCCGCAGTCACGGCCGTTTCCAAACTGCGCCGCATGAGATCCTCGTCATCCTCAAAATACTCTTCGGAGTTGAAAGGAAGACCTTCCCTGAAGCGAGACGATGAACTTCGGATCGACGAGGCTTCATCATTCGTGGTGTCGTCCGAGCCTCGCTTTCCGTCAAACTCCGGTATCGAAGGCGAACGCGATGGGGGAGGGGGGAGGGGTTTTCCCAATTCCTTTCCAAATTCACGGAACAGTCTCTCTAGTCCGGGCTGCATTTGTCTTGCGATCATGGGAAAATGCGCGAGGAGCTCCCCAAAAGTCCGAATCTCCTTCTTTGGTGGCGACGAGGTAGGCTCCCCTGACTTGGCCCCCGGCCCCGTGGCAGCCTTGGCCGGAAGCGTTCCCGGCACGACAGCAGAGATGATCTTTCCGGGGTCGAAAGACCCGATCAACGGACGTGAGATATAGTAAATAAGCCATGGCTTGGAATCATTGCTCGGGGTGTAGTAGAGCGCATCGGACAGCAACTGGGCTTGCGTCAAAGACTTGAAGCCTAGATGGGTAATTCAGCATACATGCATGAAAGCGAATCGATTGCCGAGGAAGAGAATCGTCCTACCTTTGTTGCTGTAAACCGAGCTTTCCTTGATGATCACAGTCCGGCCGTTCGCCGTCGGGACCTGCTTTGCCTTCCCCCTACTATCCCGGACATTGGAATCATCCTTGGCTCCGGCCGGTCCATTGGAAGCGGGTATTCGCAAAGTATGGCTTCCCAGGAATTCCTCGGACACAACGAGATCGGAATAGAGGAGGGACGATTCACGGTCGCGGGAGCCGATCAGGGATTCTGTTACCGGAACAAGAAGAACCTAGAGAGCACACAGCGGGTCAGGACATTTGATCGGAGGCGATGATGACATCGAGCAGATGGGAAAGGTACATGATTCTCGATCGGCACGCACTGCCCCGGAACAGTGCTTCGGAAGAAGGCACGCAGGAAGGGGTTTAGAGGGTGCATCCAAACGGTCTTGGACGACGGCCCGACGAGGGAGCTCTGGTACTCATCAAGCCGTCTATATCAATCGCGACCAGGGCTTGCGCTGCTCGATCGGCACAGGGCGAGGAGCAGCTTCGGCGCATGTGTTTGCGGGGAAAGGAACGCGTGGAAAACACACGATCGAGGGAGGGATCAGGAAACACAACGCTAAATATCACTGCGAGCGAATTCGAGAGCAAGCGGAAGAGAGACGACCGGAGAATTCGCCGTCGAGATTAGGGTCGAGGGCGAAGAGGAGCAACGATTCAGCCTGCAGCTTTCGCGGAGTTGGAAGCTCCTGGCGCTATACCCGATTCGGCACTCCAGTTGGCTAGATTTATCCAGAGTCCAGATTCATCTCCAGAATACGGTATATAGACTTGGAATAGATAGAGTGCAATGCTCCAATCCTCCATGGATCTTATCAAATACCCGTCGATTTGTCCCGGGTTTCCCATTGGCTAGTATAATACAAACATCATGAACAAAACACAACCCGACTTCGACCGGGTATCAGAATTATCGTGCCCTTGTCTCCCAAGCACTCTATCAACACAGAATCTGTCCCCTGTCCGTCGCATCTACAGCCGGCGAACCCGCTGGCTTCGGGTACCACCGAACTTGAGGCGAGTCGCGTCCGACACGCCGCTCACCAGCCCTCGCACATTCCTCCCCTCGTTACCCAGCAAAACCTTCGTAAAAGCCTCGCGCCCCTGCTGGAATCCGCGGAAGATGATCTCCAATCGCTTGATGCTGGGTAGTAGGCCTCGCTCCTGCATCTGACCGAACACGTGGGCAGTCAATTGATATGCCGAGTCGTATCCTCCACGCTGGGCCTTGCGGAAGCCCAGATTACCACAGCCCATCGATAGGATCGGATTGCCGTTCGGACGGGTCAGGGTCAGGATAGTGTTGTGCCTATGCGAAAAGACATGGAGATGGTGCGGAGGAGCCCGGTCGGAATACGGTTGTTTGATCAGGTCGGCCTCCAAGACCTCGGCCATCCGGGAGTAGTCGCGAGTGACGCTCTGGTTGGTACGGATTTTCTCTTGCTCCATCATTCGAGTGATCGCGTTCAGTGGCGAGTTATCATTTGCCGCGGCGCCCGACTCCGAGGATATGTTCAGGATCTGTCGCTCCATCTGGCGGGTTCTGTCTCGGGCGTCCGAAAAGGTCTTCTGAGTCGTCGAGAAAGGTCTCACGGATCGAACCAGAGAGCCTTGAAGCTGGCAGGGCCGGGCCATTGACCTCGTCACCGTGTTCACGAAGGTCGGGTTCATTCTGGCGGGTGTCGGTGGTACCGAGATAGGACGGAAGGGACGGGAACAGGATAATAGACAAATAATGAAAACCAGCCACCGCACCAACGTGGCCGTAGTCAAGGACTAGCAGGGTATCGCAGATTGAATTGAAGCGCGGAATTGGACAACAGCACCCGTCGAGGATCGGGAAAGGAAGAAGTCGGGGCAAAAGGCGGCGGAAAAGGGCCGAATTTTCGGGTCTTGGCGCATCTCAACTTTTTCCTTCTGGTCTTCTTCTCGTCTTCCGTTCTGCGGCCGAAATCGCTTCCTCTTCTTCCTTCTCTTCGCTTCCCCACGCTGCTTACCCACCATCACGCCCCCCATTTGGCTCCCGGGGAGTTGCTGACTTCGATCTCTTCCTCTTCTTTCATCCTATCATCCCTTCTTCTCATCTAGATTCTCTCACCCACCTTCTACAGAGCATGATCTCGGCTACGAGGATGTCGGCTACCGCGCGGGCGGCCACCTTGAGATCTCAGGTCCCCAACCTGAAAGCCTCCTATGGCAACGCGGTCGCCTTGCAGCGGTCTGTAATCCAGTCTGCTTCTTACACCACATCGCCCGCAGCGAGATCCTCTCTACTTAACAACTCCGAACGTCCTGTATCCCAAATCCTCTCCCCGTACGCGGCTCTCCCGCTCACGAGGTCGTTCCACGCCGCCACTGCTCGCTGGCAGGAGCAGCAGCAGAAGCAAGAACAGCAGAAGGAAAACAAGTCCGAAGACACGAATCAGGAGAAGAACGAGGAGTCCAAGGACCAAGAGAAGGAAGATGGCAAGAAGGAGGAAGCTCCTCCGCCACCCCCTCATGGAGACAAGACACCCTGGCAGGTGTTCCGAGAAACCCTGCAGACCGAATTCAAAGCGTCTAAGGAATGGAATGAGTCGACCAAGGCCCTGGCGTCCTCGGCTCACGAGTTCTCTGAGAACGAAAACATCAAGCGGGCTCGCGCCGCTTACGAGGCTGCTTCGGGAGCTGCCTCCACCCGGACCTCGTCGGCGTTCAAGACCACCGGCCAGGCCATTGGTAAGAGTGCTGCGTGGACATGGAACACGCCTGTTGTTCAGGGTATCCGGAAAGGTGTCAACGCGACTGGTTCCGGGCTCGAAAAGGCCACTCGACCCGTGCGAGAGACCGAGGCTTATAAGAGCGTGAAGGATGCTATCGATGATGGCAGCAGCTCTCGCTACGGAGGTTGGATTGAGAAAGAGGAGCGTCGTAAGCAGCGCCAGAGGCGCGAGGAGCTGGAAGCCAAGGCTGGCCGCCGAGTGGAGCCCATGGTGGAAGATCCCAAGTAAGTATTGCGTCCGGAAGGAACGGCGTGGTTTGGTTTCTAATGTTATTACTTTTTCTCCAGCGCCGGTACCCACGTTACCCTTCACAAGGATTCCGCCTGGAAGGAGTCATGGCGCGACTTCAAGGACTCGAACCCGATGATGCAGAAGCTTTTCACCATGAAGGAAACCTACAACGAGTCGGAGAACCCTCTCATCAGTACCGCCCGCAGCATTTCGGACCGCGTTGCCGGTTTCTTCGCCGAGAACGAGACCGCTCAGGTTATCAAGAAATTCCGCGAGATGGACCCCAACTTCCAGATGGAGGCTTTCCTGAGAGAGATGCGCGAGTACATCCTCCCTGAGGTGCTCGATGCTTACGTGAAGGGAGAGGCCGAGACTCTGAAGCTCTGGCTCTCCGACGCCCAGTTCCATGTCTACGCTGCTCTTGCGCAACAGTACAACACGGCCGGACTCAAATCGGACGGTCGGATTCTTGACATCCGTGGCGTTGACGTCTCTCACGCCCGCATGCTCGACCCCGGTGACATCCCCGTGTTCGTTGTGACCTGCCGTACCCAGGAAGTCCATGTCTACCGCAACGTCAAGACAAATGAACTCGCCGCCGGCATGGAAGACAAGGTCCAGCTTGTCACGTACGCTATCGGTCTCACCAGGATACCCGAAGATGTCAACAACCCCGAGACCCGAGGATGGAGATTGATCGAGTTGCAGAAGGCGGCCCGTGATTATATTTAAAAAACTGCTACTGGACTTTTCTTTTTCTTCCTTCTTCGACGACTTCTATTTATTTCGATCCGTGTCTTGATTATCGGCAATTTTTTTTTTCTCATGAATTCTTTCCTCCCTTATCTATCTCCCTTCTCGAATGTTTTGATATCATCCGACTGTACAATACCGATTATTAAATAGAGACCAGGTGGAAGCGGCGCTTTATTCCTCATGTCCGAAGTAACCATGACTAATTTTCGTTGGATATCTTTCCTCTTCGTCTGTCTTTTTGCTGCCTTGGTGTGGTCGGTGTTTGGGATTTCTGGATTTTCACCATTTACGCTCCACTCCTAAAATTTGCATCTGGATCTGTGTCCAGCGTGTTGTTGATTAATTGCTGAAAATATCAATCTACAAGAATTACAAGACCAAGTTCTCTGGGACCTTAGGAACGCTTGTTTGAAATTCCAAAGCAATAGAAGGGTTTCTGCTGAAAATATAAGGATATGTTATATCTGTCAGGGCATGAAATCAATGGTGGTCATCTCTATTAACTTCTCGATCGTGTTCATCGAGTGCGTATCAAGGCGCAGACAACAGAAAGTTCAACGCAGGCAAGTTTTCACACGAAGATAGAAAATCTCAAAGATCATCAAAAATGGGAGGGGAAACATAAAGAGAATAAAAGGGTTCTTCGTTTACTGGCCTTGACCTCCGCGGCCGGCACCACCCATGAAATTCCGAGCCCTGCATCAGACTGGGTTAGCCATCACTGATCTCCAGGATCCGTCGAACTGGGGTACTTACATATCAGCAAGGTTGGGGTCACTCATCAGCTGGGACATATCGGGCATTCCACCGCCTTGGCCGAAGTTCTCGGCCATCTGCCTCAACCGGGGGTTGTTCATCAGGTTGTTCATCATTTCCGGGTTGCTCATCAAGTTCTGGGCCATGCTGGAGAACATAGGGTTGCTCATGATCGAGCTGAGATCGGGCATACCACCGGCACCACCGCCTTGGCCACCACCGGCACTGCCGCCGAGCATGCTTGCCAGAGAGGAAAGATCAGGCATGCCACCCGCACCGCGAGAGGCTCCGGGGGCGTCATCAACAGCGTCGGCAGGAGGCTCGGTACCACGGCTGGCCTCCTCGATCTTTCTCTTGGTGGTCTCAAGACCACGCTTCATGGCATCACTGCCACCGTTTCCTTCCGCCTCAATACCCTTCTCGTAGGCCTCCTTGGCGCCCTTGTAGTCGGCCATGTCGAACCGAGCAAGACCCAGACGGCTCCAGGCCTTGGAGTACTTGGAGTCGACCTGAGTAGCCAGCTCGGCATCCTCGGCGGCCTTCTCGTGCTGTCCGGAGGCGGAGTAGGCGGCAGCGCGGTTGGAGAGGTAGATGGGGTTGGCAGAGGCGACCGCCAAGGCCTTGGTGTAGGAGTCGATGGCAGCGTTGTAGTCCTTGCGCGCCATCGCGGCATTTCCCTCGGACTTCAGCTTGTCCGATTCAGGCGTGGGGGCTCCAGCCTGGGGCTTCTGGCTCTCGCCTCCGGGGGCCTGGGAGGCGGATTCACCGGAAGGCTTCTGGCGCAGCTTCTCGTAAACACTGTAGATGCTGGCCAGCGACTGGCCACCCAGGGCATCCTTCACGGCATTCTCATCGGAGGGGTCGACCTTGAAGGTATCGGCAATACACGACTGGGCGATTTCGATGGATTCGGCGTCGTCAGCAGTCAGGGTGCCGTCCTTGACGCTGGCACCCAGGAAATCGATAATCGCGAGCGCGAGGCGCTTCTTGGACTCGGTGGGAGCCTAGACAGTCGAGCGATCAGAGTCTCGTTCGTGGGAGATGAGCCGAATGACACGGGCGATAGCAAACCTACCATTTTGTGGATCTGAGCGGGTGAGGAGAAAGCAATGGGGAAGTTGCAGATGGAAAAGCGACTCGTCGCGGGGATTTCTTTCGCTGCGGGGGAGCAAAAGACGCTGTTTGGCCCGTTTGCCTGCCGCACGTGATGGCCGCCGATCCCCCGAGGCTCTTCCAGCTCGACATCATCGCCGACGCTCATCCACCCTTCGTCTCCCCCCTTCTTGACCCTGGAACTACTGAGAAGGCTTTGGATGGATATGGTCGGCACCTTTGTGATTGAATCTGTCCCGCGCCCGACAGACTAATCCCTCCGCGTCCCTCGAAGATGACTCGGTGTGAGCTTGCTTTCCTCCGTGACTGCCGCACCTGTATCAAGCCATGTACTGGCCCCATGGAGTTCCGCGGGTCTATGCGGTCAATGGCCCTGGAATTCCGTTCTCCGTCTCCGACGATGACGAATCATCTATAGGATTGGAACAATCCGTCGAACAATCGCTGTCATTGAATGACAATGGGCCGAAGCAACCGTCCGGTACGGAGTCAGCATGGGCGAATGAAGCCATTGACGGCCTCTGCGTGTCGCGCACGGGTCATATGTTTGCGACGATGACCCGCACATCGATTGCTTTATGGCAGACGAGAGTACGTATTGGTTGGGCTGTGGGGGGTTGTTCCAAATGCATGCGTATTGACCACATTGTCAGCCTACCGCCGTCGTCGCCGCAGTCACCCGGTCCACTTCGTCGCTCGAGACCTACGGTCCCAATGTGGCCCTTCTGATGCATCCTGATTCCACCATCATCGTTGTACAAACCCTCAACGGTTACCTTTTGACCTACACGGTTGCTACGGATCCTCATAGCCGGGTATATCAACAACACTTCGACCACTCTACTCAACGGCAGCTTGCGCGTTTGTCCGCCGAGGAGGATGCTAATGGGGTTCGAGACGTTAGTATGCGATTCCGGATGGCTATTAAGATTGAGTCCGGGATCGTTCGGGCCCTTGCCCTGGATAATGAACTTGTTGTCGCCACTGTGAAGCCGCCGGCTATCCAGTGTATTCGATGGACTCCGGATGCCAGCGGCTCGCAAACCACCTCGGAGTTACTGAGCCGGATTTTGGGAGTGTCTAAGCGCACATCTATAACGGACATGGTGTATGATCGTGCCATCAACCTCCTCGTATGGGTCACCAATGACGGACAAGCATACGCCGTCCAGCGCGCATCAGGCGGGGCGCAGGAACCCGGGGCACCCAAAAAGCTTTTCAACGGACATTGTTTCCACAGCCCCAAGAATGACGGCGAGAAGGCTGTCAAGGTCGCGGTGAACGCCCGATTTTCACTGTTGACAGTGAACTGCGCCAACGGCGAGGTCTTGGTGTACACGGCGAAAGACTACCTGGGGAATGTGCCCCTTTCTCACAAACTTCAATTACCGGCGTCGCAAGTGACGACCGGCAATTTAAATTTCATGTGTTACTCGCCAGATGGATATTGCCTGTTCGCCGGTTACGATCGCGGGTGGACCACATGGAGCGTGTTCGGTAAACCCGGAGGCAACAGTTTTACGGCAGACCGGGACCTTGCCAAAGCCAACGCTGAGAATTGGCTGAATGGAACCTCGTATGGTTGCTGGATAGGCGGAGGCTCCGACATAATACTGGCAGGGATGGAAGATCGACGCCTCTGGATTTTGGAAACGGCTCGCAGCGCCCTAACAGGCTGCTTTTCTTCGGCGAATCTAGCCAGAGGCCTATTGCAAACAGGTACCGAGGTCATTCTATACCGAGGGCACGATTTGCCCGACCTCATGACCATATCCGGCAAAGATTCTCTCTGGCATCATGCGCAGTACCCCCAAAGCTACCTCCATTCTCAGTGGCCCATCCGATCCAGTGTCGTGTCGCAAGACGGGCGCTATGTAGCCGTTGCCGGTCGACGGGGCCTTGCACACTACAGCGTGAACAGTGGACGGTGGAAAGTGTTCGAGGACGCCAAAGTAGAGAACTCCTTTGCAGTCCGGGGCGGCATGTGCTGGTACGGGCATATTTTGATCGCCGCCATTGAAAGTGACGGATCATACGAGGTAGGCTGCTTTGTTTATCCAATCACAAACTTCGGCTAACCATCGCTGCAGCTGCGATTATACTCCCGAGAGCAGCCGCTAAACAATCAATCGATTTTGCACATAGAGTATCTTCCCTCGCCGGTGGTTTTCCTCGGGCCATCGGGTGAGGACTCCATTCTTGTTTATACCTACGACAACATCCTATACCATTACATCATCTCCTCTGTGAACTCTCGGATCTCGCTGGTCCCAGTTGGTCAGATAGCTTTCAACGGCATTGTGCGAGCCCCAACTCGAGTACGGGCGATTAGCTGGGTGCTTCCGGAGGATCAGCTGCGTAAGTGCGAGTATACCGCTAGATCGACAGCAAAAGTTCTAACAGCAGCAGGCAATGGCGACCCATCCCAGGATGTCAAGCAAGCTTCGGTGCTCCTTTTGGTCGATGGCAACCTTGTGTTGCTCCAGCCGTCGACGTCGGACGCCGGGGACTTGAAGTACGACATGAGAGTGGTCTCTCACGACGTTGAGTATTACATCTTGATGCGCGACCAGTTCTCATTCAACTTCGCGCCGTCGATGAACGAGTCCTTGCCCTCCAGTCCTTCGGCCGAAATGGCATTAAACATGTATCACCATAACCTGTCGTTGAGGGACTCTCTCTGGACCTTCTGCGGGAAAGATCTCCTCGCCTGGGGCGATGTGCAAGACGTTCTACGACGGGAAGATGTTCCCAAGGCGATCGAAATCCCACTGGACTTTTACCCGCTGTCGGTATTGTTGAATAAGGGGATAGCCTTGGGAGTCGAATCCGAGATGATGCAGCGACGCGACGTGACTTTTGCCGTGCTAAAATTTGCCATCCGAGTGAGTCCTCAGCCTTAGCTAGTCCTTGGCCAAGCCTTTCGCGGACTGAATACTGACGATGAATAGAGCCATCTTTTCCTACCATATTTCTTGCAGCACAGCCTGGTCAACGGAGACATGCCCGCCGCACTATCGCTCTGCCAGCATTTCTCGCACCTCTCATACTTCCCACATGCTCTTGAAGTCCTCCTTCACCACGTCCTCGACGACGAAGTCGACAACGAAAGTCGAAACAGCAAAGTCGACGACCCCTCCCTCAAACAAAAGCCCCTCCTCCCCTCCGTTATCTCCTTCCTCCAAGCCTCCCTCCCTGCCCGCATCTACCTCGACATCGTCGTGCAATGCACGCGCAAGACCGAACTCCGGTCCTGGCGCACCCTGTTCACCTACCTCCCGCCCCCGAAGGATCTCTTCGAGCAGGCGCTCCGCCTCAACTGTCTCAAGACGGCCGTCGGCTATCTTCTCGTGCTGCAGGCCTTCGAAGACGAGGAGGGCCACGAGGCGCCCATCGAAGACTACGTCGTCCGGCTGATGGCGCTGGCCTCCCAGAAAAGCGAGTGGGAGCTGTGCGCCGAGCTGGCCCGGTTCCTCATCGCGTTGGACGCGTCGGGCGAGATGCTGCGCCGGGCTGTTTCGCGCGCAGGTCTGCGCAATCCGGGCGGATACGCCGGGACCGGCAGCGTCAAAGGTCTGGGACTGGGGTTGGCCATCAGTCCGTCGTGGTCGTCGCTGTCCCCGACGTCGTCGATTTCTCCGCGACGAAGTCCGAAACCAGAAGAGTTGCCTTGACTGCTTGATGCTTGCTTGACCTTGAGGAATGTACATACCTAGTTTGCATTTGAATTTATATTGATTAGATCTACAGACGTATATGGTTTTCACACCCTAACTTACCTCCAACCAACATCTAAGGACAGAACGTAACAAATGCAAGTAAAATCTATTATTCAAATCAATTCCCTCATCATCATGAGAACAGTCATAAAAAGTAAATAATACTCATTTCATCCCCCAACCCCACTGCAAATCAAATCAATCAATCCAAACTCATCCTCCACAGCCCATCTCCCAAATAATGCCCCTCATCAATCGCCACCCCCTTCGGCTTACTCTTAATCTCCTCGGTGCCGGCCTTCAACGACCCCACCAAGCACGCCGTCTCCTTGCCCTCCGCCAGCACCGCCACCACGTCGCCCTTCTCCAGCTTGTGCTCGGCGTCGGGGAGTCGGCCGCCCGCGGACGTCAGGCCGGGGGCCATCAGCGCCGCGCCGGACAACACGAAGCGGATCGCGCCGCGGTCGATCTGCACGGTGGGAAGCGCGGAGGGGTAGGCGTGGACGAGGCGTAGGTGAGGCAGGGGAGGGCCGTCGAGGGGTTGGAAGAAGAGGGGGGAGGAGTCGATGGTGTAGAGGGTGCATTTGTCGGGTCTGTTTGTTTGTGATGTTTTGTTAGTATTGGGTTTGATTTGGGAGGGTCAGGTTTTTTTTGGTCTTGTTTTTTCTGGTTGGGTTGGGTGCGCTGCATCTTCTGTCCTCTGGATCTTTCTTTCGTCTCTCTGCCTCATGCATATATCCGGATAGAACGGATACGAGTGTGGGTAGGTAGGTAGGTAGTAAACATACAGCTTAACCGCATCCAACTGGGCCTTCTTGGGCAGGATCTCTTCGATAAACGGCTCGAAACCGGGGTGCGCTTCGACGAAGCGTTGGCGCAGACCGCGCTGCACGGACGACTTGACCTTCGAGCGGGTGCTCGGGGGAATACTAGATGTGATTGGCGCGTTAGTTTAGTAGTTGAGACTTTTCATTCTTTCTTTCTTTCTTTCGTTGGGTGGTTCGCTCGCCCGCTGCGCTGCGTCTTGGGATCTTTGCTGAGATCTCGAGAACATTGCAGAGGAGGGGGGAAAGAGATGTTATGTGTGGAAAACGGGACTCGAACAGACAAGGACTCACTCTTTCTTGAACATTGTGACTTGGTTGGAGATGGATGGAGCTGAGCTGATGGGATCCGACGTCTCGAGTGGCGGTTGGCGGCGCCGACGCGGGGAAAGGGTTGCCGCGGTCACGTGGTTTGATACTGCCGGACATAAGTTGACCGGCGGAAGGCGGAACAGAACGAGGCATTTTTACTGGTCTACAGAGTGCAGTTACGAGAGTGGACAAATACATGGAATCAGACAAATACAATCAGATCGTGTCGTACATTCTTTTTATCATAACTATGAATGGACTATTTAACCACGAGCAGCACCCGCCTTGATCAGGAGCACGTCGCCATCTTCCACGACGTAATCCTTACCCTTGGTCATCACCTTACCGGCAGACTTGACGGCACCTTCGTCACCGTACTCCTTCAGGGTGTTGTAGTTGTAGACAACGGCCTGAATGAAGGTCTTCTCGAAGTCGGTGTGAATGACACCAGCAGCGGCGGGCGCCTTGATACCCTTTCGGATGGTCCACTGGCGCACCTCATCGGCACCGGTGGTGAAGAAACTGGCCAGGTTCAACACCTGACGCATGGTGGTGATGACCTTGGGCAGCGAGGACTTGGTGTTCAGCTGCTTGCACTCCTCCTCAACCTGGGCGTCGCTCTCAAGGCGAGTCAAACGCTCCTCGAACGCCACCGAGATGGGGATCAGAGGGTCACCGGGAGAGTTGGCCTTGATCCACTCGAAGACCTTGGGAAGATACTTGTTCTTCTGGCGGATGTAATCCCGCTCACTCAGGTTGACTAGGTAGACAACGGGCTTAGCAGTGAGAAGCATGAGAGGGTTGATGACCTCGACCTGAAATACCAAGTTAGTGAATGGTAAACTCAGAGAATTGATTCAAAATCAAGAAAAAAAAAAGAAGTAATATCAGATGGGACGTTATCTCAATATGGCCTCGAACGTTGGAATTAAAAAAAATGAGGCCATTCGACGAGCTGGGATTATCGAGCAAAAGCTCTTATTCATCATAAAAAGGTGTGGGAACAAACTGAACCGAAAAAAAAAAAAATTGATACGTACCTCCTTAGGACCCCACTCGCCCTTTCGGACGTCATTGCCCTCCTTCAGGAACTCCAGCACCTTGGCGACGGTGGCCTCTTCCTCACGGAGCTTCTTCATCTCCAGAGTCTGACCACCACGTCGCGTCTGCTTGCCGAGGGCCTCCAGAGCCTTCTCGGTGAACTCGATATCCTTGATGCGCAGCTCCTCGTTGATGATGGTCAGATCCCGAATGGGGTCGACGTCACCCTCGACGTGAATGATCTCGGCGTCATCGAAGCATCGGACGACCTGGAAGATGGCGTCGACGGCACGGATGTGCGACAAGAAGGAGTTACCCAGACCGGCACCGGTGGAGGCGCCACGGGTCAGACCGGCGATATCGTAGACCGTCAAGTTGGCAGGGACCTGCGACTTGGGCTTGTAGTGCTCGCACAACCAATCGTATCGCTCGTCGGGGACGACAACGCGCGCCTCTTCGGGATCGATGGTGGCATAGGGGAAGTTGGCCGGGTTACCCAGCGACGACTTGGTGATGGCTTGGAACAGTGTCGATTTACCGACGTTGGCCAGACCAACCTAAGCAGGCAGGGCGGTTAACATGATGATCCAATGGCTTGAATCCGGTGACTTCGGACGATTACATGGTCACGATGGGATAGGGAAGAGGAAGAAGAAAGAAAAAAAAATTTTTCTTGTGTGGAAATAAATAGGGGAGAGAGGGCAATAGGAGAAAAAAAAAAAAAGGGAGCTAAGGGAAAAAAATCATGTGGCTGGGTAGGCCAAAGGTGCAAAAGGTGCAAAAAGGGAAAACGGAAAAAAGAAAAAAAAAAAAAAAAAAAAGGCGGTGGGGGGAGATAGCTCACATACGATACCACTCTTCAGATTGTTTCCTGGACGGCCCAGGAGCACCTTCTCTTGCACGACGGCCTTCTTGGGAGGCATTTTCTTGGACTTGGATTTCTTTTTGCTGGAGTAGTGACGGAGGGAGAGAGAGGGACGGGAGGAGAGCGAGGGAGAAGCGACGCGGGGCAGAGAATGGAAGCGCGCAGCCAAAGCAGGACCAGCTGCAGAGCGAACCGAGGGGGAGAAGAGGGGAAAAGAAAGGAAAAGAAAGACGGAGGGGCGGGAGGGAGGCAGAGTGGCGGTTGGGCCCAATGACGTGGGCGGGTTTACAGCAGAGACTTGGGAGTACAAGGGAGGTCAGGTGTAGAGGAAGTACCTCTCAGCAGCAGAATCAGACTGGACGATGCCTCGCTAATCGTCGGTCGGCTCACCGCCCACGTGATCTACAAGCCCTGGCATCACCTGATCCCATCTTGAAAGAGACTCCGTAAGCCAAGTAGACGCGGTAGACCGTAGACATATGGTACAGGCGCAAGAATCAAATCAGCCCAAATCAGAAAGCATTCAGTATCCCTCCCCGCCCCCGAAACTCCATAATACGCCCCGTCCCATAGTCCCCCCATCTTACGTCTCCATCGCTTCGCCCGCCTCCGACGCATGATCCACCACCCCCAGCAGCTTCGCATACGGCACCGTCACCCGTTGCAGGTCTCGGTGTTTACCTATCACAGTCAAGTTAGCCAAGCGTTCATCACTGCGCATGTAGACCAAAATCGCCACTTACCCAGGGCCAGGATCACCTCCTTCAGCAGTACCTCTCGTGGCCAGCCACAGAGGGTCTCCGAGCTCTCGCGCCAGTTGCGGTCCTCCTGCTCGTTCGCCTGGAGTCGTTCGCCACTTCCCGTCTCCTCTTCTTCAAACAGTCCTCCGATCAGTCCCTTGAGCAGCTCCTCCACCTTCATCTTCAGTCCCTCGGCCCCGATGCGCTTGGCGTACATCGACAGGTAGAGTCGGAACTCTTCCTTCGCGCCCAGAGACAGCGCGGCCGCCAGTCGGTTCTCCAAGTGCGCAATGGACACGCTGGATTCAAAGCTCTCGTAGCCCTCGCGCGAAAGCAGCACCTTGATCAGCCGCTGGAGGAAGTACGCTCGTCCGCGCAGCAGGGTCTCGTTGGTCGTGTTGCGCTCCAGGAACGGGATGATGCCCGCCGACACCGTCGCCTTCGCCTCCTTATCTTGCTGGGAATCGGTGGACTGCAGATTGCCGACCGGCGCGTCGGTCGTGTTCCAATACTGGCTGCCCACCGCCCACCACGCCTCGGACATGCGCTGCCAGGTGTACATGGCCGGCGAGTAGGCATACCCTTCCCCGTTGGACAGGGCCACCACCACGCGACCCTCCGAATTCACTCGCGCATTCGTGACCGCCGGAGCCGCCGACGGGTGCGCCCCCAAGGTGTGCACTGCCGCATCCAGCACCGGCTGCAGGGAGATGGGCGGGTGGGGCGAGGAGAGATGGTGCGCGTTCCAGACGTAGCACATTCCGACGGCCGAAATGGCGAGAATCCACGGCCCGTTGCACTCCAGGATCACCGGCTGTGCCTCCAGCACCAGAGCGCTGACGAGACGACGGCCAGCGGGGGTCCAGATGTATATCGACCCGTCCTCGCAGCCCGCAGCCCACATGTGCTGGTTGCCCGTTACGAGGAGAACGGCGCGCGGGAGGAAATCTTGCCAGACAGGCTGTTCTCCCCGCGACAGGGTCAGTCGGACCGGTTCTCGATCGACGGCGCGACCCGTCAGGCTGGCAGAAGACGGATTTCGCGCTTCGAACACCACGTCCACCCGGGACTTGCTGGATTCCGCCCCCGTGCCCGGTGGCTCGGTGGGTTTCCCGGTGAGGTCGATTGCGCGCAGGATCTGGGTACGGACCTTGGGGACCGCCATTCGAAGTTGGCTCATAGCCATGGACGGATTCACCACCGCAGGCCGGATAAAATCGGGTGTGGTTTGTTGTCCCACCGAGGCGGGCTGGGGTTGCGCAGGAAGGAGGCCGTCCGGCGTGTTGGCAAGAATCGGGGTTGCGCCGTTTGCGCTTGCCACAGCCACCCGCTTTTCCACATGGCCGTCGTCATCCCCCTCCAACTGCGCGAGTTTTCGTTTGTTACCAAAAAGCAGTGACGCCAAACCTCCCTTCGGTAGGCCGTCGAAGGGCTTGGAGAGGTCAACGATGGACTGGGGCGTGTCAGCCTTCACTTGGTTGCTGACCGACGCCATGAGCCGGGCTTGTGGCAGAGACGATTCGGCCGCCCCTGCACCGGACACCAGAAGGGGCGCAATGCGCTTCTTGCCATCCTTGGTGTACGTGGGACGTTGCTTCAACCGCTCCAACTTGGCCTGGTATGGGTCGGGCTTCGCGCCCTCGGGAGCAGCCGGTGTCGCCGAGGTGCCATTCGGTTGGCTTTTCTGGGTATCCGCAGTGGGCGACGGAGCTCGAGCTGGAGTGACTCCATTCGGTGGTAACGGAGTCGACTCCCCGTTGACGGTGTTTTCGGTGGCCGTGTGGTCGTCGCCCATCAAAGCACCCATTCGCCCTTCGACGCCCTTGATCTCACCAGCTTTGCTCTTTTCTTCCAGTAGCAATCCATCCGTAGTCTCCGCAATACCAGCGCCTCTCCGATTCGTACCGAATTTGGTGAGCGACTTCTCGTTTTCCTCCATTTCCATGGCAAATCCAAGATCCCCATCTTCAAACCGGACTGCTAGGATGGTTCCATCCAGAGCGGTGGCGTAGAGGCATCTCCCGTCCGGACTCCACGCCAGATCGGATAGGGATTTAGCCGCGAGCTCTTGAGCGACCACGATCGGTCGAGGGTTACTCGTGATCCAGATGCTCAGGGACTTATCTCCTCCCGCACAGGCAATGACCGTCACGGAAGGAGGCGCATGCCCGTCGGCAGTCTGCTTGTTGACCGGTTGGCTGGTATACAGTCGCGGCGAGAACGCACACACTTCCACCGGAGCTTCATGTCCGATGAGGTTGATATCACCGTCCCACGTCCCACGGTTGATGATGGCTACGGAGCTGACGGGTCCGTTCACGGCATTGGCGGCCGCAATGTGCATACCATCCGGGGACCAGGAACATCGACGGAAGTAAGCGGTGAGAGGAGAATTTGTAAAGGGTGCCATGATACTGTGTTCGAGGACAAAGTTGTTCATCTGGTCATGGGCCGTGGAATTCGGCGTCGGGGAGGTAAATCGGAAGATGCGAACGCTGCGGTCGTCGCTTGCAGTGGCGAAGTATTTATTCGCAGGGTCGAAGGTGATGCCCTTGACATGACTCTGGTGCACCGACAACGTCTTGAGCTTCTCGAAGGTATGTCCCGACCACACCACCACCTTCGAATCCAACCCGACAGACACCAGAATCGAAGAATCGTACGACCATCCCAAATCCTGAACGTCGTTGTCATGCCCTATCAATCTGCGGGTTGTGCGCCAATTCTCTACTGGCGGTGCCTCGTTCGAGCCTAAACAGATTTCCCAGTCCCCGTCAGCTCGCCGTCACATCTCGCCAAAAATCCCAACCCCTCTTCGGCACTTACCGAACGTCGAAGCGTGAGAAGGCGCATTGGCATCTAAAGCGTAGATACAAACAATCTTGTCATCCGCACCCGACGCCAAGTATTTCCCGTTTGGCGAAAATCGAACGGTGTGTATCGTCCCGGAGTGGTTGCTCATCGACGCCAGCTGTTTCGGCTTGTTCGCGACCTCGGGGTCGTCCGTGTTGCAGATAGCCTCCGTAGACCAAATTCGAACGTATCCATCTGTATTTCAACGAAGAGCGAATGCGCAAGTCAGCCTCCATCTTCGTTGTAGCCTTTCCCAGGTCCTCAGAGCTGCAGGGGGGTTCCGCAGAGCAAACGGAGAAAAACTCACCTCCAGCGGCCGTGACAAGTCGACTTCCATCGGGCGAAACATCGCAGCTGTATACTTCGAAATCCTTCCTCTCGCCTGTAGATCAAAAGAAAGTGTGTTAGCCACAGATTCCAAGCCTCGGGACTTCTCGCATATCTGCCTCATCCTCCTTCGCAAACCGGGGGGAAATGTCCAAAAAAAAATACCTCCATGCGTTAACCAAACCGGCTTGATGATATGCATCGCCGCAACCTCGTAACCCCCTCGCTAAATCTGGAGAATATTTCTTCTGCGTAACTGTAGTCCGTTTCAGGGTTCGATCACTGGTGAATTGACGTGGACGAAGGAGAGCTTCCTGGGGACATCGCAACGCAACCGCGTCGACAGCTCATCGAACCACAAGGCTGGTTTGCGGGTGCGGCAGAGATTCGAAATGGAAGAGGACCGGAGACGTGGTAAATGTGAGGTCGCAGAGAAGGCCAAGGGTTGAAGGGCAGCGGGGAAGGAGAAGACAAACGCGAAAGAGCAAGAAAGGGCCGACGGAGGGCGCGCCCGATTTCCATCAAGTCGCGATCTCCAGTGGCCCGAGCTTTCTGCCGTTCTCCGCCCGGAGATCGAATCCTCTATGGTCCTCAGGGTCGTACAGGTCCTACGTTCCTGAGTCTCTGGCGGTATCAATCTACAGGAGCTGGGCTGTTCCAATGCGCTGTCTTCCTCTGCTTGATCTACTATTGTACACCTGGTTCAGATACATGCCTAATAATGGAAACAGACCTCGCTCCAAATTACCTGTCCGCAACACGCTCCAGCAAGCCAATGACCATGTTTGGCCCCTTTTTTTTGCTCTTTTATTTTTCTAACTCCTGCAGTTTCATACTTTGACTCCGAATGTTGCACTAGGGGGGGGGGGGGGGGGGGGGGCTGACTGACAGTCAAAGGAGAAAGGTAATAATGACAGGGGTAGAATACACGAGGTGGGAAGGAGGAAGTTTTCAGGCTCGTCCATAAGCAATCGTAAGAGTAGGGAATTAGGAAAGGGTTCACAGGAGAGGAGGATCAGGTAGATATCAAATAGTAAAGGGAAAGCAATAGTTGCGGGTTGTCACTCAAGACTTCCGACTTCCGATTCACCTACTCTCGGTGGACTGGTCGAAACTCTGCAGCACATCCCCAACGACTCCCTCCTTCTTTTCCTGCTCAGGCTTGGTAGAAGGAGACTCCGTCGAAGCTGACTGTTGCACTCCCAGGGTCTTGGCCGCGATGGTCTTCGCCTGACTGCCACTGACGTTGCCGTAGACAGCCATGGCGTTCGCAATCATTCCACCCAGGTCACCAACATTGCCGGGGACAACCACCGAAGTACCTTCCTTGGCCAATTTCGAGAACGCGTCCACGTACTTCTCAGCCACGCTGAGGCTGACAGCACCGTGGGCGTTCTCCTTGCCGGCCTCGATGGCACGGGCGACGGCGTCGATGCCGCGGGAGGTAGCCTGCGCTCGCAGCAAGATGGCCTCGGCCTCACCATCGGCGCGATTGATCTGTTCAGCGCGCATGGCCTCCGAAGCCAGAATGACGGACTGCTTGCGACCCTCGGCGATGTTGATCGCACTCTGCCTCTGACCCTCGGATTCGAGAATCTCCGCTCGCTTGGACCGCTCGGCCGTCACTTGACGATGCATGGCAGCCACCACACCGTCGGGGGCATGGATGTCCCGGATCTCGTATCGCAGGCAGGTCACGCCCCACGCCTGAGCCGCCTCGTTGATGGCCTGGGTGATGTTGGTATTTAGTGTCGCACGCTCCTTGAGCACGTGGTCGAGTGTAAGCTGGCCGATTTCCGAGCGCATGGTAGTCTGCGCAAGCTGGGAGATGGCATACTCGGCATCCTCCACGCCGTAGCTAGAAAAGTACAAGAAATTCGGCATTCGTCAGCCCCAATCCCGAAGACTCCATAGTCTTGAACGAAGAAACGTCTCCAACGGAAACTCACCTTGCCTTGTAGGCATCGAAAACTCTCGTATACAGCACACCGTCAAGCTCCAAGGTCACATTGTCCGCCGTAATGGCATTCTGGCTGGGTATCTCGATGGCTGATTCCTTCAAGCTCTTCACGTAGGCAATACGGTCGAGGAACGGGATCAAAATCGCAAGACCGGGATCCAAGATCCGGTGGAACTTTCCCATGCGCTCTACAATCCACGCGGTCTGTTGAGGGACGAAGCGGATGACGGTGTTCATAGGAAGTGTCGAGTGGTTCGCAAAGTAGGCAGGCATGCCGCCGCTCGTCGAAGGTCCACCTCCGAAGTTCAGAAGGGACTGTTCGGGTGCCTGTCTTCGAGATGACGTGGAGACATTTCGTCGTCGAATGCGGTTCAGGGTGTTCGTGGTTGTGAGACTGGAGGCAGGAAGACGAGAGTTGTGGATTAACCGGTAAGAGCTGCTAGGGAGAGACCGGAGCAGCCTCGCTGTATGCCTGGAGGCCACTTCCATTGTGAAGAAGAAGAAGAAACTATCGACGAATCAATCGTGAAAGCGCGACGGAGGGGAACCGTTGAGTCAGACGAAGCTATCCAAAGACGTGAAGCTGGCGGCTTCGGCGTTCATCACCTGCCGAGGTTGGTGGCCTGAGGCAGCATGGTCGCTGAGTCATCTACTCCGATGGCTTCGCATGACCAATCATATCTCCTGCATTTCGGCCAGCATAAATTGGTCTCATCACGGAGTATACAGTTACATGGGCAGTCAACTACGAAGAACCTAACAGACGAATTGAAAAGGCTATGTTCGGATAGAACTCTTCAAGTCGGTAAACCAACTAACTACCCATAATATGCAAGGCAATAATATTCTCACCACAAGAAGACAAAAGTCCATAAAACCCATCTGATGCAAAACCCCAGCGCCGTCCCATGATCCCAGGCTGGTTGAGCAGATGCGCAACAGCAATGCCCTGGTAAAGTGAGCCCCCATAAAATCATTGGAATGAACAGGCATTCTCATAGAAAAACGATGCTAGCTTCAATTTTGTAGGTTTAAAATCTCATTTGCGCCCCGCTGTGGAAAGGTTTTTTTTTTCTCTTTTTAGTTCTGGTTCTGCCATTCGTACTAGAGAGCAAGAGAGCAAGAGTGGAAACATTATGACAATATTAGAAAAGAGAAAAGAGAAACGAAGAATCCGGGTAAACATTCTATGGTCGTGGGAATAACTTCAGCCCGGCCCACAGAAGCAAGCATCAAACACAGAAGATACTGCCCAGTAAAAAATGCCCGGACTCCAGAAATTTTTGAACCCTCCCATGACAAAAACAATAAGATAAAGGGGAAAGAAATGCACAAAACGAAAGCAAAAGAAGATGACAGATAGAGTCAACAAACACAAGCCGAGAGGACAAATGTGCATAGATGAATTTACCTCCATAAAAACTGGCCAACGGCAACTGAAAGAAGATAACATAAAAGCTGATAAGATAAGAATGCAAGTCATGATGGATGAAAGGCCACAAGAGAAAAAAGCAGAGAGAAAATAGGAGGAAAAAGAAGATAAAGTAAATGGTTGATCAAAGAAATGAGAAAAACAAAATCACTTTTTCAGCTCGGCTCAACCAGAAAACAGTCAAGCTTTTTTTTTTTGCGATTTCCGAAGTCAGGACCCTTCGCCAGTGTAGTCGAAACATTAGGCTTGTGATGTCTTATCGTCCAACTCGGCCAAGGTTGTTCGCAGCAAAACAGACGAGGTTTCGATCTGATCGAGAATGACTCCGGCGTTCAACAAAAAAAAAAAAAAACAAGAACCGTAAAGGCGATGCGGTAAAGCCGTTGGCTGACGTTTCGTGCAAGATCATCAAACGCTAGACTCTTAAATTCATTGTACATTTGTGCATTGAAATTTTTGGACCAAGAAGTGCGACCAGAATTGGTACAGAACATCCATATCACGGGTCACCGTCTCGGGTTGCCGTAAAAACTTTGTTCGTCAAGAACTCGTTTCGGAAAGCACTGCAAAGGTTCGTAAATAGAAACTGAAAAGACAAAAACCGTGTGAGGAGTAGCCTTCTTCGCGCAGGATGTCGGTATGTGGGCTCCGAGGGGTTGGTATATAAACCTCGGGGCCATCGACCTCAAATCCGACAAAGTTACGTCTCGACTGATGTCAAATTAGCGAATGGGGTAGAATAGAATGGATGCGGTGAGACATACCAAGAGACCAACATCCCGGAAGGAGAGGAGATGTGATATTCAGGAGAATTTAATCCGCCCGCTGTTTTCACGTCAGCCAGAGCTATTTCGATGGAAAACCACCCCGAACCACAGGTTGTTCAAAACTTACGACTTCGGCTTGAGCATCAACGGGTTTCGAAGGAGAGAACTCCGGGGCATCAGAAGACAACGAGGTCTTCGAGACGCCGTTAAACAGGGGCTGGTGAGCAGTGCCATTCACGGCGCCTTCGACGTGGTTCTGGGGGGCGGCGTTCTCGTCGGCCTTGCTGGGGTTCGCCGGAGCAGTGCCGCTCTTCTGCGCGGAAGGATCACGCTGGTCCAACGGCAGGACCCACTGCTCCCATTCCCTCGGTCGCAGGCGATCAACGCCATCCTCGCCGGTGATGTATTCCACGTTTCTCAGTGAGCGGGCCACATGACGGAGGAACTCGAAATCTTCGGTCAGAGTCTTGATTCGCTTGAAGCTGCCGATGAACGCCAGTTCCACGAAACCCTGCGAGTCCATGTGCTTGCGGAGGAAGAGATCCTTGCACAGGTTGTCCACAGAGAAGTAGTATTCAAGCTGCATGGAGACCATGCCCATCAGGGAGAAAGGCTCCATATATTGCTGGTAGGGGACCGCCGTCATGGGACCGGCGTGCATGGGCTGGTAGCCATACATCGTGTTGATATCCGCGGGGAACTGGTAGACACCGTACATGGCGCCAGAGTTGGGCAACGAGGGCGACCTCAAGGACATCCGGTGGCCTTGAGAGCCATTCGGGAGACCGTGCTGCGATCGCTGGCGGTCGTTGAAGCCGAAGGACTTCTGGTGCATGAACGAGTTGTGCGACATGTGGTTGTTGGCAAAGTGAGAATTCTGAGAGCCACCGAAACCGCCACGGCCCCGGGAGCCACGGCCTCGGTCAGCGCGCGATTCGCGAGAGAAGTCCTTGTCCTTGCGATCGCCATGGAATCCAGAGAAATCAGCCGATTTGGGACCGTTCTCGAACCGGCGGTCGTTGGAGCGGGGACCGTTCTGTGCATCCACGGAGAGGTTCGGGTTTCTGGCACCGTGGTCTCCGCCCTTGTTGGCCGCATCGTGGTTTCTGAAGGCCTTCGCATCGCGGTGGTGGCGGGGGAACGTCTCGCCTCCGTTGGCATGTCGCCCGGCAGAGGCGGCGTTGGCGTTCTCAGCACCCTTCGTTCCACGGCTTCGGTCCGTCGTCTGGGCCTTGCGCTGGTCGGCAGACCCGGCATCAGCACTGTTCGATCGCCTCGACGGCGCAGGGAGGGAGTTTGCACGAGCGGAGTTGGCCTCATTCCTTCCTCGGTCTGCGGGCGAGGCCTTGGCAGAGCCCTGGGCCGCCTGTCCAGAGGCAGCCTTATCGGCGGCGGCGGCATGAGCGCCGTTGCGACCACCCTCGCGTCCACCGCGAGCAGTGCGTCCACCTCGGCGGGCACCAGAAGGAAGAGGGGTGTTGAAAACGGCAGTAGGGACATAGGGCACGGGCATCCACTTCTCCTTGCCATGGGGTCGGATCACGGGGCTCTTCTCGGACTTTTCGGTCTTGTCGCCCTTCTCCTGGGCCTTGCGCTTCTCCTCGCCTTGGGCAACTTGCGGCGTGGGCCACAGGGCTGCGTCCTCGACAGGGGGCACAGATGCGTTCTCGTCGCGACCCGTTCTCTTGCGGTTGTTGCCCTCGGAGACGGCATCAGCTCCCTTCTTCTTAGGAGCAGCCTTGGGCTGCTCCTGCTGGTTATCACCCGATATCGAGGAGGTTGCAGAAGCAGTCTTCGCGTTGCCATTCTTGGCGGAGCTAGGCGCAGGCTTTTGCGACTGAACGACCTTGGCCTTGGCATCCTGTGCCTCTTTTCGCTTCTGCCACACGTTCACTGCGGGAAGGGGGGCAGCCTTCAGCTCCTTGGGGGGCTCTTCCTTCTCCTTGTCCTCGGCGGACTTTTCCTTGGGTTTTTCATCGCCACCCTGCGGCTTCTCTGACCCCGAGGCCTGTGATTGCTTATCCCAAGTAGATTCCGAGGTACCATTAGGTGTATTTGAGCCCTCGTCCTTCGCTTCCGTGGAAGTCGAGTTGCCGGCACTGGGGGACGTTGTGCCCGAAGCGTTCGTCTTGGATGCGGGAGCCGGAGTCTCCGATTCCTTGACCGAGTTGACGGGAGTCTTCTCAGCCTCCTGCGGTGCCTCTGTCTGCGAGGTCACATTGTTTTCGGCTTGCGAGCTCGAGTTCGAGTCCTGCTCATCTGGCTTGGAGACATCATTCGGCTCTGGGGTCGTCTTTGCGGATGGTACCGAGGGAGCGGCGCCCTTAGCGGCCTGAGCGTAGGAAAATGTGGCGGCCATTTTCGGTTTGTAAATAGAAAGAGAAGTCTAATATATCCGTTCTAGAAATGAGAAAGTTGTGAAAAAAGAAAGTTGTTCTGCCAGAGAACAGGTGCCTCCGATGGCAACTCCAATCAAAGCAACCTGCGTGCGCCAACTGTGGGCGAGACAGCTCCAACACTTGACGGCAAACAGGGGAACCAACTTCCGTCCTCTTGCGACCCCACCAAGCTGCAGATTCCCGTCACTAGACGTGGCTCCTACTTCGGGGCAGGTTGTGGAAGATGGCCGATCAAACGGACTGCAAGGTCACGAAAGCTTTATTCGCTGTCGAGAAAAACCGGTGTGGGATTCGAGGTACCGAATGCGGGTCTTTTCAACTGTAATTTTTCTACCACACGAATCGCGTGTAAATCGCTCGTTGATAGAAAGAGGTATGCTTCCCTGGAATGGGTCCGTTCCAAGGTCAAGTTGAAAGGCGTTGGAGACGGTGTGAGAGTCGACGTCGGTGACTTCGGCAGGAACGTAGTCAAACGAGGTTCTGATTTCACGACAAGACGGGATTAATACACGCGAGATCGAGACGACAACAGAGCTTTTCGAGATGATCCACTGAACGTTGCGTCAACCCAGCACAGAACTCACCCAATTTATGCCGTTCGAGATTCGGACCGTCGGAAGATTCGCGAGGGATTCCGATATGTCACTGAGGTAGTCGGAGGGTGAAACAGATCACGACCACGACGAATACACGCGAGAAACTTTTCGAGGGGACCCGGTTGGCGTAGCCCCTTGTGAAGCGTAGACGGAAAAGCGCGACTTGCACGTGGCGATGACCGCTAAGGTGGAAGATTGAATTTCCCAGCGAAGGGAAGAATTGAGGGGAAAGAAAAAAAAATTGGCAGGATTAAAGATCAGGCCGAGAGCGACAAGAAAAAAAAAAAAGTCGAAGCAGATCTCGTGCGGAGAAAAATCAAAAATCAAAAGGGATCAACCGATCAAGATGCCCTTGCCAGCAAAAAAAAAAAAAAAAAAAAATCCCGGGTAAAAAAAAATACAGGACGTGGGAAGGAGAAGATCGGAAGGCGGAAGATGTGCACTGAAGAATGAGCACAACCTCACTGCGGCAACACGGACGCCAGCAACGGAACGGGGGATGGCGAAGAGGCGACGAGGTGAGAGGAAAGGAAGAAAACTTCCAGGATGTTGAGGGGGGAGAGGGGGAGAAGGAGGGGGTAAGAATCCAGAGGCAGGAAAGGGCAGGAAGGGAAAGAGAGGGAAAAAGAGACGAGCGTAGCGCAGTGTGTGAGAAGAAGTCCGTCGACCAGAGGCACGCCGTAAAAAAAAAAAAAAAAAAAAAAAAAAAAATACAATCAAAAATCAAAAATCAAAAAGTAAGAAAGAGAAAATCCGAGGGAAGCAAATGAGAACAGAAACAGTAATAATAATTGTGGACTGCCAGAAGGGAAAAAAAAAAAAATTGGAAATTGAAATTGAAAATTAAAAAAATAAAATAAATAAAATAAAATCCAAAATCAAATAAAAATTGAAATGGAAATTCGAATTAAAATAAATCCAGTACAAAATGAATAAAAGAAATCCGATAATCACGGTGCTTTCCCGCCTGAAAACGCGGCGTTTCCCTCTTGCGCTGGTAAATCCCCTCGTCTCCCATGTTTCCTCCCATCCGCCGTGTCCAACGAGGGCGTCTTTCGTGCAATTCTTCCTGGTCGTCCCTCGCAGAACCAAAAAGACGCCTGGAAGTCCTGGGTTTTAGTGGATTTCAGGGCTTCTGTGGGTAATGAACCGCCCATTTTCCTTCCTGTCCGGGACTAATTCCGATCGCGGGTTTGGTTCGCCTCGCATTGCAGACGATTCTCAATTCCAATCCATGACTAGAGACGGATCTACGGAGGTTCTTGTCTATCCAGTTAGACCGGCCTCGTACCTGAGTCTGGGATACATACAATTCATACATACATACACGCGGGTATTCTATATATAACTCAATCCAGATTCCTCGCATTCCAGACCTGCCACAGAGACCGGGAGGAATGACTCTAACCAGGTTGGGGGCGGGTCCAATTGTCTTCCTGGGGAGCATTTGAGGATGATGGTGATAATCCGAGCACAGTATTCATTTGAACTGCCCATCGTCACCTGTGCCTTCCACCGATCCTTGTCCTCGGGTGTCCTCCCTCTACCGACGTTCCGCCGTCACCCATTCGCCAATCGACCTCGGACGACCCCTCCATGGACCTTCGGCCATTGTTCAACGATCCTTGCCATGGACCAGCAATTGGAGCACCGATGAAAATGCCGTCGACCCCGAATCACAGCCGAAGCCAAGTACACTCTCTTTGTCGTCCAGTTTAAGTGAAGTCGGACATACAGCGTCATGCTCTGACATACCTACTCCAGGTTCTACTAGGTTGGCAGTTCGATACATAATCGGTAACTTTCAATACTGCCGGTAACTCCAGTAACTCACCACCTCTATCTCTATCTCAGTTTCACTCGACTCCGGCCCTCGCAAGATCGGGACGGACATGCAGCTGGAGGGGCTTGGAGGGTTGGTGCCGTTGACTGACCCCTCCATGTAACCGTACAGATTTGGAATCCGCAGTCCGGTCGGAGGGCAGAAATATGGGATAATGGTTACAGATGATAATAACGGACCATCCCAGTCCCATGTGGTATTACAACCCCGGAATCCGAGCATCAGGGGTCTCGTAGGCAGTCTGCCCTGAGCCTTGGGCCTACGGAGGAGATGCCGTCTACAGGATATCTCCGGTCGATATCCATCCATCTAATTCGGCCTTATAAAGGAATAAAACACCAATCAAGCATCAACCTGTCGACGGAGGAGGTAAGTATGCGAGACATCAAAGATTCGAGGTGAAATTACCTCACTGGTGGGCCCACCTGTCAGATTACATCGCCGTACACTTCCATTGGATTTTCGAATCGAATATTAATTTCGAACGTTATACTAATACTATGTAGTATTAATCTGCCGTTCTCCGCAGGTGCTCCGAGACCCAAGACAGGCATCAGGGCACCTTTCCTCCGTGGGATTATTATGATTCACCATTCCTGTGTAGCCCCCGGGCAGCGGCAGCAGCAGCCCAAGTAAGGGAGCAAGGAATACGTACACCAAAGTACACGACTGGGGAGGTAAGAGGGCACTATTCTCCAGGGCTACGAGGAATGCCTTTCCGCATGATCCTACGACCTACCGTACCTACGCTGGACAGAGTAAGTGTCTACGGAGACATCGATGGTTTCTTTTCTTTTCCTTCCCCTGACTAGCAATGTATGTACGTGCTTGCTTCCATCTGACAGGTCTTAACCTGGAACGGTCGAGGACCAGTCCGGATGGAATGTAAAAAACCGTACGGTAAGTGACTTTCCGCCCGTCCAGTCCAGCTCGGCCGCCCTCACACTCGGACTCACGCTGAGACAGACTGGACTCCAGTGAAGCCCTTGGGCCAGGTAATAAATCATAAGACATGACTCGGGTATTTGCAATACGTCGCACTCTGTCCCAAACATGTTCCGTCTAAATTTCTTCCTTCATCGGACCTTCATCGGCCCTGACCTTTTTTTTTCTCCCGAACTCAATTCGCATTTTAATTTTTATGCCGAATTTAATTTCGATCTCAGCCCCGGAGTATGTCTGTGATTGATGATTCCATATTATGGTGATTTAAGATCATCGGTGCGGACTCCGTCTGTAATCTGAAAGTGAAAGCAGTAGCACAGGATGATCTATAATACACGTGATGTATAACATTAACATATAATGTGGTGCCAATTCTTCCCTTCCGGCGTGTGCCGTGCTTTTGGTCCTTATCCACTTCGGTACTCCGTAGGTATGGATGGAAGACTGGAAGACTGGAAGTACGTACATCCTCAGCCTCTGTAGTCTGAATACAAAGGTACTCCGCAGAAGCCAACCTAACCTCAATGATCTAGGTACATGAATAGTAGAACCAGGAGTGTAAATGCTCATGTCATAGTTGTTGATTCCAACCAATCAATAAACCACTCAATCCACCTCTCAACACGGACGGGGGACTGACTAGACACGTACGGGGCGCGGTCACGGGGTTTGAAAAAGCAAAATCTCAAAAAATACTAATAATAAATGGTAATGAATAATACTAATTATGAGATGCAATTCCAATGGAATGAACCATCGCTTAGCAACCCGCGTGAACGTTATTAGGGCTGAGGCTGCCTTTTTTTTTTTTTTTTTTTTCGTCTGGCGGAACTCGGGAGTCTTCGGAGGTTCCGTGCCGGATTGCATTATGGAAGTATCACGTGCTGGGTTGCCTTGTATAGCAGACGTCATTCATGAGGCTACTTTTCTTATATTCATACAAGCCCTTTTGAGTCTCTTGGTTTGCAGTCCAAATCATCTCTCAACCATCACCACTTACCAATGTCGCACACTAACCAAGACCTGTTCGGCCGGATCCAGCTCCAGAGAGGACTGCGAGCTGGTCACGGATCCCAACCGCGCCAGCACCTGCCAGACCAGTTTGCGCTTGAGGTTCTCCCGCACCGGGATTTTTTCGACGGCGTCGTATCCGTTAAAGTACTTGATGTAGGTGGGCCAGTACTCCTTCATCGAGTTCCGAAGCCCCGCGTATTCCAAGTCGCCCTCGCCGGCATCCCCGGGTCTGCCGGCACGACCGCGCAGGAAGAACCGTGGGCGGTCGGGGAACCGCGCCACGATCTCGTCAAGCCACCGCGACTCAAGCGGCGAGGCACGATGCGGGAATAGGATCAGGGAAGAGGTTTTGAGCGACGCATGTCTGTCCAGCACGGAGTGCGTCAGGCGCATCCCGCCCTCGAGATTGGACCGTCCCGGCATGGGCGTTTCTTCGCCGCTGCCTTGGCTTGCGAGGGACGAAGACGAAGAGGAGCTCGCATCGTCAAAGTCATCATCGCTGTCGTAAGACTCGCCGCGCTTTCCTGCGTCCGGCCCTCGCTTCCCCAGGTATCTATCGACTTCTTCGCGTCGCAGGGCCATCTCCACGGCCATTTTGATTTCCGGGTTGACTTTGACTCGGGAGAAAGATCGAAGCTGGGTCACCCACCCTCCACGCAACAGCCAGGCGAGGATGGCGAAATAGGTATCTTTGTGGTCTTTGCTGGGGATGAAGCTTCCGTAAGGTCGGGGGGTCCCGCTCAGAGCGGACAACATCTTTGGGAGGCTTGGAAGCGTGGGAAATGCCGTTTGATAGGCAGTCGTCGCCACCTCCAGTTTGCTCAGGTCGCAGTTCGGAGAGACGATGAAAGTATCTCGTTGATGAAGGGGCGGAATCGCACGTGCCCGTCTCCAGTACACAAGATGGCTTGCCAGAAGCTGGATGGTGGAGAGGGAGATTCCGGACGATGCAGATATCTGAGCAAAGGACTTGGTCGGTTTTGAACAGCGAATGTAGTGAGCGAGTGCGGGAGCCAACGCTCCCCCAGACGACTCAACATCCTTCAAGATACTGGTCTCGTTGTCCAGCAACAGTAGCGCAAAGTGTTTGGCCGGGACCTGGTGCGGTGCCGTATTCTCATCGGCTGTCGGATCATCCACCGGAGTGACGCTGTCTGCCGTCGTGAGCCAGAGACCAGGATATGCCTTGTCGGTTGGACCAGGCAGGTACGGTGTCGAGGTTAAAGGAGGAATCTGGAGGGAAATGGACACGTCCGGGCCCAGCCCAACGGACGCGATCTTCGACGCGGAGATACTAGAGTAGACGGTGTAGATGGCCCTAGCCAGGGACGATTGATTGATGAGCTCCGAGTAGAGAGTGTTGACAGACATTCCTGTAAGCCTCATTAGCACTGCATTCCCTTCATTTCCACCTCACAGCATTCGCATCCACATACTCTTCTCTTTCGCTTTCTCCTTGATGTGTGAGATATGCTGGGCCTCCCTCCAGACATAGTCCGTCCGCGCCTGTTCCCATTTCAAGGCCTTCGCAAACTTCTTGATGATATTGTCGTAGATCTCCCGAATGCGCAGCGAATACTCGAGCAAGGGCGGATCCAGCACGAAAACCACATTGAACATCGTCATGGAGTCCTTATCATCCGCGTCCAGCAACTCGCTCGCCGGCCCTCCTCCCCCGGTCTTACTACTGGTCATCGACGCCATCGAAGTCATCGACGCGCGCTGCGATTCCGCCGCCGCCCATCCGCTGGGATTCAGCGTCTCCGTCGACGCGGCCATCGTCGCCTCCGGCCCATCGTCCTGCACGTCCTCGACATTTTCATTGTGACCCAGCTCTCCGCCCTCCCAGTCGGCGCGCGGCTTCTTCTTCTTCCGCCGCTGCTTCCGCCAGGTCCCTTCCTCGCGCACAAACACCGGCCACCCGACGAACGCCAGGTCGTTGATCCCGACCTCGAACCGCCGTTTGTGCCACGACCGCGACGGGCTCAGCACCTTCTCCCAGACGTCCGCAGGCAGCCCGAGCATCGACTCCCACGGCGCGCGGAACGGGCCCCCGGCGCCCCCCGACCCATCCTCCTGCCGATCCGACGCCGTCCCCGGATCGTCTTCGACGTCGGAGGCGCCGCCACGTTTGCGCAGCAGCGTGCGACTCGAGCTGATGGACCCCGGCCGTTGAGAGTCGCCCCCAGGCGACACAGACATGGCCACATGATCGTCTAGACCGAAGTTACTCGAGCGCCGACCGGTGGTCGCCGACACCGCGCTGCCGGCGAGGTGCGTGGAACTGGGGTTCTGGCTGGGCGCATGGTGCTCCTCCTCGTCTTCGGAGGAGGTCGAGCCACTGTCCTCGCTGGAGCTCGAGTCATTGCCCCGCGCGCCCTGGCCGCTTTTGGTGCGTGACGCGCGCCGCGCTTTGCTGGTGGTGGCTGCGGGTCGCAGGCCGTTCTCGCTGAGCGGGTTGGGGGGATAGTGGAATACGAAGCGAGGGCCGGCTCGCGAGCGGACGATCAGGACGATTGCCACTAGGCAGGGGTCTGGGGGGCGTGCGATTGAGGACATTGGGGAAGGGCAGGTAGGGACATTTTTCTTGTAAGAAAGATGGAGTGGATGGAGTTGAGGGGATGCGGAAGGAGAGAGAGAGGCTGGGGGTTTTGGAGTTGGATTCCAGTCGGCGGGACTGCTTTCCCCGCATGGGCCTTCCTTCTCTTGTCTTGATCATCTTTTATGTCCTCTACAATTCCATCACGAGAATTCCTCTCCAATATACAAATGCATGTTCACTAGTATACACAGATAACAAAATCTAGAATCAACACAATCCCCTCAACGCCAGAAATGGAGAATTCAAAAAGCCCCGGTCCCCAACGACCAGGCCACAAATCTGCTAATCATCCAAGGTATCACATCGCCAATCATACAGCAATTCCACTCCCATCGATTCTCATGGTTTTGTCCCTTGCCCTTCACTCGAAGGCGCGGCGTTCGTCCCGCTCGCACCCTCCTGCTTCTCGAAGATCAGTCCGAGGTTCTTGAAATCATCCGGCGCCATCAGGTTTCTATCGGTGATTCAAATCCATTAGCCTTCTTTCTTTCTTTGATATATTGTTCCCTCAATGCAAAACGTCGACGAGTCGGCGCGATCGCATCACAGGACCGGAATAGCTTCCGGTTTAGCAGGCGAGAACGTACTTGTCCATGCGACAGCCCAGATATCCCTTGGCAAGTTTTCGACATTCCTCGTCATTGACGCCTCGGCTGCCTTTGAGGCATTTCAGGTAGCTGGAGATTAGGTGCTTGCATTCGCCTGTTCGGGGGTCCGGTTAATATCCGCGGATTGGAGATGATTCGGTATGAGGTGTTACCTTCGTGGTCAAGGGGGAAGCTGCCACGCTCCGGACTATAGTAACAGATGAGTTAGCTTCACATTCCCTTTTGCGGCTGCTTGTACATCGCAGAGTCTGGTGGAATGATATCGATATGGCATGACAAGCAGGAACGCAGCAACGTGCGGAAACTCACGGCGTAGGCTTGTAGTTCGTGGCGCCGCCACCAGGACTTCCGAATCCCATTGTGATGAGTGTTTTGTCTGCCAAGCAAAATAAAAAGAAAATAAAGGCAAGAGGGTAATTGCAATCAATCCAGAACGCGAGAAGACAGGCCACGGCGAGAGCGAATTGGATGCTCGAGGAAAAGAACGGATCGACTTCGGGCAGACAAACAGAGCAAACATGCCAAACATCCAGCAGAGTCATTCCTGGTCTTCATTATCTACACTGTTCTACGCCTATTGGTTCCCAGGATCGAGATATGTATGCAATGACGTAGAGTTGGCTAATTCCAGACATGGTTGCATGCAACCTGCTCACAATGCAGGTGCGGAGTCGAAGCAAAAGCCTCCAGCCCCTCTCGTACTTGTGGAACAACTGGATATATAACCGGGAGCCCGGAACTGATCTATGAATGACGTCGTTGGTCGAGAGTATCTTCTGGCAGTTTTCACACCATTTCTGTAACATATTGCGAACTGCCTGATTATATTGCTCTATTTTATCCACCAAAATGCCTATGTACGCTGTTCCAACCACATACTGAACCTAGACTCTAACCCCAGCATCGCCAGGACCCTCGAAGGCAGCTGCCAATGCGGCGCAGTCGAATTTACCCTCGACTCGAGCACCCCCGTTCCCTACCAGCTCTGCGCCTGCAGTATCTGTCGCAAAGTAGGCGGATACAATGGCAGCGTCAACCTGGGCGGGATCAACGAGAGCCTGAACATCAAGAAGGGCAAGGAAGCTCTCAAGTACGCAGCGCCCTTTCGCCGCTAGATCACACTGTTATATTGTAAAAAAGCAGAAAGGGCTAACAGACAAATGCAAAGGAAATATTCCGCCATCATGAACCGCGGTACTGCCGACCAGAAGGTCTGTTCGAGCGAGCGGAACTTTTGCTCCCATTGCGGCACGATGCTCTGGCTGTGGGATCGGCACTGGCCAGAGCTGATTCACCCCTTCGCCTCGGCCATCGACACGGAGTTGCCGGCGCCGGACGAGATGGTCTGTATCATGCAGGACTCCAAGCCGTCCTGGGTTCGGTGGCCCGAGGGCAAGAAACAGGTGTTTGAGGAATACCCGGAAGAGAGCCTGGAGGGATGGCACAAGAAGCACAAGCTGTTCATGGCTTAAGGGTTGAACTTGGACAGCATGGACTGTAATCTGTACATGGGTTGATGACGACGATGATTACGACGATTGGAGAAAGCTACAGTACGGTGTAGGAGTGATCAAAATTTGAATTGGAATTTGACATTATCATTATCTCTTCAAAGTAGCGTAGGTGCCCTGCAAGATTTGTTCGTTAGCCTCAGCAACAATACAAGTGTGCAAATATAAATGGTTGAAGCACAAAGATCAGTTCTCCAAGGTGAAATTTAGTTTTTTCTTCAATGTAGTTCAGTAAGAACACAGCGAATAAATTTGTTCATCAGGCAGTGGAAGGAACAAAGAAACAAAATGGCAACTCACACTTTGAGGGTAAAAATGGTCTACAAGAAGATATTCCTAATTCTTAGAAGTTGACGAGTCAGCACACATCTTGCAAAAAGCATGAGTGATCCAATATTGAATGATGTCAACTGAAGTCAGGCTTTGAGAACTGTTAGCATGTGTTGCCACCGTCTGGGGTCAAGGCTAGAGACTCACCTCATTAAATCAGATTTTTGTATGGTAATGTTCATCTCCACACGAGTACGCGGGATCAAACAGTGTGAATAAACTATTCATCATATGATGTTGACGAGATATGTGTTGGGATAGAAACTGGGAGGGCACAAGTATTACCTAGGCACAGCCAGTTAGCACCCAGTTGGTCAAGAGCATGACAACCATAAGATATTGAATTCAAGACTCAGGTGACGAGTTCTCAACAACCAATACACCGTCCTAACACCCGCAGAGTTTGTACGCTCTGCTTTTGATGGATGCAGGCAGATGCACACGTCTGTCCGCCCGTTCGTTCAAAATATCCTCATCGAGGGGGTGATAAGAGGCAATGAATAGTGGAAGATGGTGTTTACCTATTCAATTGCTCGTTAGCAGATGTCACAGCAAGACAAGTGAGTGAAGCAAATGAAAGGGTTTCAAAAGAGGTCAGACAAGGCTGAAACTTGAGTTAAAACACGAATTCCACATGGTGATTAAGTTTGAGGAATGCCTTAGCGTGTCATAGAGTCATCATTCAAGGGGAGTGAAGTGAAAGGAAACAATGAAAAATGAACCAAAGTCGCAGCATACCTTTTACAATTGATGAGGGAGTGGTCGGAAACAGCAGGGTCATCATAAGATCTGGTGTCCTAGAGGCATGGCGTTAGTGACATGCTTCAAGCAATACATCAAATGAGAAAGTACAAAGATCCATGCACTGATCAGAGTAATTCTAGAGACTTGTAACAGGTCCTTCATGTTTTTTCGGCCGTGGATACTCCTGTTAAGGAAATTCATCCCAAGGCAGGCAGACAGAAAGAGGGTGTTGTGTTGGAAGGATGCAGTGCAACTTACTCCTTAAAAAGTGAGTTTACTAACGGAGATTGAGGATACCCCCGTTAGTAAACTAGGCAAGTGTCGAAGGCCAAAAGCATTGCGATGGCTGTGCTCTGAGCTGTCCAAATGGAAGCTGCAGTTGCAAGCTGATGCAAGTTGAGAAAAAAAAGTTTGTGGGTTGCGGCAGAATTTTATACTACGAAGCTTAGGGCCACGGCGGGCGGAACGCACCAAAGCCGCTGTTTGTCTGCGAGACAAACACTTCCGGATGAGACGCGCTTTTTGCTTCAATTTGTCTGGATTGGGGATAAGGGGATTGGGGGAGAAAGCCAGAAGGTCCTAGATAATGATTCTGAATATCTACTCTAAACTCTACATGATTTTTTCTACTCCCTTGGACCCCCCTGGACAGTGACAATGGCATGATTGCCTTAAGGTAGCTGGGGGTGGACTTATGAGATCAGGCCAAACCCACCATCTACCACCACCAGCCATGGCTGGCTTGCTTGCAACGCAGTGGAGTCGATCCTCCCCACGTGGTGGCTCTTCGGTGACCAGACGAGAGCAAGTCAAACTGGTTGTCTGCAGCTCATCGCTGGATAGCTGAGACTCTGGTTCGCCCAGACGTCATACCCGTAGCCAGGAAAACGGCCAGACCTGAACGCGTCAAGTTGACGTCGATTCACCTGCACTGAGTAGATAGGATATAAATCAAGCTCCCACCCTGTGTAGCAGACTTTTACCAACCACTGAACAATTCAATTGAATTTTTGATAGCTTATTTGATCTAACACCAAGATGCCGACCAACTTTAAGCTCAACAACGGCGCTGAAATCCCTGCCGTCGGATTTGGCACCTGGCAGGACGCCGATGAGCAGGAGCAGGCTGTAATCGAAGCCATCAAGGCAGGATACCGCCACATTGACACGGCGCGTGTGTAAGTCCGATGGTCGCAACCTCTTGGTGCCGGGTAGTGCCCAAGTGCTGACAATATCCTCAACAATAGTTACGGCACTGAAAAGGCCGTCGGATCAGCAATTAAGAAGAGCGGAGTGCCCCGCGACCAGCTCTTCATCACGACCAAGCTCTGGAGCAACAAGCACCACCCGGACGACGTGCCTCAGGCCCTCCAGGACTCTCTCAATGATCTGCAGCTGGACTATGTCGACTTGTTCTTGATCCACTGGCCGGTGGCATTCAAGCGAGGCGACGAGTTGTTCCCCAAGGATGCGAATGGAAAGCCTGCTGTTGTGGATACCGACTATGTCGCTGTATGTCTTGATTCAGAATTCTTCACCCAGCTTAGGATAGTATGCTAACTGCCCTGTTCTCTTATGTAGACCTGGAAGGCTCTGGAGAAGCTGTTGCCTACCGGCAAGGCCAAGGCCATCGGTGTCTCGAACTTCTCCCAGGCCGAGATGGAACACTTGCTGAAGAACTCCTCGGTCGTGCCCGCGGCGCATCAGCTGGAAAGCCACCCGTGGCTGCAGCAGCGGGAGTTCGTCGACTGGCACAAATCCAAGGGCATTCATGTCACCCACTACTCGCCGTTTGGAAACCAGAACGAGCTCTACTCGAAGCATGGCACCATTGGCAAGCTGATCGAGGACCCGGTTCTGGTGGAGATTGGCAAGAAGTACAACAAGAGCGCGGCGCAGGTTGCTCTCGGTGCGTTTTTTTCTCCCTTCTGCATTATTTAAACAGTCTCAAAGAGCCAGAAAAGCTGACAGATGATATAGCATGGGGTATCACCCAGGGTCATTCCGTGCTTCCCAAGTCCAAGACCCCCTCGCGCATCAAGGCGAACCTTGAAGGCGACTTCAAGCTGAGCGACGAGGACATGAAGAAGATCGAAGGCATCAACAAAAAGCTTCGGTTCAACGACAGCAGCGAGGACTTTGGTCGGGACTTCTTCACCGATCTGGAGGGGAAGAACTAGGGATCTCCTCCCTTTGACGTCAGTTCCATGCCGCCATGTATTATGATGTAGTTAGTGTATCTGAGCTAGCTTAGACGAAGAAACGAATGTAACAGCACTTCCCATGCAGAGTTCAGGGTTACCCATTTAAACTTTCCCCTCGGGAGATCCCAAGACTTTTAGCTCGTGGCGCAGTCCAGCAGCTCTCGTCAGCGGTTGGGCCAAGATGCTCGGCGGTTTTCTGTGCACCGTCATGCTCCTTTGTCCCTCCGTCATGCCGGCCGTTCCGCCTTGTTGCTATCCCTTGCTTGCGACCGTCTCGTCGACGCAGCTCGGTTCGTGATTCTGGTCTAGTTTGGATATATTTGGATATATTAGAGGCCTGTATGGCTCATAGTGTCCAGCATGGGATCTCCGATGTTGGCAAATGCTCGCGTGGGCATTTCTAAGCGCCTCGTGCTGTCGTATATCATCGACTGGATTTTCATTATGTATGATGACCTGGTCCTTTGCCCTGCCCCTGATCGTTTGCTGGTTGAAGAAAGGCCTCGATATTAATATTCTTGCAGTGGTATCGCACTTATTGGATATGGGTTTTCTCGGGTCACTCCTAACCACCGCCCGTTCGCCTTGACGGATCAGAGCATCTCGTTCCCTTACACAGAGGATGAGACTGTTCGGACCAGCGTGCTGGTGGTCGTTTCGCTGATTGCGCCGGCTGTGATTATCTTCCTGGTCATCTTGCTCTTGGTGCCTGCGTCCGTCTCGCGCGAGTCAGGCTCCCGGCTACTGCTATTGAAGTCTAAGATATGGGAGTGGAATGCCGGATGGCTGGGACTGGGATTATCTGTCGCAGGAGTCTTCATGGCTACTCAGGGCCTGAAGGCTCTGTATGGCAGGCCACGTCCGGACATGCTTGCGCGCTGTGATCCGGACCTGTCTGACATTGCCTCGTATGCAGTCGGTGGTCTGGGCCAGAGGCTTACAGAGGCACCTACGTTGGTGAGTTGGGAGATATGTCGGAATAAGTCTGATGATTTGAAAGTGAATGGATTCTCTAGCTTTCCCAGTGGCCACTCCTCCAGTAAGTAAGCCTTGCGGTTGTGAAATTCCTCGCTTCAAAGCCAAATACTAATGGAAGTCCATGTATCCAGTCGCGTTCGCCGGATTGGCCTATTTCAGCCTTTGGCTATGTTCTAAATTCTCCATTGGTTTCCCCTATCTGGCTCATTCGCCGCTCAGCCAGGAGCTGCGGGTACAGAATCGGGAATCAATTCGCACCCAGGGAGCGGCCCCTCCGGTGTACACGGTCATCATCGCGTTTGTGCCTCTTGCGGTCGCTTTCTTCATAGCGGCATCGCGCTGGTTTGATTTCCGCCACCATGCATTCGACATTATAATCGGTTCTCTCATGGGACTCGTTTTCGCGTGGGTTGGGTTCCGACTGTACCACCTCCCCATCATGCGCGGCGCCGGCTGGTCATGGGGAGCGAGAAGCCCACGGCATGCATTCTTCAAAGGTGTCGGACTGTCTAGTCACGTTGGCGCTGATAATTGGTCGAACAAGGGAGAATCCCCGGTGGCAACAGGGGCTGAGAGACAGGAGGACACGGTTGACCTCGAAAGTGGACGACGTGATTTGGCGGAATGAGTGTGACGTCGAGAAAGGACGACAGCGCCGAGTGAAGGATGTCGCCGGCGTTGGATCTTTTCGAACGCGATATGTAATCTATGTAATCAGCCTTTTGAATATGATAGTTGCTTTTGGACTCAAGTCGGTGATTCTTTTTCGCAATTCGAAGGCGACGTAATCTTGCCACCATGTTCACCTCCATCCACCCACTCTGCCCTCATCCCATCTAGCTTTGGCTTCCCTTCTGGCGGCCAATTTGGCACTCTCAGCCCTCACTCGCCGGGTCCAATCAGCCACTTCTTTCTCGGTTGCCCGTCCATGATGCTCCTCTTCGAGAAAGCTCTCCTCCACCGCCTGGCACACAGCTTCCTGTTCGGCAATAGACGCCGCCAGTCGCTGATACAGTGCCTTTGGCGACCACGGAGCCAACGCGGTATCCATTTCCGATTGTTTCTTTCGCCAGGAAACCTCGAGGGATTGATGCGTCAAGAGGAGGGTTTCGGTCGAGCCGCGCAGCTCTGTCAGATGGGCTTGAAGCTCCAGGAGACGATTGGCTAGATCTTCATTGTATTTGAGTCGCGACTGGAGATTCTCCTGATGGGCGGAGTAGGAGGGGTGCTGGCTGGCGAGCGCGGAGAGAAGATTCGGGTCTTTAAGGATGGTCTGGAGGTCCACGGTCCTGTAGAGTATCCGGTTAGACTAAACCACTTCCATGTTGCGCTGACTACCTATGGGCCGAGGGTAAACGTCATACGATTTGTCCTTGACGGCGTCAGGCAGCCATCCCTCCTCGGCAGTCGGAGCTTGGGGAAGAGGATTGGCATGAGCCATGCCGGAGAGAGTGTGTTGATGGAATCCCTGCGACCCCATGCCGTTCAGTCCGTAACGAGGGTCCTGGTACTGGTGTGGTGTAGATGGGTTGATCTGCGGTGTCCCCCCTCGACTAGCCTCGTGGCTGCCTGGTTTGGGAGGCGGAGGCGGAGGCGTGTCGGGATGGAAGGCTGGATTCATAGCGGAAGGGAAGGCTGCAGGATGCATTGGCACCAATAATAGCAATCCAACGAGGTGATGAAGGGAGAGTCGTCTGGGGATGACGGCGGACGCGAGCCAATGGAGATGGAGATCCTTAGGCAGCGACCCGTGCGGGGAAGTCACGTGCTGCATAATACCGGCATTGACTGTGCATAATTTATAATAAAAATAATGAATATAGATACAAGGAGGTAGATAATGATAGCTCAGTAAAGGACATGCAAACGGGCACTTTTCTTGCAGACTTATATCATCAGACCCAATTTATCCATTACTCTTGATGCCTTCATTATGTCATGATCAACCGTGGGGATAACTATCTGCCTGTAGCCTTGTAAATACCCCAATCCCATGGCCCGGAGTCACCTGCACAAGGGTTTACAATCGAGGTGATCTCCCCTAGCTTTTCTCCGGGACCTGGTCTATATTCCAAGATCTATCCATCTCCCAGTATTCAGGACGTGGTCATCCTGCAATCAGCCCGGACATCTTCGGCCGGATCATAGCAAGGACCGCACTGCCGTAGGGACATGAGATGAGGCCTTTGAAACGCCCAATGTATAGGTTATATACTTGTACTTCCCAGTCTAAGACCCTCCCTCTAGTCCACCCGGCGCCGCACTTCCCGGTCCTGAGAATCGATATTCCCGCGCAGAGCATCCTGGACCAATTCGCGCAATTCATTCTGCGTCGCCTCGCTCTGGAAGTCCTCCCGCGACGCCAGCTCGTCAATTCGGCGCTTGAATTCCGGATCCACCTGGTCTGCGCCCGCGTTGACTTCCTGCTCCGACATCGTCCCCAGGTTCACCTGCAGGTTCGCCGGCAGAGGCGGAGCCGGGTTGAGGACATCCGCCGGGTTCTCGGCGGGCGTAGGGAGTCCCATCACCTGTCGCAGATATGCGGCGACTTCGGGGAAGGCGTCTTCGGTTTCAATGTTGTCCAGTGCCGTGAAGCCCTCGTCGTTCTTGCGGTTGTAGTCCACTTTGAGCTCTTCCACGAGACATTTGGCCATGTCGACGTTCTCCACCACGAACAGGCAGGTCTCGCCGTCCTCGTCGAGCAGGTTCACATCCACCTTGTATTCGTTCACCAGGGCCCGCAGCAGATCGAGGTGTCCGTATGAGGCTGCCGCGTGAAGGAGCGAGTAGCCGTGCTCGTCTTGACCGGCTGCGATGGAGGGGTTGGATTGTAGGAGAGCGAGAACCCCGGTGGGGTTGTCGGCGGCCATGATGTAAGGGTTGGGTTGAGTCATTGTGGCGGAGGGTGAGTCAATTATCTTTATCGTTATTTGTGTCAGGAAATAAAGGAATATGGATGGGTTGGGTAGGAAGGAAGAAAAGGCCGGTGGCGCAGCGGAACAAACGAAGGGAAAGAAAGAGAAAAGGAAATGACGAAGAGAAAAAGATCGCCGTGAATTTCTGCCCCGCAAAACCACCTTCTTCGATAAGCTTGACTCACACAAGGCTCCAGCCTTTGCAATCAAAAAGAAAAAAAGAACCTCTTGCCTGAATCTGGGACAGGAGTGGATGAACCGTTTCCCCTATTTATTTCACTGTCCACAATTCCACGTCTTTCATCATTTCGCGAACACTGCCTTCCTTCGTTCGGCTCTTTCACCCGCCGACGCTGGCGATCCCACTTCGAGCTTCAATAATTCCTGTCAATTCTACGCGCCCCAAAGGAATTATCGCAACGATACGAACCAGCTGCACAATGGTGAAGCAAGACGTTAGGGAGGTGGTCCGACTGGTCGACAGTCTGGAGACTGCGAGCCAGTGGAACAAGCGCGATGGAAAGAAGGCGTTCGTCTGCAAAAAAACAACCTTTCCGGTCGCCGGTTCCGATAACATCGCCGTAGACTCCTGGAGGTTTATGGACTGGGATTACAAACGAAGCGATCTTCCGACCTACGCCCGCGGGCTGTTTACCACCAAGAGGAAGGATGGCACCCCCGAAATCGCGGTTCGCGGCTACGACAAGTTCTTCAACATCGAGGAGGTGAACGCGACCAAGTGGAGGAACATTGAAAACAACACCCGGGGTCCCTATGAGCTTAGTGTGAAGGAAAATGGGTGTATCATCTTTATCGCGGGCTTGGAAGACGACTCGTTACTGGTTTGCAGCAAACATTCGACCGGAGGGCGACAGGATACGGAGGTGAGCCACGCGCAGGCTGGTGAGCGCTGGGTGGAGAAGCACGTCAGCTCAGTCGGAAAGTCCGTGAAAGAGCTGGCTCAAGAGCTGCGCCGGTTGAATGTGACCGCTGTCGGCGAGCTGTGTGACGACAGTTTCGAGGAGCATGTTCTGGCCTACGACCAGGTTGCGTCAGGCATCTACCTCCACGGCCTCAACTACAACGTCCCGCAGTTTGCGACGTGCTCGAGCACCGAAGTCCACGAATTTGCCGACAAATGGGGTTTCAAGAAGGCCAAGTTTTTGGTATATGAAGATATCGACACGGTAAAGAAGTTTCTGGACCAGTGCGCAGAGACGGGAACCTGGGATGACCGCGAGACCGAAGGGTTTGTGATCCGATGCCAGCGACAGGAGGCCAGCACGGCGCCTTTGGAGGACTGGTTCTTCAAGTACAAGTTCGAGGAGCCGTACCTGATGTACCGACAGTGGCGTGAATGCACCAAGGCGGTCATCTTAGGCAAAGTGCCCAACATCAAGAAGCACAAGAAGATCACCGAGGAGTACCTGCAATACGCCCGGCGGCAGTTCGTTAAGAACCCCAAGCTGCAGAGCTTGTACCAGCACAACCACGGCATCATCTCGCTGCGAGAAGGCTTCCTCCAAGAACGTGGCCTCAAGGGCTCGGAGATCATTGCCATGGAGAACGAGGGCCCCAGCGAGGTGACCAACAATGTCATCTTGGCCCCCATTGCTTCCCTCGGCTGTGGTAAGACGACCGTGGCCCTTGCCTTGGTTAAGCTGTTCAACTGGGGCCATGTGCAGAACGACAACATCCCCAAGCAGAAGAACAAGCCGAAGAAGTTCGCCCTCGACATCACCAACCTCCTAGCTGCACACCCCGTCGTCATCGCAGACCGCAACAACCACATGCGGCGCGAGCGACAGCAGCTCATGGACGATCTCCTCCCCGTGATCCCCGATGCCCGCTTCGTCGCCCTTCAGTATGTTCACGAGCCCAAGGGCCAGCTCCTCCCGGGCATTCGCGACGTGACGCGCCGGCGAGTGCTCGACCGCGGAGACAACCACCAGACCATCCGCGCCGGCAGCCAGAACCCCGAGGAGGTCATCGGCATCATGGAGGGATTCCTGAATCGCTTCGAGGCCATCGACACCGACCGCGTACCGGACAAGGGGTTCGATGAAACCATCGACCTCGACGTGGCAGCCTCGTCCCGTGAGAACCTGGAGAAGGTGGTCACCTCCTTGCATTCCTTCTACCCCCATCTCATCAAGCAGATGCCCACCCCTCAGGAACTGGACGCCGCCCTCCACAGCGCCATGGCCGACTACGAGGTGCAGCTCGACCTCAGCCATCAGTACGGCAACAAGGGCCCCAAGCAGAAGAACAACAACAAGACGCCCACCTCCAACTCCGCCGCCGCCGCTCCCTCTCCTCCCCTCAACCCGCAAACGCTGGCAAAGAACATCGAATACTTCGGCATCACGCTGCCCGCCGCCGACATCACGCACACCCTGCAATCCCTCTTCCCCCCGTCGACCACGTCCCCCGAAAAAGCCCGCATCTACAACCACCTCCTGCACTCCCGCCGCATCCAACCCGCCTTCCACGTCACCCTCATCCACCGCGCCTCGAAGAAAGACCGCTCCGACATCTGGGACTCCTACACGCGTCGCTACGTCGACAAGATGGCCTCCAAGCCAGAGTCCGACCCCACCATCACCCCGGTGCTCGCGCCCGCCCGCGTCCGCCTCGAGCGTCTCATCTGGGACGACCGCCTCATGGCCTTCGTGGCTCGCCTCTTGCCCCCCTCCGACGACGACCAGGACCCCGCCCTGTCCGAGTGGTCGTGCGCGAACCCCATCCCTCACGTCACGGTCGGCACCGTCTCGCCCGATGTCAAACCGAAGGAGAGCAACGATCTGCTTCAGCGCTGGCTGAAGGTCGGATCCGGCCCCGGCACCGGCATCTGGGAGGCTGAGATCCCCGGCGTGAAGGTTGTTTCGGGACAGGTCGGCGTGGTGATGAGTCGGAGGTGAGGTGCTTTTTTTTTCAGGTAGCTGGGTGGGTAGGATATTATTTTGCTTGTTGGTATTGGTACGTAACCTACATCGGTGGATGTATCATTATCATCGTCTACCCGGAACAGTCGGTATGGTATGACATGGCTTGGATGGTTTAGGGTGGGACCGGATGGGATAGGAAAAGACCAGGAATTGGATTTACGAAGCTTTATGATTAGGATTAGGTATTAGACTCAAACAAGAATAAAAAAAGAGATGTATTGAAGCATGGATATCGGTGGATGGTTTCATTCTCGGTAGCTCTACGTCTGTCCTAGGACTCTTACGGTATACTCGGCCTTACGGTATACTCGGCACTCACAAGCATGCGATGGATAGACAAGGACAGCTCCATTAAATTGTACATAGAAGGGAGGGAAAAGCTACGAGCATCTATCTACCAATGAAGGCCATCTAGGTAACGTAACATCGAATCCCAAGTCGTGACAGCAGAACACCACCTAGTTGGTTATCCAAGACGTAACGCGCTGGGCACCGAACCGGCCCATGAACTGCAAGCCGGTGCTTCCCATGGGAAAGTAGCTGACGAGATACCAGAGAAGGGCAGCCAGCTGGAAGATGGACGAGATGAGCGTGAGGAAGGTCGAATGGAGCTGGAAGCGGAAACAGTTAGCTTTCATTTTCCTAGTCATCCGGAGGTATATCTGCATGGGGGAGAATTAAACAAAGATTGCGGCTCCCTCGAGTCGCGGGAAATTTTCGTCTCCACCCGAAGGAGAAAAGGTCACGCCTGGCATGTGCAGGAAATGATGTCATAACCGACAAGAGAATCTCGTGCATATGCATCAGGTGGAGAGAGGAGGAATGCAAGATCTCGTTGCGATTTTCAACACGGCCGCACGGGGAGCCGGCGAGGCGGAAAGGCGGCAGAAGCGCAAATATCGAGAAGCGTCCAGAACAGGGGGGAGAGCAAGAGGGTGTTCGAATAGGCATCCATCCAAACCAAGGAAAAAAAGAAAAAAAAAAAAAAAAGGAACTAAACCTAAGCAGGCAGCGACTTACTCCGATGGCAAAGTATAGAGTCATGGCAATCGAACCAAAATAAGCGGCCGTAAAGGGCAGCCGTGATCCCGAGACCAGATGCTTAGCGTAGACCAGGGGTCCCATGAGGACTGCCCATGATAGCAGAAAGAGCAGAGAGCCGACCGACCATCTAGAAAACCGGTTAGCATCAGCGGTTTTGGCAGGCCAAAAAAGAAAGCAGGGTGAGCACGGATGTTGATGCGGGCAAGATCGACCGGGCGTGGTACAGCCACAGGCATGACAAGCCCTACACCGCCTCGTGCCAGGACACTCCTGAAGAATGCCGTGGGAGGGGGGGAAGGCCGGCGAAGGTATGGAATTCCCGACGAAGGCACTTACAGAATAGCAAACTTGCGGGGTTTGAGCGACAGCACCGGAAACAGGAAAAAGCAGATCAGAAAGCAGACCGCTGCTCCAAGGTTGCATGCCACAAAGACGAGCATGCGATCCCACCGACTCACTGGAGAACATCAGATGGTTAGCCAGGCATCATCCTATTTTTTTTTTCTTGTTTTCTCTTTCCTCGTCGTGCATTCTTCTTCCTTTCTGTTTTGGATTCTGGAGGGGGTGTGTGTGGTATAGACCGAAATCAAGGCACAGTCCCCGACTAGATACGCTCGTCCCCACGGCGTCCGTGAAACCCAGCCAGACGCAGGAACTGAACGGTTGTCACCTGGACTGGGCAGTGCAGCAAATCAGGGAATGGGCAACGGCTTGTCGGAGCCGTCGGTCATGAGCTCGGGGATCTTACAGGCAAAGAAAGTGTCCTCCTCTTCCCGTCGATTTGCAGCCGGGAGGGGAGCTCCCGGAGCTTCGTGAGTGGGCAGTTGCACGTAGCCCTCCCCTCCGAACGGGTTCCAGGACTGTAACCGTGATAGGAAAGGAGTCGACGCCGCCGAGTTATTGGTGCGCACCGGTAGATCCGGGTCGCGACGCGACCAGCCCAGCGAGTTGACCGAGTCGCGGAACGAATTAGAGGTCATGGCTGCGATCTGCCTCGTTTGCCCGCGGTAGGGTCTGATTTGCGTTCCGGATAACGAGGGTGGGTGGGGAAGGTGAAGGGGGTGGGTAAGGGAGAAAGAGAGGCTTTTCTGGCTGCGAAAAGCAGGACACCCCCGGCGTTAGTGTCAACGGCAGGCAGACCAGTGAGGACGCAACGCTAGAATGTCAAGCTGAGGAACCCTCTGCAGGGACTATGCACGGCGGAAACCAATATGTACGTGCAGATGATCTGCAGATATCAACCAAGCCGTGTGTGGGTGAGATGGTGTCGAGCGTAACCCACGATGATAGGACCGAGACGCGGCGGGCCAGATGACTGTTGCGCAAAGCGGACTAAAACACCCGAGGAGCTTGGGCACGGGGCAACTCTGGCACCCGCTAATGGAGTCGTGCTTTCTGAGACTCTCGTCCTCCCCGATAAGCTTGTGATCGATCGCCCTGTCGCGCGGCGCTCGTTATTGGGAGATCGTAACTTTCCCCCGGGGCCGGCTTGAATTTTGGTTTTCGGCGGGAGGGGTGGTGGCCGGGTTTGGTATAGCGGTTGAGTCAGTCGGCGGCAGGAATGACGAGCGACGTCTAATCCAGCCCAGGGAATGTGAACCAGACCAAGGTGGTGAGGGTGTCAAGACCGGATCGATAAGGGCTACTAGCACGACGGCCTGGTGGAGAAGGCTTGCGGAGAATAGGAAGGTGAGGAGGAGGAGGGGAGGGGGCGTTGCTGCAAGATGATGGCAGAGTCAAAATCGCCCGGCGTAACCTAACGGCTCTAGCACGAATCGCTTCTGGACAGGCGGCAGTATTAGCCATCGTCATCTGACTTTCGAAAGGGAGGAGAAGGCGTGAAGAAGGAGGGGGGCCAAAGGGAGGGAGGGGTGCGTGTGGGAGGGTTGAGCAGGTGGTTTGCGAAAATAAGAATAAGAATAATAATAATAATAAAATAACTCAGAAAATCAGATACGACACACCCGGGTTGGAACCGACCAGGGGGAAGGGAAAAAAGGTTACATACCACGAGTAAGTTGGAACGGGGTCTAGTCCTGACAGTCCAACCTGGTTTTGCGATCGATGATGCTATTCTTGTTCGCAGAGACCGGCGTTTGGAGAAGGGATTCGTCGACACGCTGGAGGAAGAGGAATGGAAGTCGAGCTCGGGTGGGTTGGCAGAGCCACCAATCAGCGCCCCGCGCAACGGTGACGGGGGCCTGGTGACGGCACTAAGCCTGAACCGCGCTGGTGACCCCCCGCTGGCTGCCACCCGCCAATCAGCCACTGAGGATGTACCGCAGGGGGCTCCGGCGATGCAATTGATTGGCCACCGGGCTTGGCCCATGCCCTCGCCGGTTGAGACCATTGGAGAGATTCCGCCACCGCCCATGGGGTTTAATCATTTAGCGCCGTTCCCGCTGACCACCGACATGCTTCCATTGTGGTTCTCCTCCGGCCAACTTGATTGCCTGGTACCGCTACTATGAGCCATGTACTAGCCCCCGAGGTCTTTGTCCATGCCTATGAGCAATCGAACCACACCTACATCACTCGCGTTAGCCTGGAACCCACGGTCGATCAATGGAGCCGTCCGAGCAGTATGAATCAACCAATGTGCCTGCCTAAAGAGGCCAGCCGCTTCTCCCTCGGACGACTGGTGCTCTCATCGAAGCCCGACACCGTCCAAGAGAGCCCGCTGCTTGGACCAGTGACGATCGCGAATCCGCCATCAATCCCCTGCTTGGTCTCCTTCCTAGTCCAGTCGATCGTTGCTAGAGCAGCCGTTGATTGCAGAAGTCTACTTGAACTTCATGTACGGGTACGCTGCGGTCTAATCGGAAAGTCTAACGAGCTCGGGGAGAAAGTCTGATCAGAGACATATTACGTAGAGGGGCGCTAGCCTTTTCATCGATCGGAGAGATCATCCGAAGGGGGGAGGGGGGGGGATCATTTACGGCGTAGTGTGAAGCGTTCGATGACATGACCAGTAACTAGTTGGAGGAGACCATCCTGAGCTCGCTGCAGTTGCATACAGCCGATACACCCTCGCTGACGTCGGTTTCTCTCGTGCCTGCGCTCAAATCGTCGGCGGGACAGATGGACGCGGTATCAGCTTGGTGATATCCGATTTAGATTACCTCCCCCGGCCGCAACAATACAATCCACGAACAACACGGCGTAAAAAGGAAACGGAAAGACGAGAAGCGGGTGATAACCCTATCTTATATCCGAGACTACTGGCAAGGGCTCCCATGTTATTTCACCTATCACAAGCGGATATAATCTCCTCCCTCTCCCATAGCCAGACGGGGCGTGCTGCCTACAGGGTGTCATATTAGCCTCGGGGCTGGCGAAGACTAACCGAAGGCAACCCAAGAATGAAAGGATTCGCATCCTGTACGGGGGTCGTTCCTGAAACGCCGAATCAGCATCTGCGAGGGCATCTGCGTAGCAGTAGGTAACAGGCAACCCGGGGTGCGTCTCCAACCGGGCGAAGGCTCCTTGCAGTCAACCGTGGATATCGCGGCCATGCACTCCGAACCTTGACGGGACGGGACGACCACGGGAGCCAAAACCGCCTCCCTCAAGTGAAGACCTCAATCGTCACTCCATTGCCAACCAAGCTGCAACTAGTTGACGGGTAGATGGGGTTTGTCGGTATATGCCGTGCTCTGGTCCCACCCCACACACCGCATCTTTCCTCCGCCATCATGCTTGAAACCCACGACGGAGGAAAGCATGGAAACCATGCCAGTAGGTACGGTACGGTACATCTCCATACAGTCCGGAGGGGAGATAACATCAGCCTGGCATACCGAGCCTTACCCCCGGTGTCGTTACTTGCGCCGCAGCAAGTTTTGGCCGGGCAAACGATGGCAGCAGATTGGAATGAGGGCGTTGATTGGGTTGGGGGTTTGACAGCATTCCATGTCCAAGGTAAAGTCTTCACGGAGCAGCTGAAGGCGAGCTAAAAGATGCCACCCACATTCCCAGATCCGCGGCATTCCAAATCATGGATAGCTGAGCGAGCTCGAGGAATGACCGATAACGAGAATCCCACTCGACGGCCGGATCAAGAAACTAATCAATTAATGCGATTGTTGGACCGGATTAGGCAGGCCGCTAGGGTGCGGCTAGCTCGTCACCCTCACTAGCGCATTGTTTCGCATTGGATTTTGGCCCTTGGAGTCATTTCCCTCGCCCTCTCTGCGCAAGGGAAAACGCCGCGAACCAAAGAGTTTACCCCTCCGGCCTATCACACCCCCCCGCAGACACGCTCGACGCACCTTCGCTCGGGAAGCGACAGGATCTCCAGTCTGCACCGTGACACGGACCGCTCTTGGGGTGTCAGCGTCGAGGGACGCTCGGACGGCCGTGGGGATCCGGGGGTTTGGATTCATCAGCAGCGTCGCCTTGTGGGAGAAGGCAGCGCTGATATCGCGACGGTGCGGCTCCTGCAGAAAATAATATTCGCGCATCCTACTACTCCATCATCATTTGTAGGTGCGTAGATAACTACCGTCATCCAACGCTGCGACTCAAGAATCCAACACTACGACGGAGTACCTTAGGGCCTCACTCCTACACCCTCTCTCGGCCTCTCTCTCTTTGGCGGGTTTAATCGGTTTCTTGGTCCGTCGATCCCCTTAGTGTCCTCCCCTCATCCGTGAATATTCATCCCTCGACCACCAGATATGAAGATCCGATGTTTTTTTGGCCAAACCTGCGCCCGCCGTGCAGGAAGGAGATCGTTTCCCCCATCCATCCCTTCCACATGGTGTCCCACGATCATCCATACATTCCAGCAGTACCCGCCATTAGAGTCGCATTGTCGGCGAGACATTACGAGAGGGTGAATTTCTGGGTGAATTTCTGAAGCTGCCTTTTTTTAATTCATTTTTTTTTTTAAAAAAAAAAATCGTTTTTTATTTTTCTATAATTAATTAATTAATTAATGTTTTCTTTTTTTTCATCGCGAGGGAGGGGGAGATTTCTTTTTTTAACCATCACCAGTAAATGAACTATGAACTTCCCACTGCAATGATGTCATCCCCCCCTCCCTGTTTCATTTCTTCTGAAATATTTCGTGCGTGCAGCTAAGTATTGCTAGTGTTAGTATTGTCATTTGTTATTCTTCTGACTATTTTTAATTGCGACGCTAATTTACCCTCACGCCTCGGGGTCATCATCCCCCTCTTGGTATGTTTGGGGTTTGCCCGAACGGGGCATCTGATACATTCTACTCAACGTCGGTTCTCAAGTCCGCCCGACTTCTGCCAACCAGAATCGCTGCTAATCTTCGTCAACTCCTGCACTAAATTAATCTCAGAGCGCGAAGGGCAAAAAAAAAAAAAAAAAAAAAAGGACCAGACCCCATCGGCCTAGCCTGACTGCGGTGAGTCATGACGGACGGCGAGGAACAGGTGACAAAGCTGGTAGTACCTGGCTGCTCATGGGATGACAGTGGATGCTTTATTTTCCTCCACCGGACTGTACGACCCTCCTTGTTGAACAAGAAGTTGGCGACCGCTATCTGACCTTCTCCCACACCATCTTGCTTTTGACCACACCCCTTTCTTCGACAAATCTGGGCGTTACCGGAGGTTGACACCCTCCATCTTCTACATAGCTTAGTTCGTCGGCTTTTAGTCTCATCGCCACCGGAGTCTTCTGGGGCCCCCTCACGCACTCCTCTCGCCCTTTCGCCAATCATGTTTTTTGGAAAAATGAAAAAAGAAAGAGAAAAAGTAAAATCGAAGTATATATTTTTTAATTTTTGTTTTTATTTTATTTATTTCCCATGGAATTAATTAAAATCAATTTCCAATTCCGATTTCCCTGTTGAAGAAGGAAGAGCGACGCACGTAATTCCCGTCGTGAGTTTATCAAGCCTCGTCGATTTGAGGATCGACATCCTGCATGACCATCGCTGTGATATATCAAATGAGAGCCGGCAAAGAACGCCTCGAGTGCCCTTTAAAGCCTCCATTCCCTCGCTCATTCGACCTGCCGACCTTTCTCTGGATTCCCATTTGATTCCATTTCTCTGTCTCTGTCGCTATCGGGATATCCTGTATTCCACTTGCTCTGACCATCCCAGCAACTTTTGGTTATTCCTTTTGCTCCTACTAGCTCATGGGCTGCCTCCAGGGAAGGTTACTTGAAACCAACTGATTGATTCGACGCTCTTCTCTTACCGCTTGAGCTCGAGCCTCCTCGTCGTCTTTGCGACGGTTCTGTATATCCAGCAGGGTGCATGTAAGTTCGCAACCGAACCACTTCCTTGCTTTTTTCCCTTCGTTTTTTGCTCCTTCCTTTTTCCCTCATCGGTTCCTCTCTCCCACCCTGGTTCCGACCTCTCCGTGGTACATGTTCATGGCCATCCATGGCCATTCCCACCGCGGCGCAACGAGGCTCCATAAGAACTGGTTGGTTGCGCTGGGCTTTGCTTATGCCGCTGTCTCTACCTCGTTGTGATTGGACTCGGCGATACGCATGCTATCCTCGCCACGTGTGAAGAGCATAGTAGTCTTTTTAGGCCCGCTTCCTTCCTTGAGGCTTTTTACCCGCTCTACTTTCCCCTATATATACCTCGGATCCCCACCGTCACAACCAAGAAGCTGATCTGATTGATTTGTTCTTTCCAGGAACATAGATCAACCATCTAACGAATCTGATCATTTATTTACCATCATATAGACAGGTTAGTGCGCATGTCTCCTTTCTGTTTTTTTTTTCTCTGCTTCCTTCCTTTGCCTTTTGTCTTGGGTTCGAGTGTTTGTGTTTTTTTCACCTACTTGCGCACCCGGGGGCCCTCACCGAGAGCTGTGAATCTCCCCCTCTTTTCCAACTCCGGCTTTCTCCTGGGTTCACCGAAAAGCAAATTGACTGCGGCACCCACCCCCGAACCCTGCATACTGCATGCTTTACTCAGCGGGGGGAAGGGAAGGCGACACGGATGGCGACTCCTTGAGGAACCCGTTGCGGGGCTGCTGATTCGACGGCCCAAACGCCCAGACATGCCAGAAAGGGCTGAGTCGCCGCGGGGCAACGATGTGGTTCGAAGACCGTCTCACAGACTCTCAGACCCCGAGGCGGGGAGAACTCAGTTCCTGGTTGGACCGAGGCGGAGCGCTGGAATCCGGCAGCGGCGAAAAAAGAAAAGAGCAGAACAGGGAGAGAGAGTGAGAGGCAACCGAAAAAGCAATCTTCGACACGACGTTGCACGTCCTGGAGGCATCCTGGAGGCATCCTGGAGCCATCCGGGATCCACGATCCAGCAGCGGTAGTGCCGCTGGCCACCGCCCAGACCGCAGCTCACCGCCCCTCATTTCTTTGACTCTCGCTCTCCCTCTCGCGTCGCGCTTCTTCTCTGCTTCGGCGCCAAACCCCACTGGCTCTGGTTGCTCCAGTAATCAATCAATCGCTCCATCCGTGATCGCTTTCTATTCTCCATCTCTCCACACCAGCTACGCTCTCCCCCTCCTCCTGGGCTCCCCCTACATATCTCTCCAGTCCGGGTGCCCGAGCTGGCTTCTTTTCCCGCCTGAGTTTTACTGTGCGAACCACTTCCGGGCAGAACTCCAGCTTCGGGAATTTGTCCGACTCAGCCGGTCCTCTCTCTCTCTCTTATCATCTCTGTCTTGTCTGGCGCATTGTTCCAGCCCGTCAGTCTCCGCGGACCCGTCGTGCCCACCTTTTGGCTCTTTCCTTTCTTCTGGACTGTCTCGCTCGCTTATGGCCGTGACTCCTTAATCTTTCTTGAACTTTGTTTTGTTTTTTTCCTTCTTTTTTTTCTCGGTTCTGATTGACTTTGCTATCCCGTCTTCTCGGTCGCTCACGGTAGAATTTTCCAGACTTGTCCCCTATTTCCATCTTTGTGCGATCGACGCCACCCGGCGCTGCCGCCTATTGGACTTAGAATTCCGCCCACGATACTGGCATTTGCCGACTTGTCCGCTTTCGACTCATACTTTTTTTTCTCCTTTCTAAACCATCCCCGTTCCCTTGTCTAGCCTTGCCATTCATATTTGGCATCAACCGCCCCTCGCATCCGCCTCGAGTCACCTCGCTCTTACAACCAATTGCATCTCATCATCTCCATCAAGGGGGTGTGTGTCTCTAACGCCCTGTTTCCCCATATTACTCCGTATCCTGGTGAGTGTCTCAGTCCGCCCCTCCTCACAGTGTCTGGCATCCTCGACCAGGACCCTGGGGGCATTCGCTCTAGTTGAACTCGAGAGACGAGGTATATTAACTCATCGCCTTTCTCAGGGTTTTAGACGCAACTTAGTTTTTCTCTTACTTTTGATGCCTTGACTCCGGTGACTAGTCTCACTCGCTAGATTTTGCCATCTTTACCCATCGAATCTTATCATCGTTGCCTCGACCCAAAGTGGTCGGAATACCCTTGCGACGCCAAGTGTCGCATTGAACTCTCGAGTTGGATCGGATTGTTACCGAACTTTTTTCTCTTTTCTTTCTCTCGTCTTGCCCGTGAGTTTGGATCTCGGACTGTAAGGGGTTCCCAGTGGAGACATCTTCTCGGCTTTCTGTCCGGGACTTGTACATGCTCGCTACACTATGACCGAAACGAGCATCTTCATAAAGAGTGACCCTGACGAGCACAACAGTGACCATTTCATGATGTCGCATTCCGGCTACATGTCCAATCAATTTGGCAACACCGACGGTGTTGACCCCTCGGAACTTACCATGCAGAACGGCGGATTTATGTCCTATCCTTTTGGTTCTCAACAGAATATGTCCTCGAGCTTCAATTTCGGGAACTCCGGGATTGACACCGATGAATTACTGGATCTGGAAATCAACGGCCACAACAACGGGATTCATCGCGCCGACAGTATGAACTTTCTCCAGGACCAGACCCACTCCAGTGCCGGGATTTCCATGAGCCACCCCGGCCAGATGTCGCAAATGTATTCCAACACCCCGGAGGGAGCTCCGATGCACAGCCCATTCATGCATAACAGTTTCAATTATGATCAATTCCGGGCGATGAACCAACAAGGGCAGCAGTCCGCCCCTCACATGCAAAGTGCCGGCTCCCATTTCGAACAAAGCTACCTCAATGGCAAGACACGACCCAGCCTCCAGGCAGTGGATCGCTCCGCGGATGGCCGCAGCCCCATGACTCCGAAGACTCCGGCCCTGGGCGCTCTGACTCTCGGCACGCCCGAATCAGGGAGCTTCCCCACTCAGCCCATCCGCACAGGACTCCAACACCGCCATCAGAAGACCCTCTCCAACCAGTGGGATGGGACGCCTGGAAGCGCCCACTCGTATGTGGAATCTCCTATCTCATCGCCCAGCCATCCTCACCACGCCGGGATATCCGAAATCCTCAAATCGGGCAAACACGCTTCCTTGCCGGCCAAGGTTGATGGCCACATGCCCGGTAGTGCGCAGGATCTGGAGTCGCAGGAAGCCAAGCGACGTCGCCGCAGGGCCTCTCACAATCTCGTCGAGCGCCGCCGGCGTGACAACATCAACGAGCGGATTCAGGATCTCTCGCATTTGGTCCCTCAGCACCGACTGGAGGATGACAAAGTCCGGAAGCAGCTGGTCAACAACACGACCATGTCCGCTGCGGGAGCCAACCCGAATGCCGCCACGTCCCTGCTGGCAGGCGGCAATGGCCGTCGCGCAACGGCGGGTAACATCACCATGGGTCTCCCCATCGAGGAGAAAGAGAAAGGTCCCAACAAAGGTGACATCCTGAACGGCGCTGTGGGGTGGATGAGAGACCTGATGTGGGCTCTGCACGTCAAGCACCAGCAGGAGGCCGAGCTGGCCGAGCTGATCAGCAGCCTCGGCGGAACCTGGCCCTTCGAGCAGACGGAAGAAGAGAAGCGGATGCGGACCGAGATTCTTGACGCGCTCGAGAAGAACGACCCCAGCTCGTTCAGCTACAGCAGAGCTCCCGGGACCGGTCTTCGGGTGCCGAAGCATACGAATATGGCCGGAGATGCTGTTTCGGGCAACGGCGCCTTGAGCCCTCAAAGCCTTAGCCCATCCTACAACAGCGGGGCCAGCACCAACAGCGGAGGTGCCGGCCAAGCACAATACTGGAGCACTTCGGGCCACGCCGGAATGAGCTTCAAGGAGGAGGATGAATACGCCATGGAGATGAACTAGCGACGAGGCGTGGTTTTCCTGCCTCTTCCTTCACCTCATCCTTTTCCCCTTGACAATACTATTCGATACATCCACGAACACATGTCATGACCTGTTTCACACCAAGGGCGTCCAACGGAGAAACAGGAGCAATTGAACCGGCGTACGCGGTAGTCTTGACATATTCACATCCGACTTCTAATGACTCTGCTCTTTCAGTTTGTTTCTGTTTCATGGGTGAGATTTAATTGCTTTGTTTTCCATGGATTATGGGTTGATCGATCTTGTCTTCTCTTGTTATTACTTGAAGCTTCTTTTTTATGGTTATTATTATCTTTTATTCCATGCCTTTCGACTCTGCTTTGAAGTTTATGCGTTTATTTGGGTCGGACTATGTTTATCCTGCTTTACTCTCCCCTTTGACCATTATTGCATCCATGTTGCTCTCATCTTTTGTCTTCGTTGCACTACAACGTACCCTGGGTGGCCTAGATTGAATCCAACATTAGTCGGGTCATTCCTCTCGCGGTACCCTGGCAGGGGCAGCGCCTCGCCCGGTTGAGCCGTCGTTTGCCCTTACTTTGTTATGCTTATGTTTCTTTTCTATTCTTTTCTTTCCTTTCCTTTTTCTCTTTTCCCATCGATACCCTTTTCATTTTGCTGCTTTAATATTCTATGCCTGCTTGTTCTGCTCCTATTTCGGTTTTCTACGGGTTTTGTATTTCCTGTTTGGTCCATATTACTTGATCATCGTCTTTGATCGTTGTCATCGGCTTTGCATTGATCATGATATTTTGTGCTTCTTTACGTGTAATGTCCGTGGATGCTCCTAGGAATTGATGATATAACGGTAACGCTGAATTCCAGAACAATTTTGATATTACCTTCTACCACCTAGTAGTCATGGCTCCTACTTGATTACTTAGTGATTGTCATCTATTGTCTGCACTACCGCTGCCCTACTGCCCTGTTACTCCAGAGTAGATAGTAGTCATATGCTAAATAGTCGGACCATTTGAGTAGTCCCGCATTCTATTCCTACGTATGTATCACTTACACTGCACGCATGTATATCATCTAAGCAGGAAAGATGGAAATCACCGATGGTGACAAAGGGGGTATTGGGTCTGACACGTACATCCAAGTTCATCATCGCCGAAGACACAATAAAAAACACGACAGACAGACAAACAGACAGATATGCAGATGTGTAGATAATAGTCACGAGACGAGCATCCTTTAATCGCACACTCTAACCAAAAGTCGATCTATTTGCAAAGGAAAGAAGAAAGAGAGGCAGAGCAAAAGAGAGAGAGAGAAAACCACCGAAGGTCTAGAATTTTATCAACGAAACAGGAACAGAATTTACTCGCCCCGCATTTGACGGAAGAAATCCATGACACCGGTGAACACCACCAGCAGGATACCACCGCCAGGACCGAGACGGAGCACCTTGGGGATGAATCCCTTGTACAGGGCGCCGAATCCCTCCTCCTTCATGACGGTGCTGACGGCGGGCCAGGCCCAGTTGTACTTGGGCGTTTGGCCGGGCACCTTGGGGCTGTTCTGGATGCGCGACTTGACGACATCCATGGGGGTGTTGAGGATGGTACCGGCGGTACCACCGATGGAACCGGCCAGGAGGTCGTTACGGGTCTGCTGGGCCTTGTTGCCCGGCTCGGCGGCGGGCAGCTGCGCGCGCACCTGGAAGATACAGCCGAAGTAACCGCTGTTCCAGAGGATGTGACGCCACAGGGTCGACTCCAGACCGTTGTACATGGCCATGGGGCCCTCGGTCTTGACGATCTTCTTCACCACGTCCAGCATGCCGTTGTACTTGCCGGCGGAGGCGCGGTCCTGCAGACGAATCTTGACCAGCTCGAAGGGCACCACGACGAAGGACTCGGTAGCACCGGCCGTGGCACCCGTGAGCACGGCCAGACTCTGGTTCTGCTTCTCCACGCCGAAGAGGCCCCGGTAGAACGATCCCCAGCTGTCGTTGGCGGCGAACTTGGTCGCACGCTTGGGCGCTTCCATCAGGATGGGGGCGCTAATACCACGGTATAGTCGGGAGAAGCTACACGGATAATCGAGGGCATCGCGTTAACGGTCGGGGTTGAGAGATGAGACTAGGCTTGTCGGTTGGATTGGGAACGAGACCGGACGGCTCGGGTTTTTTGGGGGGTTTTGGAGCGAGGACAAGACGTACCCTTCATTCTTGACGATCTTGCGCAGGCAGTCGAACATGCCATTGTATGCCTCATCACCGGTAGCGGTGGCCGTCTGCAGTTGGCTGTGGCGGCGATTGTTTGTCAGACACTTCCAGGTCCTTTGCGGGTCGGGTCGGGGACAATTCGGGCGGGTAAGTCCTTACACTCGGGTCTTGACCACATCCAATGGGTACCTGAAAGCGTTTCCACGGTTAGCAAGGACGTCGCGGAGGCTGAATTGAATTGGAGGGAATCGGCGTACATGACGAGAATCTGGATATCGGGTCAACGGTTAGTCATGGGGCTATTGGACTAGCCTGGTCGTAGGCTCCGGTGAGGAGAACGTACCTCCGACACACCAGCCACCGCGCCGGCGGCGAACTGGTAGATGAAGGGAAGGGGCTTCTGGTTTTCCGACATGATGGCGGAGGAAAAGAGGGTGGATGAAAGAAGAGGGAGGGAGAAGCGAAAGGGGGGAGGACAATTGGGGGAGGAGAGGAGAGGAAGAAAGGAAGGGGAGGAGCGAAGAGGAGAAGAAGTTGGACTCACCGGGGAATCTCCCGAAGGGGAAAACTCACGCCCGGCCCCACGTGCCCACGCGGGGAACCTTTTTCGTTCTGCCGCGGGTCTTTCTTTTCTTTGTCCTCGACTCTACTTTGTCTTCAAAGTCATCATCTATTATTCGTGGTCGCGTATCTCATCTATCTCGCACACAGTTTCATCCCATCGTCCAGAGCATGCCCATCATGCTGACTCCCACGATCCTCGTCCATTCGGACCAATTCCGACTCGCCGCATTGGTCGGCGCCTCCTTGGCCACGGTGCCTGTCGCCGTCGCTGTCGCTTGAGCGGTACAGCTCGAACCGCACGCATATCCCGTCGGACAACAGCCTCCACCCGCGGTGTCGGCGCAACTGAACCAGCCAGTTGCGCATCGTCCTCCGCCCGTCGTCGCGGCCCCCGTCGTCTCGACCGGAACCACGATCGTGCGGTCATTGGTCGTGATAGTCTTGGATCGCGTGGATGGACACGAGGTGGTGTCGCAGTCGCGACCGGTCTGACAGCATCCTCCGCGATACACGGCCGAACACGCGTAGAATCCAAGGGGACACACATCGCCCGTTTCCCTGGTGTCGGAAGTGGTGGCCGTCGAGAGACTCGTGGGCCGAGCAGGAGGGGAGAGATCCCCGGTTGACTTGGTTTCCTTGCTGCTAGTAGAAGCAGTGCTCTCGGCACTGCTGGTGGTGGTGGTATGCTCGACTGTGCTCGTCGCGGGAACAGTCTGGGTGGAAGTGGATATCATCACGGTCGAGGACAGCGTGATTGTGATTGTGTAGACTCTGGCACCTGGGGAGAATTTGTTAGAAGAGAGCCAAATGTAGAAAACGGTCACAAGCTTACAGCCACCAGTGACACATTCATATCCCGGAATACAGCACCCGCCGCCCTGCGACGCCGAACAACTCGAATACCCCTGCTTGCACTTCCCAATCGTGCCCGAGCAGTCCTGTCCGCTCGGACAGCAGCCCACATCGCCAGATCCGGTGTCCTTGACTAACTCGCAAGTCTCACCGGCATTGCAGCAACTGTCGGGGCGATCGATCGAGGCGCAGGAAAACGTGCCGGTCGGGCATTTAAAATCTCTGCGAAACAGCGGTGAGAGCTGCGCAGCCATCCAGCCATGACCGTCACTCGCAGGGTCCCGACGATCCAGCAAAATAGAAGGATGATGAGGGTACGATCGCGGGTGGACATCGAGTCGTTCTTCGGTCGTGAGATGTTCGTTGGCTGTGCCTTGTCGCTCTTGTCGATGCCTCGTCGTATTGATTCCATTGCTATCCAACGCATCTTCCTCGAAATACCAGTAATCCAGGAAGAATTTCTCGCCCTCGTCGTTGCTCATCTTCTTGACCCCGCGGACCGGTTTCTGGGCGAGATGGGCCTGAATGACGGCATTGCGCTGGAGAATGTCATCGGGGATCTGCGACAGATTGGCATGGGCATCGCTATGTGCCGCAGTAAACACTGCAAAGGCCGGTCCCAGCCCGACTAGGAGAGGAGTGAACAACATGAAGGCTCGTTGGACTGATTGACAATTGGCTAGAAAATAACAAGCCGATCTTGAACAGTCGAACCATGGAAACTGAAGGAGATTTGGAGTCTGAAATGGCCGATCAACTCGAAGAAATCCGATGGCTGGGCGTATTGACCGTATTGACCGTATTTACCGGGGGGTTTCCGCGGATGCTGAGTCATCTATGCTGACATAACTAGTCCACAGCCTGGCCAGAACTTATACTTCAATGCTGCTCAATCTAAACTTCCACCATGCCTTTCCGTGTATAAACGCAATTGATGGGTGACAGACCCTCGGTTTTGCAGGTGGATTTAGAGCAGAGGTGGCCCGCTCGCATGTGGTATACATTCCGCGGTTCTTCCATTGTTGTATCGATCCATTATAACGATCCCAGATTCAACTCCAGAGGTGAATCAAGACCACAGGGCATTCACTATCTCAACAGACGCGTGCTCGGACACGTCTCCTATTGGTAGTTCCTCCAAAGTGGATTTTCGCGATTCTTTCGACATCCAGGTTGAGGGCGGCGTGTGATTGGCTCAAGAGCTGTAGACTGCCAGTCGCTCGCAGATGGAACAGTTCTGGAACGAGATCTCGACCGTGGTTCTGCCTGGGATCGGCTGGTTTGCATTCACCGTTGCTGGGGTGAGTCACTCGATTCTAGGCTGCTCTATCTGGGGAATATGTAGAGAGCGCCAGGATGGCTCTCTATGATTCTCGATGGACAATTCCTTTTCATTGCCCTAACCGAAGCCAAGGGGATTCTAAAGGATGATAGACCGACAGGCAAGTGCGGGTGATAAGGGTTGAACTTCTGGATCGTTTGCTATTGCGACTGATAGTAGTCGATTATCCCGAGATCTACAGGATATCTCATCGCGCATTGGCAAGTTCAACTTGACATTTCATTTCTTTCTGTCTACAGAAAAGAAACCATCGTCGATCATTCATCCCATCCATCCCATCCTTCGGTAAACTCATAGAACGACACGCATCTAGTAGAGAGTAAACGCCACCACATGAAATAAAGAACAGCCACCAGGTCAAAGAACAGACCCTCTCAGACCAAACCTAGTCTCTTCCCATCATAGCCTTGACAGCAAACTGAACGAGCGAGTTCTTGACATGAAGCTCCCACAGCCAGAGGACCGTATCCCACCTCCCAAGGTCCAATCCGAACCGAGTCCCGAGTCCAGAACTAACACCAACACCCGAGACTCCGGGACTGGAATGTTCGAAAACACCGAGCTCGCCTATGCGTGCCCCTCGGCCTCGAACCGACGGGATGATGGTCTGGTCGCCTTCCGGGAGCAGGCGCACCTCCGTGAGCGTGAGGGCAATCCGAGCCGGGAAGTACAGCAGCAGGCGGCAGAGCGTGACGAGGATCAGGGACGCCAGTTTAGGCTGCCAGGGCTGAGCGTTGCGGAGCACGTGCTCGGGGACCAGGAAGAGGGACAGACGGAGGAACAGGCGAGGGAAGTTGTTCAAGAGGATCTGCACGGCGGTTAAGAAAAGGGACGGGAGGGCGAGAATGCGCCAGGTGGAGGGGGACGATTTCTCGAGTGAGGAGGAGGCCGGCGTGGACGACGAGGGGATGCAGATCATGGCCTGCGTCCATGCGAGGTGGAGGCTGCTGAGCAGGATGCTGGAGAGGAGGCGCGCGGCGTACGGCACGAAGGAGCGTGGACCGAAGAGCAGGCGTCCGATCTTGTCGAGGAAGAGAGTCAAGAGGAGGACGGAGACGTTGTAGACGATGGCGGCTTTGACGCCCTTGAAGAAGACGCGCAGGCCGACGGTGCACACCATGAAGATGATGGCGCTCAAGACGCTGCGCGAGACGGGGGCCGGGGCTGCGATGTTTAGGGGATCGGCGCTGGTGTGCATCAGAGCAGATGCGTGGGTATGCAGAGTCTGACTCTCCAGAATCATCACGACGGCCATGATGTGGCCAAGGAAGTAATGGGTCTTGCAAACGCAGACGCGATGATCAGACGAGGTTCAAGTGTCAGATGGGGGATATGGATGATGATGGCAATGGACTTACAGAGGATTTGATGATTTTGGCTAAACCACGCACGGCCATCAGAGAAATAACAGATGCATTGCGCCGGTTGCCTTCATGAAGCAGTCTTTCCGCCTCGACAAAGAAGTAGTTGTCACTGCTGGCGTAGAGCAGGACATTCAAATAACGCAGCAAAAAGCCGCAGAGAAGGTGAGGGATCTGATCGAGAAACATGATTGCTGCGAGCTTAGATGGAAGACGGACTGTACAGGGATAGGGCTTCACGTGGATTGGAAAGAGGACTTGTTTGATCCGAAGGAAATGGCCGAAGAGAAGAGAGAGAAGAAAACAAAGTGAAGCAAAGAAGAGCTGCCTACTAGGTACAGGAGTGTAACGTTACGCCGAGACTTTAGGTTACGATGGCCAGGATGAAGGCTGGAGATGAGCGTGAGGTGGTGGGTGTTAGGGCTCGCGACAGGGAAATGCTTGGGATGATCGTGCAAAGAGGCACAGGCAATCACGGTACATGATCATAGATTCACTCTGGAGTATCAAACTTAAAGGTCTGGAGGGTGTAGACTTATATCAAACCATTTCATTCGATACCAACTGTAAGAGATAGTAGAAGATAGGGCAACATGACTATAGAAAAGCACTATAAGAGGCCAACGGACAGTCAAAGACATGTACTCAGGGCAGACTTCAACACAAGATATAACCTCGATAACAGACTCATCGTGGAAGATCCAAATCAAGCTGCCGTCGGCAAGCATTGTGAATACCACTCATTGTACGAAGAGCAGGCTGCGCCGGTCGAGCACGCCGTCGGACCAGCCCATCCACTCCCACCGCACTGGCCGTAGTTGGACTGCACCGAAGTCACGGAGCCCCCGGCCGTTGTGGTCCTCGTGGCACTGGTCGTGGTAGTGGTGGTAGCTCGAGTGGTCGTACTCAGCGTAGTCGTCGTCGCACCCGCGGTGGTAGTAGTGACACCACCGCCAGAGCCGGTCACTGGAGTTCCCGATGCCGTGATCTTCGAGCTCGACTGCACAATTGATGCAGCGCCTGGGATAAGCGTCGGACCCGGAACCACATACGTGGACAGCGACTTGTAGATATCGACCAGAATGCCCGCGTCTGTGGGCTTATACAGACTGGTACCTCGAACGCCGGAGGGTTTGGCGGTGCCCGACCCCGTAATCTCCAGGTTGAAGCACTGCATATAATTCTGGGCGCCGTTCTCGCTGAAAGCACCGTGCAGGGCAATCAGCTCGTGTCGCAGCACATAGTGGCCCGGTGCAATGGATGACGGGATCTGAACCATCCAGCTGTTGTTGTTTGCGATGAGCTGGTCGTCGCCCCAAAACCCCGGGACGGTTGAGCCATCGACGAGCCCGACACCACTGATCTTGAAGAATTCCAGACTCGTCTTGTCGACGGTCTCGCAGCTGGAGCCGCAGGGCGCCAGGTAGTCGATGACGGGCCCGTGGTGACTCTCAGGCCACTCGGTCCATTGAATACTGAGTTTATCGCCGGCGGCGACGACAGCGTGACCGCGGGCATTTTTGGCGTCCAGATGGCAGATCACATCGGCGGTGCCAAAAGCGTCTGGAGAGATGAAGCCGTTGGCTGTGTTGGGGGTGCTCCAGGCGATCACCACCGGGGGATTGGAATTGTAAGGATCCGAGTTGATATCGAAGCCCCGGTAGGAGACGCCGTTGATGACCACATTGGTGACGTGCCCGTGCCCGGCGACGTGGGTGGCGAGGAGAGTGGTGAGGAAGAATGAGATGGTATGCATTTCGTGCTTATCCAAAGGACTGTAGTAGTAGATGAGGATGGTTGCGAGAGATGATCAACGAGGGAGCTTGAATCGAGGGTGTAAAGGCCGTTTATATATGCGAGTCCAGGTCATTTAGCCGGTCTATAGGTTCGCAATGGCATCTTCAGTGACTATTTCCATTGGATCGTACATGCGAATGTAGTAGTTGGTTCAGCAAGAATGAAAGATGGCAGATGCAACTCCCAACTCCATCATGAGAACAGGTATGACAAGCGCCACCAGCGCTAGAATGGCGGACGCAACGCCGAGAATACGACGTTTAATCTAAAATGCCGGACAACGCCGCGGGACAAAGCTACGGGCAATTGGTGCCCAGACGGAGAAGAAGAAAAGATATAGTGGCAGATGAGTTGCGATTAAAGTGTTCTGCAGGACTAGTCTTATTTCCCCACGGAGATGATCCTGGAGTGGCGTGCATGCATCTTCGTCAGTCTAGTCCGCTTTGAGAACGGAATAGAACCGGTGGCTTTGGATTAATGTCCTGTCTGTGGGGTATCCTAGAGGACATGGGAGAGATGGAGGGCCATGGGTCAGAGTGAACGTTCTGCAGGCAGCGAGGACGGCATGGGCGATATGCATCCCACATGGAGAAGAATACCGACATCATCGGCAAAATCCAACCTGAACGGTCTAGGTCATTCGTCTGGATAAATCCCGAAGTCAAGTGAATCTGTACTCCCGGAAATGCGGTCAGTTGTTCCGATGTAGAATATCATCTGAACACTTCCCTCGTAGCTATTAATACCGCTCGGATATGAGCCCATCCCACAAAGCCTAGAGAATCGCTCCCCTCGAGTAAAACCACGCCCGAACCTCGTCGATGCCCAAAACCGCACTCAAGAGCATCCGCCCGAACAGATCCACATCCGTAGGCCGCGCCCGCTGCAACACGTCCGTGAAGTTGGCGTCGTAGACCACAAAATGCTCCTTTTCCGTCCAGGCCACCGCAAAGTCGAACGCGCTCTGGGCGTGCCACAGGCCCGCCGAGAAGTACCAGGAATGCACGAGCCCCAGTCGACCATCACACTGCATGTTCGGGTCATCATGGAGGAGTCGATAGATCTGGGTGAAGTAGAAGGTGACTAGGACCGTGCGCCGTGCGGATTCCTGGAAGACCCATGAGGTCCAGAACTCCATGACGGGCTCGATGGATCCAGGGAAGATGGCTTCCGGCTCGAATGGGTCCGGGAAGTGGACGTATTGGAGGAGTGAGAGGGCTGATGATTCTAAAGTCGAGATGAGGGGTTCTGCAGATGCTCGGGCCTGGATGTCTCCGTCGAAGAGGCGCATTATCTGGTAGAGGATCAAGGCCTGAGTGTGGGCCAGGGCCTCCAAGGGGGTCGTGGGGGGACTGGAAGAGAGGAGATCCTGGATGCGCGTTTTGAAGGAAGCTAATATGATTGGAGCGTTTACCTCGTTCCTTGCCATGTACATGGCGCAGCAAGAGAAGGCATCTGAATACCCATATCTTAGGTTCACATCCATTTTACTTTAGCGTGTGCCGGGCTACTTACCCTGCATAGACCGAGGCATTCCGTCTTTATAGAGCTGACGATGACACCACGGGGTCTGGTTCTCCAGAACCATCATGCGCGGGGCATCTTTGAGCATGTCGATGGAAAATTGCAGTCGCTGGGCTATGACGCTCGAGATCGGAGTCGATGACCTTGTTCGCAGTATTACCGATTCGGTCCTCGGTGTTTGTACAATGGATTGGTGATATGTGTGATAAATGTCTGGCGAAGTAGGCAGAGAATAATCAATCACCGGATCCGGCATAGTGCATTGACGAAGTTCTAGATCCGACAACGCTGAGAGGTTGAATTCGGGGAGACATTGGGATCCCACGGAAGAAACTGGCGGTGGATCCTGCGACTGCTCTATCATCGCGAGGATATCCAGTACCGGCTCCTGGAATACCGCCGGCTGATTGCCGGGGTAAACGCAGGTCAAATTCCTTCGCGCACATCGAAAACAGGCCGGAAAGGCGAGATCGCAGCGTCGCTTGGCGTTTTTGCATGCTTCACAGGACTTCCGCCGCGGTGGGGGATTGGATCGCTCTGTGGACGAATTGGAAGGCTGCATCGTGGCAGCTGAATAGTGGCTCCTGACCCTGTCGTTTCAAGAACGGCTGGGAATGGAGAGTCGAAGTCGAAGAAAACAAGGGAGCGGCGACGGTGGAGCCTGGAAGGGCGGAGTTCCGCACGCTAATCGATCTAGAGTCCAGATGCACGTCCGGCACCAATCAGCATGAGACTCATGACGGTGTGAAGTGGAGTTCCGCAGGATTGCCGCAGACAGAGCCCATTGAAGTAGATCGTGGAATGTTGACCGAGGAGTCGAGCGACACCAGGGGTCTGTATATAAGGGCTCACACCGGCAATGTCTTTCTCTCTCGCCAAACCATCATTTCCATCTTTTCTAAGCAGACAAAGAAACAATCAAGCACCTCATACCTCAAAATGACCCCGAAGATTTTCGTCTGCGGAGCGACTGGCACGCAAGGCGGCGCCACCACCCACCACCTTCTCCAAAAAGGCGCCTCTGTGCACGCTCTCGTCCGCGATCCCAATTCTCACGGTGGACAGAAACTCCAAGAAGTCGGAGTCACCGTCACGCCGGGAAATTACGACGACGAAGACTCCCTCCGAAAGGGCCTGCAAGGCTGCGCCGGCCTGTTCCTGAACCTATCGCCGGACTTCCAGAACGAAAAGCACGAAGTCGAACAAGCTCGTCGAATCCTTTCCATCGCCAAAGCATCCGGTGTCAGTCGAATCGTTTATGCCAGCGCGTTCGCCGTCAACGATCCCGAGCGACTCACCGCATGGGACCCCAACGGTTTCTTGGGCAAGATAATCTTGTCGAAACAAGCCATCGAGAACGAAGTCCGCGCCGCTGGGTTCGATTCTTGGACCATCATTCGCCCAGCCAACTTCATGTCGAACTACCTCTCCCCCCTAGCGACGATGTTATACCCTGGTTTGGTCGAAACGGGTGTCTGGACCACGGCCCTGTTGAAGGAGACCCTCGTGCCCATGGTCGACCCTAACGACATTGGACGGTTTGCGGCCGAAGCTATCTTGGATCCGTCGCGGTTCCACACGAAGGAGATTGACTTGGCGTCGGAATTGTTGACCGCGGAGGACATCTTGAAGGAACTGGCCCAAGCGACAGGTCGGCAGTTCAAGGCGCACTTTCTGACGGAAGAGGAGATAAATGCGCAGGCGGCTGTGAATCCGATGATTAAGGGACAGCTGGGGATGCGCGATATGTATCGATTTGTGAACATCGAGGATGTGAAGGCGTGGGGATTTCCGTTGGGGACATTTGGAGGGTTTTTGGAGAGGAAGAAGGAAAGCGTCGGAAAGACTTACTCGGTTTGAGTCCTCAGGCAGCATGTTCCCTAGCACTTCATTTATCTACTAGCAACGACTTCAAAGCATATCATGTCTAGACCTACGGTGCATCCCAGACAGATAATGATGTAGACCTTACCCGTATACTCTAGGTCTCATCGACCTTCTCATGGATTCTTTGGTTAGGATTCTTGTATACTCCAGCTCACCCTGCCCAGACTACTAATCGATAAAGGAAATGTTCGATATAAAATGTTTGTAAAGTAGTAAATTCCGATCAGACCATGTATGCGCCACTTAAGATATGAGGGATAAAGGTAATCTATCAACAAGCACTGGTAATTTTTGGTTGGAAAACATTCAAATCCCATGACCGAAGCGTTCGTTAAGAAAATAAAAAGGAAAACTCAAGGAAAATCATTAGCCTCCATGCCTGCCGTCCAAATCGACATAAATCAACCAGCTCATCGTTCACATCATCATCTTCCGCCGGGACGCAATCGTCCGCAGATTGCCATACACCTTCCCGGGCGGCGAACCCAGCACCAAACTGACGACGGCCTCCCGGGCCATGCGAATATTCTGGAACCCGCCCAGAATGTGCACCTTCTGGCCGGCCAGGACGATGCGCGTCCGCGACGCATTCTCAATCGAGTAGCGCATCTTGCCGTCCTTTCCGGCAATACGACCGATCGCACGGGCCAGATGGTCTCCCTGCAAACTCATCTTGACGTCCTTGATCTCGAACGTCTCGATGAAGAGGTCGTCCAGCCGCAGCAGCGCGATGGCGTCCTCCACGTCGAACCCGTATGCCAGCGCCCGCACGAAATCCTCGCCCTTCTGCAGCGCCCCCGAGTCCGTCGTGAACTTCGAGCTGCGCATCTCCACCGACTTGTTCTTGATGTTCATCCGGACCTGCAGCTTCAGGTGGTCGCAGAGAGGAGGGTAGATCTTGGGCCACTCGGCCTTGATGGGCGTGAATCGGTGCGGCGGAATGGGCACCTTGCGGGTCTGGATGTGCACGAGATTTTGTGGTTGCGAGTCCGCGGTGAGGTGGATGGGGGCAGGAGGAGCGGAGTCCATGTCGACGAGGACTTCATCGTCGTCGTTGGCGGCTGAATTTCGGTTGGTTTATCGATTAGCGGGGAAGATATTTTTTTTTTAGGATCCAAGACTGGAGCAGGTCAGACTCACCAGGTGCGGCCTGGGGGACGCCGGTGTTGAAATCAATGACGGGTTCGTCTTCGGTGCGCCGCAGCGCCGTAGGAGCAGGCATTTTGGAATGGAATGTGAGATCGACCGAGAACGACTGGAGCGATGAAGTCTGGATTTCTTCTTTTCGAAAATCGAAGGTTTTCCATGTGGGGCGTCACGTGGGGTCATGTGATGGGCACCGCAGCCCTAAGTCGATCGCATATCGAAGACAACTCGCATCCTGTCGCTCGTCGCATTGGGTCCTCGAGCTGGATCTGATCGAAGACTTCCTGATGAATCCTTGTCGACACCTTCCAATTCAGTCTGATTCCAAGGTTGAGTTCGTGTCCGCTCGTCAATTCTCCGGTTGGGCTGAACTACCATCCAGAATAAAGTATCAACCAAACCGGTTTTCAACGACCTAAACTACTACTTTTTCATTCATTTTGAAGATTCTAAACCCAAGAATTTAATTCTTACAGCTTACATGCTGTATCTTTCTCTGCCGCCCATCTAATCAACGCATCCCCCCGTAACCGATCCATCGCCTCCGGTTCCAAATTCACCCGAACCTTCCATGGCGACTCTCCAGAAGTCCCTCCACATCGTGGATGAATCGAACAAAGCCCGTTAATTCTCGTCTCCAAATGATCGAAATTTACTATCTGACCCAGCACCGGGCCAAAATCCCACTGACGCAGGTCTAGCAATCGCAGATTTGTTACGAACGTATCTGGGAAATAGAACGATGCGTCTTGACAGTCCTGGCTTGCTTTGATATGCCTCACCACCTGACGAACATAATGACCGTCCACAACCTGTATGGTATGACGAACCTTGGATGCGAGATTGGCCAGTACCAATACTTCGTCTTTGTCGATGGAGGTGGCGGTGGTAGCCCTGGGGGCCTCCATTTCATGACGCACGTGGGTGTCGGATGCGACAACCATGGCGTTTCCAAGGTAGGTTAGGGGAATCGGAGGCTTCAGGATGTCACGGATGTCACGGATGCTGACTGCCACTCCGAGGCGAGTGGTTTCTGTAGCATAAGTATTTGACGGTGGCGATAGCAACTGGGCTCGGGACCGAGCGCGCGTCGTGCAAAGCCACAGCAGCGCGGAGAACACGTCGCTAGTTGAGAGCTCATTGACAGACTTTCTATCTCCATTGCCTGCATCCTTCTCCAGACACGACTGTTTGAGAGCGACATTGCAGAGTATCCCTAATTGACGAATCCTCTTGGCCGAGAACAGGAACTCGCAGCTTATGAGACGAGACTGCGACCAGTGATCGGGACCGTAGCTTTGCATGTCCATGAAGGATCCGTCGGTTGAAATATTCGATAACCTGGCTCGAACAGAGGCCTCGGTAAGAGGGGACACAGGGAGACGGGGCTTGCCAGGACTGGCACAGCATAAGCCTATCATCCTCACTATGTTCATCACTCCCAATCCATCCATGGCAGCGTGGTGAATTGATATACATAGGATCAGTCCATCAGTCATAACATTGATACAAAACCGAATGACAGGGCTGATCTCCTTGACGTTCAGTGACATAGGGATCGGGAGGAAGGTGTCGCTAGAGAGGCTATCGTTGAAGCCAAAATTAGGCTCGTGGATAATGGAAATGCTTTGTGGATGAGTCTCAATGCGGATTACCGGGTCCTCCTCTAGATATTTGTCACTAGGAGGCTCCACGGAGCCCCCGTTGCCCGGATGGAGAACAACATTGCCGGCTAGGAATGGAAGCTGTGCCACGAGACGGGAAATACCGTGCTCCAATGCTTCAACTCCTGCTGGAATACTGGGAGGAGTGAAGACGAAGACGAGAGGCACATGGATGGGTAGGTTGACCCAGTCAAGCGGTGTTAAAGTGTAGGGCTCGAAGGAGAGTGGATGTGTTTCCGCAGCAGCTTTCAAGGCCATGGTGTGAACTGCTGTATTTTCTTCGGTCGGACCCAGTATTCGAGGTCGGCAGCTTATATCTCATTTCTGTGCAAAGCCCGATGACTCTCAGTCATGTGTCAAGTCAGGGTATTCGACGCCATTACGCTGGAATCAAGGATCGGGTAGTATCAACCATGGTTCATAGCCAATGCGTAAGCTTATAACTAGTAGGCAAACCTGAATACGAGCCTGTCATGTCACCTGGGATTTTATATTGGCTTTACACATTCTTGAAGTATACGTAAGCTCACGATCCGGCATGGCTAACGGCCATCATTCTCCACCGTACTCGTCTCATACACCTGCAGGCTATAACTCGCAAACCGACTTCTCTTTCGCAACGAGACTCCATACCGACTGAGCAACACCGGCGCCACACAGAAAACCGTCGCGATAGCCGCCAATACCGACACCGCTACGTTCGTTCCCAGCGACTCGAACATCCTGGGCGTGAACAGGGGGAATAGAGCCCCCAACAACGACCGCAACATACTCAGTGCTGCCTGTGCGCTACCTGCATAGCTCAAATAGCTGTCTGCGATATAGCCCGCATAGACGGTGGCGAACTCGTTCAGTGCGAACCCGATGAAAAACAACGTCAGCACTGACACAATCCAGTGCACGTCCGGGACCATCGGCGGGATCGTCCATGCAAAGAGCCACAATGCGCCTGCGAGAACAGGGGCTCCGAGAAAGAGTCCGGTCAGTTTGGACTCTGGACCGATGGCGTGGCCCTCTTTTCGTAGTTTGGACCGTAGCCGTTGGTCGAGGAGCCGCGAAGGGATGTTGAGGAAGATGGCTAGGCTGAAAGCCACGAAGGGTAAGTTGGACTGTGCTTCCGTGAAACCGAGTAGAGGGTATATAATGGGGAGAGCCTCGGTGAAGAGATAGATGAGGGCCATGCAGGCGCCGTTCATCAGTGCCACGGTGAAGACGATGGGCTCAGTGAAGAAGAGTTGCAGTGGCCGGAAGAGTGAGAGACGCACAAACATCTTCATGTCGGTTACATGGTCTGGGTTAAATGCTTCTAGGGAATTGTTGCCTGTTATCTCGCGCACTTTCTTCACTTCGCGGGCTAGTAGTAGAGTTGGCCGTGACTCTTTAATGGTGAACATGAAGACAGCGAGAACTCCGGTCACTATAGCTGCAGTAAAAAATACCCATTGCCTGTCTCCATGGATTAGCCAATATTTCTGCCTATACGAAGCAGGGAAGTCGAACCACCCCAAGGTCGTCGTAATGTAGCCACTCATGATCGGTCCCCCCGCCAGCCCTATATTCGTGGAAATGGCATTCAGAAAGACAATCCAGATGCGAGTATCCGTATTAAAGAGATCCTCAATGCTCCCATTGACCACCGAGCTAGGCATAGCTGACAGAGAGCCAGAGATGAAGCGCCCGACAGCCACAGCAGCCGGCGAAGGGACAGCGGCGATGACGACGCAAAAGATGCAGTAGAAGACGGTGCTCCAGACATACATGTTCTTGCGACCAAAGGACTCGGAGCAGGGTGGAAACACGACGCATCCCATTGCTTGACCGAGCAGATACCTGTGTTTGATTAGTCTGGTGCTGGTATCAGGTCCAATGCATTGGACTGGGGCTTACATTGTGACGAAGCAAAGGACGGACGGGGTCACGTCGATGTTGAATTGACTGCGGGCATGGTTTGCAGCTGTAGCCTAGATCATAAGTTATAAAGTTTAGCCTGAGAAGATGAACATGAGAGAAAGAACATACGCCAGCTGTGCTCGCTGCGGTTCTGTAAAAAGAAATGTAAGCTCATTCAACCCCATCACTTAGGATTAGGAGACAGGAACAGCACCCACGTAAAAACTTCCAATGCAAAAATCAAACCAAAGTCATAAGCCTTTCGAAAAGGATGCCAATTCCTCGGATGTTTTTTATTTGATTTTGCCCAGCGCACATGGCGTCCGTCATCTGTCAAGGTCAAACCATGCTCAGACAAGACTTGCTGAAGATCGGGATCCAGCGCATGCGCTCCCATTGTAAAATCCAAAATCCTGCTTTTCTGTTTCCCTCTTTCCGAGTCTGGCTGCTCTTACGGAAATAAATAAGGAACAAGGCGGTACAATGCAAGGTATCGGAGCTCAGTTCATCCCTATCCCGTTCTACAAGTCACATCCAGTAGTATGAAATTTAGAACCCAGATATGATATCACTTCCGAGATCCTCACTGTCTCAGACATAGAAAGCGCATTGATAGACATCCCTGCGCCAGTAAATGTCTCCCTTGCAGCACACTGGGTACTATATATAATTAGCTCCGATAGTCTTGTTCGGCGACGAAGACCTGTAATTACGTATGGTGCATGCAAGGAGATTTGATGTTTCCTAGATCTGAGCGGTCCTTCAGGGTCGAGTCAATGGGCAAGTTGTTCAAGTCTGAAATAGGGCTCCACATTCTATAGAAGCCGAGTCAGTTCGGGATTTGAATTTATAAATGTACACCGTCAAAATGTCAGCGTCCATGCGCGTCGGAATATGAACCCGTTCTTTAAATACAGTGCATCAAGGAATAAAGAGGTACGTCAAGATTTAGACTAAAACCATTCCGTCTATTCTGTCACCATCTCGAAGGGAAGATCTATATCGACCAGGCTGGAATGGGATTAGCGTCGTTTTGTATCACGTGGCTCCCCGCCGTCCGTTTCCTTCTTTTGCTTTTGACTTCTATTCAACTTCATCTGGCAGCCTCCAACTATCAGTCAAGCCTTCATCCCTGCATCCAATGCGTTTCCGCTGTTTTCTTCATAAGAGATAGTCGAAACTAACAGCCAGCTCTCCAGACAGGCTGCTTCTGCAACACCATGATCTGCAACGACTCTGGGGAAAGAGCCAACCACGTCTTGCCATCGTGGCGTGTGATTAACAACAGACGGAGCGTATCCTTGTGATACACTTCGACAAGACTAGCCCCTCTATCAATTTGGTGCGGGCTCATTGTGTCCTAGCTCGAGCGGGGATAAATTACCACATGCTATACAGTCCATTCACACGCAGAAGCAAGCAATTGGATGCATGACCTTATGGCAGACATGTATCTACTGTCACTGTTTAAGACTTATGCCGAGGTCATTTAGGTCTCTCAGTGGATCATGGAGTCTGATCTAGTATCTTCTGTTCATCCAGTCAGAATCACTTGGTTCGCAGCCATCGGGCAGACTTCGGATGGCGTGCGACTCGCAGAGCGGGAGCAATCCAATTGAATAGCGGCCGAAATGGGATAGCACCGTATGAACGTGGCCAATGGAATAACTCATTTTTGCGCCAGTTAATGGATGTCCGCACATATTCTGGAAAGCCGATCCGCAAGTTGCCGAATGGGGCCATCTTCTCTGCGGGGAGGATCTCGCAATGGTCTAGATATGCATATCAATGGAGAGAATCAGCACGGACCTTAATATAGAATCGAGTGTTTCTCCGGGATGAGGAGTAACTGACAGGCTATGTTTATATGCGATACAAGCCACACAGATAGTCGGTGTGGATGACTGCTGCGAGGATCAGGAGAAACAGACATATATGGTCTTCACCCACCCTGACTCGCTGGGCCCCGGCTTCATCAAAAGAAAAGAAAGAAAAGAGAAAAAAAGTGAACTAACCACAACCATGGCACCCACCTCTTCTTCCCCTCCCAACCCCAAAAGATATGTTCAGCTGCGGCCCAAGGAAGGTCTGTCCACTTCGTTTATCACTCCATCGTCTTCCGTCTAAGGTTCTGCCTCGGATTCCCAACTGACGTCTCCCAGGCCGACTTCTAATCACGTTCCCTGATGGAACCTCTGGACCCGGAGATTTCCGACGCAAGAAACATGCCCAGTCTCAGAAGAACCAGCGAGACCGCCTGAAGGGGGCGTTTGAGCAAATGGCCCAGGTGCTACGGGATGGTGGCGTCGACCACGCCGGGAAAGGGGCGACCAAGGTTAGAGCGGGCGATGTGGCATTGGCACATCGAAAACACCATCTCTTCCTTTCACACCCACGGCCCTCCCAAGCCTTCTTGTGACCCAATCAGCTAAGCGTTACCTTTGCAACTGTTCAGGTCGAACTGCTCGAAGCTGCGGTGGAGTACATCCAGCAGCTGCAGCGAGGCATGCAACAGGCCCAGACCGAGCAATAGCGCGATCAAACGACCACATGGTGCGTCGGGAATACCAGCGCTGCGTCGGGGAATTTCCCTGATGCTCTCACTCTCGTATCGACGCCTCCTCCGACGCAGCACATGCCGACGAGCACGACGCAGACTGGTCCAACCGGCCCCGAGCACTAGCGGAATCCGGACATACCGCAAATGCCCAGAATGCCAAGGAGTCCCTCGGCGTCGCCAAATGAACCCCCGTAAGCTTGACTGCGGCCCACGTTCTTCACTTGCCGCCGGTGATTGGCCATTTTCGTCTGACCAGGGAGCGGAACGCTTGGCATCGACATCCCGGGCGCCAAGATCCCCGTGGATAGTGATTTTATATTACTTTTCTTGGGTTCTACCACTCTATACCACCCTTTGCCTTACTCTCCCACCGTGTTCCCGGTCTGTACCATGTCTCCCCATCGTACCGTACGGTTTCCCTGCGTCGACTGACTCGTCCTCGCGTGGTTTTGGCCTCCCCATGCCCATCCTTGCTACTTGGTGCCGTTGTATATAAACATCTGACAAACACCCCCCTCGTTCGTTTGAATCATTGCTCCCTCGAACAGTAATATCGGCTCTCTTAAGCCCGGTCAAAATGGCGTTGCACCAGTTTGACTACCTGTTTGCCATCGGCACCATCTTTGCCTTCCTTGATGCCTGGAACATTGGTGCCAACGATGTCGCCAATTCTTTTGCTACCTCCGTATCCTCGCGGTCCCTGACCTACTGGCAAGCCATGGTCATTGGTTCAGTTATGGAGTTCAGTGGAAGGTATGCTTGCACTTGTACACACTCTGCGCCCAAAAGTGCCCGCTAATCGCAGATGCATTCCTCTAGTATCGGTGTCGGAGCCCGTGTTGCTGATACCATTCGGACCAAGATCGTCGACGTTGACCTGTTTGAAGGCGAGCCCACCATGCTGATGCTGGGCATGGTGTGTGCTGTCTGCGCCTCTTCCATATACTTGACTGTCGCCACCAGATTTGGTATGCCGGTGTCCACCACGCATTCCATCTTGGGCGGCGTGCTCGGCATGGGCATTGCAGCCGTGGGTGCCGATGGTATCCAGTGGTGGGGAGGAGATATCAACTCCGGTGTCGTCCAGGTCTTTCTGGCCTGGATCATTGCTCCCGTTTGCTCTGGTGCTTTCGGTGCCATCATTTTCCTGTTCACCAAGTACGGGGTTATGTTGCATGAGAACGCCGTTGTTAGAGCCTTCTTCTCCATTCCCATTTACTTCGGCATTACTTCCGCTCTTTTGACCAGTCAGTCTCTCCCTAGTTTCTATCTGCTTCATTGGGATCTCGTCGGCTGATTGCTTTCCAAAATAGTGTTAATCGTGTGGAAGGGAGGCTCCAGCAGAATCGACCTCAACAACGCCGAGATCATCGGTGTCATCTTCGGTGTCGGCGGTGCCGTGGCGCTCATTGTCGCCGTCTTTTTCCTTCCCTGGCTCCACAGACGCCTCATCCAAGAGGACTGGCAGCTGCGGTGGTATCACGTCTTCCTGGGCCCTCTGGTGCTGCGTCGCGGTGAAGTGCCCCCTGCCCCCGAGGGCTATGCCATCGTGCAAAACTACTACCGCGGCCATAAGACCATGGAAGAACTGCAGGCTGAGCGGAACACACCGTCGGACCCCGAACATGCCGCCAAGCAAAGCACCGAGCAGACCACTGGGAACGGCACCGAAATTGCTAAGGAGGGCAATGCCACATCCACAGCCGCAGAAAAGTCGGAGCCGTCCAGTAGTGCGCCCCCATCAACCAACGAGGAGCCCGCGCCATTCAGCTTCATCGGCCCCCGTCCCGAGGGCAAGGGTGACTTCCACCCCGTCATGCTCTTTTGGCAGTTCCGTCGCTTCTTCTTCCGCGGTGTCGAGAAGGATGTTGTCAGTCTGCAGAAGAAACGTAACATCTTGACGGGAGACATCGAGATGACGCATGCCCATGCCAAACACTACGATAACAGGGCCGAGTACATGTACTCTTTCCTGCAGATTATGACTGCCGCAACTGCATCGTTCACCCACGGTGCCAACGACGTGTCCAAGTATGTCCCATAATCTAATCCCTCCATTGAGCCATCCGCTAATCGATGAACTCAAGTGCCATCGGTCCCTACGCTACTATCTACTTCATCTGGTCCACCAACGAACTGAAATCCAAGAGTCCCGTCCCCTACTGGATCCTGTAAGCACATTGGCACCCATCTCCTATCCCTTCCTCCCATTCCAAACTAACGACATAACAAACAGTGCCTTCGGTGGTGCCGCTATCTCCATCGGTCTCTGGACCTACGGCTACAACATCATGCGCAACCTCGGCAACCGAATCACGCTGCACTCTCCGTCCCGTGGATTCTCCATGGAGCTTGGATCTGCGGTGACCATCATCATGGCCACGCGATTGAGTATGTCCTTCTACACCACCCCTACCCTACCCGACCCCATCCAGAGAGAAACATGCCTAATCCCGAAAAAACAGAACTCCCCGTCTCCACGACGCAATGTATCTCTGGCGCCACCGTCGGCGTGGGTCTCTGCAACGGCACCTGGCGCACCATCAACTGGCGCATGATCGCGTGGATCTACTTCGGTTGGATCATCACCTTGCCCGTCACGGGTATCGTGGCCGGCTGTCTGATGGGCATTATCATTAATGCGCCGAGATGGGGGATGCCTCTTTGAGAGGTCTAGCTCCTTTCTTCTTTCGTACCCCCTTCTTTCTTTTCTTATGTTAGCTCTTTTCGAGTTGTTGATACTACATTTATATAATTGGCTACTGTTTGGGTGGTGGTAGTGGAGGAGGAGGGTTGGTTTGAGATGCATAGGGTGAGATATATGAGATGAGACGAGATGGATGAAAGATATGAAGAGATACCCACCGATGTGTATGTGTGTATGTGACCTGGGGGTGTCGGGATGGGGTTAACTTAATGGACGAGGGAATAAATGGCCGGGGAGGAAAAATACCTTAATTGTTTATGGTGATGGTGACTTATGTTTAGACTATCTATTCTCATTTCTGCAGTTCCGAGTTGATTGCTTAGGGCAGACTATATCCAGATACCAAAAGTTTTTCTTTATAAGTATTCTGTTTATTAGCTTGTTGGCTGTCTACTCCAAAGTGAGAAAACCTGTGTCTGCATTGATGATGGGTGGCCCGACTCCTAATGATAATAAAGAGAAGAATACACAAGTCCGAAAAGAACGACGATGAATCAAGGTAGCAGAGTCAAACATCAAAGATTTATATGCAATACGGCCAATTCATAGAGCATTAGTTTAATGCCACCATCACCGAGAACAACAAACAAAAAAGAAAGAATGTAGCTGGGGTCCTTTTACAAGCCCCCATCTGCCATAATGAGCTGCACTTTTTCAATCACCCAAGGCCGATTCCTGTTGAGAACCCATTGAATGGCTTTGAAGATGCGGTTGAGGGCCTCTTCCTTCTGTTTAGTATCATCGAGGTCCCAGGATTTCATGTCGCGAGAATGATACTCAAGGTGGCCCATCACGGGGTGGCGCATTAACCAGTGGCAGGTCAAGACCAGGGAGGATTTCAAGACGCTCACAGTCAGCACGCTGACCCGATTTTCCAGACCCAGCATCTCCCGTATCAGTCGTGACGGCTTGGTTGTTAGACTGAGCTCCGCCATGTTCCGCAGCATGATGGCGGCAGCATGCTGGTTCGTGCGCTTGATGTGCTCGTCATCATTCCCCTTCACTTGAACCGTGACACATGGCAGCATAAGATGGGGCTCCTCTTCGACAGGGGTAAAGAATGGAGAGACCAGCCGGGGTAAACGGCCGGGGATGAGGTCCATTCCTCGTCCGTGTCCGAACGTAAGATCCGGGCAAGGTGTCGGAAGATCAGACGCCCAGCTACCTCTCCAAGGTAAGGGGATCGTCCTCCACTTTTCTCGGAGACACACTTTCACGCTGCCATCTCTATCGTATAAGGCCCCGACACTGGAGAGAAGCGAAGCCAGTACCACGTCGAGATCCTTCACGTGCGCAAGGTTGAGCACTCTCCTGGCCCCTCGGATATAGAAGGCATCCACATCTTTTGGGTCCTCCTCAGCGTTGAGATGGGCTTGAAGCTTTTTCCAGTCGCCTGGTTGGGTTTCGTCATCCTTGTCATGTTCGATTATACCGCGTATGAGCAGCTCTCGGTGATAATCCACCGGGGTCGGCGTGTTTTTCGATGATAGAATGTTTATTAATTCAGGACTAGGACCATTGTAGATGTGATAGTGACAGATACCGGGCTCGCTGTTTTCAGCGACACTGGTCATCGAGGGATTGGAAGAACTCAGCACGTCCTTTGCCGAGGATGTCAACGATCGTACAGGGAGTATTTGAACCATAGCCAACAGTAGAAAATGACTGAAGTAACGAAATGATCAGATTGGGTAGTGAGAGGTGAAAGTAAGGTTGTACTCGTCCTCAAGCCGATTTGGTCGGGGTTGGTGGCAGCATGAAGTCGCGAGGAAGGGACGATAACACTTCCTTCTGCTGGTTCACGGCCATTCCTTCCGAACGAAGACGAAAGACTGACGACGGTTTGAACTCTATTGTCTGAAGTAAGCCCCCAGCCTGACGGAATGGAAATCCGCTTACCTGGCCCCGATTGATGGCATAGATCTACGGTCTACAGGTGCCTTCTTACAGGGCTAGATTGCCAGCACATGTACGTCGCAAACAGGGCAAGGGGTGTGATGGAATCACATCTCTGTTGAAGGAGCTCAGAAGAATATAGTATAGAAGAAAGAATAAAACAGGGAATACGCTTCGATATCCCCCAAGTATCGTCACAAGTGTCATAATAACAGGCCACAAATCGAGGCAGGGTATCGTCAGCAATGCATGGACAATGGTTACATTTCCAGAATAGACCAGGGACAATCCCATATCTTCAAGTACCAATAGAACCAGCATTTCGCACGGGTTGTGTGCAAGCAACCGAATAAACATTAACAAAGAAGACAATGGTAGAAAAGAAGGAAGAACATGGTGAGAAAGGTGAAGAAACAACAAAGGAAAACAGGCTCAAATGACCGGCAACAATTAGTCTAGACAATGCAATGCATGAAGAGGTAAAGACCCAAACAGAAAAGAAATAAAAGGAACGGAAATGGCAGAAAAGACAGACGGGGGGCGGTTGAAGAGAAGAAAGTTTCCAAGAGATATAAAACCCACCACCCTAGAAACAATCCGGTGGAGAGCCTCGAACGTGAGTTCTCGGCGCACCCCGCGAGCTATTTGGTCTCGGGGTCTATCGCGTCGTCCTTCTTGGAGGACTCAAGATCCTTGTCGGTCTCGTCTGTCGCCTCGTGCTTCTCAGACTTGCTGCTACCGTCATCCTTCTCGGTATCCGCCTCGGCGGCCTCATTCGCCGAGGGCTGTTGTTCATCCTCGGGTTTCAAAGGCTCCGGTCCGGCCGCGTTCGTCTCGCCATCATTGTCTGCGGTGTCATCGGCGGCAGACTGTTCCTCGGGCTGCGCAGCAGCAGCCTCGGCGGCTGCTGCTTTCTCGATTTCCGCGGCGCGCGCTTGCTGCCTCTCCCAGACCTCCTTGCGGATGCGGTCGTCCTTGGCTTTGCGGAGTCGCTCGGTCTCCTCAACACCACCACTCTTCTTCAATTTGCCCTCCTCGACAAATTTGCCCAGCTCTTTCTGGAACAGCCCGATCCGCCGGGTTTCCAGCTCTTTCTGACGTGCCTTCTCGGCCCTCTCGATGGCTTCGAGGCGAGATTCGTGATTCGGCTGCAAGGCTCGCACCTCCCCAAGGACGCCGTCCTTAGCTTTCATGGGGTCCACGGCCGGGTCGATCACCACGTTTCGCGAAGTGCTGCGCAAGGTGACACCGCCCGGAGCATTGTTCTGCATCGCTTGCTGCTTAGTAGCCTGCTCAACCAGACCAAAGGTTTGAGCAGCCTTCTCCAAATCATCCTGCAGATCAGCGGCAAGATCCTCCTGCATGGTGAGCTGATCACGCTCCTCACAAACCATCTGCAACTCCTTCTCCCAGATCTTGGTCCAGATAGGCTTCTCTCGCTTAAGGAAGTCCTGCATTTTCTTGATTTCTTTGGTGACGGCGCTGATATCTTTGCTGACTCCTTCCAGCTGGCGCGGCAGAGGTCGAACCCCGCGAGTGACCACGTCTTTCCGCAGATCTTCCACCAGATCCTGCAGATCATCAACGCGCACGACGAGGCGTTCCGACTCCTCGGCAAGCTCCTTCTTCCCAGAATTGACCCGCACACGACCCGCATCACCTTCGAAGGACGGCACGGAAGCGTCGGCAGCCACGGTTTTGACGCTGCTGGCTTTGGTGCGGATGGCGCTCATGGAGCTGGCGATATCCGAAGAAAAGTTCGAGTAGGTCTGGCGCAGCACGGCGAGATCGCGGCGGAGGCTCTGGAGCTCCGCAAGCTGACTGTCACTTCCCGTTATCGGGCCCTTGCGACTGGCCCCCTCGGCAGGAGCATTGGAGACCGGCGGCGCCGCAGCGAGGCGAGCCATCTCCTTTGCGGCATCGAGTTGGCGATCCGAAACTCGCTGCATCATGGTTTCCTGGCCGTCCAAAGCACCCTTCACACCTTCGATCAAGCGGCGGACGCCACCAAACTCGTCGTCAAAGTGCTTCTTCACCTCATCCAGGATATCGACATTCAGCACGAGGACAGAACGGTCCCTGACGTCACTGAGATCCTCCAGCTCGTGGCGAACACCCGAAACTGGATCCTGGATATAGATCTCCGGAAGGTCGACACCATTATTGTGCGTGTTCCAGGCAAATTTCTCGATAAAAGCCAGCTGCAGTCGTCCAATGGTCAAGCCGGTATAGCCCTCGGGCAGCACGTACTTCTTGATTTTGCTCTTGTACTGCAAGAACAATGTCAGCTCCTTGCCTGGAGACGGTTGATCGGTGGCCAATTGAGAGGACTGAGGAGGTGTAGAGGCGGCCGTTTCAGGCTGTCGATGTTCAGCCTTTGGTGTCGTGGGAGCAGCAACGGTCTCCGCAGTGCCTTTCTCCGGCTCAAATGCATCGTCGAGCAAAGGTTCCTCGGGTGGTTGAGGCAGCTCCGGCGGCGGCCCAGCCGGAGCAGCGCCCGGACCATCCTTGCTGATGCGAGGATGAGATCGATTCTCCGCAGTGTTCTGCCCGTCAGCCGACAGTTCCACGGGCGATGCACCCCTGGAGGGGGCGCGTTCTTCTTGGATTTTGGGAACGTTAGGAGCCGACGGGGGCTGTGCGCTTTTCGCACTGGCGGCATCGTTGACGCGGTTGGTCGAGCGTTGTCTGCCATGAGCATAAGACCCCCGCAGGCGCACCGCATTCAAGGATTCCCGAACGTCGCGGCCTCGGTTGGGGACGGGGGAATTCTGGGTGGGGAGCACAGGGACTCCGTTGGAAGAAGTACCGAGGTGTTTCTGTATCTGATAAGCGGAGAATCTTCGAGAGGCACGACGCTCAAGCTCGCCACTCCTTTGCAACGCGCCGATGGCATCGTCTTGTTTCGGAGGCGGAGGAGGCGGAGGAGTGGGAAAGCCGTTGACGGGATTCGATTCGGGGGCCTTGGCAGCGGTGGTCGCCTCGGAGGGAGAGGATTGAGACAAGATCGTCTGTGCCTCTCGTCGCGACGCTTCGCGTTCGGAGTAGCTGGTGCCGCCGGGGGCAGACGGGGTGGGAGAGGCCCGAGTCATCGATGGCGGCGGGTCTTCAATCGAGCCGTTGCTTCCATACCGACGACCCGGACGTTTCGGCGACGAGACCGTCGACGCCGTTTCCTCGTAAGCCTGATTCATCGCCGCTTGTCCACTCGAGATGCTCCCCGCACTCGCCTGGCGACCCGGCAGGGTTCGCGATTCTTCTCGCTGTTGCCGAGAGCGTAGGCGAGCCTGCTTCTTCTTGAGACCGTGCAAGAGATTGATGATGATGTCGCGAATCCGCGGGAGATAGCGATCGAGACTCTGTGGTGATGCATCCTGACTGAGGGTGTCTTCGAGAATGGTGCGGAGAAGGTCGGGGACAGGACCCAGGTCTGAGGTATCGACGCCGATTGCATTGAAGGCACGACAAGCAAGGTTGAATTCATAGCCCAGCCGCACATACACGTCGGAGACCTCGTTCTCGGAGGCTTGCGTGCGGGACCATTGCGTTAGCGTTTCCAACAGTTGTTTTGTGGCGACCAGGAGATGCGTGACACTCTTTTCGATTTGAGAGATCTGCTTATCGGGCTGTGTAGAAAGACGAGAAGTTAGACCCAAAACAAAGTTACCATTGACATCAGACGGGACACATCCTGCAGGCTGGCTCGCACGCGACCGAAAGCGGTCGGGGGTTGTGACATCGTGACATATCATGGACCAGCGACTCGGGCTGAAAGGAACTTACCACGGCACTTCTAGATTGCGACCTTCCGGAACTCGAGGAACTGCGAGGTGCAGACGACTGCGAAGTCATGGCGGAATCAATACTGCTTCCGGAGCCCGAAGGAAAATGCTGGGCTGAGGGACTTCGCTGGGAGGAGCGAGAAAGGCTCGAGCCGGACTGCATGTGGGCAGGGGATTTCGGGGGTTTTTCCCTCGCTTTAAAAAGGGTAGGAATGAGCGATGGCGGGGACAACCCGGGAGGGAAGAGAAATGGCTGAGACGCAGGGAGTAAGGAAGGACGGAGCCGGGCGAGAGTCAAGAAGTGTAAGGGGAGAGAGGGAGAGAGGGAGAGAGAGGAAGGAAGAAGATGGGAAGTAAGAAGGATGATCCCGACGAGAGAAGGTTAAGCCCAGCCTCTTTTCAGGCGCCGGCGATAAGTTCGCAGTTGTTCTCGAGGTACTCGGTAGGTACCTAATAATTACTTGGGTTGACGGGTACCCGCGTAACCGGCTTACAACTCGTTCTGACCTTCACGCCTGAGGCCGCCCCCGGTCACATGTTCCGCCCGAGTCAGTAGTCCGTCTCGACGTGTTCCGGAGGCTTTCTGATGATGAGTTGATGACCAGGACGCAATCGCTTGATCCACGGTGTTCACGACTCCCTTTCTCCCGTCCTGCGCATCCCTCTCGGTTTCTGGCAACGTGGACTGAACCCTCGTGTTGAGCCCTTGGCCTGTGGAATCTAAATATAGTCGTTTTAGCGTGCCCCCGGCCCTCGAATTATTATGGGCTCTTCTTCGTCACAACTCCCGATTGTCTACGGAGTACAACGGCGAGCCTCACAAAGATCATCCTTTGTGCTCGGGTTCTGCAGCCTCTCCACCCGAAGAAATTGATCCGCTCAGTGGATGGTGCAAGCTCATGGTACTACTACCCCGTCCCGAGGACTGAGTGCCATGGAAACCATATCCTCCGGAGTACGGAGTAGTAATCACGGTATCGACCTTTTTTTCGTCCTGACCTACTCCGTATGCGTACTGCGTAGTAGTAGTACTCTTCTGTAGGAGGATCCTGCCACCCGCCCGGGCTCCATTCGACGACGATCCGTTCGACCCTCCAGGCGGTACTAAACTCCTTAGGGACCGTTCTCACCTCGTCCAGTGGGGAGGCGAAGGAAATAGGAAGTGTTTCGACGTTTCAACATGGACCAGATGTGCTGGCACTTGGATGACCGACCCTTGCTCGGTACTGGTCAGGTAGGACTACTCCGTTGGTAGCATGGTTTCCCGCCGGGATGTCAATCCCCGAATGGACGACTTTTTTTTTCTTCCCTCCTTACGAAGTAGGTACTTTGGACCGAGTACTACTCCGTGCATGAAAAACAATCGGGTCGGGTGGATCCAGGGAGGATTGATTGATGAATTGAACTTTTTAGGCTCTGAACAAGATCAAGAACGGTACGCAGGAGTCCAATGCAGCAAGGGTCCATTGACCATTTAGCATTGGCGTGCGAGGGAAGTCTTCTGTGCCTCGCTAGCCTGGGTGCTAGCTGCTGCTAAGCCATGGCCAGCGACCCAGTGGCGGATGACAGGCATGCTCCGGCTCCTCGCGCTCTAACCAGATTGGCAAGCAGATGTGCGTCGGAGGTGGAGTGAGGCGATAGGGTGCGTCTCCGTAGCGAGTGGACCACGCACACAGCTGAGAGGAAGTGGTGTGCGCAGTAAGGGCTGGAAGTTGCAAGTGGGTTGGTTGGAAATGACGGTACGGAGTATGATTCCTGACCGGCCCTGCATGATGATCAGTACTCGTATAGATGCTCAGTAGTAGAGGGCTCAGGACTGACAGAGTCGATGGTGTAGGCTGTCGAGCATCGTCGAGCCTACCTAGAGTATAGAGCGGGTCTTCAGCGGGCAGCCGCCAATGGAACCATGGAAAGCCTCAGGCTCCCCTCCGTCCCGGGCGGCCATCATCCCTACGCAGATTCACCTTCACCCCAAACATCTTTCTCCCTCCCTTCTGGAGCTCCCCCCTCCTCCTCCTCTAACCCACCCCCGCCGAAATCATTTCTCTGGTCATTCTATTTGACTGTATTTTTGGACGGCTTCACATCCCCTATTCTTAATTCGATCCTCATTCGACCCCCGCCGCTGTGTCTGGATCCTCGTTCTCGGCCAGTCTGCTCGCCCTCCTTCCTTCCCCTCTTCCTGCGCTTCTCCCATTTCGAGGTCCCGTGACCGGTCCAGTGCGGCTTTCTGGTTTCGTGATTGCTGCTTTTCGCATCTTCCAATCTTCCTGTTGCTTTCCCTCCCGGGATCCCTCTTTTTTGATTGGATTCAAACCTTTTTTTCTCTTTTCTTTTCTTTTTCCTGTCGCGATCCCCCCCTTCCTCTCGTCACTTCCCCAGCCCTCCCCGCCCGTTTCTCCGTCCCCCTCTCCCTAGCTCATTATCGCCGCGTTCTTTGAGGACGCTGTCGGTGCGCCGTGGCTCTGTGCCTACTTTCGACTCTCATCATTCCATCTTGCCCTATCGCTTTGTGTCGTGTGTAATTCCACGACCGGAGTGAGTGTCCCCGTCGGACAATCCAAGCCAGATGGCTTCTACCGCCAACTCCATGTCAGCTGCCAACAGTGCGTCTGGCAATACCGGCAATGCATCCGTCCAGAATTCGAGCGCGAGACCCTCGCTGAGGCCCAGCGCCAGCACCAAGGCATCAGACGGCAGTCGACGACAGTCGGGCAGTCCTCTCGATGGAGGTCAGAGGTACGTTGTATTGTGAAGTTCATTCGTCGCCTTCCTTGACTGCCCTATTTATTTGCTCTTGCCTCTCAACTTTCACCGCCTCTTCCCTGGCAAGAGCGTCGCTGGGAAATCCCCTTACCTTTTTTTTTCTTTGCTGCTAGTGAGGCGTGATCGATCCTTCCAATTGGCTATGTGGTTCCCTTTTCTATGTGTGGTCTTTTTCTGCTACCTTTTTTTTTTCTCATGTGCCTGCCCTTGTTCCTTCAAACAATCCTCTGTGCGTCTCGGAGCTTCATGCTTCCGGCTTTACATTTTCACATGGGCCAATCGGATTGTCGTGCCATCTAAACCGCAGCACTGCATCATTGCCTTGAATGCACTAGAACTAACTCTCGCTTCTTTCCACGCAGGCGCAGTAACTCCCAGCGGGCGTGGACCCAGGGCACAAATCCGATTACCCAGAGATCCTCCTACGCGCAGCAAAACGGAAATATGTCTCAGAAACAATCGCCGTCCCCCAGACCGACTCCAAAGGAATCGAACACGCCCGACAACCATGCACATGACCGCCTCGTTTTCTTGGTTACCAGCTTCATTGTAAGCCTGGATTCTTCCCTCTTCTTTCTTGAAGCATATGTTGCTTGTCGGTAGAATGCTTATCGTTTGCTAGGGCCTGACCGCGACGATCACCACGAAGAACGGAGATAAATTCTCGGGAATCTTTTCATCCTCATCTCTTGAACCGACTGAATCTTCCTTTGCCCTCAAGATGGTGCAGCGGCAACAAAAGCAAGAGCAACAACGAGCAAACGGAGTGAGTGAAACGGCAAGCCCGTACATGGGAACAGCACCCGATCACACGGTGTCGTTTGACATTCGAGATGTGGTAGACATCTCGGTTGCCAATGTCTCCACCGCCGAAGTCATTGCGAAGCCCTCCAATGGTTAGTAGCTATTTATTCTTGTCCACTCTGAGCTACGTGTATATTAACCATATTGTTTAGGGGCCTCGAGCGGATTTCGAACCGATGCCGATATCTCCGGAAACCTTGCCATGCGCGAGCGGACTCTGAAACGATGGGAACCCGCCGCAGACACGGACGTCGACTTGTCGCTGGAAGGCACATCGGCGTCGGCGGGCTGGGATCAATTCGAAGCCAACGCCCGACTCTTTGGTGCCACCAGTAGTTACGATGAGAACATCTATACCACTCGGATTGATCGATCCGACCCGACCTATAGGCAGAAAGAGCAAGCTGCCGCTCGTATTGCTCGCGAGATTGAGGGCGCAGACACGGATAATGCTCACATGCGGGAGGAACGAGGGCTGACCACGGCCGAGGGCGGTGATGAGGAAGACAAGTATAGCGGCGTTCGTCGTGATGAAAAGAACTTCCCCCCTTTGGTGTCGGGACAGCCAAACAAGTATACTCCGCCTGCCCGCCGGCAAGCTGCGGCGCAATCTGCGGCCGCCAGCGGGCCCCCAGCCGCCGCGCCGCCCAAGGAACCTGCTAAACCGCAGGCGCAGCCCGCCGCCCCAGCTGCTCCAACGAGTGCTGCCACCGACGCAGAACAGAAACCGGCTCCCGGCAAGTCTTCGCCGGCTGCCAGCGCTGCTCCGAAGCGTGCCGCCGCTGAGAATGCTTCTGCGAACGTGGAAACGGAAGTGCTGGACCATTTCCGTCAGTTTGCCAACACGGAGAAAATGAAGATGCAGGAACGCCGCCGGAACCAAGCTTCGCATGACCGGAATATCAAACTGAACGAGTTGATGAAATTCTCGCAGAACTTCAAGCTTGGCACGCCGGTCCCCAAGGATTTGATCCCGATTCTTGCCAAGGACCCTCAGAAGCAGGAACAGATCGTCCAGCGGGCTCAGCAGCAGCATGTGAGCGATAAGCCCGCATCCAAATCCCCTCCCGCGACCGCCAGCACCGAGCAGAAGCCCGCCGGTCGTGGTTCAGGTCCCGCCCGCTACGACAGTGGAACGGCGCCCGCCGCGTCGAACGATCGACCGGCCTACCCTCGCGGCCGTCAGATGTATCCCCCGGCCGGTCCGCACGCCGGTCCCGGTGGACGCCTGCCACATCAAGCCATGCAACAGGGCCGCCAGGCGACTGGCATGCTGGGCCACCGCCTTGCCGACAACCTCCAGCAGCGAAAGGGGGCTGCCATGGGACCGGTGCCGGCGCCTCTGCCCATCAACGATGCCCGTTTACCCCCGACTGGGCCGGCCGCCGACCAACCCAGCGTCACCAGCCCGAACAAGACGCAGACCCCGACCTCCGCCGCGTCGACCAAGTTCAATGTCCGGGCCTTGGAGTTCAAGCCCAACCCCGCCGCCAGCACATTCACGCCCGGTGCCTCGTCGAACTCTTCGCCGTTTGTTCCCGGTCGTTCCATGTCCCGCGCCACCAGCCCGTCGGCCTTCTTTGGCGGGAAGAAGCTACGGCCTCTCGCTGAGCGTCCGTCTCTCAAGGACCATTTCAACCCCATCAAACGGATGAGGAAAGAAAGCACCGAGCAGGCGGACAAGGACTATGCCTTTAATGGTGGAATTCCCCCGGCCTACAAAACCCTCCCCACATGGGACGTCGCCCCCGGGAACGCAGAAAAGAAGCATGATCAGATGTTCAAAGCGCCCGTCGTCTCCCCGCAGAACCGCTCGGCATCGAACCCTCAGGTTCCTCAGCAGCCACAGATGCCGTTCCAATTCCCGCAGTCGACGCCGGGTATGCCCCCTACCTCGGGCCCACCTCACGGTCCTCATTTGCATCCGCAGCAGCATCACGGATCTGGCCCGCCTCATTTTGATGACCCTCACCGGATGCAGATGTCTGCGTCGACCTCGCAAATCTTCCCCTCCCCCCGCCTTCAGCCCGGCTATCCGTCTCCCATGGCGCCGCATGCCCAGCTTGCATTCGGTCAGCCAGTGCCGCAATTCTACCAAACTCCCCCGCAGCCGGCTCCCGTCAGACACTATCCCGGGACTCCTCAGTTTATGAACCCGCAAGCCGCTATGGGTGGTGCCCCTATGATGGTCCAGCAACCCTCCAGTGGACCCTACATGGGTGTCCCGCAAGGCATGGCGCCTTACACGCCCCAAATGCAAATGTATTCTCCTAACCCGAGCCACGCATACCCGCAACATGCCCCCCCTCAGCCGCACAGCGGCTATCCGAGCCCGAGTCGGGGCGCTCCTATGATGATGCATCAGAATTCGCAACCTGGCCAGCCTCCGCAGCCGGTCATGTTTATGTCTCCCGGTCAACATGGACAGCCGGTGTATCCCGGCCAGCAGCCCGGACACAGTATGTTGCAGTGATTTAACGAGAGCCATATTTTCCCCCACCGTTGCTAATAATCGCCAGTGCCGCCGGTTCGAGGAAATTATCCTCAACAGCAACAGCAACAGCCCCATTTCCAATCTAGCCCTCACCAAGCGCATCATTACCCGCCTCATCAGCATCGCACTCCCAGCAATGGCTATAATCAAATCCCTCAGATTCCACCTCAGGCTGCCTCCCAAGCCCCACCCTCCGTTGCCTCTGGTCCACCGGCTCCGGAGGCTGCCGATGAGGCGAAATGAAAACCACATCCCGGGCCTCCATAGTGCGCCAGACGCTCCCGTTCATCGGCCTCGACATCAAACGGGCCACGGCCATCGCAACCGAAATGAATTTTGTCTTGGAAGCACTGTGAAGCAATGGGCCCCCTATGCTCTGTTCCTCAGCGGCAGCAACTCCAGTCTCACTTTCGCTTCCCAATGCACGTATCTGTTTTTGGGAGGACTTTATGTATTGGATGTTTGCGACTACGCTGGTTTGTACAGTGAGGAACTTCCTGTTCTGCGAACTCCCTGTGCTGCTGCTGCTGATCCGGCATTTGATAATCCAACTGGTGAGTGATTTGTCGCCAATATCATCCCAGGGGGAGGATATGCAGACGGGGGTTAACCAGCTTTAGACTGCGTACTCTCCCATTTGCCCTATCGTTTTATCGAGTGTTCCCATCAGATTAGGAGTGTATGGGATCGGGGGTCAATTCCTCAACGTGTCACAAATCACTAGACTGGCCGTCCGAGCTGCGCTATCGATGTTTTTGCAGACCATATCCCGGTGATCTTATTGACCTTGACCTTGCTATATTATACACAAATCCAAGGGGTCTATGGGATGGCTCCCATGAAGGGACTCACCACCAAATTACAATAGCTCCGTCCACGTCTGTGAAATGGTATATGCCACCATGTTTGGGGAGATTCTTTGATACTTTTGCTTCATTTATGCTTTTTTCTTTCTCGTGTATTTCTTTTGACGTGCGATGGGTTTACTAGGGTAAAGAAGTTTTCCGGCAAAGGGCGCAGGGAGGTAGTGGCTGACTCGCTTGGAGCAACTGACCGTTTGATGTCAACGGAAGGCTAGTCGCAGCTCCTTTCGCCGAGGAATTCTCAGGGCCTCACGGGAGATGGTCTACGTCCCTCGAAAGAGATGGGCGTTATGCAGTTAGCAGAGATGATTAGTTGCTAGTGGATGGAGAGCAAAGGAATGCACTATCTCAAAATTCAGCATAGTCAAGTAATCTAGCAAAAGAGCGTCGTAAGTCGTGTAGCGAAACTACCAAGAATGCAGCGAGATGGACAACAATATCCCGATTGCTGGACAGGGGGCTGGAGTATCTGTTTCCGGGAATTGATTAGCAGCAAGAACTCGCTGTTCGGGGGTTCTTTGGGAAGAACCAGCATCTCCTCAGGTCTTTTCAGTTTTCATTTTGGTCGTCATCCAACCAAGACGCACGTCGCAGCCGCGGTACTATGCAGCACCCATCTCAAATGCCAGCCGTCGAGAAGCCCAGTCCAGAATGGCCGATTCCACAGGCGTCCTACCAAACGCAAGACGAAGCTCGACTCCCGACACCAACCTCCAATCCCCTCCGCACATCCATTCCATCCGCAGTGAAATCCAACTCCCACGGATGTTTGCCACAGCCATTAGTTTCTGAAATTCCTCATAGAGACAAAGCGGACCAGAAACCCCAAATTGTGGCGCGTGTGGACCGCATGGCCCTTGATATACACATGTCTTCCCAAGGTTTATCACGCCGAGAGTCTCGCGACGAAGAACCCTCGTGCCTTTTACTCAAGCCATGCGCCTGCCTAGGTTGGAGTGGAAAAGACGACGGAAATAACGGAGAATTTGAGACGGACTTCGCGAGCGAAGGCCACGACCCCGATCGACGGTATGGATGCGGGATTCAGACAATTCTGGACGGGGTGGTTCTCTTCGGTCTGGCTGGACAGGAAGTCCCTTCGGCTTTGGATGCGACGTGTCGTCTTGGATAGCGCGGTCTGACCTTTTACCAGATTCACATCATAGGAGACGCGTTTTGCGTTTGCGGTGTATTGGGGGTGGGAGTAGGTTTGGAGCAGGACGGAAGCCAGGACAGCTGTAGCTCACCTTTTGCGCATCGGAGCTGGAGAGGAACCCTCATTCAAACATTCAGAATGGAGGACGAGATTTGGTATGTTTGGAGGTGAGAAGGAGAGAGACAGAAAGACAGAGGAACAGAGAGAGAGAGAGAGAAGGTGAGGGCCGACGGCGCTAAGCCGCATTGGGGGCGGGGTACCACGGGCGGCGCCAGGAGACTCGAGAGCGCCATCCAGACAGACTCTCGCCGTGACATACTCCGATAGCCCATCCCGCGGCAAACTTGGGGGCGGACTGTTTCTCTCGGTCTTTTCGCTGTCTTACCAACTCGTGTCCCTTCACTCCTCTCCGGTGTTTTCTTTCCAAGCCGATTCCCGCCCGGAGCGCTGCTTAACTGTTCCCCGTCCCTCGATCACCCCCGTCTCCAGCGCCCATGGACTTCCTCAAATCCGCCGTCGCGTCCGCTATCGCCAAAGGCAGTTCGTTCCCATATTCGCTCGGCGACAGAGTCGACATCTCCGATTCGATATGGACCCTTCACAATGCCACGAAACGGGTACGCAGATCTCCCTTTCCAATTACAACCCCGGGATTGGCACATGAAACGAAGCTAATGCGATGATCGGGTCTTTGCGCCGTGCAGGAGGACGGTTCGTCGTGTAGCATTTTCACCTTCGACATCGCCGCCAACAAGTCGCGTCTGCCCCTGGCCAAGAATGCGGTGCGCAAATCGCGAACGCTGCGACACCCGGGCGTCATCAAAGTTCTGGACACGATTGAGGTACGGGATTGGCAGACGGTCTAGCTAGGCCCCGAACCCATGACTTACACGATCTAGACAGAGTCGAATATTTATATCGTGACCGAACGTGTCGTTCCGCTGTCCTGGCATGTCAAGCGGAGGAGCCTGAGCGAGGAAATCTCCAAATGGGGTTTACATACCGTGGCGGTACGTGGATGATCTCCTTCCCCCTGGTCTATGGACTTCGGTGGGAATTCGCCAGCTTATCAGTTTGGATTCGAAATAGTCTACCCTGAAGTTTATCAACGAGGACGCTGCGTCCGTCCACGGCGTCGTGAGAGCGTCGTCTGTGTATGCCAGCGAAAGTGGCGAGTGGAAGCTAGGCGGTTTCGATGTCTTGAGCTCCATGAATGATGAAGAGGCGGTCATATATGTGAGTCTACTGTCCAGGGGACCTCTCGTGGTGCGGCTTCGCTGATTCCTATCCAGACGTACGGAAGTCTCGTACCAGATGCCGCTCGTTATACGCCTCCGGAGGTCGTCAAAGGTGGATGGGATGTCATCAAACGTCACCCGTTAACAGCTATCGATGCCTATGGACTGGGCATTCTCGTATATGAGGTTTTCAATGGCAACTTCACCGGAGGGGACCAAGTAGGCAAAACGACTAATATCCCACCGACTATGCACCAAAGCTACAAGCGACTGTGCACGGCCAATCCAAAGCTACGACTCAGCCCAGCGCATTTTGTCGAACAAGGAAAGAAATCCGGCGGCTTCTTCCAAACCCCTTTGATCCGGTTGACCGATGATATTGAGAGTTTGGGACTAAAGACGGAAACGGAACGGGAGGAATTCATCAAGTATGGACTCGGTTTTTTTTTTCTCCCGCTGAAGCCGATGGCATGGATGCTGATTGAGATAGTGAACTCGATAATCTTTCTGATGATTTCCCCGAAGACTTCTTCATCAAGAAGGTGCTTCCAGAGCTGTTGAAGTCGGTCGAATTCGGCGGTGGCGGTCCCAAAGTCTTGAGTGCACTGCTGAAGATCGGAGCGAAGTTGTCTCAGGATGAGTACAACTCCAAACTGACGCCGGTCATTGTTCGGCTGTTTGGGAATCCCGATCGAGCACTGCGGGTGTGTCTACTGGACAACTTGCCATTGATGATTGACAACCTCCCCCAGAAGATCGTCAACGACAAGATCTTCCCGCAAATAGTGTGTTCTAGGTGAACTACTCCTTTTACAATCTATGCTAACGAGTTTCCAGACGTCTGGATTCACCGACATTGCTCCGGTAGTCCGAGAGCAGACGGTCAAAGCCGTGTTGGTGATTATTGTCAAGCTGAGTGACCGGACTATCAACGGCGAGCTGCTGAAATTCCTGGCTCGGACTGCCAATGACGAACAGCCCGGCATCCGTACGAATACCACCATCTGCCTTGGCAAAATCGCAAAGAACCTGGGTCAAGGCGTAAGTCAACGCTTTCAAAGACGGCAACGGTTGACGCGATGCTAACTGAATCTTCTAGTCGAGGAGCAAGGTCCTCATCGCCGCCTTCACAAGATCTCTTCGGGATCCCTTCCTCCATGCGCGCAATGCCGGCTTGCTCGCCTTGGGTGCAACGATTGAATTCTTCACCGACGAGGATTGTGCGGGCAAGGTTCTTCCTGCTTTGTGCCCCTCCCTTCTAGATAAAGAAAAGTAAGCTCCCTCCCTTCGTTTCCAATCAATTTCCACGTCCCGCTCTTCTCACACGATGGCTCGGTAGATTTGTTCGGGACCAGGCGAACAAGACATTCGATCTATACCTGCAGCGCATTCGGAAAGTCGGCAGCAACATGGCCGACACGGCGCTGCCGCCGTCATCGTCTAGCCCTGACACCACCAAAGATGCCGCTCGTATCGGAACGTCAAATGACAAATCCTGGGCTGGATGGGCGATTTCTTCCTTCACAAATAAGATCACGACGGCCAACGGCGAAATCCAACCCACGGCGAACGGGGCCAAACCGGTGGAGGCTGAACCCGCTCGGTCCGCATCTGTACCTCGTGTCACGAAGCCATCTCCCTTGGCGAAGGAGACCTTACGACCGGCGGCTCAGCCATTGAATCGGTCTCTGTCGGAGCAACCGGCCCCGATCGCTCAAGAGGAAGACGAACCGGATGACGTCTACGATGCTTGGGGTGCCATAGACGACGACGACGATGATCAGGGACAATCGAAAGACGACGATCCGTTCAGTCCTGCCACAACCACCGCCTCGTCCACCAGCTTCGCCCCGGCGGCGCCCAAATCAGCGCCCGTACCTTACGATGACGGAGGGGAGCCGGACTTTGCCGGCTGGCTTGCTGCACAGTCCAAGACCAAGAAACCACTGCCTAAGGGTTTGAACAAGCCAGCGTCGAACACGTCGGTTTCCCGAACGACCAGTCGGAGTAGCTCCAGTAAACCGAAGACGGTCACCGCAGCACCTGCAAAGAAGATTGATACCAAGCCGAAGGACGAGGATGTGGACGATGGATGGGGGGATGCGTGGGATTAACGGCTATAATTGTTTAATTTACATTCGCATTGCATTGTCAATGGTCAACCTTGCTGGAGCAGGGCAGGGAGTTGGGGGAGGAGTGGAAAGGGCGTACATAATAGCAATGATAGACAGAGACTTAATGAATACCTGGCCCGCAGTGACCACCGCCGCGGACGACGAGGTACCGCGCAAGTAGCGGTCCCGAAAATAGGGCTGAAAGAGGGCGCTGCGCCTTATGGAGGGCCGCAGCCAATCAGGGGCGGGCAGCCCCGTGATCACCGTCGAATCTCGTGCGGCGTCGACGTCCAACTTCGCTTCCTCTCCATCGCCGTCCTCTTCGACCCCCTTATCCCACCATCCCCCCTCGCTCAGCGTCGATGCCATCCGTGGTGTCGTTCGTGCATGTTTCTTGATCGACGTCAGGGTGGAGACCTCAGCAGCTATACTACCGCCACCCTTCGACATAATCTTGCTGCCTTCCTCCCGCGTCAGCCAACTGCGTTGGTGCGTCTTGCTCCGGACCGCCTGCATACGACCTAGTCATTTCATGCGCGATGGATGACCGTTGACAATCCCCTAAAGTCGCCCGTCACTCTTGTCGCCTCTGCCTGAAACATCTGTCATTCCCCACGCTGTGCTCGTCACCGACGGCTTCCCGCCATGGAGCCCGAGGACGAGGCTCCTCCTCCGCCGTACTCCGCCGTCGACCCGTTGGTCTCGTCGGCCAACAATAACAACTCCAACAACAACCCCAACATTCGGATTGCCGCCGCTCACTCGGAGGTGAATCGTGTCCGCCTTCGTCTTCGCGGGGGAGACGCTCCCCTCTCAGATACCGCATCAAGTGATGGCTCCAGTTCCGCACTGGCGCTTACAGCTCCCTCTCCGCTATTACCTGTGAATTTCACCTCCGCCGCCGCTTACTTCGTCGACCGGCCACCACCCGCCTCTGACGATGGAAGGCCTGTCCAAGAACATCAAATAACGATCTACCCTCGAAGTCAATCGAAAGATTTTCCCCGTCGCCCCCGATGTTGGGGAGCCCGACCGGAGGACATCACCCAGCAGGACTGGGACATGTTCCTCCGACACTTGTTCCCCCCGCACCTGGGACTGGCGTCTTCCTCCGGTCAGCTACCACGCCAAGTGAGGGCCGAAATTCAGCGAGACCGCAAGGACCGACCGCAAGAGACGGACGAACAGCGGCGGATGCGAATCGCGGCGGTGATCACAGAATGGAACCAATACTTTTTCGAACTCCGGGCCACCCGCATCGTATTTGCCTACGTGACAAACCCTCAAAATGCCCCTCCCTCGCCTCTGTGCCCTAGATGCTACCCCGCAGCCACAAGGGTTTCGCAGGAAAACCGGTTGATCCAAGGTCCCGAGGCCGGTCGCGGCCGTCTTGCCCGGCCCAGCTTGCCGCCGGCTGCTGCGCGGCAACAGGTTGTGTCGTCGCAGACTGGCCAGCACTACCCTCCGACACCCGTCTATAACTACCCGAATCCGCCCATGAGCCAGCCCCCGTATAGCCCGTACGGTGCACAGCCCTACTTTAACACTCCCGCTCCTCAACCGCCTCGTGCCTATCCCTACCCCCCGCCGCAGGCTCCATTGCCTTATCAGCAGCAATATCAGTGGGGGTATAATGGTCGACCTTATGCCCCAATGCCGCAAGATTCCGGCTCCAAAGGCGGGGCGTTTGGATGGTTTGCTTCCCTGGCGTCCCAGGCGCAAAAGTATGGCGAACGTATCACGGAACAGGCCCAGCAGTACGGGGATCAGATCAGTGCCCATGCCCAGCATTACGGCCGGCAGGTCGAGGAGCAAGCCATGGCTCATGGACGTTGGTTTGAAGAACAGGCGGGCTTGTCTGGTCAAAAGCCGGATGATCGGTACAATGGTAGCATGGTCCATCGGCCCCGTGGCGGTGCCGGCGAGTGGGCTGCCGCGGATCCCCGCACGCAGGCTGCGTATTATCCGAACACCGGCTATGTCTATCCCTACAGCACCGTGAGCAGTCCGGCCGAGCCGGTTGCCGCACCCGCACTTCCGCAACGTCCTCGGCGGGTATCGACTTGCTCTACCTCGTCGGACTCGTCCTTGACATCCATCGATTCCCTGTCGACCACGTCGGAACTGAGTTCGTCCGACCTTGCGACAGTCCGGGCACAGCTCCTTTCCCTCGATGACCACCACGATCGGGACCTACACGAAGCCGCTGTCGGCCTTCGCCGGCAGCTTGCCGTTCTCCAGGACTCTCGCCGCCAGACGCGCCAGTCTGGACGGGGCCATTGGCGCAATGGCTGGGGTCAGCAAGCGCAACAAGGCTACGGACGCGGCGGTTGGGGACGTTGGGAACCGCCGCAACAGCATCAGCGCAGCTGGGCGGAGAAACGCGCTCTGAAGGAGGAGACGAAGGCGACCCGAAAGGCGTTCCGGGATGTGCTGCGTCGTGCCAGGGACGAACACCGCGAGCAAAGACGTCTCAAGCGCAATCGAGTACGGCAGGAACAGCGAGTTCGACAGATCGAAGCCCCTCCGTCCGAGCCTCCCCTGGAGCAGCGTTTGCAGAACCTGGAACTGAACCACACCAACCGCGAGAGTCGCTCCACAGTTCAATCATTCTGTCCGTCGCCCACCCGGTCGCTCGTGTCGGAGGTCAGTGAGATCAGCTCTATTAGCACGCCGAGCTCAGTATCGTCCCGGCGCAGTAACAACCAGGCGCACTCTGGTAAACCAGAACCACCCGCCAGCAAATCAGATCCGAAAGGAACGGGCAAGAAACCGGACGAGGCGGAGAAACCGTCGGATACGAGCAAGCCTAGCTCATAACAATCCGAATCTGACATTGCAGTGCGTCCAAGATAAGTTGGAACCGATCGACCATAGATTTCAAGAATTCTTCTTATGGATATGATAATAACGACAAACATCAGCGGTGTTTTATTGATTGCGCGTGGAGATTTCGTGGGAAGCCACCTTACTTTCTTTGTATTATGTTTGGTTAATTGAGCCTACCATCTTGCCGGAGCTGGTTGGGTTGGGTCGAAAGATTTCAGGTTTTTTTTCTCTCTTTTTTCTTGTCATTGGGGTTTTAAAATCGCATTGAGGAAGGATACTGGCGATCAATGGGTTCATGAGGTTATGACTGTTAATTTTTGATTCTTTTTACTTCATATCTTGCACAAGTCCTGTCTAGAGACATTTATACAGAATCTATCCATTCCAGACCGTCTGTCTATAGAGGATTTGAAGTTTTTAAAGGTGTATATATATCTCATGATGTCGTAAAAAAAGAGACATAATAGAAGAGGGTAGGGAGAGTGAGAGTGAGAGTGAGAAAGAGGGTTAAGATTCCTTTTTTTACCCTTTAAGATCCCGCCGTCTGAGCCTGCGATTCGTTCTTCTCAACCAAATCACCGACGCCGAGGCCCCGACCGACCTTCACCTTAACCATCTTCTCCTTCTCCTTCTCAGACTCTTTCTTGCCCAGCTCGCCGACGTCGTCGCCCTCGTCCGCATCCTTCTCGTCGCTCTGATGGCGCAACCGATCCTGGCGCTCGACCTCCTTCCAGTCCATCCACATATTCGTCAGGTCCATGCGCATCGCGTAGGCGTCCTCCCCGTCGGCGTAGTACTTGCTCTCGACGTTCTCGACCTGGAATCCCAGCGTATCGCGGTACAAGCGGAGGGCGGCGTTGTTTGAAACACGGACGTGCAGGGAGACGTAGTGGGCGCGGTGCGACTCCGCCATGGCGCGTTCTAATACAATCAAATTAGCCATCCACACAGGATCAACCCGTCAAGTGACACAAAAACGAGAAAGGAGGGAAAAAGGGAAACAGATAAAACATACGGCTCATCCTCATCAGTCTCTCCGCAATGCCCAATCTCCGATGCGTCCTCATCACACTCAGACTGGTGATATGCCCATGCTGCATGCCGTCCGTCGGCTCCTCCTCCATCTTGGCCAGCACGTACCCCACCACCTTGGGGTATGCCTCTCCAGAGCCCGCGGCGCCGGCGCCGTGGCCGGCGCGCTTCGAGTAGCCGTTCTTGGGACGCACGACGGCCACGAAGCTCAGCTGGGGCCAGGTCAGGGCATGGTAGAGGTAGTATTTCAGGAAGTAGTTCTCGGGCAGGTTGGTGATGTTGCAGGTCTGGATGGAGGGGAGGAGGTCGATGTACGAGGGGTACGAGGATAGAGGAACGATGTCGACCATTTTGAAGGGTTTTTCTGGGCGGATGGTCCCCTGGAGGTTGCGTGGGATTTCTATCGAGAGGGGGATTGAATTGAGGTGGATAAGAGAGTGGGTGGACGAGAGAGAGAGAAGAGCGGAAGGTGGTGCAGTTCCGTCGACTCGCCGATCCCGTCAGGTGCGCGCGCTAACCCCGATCGGGATGTGCCCTATTCAGTTTCTCCGAGTATAGATTGCCTTGGAGGAGTAAGTATCTCGACTGCATTTCTTTCCAGTCCTCTATTTAGTGAATGTGTTTGAATTCTTGGCGAGAGATGCATTGATCGCAATGATTCATATGCACAATCCTCCAGAAGGCGAGTGCAGGGGCATTTCAGGATCTACTTGGTCAGGGTAGGGACAGCTACTGTAGCTAGTTTGATGTTATATTTCTAAGTACCTTCTTGCCTATAGAGTTGAATATAATAATCATATGGTCCTGGTTCTACCTATTGAGATACAGGGACAGATAATTGCCTTAGCTAGGGCTTTTGGTCTAGTCGTCTACATGCTTATACTACTGGTGGTACTGGATATGGCTATAGTAGTTGAATAGGAGAATCATCGAATTGCTAGAGTCTCTGTGTTCCTATAGAGGCTTACATGATCAATGATCGAGTACCCAGATTTGTCTCACTTCTGCTCATTCCTCGAGTCCATCAATTGTTCTCTGGCGGAAGGCTGCCACGTGATGCTGCTTGTTTTTGTCTTGGATGCAACGCCCCGGAATTCTCTACCCAACAACACATCTCCTGGACCATGTCATTCATCGTCAATATCCGTATCTGCCTCTTCTAACTGATTAATTTGGCAGAAGTTGCAGGCTACTGCCATGGACAATTCTGCAAGCTGAATTCAAGATGTCTACTGCCTTTGGGTGGAATCTGACTCTCATAGTGAGTCTTACCCAATCCACCTGCATTGGCTTTGCGACTAATCAAGAATCTAGGAATGAGAAGATTGCATGTGCTCTATCTAAGGAGCTCGTTTGTCCTGATCAAATGACCCAGAATCAAAGGATAAGAAAGCAGAAATTCCAGTCGAACCTTCTTCTGGTCTCTTCCAATAGGAGAGAGGGTGGATGGAAATACTCCCGCCCCCTTGTAAATCACAGAGTCAACAATAGGCCCGCGAGTCAGACTCACAGTCTACCGTCCATCTTGACATTCCTTCTAAGGGTCAAATGATACGGAAAGAAAGGTGTTCATCTCAGGGTGACCATATAGCTTCATTCCACAAGAAAGGTATGTGCGCATTGCAATGGCTACAGTTGTCTCGTATCATTCCACTCGGCAACGACAGAGGAAAGTAGCATCGGGGATTCCTTGCATGGTAAGCAGGATCTCTCTTTCCAAGGCTTCGCCGCGACCAGTCCATCATGATGACCGGTTCTTTTCCTGCAGCTCGTGGGAACAACCCTTCATTTCTTGTTGTCGAGGCCTGGATCAGATACCCCCTCGCTCCGTGTAGTCTAATCCAGCTTTGCCGAATGAATTATGAAAGGGAGAACATTTCCGTCTCGCTGGAATGCTGGATATCCCCAGTCCCTCCGAAGAGCTTCATCCACACCCACTTCCGAGTCTAGATTTCTGCACTCGACCGACGAGCCACGCCGATGAACCAAAGAAAGAGAAGGCGCAGCATTCTCATAGCCACAGCACACATTCTGTATAACTACAAAAACCGGTTTCCGGCGGACCGGGCCTTCATTCCTCTCATCGCCAGCCAATGAGACATACATTCTTGAACTTATTGAGATGTGTTGTTCATTATTGATTAAACCGGACGATCTTCATACCCAGAGAATGAGAGCCAGTGATCAGTATATAGAGTACCGGAAATACAGTCCGAGTCTGATTCCTCGAGCTCAGTTCTTTTCTCAGACTTTACTCTCGAGCGTTGACCTCCCGCTCCACTTTTTTCCCTATCTATATTTCGATAGTTAACTTAACGCCGGGCAACAACTAAACCCGACTATCAGATCCACCCTCCCAGTCTCACCATCATGCAATTGAAACTCCTCTCCCCCTTTCCCCTGACCGAGACGCTCCTCTCGCTCTCCTTAATCTCAGGCGCCCTGGCCTTCAGCGAGCCCTGCAGACAGGGCCTCTCCTATTGTGGATCAACCCTGCAGAATTACCACGGTACGTACGAGAGGATCTGCTAGTCTGGAGTGCTAGTTCTGTCATGTCTATCCAACCCCACTACTGCCCAAACACAGCCTCCTGATGGAGTAGTGTCTGAAATCCTACCCCCCCTTTGTCAAATGCCAATCCTTCGTACATCCCACCACATGAGCATACAAGTTAACGTGAACACAAAGATTACTCGCCCGATGATCTTCGCACGGCCATCTTCGCCGCCCCAAACACCCCCTATAAGTCCCTGGCGGCGCGACGTCCATCCGACGCCCTGTTCCGATGCGACGACGACCAGGGCGGAGTGGTGCTGAAGGAGTTTTGTTTCGCGGGATGCGAGCAGCCGCTGAATGGAGATAGTTGTGCTGCGGAGGGTTCTTCGACCGGTTAAGTTGGTGTTCAGTATAGCTCTAGTAGGTAGTTACTTGGTGCAAGGCAGTACGGAGGACCGGTGTTGGATGATTCATTCAACTCGAATCGAGAATATGTGGTCAGTTATTCATTGAAACCTCTGAACGATGCCATATAGTATAATCTACAGCGTCTTATATTTATAAAATTCGCACGGTCGTATCTCATAACTACAATGATAAATATCTATATATAAAAAAACCAACCCAAAAAGCAAGGCTATTAAAACATCGAAATCAAATACTGTACGCCCGCAATCAGTGCCACGGACATGGCCATGCCGTGCGGCGCGAAACTCGTGCCGGACGACGTCGTGCCGCAGCATTTGCCGTTGTAGGTGACATTGTTCATGTCGGCGGCGACTTGGAAGACCGACCCGTTCACGGGGCCGTAGTTGTAGTAGTCGACGAGAAGAAAGTTGGGAGGTCGGGCGTGGTCCCCTGTTGTACAGGTTAGTGTTCCGTTCTCGTTGAGTCTGAGGCACGACAGAAAGAAAATGAGTAAGTGGACTTACGGGTACAGTTGCTGGCCATCCAACCCAAACTGCCGAATCCCTCCGCCGCGTTGGTCTGATTCAGCTGCGCGGTGTTGGGGATCAGGAGGTTCAGGTTGGCAAAGTTGAGGTCCAGATTGAGGTTGTGGTTGGCCAGATACATGCGGTTGCGGATGTCGGGCGGATGCAGACCGGGCGGGCGCTGGACGGTGCAGGGGAAATTGCGATCCGTCGGCGAGAAGGGGGTCTCCCACATCTGGGTGAACTCGTCCATGAGCCACGGGTAGGCGGTCTGGTTGGCCATGTAGTCCATGAACAGGACGGCGCGCTTGCCGGACAGGATCATGGTCGACAGGGTGGGCCAGTCGTGCAGGGCCATGGGGATCTTGGGCGGCGTGTAGGCCAGGTCCAGCAGGCCGGATTTGCGGATGGGCTCGGTGAAGTTGCCGGGCTCGGCGTAGTCGTAGTTGCCGATGAGGATGGTGACCACGTCATACGGGTGGCTCTTCATCCAGCGCGCGACGGTGCTGAGGTAGGTCTCCAGCAGGCCCATGTCCAGCAGGTCGCAGCTGGTGTGGCAGAGCTTCACGGTGTTGTTGACGATGTGGGTTTGGAATTGCACTGTTTTGGGGTTAGTTTCGGCGATGTAAGACAGGAGGGGGTCACCAGGCAAGAAGAAGACATACACATGCGGATTCCATCGTTCAGCTGAGCCTCGACATCCAGCGCCTGGTTCGCCGCCACGTTGCCCGGCTTGACGAACGGACTGTTGTGGGCGGCCACCATGGTGATGTTGGAGTAGTTGCGCGCGCAGAACTCGGTGTAGCCATTGCAGGGCTGGGTGTTGACGACGGGGGAGGAGGACGAGGCCGGGGCCGTGTGGGTGGCATTGGAGGTGTTGTTGCCGATGAGATGGGTCATGGAGTCGGTCGGCGTGGTATGGGTGGTGGCATTGCCGGTGGTCGCGGTGGTGACGGCGGACTCGGAGCCGGAGAGGCCGGTTGAGCCTACCATGCCGCCATGGTTGGTGGGCAGGGTCTTGGTGGAGGTGTAGGAGAGGTAGTGACCGGTGCGCGTGGCGGCATCGCTGATGGGAGCGGTGATGGTGCCGTCCAAGGTGAGGATGTTCTTGGTGTTGGTGTTGGTGAGGGTGGTTTTGGAGTCGGACGAGGTATCGCTGTCACTTGCAGCCCAAACGGCTGCAGCCAGCAGCGGTAGTAGGGAAACCAACCGCATGGTGGGGATGGCACGCTCAGGAAGGACGATCTGGAGGGGAGGGGAGACAATATGATATATACAGCGTCGATGGAATCAACCATAATATGCACAGGAAGGGAGAAAAAGAGAAGAAGAAAGTCTCCGCCGCAAATGCCTTCAAGGGAATGCCGTATTTTTGGGTCTGGCCGTACCGTATGACGATACCCGTACACCTGAAGGGTGGCTGAGTCATCCGAGTCAGCCCCACCCAATCGGCATCCGCTGGGGAGCTGCGTCTGTGGCGGCGCCCCCTGGCCAATCAGCGGGTCGCCCATCCCAGGCAGCCGGCAAACCGCGCCCCACCCGCTGCCGGCATGACGTTGGGTCCAGTGAGTCGGGGCCAATCACAGGCCAGATCGCTGCCCATCCAGACCAACGCCGACCGCCCCTAATTTCGCGCGAAACTCAGTCAAGGCCGCTGCGAAACTGAGACACGGCGATGGTCGTCGTTTTCCTCCGATCTGTCAATCCGGTCGATGAATTGCTGCTCCAGGAATAGACGGCCCACACCCAACACGAAGGACGCCCGATGATCGCTGCCGGTTTCTGTTGGTTTCAGGGTTTTCGTCCTGGGAATTGGGCGACGCCCACCAGCCCTACTTTAAAAAGGTTAAAAGTCTAGCCGCCGATCGGCCAGACCCCCGAAGCAGATAATTCTGACTAGCCGGTTCTTAGCTGCGCCGGTGGCTTTTTTTTCTGTTGTATTGGTTTTATTGTCTCCCTGCCCCTGTCCCTGCACTTGCAGCTCTTTTTCCTGGTCGTGGTTCTCGGCTTCTGCTCCCACTTTCCCTCCATCGATCCCGTCTGTCTGTCAGAATCCCGTCTGGTTCGTGTGTGCTCGTCCATGGAGCCCCCGAACCACGTCATCTTGCCAACCTCCACCTAGATCCATCCCAGTCCATCTTATATCATATCATATCATACCTCATCACTCGCCTTCCTTTCGTTTCCTTCCCTTCTGCTCCCCCTCCCCCTCCCTTTCTTTTTTCTCCCTCCCTCTCTGCCCACATTCCAATCCCCCCACGTGTTGATTGTCTCGAACAATCGACAAGATAAAAAAAAGAAAATAAAAAAACCCAGTCCATGGCCAAATTGCCGTTATTCCGCAAAGCTCCTCCGCGGCCTCCCACCGCCGGACGGTCTCGCTCCACCGTGCTCTGGCATCGCCTGCTTCGCTCCTTTTTCTATCTCATCGCCTGGATCTTCCTCGTCCTGGTGGTCATCGGCAATGTCGCCAACAAGCCCGTCCTGCGCGACACCTACTTCCTCAAGATCGATCTCTCCAACATCGTCCCGCTCTCCATCCCCAATGCCGTCCTGATCAACAGTATCGCCCGGTCCATCGGTCTGCACGATTTCTACCAGGTCGGCCTGTGGAATTTCTGCGAGGGTTACAATGACAGCGGCATCACGCATTGCTCGAAGCCCGAGACGCTGTACTGGTTCGATCCGGTGACGATCCTGTTGAGTGAATTGCTGTCGGGCGCCACCAGTATGTTTCTTCCCAGCTGCCGTGCATATATCACAATCCCCTTGACCTGCATTCGCCTCCCCTGCACGATCACTAACCCCGTCAAGTCGCCCTCCCCGGCGACATCACCTCGGCGCTGCAGATCGCCCGCAAAGCCTCCTACTGGATGTTCGGGCTGTTCCTGACCGCCGCGGTGCTCACCTTCGTGATGATCTTCCTGTCGCCGCTGGCCACCTCGTCGCGCCCGCCGCAGTCGCTCTCGTCCGACGCCTCCGTCAACGCCGCCTCGCCGACGCACCGCCGCCGCACCTTCGTGCTCTTCCGCTCCCTGCCCTTCCTGCTGCTCACCTTCCTGACGGCCCTCTTCACCATCGTCCCCTCCGTCGTCGCCACCGTCATGTTCATCATCTTCAAAAACGTCTTCACCAACTCCGCCCAGGACCTGAATATCAACGCCGAGGTCGGTTCCCAGATGATGGCCTTCATGTGGGTTGCGTCTGCCTTTAACTTGCTGCCCTTCCTCTGGCAGCTGGGGTCCTCGTGTGCTGCCTGCTGCGGGGGGCGGAAGGCCCGGAAGGAGTTGAAGCGTGGAGGGAGTTCCGCCGGTCAGACGAATACTGACTCCAATGGCTCGGCGGAGTTGAATCGCGAGAAGGCCGCACCGCATAGTCCCGCTACGACGGAATAGATCCGGACTGGTCGGGTTTGTATATTTTTTTTGGATTTAAAGCTTACATCGGAGGGAGAAGGCTGAGTTGAGTATTTCTTCTTGTCCTCCCTCTTGCTCTTGCTCTCTTTTTTCTCATCTTTGGGATCACTGGCGTGGAATTTTGCTAGATTTTTCTATACATGTTGCTCTGTGGATTAGTTTCTTTGTGTTGTTATCTATGTGGTTATATAGCAGGCTTTGACTATACTGGGCTGGATTTCCTATATACATACATGCTGCTCTGGGGATTCGGCGGATGTGGATTTAGATGGACGGTATAGAAGGAAGAAAGGATGTGTTTGATAGGAACTGCCTGGTGATTCTCATCTTACGATCGTTACGACCAAATCTTGATTACCTACGATATCATCGCATTTGCCTCTGAATTTTGTAAGATTTGTTGATGTGTATATTGTATAGTGTAAATGTTCATAAAGTAACTCGTCCTTTTCGAGTCACGGCAAATGCCGGTTTCCCAGATCGCTATGCTAAATGTCTAAAAATACATAAAAAACGCCCCGAAATCAAGTGTTCCATGCAAGTATGTATGGTAGTATGGGTATCATCAATCTTCAGGCTTGTGCCAATTCCTCTTCCATTGCACGCGCCAGTTCGTCGTCCGTGTCACCGCTGTTTCCTTGTCCTGCTGCCTCGCCGTTCGGCTGATCGCGGTGGCTGATCGAGACGGGTGCCACCCCATCAGGACGTCGTGCGCCCGAGTACCCCGTCGATTCCGTCTCGTTGAGCCAGCCGTATTTCTTGTTGCGCAGTGATTGGAGCATCTCGATGCGCTGTCGTTTCTCTTCTGGCGACGGCTCCGGCGCCGGAGCGGGTGACTGCTCGGTCGTGTCCTCCGTGAGATCGATGGTGACCGGCTGGGGTCTAGACTCACGGTTTGCCGGGCGCGAAGCCAAGGTGGCCGTCGCACAAGGCTGTTGCGGTTGCTGCTGGTGCCCTCGGGCAGCGGAGGCGTCAGGCGCCGGTGCGCCATGGGGCACGAGACGTGGTCCAGATGCCGACGGTGTCACGGCTGCCGGCGGAGGGCCCCGAGCGGTCGGGGGCTTGTATCCGGCGGGAATCGGCGTCACGGCAGGCATCTGGCGCTGGACATGGATCTCGTACAAGAGATTGTTGTAGGTCATGCCCAATTCGCGCATCTTGTTCTTCCACTCGATAATCTCCTTCTTGTACTGCTCGGCGCGGTTCTGGTGTTGCGACGAGACGCGCTTGAGGGTCGCATTTTCCTCGCGGAGCATTTGCTCCTTCGTTTTTCCCGTCTTTTGGTCGAGCGTCGACCATTCGTGCCATGCATTCCGGTACTTGTTTCGCTCACACGTAAGGTGCTGGACTTTGTGCTTCAAACAGGAGACCCGATAGTTGGTCCGGTCATCCCCAACTTCTATGCAGCGGACGTGGACACTTGGCGCAGATGGGAAATACCCGAGTGGACCTCCATATGCGGGGTAGGGCGATGTGTACTCCGGCTCCTGGTAAATCCGTTGCAGAGCCTCCCGACTGGTGCTGGCAATGACGTCCTGAGAGTCAAGCGAGAACCGCTCTTTGGTAATATCGCTGAGGCACGGTTGAGCGGGTCCGGGTCCGGGTGCGACATCCATGTTCTCCGCAGGCTCTGGGACCTGTTCGCCGGTGTTGGGGCAGCTGACCGGGTTGGGGGCTAGTTGCTCCTGATCGGGCGGTTGATCGAAAAATGAGGTGGGCTCCATATCAAAAGGGAAGCTGTCAGGCGTCTCCAGCGGCATATCAAAGTCGGGATCCTCGAAAAGTGTATCCAGCGAATTGAACAATTGGTCGGGGGACTTTGCCGGATCTGTCCCTGCGGGAGTGTGGGGGAAACTATCTCCTTGTTCAAGCCGTGCGATCGAGTCTGCCGACGACAGGGAGGGGGTTTCATCTGGAGTGGTGCATAGCTCGTTCGTAGTCGGATCGACGGATCGCTTTTTCACCGGCTGTGTCCAAAAGTCAAATTCTCCTGGAAATGCGTCCTCACCAGACCGTTTCCGAGACGCGAAAACCGCGTCCAGTTCCCGAAAAACAGCTTCCGAATCAAATACTTGGTCGAAGAAGAATGCTTTGTTCGCGTCGATCGCGTTGTGGTCCGTCTCGGGAAGGATTTCTTGTTTCGAGGTCGTGCTTTCATCGGCTGTAGACATCGGCATGTCACTGGCGGTCGACTGCTTCTCAACATGTTGGTTTGCATGACCGGAACCTTCGGTTCCCCAAGAAGACAACGTATGCCCTTGCTTCTGACCAAGTCCATCGTGACCAATACCTGTCGACGGGTCTAAACCATCTTGCATTGCAAGCCCATCTGTTGTCCTCATCGGAGTTCCGTCAGACGATTCATGCTTCTCACCCTGGGGGAAGTTTCGAAGAACGTCGGTAGGTTGCTGCAGCGGGGACCCAGGGGGAGGTGTAAGCCCCAGATCATTTACATGCAGATGCGAAATGGATGGAGAATTCGGGAGATCTCCCAAGGCCATGAAAGCTTGGGTATCAGGAGGGCAGGTCTGAAGAGAGGTAGAAATACCTTCAACCACACTTCCGTCCATCGCGTATCAAAACCGTTCGGCGTAGTTGGTTCCAAGGAAAGGACTGCCGGCAGTGTTGGTCAAACGGTGGAATACGTCAACGAAGTCAACGTAGCAGGAGGGCCGAACAGGCCATATGGTGTGATGATAGGCTAGAAAAAAGCAGATGAGAACCAGGCCAAAGGGCTTTTCCTTGCCACAGCGCAATCGTACCTCTTAAGCCAGCGTAACACCTTCGATATAGGGTTTGTGAAAGTTTGGACCATCCAAGTTCCAGAGAGTCCAGACGAAGGCCCAATTTGATGAACAGATCCTTCCAGGAAACAGCCGGCTACCGATCGCCGGAGTCACCTTTGGATGCAAGAGTAGAACGAGTGAAGTGGAATGCAGAAAAAAAACAACCGCCGGATCACCTGCGCGATGACTCCGCCTTCCACACCGCCCGGATGACCGCTCACGTGCGGGGTGCGGCCGTGGAATCGGCGGGCCCAAAGACCGGCATTTAGTTGGCTCTGGTACTGGCTTCACCCGAGACACTTCGCAAAGAAAGTCAGCGCATCCTCCTTCTCTGCTGTCTTCAGCCACCGTGTGTGGTTTGTGCGTCCAAAATGAGCGTTATCCTCTGCACAGGTGAGTCTGCATACTGGGATACCCTGTGTCTTATAGTGAGATGTTATACACGACATGTGCTGAGATGGGAAAATCGCCTATAGCGGGCTATGACCATACCATTCGGTGAGTCCTGAGCAGGTTCCCCAACGGCATTGGTCTGCAAGGCTTACTCCTTTCGATAGTTTTTGGGAAGCGCTGTCGGGCATCTGTTCACGTACCATCCAGCACCCAGACTCGCAGGTAAACCGGCTCTGTATTACCCCCGACAAGCGCTATCTAGCGGCAGCGGGCCATAACAATGTCAAACTATATGACATCAAGTCCACCAATCCCAACCCAGTCATGACTTTTGACGGCCATACAAACAACATCACCGGGGTCGCATTCCACTGCGAAGGCAAGTGGATGGTCACCAGCTCGGAAGACGGCACGGTGAAAGTCTGGGACACCCGCACGGGCAGTTTGCAGCGCAATTATGCACACAAGGCCCCTGTGAACGATGTGGTAATTCATCCCAATCAGGGTGAGCTGATCAGTGGTGATCGCGCCGGTATTGTGCGGGTCTGGGATCTGGGCGAGAGTGTCTGCACCCACCAGTTGATTCCTGAAGACGACGTTGCCGTTCAGAGTGTTAGCGTCGCAAGTGACGGTTCTTTGCTCTGTGCCGGAAACAAGAAGGTGAGGATATCATCCAGGTTCCTGTCAACATAAATGCGCTCTATTTTCTTTTTCTACGCCTCGATCTAATGCTTTCCAGGGCAACGTTTACATCTGGCGCATGCTTCAGGATGCCGAAATCACTCGCATCGTACCCATCTGCACTTTCCAGGCCCACAAGGATTACCTCACCCGAATCCTCCTCTCTCCGGACGTCAAACACCTCGCAACCTGCTCTGCCGACCACACGGCCAAAGTCTGGAATCTGGACCAGGACTACCCCCCAGCGAAGATGGCCGCGGCCAAGGCCAAAGTGAAAGCTCTCAGCCCCGGCACCCCGGACGTCGCATCGCCGCAACCCACGCCAGACAGTCAGCTAGGCACGCCAGGCAGCGACAAGGTCAAGGCCGCCACCGATTTCAACCCCTTCAGTCTCATCGACGGGATCACGCCGCCTCCCAGCAACGAGCCGCAACAGACCTTCCCCGTCCAGCCCGACGGACCTCCCATCGACGCAACCACCGCGACTCTCTACCTGGAGACGACGCTGGCGAACCACCAACGCTGGGTCTGGGACTGCGCGTTCTCCGCCGACTCGGCTTACCTCGTGACCGTCTCCAGCGACCACTACGCCCGTCTATGGGAGCTGGCGTCCGGCCAAGTCATTCGCCAGTACAGCGGACACCACCGCGGCGCGGTCTGTGTCGCTCTCAACGATTACTCCGAGCCTCGTTGAGCAATCGATAGTTAGATGCGGTAGGACGAGACCAGGTACCACTGTACTACTTAATTAGGGCGTGTGAAGCAGGATACCCAGGATTTGGATTGGCACGATTAAGTCTATTTAATACGGGTAAGCATGGCGCCAGGGATCTGGGGACGTGAAGAAAGGTGTTTTGCCTTTTCTTTGTTCGTCTCTTGATTGGAGTTTCGGTTTCTTTTCTTTTCTTTTCTCTTAATCTTATGTCTGCTGTTTCTTCTCTTTCTGTTTGAGGTTCTTTGGATGGTTTACGAGCTCTGTTGCATATGGACTTTGCTTATCCGAGGATCGCTGCCGTCTGTCTGATACCACACCAACATATGCGTGACGTTCTAGAAGCTTTTGTCAATTGATCATCTGGTATATTTACGCCCTAGCAAAGTAGGTAGTTCAAGGCTTGAGGTTGTAATTGACAAACACCGACGTCTTATTCAAAACACGCTGCTCCAAAGACGGACAGGGAAAGAAGGATCCGCACGAAAAGAATATACCATCGAAACAAAAACGAAAGGGGTTCCCAGTATACATACATACAAGAGAGGCAATAAATAAAGATATAAATAAAAATAGACAGCCTAAACAGTCACGGCTAACAATAAAAGTATCTGCTTTTTTTTTTTTTTTCTTTTTTCACTTTGTTTTCTTCCCATTCTCACTCGAGCCTGCTCAGTTCACCGCAAACCACGTCACGCTGACCACCACGTCCAGGCCCCGCTCGTCCGCTCCGGGGTACTTGAACGTCCACATGCCGTCGCGGTTGACGTCCCAGTAGGCACCGGAGGCCGAGTGCATGCCGCGCTTGCCGACGTTGGTGGCGGCGCCGTCCGCGGCGGCCGACCTGTCGATCAGACCTTGTTGCACGATGGTGCTGTTGACGGTGAACCGGTAGGGGGGGCCCGACGAGGGTGTGGAGGGCGTGGTAGCGGCGATGAGGGCTTTGAGGATGGCGTTCTGGAAAGAAAGAGGTCAGACGTGATTCGATTGGTGATGCTGGCCCAGCAGGGAGAAATATTGCGGCGATGATTTGTCGGGGACGGGAGTTCTTACGATGATCTGAGAGTTCCAGTCGCCGACTTTCAGGTGGTCGTATCCCTCCACATCTTTCAGGGAGGTGTCGCAGGCCTAGTTGAGGGTTGTCAGTTCGGGGCGCAAAAGCCACGGTATGATAGCGGGGTTGAAGGCGGAGCTCCGTTCAGGAGTAAGACATACCTCCGTCGCGATCTTGGTGAGTTCCGCGGTGGGAACAGGCTGTGGGAGCAGAAAGAAAAACCGGTCAGCGGGTTGTATGGAGTAGAGACGACTTCGGGGGTGTGTATGGACAGTCGTGCGGAGAGCGTTGTTTCGGCCGGGAGTCTCAATTACTCACGGTGTTGGGAGGGTTCTCAACAGCCATTGCGAATGATCGATTCGGGGGAAGGATATCTCGGTGCGGGTTCTGGAAGTTCGTGGCTCTCAGTTAACATAGGCCGTGTGCGTTGGATGTAATCGCAGTCATAGAGGAGTTCCTGATCGGAAGACCGCACCAGGCCAGCGACGCGGGCGATGCGATTGTGGGGGCATTGTTCCCATTCTGCGGGGATGGAAGGACAGGTGGGGAAGAGCGTCGGTACTCACTCAAGGGACAACGTATGCAGGGGCCAGAATGGGCAGGAGAGTGGCAGCAGGACTCAATGCGGAGCGGAACAGGCGTGTTGTTTGGGTGTGGATGTTTAGGAGAGATCATGGATGTGGCTGAGCGGCGCATGGTTGGCCGTTGACCATGAGGCGCGCCATCCCCGACCGGGCCTAGCGCGGTGCTTGACGCCGCACCGCCACAGCGCGTACTTCTGGTCGACCTCAGGCAGCAAATCAGTCCGGCACGTGCGAGGTCTAGCGCGGTGAGTAGCGGCAGAACGACCGGGGAGCGCCACAGTCTAAGCCCAGAGCGGTAAGCACCTCCCGTCAATCGCCCTCGCGGCGGGGCGCAAAGACCCATTAAATACTCTCCCAGCTGCCCCGGCCTGCTCCCCGTCCTTGCTGGGCGTTGAATTCATTTCTGCAATCTTTGATCCTCGCACGAGCAGGAGTCGAGTACATTATCTTCACTATCACACGTTCGTCATCTCTTAACTCGTCCGTTCTTTGTCGCCGGAAACCCTGGCTCCACTCGTCTCAATCCGGCTCTGATATCATTAACGGCCGTCCGTCCCTGGGCCGATCCCTCTCTCTCCCTTCTTTGCTCTCTATCTCTTCCAAACCACCCACTCACACGACACAAAATGTCCAGCCAACCTCTCCTCCAAACAGCGCCAGGTCAGTAATCCACACACTTTCACAATGCGCCATTGCCTCAAACCCCTTCCACCTTCTCTCCCAAGTCCACCGCTCATCCATCCCATGTCGTCATAACCCATAATCTCATAATCCCATAAAAACTCCCTCCTAACCAATCCCAACGGGACCAAAACCCAACAGGCAAGCGCATCGCCCTTCCCACCCGCGTGGAACCCAAGGTGTTCTTCGCCAACGAGCGGACCTTCCTCTCGTGGCTCAACTTCACCGTCATTCTGGGCGGCTTGGCCGTCGGCCTGCTGAACTTCGGCGACCGCGTCGGCCGCATCTCCGCCGGCCTCTTCACCATCATCGCCATGGCGTCCATGATCTACGCCCTGGTCACCTTCCACTGGCGCGCCCAGAGCATTCGCAAACGAGGCTCCACCGGCATCGACGATCGGTTCGGGCCCTCCGTGCTGGCCCTGTCGCTGTTGGCGGCTGTTATTGTGAACTTTGTGCTGCGGATGAAGGAGTAAGGGGTCGCTATATGGTTCTTTGGAATGGGGTGGGGGGGTCGGGGGAAAGTAAAGAAAAAAGAACGAGGGGTGGGGATGTTGATTGATTGATGATTGAGTAACTGACTTATGGATGAATCTGTTGGATTCATGCTCGCGACGATCGTTTTTTGCAATATATGTATACGGATTCCCTGTCTATCATCATTATCGAGCTGCATGGGTTGATTTGGATGGGCGGCTTTTGGTCCTACTGTTTTCCTGTTCCCTGTACTCAGCTTTGGTGGCGTACCTATTTCTTTCTGGTTTTCAAGTCCCCATGTTTGTTTTACTACTCTTAGATCCAGCGGCTATGGTTCAATGAATTCAAAAGTTTCAAAAGGGTATTGGGTATCGATTGATCAAATGATTCTCGATGGTAGATCAAACTCTACCAACCAATGTATTTACAAGTTCCCTGACTATTGTTTACTCCCGAATTGTCCAACATAGCCATGGTCAATGAACGACTCAAAGCTCCAGTAATCCGCCTGCGTACCCTGTCCGGCGACCGTGGCGTTGCCCGAAAACTTGGCCGTCCAGTAGGTGCTGCCCTGCCCGTGTCTGCGCCAGGCAGCCACGCCGGCATTGAAGTTGCGTTCCCGCAGGGCAAAGCTGTTGTTGGAGCCGGTCTCGATGGACCACTCGCCCACGAAGACGGGGAACTTCCCGTCGCCGGATTTGGCGCGCGCGTCGGAGTTCAGGTGCATGGGGAGGTTCTGGGACGTGACGTTGGTGCGCTCGAAGTAGTAGGTGTGCACGTCGAAGATGAGGTTCGTGTCTGCGGAGAAGTTGCCCGACCAGTACTCCACGGGCTTGAAGCTGCCCTGGAACATGATCGGGATGCGAGGGTTGACCGCGGCCACGCGAGCGACGACCGCCTGCATGTATTTCAAGACCCAGGAGGCGCCGCGGTCCGAGAGGGCGGCGGGCGTCCCGAAGACCGACATGTCCTGGTTGCTGTCGGCGGGTTCGTTGATCGGCGAAATGCTGAAGGATTGCGGGTAGGAGGAGTTCTGTACGAAGTCGACCACGGCGTCCACGATCTGCAGGGAGTAGTCGAGTGCGGTCTCGTTGTGGAACCACCCCCAGTGGCCGGTGGCTTCGCCGATGGTGAGACCATTCACTCCGCCGGGGAGCGAGTGGACGTCGATCACAACGTGCATGCCATAGGTCTTGATGGCATAGTCGGAGATCTTTTTGATATACTCAAGCTGGTTTCCCGAGTACAGGTGGGAGCCAGGAAGCTTGATCCAAGCGGCGTAGGTGGTTGGAATGCGGATGAGCTCAACTCCCGCGCCAGCCAGCTTGTCGATGTCTGTCTCCGTGATATAGGTGGCGTATCGATGCTCTAGAACGGGGCCGCACTGGGGTCCCAGATGCTTGCAAAGTCCCCATTCATCACTTGCCCCGCCGGAGTATTTCCCCCAAAACTCGCTGTCAATGGTGGACTCCTGACAAAGCCATCCTCCTAGGTTGACACCTTCGGCTTTGAAGGTCCTCCAGTCAACGTAGCCGGAGGAGTTCCGGGCTTGGAGATGGGGAAGTGCGAGTGTGGATGGGAGACAAGATAGGGCACCGAGGAGTGCCAGAGAAAGATGCATGATTGCGGACGGGGGGAAAGAGAGAGGAACGGAAAGCAGACAGTTCTTTGGCAGGTATCTCGTCAGACCATGTCCGAGACAATGGATCTATCCGGCCTCATATAGGGACGGACGGTGGCAGCTTTCCGTCGGAGTAATGATCTCACACTCTAAGCCAAGTAGGAATTTCCGTACGATCATCATCATGTGGAGCGGAGACGGACGCTTTGAACTCTTGGTAGAGCATGTGCGCATGCTGAAGAAAGCCGGTAACCACAACCGAGTCCCAGTCGCATCCGACGTTTACCCATACCAGAGTCTCGCGCCCATTAGGCAGCAAAAGCCCATTTGACCTAGTGACGAGATTGAAGGTTCAAATCCCGCCTACAGTCGGCCATCCTCCATGTAGTGGGGTGCATAGTGAGGACCGGGTTTGCTGCCAAACCCCAACGGGGTTGCGGGGTGTGGGGAAAAGCGCCGTTCCTCATCAGCGCCGGACCCTCTCGGTGCAATCAGCGTCCAGTCCCTCGCAGAAAGCATCCCGCTTGCAATGGTGATCCTGCCGTGCCCAGCTTCTGGCGGAACCATCAATGCGGTGTTTTTCGGAATTCCCAGGGCTCGGGACAGCAGCCTCCGAGGTTGAGTTTGGTTCAGTCGGAAGTTCCGACTTCTGCAGAGGTCTTCTCAGACTTGGGACATATATTGCCGAGCTGCTTCTCGTTCCTGGGAGTTGGACTGCTCGATATTAGTCTGAGTTCTTTTTTTTTCTCCCACTTTTGCACGCCCCATGCGAGATATTCTTCATTCTGTCTCCGGTTGAGTCCTAGTGCTTTTACTTTGTTTCAATTTTTTTGTCTCTTGTCGCTCTTCCATATTTTTCTTCAGATTCAACGTCCTTCCAAATCTGTTTGTGGAGGAACCAGATGCCATGTGCATGGGTACAGGAGACGACTTACCATTATATGCCGTCCCGGAGGCAGTCTGCAGAAACTTGGTCTGCGAGTCTTTGTTCGGTTCTTCCAGGAACAACCGTTGATCGGAAACATAAAGCTCCGCGAGGATGCCTGGGTAGTTAAAGAATCCTATACTCCGGAGTCAGCTCAGGCATCTAATCCTGATCGGGGATAAGGGAGGTCTGCCGAATCTCCGGCAGTCGACTAGGCCAGAGGTGAGCAGCGATGGACCAATGGACGGGGAGGACACGAGAGATCCGTTCGGGGCGGATGCATGATGTCAACCAAGAAAGGCAAGACCGGATACAATGGCGCAGTGCCTAGGCAGTGGACTCAACCGGTGGGGAGTCAACCACGGGTCTGGAGAAGGCCGGGATATCAGGAACCCTGGACTGATAAGAAGGAATCGGATGGATGGGTTAAGATACCTACTGCTACTACGTACAGAACTACTAGGTACTAGGTACTGCTACTACTACTACTACTACTACTACTACTACTACTACTACTACTACTACTACGACTACTACTACGTAAGACTGAAAGGAATGCTGATACACGGACGGTATCAGGCCAACGGGGAGCATCCATGGACCCGGCCAGGCCCGGCATCACATCATGGCCCCGCCAATTTGACGTGTCCAATGAATGCGAAAAGTCCATCATCGCGCGGTCATCGACAAAAGTCCAGCCTGACTAACGTCCCCTCTTTTCCGTTCCCTTTCCTTTCCCTTTCCCTTCCCTACCAAGTTTCCCTCTTCCCAACCGGATTCTTCCCTCTTCGGTCGACTTCTCTTCCACCTCCCCCATTGATTCCTTGTCCCTGGACGGACAGGCTGTGTGATTGTGATTTTGTTTCGGATTTCCATATTTCTTTTTGGGATCTCCATTGTTGTGACCGTTGCTACTACTTACCTTACTTATCTTACTCTACACGTACTCTAACTTGTACCATATTACCGTCGTCATTAAACTTTAGCAAAGCTGCTGCCATCCGCGTCCTCCTTTCCTCCTTTCCTCCTTTCCTCCTTTCCTCCTTTCCTCCTTTCCTCGTTTTCTTTCTCTCTGCTGCCCAAGAAATCCCTTGACTCTGTCTGTCTGTCTGTCTGTCTGTCTACCTTCAGTCGTCGTCCTCTGCTGCCTGTTCCTGACGCTCGATTTGTCACCGGAGCGAACGTTGACCACCTTTTCCCTCCGGACTGTACCTTCTTATTAATAGATTACGCCACCCACTCCGGAGCCGGTGGATCGTGTTCCTCTCGCCTTCCCTTGCCTTCCCTTCTTGATTGATTAGCGGATTCTTTGCGATCGATCCGTACATACTTTGCCTCAATCCTGTCCATTCCCCGTCCGCTTTGTTTGTTATCTTCCATCCTTCCTTTTTCTTTCTGATTTATCATTTATCATCCTGTATTTTTTTTTCTGATTTCTTTTTTTTTTTATTATTTTTTTTCTAATCGCCTCCTCCTCGTTTTCCCCCATCCAATCGGAAGGGAACCTCATCCTCTTGAATCGCTTGGTTGCATCCTGGTTGCGCCCGGCGTCTCTTTCCCCCATCCCTTCCCCCCCCCCTTTACTCCCTTACTCCCTTCACTCTTACTTGCCCTTTTCTCCCTGCCGGTCGCAAACCGCTCCCTCCGCCGATCGGCCACGGCCACTCCTTTGCGGACTTTCTACGCCTCATTCCACTCCTCCAATCTTCCATTCCTGTGTCTCCCACCCGCATCTAGATCTCGTTCGCATGCGCCGTTGCAGATTTTAATCGCTCGACGTTGGGTTTTATTTGATTTTAATTTTTTTTTACCCCCGTTGTGACGTGTCGCATCGCCGCTGCGCCCCTCTTCTTGTCGCCGAGATCTATTTCCCTTCCCGCTGCCCTGTCTTTCGCATGGCATGTTTCGACTGCTTCCCTGGTCCTCTGCAATCGGGGGAAACAAGGTGATGGCCGAGGAGCTCACCATGCTCGCCACCTCGCCTCCCTGCGCCGCTCCAGGCGTCAATACTCTGGCCCTGCCCCAGTTGAAGCGCAAGCGTTCGCATTCCAGCGATCCGACCCCCGGTCAAGATGCTCCGGTCGCCACCAAGTTGCGCGCCGACGATGCGCCCGCTCATCCCGTCGCCCCGACGCAGAAGCTCGAGTCCGTGGACGACAGTCCCTGCGACCCCATCTCCACATCCACTGATGCGTCGCATCCGCCAAATTCAACTTCCGATGGCTCGACCCCTGCCGACGGCGATGTCGCCTCGCGCAAGGTGGACGTCGATCGCTTGCGCGAGACGATCGAGGCGCAGCTCAGTCTGGAGGTCTTGTTGAAGCACAACGAAATGCGCTTGATCGACCTGGAGATCGCCAAATGTCAAGTCGCGTTGGAACAGTTGCGGCGATGCGCCGAGATCCCGTATCCTGCCTCCCAACCCGCCGGACTATCGCCGTCCGTCAGCGCCGGGACGGGGATGGCGGTGCTTGCTCCTGGAAATGGGCCTGCACCGCGCTCTCCGGCTCCGTGGGGCGTCGCCGACGGCCCCTACACGCGACACTACGCGCGATGGTTGCTGCCCGACCCCCGCTTCGACGGCGGCGAAATCGAGCCCGGCACTCCCGCGGTCATCGGGGCCGTGGGGACACCCACGGTGGAAGGCCGCTCGACGCGTGGGAGTGCGGGCGACGCCGGTTTCGCGGCCGGCAAGTCTCGCTCTCAACGCGGATCCGCCGCCAGCGCGAGGCTACAATCTCTGCCCAATGGCTACCCGGCTCCGAAAGAAAAGGCCGGCCCCATGATCATCCGGCGAAAGTCGGATGGCGTCATGGTGAAGCTGATCTGCCTGGACTGTCGCCGCGACAACTTCTCCAGCACGCAGGGTTTCATCAACCACTGCCGCATTGCCCACAACCGAAATTTTGCCAGCCACGATGCCGCTGCCGTCGCCTCCGGGGAACCGGTGGAAGTCAACGAGGCGGGTGCGATCGTGGGAGGCACGAGTGAACCCCCCAGCACGGCCGCGGCTGGGTATGTTCATCCGTTGATACGGTCGGCCCACGTCATCGAGCCGTCGTCGAAGACGCCGTCATCCGGGTCAGCAACTTCCGGCGGCGACCAGGCGACGCCCCGGAAGCCGTCGACCTCCGGCCGGCAAGAATCGTCTGCGGTGGAAACACCTCGTGCATCTGTTCATCCGTTGCTCGGCAAGCAGACCACGCCTGCCACGGCGAACGTCTCGAACGTCTCCTTCATGGCCTCCCCGGACACCCCCCATCTCTCGTCGCTGATGCAGCTGCGGGGCGTTAGTCTGGACCTTGATCGATTAGTCGGGGAAGCGAAGACGACGATTGACCTCGGTGCCTATTCTTCGGACGAGGGCGAATCGGACGGGGAGCAGGAACAGCCGCCAGCCGGTGAGGCCCAGGACCAGCAAAACTCGCTGGGAGGTCGCGTCGGCCGGCAACCTATGCGGACGACCGCGTCGCAGGCGACGTCGCGACGACCCGGCAGTAGCAAGGGAGTGGACAAGACGAGTCACCGGCCATTCCCCATCGAAACGCTAACTCCGACGCGGCCCGCTCCCTACCAGTCACCATACGCTCCGACTACCTCGTCGCGGCCCACTCAACTCCTTGAACTTCGCGAAGTGGACGGCCTTGATCGTTCCTCGAACTTGAGCCCAAACACCATGGAGTCCAACCAAGCCCCGAGTTTGGTGAGCGACGATGAGGATGACTACGAGGAGGCGTCCGACTCGGAGAGTCTGGGTCCCAGTTCGTCCGAGGCCGGGGATCACGAGGAGGACTTCAGTCACATTGATGTCGCGGGCGACGAAGACGGCACGGCCTCTTCCGCGACCACCGATCCTAAAACCCACCCCAGGATATCCGGCGCGGCGGCTCATCCCTCCGCGTCTTTGCCGAAGCCTCTTCGACGTGGCAACGCCAGGAAGAAAGAGAGAGTGCTCTCCTCTTCCGTCGTGCCGCCCTTGAATCGGGACAGGGACGAGAGACGAGTGAGCTTTGCCAGTCCCGACCCGAGTCCTGACAAAGATCAGAAAGACCCCCAGCGCAAGCCTAGTGGGCAACCATAAAGGATAGATCTCTTATATCTTTTTTGTACGGGGGCTCCAAGTGAGACCCTTGGCTTGTTGTAATCTTGACATCTCTCTTCTCCTGTGTATGAGACTTCAACCCATTTTTTATTCTTATTTTTATTTTTCTTGTTTGGCGATGTTGCGGTCAAAAGGGGTGTGTGGGCTTTGCAATGTCGCCTTCATGTTTTCGGACCTAATCTTTATTTCCTCTCTGCTTTCTTTTCCCATGCCAATGGGCGCAAGGTTCATTTAACTCGATCTTGTGTGATGAGAAATGTTGTTGAGCGTTTCTGGCGATGTTTATTTTTTATGTGATGGGTTCAGCGCTGACAAGAAGTTTCACTGAATGTTTTTGCTCCTGTATCTGATGGTGATAATACAAATCTGACTAAAGACAAAGTTTTGATCTTTCCATTGCACCATGTCACTGCTAGAGATCCGTAGATCCAGAGATTAAGTGTCTTGGATCTGCCGGAACGACCCAACGTGCCCCGGATCACATGAACATGGGTCTTGGCGATCCATCATCTCCATTCCCAGCCCAGCTTCAACCATCCCAACTACAGCCATACCCAAAGACCCCGTCATCATGGGCGACGAGAAGACTCCGCAGGTCCCTCCTTCACAAGGAGGGCAATTCCCCAATTTCCATCCTGACCATATCACCCGTGACACCTTTGACCGTCTTCTCAACTGCTACCCTGTGACCGTGGAAGCCATTACGCGTCGTAAAGCTGCAGAACGTGCCGCTCGCTCCTCATCCGCCGCAGCGAAGAAGGCCAAGAAATCTAGATCCAGCTCCTCGGCTACCAGGGAGCAGCAACCTGACCACGACGCAACGCAGACGGAACAGGTGGACCGCGAAGTGCAGGACTTCTTACGGCTCGATGAGAGACGGTATCAAGGTCTTCCTGAGCTTGTGAAGAACAGGGCAGAGGGGAGTAATGGTGGAGGCGGGTTTCTTACGAAAGAGGAACTGGTCGAGGTGATGGAGTGGAAGTTGTGTGTTTTCTCCAGCCCCTCCTCCCCATCGCTCTTTTTTTGGTCTGAAACCCCTCTTCAGTGCTGATTCTTGGTTCAATCTAGAAAACACGGCGTCTCTCGCCCCATGCTTCTTGGTATGGTCAAGGGAAATCAGGAAAAGGTGGTTCAAAAAGCCACGTCGGATGCGTTTGCTGCTGTCCCTGGGCATGGGCTTGAGCTTAAGGACGAAGGCAATGATGATGCGGATGGTGAAGTGGATGAGTTCCCCAAATCTAGTCTTGACATGCTGACGGGCCCTCTTCGTGGCGTTGGGCCCGCCACGGCGTCTCTTTTGCTGTCGGTTGGGACGGGGGTTGGGGACCCGCCGCTGGAGGTCCCGTTTTACAGTGATGATACTTTCCTCTGGCTTTGTTTGGGGGAGGTTCCGTCTACGAATGACCCCAAGGATGATGCGCCGGGAGGGGAGGCGGGAGAGGAGCCAGCGAAGAAGAAACAACGTGCTAGTATTTTCAAACCCAGTGGGGAGATTAACGTGAAGTACAATGCTCAGGAATATCGACAGTTGTGGGACGCTGTAAGGGCGCTGCGGAAACGACTGAACAAGGCCGAGTCTTCGGCTGGGCATGTCTCCTGTGCGGATGTCGAAAAGGTGGCTCTGGTGCTGAGGCATCTCGATGCTTCGGGGTTCTTGGAGACCGAGACGAGGGAAAGTAGCAGCTCGGATAGGAAGAGGAAGAGAAATGGAAAGACTGGTTGAGCTCCTTGATACACTGTCCAATCACCCTGGTAGCTTTTTCGTTCTCTCTTTTATTGCTTTACTCTCGCTGTCTTTTCCATGAACCAGTCCTTACTGATCGGTGGTTACTAGGCTTTTTCTGATGCTTCGAACTTCCGGTGAAAGAGATACATTTAACATCTCTTGATAGCTGTGAACAATAATCCCGACAACTATCTAGTTATACACTTTCGCATGCAGACCAGGGATGATCTCGAGGTCCTTCTTGCCATAGCTGAACTTTCCCTCGTCAGAAACCTTGACCTCCGTGTTCCGCCGCTGTTGCTGCGTCTGTCGCTTCTGAACCCATTGCTCGGTGGTGAGATGCTGGCCAAGCTCTGTGAAAACATTGTGTGTCAGCCCGAGGCGCTGGAGCAGCGGGCTGTTTGTGAGAGGATCCAAAACAACATGGTTATTAGGCCTATTCCGAGATTAGTGATGCTTCAAACCAACCGACAGACAGCAACTTACCGGGCGAAATAAAGCACGCCCAACCGGTCAACGTGCGCCTGGTCTGGCGGTGGAGCATGGACCCTGTGAATGCTCGACTTGATCAACCCGCCTGTGAGGGCTGTCAAGGCGTCGCAAGTGTTGATCGTAATGGTCCCATTCTGAGGACGCACCCACTTCCACTGACCCTCGGAGTTGAGAATCTGCAGCGCTGCAACGGGTTGTCGGAAAAGCAAGGTCACCGTGCCCAGGTCGGTATGGCCAGGAATGTAGAGACCGCCGACCTTCTTGTTGTCCTCGGAGTTGCGAGCTTCATAATGCATGTAGCGCAAATGGTCCTCTCCCTTGACGTCGTATTGGTGGTCGCGAACCAGCTGGTCCTCGTCGGGCAGTTCGAGAAGAATTGCGAATAGACGGAGCAGCTTCTCAACCACCTCCGAGTGGCACTTCCGGCTGAAGGCCTCGATCTCGGCCAGGTTGTCGCCAAGCACCGGAGGATGCTGTCGCGGGTGGTGGCCGTCGAACTTGGGGATGTTGTACACCTGGGCGTTGTCCTTGAGGCCGTTCCCTAGGCTATTGGGTCGTCCGTCAGCTCGATTACGTCTGTCATCTAGGCTCAGACATCGAATCTTACTTGCGCTGACCCGCAGGCCTGTATCCGTTATACTCGCCCCTGTCGAGGTCCTGCTGATTGTGGAAACGGAGTTTCTCCTCATTTGGCAGCGCATAGAATTCGCGACCCAGGGCGAATTGACGGTCAATCTCTTCCTGGCTGATGTTGAAGTTCTTCACGTAGAAGAATCCTTCCAGGCTGTTAACATCATCCAAGATATACAGCCGTATACTGATAAAAAATGAAGGATACTTACCAACATAGCGCACGGCGTGTTCCAGCTGCTTGACAAGATCCTGCTTTCCGCCTGGTTGATCATACTGACTCAGATCGAGAGTGATAAGCTCCGCCCAGTCCACTGGCTACATTAGCAGGATTCTTTTTTAATATCGAGAGAGGCAATGCTCACAGTCCTCCTTGGTCTCAGGGACATGGTCGTAACGATCAATCAATTTGCCCGGCATGATGACGACGTGATTCTAGCTGGCTCTTGCAATCAACACCTTTTCAATCTACCATCCAGATAGCAGGAATCCGCTGGCAACTATAAGTAAGGCAAGCATTACAGCCACATCCAATCACCCCGCAATTCCCCTCATCTGAACACGCTGCGATTAGCAAGCAAAGCACGCAATCCCTTCGTGCCATGAGGCCTTCGGGAGATGCATGCGCTAATCAGCGCCGGTGTCTCTGCCGATATCAACCCTTGTTTTTCTCGGTCTACATCCGTCTTGTTTGAGCATCTAGCGTGGGATGTCATCCCGTCGGGTCGTCGTTGGTATACGCCGTAGGGTCGGCGCGATTCCGGATGCTGAGGCTTCAGCGCACGCCATCGTCCGACACCATGTCGCCGTCGGCGTAGCGGGTGCTGTCTTCGAATGAGCACTTGCATAGAGCCGTGGAGTGCTTATCTCCCCGCCTCGGCATGGCCTTGGGATCTGCAATGGCGAATGGATGTGGGGGAATTGCTCACTTGTCAGCGAGGTCTTGCAGGTTGACCGGATGCTTGAAGGAGACGGAAATGATCAAGCCATACATACATAATGGGGGCAGATTCGCGGAAATCGGCTCTGTGACATCTCCAGCGATAGAGCAGCAGCGATGTCGGCGTCGGACTCAAAGCCGGGAAGAGGCTCCCTTTTAGGGCTTTTCAAGGAGGTGTTCAATTGGTATCCGTCGGCTTATCCCTCGGAGGAGAGAAGGCTAGTATACTTCCAAATTCGTTTATATTTTTCGAGTCTATTAACCTACGCAGACTACTCTTCAAGCTGGATGTGTCGATTTTGGTCTTCGCCTGTCTTTGCTGTAAGGTCTCTCACTATACACTCGTGGGTGTAGCTAACGGATGCAGTCTTTGTCAAGTATCTAGGTATGAGCAGCTTCGTGTCCGCAATTTGAACAAGGGAACTCATAGTATAGACCAAACAAACATCAGCAATGCCTATGTCAGCGGCCTCAAAGAAGACTTCAATCTCAATGGGAACGAGCTCAACTATTTCAATGTCTGCTACTACACCGCATACGTGGTGTTCCAGGTCCCTGGTCTCCTTCTGATGTCGCGTCCAACACTGTAAGTTGGATTTGGCCCAGATTATTACCCCAAGATGGTGTCGAGAGTTCTGATGACATGGTAGGGCTCGCTGGCTGCTTCCCGGACTTGAGGTCCTATGGGGAATTTGTACATTCGCACAGAGCCGGGTGACCAACGTCGGTCAGCTTTATGCCCTTCGGTTCCTTGTGGGCATGCTAGAGGCACCAGTGTTTGCAGGAACCCATTTCATCCTGGGTAAGAGACCATACCATCTGCCAAGTTCAGAAGAGGTGATAATCTAAGAATGTATTAGGATCCTGGTACTCCGGCCCCGAACTCTTCAAGCGAGCCGGGACCTGGTTCGTTTGCAATCCACTCGGCACCATGGTCAGCGGGTACTTGCAGGCGGCCGCCTATACCAACCTGTCCGGAGTGGCGGGCATGCCTGGATGGCGTTGGCTGTTCATCATCGACGGCATCTTCACCATCCCCGTGGCCCTCCTCGGCTTCGTCATCTTCCCCGGCATCCCGGACTCGCCGAGACCATTCTATCTAACTGAAAGCGACGTCTCACTGGCCAAAGAACGAGCCCGACGGGCGAACATCCGTAGGCCTGGCAAGCTGGGACTTGACGTGTTCAAGCGGACGCTGAGTCGCTGGCATATCTGGGTGTTTATCTTTTGCTATGCGTGAGTTCATGCCTTTTTGTGGCCATTGCAGAGGATGCTCATAGTCTGTCTTATTCAGGTGCATGATCATCTCTTACTACCCCAGCAGCTACATGAACCTCTGGCTCAAGGCAGAGGGATACTCCGTTTCCCAGATCAACGAACTGCCCACCGTCGTGTATGCCATCAACATCGTCGCCTCCTGGCTCGGGTCGACCCTCGCCGCGATCTATCCCGCCTGGATCATCTACACCATCATCTCGATCTGCTCTCTGTTCTCGACCTTGTGCATGATCATCTGGAACATTCCCACGGGGCTGAAGTAAGTCCTCAGTCACGACTCTTATGGCAACATCTGACCTTTTAGATTCTTCGCATGGTATCTCTTCGGCGTGGCCGGATGCGCCAGTCCCATTCTCTACTCGACCGTCAACACCATCGTGAGCAATGACTCTGAAGAACGAGCTCTGATTTTGGTATTCCGTTCCCTTTCCACCTAACGGAACCAGCACTGACCAATCCAGGGCGCCATGATGACCTTCGGCTACTCGTTCAACATCTGGGTCCCTCTGCTCCTCTTCCCGACTGCCGGACCGTACGGAGCACCGCGCTGGCCCAAGGGATGGCCCGTCACGTTTGCGTTCTACTTTCTTCTCTGGGCGGGGTTTATTGCAGCGATTGTGATACACAGACGGTGAGTCTCTCTCGTTGTTGTCATTCTTTTTCTCCTGGTCACTCGGTTGATATCTATTATCTATGGTTGCTGATACGTATCGTGGGTAGTGAAACGAGGAAGAGATCAGCTTCGTCGTCCAGCGAGGGGAGTCAGGAGGACGCAGAGACCATCATCGTCGGTGGCGAGGGGGACGGTAAGAATGGGAGGGACATTTGAGCAGGTTGGGTTGTTGTACTTGTTGGTACTGGTCCTACTGGTTTTGCTAATCAGTCCTACCTGACCTCTCAGTCATGAAGTATACTATAGCTATACTCATCTATTGATTACACCTCTCATCCACATAAATCAAGACAGTCAGATTCAACAATAAATACATAACCTAATACAACATAACCTCAATCAATCCATCAGTCAGTCAACCCTAGTCAAGTCAAACTAAACCATCCCCAAAACCCCCACCACAAACGCCGCAACCGCACCACCGCCCATCCCCATGGCCACGGCGCCGGTCCCCGCCTCGGACGCACTACTCGTGGCGGACGCCTCGGCGGCACTGGCCTCGTCGCCCGTGGCCTTCGTCTTGGACGCGTCCTGCGTCGAGGTCGGCTTGGCCGTCGTCGAGGTCGACACGGTCATCGAGGCGGCTTTGGCGGCGCGGCAGTACGAATCGCGCTGTTGCTCTGTTGTGAGCCGGTCGGCGTGGCCGGTGCAGTTGTTGTAGCAGCTGTTTTGGATGTGGGGTTAGCATTTGTAGTATAGGGGAGCGTGGTGTCACGGTGGGTTGTTTGGGTTCATGGGGAGATATGCTGTAGGTGTGTGTATATATAGGGTTGGGTAGGGATCTGGGGTTGTATGTATATAGAAATAAGAGGGTGATGGTAGACCAGGTAGACAACCCAGCACCATAGACGTATAGATAGCATAGATGAAAGAGAAAGACATACGTCAAGACATTATTCGTCTGCTCACACAGACAGTCCCATCTGTTGGGGGTGCATTTCTTGAGCTGGGGCTCCATGCGCTCGAGACATGCTTGGAGAATCCTGTCGATCAATATGGCCTGGTTAGTCTCCTTCTTTTCCTCGTTGATCCAGCATCTAGGATAGGAGGGGAAACAGACTCCTTTGCACAGATGGCATTCGACGTGGCAGTGGCAGCGGACGTAGCAGAAGACGTCTCGGCCGCGGAGACGGCCAGAAGGCAGGATGCCAGCAGGGTAAGAAGGGTGAACTTCATCGTGTCTATCGGTTGTCTGGGTTGATCTGAACTGGTTGGCTTGGAGGTGGGGAGGTGGGAGGATATAGAAGATATATACTCGGAGATTGTATGGCACCTGGAAGAGAAACGAAAAAGAAGACCGGACGATACGACGAACAGGCAGCTTTTTATCTCTGTCCCACTCGCACTCCAAACCTCCGGATCAGGCGTGGGACAGCAGTCCGTGCAATATTGACTGGCGCATGCATGTCGCGGAGGAACTATTGGCAGTTCAGGTGAGACATCAGACGTGCCGCCAGGCCATTATTGAACCTACAGAAACGGACGTGCAGAAGAGATGCGTGTCTAAAATTAGACACCTCAGATCATTCGTCTTACTCGGTCAAACTGCTCTTGCGCTCGAACCCAAATCGCATGGTCAGGGTCCCTCGGGACAATAATACACAGTATATACAAAGTTCAACCATGAATCAAAAAAGGAACAGAAAAGGGAAGGGAAGACATGAAAGGAAGGGAGGTTGGGAAGGGAAAAAAAGAAAAAGAGAAAAGAAAGAGAAACCATCGAAAGGACCCGCGTATAACATGTATCTGCTCCAAGAACCGCCACATGCAACAATCATCAAACGAAGGGGGAATAAATCAACGAGAGTCGACGGCGTGGGCTGCAGCCTCACGCCTCACAAAACAATACGCTCTCCAATTCAAACTTCTTTCAACTCGTCGGTCTCCGTCGGCCGGTTCGGATTATTATAAAAAAAAAATAAGAGGCAAGCCAGGGAGGCTGATGGGGGGTGTAATGCAAGAGAATTTTCATTCCGTCTACTCCTGTCCGAATCCAAGCGTTTCCTCCACGGCGATGGACATCTTATGCTCCAAAGCGTCGTGGGTCTTGTACGGAGGAAGATCCAATCGGTTGAAACTACTCCGGGTTAGCAACGAGAGCACGGCCGACAACAACGAACAGAAAACATACCATGTGTGGGACTTGGGCAGCGCCGCCGGATCTCCCGATTTTTCGATCGTGAACCGTCTGGGGCCGTCCGACCCTTGGAGATCCTTGAATCCGTTGACCGGAATACGCGAGGTACCCGTGGTGAACTGCAGCAGTCGAGACTTCTGCTCGGCATCCCACGAGCGGACGATCTTCCAGAAGTTCTGGATCACCTCGTCCTGCTCCTGGTAGCCACGGTAGTCGGTGTGCTTCTTCCAGTCGTCCACATCGATGTCCGCAATACCTCCGATCAGCAACTCCAGCTCGCGCTCGTCAAACACATTCACCAGATCCGCCGGGATCAGCTCGTTGAACCCGGACATGAAGGCATTGAATTGCTCCTCAACGCGCTTCACGATCTTCCATTCCGTAACCAATCTGGAGCATCGATTAGTAAATGACTCGTGTGGAAACAAGATGACAAGAGTACTTACTCAACGTATTCGTGCTTGTTTTCGTTGGTCACCGGAATATCCCGACCTCCCGGCTTCAAGTCAATCGTGCGACGTTCGCCGAACTTCTCGTCGTCAACCGAGAAGGTCAGTTCTAGAATCCCATCGATATCGTTGTCTCTGTTCATCGGGTTAGCTCCACGCATTTCTTCTACTCAATAATTCAATCAAGAGTCACGTACATTGTCCACGCCAAATTGCGGTGCAAGTCTTCATCGACACCCTCCATGTCTTGCAACGAGACCTTCTTGCGGAGCATCATCTTGTAGAAGGCTCCGATGAAGAACGAGTCGAGGAAACGACGGTGGAAAATGGCCAATCCAACCACCCGTCCGATGAACTTGAAGTAGTTCAGATGTTCCGGGTTGACGCCTGAATGGGGATTAATTTGCAGGGTATAATTATCATGTGCGGAGTACTCGAATAGGCAATAGAACGGGTTAAACATTTCGTGCGAGAGGAGGAAGAAGAATTCACTATGCGCGGTTAGTGAAAGCGGCAAACGATCCTAGGCAGATCAAACTTACCGAGAAAGACCGCCGTAGTCCAGACCGTCTTCGCCGTCGAACTTGATCATCAACCGCTTCTTCAAGTCGGAAGCGCTCTGCCGCATGATCTCCGCGTAAGAGTCCTCGAAGATGTTGTTGCGGCGCACCTTGACGTGACATTGTCCGGTCATGATCCGCAGGGCGGGTTGCGACCGGAAGTAGATCAACTTGCGTCTAAAGTCACGCTTGTACTGCGGAACGCCCTGGTCCAGCGACGAGGGCAGACGAGGATCATCCCAGGTCGTGGTCTTGGTGTTGTGATCGACGAAGTAGACTCGGGCCGTATTCGTCAGACGCATCTCCCAGCCACTCGGTAACGGTCCCAGTTGCGACACGGGCTGCTGCTGGATGGTGGTGTTGTTGCCGTTGGCATTCTGTCCGTACATGCGAATGTACTGCTGTCGGCGGGGGTCCACCCAGGTCGTGGTGCGGGTGTTGTGGTCGACGAAGTATGGCCGTCCCTCGGGCGTGGTCCGCTGCTCCCAGCCAGGCGGAAGCTCACCAGTGCCTGCAGTGGTCGCTCCCGTGGCCATCATGGACACCGCGTTGGCGCTACCACCGGCCGGCGGGGTGGAAGCTTGCGGCGGCGGCGACGGCTGTTGCTGGTTCTCCTGCAAATTCGGCGAGCTGGCGCCCGTTCGGTCCTCCGGCAGCATACGGCTCTGGTGAGCGCGTCGCTCCAATTGCATGTTGGCTTCGCGCTGGGAGCGTTGTGTATGCTCGTTGTAGTTCGCCGAAGGTCGGGTCCAAGTGGTGGTCCGCGTGTTATGATCGACGTAATACGTTCTTCCCAGGTTGTCTTCGCGACGCTCCCAGCCAGCTGGCAGGCGCCCTTGGCTGTCTTCGAAGGAAGAGAGGTTGGTGCGAGAGCCTTGCTGGGCGTTCGGCGGGGCGGCCGCTCCGTTGGGAGGGATCACCGTACTAGAAGGTCGGGTTCCCGACGGCACGCGTTGGGGATTGAGGGACGGGTTCGACGCAGCAGCGGGAGAATCGACGGGACCCGGTGCAGGTGGGGGAGGATGCGAGGTCGATGCCGGGACCTGGGGCACGAGGCCACTGGATGTCGAAGACTGAAGGTGTGATCGGTTCATACTTCCGTTGGCTTGATTGGTGTTCGGGGTACTGAGGTTAGTAGACAAATTGATGATCAATTTCCCATGTACGACAAGATTGTCGTTGGACTTCTTCAGATCTCTGGTGAGCATTTCTAGACGCAAGGAAAGAGAACAAGGTCAGTACCGGTCTTTGTGGTCAAAAACGCATCTATCAAGGAAGGTCGAAGGCCCGCTTGATAGAACTCACCATCACCACCCATTTGTAAATCGATCACATCGCCGATGCGGACATTGATGACGCCAAGGAAACCTTGATCCTTCTTCTTGAACTTCTTCTGGTCGAAAATCTGGATCGCGAGGATGCTGTCTTCGTTGACTCGCCTATGGAAATCGCAAGGGACAGGATCAGTCCGGGAAGGTGCCCCCACATCGGGATCTCGAGGAGTGCTTACAGGTCGAACATCTCATTCCAATACGGGTTCAAGGTCTTTTTGATCACCGAGGTTGTGTGAGTCTGCTCACCACCCACGGTGGCCACAGCGAACGGATCAGGGAAACCTGTCGGGCGAAAAGAAAGAACATTAGTCACCCTCAATCAACCATCTGAGGAGGAGGGGGAGGAATCGACGCTGAACATACGGAAGACATCGCGCTTGTATAGCCCATCCGCCGCGATAACTGTAAGAAAAGAGAGAAAAAGAAATGGTCAGTCTTTAAATTCCGACCAGTTTCCGACACAATTTGTATTCTGATATTTTTTTTTTTTTTGTTTGTTTTTTTTCGGTAGGAAAAAATGGTGGGGGAATGGGATCTCACTGGTGACCCTGAGGTTCGCCTGGCTGCAATTCGATTATGAACGGGTTAGCACGACTCTTGAGGATGGAAATCACGGGATTCCTGGGGCAAAGCCGAAGGGACTGAATCGGAAGACCGACGGGGGAGCGGGGAGGGAAAGACTCACGCAGGTAGATTGGAGCCCATCGTCACGGGCAGGAGGAGCAGCTGGCGGGACAAAGACGCCGGGAATCAACGGGCGAACAGGTAAATTGCGGCGTGCGCATCCACCGCCGTCCACAGACACGGGACACCGAGAACAGTCCAGGACTCCCGGACAGGACGGGATGGAGGAACAAAATGGGGGCAGGATGGGAGAAGGAGAGCGAGAGAGGAAGAGTGAACGAGGGAGAGAAAGAGAGGGAGGGAGGGAGGCGGCGGAAGGAAAGATGGCGGAAAGGGAGCGACCGAGATGGATGGAGGAGGGAAACGCAGCGATGAGGTTGGCGATAACGGGGGACGGCGTTGACTAAGGCTGAGTCTTGTTAGTCCTCCTCGTCCTCCTAGTCCTCCCAGTCCTCCCAGCACTTCCTCCGTAGTAGAAAAGACTGGGGCTGAGCAGTCTTGACGTTGCCTCCCCGCCAGCCAATCACGTCGTCGCCGGCCCTGTCCGCCTTGTGGCGAAGGAGGGGTTTCGGCTGACTCAGCCCTCGCATGGCTTCAGATCGCGGTGCATCATACTGCGTATATTACGGAGTGTATCCTATATCCCGTATATATATATATATCCGCTGGATCCTCCGTCAGCATATGTGCTCCCGTGAGATCATCACCCCCAACCATCGCTTTCACCGTTCACCTCCTGACAAAATGCCCCTCGTATGGATTCCCTCCCCGTCCGAAAGTACCCCCTAAAGTCTTCCGGGCTAGTCAAGGCCCGTCCCCTCGTACGGTGGCCTCGAATCGATTCGCCAGAGTCGACGTCGTCCGCCGTTCATCGCGTGGGCGCTTAGAGCAAAGCACCGGCTTCCAGAAACCCCGCGCGTGCTGGCCGGCCTAGACGGGACTAGCTCCTGGGACAAGGCAGCAGAATTCAACGGTGAACCACATCGTCCTCCGTCTTCCAGGGCTGATCCAACCGTGCGGTACCTCCCTGGGCTGCCCCGGAATTCCTGGAATATAGTTATGACGGAAGGCTTGCGTACGTCCAATTCCGTCCCATTTCCCATCCCTTACCCGCTGCGTCCTACCAGAGAGCCCTTGCAAGTATGGCTCCTTCCCCAGCGGTGCGTGTAGCGAGTAGCTTTCTTGATTGTGGTCCGAAATCCGAATGAAAATAGCAGCCATCCAGAACCCTGGACCTTTCCTGGGAGGCGCTCCGGGAAGACTCCGGAACGGGTGAGCTCTGGCATCCAATACGTCATCTCACCTGACCTGCCGAGCCTCGCCCCGTTATATCCTTTTTCGGGACTTCACGAGGAATCGATTGGGGGAGAAAATGATCGGAGAATGGAAATGGAAATGGAAAAAAAAAAAATAAATAAAAGAAAAAAAACACCCGACTGGTGACCCAACGTAATAAGACACTGGATTTTTTTGGTTTTGTTTGTGTTTTTAAATGGTAGAATAAATACGACGACGATACGGTGATATCACAGAAAATAAGCAATTTCGGTTGTTTGCCCATCTTTGCCCAGTCCGAAGGTTGCCAGATGGTTATCATACAGTACACCCCAGTCCCCAACTCCAATGGTCTGTTTCATGAGCTCGGAGTGATGGCCTCTTGATCGTCGAGCGCTTCGTCCGTCGCGACCCGCTTGCGCTCCCTCTCGATCCTCTCGTGTCGTCCCCGCCGGCGTGCTTGGGCTTGTCTCAGGCGCCTCGCATGGTGTGCTCCTTAGTAGGGCGCGTAGCCCCGGCCCCGGCCACGGTAGCCGCCGCGGTAGCCTCCGCGAGGGGGGAAGCCTCCTCCGCCGCGGTGGAATCCACGTCCACCCCGGAAACCACCTCGTCCGCGTCCTCGACTCATTCCGGGGACGTTGGTCCGCTTGGGAACGACCTGCACAGCGTCCCGTTAGTGGATTTGACTTGGCGATCGGGATGAAGGATGTGCCAGGACGAACTCACCTTGAGATTCCGGCCGCGGAACACACTCTCGTTCAAAACAAGTGCCTGGGCCACCAGGCTGGGCTCTGCGAACTCTACGTAGGCGTACCTAAAGCCACCAGTCAGCTTCCGATATCAGAATCGAGGATCTAGGCACGTAAAGGTGACACCCACCCCTTGGGTTGACCCGTGAATTTATCCAACAGAATGGTGACACGGTTTATCGAACCGCAGCTCTGGAAGTGCGCTTGGATTTCCTCGGGCGAAGCTCCGTAGTCGACGTTGCCAACGAAAATACTCCGGGCATCGATCTCTTCTTTGTCCTCTCGTAGGTTCTCGGATTGTTGATCAAGGGTGGCCTGCATTTCCCGCAGTTTCGCAGCTTCGGATTCCATCTCGGCTACCCGCTTCTTCATCGCCGCAATTTCCTCCTGGACATCGGATAGGATACATTAGCAAAGAGCCATATATAGAGAGACGGTCGGGATTGAGAAGAGGAAGCGGAAAAAACATCGTGATGCAGCTTGCGGTGGAAGCTCGGCATGCTGGGATACCAAGTCCAGATTTGCATAGAAAAACTTACCTCGTCGTCACCTCCCTCTTCGTGAGTCTCGAGGCGCTCATCTTTGATTTCGTGTTCTTCCGTAGCCATTATGCTTGTATGATAGGGAACGACTGTCTATCGCAAGTTCGCCGAGGGGGAAAATCTCGAAGGGAAGTTTATGCACCCGATTGAGTAGGCGGGGAATAGGAGTTTGCAGGGAAAGATTTTTTCAGTTCGGTCCTGTCAAAGGGAAAGAAACAAAGAACAACCCAGGGCCAATGTAGACACCGGTGGTTGCAGAAAAAGAGAAGGGAGGAGGAATGCGACAAGGGATTGAGGAGAAAGAGCCCAGCAGGTCAATGAACCTGATACCCGCGCTGGATCGACGCCGAAGTCACTGCTGCTCTTTTGGGCCTAGCGACTTTTGTCATCATCCCCCGAGGCAAACGCTCCGCCGGCAACGAACCACCGCTTTCATTTCCTCTATCTTTCTCGCTCGCCGTCGCTTTCTTCAGCCGGTTTTATTTTTTTTCTTTCTTTTTGGACCTTGGGTCTTCTTTACATCATATCTTCACCGTATTTACTTCTCCACTGTACCGTAGAGAATTCAACCCCCGATACGTCCGACTCTTTACATGACATGCCTCCGGGGCACAGAACAGAGACTATATTTACTCTGCTCGTCGCAGCACGGAATGCGCCCAATCTTGAGGGGGTCCAGGTGGTCTGCAACCCCCCGAACATCCATCCTGGAGGGATAAAACGTCAATTTGAATTAGAGGGTCGTAATCGTGTCTGTTTCTATGGCGTATATACAAGCAAGGAAAGGGGGAAATAGATGAAGGTCAACTCATGAAGACGGGACATTGTTCTTGCGGAAGGAAACCTTCTCGACGGCGACGGTCTCAGCCCCGTTGGCGTCCGTCTTAAGCTGGTAGACGTAGAGCACCAGCACGTCTCCTTGGATCTAGGCGAGTGTCAGTATATCGACCAGATGCGGCAGGTGCCTTGTCAACGGGCGCACTCACGTCCATCAAGCAGAAGCTGGGCGTGGGGTCTTCTCCCTCAGGCCAATACCCTGTGCTCAAGGCACCCGTGGCACTGCCCGGGTTTACAAAGAACCGGCCCTCCATCTCAAACGCCTCGAATCGATGGGTGCCACCCCAGAGCAAGATATCCACATCCATCTGGCGCGCAGCAATCAGTAGGGCGTCGGCGTCGCCCGGCGGGATGATGGTGTGGCCATGGGTGAAGCCGATGCGGAGGCTGCCGTGGGTGACAACCTTGGAGAGCGGAAGGTTGGGGGAGTCGACGTCGAAGTCACCCTTCACCAATTGCAGGTCGGGGGCCACCTGGCGGAGAAACTCGAATGTATGGCGATCGGTCAGGTTGCCCAGGCACAGGATCTGGCCGATCTTGCCGGGCGTCAAGAGCTTCCGGAACTACGGCGGTCGGTCAATGGAGAGCGATTGGTTGGAAAGCAGCGGACGAGCGGGGTCAGAGAGGTAGAGGGGGACAAGGACGGTGCGTACCTTAGCTGGGAGATCCTAGCGATAACATGGAAGTCAGTAAGCGGAACGGCTGCATGCATCGGGGGCAAGCGCAAGTCAGTCACGTACCGGAGCGCGGTCGGGGATGAAGAGGTCACCAATGACCAAGACCAGACGCGAGGTCATTCTGAAGGAGCTGGAAAGGAGGAATGGGGAAGGAAAGGGAAATCAACGGGGGACAGCTGACGCAGGAGATCTCCAGGCGGCAGCAGGCAGTTTGCCCGGCGGCCTCACCGCCCAGCCCGCCGCCCAACCCTAAGCCCTACCCTGCTGGCAGAGTACAGGGTACAGAGTACTATACTCCGTGCTCTACAGTCTATACTGCCTATCCTTATATCTTATGGGGTGTTCTTTTGGCTTGTGTTCTTTTATTTACTACTGAATTGTGTCTGAGGTGGATGGATCCTCCGTTGGATTGACCCACTGGTTAACTATGACAAATAAGAGCACGTCACGGGCGATACGGAGATATATACTTCGGGAAGACAGCCGAGCTGAGGATGACATCCGGGGGGATTCATTGGAAGGAGACTCACATAGGAGTATGGGGCATATTGCCTAGTAAATAGCACCTACGTAGTAGAGGTATACTAAGGCCGGAGGCGGACGCAGAACGGAAGGCGCCGCCCGCTGAAGCAGCTCTCGATCTGGCAGGCGCGTTAATAATCGGGGAAAATCCAAACATCAACTGGCCGGACTTTTCATCGCCCCCTTTCTTCCCCCAGAGAACCAGCATCCGCCATTGCAATTGAGTCGCCAGTTCAATCGGTCGATTCGATCCCCGGGAGTATCTATCTCGACAGAGACGACATATCCTCTGCCAACCACCAATCGCAAAGCCAGCCGGCGCTCCCCGAACCTGGCGCCGACTTTCCACGTCTCGCGGGAAACTCAAAGCGCAAAGCTTCCTTTTCCTAACTTTTTTCCTTTACCCCGCGGGCTCTCGGGTCAAGAGCCGACGTGCTCGGAACGGTGGCCACCAAACAGACGTCGCAGCGCTTGAGTCTGATCTCCAGACACCTGGATCAACGCCTGCCGCTGCCGGAGCTGAACACCCCCTTCTCGACCGAGAGGAACTCGCTCGCTCCCGACGATATCGAATATAAGCCCCTCGATCGCTCTGCTCCCCCCTCCCCATCTCCCTCTTCTTCACCTCAACCCTCGTCTCCCCCCACCATGTCTTCCCAAGCTCCTCATCCCACTCTGTTGATCCCCGGGCCCATCGAATTCGATGATGCCGTCCTCCAATCCATGTCCCACTATGCGTGAGTCTCCTCCCCCACTATACCCCTCACATGCCGATATCGTCGTCGCCGTCATCGCCGTCACCGCCGTCACCCCCGGGGATGAGTCGTACTAATGCGGTATTCTAGCGAGAGCCACGTCGGACCTGGCTTCGTCAAAACCTTTGGCGAAACGCTGAGCTTGGTTCGGAAGCTTTTCCAGTCCACCAGCCCGGCCGCGCAGCCCTTCGTCATTTCCGGTAGCGGTACCCTTGGCTGGGATATCGTCGCCTCCAGCTTGATTGAGAAGGGCGAGAACGCCCTCGTCCTGCACACCGGCTACTTCGCCGACTCCTTCGCCTCGTGCCTGGAAACGTACGGCGCCAACGCAACCCAACTCAAGGCCCCCGTCGGAGACCGCCCGTCGTTCGAGCAGATCGAGCAGGCACTGCAGGAGAAGCCCTACAAGGTCATCACCATCACGCACGTCGACACCTCGACCGGCGTCCTGAGTGACATCAAGCGCGTGGCTGAGATCGTTCGTCGCGTCAGCCCCGAGACCCTGGTGGTGGTCGACGGCGTGTGCAGTGTCGGCTGCGAGGAGATTGCCTTCGACGCCTGGGACATCGACGTGGTGCTGACGGCCAGTCAGAAGGCCATTGGCTGCCCTCCCGGCCTCAGCATCCTGATGCTTTCCGGCCGAGCTCTGGACCGCTTCAAGACCCGCCAGACCCCGCCCTCGTCGTACTATGCCTCGCTGGGAAACTGGCTGCCCATTATGCAGAACTACGAGAACTTCAAGCCCTCCTACTTTGCCACCCCACCCACCCAGCTGGTCCACGCTCTGCACACCACGCTGTCTCAGATCACCGCCCGCCCCATGGCCGAACGGTTCGCCGTGCACGCGCAGGCCTCGGACCGCGTCAAGGCGGCCGTCGCCGAGCTCGGCCTGACGCAGCTGGCCGCGAATCCGGAGAACCAGGCCCACGCAATGACGGCCATCTGGCTGCCGGAGGGCCTGGCCCCGCCCGACGTCCTCCCCGGTCTGCTGAAGCGCGGCGTCATCTTCGCAGCGGGTCTGCACAAGGAGGTGGCCACCAAGTACATCCGATTCGGACACATGGGTGTCAGCGTCACCTCGGGACGCCAGGACGTTGACAATGCCATTGCGGCCCTGAAGGAGGCGCTCACGGAGGCCAAACAGGCCAAGGGACTGTAAATATAGATTCGAGTCTCTCTCCTTTCATGCGCCGACCTTTCTCTCCATCCACTTTCCTATTCTCAAGTAAATAGTCAATGGTCAAAAAGATGAATGTATGAACGAGGTCCTCTCAATCCGAAAGAAATAGACATCCAAAATATACGGAGTATAGACAGTCAAATATGATCGATCTGATCTACAGCTCGCAGTGAAAAACCACCAGATGCAGTAATGCTATCCCGAGCCGTTGGACTCCCCACATCGCTGCCCCATCTGCAACCCTCATACGGTTTTAGACCGACAAGGCAGTAAATCACTGGCCATGGGCATCGACACGTGAAGGCAGCCTACGTGGCCAGTCCGGTTCCCCCGATTACAAAAAACCGGAAATGTTGCAAGAGAATGAGAAATACCGAGGCAAATACCTGGAACATGTGACATCGAGCTGATATTCGTACACGAAACAACCAAAAATACCCGAATTATCAAATACATGTGGAAATGATACCTGCAAACAAACAATTAATACCTTAAGTAATCATCACGGCCATTGCGTCCACGGACAGAAGAGGAGATATCAGACAGAATAAAAATTACAAGAAGTAAATCGCGTCTTGGGGGAAAGAAAAGAAAAGAAAGGAAAAGAACAAACACCAGGCAACCAAGAAACAAGACGTCAAAATAAATGGGGGTATGAAGAGTGATGCTAGGCACTTCTCATGCTTTCAATCAGCTTTCTTTACAATAATGCGAGGGAAAAAGAAAAAAAAAAAAGAACAACTATGGATGATGCAATGAGACTTCCGTCAATATCAAACAAGCCTGTAAACCTTCTTTTTTGGTCTTTTGGTGTCCCTGTGCATGTCTCTCTCTCTCTCTTTTTTTTTTTTTTTTTGTTTTTGTTTTTCAAGGGTTGTCCTGGCCCGTCGTCATCATGATATACTCCTGTCCTAGGCTATGCTTCTGTCTCGCCCCTACGGAGTGCCAGGGGTGCCCGCACGTCGGTCACGTACTGCAAAGCTTCCAGCATAGGGATCAGATGGAGGAGGCCGTTGTCCGTAGGGTCATTGATCCAACCTTCGATGGGAATGGCGTTATCTAAAGAACCGAGCACGGCGTTAGATTGCAATGGTCACGCAAAGAATTAGAATTGCAAGAGATAGAGAAACGTACCTTCGTGAAATATGTAGCTCATGGGACTGTTATCCAAGATCATTACTTTGCTCAAATCAGGTTCCACCGAACTGAGATCCTTGATATAGGCACCGTTGCGCAACGTGCAGTGCTGGCGGTAATACCGAGCCTGGAAGAATTTCCGCTCTTGTTCCAGCCAGTCGATGACGGGATCGGCGTACTCTTGCACACTGGCGGTGAAGATGACCAGCTTGTACCATTTGCAGATCTTGCGGAGGAAGTCATCGCAGTGCGGCCGTTTGTGCACATAATAGAGGATGGGATGCTGCGGCCCCAGAGTCGTCGGCGGAGCTCCCGGCGTCAGAGCAGTGGTCATCGGCGTGGCCAGCTTGACCTCAACCATATGACCGCTGGACATGCGCCCTCCCTTGGCCAGCGAGTGGATCAGTGTTTCGTCCAAGTCGAGTACCAGGGTCTTTTGAGGGACCCGGGACCCGCGCGAAGCGGCAGTATACGACGGGATTCGTGGCGGGATGAGCGGTCGCGGAGGCACGGGGGAATGAGGGTACCTGGTCACCCTATGCACCGATGGGGACGTCGGGGACTTTAGATTGTCGAGGTTGAGGGCCCCTTGCGTTCCATTATGCGAAGCCAGCGATGACCCCAGATCGGCGCTCTGCGCTCGACGGTGCCGTTGACGTTGCAGGGCCTCTTCGTTGTGCAGTTTGATCCGGATCGAACGGCGAGGAGCGCTGTCATCCGACACCGGCTCCAAGCCCGTAGATTTCGCCTTCGAGGTCCGCTGATTACCACTCGTGAGACCCTTCACGGCCCGACGATCATTGTCCGACTCGGAGGTACTGGATGCGATTGAATCTCGGGACGCGTGGCTCTTGAGCTTTCGGGCAGAACTGCCTCGCCGTTTATTGTCTGCAGACCGGGTCCTTTTGGGCGAGCTGCCGGCCGCCTTGGACCCAAACACTGCCTGTCGCAGCTTCCTGACCGGCGCCATGGGAGAATAATGGCCGGTGTCGTCCCGAAAGCACTGAGCTGCGTATATTCCTGGAGCAGCCAAAGTAGACAGGATAAACTTGATAGTTTCGGTGATCGCATCAAAAAAGCGCTGAGCAACCAGGCCCAGGGAGCTTTTCGTCACGAGCGAGCCATCCCTCTGAATCCCGCGTATTAGCGACGTCTTCTCGTCCAGGGTATGCTCGAATGGGTCCCCGGTTTCCGTCGTCCTGGTCGCATCGTCACCGAGCTTCTCAGTGACATCTAGCGAATGGAAGTCGTTGCTACTGTACGACCTGAGCTTTGCGAGATCGCCCGGCGAGCTTGGGGGAGGAAGGTCTCCTTGCGAACGAGATCGTTGACGACTACGGTTGGAATTTGAAGATTGGCCAATGACTCGGGACGACAGGATATTCAACGAGTTCATCTTCCTACGCGGCCCACGGGTGTCCGGGCTGGCGCAGGTATCTACATCAGACGAAAGAGCGCAAGTCAGCCACCGTACAACACCAGACCACTAGACTGACCGAGGGGGGACCAGAATCCAGCCAGGATAGAGAGGAGAAATAGCTCAAGGCAGATGACAAGCAAAGATTCCGAGTAAAACTTACCTCAATGCGCCAGTCGACAGCCCGTGTTTCGGAAGCAACCGAACTCCAGTCCTGTTGAATGGGGGCGGTCGAGAAGAGAATAGCTGAGTAGGAACCAGGCGGGATAGATGACCGCGCAGACGGCAGCAGAGGAGAAAGAGAGAGGGAAGAGACGAGCGAGACGGAGGGCGAGGGCGAAGGCGAGGACCGGGAGAGAAAGAGAGAAGAAGGCGTTGGGGTCGAGGATGACGGCGAGGTGTGGGGAGAGGAACGGATGGACTGGAGACGGTTTGCTCTACTTTTTAGTCGTTCGTTGGGCCGAGCATTTCTGCGCCAATTTCTCCCTCGCCGGAACATCGCCCCTCCTCCCCTCTCTTTGTCCACCTCTCTCCTCCCCACGCCTCTGGCACTCTGTGTCTTTTATTTTTTGAACATCTGCTGGATTGGATTTGGAGTGCTCGGTTATCCTTGACCCTCTGAATTCGCAAATTGGCCCGCGTTCTGGTACGCCGTGCAAGTTCTTATCCGTGTGCGGCATGACTCAACCCTGCTAACTGCTGGCCCTAGAGAGCGGTCGACAACGTCGCGAACAATTGGAATCTGAACCTCTACTCTTGCGAAAGAACGCATCGGAATCTCAACCGCAATCATGCCGGCCACGCCTGCGGCGTTGACGCCCGGATTGGCGTCCTTCCTCAAGTCGCTGAAAACCAACCCGATCGACACATCCATTGACAATCTGATCTCGTGCGTTGCTCGCATCGTCTTCCCGTCTCGTCCCGGACTAACGCGCATCAAGGCTACTGAAACGAAGACAAATCCGCCACTCCCGATCATGCGCCACGGCGACCGCTTACCTGCTCCTCCGCGTCATTTCGGCCTGCAGAACGTCGGATGCGGCGAAACTGATCGAACGGGTCCAGAGCGTGGGAAGGCGACTGGTAGCCGCTCAGCCGCGAGAGATGGTGGTGGGGAATGTGGTGAGACGTGTGCTCGGTTTGATCCGTGACGAGGCCGAGGACGATAGAGAAGCCGACTTTACACTGAGCGAGACCGGCTCTGAAAGCCAGCCGCAGACCCCGCGTGCTATGGATGGTGAGTATCGCCCACCTTACATCCTTGTTCCGGTCGTCCCAGCCAATTAATCGATGGGCTATCTCTCAGACCCTTCGGAATCCATGTCGAGCCGCTTCGATGGCTCCGATCGATCGTCCTCCAGACCCACGGCGGCCTTGTCTGCGCCGATTTCCATGTTCAGTCTTCTTTCACACCCCGAGCCCGACCCGTCGCTGCCAGGTACGCCGGTGTCAGCCTCGCCATCCGGCAGATTCCTGGGTCACGCGCCCAACAAGGACGTTCGGGCGGAGGTTCTTGAGGGTATCAACGAGATCATCGATGAGCTGGGCCAGGTCGATGACCAGATCGCCGCCTACGCCCTCGACCACATTCACTCCAACGAGATTATTCTCACGCACACCTCGTCCACCACCGTCCAGAGGTTCCTGCTGAAGGCTGCAGCCAAGCGCAAGTTCACCGTCATCCATGCCGAATCCTACCCCAACAACCATGAGGCGACACACGCCACCGTCAGCGGCACTAGCCCCAACGACGACGAAATCCTGAGCACCGAGGCGTTCCAAAAACCCTTGATCGCTCTGGGCATCACGGTCATCTTGATTCCCGACTCCGCCGTCTTTGCGCTGATGTCGCGAGTGAACAAGGTCATTCTGGGCACCCACTCGGTTCTTGCCAACGGCGGTTTGATCGCGGCGGCAGGCACTCGGGTCATTGCTCGCGCAGCCAAGGTGCACCAGACTCCCGTCGTCGTGGTCAGCGGCGTGTACAAGCTCAGTCCGGTGTATCCGTTCGACTTCGACTCGTTGATTGAATACGGAGACTCTAGCAAGGTCATCGGCTATGAGGACGGCGACCTTGTAGACCAGATTGACGTCCAGAACCCGCTGTACGACTATGTCCCGGCGGAGCTGGTTGATCTTTATATCACCAACTTGTGGGTTTCCCCTGTCTTGCGTTATGTCCTTGTTTTCCTGCTCTTGATCAAACAGCTAATATAGAACCACAGGGGCGGCCACGCACCATCTTATCTGTACCGTATTGTGTCCGACCACTACCGCAAGGAGGATATCAACTTCTAAATGTGTGCTATCTTGATAACAAAAATGAAAGAATCACGAAGAAAAAAATGAACCAGAAAACAGAGGGAAATAAAAAGAGCAACGGAAAGCAAAATCGGAAGCAAGATGGCTATTTGATTCTGCGCGGACGAAGCAAGAAGTCAAAAACGGCGTCAGGATAAGGATGGTAATAGACAAAACTCGAGGCAACGAATACCCATGGAAACTGTGACGTATGAAGTTTAGAAGATCTGATGATAAGTCCATGTGACGCAAGTCCACAGTAGAAAGCATTGTAATCAAAAGGGCTACGATAAAGCCCCACGTTAAATCACGGGCTTACGGCAATAGTACGATCTACAAGGGTCAGGTTAATAGTTTTTTTTTGAAGATTTGATATTTTAGGGCCCGTCCCAAAGAAATCAATCATGGCGCCATCTTTTTTATGAGTATATCAATCGTAGTAGCTGCAATTGTTTGTATTTGCAGGGTCATCCGTCCTGAACCATAATTTCCAGACCATAGATATCTTCCCAATCTTCCATGGAATGGGCCCCATTTCTCCGCCATCATTTCCGTTGCATTTCGTTCGTGCAATTTCTCTAAGAGCGAGGCTTCTCCTTCTTCTCCTTCCACAGGGCGAGCAGACCGACACCCGAGACCTTGACGACCTTGAAACGGACACCGGGAATATCACCCTTGGCCTTACCCTTACGACCGAAACCGGCGAGGAGAACCTCGTCGTTCTCGTCGATGTAGTTCAGACAACCGTCGTTGGGGACTGTAGAAGATTGACCGGTCAGCATGGGTTGTTTCACAGACACAAAAGATCAGGCCATCCGATCGGATCCACTCCATTCCGCCACCCGTTGGATATTCATCCGACTCCCGCACAATCATCGCATCCACCACCAAAAAAATCATTCATTTTCGTCACATTTTCATCCGGGATCCGATCGAATTTGTTGACCTTCGCAAGGAGCAAACAGAATAGAAAAAAAAAAGGGTTACCCACCGAAAGCGGCGACCTTCTTGCCGTTCTTGATCAACTGAACCTTGACACACTTTCGGATGGCAGAGTTGGGCTGCTTGGCCTCAACACCGACCTTCTCGAGGACGATACCCTTGGCGTGGGAAGCACCACCGAAGGGAGAGGACTTGTAGGCGGTACCGAGAAGGCGCTTCTTGTAGTGCAGATCGGCCCAGCGGTTGTCACGACGGGTGGTCGCGAGCTTGCGCGCGGCGTTGAGTCCACGGGGCTTTCCCTTACCCATCTTGGCGTATTATGTTCGGAGGACGGTTCAACTGTAGGATTGCAAAGAGAGTGCGTTAGATCTTGTTGCTAGTCCGTTGCCCTGATTTCTCGTGTTGATCCGACGAACTAGGAGGGGACCGCGGAGGGGGGAACAAAGTCGACGGTGCAGAATTTCGGGGGATGGACGAAAAAGATCCCAGATTCGACGGGGGCGCCTTTCAACGTGGCCGGGGGGGTTGTACGTACCGACTGATATAGATTCGCCAAAAGGCCTGATGGGGATGGTTGTCGAAAGTCGAAGGTCGAAAGGTTCCTTCACGGCCGGCGACTCGCTAAAGTCGGGGCGAAAATGGTTCAGCTGTGCGCCCCGTGCCCCTAAGCGAGCATCGGAGGAACGTCGGTCCGCCGCCGATAAGATAAGCCGTTATCGCCGGTGCTGCCTGACAGACCAGGCACCAATGAACTACTGACTTACTCCGGACTCCGGACGCCGTCACTCCTCGCCGCCCCGTTCAACTCCCTCGCCAGTTCAACCTCCCTCGCCATGGACGCCGCTCCGCGCATGGAGCACGTCCGGCGCGTTAGCACCCAGCGTCTCCCCCCCCCCGCTCTCTTTCAAGGCCCGCCCTCTCACAATGCGTCCAATCTGTCTCTCGCCCCCCCGGTGCCGGCCGTGTCTTCTCCAGGAACCAGCCAGCCGCCGCCCCTACAGCGCAATCGCTCATCGCGGCAGCCCGGCGCCCTCGAACCGCCCGGCTCGCTGTCCCCATTCGTCTCACGTAGACCGTCCAAAGGCGAGGCGGATCGCTCCGATGCCATCTGGCAGGAGATGCAGAATGCCCTGTCGGAAGTCGAGCTGAGCGCCGTCACCAGCGAATACGTCTTCGGGGAGAAACACTCCGAAGCCCTGGAAGATCTGCGGACCAAGCAGCTGAAGCTTGCGCAGGCCTGGGCTCGCAGCGAGGCGGATGACGAAGGGGCCGAGAACAAGGGGAAACCCCCGTCCGGACCGAAGGGTTCGCGCAATCCCGCGACGACGGGTGAGCCGGTCGTGCCCGATGATGCGTCCCATCGGAACCTGGACGAAGAAACCGAAAAGGACCTCATTCTTGCGCGCGAGAGACGGGAGGCGAATGATCGGTATTTTGATCGCGTGAATAGCGGAGTGTTGGACGTGGTGGCCAAGCTAGAAGAAGTTGCGCAGGCCATGCGTGTGGTGGAGAGAGAAAGCAGAGACATCTGGAGTGACAACGAAACGGACAGTGTAACGATGTCGACGCAGTCAACTCACTCTGGCTGAGGGGCCGGTATACATGTTCAAGACGGGTATTTGAACCCACACCCAGACCTACAATAAATCGTCGTCCGGACCCGAGCGGATCGCAGCGCAATTTGGACTGCCAATTGGCCGACGATATTGCTCAAGACTCACTGGTATAATCTGTGGACAAGAACATGCCGCTTACGCTCTCGCAGCGCAAGATTGTCCACACCGCGATTTTTCCAGCACGCCGAAATCTTGACAAAACCACGCGAGTTCGCAATGACGAAGAACAACCGTTGCTAGCGCTCGAGCATACTTATGAATGCCCTACACAAGGGTAACTATATTCAGTACAGCCCGGTGAAACGGCTATGCGTAATGGACAGACTAGGAGGGCAAAGACAGACTGAAGGACCAACTTGTAGTAATAGCATCCAGCATCAATTAGGAGAATGCAAGGGTATCAAAATTCCAGCTGTGCGCCATAATCACACAACACCACATGAGTATATACGTAAACAGATCAAAGAACGACACAAAAACAGAGCATCCCCATCTCACTCTCTCTTTACAAGTCGCACCACGCTTTTCCATCCTTCCACAGCGGTGGCCCGCGCGTCTTCCCACCGGCTCTGATGCGCCTTCTGGGCCAACGTCTGGACCTCCTTGTTCCACCGATGCTTTAAGAGATCTTTCAACTCCGGTTTTGACGACTCCGGGCTCGTCTCCTTGTCGGGCTTGGGAAGAGTCTTCGGGGCCAGGCGCCGGTCATATGCACCTATCGGGGAGGCTAGCTGGTTCAGGATCTGGACCTGCTCGCGGATGACATCGCGCTGGTCCAGCCGATTTGACCGATGGACTTGGATCGAGAGGTATAGAGCGGTGGTGGTCAACGCGAAGCCGCTGAACTATTTTCCGCGTTAGAATGCATCGAACCAAGGCGTACCGTACAACACGGGATGGGGTAGAGGGAGTCAGAACTTACGAATCCCGCGAAGAAACCCATTCTGATCGCAGCAAAGTAGAGTTGACAGGGATCAACGAATGGTACCTTGCGCCTGCGGCCAGACAGGTGGGGGGAGAACGATCTCGCCCTTCCGCGGATGGGAAGGATTCCAGGGGAGGGACAAGCAGAGCGAGGATTTCAAGAGACCGAGAGGCTAAAGCACACCGGAATGAAGAATTGGACTTTTCATCAAGGCAAGAAGAAGCGCAAAGGAGAGAGAACGCAGAGCGCAGAAAGCAGGAAGAAGTTCGACTGCTCGGGACTGCCGCTTCCAGCACTCCGATTGGCTGCGGGCGGAAACGTCGAATCTTCAATTTCCACTCCGTCAACTTCTCGTACTTCACTTATCATCGCCGAAATCAACGTCTGCCCTCCGCCCTCCCTCCGGTCTTCTCTCAACTTGCTGTCCGGATCTTCACCCACGGGACTCGATCAGCTTCACTGATTGGCGGCATTGGCATCCCTGTCCCCCGGACTGGACCCCTCGCAACACACCCAAAAAACTACTTCCGATTCCCGAGTTAAAAGAACCATCGAATCACCCTCGCCATGGCCGGAGGTGGAGGCAATTTCCGTCATCTTGGCCGCAAGTCGTCACATCGACAGGCCCTGCTCCGCAACCTCGTCACGTCCCTGATCGAACATGAGTCCATCACCACGACATGGCCCAAGGCCAAAGAGGCCCAGCGACTGGCCGAGAAACTGATCACTCTGGGCAAGAAGAACACCGAGTCCAGCCGGAGACGCGCCCTGTCTATTTTCTATGTACGTGTGAACACCAGGTTCAATCGTTCGGGGGCGTGGTTTTCGTCTTTCGATCTTTCTCAATCTCTCCCCCATCTGGCGGTTGGGGAAAATTATCCCATATATACATACAAACAAACACAACTCCCCTATGTCCACTCAGTCTACATATAACTAACGCTCGAAACTCCCAAACCAGAACCCCCACCAGATGCTCCCCAAACTCTTCGGCTCGCTGCGCGAACGCTACGCCGAACGCCCCGGCGGCTACACCCGGGTATTGCGCGTCGAGCCCAAGAAGGACGACCAGGCGCCCAGCGCCATCCTGGAACTGGTCGACGGACCCAAGGACATGCGCTTCGCTATGACAGCCCGTACGATCGCCCGACAACGGTCGCAGGGTCTCGAGACCCTCAACGAGTTGACCGCCATGAACGTGCGCAAGGTGACGCGGTACCGAAAGGAGGGCGTCGAGGACCTGGAACGGGAGATTGGTCAGTTAGGGCTCGATGAGAAGAAGGGGCCCAAGCCTGGTAAGAGTGCTGGGGAGAAGCAATAAAAAGCAAAAACAAGAGAAGGAATGCTCGTGTGTGTGTGATTAAAGGTGGCATGCACGTCTAACGGGCTTCTCCTGGGGTGGAATCTTAGGATTGCTTCTCTGCCGATGGGCGCGGCGGAGGCGAGAGAGTTATCATGGCCAGTCCAGGGTTTCCGTCTCGGGTCTCTTTTGCCGGGCGTCCTTGTATCTATTTATCCCTTTGTCTTTTCTGTCCGGTTCTCTGCTTAGTTTACTGCCTGTTCGACTGTCATGATCCGTGTAATTCTAGCTGTCTTGGTGGGCAGATTGCCAGCCTTTTTGCCCTGCGAATTGGGGTCGGGGGTTCTCTTCTTATTCATACTGTCACTACTTTCATATCTCAGATCTCGCTAGAGGAAATCGACGCTCTAATTCGAAACACTAAAGAGGCTCTTGATTTTGAGATTCCTTGAAGTCTTGTGTATCTTAGCAACCAGTATCTGCAATCCTAACGTCCGGCAAAATCTAAGCAAACATGATAATATCAGGTGGAAAAACCACACCAGCCCGTCTCCAGCAAACGACGTCCGTAGCAAAGCTGGAGCAAACCTGCATTCCACTGGTCGTCACGTTCATCGTGTCAATCGGTGGTTCAACCGGCTTGACATCTCACCATTTGCAGTTCTACCTACCGGGAATAGAAATGCCAGATCGAATAAGATCCTTGTAATGATCAAACATGTAATACAGTCCGACTCTCTCTCCCCCTCACTCGCTCTTCTTCTGTTTTTTTTTTTTTTTTTAAAAAAAATTTTTTTTGTCTTTTGCTCTTTTTTTCTTTCTTCTCTAACCCTAGAGAAGATACGAAACGACGAGGCGTTAGTTAGCTCGCGGGAGAGCTGTGCCTCCGGAAACGACAAGTGGGCCATTATTCGGATTCGGGATATTGTTGTTGGGGTACGAATGAGTTGTGCCACCTCCTGCCCGATGCTTCAGGTCAAAGTCAGATGGAACTTCGGATGGTGGCGGCTTAGGGGGAAGATGAGACGGTGTTCCCCATTTTGCGATCGAATCCCGACCCCCCAAGACTGCTGCTGCTTGGGGAGAGACACCAGCCTGCATGGTAGCATACGAGTTGATGCCATTCTGGTTACCCTTGCTCGGATGGCGAGCCAAGGGGGCCCCGCCCGGAACAAAGGAGCGTGTCTGGGGGTTGAAAGACGGGCGTGTGAAACTGCCGGGCAAAGGATGCGCCCCCGAAGGATTCTGTACTCCCGGGTTCATCGGCTGCCCCGGGTACTGTGTGTAGGGGTAGGAGGTCGGGTTGATGGGCTGCGACGAGTAGTTTTGCCAGGGAACAGGCGGGTGATTCCGATGTGCTGATTGTTGGTACCCTCCGTGGTAAGGCGAAGAAGACCAGGCCGATGGAGTCTGCTGGAACTGTGGGGCACCTGCCATGGGATAGTTGTTCATGGCTGAGGACGGCTTGGCCGCCGCCATCGCCGGTGATTGATTGATGGCGGCATATCCAGAGTAGGGGGATTGCTGAGGCACGGCTCCGTTTTGCCACGGACCACTGGCAGCCATTTGTGGAGACGTGGGCATTGGGTATTGAGGCATGGGGTTCATAGGAGCAGAAAACATGCTACCGTTCTGACCACTGTGCACATATCCCATCCCCGGCGGAGACACGCCGGGGCCTACCATGCAGGGCTGGTTGGGAAACGACGGATCATTCATAGCCACGTTGTACGGGAGCGCTCCTTGAGCATAGTGCATCCCGGGGTAGTAGGCGTTGAACTGGGAACGGACCTCGAAGCTGTCATCGTGGGGGGTCTTCTGTCTCTGCGTCTTCTTGCGTCCACTCGTTGAACTCGATCGCGACATGTTGGTGCCTTGGTCACCACCCGCGTTGTCGGAGGATTTCGAGTCCGGGAAATCGCGGAAGATTCTCTCCCTGACTTCATGATATTTAGCCTCTCGTTCCTCCCGGGTCAAAATCATGCGGTCCTTGGCCGGTGTTGCTCCGGCCGAAGAGCTGCCACGCTCTCCGTCGTTTCCACTGTCCCCAGCCTCCGATCCATTTTTGGAAAGGAAGCCCGAGCTCGCCGCCGTACTCCCTTCCGCCGAAGGCCGTTCACTATCGGTGCGGCGCATGATCTTCATGGCAGGCATGGCCGGAGGTGGTGTGCTGTTAGTAGCAGCGTGCAAAGCAGAGAGGGGAGTAGGCCTATGGAAGGTTAGTCTTTGGGTACGACAGGATGTGGTTATGAGAGATCCACTCACAGTCGACAGAAAGGGGTTCTATGCAGTCGGACGGACGTCACGTTGTTATCCACAAAGTGAGTCAGGTGGTAATAATCCCCTAGCTTATGCGCGAGAAGTCGGCCAAAGGCATTAGAAGGCGGTAATTCCAAAGATTGATCCCTTCAACAATAGAACGTTAGATGGTTTTGTGAAACGCATGTACTGGTCAGCAGGCGTGGACTCACGTGGACTTCTCAATGAAACTTCGCACTTTATCTTCCAGTTGCAAGATCAAAAGACGGTCCTTCGGAGACTTCATTGCCTCCAGCAGCTTCTCGTCCGGATCTAGAGGGAATGGATGCATGGGGATAGGTTGACCTCCCGAGAAAGCATCGGGGTTGGACACAACATAATTGTTAGACACGGAGTCGGGCATGACAGCACCGTTGGTTCGCTGACCACCATCGTAGCCAGGGCCCATGTTTTGCAGCGTTGCCCGGGCTCTCTGTAAGTCCCTAAATCCCCGAGCACCGGCTTCGGACCCGGTCAGCGAGTTGGGTGCACCCGAGGCGACCCCCGAGAGGCTTTCCTCCTCATCAACAGCCTGAACGCTGGCACTATCGTCAGGTCGCAAGGAGTCTTTCTCATCCATGGCAAAGGTGGTGACCGATGCCATGCTCTTGGAATCAAAACTGGTCTGTTTCGTTGAGGAATTCGATAGGTGTGTACGATCGTCTTCGAAAGAAGCTTCCCGTTTCAGAGTCCCGGGGTCTCGGCCTTCAGAAAAGTCGAGGCTCTCTTGCCCTTTCTTCCCCATAATGTGCACCTCGTGCATTGCCCGTGATAGACTTTCGACGTTTCGATCGACAGGATTGGTCTCCCCTGGGACCGGGTTCGAGCTCTCCTGGCTCGGAAGGGCATCTTTCGGGCCCTGTGATTCGGAACATGCCGGTTCCTCGGCTGACTGTATACCATTCTTTTCATCAGATGCGAGGTAATCTTCCGGATGTGATGGTGGGAGCATAGCAGCGATCTTATGCGCAAGTCAGAAGGATGGAACCATCATCTACGTTGCGATAGGCGATCCGTGCAAGCAAACATACCTTGGCAAAAGAAAGGCGGTTGTCGCCGCTTGAAGGCCCTTGTGATGACATGGCTGGGTCGAAACTTTCCCCCCTCTCTTCACGAATGATCAGGATGCACCTATTGGCTCTTCTTCTGTTGATGTGAGGACTGGATAGGTAAGGATGGATTCCAAGAATGGGCAGAAATCCGACGAGAGATGTTGCACGGTTGAAATTGGCCGAATGCGAGTTTTCACAAGAACAAAACCGAGATTCGAAGCGATAAAATGCCACTCAATAATCCCACTTCACACAAGCCCAAAAAGAGAGACGACATATCTTTGAAAAACGTAATTCGCCATAGGGAAAGTCGCTCGGAGTCAGGACCAGTGGGGACACGATGAGCCGCGCGCTGGAGGCAATCGGATAGAAATAAACCCCAGTAGATGGCGGACAGAGGTTCCAAAAGATCAGAGGGCACAAGTGACTGGTCTAAGACGATGGTCAGACACGACGGATCATTGGGGGGGTTCTCATCGTTCGACTTGGGGTGGATTTGCTCACGGAGGGAAGATCGGGATTCCCCTCCTACTCGGAAAACCAAAGGAGGCCGTCCCCGCCGGACTGAAAGCAATCAAAGGGACCAGGCAGCTCAGCGTTCACCAAAGCCGCGATGTGGTTGGCGGTCGAGAGGATCGATGGAGGTGGTTATCTTTTTTTTTTCTCCGGTGGTTCAGATCGTTTGGGCTGTGAAGGAAGGAATGTCTGGTCGTGGGCGGTGAGCCGCGCGCTTAAGCCAGTCGACCCGACCCACTCGTCTGGCCTGGACAGCCGCGATCCATGCGAATCGTTGCGACGAGGATTGCTTCGAGTTGGTTCCAGAGTCGGATTCATCGAACTGTTCAGCGACCGCCTCCGTAAGACAGCGTATATACCTCCGTCCTGATCCGTGGCACATGAATCGGTATCGCAACGCCCCGGGCGCCCGAGGCCCGTCCAAGGCAACCCCCAGCACGCTGTGTCAAAAATGCTTAAAACGAGATATGTTCTTTGCCCTCTGGTCGTCCGTCTGCTCTGAAGCTGACCTCCTCAGTACGGCACTATAGCTATGAATGCTCGGTGACGGCGCAGGACCGACCCTATACCTCCCGTCCGTCGCGTACGCAGCAACTATTGAACCCCAAGCTCAGGCCGCAACTGTCCACAGAAGTTCCCAACGATCTTTTGCGCACGTAAGTCACGGCGTCTGGTCTCGCTCAAACTGGCCCAAAATGTCTGACCGATCTATAGGAAAGGCGTCGCCGATGATATCTTGGCCAAACGCGAAGAAGATCGTGGCCGAAAGAGAGACCTGGATGAATTTGATCCCCTTGATGCCCCGGGACAGAGCTCGAAAAGAGCTCGATCGGTATCATCGCATTCCACAAACTCCGTGTCGACGATATCTACCAGTCGCTCGCGCTCGGAGTCTCCCCCTCGTCGCTCCGGCTACACTGCACGGAGTGGCCGCGATCGGACGAGATCGGTGTCCTCACACTCTAGGCCAAGAAAGAGGAGATACAGCGACTCGTCAGGATACACGGGCTCTTCGCCCTCGCGGGAAGGGGCACGTTCTCGGTCGCGCGACTGGCCTGATGATAGGAACACTCGGCGGAGACATCGCGAGTCTAGCCCTGTCCACCGTGGTCGAGCAGTGAACGTCTCGCGCGATGGCGAACGCAGAGAAAGAAGTCGCAGTCGCAGTGTGGACCAAAGTCGGATCGCCCGAAGCCGACGGTCCATCACCCCGGCAGAATTAGACAACGACCATAGGACGTCCAAAGGATATCCACGAGATCACCAAGATCGGCGCGAGGGCACCCGGGGTCGCTTCAGCCAGGCGCATGACAAACGAAGTGGGCGCGACCAAGGTCAAGCCCCAAGAGAGCGGAGTCTCAGTCCTTACAGCAAGCGTCTGGCTCTGACACAGGCCATGAACATATCTTGACGGAACTCTGTTTCTGTCTTGGAAAGCAAACAAAGGAAGCCTGAGAAGAGAGAGGGGGGAGGGAGAGAGAGAATGAAGGGGAAAAGGTGGAGAGAACAATGAGACTCGACGATTCTTCTTGCATTTACTTGTGAAATCCAGGAAGCAACTTGGAGTACAACTATAGACATGACCACCCTGTATTATACCAATTGAAAGGAAAATGTATTGATATCGATGTTCATAAATTATAACCATGCGAAACCCCCTCAACGCCTTGTGTGGATGTATGTCCCAGATTCCAACTGTGAGCGCCTCAAAGCAAGATAGCAAACAATGAGACCAAATAACAACACTTTCCGTACACTTCCCCTTGGGTATCAAATCCAGGCCATTCAGTCGTCTCTGTCCCTCTCGTCCTCCTCCCTCTCACGCATATGGATTCCCTCCACCAGCACCTCCCCCTCGATCCCCACCTCTTCGCCCTGCTTATCACTGTTGATATCCTTGCTCTTGGCCTTGGCCGCACGTTGCGCGTTCTCTATCCGTTGACGAACAAGCCTGGCGATTGCATTTTGCGTTCTCACGTCGAGAACGTTCATCTTTTCGTCCAAATCCCGTTTCAGATCCCAATTGGGTTTTTTGGGTTGCAGCTTGAATAGATCAATGGGCTGGTCTGCTTCTTCGTCCTTCTTGGCCTGCTCCGCTGTGGCCGTTGCGATCTCGGCGGCCTGGGCTTCCAAGTTAGCCTGGCCGTCTAATGGGTTCTGGTCGAATCCCAGCTTCGGGCCCCGAGTCTCCGCGTCGTAGTTCCGCCCCGAGAGATATCTGGTCGAAACGTCGTGTTCATCATCCTCCATGGCTTCCTCCCTGGTGTGGTTTTCGTCTTCTGTCGGAGCTTCTGGTTCGGGCTGCTTTCGTTTGAGCGAGGCCAGCTTCGCAAGGCGAGCTTTGCGCTCGGTCGCCGCCGCGTCAAGAGAGGCATGGTGGGACGCCATACTGGCGGGAGGAGGTCTGAGGGATAAAAACGCCGGAAATGCGAGTTCAGCGAGAAATCGGAGTCGAGTCTTGCAGGGAGTGTCGAAGAGAGTCCTGCAGGGAAGAATGATGCTTCTTCTGAATTTCTCGGGAACCGGCGCTGCGCCACACCGCGGGAGCATCAGCCACAGACAAGCCGGGCGGAACAAAACTCGGGGATTCCTGGCGGACTAAAAGTTTCCCTTCCGCCATCTCTCGCTGTCTCCCTCTCGCCCTCGCCCTCACCCTCCGCCTGCTGCCTGCGCCTGACCGCCGTATTCTCGTGTCTTTCGATTCTAATGGATATGACCACGAAATCCTGAATGTCACTTTGTCCGTACTACCTTCTGCGTTCCCGCGTCAACGCCGGACTGCCCTATGTTCCGCGACATCAACCACGCATAGGACATCTGCGCCATGTGAAGAGAAATCCTTTCTCGGCAAGGCTCTTCGCCAGTGAAGGGTCGGATTCCGATATCGTGTTTATGGGCGATCTGGAGTTGCACGGCGAAGACGATCCTCGGTGTGCGGGCGCACTCCGCTCCCAGCGAAACCGTTATCACACGGAAGAGCCTCCTAGCCCACCCAAATGGTCATCACCAGATGTGAATACCCGCCCTAATTATACCTCAGTGTTCGACATCAAGCATGGCCGTGGCATTCAACATGATGGGGTGTCTATGGTTTACGGCCATCTGGGGGACGCCGAAACATTGAGAGTCATTGAGCCAAAACATATCGAACTGGAAAACAAAATCAGAGGGAAGACTTTGTTCCGCGACAAGTTCGAGTTCCGTTACTGGGTCGACAACTTTTCGGAGATTGTCGCAATCAAAGGCGGAAAAAAGAACACCGAGGACGTTGCTGCGCCATGGGCGAACTTGGATCACGCGGACCGAGAACTCTATGAGAAACTCTCGGTGGAGGGTCAGAAAGGCTTTCGTCCTGTTTGGGAGAGTCTGCCGAAGGCTGAGAAGTCAGATCACTGGCCACACTTGTCCTTATATCTGCTGCACACCGCGCCCGATTTAGCCTGGGAGTTTCTATATGTTACTTGCCAGAGTGAGGATCGGCCGGTGCTCAAAAAGGTATTCAAATATCTCGACTTCCTCTCCAAGCACTATTCCTCAAAAATAAGGAATCAGCCGCTCCGCGGTATCTCGTTCGACGATATGGTCAAAGTCTGCTTGGATCCCGAGTTCTGGCCCGTCGTTTACGGGCCTCAGAGAGCCATGCGACTCTATATTTGTCGAGCGACAGAGGAAGAACTACGACGTGCTTATGCCCTCGTCCTCGAACGCGAAACCAATGTGAAACCCGGGACCTGGCTCTGTTTCTTGAATCGGTTCCTGCACTATGGCGATAGCGAAACTGCGCTGGAGGCACTCTCACGGCTGCCAGAAAGGGACCTCCAGGGGCGTACCGAGCATGAGGAGGGAGTTCGGTTCCACTGCGCCAAGCTCCTGAAGCAGGACTTTGTGCGTGACGAGGCAGATGGGCGTAACTTCGTCATTCTTCCGAGGCTCCTTAAGATGGGGATACGGCCTTCTATGGAGATGATGAACATCGTTCTCCATAACGCTTTCAAGACGGGCGACTCACAATTGGGGCATGACGTGTTCAAGTATATGAAAACCCAAAACATGTCGGACGAGTACACCTACATAACCCTCCTTCGGGATGCCGTGGCCCGTCGGGACAGCGACCGCGTGCGAGAGCTGAGTGATGAGATACAGCTCCGTCCTGACCTGTCCCAAAGCCCGTATATCACCAGTAAACTCATGCATGCTCATTACATTTTCATAGTGAAGCCCTCGGTGAAGAATCCCGACGCCGTCCCCAGCGTGGTGTTTCATTCCCTGCTGGACATGTATAACAGACTTTTCGACCTGCAGCCGCTAAGAGATCTCGCCATTCTCCCACCGCAATATGTGCCGGCGGTGCCGGGCGCAAACAATCCTCCTCCGGCTGTCGCCCTGTTTCTTATAGTGTCGGCTTACATTCGGTGTCAGACAAAAATATCTATTGTGCACCGCGTGCAAACCAAATTCAGGTCCCTCGTCTGGGAGGGACACCCTACCATCGCTCCGATGGGGGCCACAGATCATATCTACAACGAATTCCTGGCCTTTTTCCGACGCCACCCACTTGGGCTGCGACCAGCCGTGCGACTAGTGGAGGACATGCAGCAAACATGGGAGGAATTCGAAAGGCGCCCACGCGACGGCGCCCCTGACAAGTCGGCCATTACCCCTGCCAAGCCAACCATCTGGACCTGGAACATTCTGCTCTCTACATTTGTCTTCAAGAGACAGCCCTATGCCGTGGAAAGAGTGCTGAAAATGATGGCCAAGTACGGCGTTCAGTTCGACTCGGTTACGTGGAACACTCTCCTCGGCAACCATGTCGCAAAGCAGGACATCAAAGCGGCTGCTCGAATCATGAAATCCATGGAGGAGGACGGCGTTGCATTCGATCGGCATACCATGAAAACCGTTGGTTACTTCCGGGATCCCGAGAGACTATGGAGGGCTGTCAGGGCGCTGGATAAAGAACCCGAACTCGCTGTCGATCAGGTCAGCCTCGACTGGCAGGACTCCCCGACGGCAAAGGCCAAGGTGCTGCATGACGAGGCAGACGAGGACGAGGACGAGGACGACAAGTTACTTGAGAAAGGCCTGCAACGTCTGATTAAAAAAGCCTGACCATCCCCGGCCTGCCTCCCATTCCGTTTTCGACTCGAGATACCCTTTCCCTCTGCTGTTCTTTTCCCTTCCCCTGCGTCCAGCCTCCCCCGTTTCTCTTTTGGCGTTTGGAGCATGTGTTTGAAATAATCTAGCGGTTGGCCAAGGGGAGGAAATATTCGGTCTTCCAAAACCTGGATGCACTTATGATTCTGCGCTGTATAAAACGTCACCCTTTTATGTACAATACGAGATAGAATAATGGAAAGAGAAAAAAGATTCAGATTCAACTCCTGGCCACGGAACGTGATGCTCAACCCGACACGAAGACTAGTAACGCCGATTGCCTGGTAAGAAAGACCATGCCATCTTGAAGTCATAATAGGGGGAATATGGATAAGAACGAGAAAGGGTTGATAGATAGATAGATCTCAGCCACCAAGGAAGATGGACACCTGCAACAAGCATATTCGTTAGACCAAGTCTCCTGAAAAGTCCCCCTCACAGATTGCTGGGACGAATCCCGGGTCTACTTACAGCCATCAAGACGCAGCAGATGCTGACGTATGGACTTAGTCGTTCCCCGACTCGAGCGCATTTCCAGAATATCCCGAAGAAGCTGTATCCTCCGTTAGCTCCAAGTCTGTTTTCCTCAACGCGGACACTGAATAGTCGATCGACATACCCATGACGATTGCGATCCATGAATCCGGGCAGCATGGCATGGACATAGGTGCTCGTACAGATGATGAGCAGGATGACCAGCAGGAGGGACTGGAAGTTGAAGAGAGCCGACTATATCCAACGCCGTCAGTCACAGTGGAGCTCTCTGACCGGGGCCGCCAGAAGATTTTTCTTCTCTCTCACTTACCATGGTGCTTTACTGGGATCGAGACCTCTCAAGAAAGTGATTGTCAAGATTCACGGAGCTCTCACACGGTCTCCCACATCCACGACGCAGAGACCAGCTTTCCGTCTTGCGCCGCCCTTCTGCCATGACGCCGCCTCACCGCCTTCCCGTCGGCCGCTCCGCCGTGCAGCGCCCTCTCCAGAAGAATCCATCGCCGGCTTCACCTCGTCTCCCCAGTTCGGGCCATGTGTCGAGTCAGCTTGCCCCTCCCTGGCCGTTCAATCCCCAAGATACTGCCCTAATCCGCGCCGGCTATCGTCCCGCTTTCAACCCCACCACTACTGCCACTCCCGAGCAGTCGCATACCGTCGAGAACGACAACCAAGACCCTCCGAACCAGGGGAAGAAGAAGAAGAAGAACCCGCCCAAGATGGCCGAACCCAGAGCTCGCGCCGCCCGTCACAAGGGCCAGATGAACTTTTCGTCTGAGCGTGAGTCTTCGCTTTATCCCCTCCCCTCTGCCGGAGAAAGTCGTCATCATGTACTAATCGGGCATTCTATATAGTCCGCCTCCTCCTTCTCGCCTACGGTGATCCCAGTCCCCACCCGTCCTTCCCCTCCGAGCCTCTGCCCGAGACTGTCCGCGTCCTGGACGAGATCGTCACCGACTTCATCCTGGAAATGTGCCACGGCGCCGCTCAATATGCCAGCTACTCCCGCCGCCAGAAGATCAAGGTCGATGACTTCCGCTTTGCGCTGCGTCGCGACCCCAACAAGCTGGGTCGTGTGCAGGAGCTGCTGCGCATGGAGCGCGAGCTGAAGGAGGCGCGGAAGGCGTTCGATCAGAATGACGATCAGGTGGGAAATCTGAAGGACGCGGGTAAGAAGGGCCTGGAGGAGTTGGGGGAGGGTGCGGATGGTAAGAAGAGTAAGGGGAAAGGCAAGAGAGGCGCCAGACGGGACTCCGATGCCACGGAGGATACTGCGCCGAAGAAGAGAAAGGTTGCGGGATGAATGATTTCTTCGGTCTCGGTCTCTTCAGTGCTGCATTTGTTTTTCTTTTTCTCTTTTCTAGGAGCAGGCGTTCTCGGATGATTGGACATGATGGGCTTTTTGTAACATGGAAATACCACTATCTGCATGGCAGGGCGTTGAGAGCATGAATTCAATAGATTGACACATTCGAAATACTTCAATTCAATGGACAGGATCAATGGATTTTATTCTAAGGTGACAAAGTAAAACTTCATGTATTTCCATTCATCATGATAGATATTCCGCTGCCGGAAATGCGACGTCGTAATCATCTCGAATCTACACCACATCAAAGCAACTTGGATAGGATTCTCCCTCCAAAAAAACACAGAAGGGTCCCAGACCCGCATCGTCGTCCAGTGTCTTTATTCCCTGTTCCCATCTCTCTCCTTTTGAACGATCCCCATCACTCTGAACAAGGCCAGATTCATCGTGACTCCCATACGCCGTGCTCTTTCTTTTTATGTTTGCTTTAGAGTCCTGGTCCGGTTCCTTCAAGGATGATGATGCTGCTCCAAAGACCCAGGATAGAGGGCGAAACGGAAAGGAAAAGGTGGCAGCAGAAAGTGACAGAATGCTTTTTGTCTTCCAAAAGAAAAGAGACAATAACCCCTGGAAAGAAAATAGAACCCTAGATGCGTACCAAAAGACAAGGGGACAGAGACAGAGCGAGAAAAAGAAAGAGACATCAAAAATATGGATAGCGAAATTGAGGAGGGAAAAAATGGATGGGCCCACGGAGGAAAAAAGGTGGAGGAGAGAAGAAGAGCAAAAGGAAGAAACCAAGTAAAATCTGAATTATTATTCCATTTTTTCATTCTTCTTAAGCGCGAGTCTCCTCGCCACTGCGCTCTTGGTTCCGCTGTTGACCTCCACGACCTCCTTTGCCGCCTCGTTGACCGCGCTGACCACCGGACTCGGCAGCACCGGACTCTCCTCCCAGAGTGAGCTGGGCAGTTGCTAGCCGGTTGGACAGCTCCATCTGTGTACGGATGGTGTTGGCCAGGTACGACACAACCAGGACGTCCTGGATATGGTTGTTGCTAGAAGTGATGTTAGGACCCAGGGTCGTCAAGGGGGGAGGGAAATGGGGTGAGGAAGAACATACAAGTCACGCTCAACGTCGGCAGCATCAACCTTAGGAGCCAATGCGAGGGTGTTCAGAAGGAACTGGCCCAGAGCAGTCGAAGCGGGAGCCTCCTCGTCGATGACCGACTCGACGTATCGGGAAACCCGGTCAATCATGCCCAGAACCTCCTCGATGGCGCGCTCCAGGGCCTCGATGTCGGTGAACAGGTTGGTGGCACGCTCCTCAGCATCGCGAGCAGCGGAGACGGCCTCCAGACCACTCTTTTCGGTCTCGCCGTAGCGGATCTCGTAGGGAACGGGAATGAAGGCGGCACTGTCGGCGGCGCGCTCGGCGGTCACACCGACGGGGGCGGAGATGTAGGCCCGGGTCTCGATATCCTTGCCGGGCTCGGTCGACACGGTCAGGTGGACGGCGGGGTGAGGCCATGTGCCGTCACCCTGGCCGCTGTAGAAGTTCTGGATCAAGGCGGAGAAGGTGTTCAACTCGGACGAAGTGGCGTACCAACCGACCAGGACTTCCTTGGGGTTGGCCTTGAGATGCAGGGCCAGCATCTGCTTCTGGTATTCCATGTCGACCTCGACCTGGTCCGTCGTCTCGGTGTGACCGACAGCGAAGGTGCTGCGGATTTCGACCTCAGTTCCATCCTCGGATCGGGTTCCTAGCAGGGTTCCGATGACACGCTCCTGATCGGCATTGCGACGAAGCGAGTGGTCCAGGATCGAGAAGAGCGCCTAGCAGGGAGGGTCAGTGGCCTGAGTATGGCGCGAGCGTGCTGGATCCCCCATTCGCAAACATACCTGAGGCTGAATGTTCACACCTAGAGGGGCGGTCGTCGGTGCAGACCCCACAGCCACGGGGCCCAAGGGACGAGCGAGATGGACGAAAGAATCAGATTCAGCCATGGTGACGATGGGATTCAGAGGCGGGGGAGTGGAAAGAAGGAGCAGGTGCCAGACAGGAACTCTCGCTCGGGACAGGTCACTTGGTCGAAATCGCCTTGGCGTGGTGGAGATCGATGCGATTCCAAATTTTCCTTTGATTGTTCGGGGCGACTTCTTCTTGGGCGGTGCGGCGCCTCGAATTGTGTGTGCGACTCCCGCGCTAAGATAAGATAAGGAAAAAATAACCTTCCATTCCTCCATTCCTCTTCCTCCTCCTCCTCTTCCGTGGCCTTTTCCCTTGAATCACTCGTCCTTTCAATCATCCTGATCTCCATGCCCCCCCGTGGTCGTCCCTCCAGAGGTCGTGGCAGAGGCCCCGGTGCCTTCGCCAAGCGCCGAAACGGCTTCACATCCTCCCGAGTCGAAGAGATCGAGTGAGCCTTTCTCCACGCTATTTATCCAGTCTTCCTCCCCCAATTCCACTAACTCCCACCTCCAGATCTGATGAATCCTCTTCCGGTGAGGAGGGCTCCGGTGCCGAGCAGTTTGAAGACGAAATGGACCACGAAGGACCCGTCGACGACGCTTCCTCGGACAGCGAAGAAGAGGACCAGCCGGCAGGACGCCCCTATAACGAACTGCTGCAGCTACTGAATACCGGCTCGGAGAACAAGGGACCCGCCCGAAAGAAGAGAAAGGTTGAGCACAAGGGCCGGGACTCAGAGCGCGAAGCTGTTGCGACTACGAACGAGGAAGAGAACGAGGCATCAGCCGATGACGACGAGGACCAGCCAGAACAGGACGACGACGAGGAGGAAGACAACCTGGAGGAAATGGACGTGGACGGACAGGCGGACAGTGATGAGGAAGACGGTAATCGCGTTCTCCATCTGCGACGCTTCGTCGATTTATACTAATTTCCCCGCAGATAGCGATCCTTTCGATGCGCATTTCTCCACTCCAAAGGAAGACGAATTGTCCAAGAAGATCCAGGCAGCCGGAGCGAAGCAGTGGCGGTCTACCAAGAAGGAGCTCTCAGAGGGGCTGAAAATGGTGCACTCCGTGCCAGATGTTGGTAATGACGTTTCCATGCTTCCTGCCATGAAGAACATCTCAAACGTCAAGGTAAGCAAGCTGCAGTGGTGGATCTACACACGGATAGCCAGCAAATGCTAATGATCAAAACAGCTTAAGAAAAAGCTCATCGAGCCTGCCACCGAGCACATTCAGAGTATCAGCGGACATGCCCAGCACCTCGCTCCCTACATCTTCGACTATCAGGATGTCCTTTACGGCGCCCGAACGGCATCCAATTCCGCGGCGATGCAGGACCTGCTGGCAGTCCATGCCACCAACCATGTGCTGAAGACGCGTGATCGCGTGCTCAAGAACAACGCTCGCGTGGCCAAAGAACAGGACGCCGATCTCGATCTCCGCGACCAGGGCTTCACCCGACCCAAGGTGCTCTACCTACTGCCAACCAAGCAAGCCTGCGTCCGGGTGGTAGACGCCATCACCCGGTTCTACCAGCCTGAGCAGCAGGAAAACAAGAAGCGATTCGTCGACACCTTTTCGGGGACCGACGACCAGAGCTGGGAAAGCAAACCCGAGGATTTCCGGGATCTCTTTGGCGGCAATGACGACGACATGTTCCGACTGGGTCTCAAGTTCACCCGCAAGACCGTCAAGTTCTTTGCGCAGTTCTATGCGTCCGACATGATCCTCGCCAGTCCTCTGGGCTTGCGAACCATCATGGACCAGGCTGAGTACGTCTTCCCTCACATCCACCACCTCTTCTCATCAATACTGACCCTCTTCTTTTTCCCAGTGCCAAAAAGCGAGATCACGATTTCCTGTCGTCCATCGAGGTGGTGATCGTCGACCACACCGACGCACTTCTGATGCAGAACTGGGATCACGTCGACTACATCCTGAAGCACCTGAACCTGCAGCCCAAGGAAGCCCACGGGTGCGACTTCAGCCGGGTGCGAACGTGGTACCTGGACAACAACGCGAAGTACCTGCGGCAATTGATCATGCTGGCCTCGTTCGTGACGCCGGAGATCAACTCGGTCTTCTCGTCGCACATGCACAACGTGGGCGGCAAGCTGAAGGCGACGCCCGTGTACGCCGGGGCGATCTCGGAGGTGCCGCTGCCCGTGTCGGTCAAGCAGACGTTTTCGCGAGTCGACAGCCTGTCGCCGGCCAAGGACCCCGACGCGCGGTTCAAGCACTTCACGACGACGGTGCTGTCGACGCTGGTGCGCAACATCACGTCGAGCCGCGGCAAGAACGGCGGCGGCACGCTGATCTTCATCCCGTCGTACCTGGACTTCGTGCGGCTGCGCAACCACTTCGCCACGTCGACGCAGACCAGCAACCTCTCGTTCGGCGCCATCTCCGAGTACACGGACATGCGCGACGTGTCGCGCGCCCGCACGCACTTCATGAACGGCCGGCACTCGGTGCTGCTGTACACGGAGCGGTTCCACCACTTCCGGCGGTACCAGATTCGCGGCGTCAAGCGCGTGATCATGTACGGGCTGCCGGAGAACCCGATCTTCTACGGCGAGATGATCGCCCAGCTCGGCCTGGACCCGAGCGACGTGGTCGAGGCGGCGTCCGAGGGAGGCGTGCGGGCGCTGTTCTCCAAGTGGGATGCGCTGAAGCTGGAGCGCGTCGTGGGCACGAAACGAATGGGCAACATGCTCCGGGAGAGAGGCGGCGATACCTTCACGTTTGTATGATCGGAGGACCGTGGGGCAGGAGTGTGTATGTATATATTATAATTCCATAGCGACGCGAGCACCGACTGTAATGATAGAGCGATCTACGTCTACCACGATGTACCCTGGAATGATCGTCCATACCAAACACAGCGCCACAAGCGCAGGGAAATCACCAGCTGAGGTCCTTGCTTTTTTTCTCTTTTCTTTTTTTCACGTACTTTTGATTCTCACACAGTGATCATTAATCATTTGAGAGAAAAACAAGAAAAAGAAAACAAAACCTGGCAAGAAGTTCAGCTGACGAGCAAAAAAAACCCCCCCAAGGGTCGGTTGATGGGGATTAGTCATGGCTGGTCTGTTTAGTTTCGCGTCGATCGATCGGATAAAAATCCCAATCTATTCTCTCATATACTGACGGTCAGGCGCGTACCTGGGCTCGGAGGGAGATCTACCTGCCTTTCTAGACAGAAAGACAGCGAGAGAGAAGGGGGACAAAAGCAAGAAGAGTCAGCGAGAGAAAGAAAGAAAGAAATAGAGAGAGAGCAAGGAACAAGATCCATAGACGCTGATATATCATGTCTGCCTCGGCCTCTCATCCCGGCGGGGACTCTCATTCTACAACCCATGCCAATCCCCCGTCTTCGCGACTGTTCAAATGGTTGCCATTCAGTCGACGGTCGAATGCCTCTGACGAGAGTGAGACGGAAGTCCGTCAACCTCTGTTGGGGTCTGAATCACCGCCATCGCCGTCCTCATCGCCAGCCCCGGCCGCCTCATCTTCCTGGGGGGTGGATTCGCGCGAATCGGCCAGGGAGGTGTGGGCTCAGGGCAAAGGCATGATTCTGGTGATGATGTCGCAGTTCTTCGGGTCGTCGATGAACGTGATGACCAAAGTGCTGGAGAACCAGGGCCGCAATGGCGAAGGGTTGAGTCCGTTTCAGGTACGTGGGACCACAACCCCTGTCGACTGGCCCATAGGGCTGATTGCGAATCCACTACTGACTTCGTTACTCTAGATTCTCTTCGCCCGCATGTCCATCACCGTGCTGGCCAGTTATCTCTACATGTGGTATGCCCGGGTGCCGCATCCTTTCGGCACCCGATCCGAACTGGGCTTGCTGCTCCTGCGCGCCGGCGGCGGCTTCTGGGGCGTTTACGGGCTCTACTACTCGGTGCAGTACCTGCCGCTCTCCGAGGCCACCGTCCTCACCTTCCTGGCGCCGATCCTGAGCTGCTACGCCTGCTCGCTGTACATGCCGCACGAGACGTTCACGCGCAAGCAGCAGTTGGCGGCGATGGTGTCGCTGGTCGGCGTCGTGCTGATCGCGCGGCCCTTCTCGCACGCCACGTCGGACCGGGACTCGGTCGACAAGGTGCAGCGGTCCCTGGCGATCGCGATGGCGCTGGTGGGCGTGCTGGGCGCCTCCTGCGCCTACTCGGCCATCCGCATGATCGGCCAGCGCTGCCACCCGCTGGTGTCGGTGACGTACTTCTCGCTCGTCACGACCGTGGTGTCGTTCGTAGCCATGCTGGTGATCCCCTCCGTGCCGCTGGAGCTGCCCGGCACCGTGATGGAATGGACCTTGCTGGCGGGACTGGGCGTGTGCGGGTTTCTGCTTCAGTTCCTGCTGACGGCTGGGTTGTCATACGTGCCCCCGGCACCGCGACGGTCGAGCATGAAAGCGAGTCGTCGCGTTCCTAGTCCATACGGTAGCGATGATAACGAGAATGACCAGGATCAGGCGCAGAGGCCGTCGTCGTCCGGGTCGCGGGCCACCTCCATGCTCTACACACAGATGCTCTTCGCGCTATTTTACGACGGCGTGGTCTGGGGTAATACGCTGTCGGCCGTGAGCTGGCTGGGATCGGGATTGATCCTGGTCAGCGCCATCTATGTGGCCATGGCGCGGGAGACCCGGCCCGACAGAGGTGCAGCAGCAGTGGCGTCCAAAGAGACGGACGAGCCGCACGAGGGGCGCTCAGATGCCGCGGACGACCATCTGGAGCGACGTCATGGAGAAAGAACGCCTGGAGGAGGGCGGGGAAGCAATGATGCATGAAAGGAGGGTAGGAGAGGGAGGGGGGAGCAGAACAAGGCAGGCGACCGGACGATCCGAGGGGAATTGGAAGTTATCAAAAATCGATCCATGCATGCATCAGCACCAAGACTAGGACAGAACCAGAGCTGCAGCGCTCAGGCCAGGTTGGCAGGGCTTGTGCAGAAGTGAGGCTGCCGGACTAAGACCTAGGAGGATTGTGCTCCGGATGGCATCATGGCTTGCATGACGGGGAGGCATTGTATTCGCCCCTTTTGAGGGGGTTTGTTTAGACTGGGTTGGACGTTGGGAAGGAGGTACGGACTTGGTGCTCGAGAGCAGACAATAATGTGTATATATAGAGAGAGAGAGAGAGAGTGAGAGAGAGAGAGAGAGAGAGAGTGAGAGAGAGAGAGAGAGAGAGTGAGAGAGAGAGAGAGAGAGAGTGAGAGAGAGAGAGAGAGAGGCAGAGACGATGAATCATGAATCATGAATCATGAGAATTCCTGACAACCTGATAATTCAGGCGCCTACTCGACCTGACCGGACCCCAAAGCGGCATCGCTGGCCCCACTGCCGGCGTGACGATTGGCTGTCATGACATCATAAGGTTGCACCGTCACCGAAATGATCCGACAGGGGCCAATGGGAGGGCGGCAATCACCCGACTTCGACCGGGAGGGGGGGGAGACTGGCGGCCAATGACAGGCCGGGAGTGGAGCTTTCCCCGGACGACAGTGGCCCATCGCGTCCAGCCAGTGGCGGGCCTCAATTGCTCTTCTCTATATATACCCGATGCTCTGGGGATGGCTTCGTCTTTTCCCCTTCTCCACCGTCGTCTCCATTCCCTTCTTTAACCCCTGTTCCTCCCTTTCCGTCTCCTTGTCCGTCACCTGTATTGTCAATCCCCCCTCTTCCCTTTCCCTATAGTCATACACTCTAGACCATATACCACTCAATACTATATACTCCTGTCATACTTGTACGCTATCCCTAACGCATTCCACAATGCGTCACTTCGATGCCTGGCTCCTCCGAGATCCATACTCCATCAATCACTACTATCCCACCGGTCGTCGATGGCAAGAGGCTGTCCGGGACTTGATTCAAGAACGTAAGATCTGCGCTCCGTCCGTCGACCTTCCGCTCTCCGTCTCATCCTCCACTCCCGTCGATCCCTATGCCCGCCCCATGGCCGACCAGGCGGCCTGCGGCCTGCTGCGCCGACTACCCACTGAGATCCGCCTGATGATCTACGGGTACGTCTTCGGCGACGAGGCCGTGCATCTGGTGCAGGTAAAGGACAAGATCCGCCACGTCCGCTGCCGCCAGCCCGCCTCCTCCATCGACAAGAACCGCCGCTGCTGTCCGGCCACCCAGGCACGCTGGCGGCTCTCCGCCGACGCCGCCAACCCTGGCATCGGGCCCGGGACCAAGTCCGACAGCATGCTGTACCCGCACACGCACCCGGCCCTGCCGTCGTCCCTGAGCAACTCGTCCCTGGCCCTGCTGCGGACCTGCCGCGCCGTCTACGCCGAGGCCGCCCAGATCCTGTACGCCAACGTCGTCTTCGACGTGGACGACTTGAACACCTTCGTGGCCTTCTCCGCCAGCGTCGGCCCCGACAGCCTGCGCGCGATTCGCCGCCTGACCGTCCAATGGTCGCCCGTCTGGCAGCCCCTGGCCGGGAACGAACAGAAGACCTCCGTCTTCGCGCATACCCACAACGACCGCCTCTGGACCCTGTTCTGGTCGCGCGTCGCCGCCCTCCGGGGCCTGGAGGAGCTGCATCTGAGCCTGGACCTGGGCCGCTTCAGCGGCAATCCCGTCGGCGGTCTCGTCGCCGGCAAGCAGCGCCTGCGGCTGGCCGTCGACGAGCCCTGGGTGGCGCCCCTGTTCTGCGTGCGCGGGCTGCGGTCGTTCGAGCTGGGCATCACCGCGCGCTGTGACACCTACGCCAGACGGGTCCTGGAGGGCGATCTGGTGCGCGATGCGGGAGCTCTGCGTGACAACCTGCGGGCCATTCTTTGCTCGCCCGCCGGCACCATCCCGTTCATCCCCGACGTGCAGTTGCAATTGACGCGGCCGTGTGGGATGGACGAGTCGAATGGCGTTGCTGGGTCAAAGATACGGCCTCGTCTGGCTATCACGGCGGCCTAGGCGTCAGTTTCGTTCTCTGCCTCTTTCCCTCCACTCCTTCTCTTTTCAATCAGCATGGCTCTCGTCTTGGTTGATAAATTGGTCTTCCCTTTCCGAACCTAACCCCCTCTCCACCCAAAAGTGAACTTTGCATTATAGAGATACCCCATTTGAATTTCATCAGTTCCTTCTTGTCTTTTCTTCCCCCGCTTTATCAAATCTCCCATACACGACCCTGCGCAATCGAGTGAGTCTCTTTTTTTGACCAAAAGAAGTTCCATGTCGATGTCTTGGTTGGCATGTGCATCTAAAACAGAAAGAGATGTTGAGTAGATTAGATGCGCGAGAATAGATTAGATGAGAACCAATTGCATTTGATCGGATTCATTCGATCTTTTCCAAAATACTCAATCCAAGAGATCGAAGAACAGAAAAAAGGGAAAAAAAAAAAAAAAAAGAAAAGAAAAGAAAACGCCAGTCGAATCCTCGTGCCGTCTCCCTACCATCTATCCAAGCATTCTATTAGAGTAAATAACAGGCGTTTCCAGGCTTGGCATGTGTTCAATTTCCACGTCGTGCTTGTCCTTTTCAAACATTGGGAAGCAGAACTTGAGAATCAAAAGCCGGAAAGACAATAGGCAACAATAAATATAACAAACCCCCAAAATCAGATGCACGTCTTTCCCAGTTATTCAAACACTCGCGAAGTCACAATGATTATGTCGAGAAGATCCAATAATAATACCAATCAGAAGAGAAAAGAAAAAAATGGAATATCATCGGGGGAGGAAGGCATGTCACCGAGAATCAGCCCAAGGAGAGAAGTCAAATCAAACATTATCGTCTCATATCAATCCATCAGAAAAATTCATACCGTGGGACTGTTTTTCTTTCTGCCCTCTCCCCCATTTTTTTGGTGGTTTCGTTTTTGGCCCAAATCGAGATCAGATGATAGATGAGAAGGAACAAATATCTATTTCTCTCCGCAATCCACCAAATGCCCGGATGGTCGTTGCGTTCCGTGGCTTTTAGCTTACATCGAGTCAGCCAATCCAGAAGGACATGGACCCATGCGATCCAGCCTGCTGGGGGCAGAAATAGAATCAAATCCGACAGATCAACCCGAAGACTGAACAAGGGAAGCACCGCATTATTTTACGCGGAATGAACTCTGGCATTGGCGGGTGCTTCGGTTGAATTGCCGACATGGCCATTGCTTCGTTCTTGTTCAGAGTCATGTTCCTCCTCGCTAGTCGGGGAATGAGCCCGACTCTCCACGAGAGACCGACGACTACGCATCTGTACCACCGTTAGAGACATGCTTTGGTTGTAGTAATAAAAAAAAAGAAAATGAAGCTTACCCAAGCCCTTACACCACCGATCAACCCCAGGCTATAACCGGTTGCAAAGTCCTCGTTCCGTCCATTTCCCACGGGGCTATCCGGACGACCCAAAGTCTCCACCCGCGACAGATGGGACTTGGCACCGGTGGTTGGACTGACCAAACCTCCACGAGTGCTGCCTAGGTCGACGCTGTTCCTGGCGCTCGGGGCCGGGCTGCCGGGCCGACTGTTCTGCCAGAGCTGCCGCAGTTCGCGGCCCAATTCTTGACCGGTGGTCGACCAGTTTGTACGAATGTTATCCCGGATCTCGGTGACATGGCGCTTGATTTCCAGCTCGTTCTTCTTGAGCCACGACACGTTCAGTTCTTGTCGGGAAGCACCGCGCTTGAATTGACGGGAGATGTATTGGTCGTAGTCACGGACAATCCTGGAACCTGTCAGCCTGGCACGTTTGGCGCGAGAGAGTCAAATCGGGAACCCACCGTGTGATAATGCCCGTGGTACTGACGCCCTCGGTTCGCTGAGTCACCAGGAACTTTCCTTGAGCCTTGATCGGAGCGTAGATGTCATCCCCCTCGGCGGCACCATATGGGAGGTCGTCGTGCGCAACATAATCAATCTGATGTTGGTCGATGAACTCCGGCGTCACGATCCAAGGGCAATTGGGAATCACTTCGTCCACCCACTTGCAGTGACGCACAGTTTCCGCCCGTTCGGCGCCACTCAAAACCGTGAGACCCTTTCGTAGATGAGTCTCGTCATCACCCGTGACACCGACCATCAAATGTACATCGCCGAAGGCCTTCTTGGCCTGCTCGAGTTGACGCATGTGGCTAAACAAAAGAGAAATCGCGTCGCGTTAGCATGGACCCGAATCCGCGGTTCAAACGACCGGAAGAGACATCCAACCTACCCCATGTGGAACAAATCAAAAACACCGTCCGCATACACCCGCACCGGGCGTCCCGTGGGCGGGGGGTTCGTTGAGTATCCCACGGGATCCTGCAGGCCAGCCTTCTCGGGCGGCTCCAGGTTCTGTCGGGTCTGTAATTGTAGGCCGGGTCGACCATGGCGCTGGTTCTCGATGTCGCTGCTGGCGACCGTGGTTTCCGAGGGCTCGCCGGGATCTTCTTTGCTGATTCCCGAGGGTTCCTCGGCCGTAGGGCCATTGATGGAACTGTCGCCGACCGAGCTCTTCCGGGCGCGTTTGGAAGGCGGCACGGACGTTACGTCAACGGGAGCATGTTGCTTGGGCTTGCTGGACGAGGGCGTGGCGGGGGCGGTCGACTCGTCGCCCTCTTCCCCGGAAGCATCGCGCGACGAGGGCTGCAGGAGATCGGCGGGACTGGGCTTGGTGGCATGGGCCGGGAGATGTTGGGAAGCACTGCGCTTGCGTTTGCCCGCAGAGGATGGAGAGGACATGGTGGCAGACCGAGGGAGCGCAGCTCGACTTCTGTCGGGGATCAATTAGGAGAAAGAGGGGAGGAGGGTGATAAAAAGAGAGAGGGAGCGAGATCGAGACGGAGAGAACGAGGACGCGTCGATCAAGAAAGTGAAAGAGGCGACGGGGTTTAGGGGGGAGAGAGGAAGAAGAAGCGAGAGCGAGAGCGCGAGCGGGAGGGACCGGTCGAACAGTAGGACGAAACACGGGACTGACGACGCTCGCGGACTTTCTCCAGGTCAAGAGGAGAGGACACGAAAAGCGAAAAGAGGCGGAGCCCCCGGGAGTCGACTAGGGAGAAATAGTGCTCCGTAGGCTGATCGCAGTCGCAAATCAAGAAAATCGCAGCAGGGAAAAAGGAGAACGAGGAAAAAAATTGCTGAGGCCGAGAAACATGGCGTATGGGAATCCGCCATTTCGTTACGGTATTGGCCAGCACGAGAGGTACCTCCGCCGCCGCCGCAGCGGTGGGCGGTACTTCCCTCGTATTTCCCTGGTACGATACCGTTACCCACCCGCAGTCCCTGGAACTTACTCGATGCGGCAAGCGTTCCCCAACGTCTTCCGCTTCTTCGACTCTCCCGAACGTCCATCCTCTCCCTACGCAGTGAAGTACGGGTCCTGCGCTGGATGAGCCCATTGTCTATCGGAATATCAACTCGACACATGGTTAAATCGAACAAAAAAACAACAAATCAAATCAAATCAGGAGCCGCTGGCACCCGCCACAATTCCCTCAAACGCCGCGGCCCAGCACATGGCGGTCGTCGCAATGCCATTCCTGCCCAGGACATCCCCATTCTGCATGCTAGTCTGATTACCGAATACGCCGTCATGCGTGCAACTCCCCTTGACTACTCCTCCCCTCTCGTCGCCTTACGGTGGCCGCCGAAGCGTGGCGTCGTCTCCTCTGGTGAGTCGTCTCGTTCGTGATCATCATGCCATACCCGGACGTAGAAACCAGTAGCATTCGGGGGAAGAAAGAAGAGACCGATTCAAGAAACACAGGGGAAAAGAGGGGGGTAAAAGTAGGAAGATCATAGAGATATCAAAGTTCATCAATAGCGGTCGGTTTGTGCGGTATCTTGCGGGAAGGCATGAAACAAGACGTACTCTCGTGAGATCTGCCGCTGGCGGCTTCGAGAAGGAAAAAAAGAACAGAATGAAAAAAAAAAGAAGAAAATATCAAGAACCCTCCTCCTTAACCCTTCCAAGGCGAAAGTTTTCCACCGTCAACCGGTCCGGATGGACATTACACAAATGATCATTTGGCCAGCTGAGTCTGATTGCCCGCTGCTTGGCTTTGCCTCATTCACTGCCATAGGAAGTTGATCACAGAAAAGAAAACATGAGAAGAAATAAAAAAGAGAGAAAAAAAAAAAGGTAGGACACGGTAGCACGGCGTTTCCCAGCAAGGGGGAGAAGGGACGGGGGGGGGGGGATGGAAAAGATAAGGTAGATCGCAAAGGCGGAATCAGTCATCAAATCAAAGGAATCGTTTTCAAAAGCCAAAAAAAGAAAAGAACAGAAAATGCTAAAATCCCATCATAACTACGAACTCGTAGATTGTTCCGTGGTTCCCGAGTTGTCGCCCTTCGGGGCGGTCGAGGCGGACTCGTCGGACTTGGGGGCGTCGGTCTTGGACTGAGGTCCCGGGGTTCCCTCGCGTTCATTCCGGACGGAGTCGGGCGACTCGTGTTGAGCCTGACGGGGCAGATCGCGGTCTTCCTCGGTCTGATCAAAGAGTTCCTCATCGTTCTGTTCAGGGATTAATTCGGTACCGTCTCCCAAGAGGATTATGCGACCAGAACGCACGCTAAAGCCACGGGCACGATCACTGTCCATCTCGTAGTCATCCGGGTTCTCTTCAAACTGATTGCGAATGCCGGGGCCGCGGAATTCAGCTGCGTCCCCATTCTGTCAGTAGGGGTTCGAGGCCGCGGGTTCCTCAAGAGACTTGCCGTATTCCGGCGGGGCACAAGGGCCGTCGCCGTTGGCCACCCGTTCGGCGATCTGGTTGTACCACTCTTCCTTGGTTCTACCGTTCAGAAGGCCCACGATGGTCATGGTCATGTTGTCGCAGCCGACTCCCCCGGTTTCGCTGTTCGAGGCGAGGCAGTTGTCCATCATGTTCTCACAGATTCGGTAGAGGTCTTGCTTGGCGGCGATACCGCGACGAACGAACTCGACCACGGACTGAGAAGTTTGGCAATCCCAGATACCTAAATAGGGGAGGGGGCAAAAGAGTCAGCGAAGGTAGAGATTGACGGGGTCATCGGAAGATTGGCGTACCGTCACAAGCAATGACAAGGAATTCATCGTCGTCACTGAGTTCGTGAACCGTCACATCCGGATACGCGGTTACGATCTGCTGCTCAGGTGACAACTCGGCGCTCTTCTTGAATTCAAAATCTCCAATGGCTCGCGACAAGGCTAGGTTGCCATTCACACGACCAAAGTCGACAAACCCGCCGGCGGCACTGATACGAGCTTTCTCACCTGCAGTCATGCCGTCAGTATGACCGACACGTCGCCAGCAACGGAGTCGGATCGCTTACCTTCGTTCTGCGGCTTGTGGTCGAACGAGAGGGGCTTCGCACGGCCCTTAACACCCAGAACCGAGCGAGAGTCACCAGCGTTGGCCTAGAGGAACCGGTTAGGTACGAGCCACACTGAAGATGCCTTTGCCAGTCCGGCCGAGGAGCGATACGTACGACCCAGATTTTGTGTTTGGAGATCACACTAACGGCGGCGGTGCAGCCGGAAACCTCTTCTTCATATTTCGGGTCTGGCCGAGTCAGTGCGAGAGAACGGAGACGAGGGTGGGAGGTCGGCCACACGAACCTTCCAAGATGGCCCGATCGGTCGCCAGAAAGCCGTCCTTCAAGGCCTGCTCGATATCGCCCTCTGCGAACGAGTCCTGTTTCGCGACGATCTTGTGCAGGTTCTCCCCGGCAAACAGCGCCACTTTATCGCCACCATGCCCGTCATATACACCAAAGAAAGCGAGACGTTTATCGGGTTCGGAGGGGGTATCTTTAGGAGTCGTATATTTCGCATACAAATCTAAGACAGCAGCATGGGCGTCCTCCATGCTGATCCGCCAGCCTTGCATGGCGGAGACGCCGTACACACAGCACTCATCTTCACCCTCGGAAGAAGTCTAGGTGGTTGACAGCGAGTTAGCGACCGTGCGGGCCCCAATGGTGACTGGTCATCCGCCGTGGGAGCGGGTGTGCGGGAAATTTTCTTCCACTGGTAGAGGACCCCGCAGGTGAGGATCACCACGTCGTGGCGCCGTCCACTACCGAAGGAGGGGAGAACAAGCTTCGGGAGCAGGTCGACCAGGACGAGATAAAACATTGACAAGCAACAGGCAGGGGAAATGAAAAAACCCCCGGGGGAGATGAGGGGTGACCGCGAAGCATCGTAGGCGAGTTCTGCGGGCAGGACAGGGAAGGCATGGAATTGCGGAAGGGCAGTGTGGGGAGAGGGAGGGGAGTCAAAAGAGCAAGGTCAATCAACTCTCACAAATCGGTAATTTTTTCACTGACCTTATCGACGACTGGCTCTGACAAAGTCTGACCCATGATTGCGACTAATCACTAGGAGCAGGATGGGAGAGAGCGGGAGGAGGGGGAGGAGGGGGGGGAGAGGGAAAGACTTTCAGGCCAGAGAAACACGCACAAAGAGGGACAAGTAAGGATCTAGAGAGGAGGGAGGAATAAGAGTGGTTCTGGGGGGGAAGAGAAAGGGAGAGAGGGAAAGAGACGAGAGTCCGTCAGTCAATCAGGTGGGCAGCGGCGGGCAAGTGGGCGGGCAGAATCGCCGGGCGGCGTACGGGAAATACCTGTATGTATGGGTACCTTACCGATCAAAAAAACGATCTCGCCATTGTCGGCCTGAAAAACCTGCCTGTCGCGTGTCCACTCCGGAACTGACTGACTGACCAATACTACCCTACCGACAGGTACTTGCTTGCGGAGTACCTTAGCTAGGTAGTTCCTTAGGTCCTGTCGGACGCCTGCATGTACTGCGTACATCTCCCCAGGTACCTTACCTGACCTACCTTACGCTGTAGGCACCACTAGGCAGCTGCCTGAGGCTGGCCCCGTCCGGTAACCGTAACCTTGCTTACCGGTCAGGTGCCCCCCGTCCTTGCTTCGTCCCTCCAGCTCCGGACAAGCCCCCCCCCAGTGTCAAGATTCCTCCAGGCAACGGGTCTCTGTCCGCCCTCCTCGATTTCCGTGGATTAATCTAACCTTGTTATACCGGCCCGTTTCTTTCTCCTCGGATGCAAATCGACTTATCGTCGCCAATGCTCGCATGACTCGGGATCTGCGTGTTGCAGATTGCATCGTGCGGAAATACTGGCCGAGTCCGTCGAGCCCGTAGCTCCAGAGCGATTGAATATCTCGAGCTGATCATGCCTAGGAACAAGGGATATACTTCTTTGGTGAAGTGCTTGGCTAAATCCAAGGAAGGAGCACTCCGTATAGACGTCTATAGCTTCGGATCCCATGGCCGTTCCAGAAGAGGTGCCCCCAAGCTTATCATCTTCGTTATGGCTGCATTACTAAACTGAAAAAAGCCTTCATGATTATCATTACCAGTATCATTATTTCCCTCGTCGTTGCCATTCGACGACTAGACTGGACCGACGTATGCAAGCCGGAAGGGATTGACTTCCTATGTAAGGGCCCTGCGACTCTGCCCCTTATAGCAAACTGCACACCGAAGTTTGCTTCCACGCTTGGCTGCATCGATATTAATAGACGCACAACTGTCGAGCATCATTTATGCATCTCGTCAATTGACTCTGTTCCCCACCGTGGCACATAGTCCCAGACCACCGCGCATCATATTGGACTAGATTACCTGAAATTACCAGAAGCTCCCGGCTACAGGATTTTATTTCCACCCACATCCGTTCCTTGGCCTATCGCTTGCGTCGCCTCTACTTAGCATGCTGTTATGAAACTGAACTTCGAGATTCTTACGCATGATGATACTTGACACGGGATTCACAGGACTGGTACCGTGTATAGCATGTCAGAAGCATTCGTGGATCAGCTGATCTCTAGATTGACTTTTCTCGGAGGAAATGAATTCAGTCTGCAAGAGGGCCCTTGGTGGTGTCAAGAAGAAAGGGGGGGAAAACAATGCAAATGGTTAAAAGTTAGTAACCAAGTCATTGGACCCCTTAGAAGTGAATAAAAGGCATCAAAACATCCTCACGCAGACGACTCAAGAGCTTCTCCATGACATCAATGAACCCTTGCATCAGCGGTGTGCGGTGTTCACGGCTTGGCATGACGGGGGTTGCACCGGAGTTTAACTTAGATATGGACTATACAAACCAAATCAGAATGTGCTGCGGGTCCCCGAGGCGAGGGAGTATGCATCCGCCATAATAATCGTTTTTCCTTTCCCATAGTGATTACCATGAGTGGTGATTTCATTGACTGCCTATCTTACACTGAGACGACCGACATGCTCGCCCATAAATAGCCAGCGACAACCCAGGATATCTGCTATCTTATGACTGCTAAAAAGAGGACGGAAACATCGGTTTGACCCTACGCTGAACCGAGTGTCTGGCAGAGACTGTTGGCACACCAATGAGCATGGAATGTCAACTGAACTACCAACGCATGGGTAGTACCAAGGCTTCAGCTCTATTCTAAATTACGATGTGGGATCTCGTCTCCACTCTGGCTTTTTTGTCTCATAAAAGAGTCATATTCATTACATGTTAGCCTTATCCCGCATGGTACAATTCCAGTCTTGCTATTACCAGGTATGACATCAATTATGCACAGCGGTCGCTATCTGCCACCATTTCATTTCTCAAGGATACAGTACTTTGCTTTGTTTGGTTGTTTTCTGCTTCTTTTATGGAATGATTGGACGGTCGGAGCAGAAAGATTTAAAATGACTAGTCCCTACTAAGTATGACTATAAGCTGCCTATTGAATGGAACCAGCCACACCTGTTTACCTACTGGGGCAATATCCCAGAAAGCCACTCAAAGCCATCCGCAGTCTCATTTCATATCGATGACTTGGCAATGGATCTTGGAATGGCTTATCTAGCGAGTAGCCTCGCTTTTCTCAAGACATGTCCTCTGGATTCTCTTAAACTCAACTGCATACATGTCTCTCGTCTCATATCCTCCAGAACCAGAACATCCCCGGGAGCTTTCGAGGCGTCTGGACTCTGGAACAGTTAATTAGGGCTAAAAGTAGATTTAGAGTTGCATTAGCCCGAATCCACCCGCCCCACCCGCGGCAAGATAATCTAAGCTTTGCAATCCGCCGAGAGATTCATGTCTCACTTGCTGGCTGAGAAAGCTGGCGAATGAATCTCATCGAGCCAGGAAATCTCAGCCCCAGGAAAACAAGGCGTGCTGCACGTGACACGCGTTTGGGTTGAAACTTTCTACACCAATGAGCACATAGAGGCTACTTAGACAAGCACCGGAAAAACTGTTGTCGCAGCATTTACAAGACCAGAAACCTGAGTTTCCAAGATGACTGATGTCATGAAATTCGGAAATACTTGAATTATAGGTATAGTAGCTAGTGGTATTTATAGCAACAACCAAGGACGTGGCAGGAACCCCAGAAAAAAAAAACAAAATTGCCTGAACGACAAACTAACTATGGATATCATGCTGCAAAATGCTTGCCGGTCGTTGGCGGGAAAACAGGTACAGAGCCAAACGTACAGAACAAGATGATTTGAAAGACATACCTTCCCGCGCTTATACAAATGCTATATCACTCTTCACACTGCTATTCAGATCCCGAGAGAGTCCTCGGTGGCTATTTGCATCTCGTTCCGCTAGTCGAACCAAACTTGCTCGGCGTCCCTTGCCGTCGATCAAGGCGGACGACGCGGACAGACTTTTTCGAAATGGATTTGTAGATTTCTTAGGAAGCTCGTCTTGTAGATTGGAATTGGACTGCGGAATGCCGGGCTGGTTCGTTTGAATCTGCGGCTCCTCGATGAGAGGATTAGGATGAGCAGCTGCGCCTGTTGGATGGCCCGGCTCGGCCCGTCGCCCACTCTTCATGCTAAGCTCGCTGAAGAAACGGGGAAGCGGCGTAATCGCCTCGGAGTATTTCTGAGCTAGACTGGATTGACTTGGTCCTTTTCCAATGGGTGCTAGAGGCCGGATGTTCAAGGACTCCTCAGACAGCGATTCAAGATAGGCCGATTGTCGATTGTCATCGGTGTAGACGGATGCAGACATGGCCGTTGACCACGGGCGATCGTAGATGGATCGCCGGTAGTCTTCGCCGTAGTTGGAGCTGCCAATTGTGTCGGTCCGACTGGCCGTGCTTCGGGCCCTCTCTAGAGCGCGTAGACCGGAAGACGTTCGGCGGCTGAGCTGGCCCGAGAACAACGGGTTGGATGAATTTCGATGTTTTGCTCGGCTATGTACAAAAGCCTCTAACGAGTCGGAATCGGCTGCGTTTGGATTGTCGGGCTCCACGGTCCGCAAACTGATTCGTTTTGGGTATTCCGCGCTCTCGCGCGCTCGAGGGGGAGGTCGAGGAAACAAAGGCGCAAGATTCCCAACACCACTCTCATCGCTTTGAAGAGATGTGTGAGTATTCTGCCACGAGACTCGGACGACGCCATGGCCTGGAGGCCCAAATCCACCTGCTCCATGCCCAGCGCCGCTGAGTCGTATGGGGAGTCCTGATGCGATTGACGAGATTCCACTAGAACGCTTGGAATATCTCTTGGAACGAGATGACTGCGCCGAATGCCGTTTCAATGACCTTCTTGGCTGGATGGATTTAAATGGCTCTCGGCGGCGGGTGCTATTGGTTCGTATGCGCCTGGGAGGACTGTTCTGGAACGACAGGCGCTTCGGTTGCGCAGGTGCATTTTCATTTAGTGTGTCCTCATGTGGCTCGGTGTTTCTGATGGGAGCAAAGTCCCACTCGATGGTAGGATTGGCGTCATTGTCTTCTCTCACGGGCAATTCGTACTTTCGCCCGCCAGGACGAAAAGGGCTTGTATTCCACATGGGTGCCAATTCTAATCTTGGTGGTTTCGAAGACGGCGAGGGACTTCTGTCTAACCGTGGTGGGCTGCCCTGATTCGTATCTTCAAAGGGTTGGCAGTGTGGTAACGTCGAGGGGTTAGGACCTGTAGGCGGATATTTTTCTTGGCTATCGTACCCATCTTCTGGTGTCGCCGCTCTACGCTTGCGACGCCAGCAGCAGAAGAGGAGCAATAGGCTCGTGACGACCACAAAGGGGACGATCACTGCGATTGCAATAATACCAGCCTTTTTGCCATGAATACCGCCACCTCCACCCCCTGAATCCGTGGAACTGGATCCATGCGAATTGTCACCTTCCACAGTCTTGATAGTCAACTCCCGAGTATCCTTCGCAGACCCTTGGCTGGCCGTGAGCTGGACCGATGATTTCGCCGGGTCGATATCCGAAGGAACCTGGCCGTAAAGTGTTTTGTTGTTGGAGTTGTAGTGCAGCCATGGCAAGTCCCGTCCAATTTCCACGTCCAGTTGCACAGAGTCGTTTCTGAGGACTGTATTGTCGAAAACAAACGTGAAATAGTCCCCGATAACTGCCTCACAGTCTTTCACGGCACGAAAGAATTGAGAATACTGCAGACTAACGAGGAGTCTTGCTTCATCCTGGTATTTGTCCGTAACAGATATTGTGACGTTCTCATCACTTCCATCGGTCGGAGGGGTGCCGCGAAGCGATATAGACTTTTCATCTAGTTTAATCCAGTCTGGTGAGTCAATTGTAATGTCCGTTAGATCGTCAGGTGCTGCTTGGCGTCCATCCAGAGTCAAGATCTCTTCAAAGCGAGGGCTGGTGAATTCTTTCCCACGGCTGACAAAGAAGGTTTGCGCACTCTCTTTGAAGGCCAGTATGTGCGGGCTGACTGTCATATCAAAACTAGCCGTGGCTGCGCCAAAGCCAGCCACATCCGAGGCGACAAGGTTGAAGCTGAAAGTTTGGGGCCCGATATTGGGTGCGACTCCAGAAAATCGGAGGTTGGACTGGTCAAACCCGATCCATGAGGGCAGAGGAACATTCTCCGGTGACGTTCCATAGTATACAGTCGAGGGTCGCGTATTAATGAAAGTATCGGAATCAAACGTTATCGAGAAAGAGTCGCCCGAGTGTATAAGAATTGTTGAGGGTGCCGACGTGGCTCCGATGCCTTCAAGTTGGGGCAGTAGTGGCTTTCCTGGCTTCGGTCCTTCATCTTTCGTAACAATAAAGGTCACCTCCATGCTTGCGGAGTCTGACCCATCTGACGCCACAAGATCAAATTTCGGGTTACCTTCATCCTCCTCTTTAGGTGTGCCCGAAAGGATGCGGTTTTTGCTATCGACATGGAGCCATGACGGGGCGTTTGAGAGGGAATATTCCGTGTTTGAGTTGACACCGCCGAAAGTACCTCGAGAGAAAGTGAAATTGAATGGTTGCAAAACCCTTGCCACAGGAGGTAGCTGTGCGTTCACAGGATAATCTGTCACCAGTGTTGCATCCACGACCAACAGGACACTGAGGACGACCAGCCCCCAGAGTGTCATATCTTCGAACTGACCAATATCTTGGAAGATATCTTGTCAAGGGCACCCGTTGAACGCTAGTGTACTCTAACAAACCATTTGACTGTGGTCTGGATGGCCTCTAGAGCAACACTGGTTGGAAAGACTTGAGTCGAGAGAGTGTGAGAGATGTTTTGACGGAATGGGATTTCCCATGGGAAGAAGACCGTCGTGCTAAGACCCCAGGGCCTGCGCGCTCAAGGACCAGCGAGCGCAGGAGAGGCGTGAAATGCGAAACCCCTTCACCCGAGCCATACCTAGATATGCCTGACATCACTGAAATGTGGAACGGTGTCAGGGAAGATGAATGCCAGCGCGATAAAAGTTCACGTTGCGAAATGCATGCTCCTGCAAGGGATGCTTCGCGCAGGAGCCAAGGAACGCGAACCCAACCTCTGACCCATCTAAAATGCCGTGCCCCTCAGATAACCCAGGAGAGGATTATTTGGCAGGGGAAGAAAAGAATCCCCTTGTCACAAGTTTGCCCTAGGGAAAGACAGGGCCCGAGTACCCAAGGAGACACGCAGGATGGACAGGAGGGCGCCCCAAGCCCTTAAGCACCACATTCAAGGTCCAATACCATCTTGATCCCTGTACGCCCGGGCGCATAGTAATCAGGAATCTCTTCACGTTCTTCAAAGCCATTGCGACAGTATAGAGACCGGGCGGGATCCCTTGCCTTATCCACCCATAATTGGATATATTGGCAACCTTCCTTTTGAAGACGGCGCCGAATGTAATCCATTAATTGCATTCCCACACCTTGTCGGCGGTACGACTCTACCACACAGACCTTGTGCAGTAAAGCCACGCCTTTTTGCCGGACATAGACAGCATACGCGATCACCGATGAGATGGCACCGGGGGTTGCAGTTGTTGCATACACGACCCTCGTGTTAGGCTTCTTTCTCCATAATTCCTCACCAAACGCGAAAGCCTCGTTGGCGGGGAAGGTTTTCTTCTCGACGCGTGAAATCTGGGTAAGAATCCCGAATGCCTGATCCCTAGATAGGGAATGAATGTCGGATATTTTTAACTCGGCCTGCATTCTTCCCACCCCTCCAAGATCTACATTCACAACCGTTTGAGAACGAGGAATAACGACTTGACCAATGGGTCTGGAGTTCGACAGATCAGACTTCTAGATGGATTCAAGGTCGATTTGAGATTCAAACCGGCTAGAATTAGGGCAGATGGCAGTAAATAGGCCGTGTACCATTGATGGAGAGGACAGAAGAAAATCAAAAGACCATTCCAAGGTTGTGGAGGAGACTCCGGGCCAATCATGTGCCAGTAAGATACGCGTAAATGACACCGATCCAGGCCCTCCTATTACCGTATTGTCATCGTCTCTCCTTGGCGTCGGTGGATGTTCTCCCTCTTCCATCCGCCATGCAAACCGGACTCCATCTTTACCTGCCAAACTAAAATTAAACTCCGTCGACATTCTCAGTGCCAACCGAACGCTCTTGAGTTCAATTGGGCTCCCTCATCCACACCTCGAAATGCCGTCGCAATCCGATGACAAGCGCCAGGCTGCTCGCGAGGTCGTCGACATTCTTCACGAGATCTCAACGCTCCTAGTATGTGAACCTCCTGCCATTCTTGATCATGGCATCGTGTCCCATGAATGAATCGTACGTCTGAAATAGCGTGGCTGATGCTCCTTGGATGCGGCAAGAACACGCATCTAGACCGAACAGAGCTCTCACTGTGTGTCTCACTTATTGAGAATGGAGTCAACCCCGATGCCTTAGCAGTAGGTTGCTTGATGATCCGCAGTGAACTATGACAAAACTAACACGACGACCTCTGCTTTGCAGGCTGTGATCAAGGATCTCAGGAAAGAAGCCCCGGCGGCTTATCCTAATGACCAGGGTCTGCCTGAGTGAGGAACAAATGGCCCTTATTTGTTTCTTTCGTTTTGTCTACTTCGTTTCATAGTTGAAAAGGATACCCGAACTTCCAAATTTAAAACAAAAAAGCAGGCTGCATTTCAAGTGATCGTGTACGTGTCACAATAAAATTAACTGAACTACCTTTGAACCCTTTCATGCCTCCCGTACGGCAGTCTCTGGTATCATCAACATTGTATTTGAGGGGGGGAAACAAATAACGAGATAAATCAAGACGCAAATGCAATGGTACAGAACTCATGGGGAAGACCCAAATTGGCTAAAGCTGGGTTCCTCATGGCTTTCCCGTGTTGTCCGTCTTTTGGCCGTCTTTCGACGCAGAAGCAAGTTCGCCGCTGGTTTCTTCGGCCGTATCCTTCTTTATGCGATCGGCTTCATCTGCAGGCTGAGGATCCTTGGCCTTCGTGTCCTTCTCATCCTCACTGTCACCTAGGCTAAACGGATCGTGATCCCCAACGGGGGACGGTTCTACTGTCGAGAGAGGCTGCCACTTGCTGGGCTTGCTTCCCGTGGAGCTGCGTTTGGTCGGTTCCGAAGCGTCATAGATATTGCCAATTTCGGTGGGCGGGCCTTCTTGGAAGGATACCTTGCGCCTGTCCGGGGAAGGCGATGAGGACTTGTACATGTTAGAATTCGCGAGGGGTCTGGGGGGTTGCGCAGGCGGGGCTAGATTCAAGATTAGCCTAGTGGCAATTGATGCGCTGTCATGAAAAATCAAACCTTCTGAATCTCTCAATTCGAGCGCAGAAAAATCATCACTCAAGACTTGAGGGTCAGCATCGTAACGTTCGCGGTCGCCGCTGCGACGACCAAGATCCCCGCTTCGCCTCGGTCGGTTGTAACCTTCATTGCTGTAGCCCTGACTGGACTGAGCACCTTCCTCTTCTTCGCCGTCGAGCCGCTTCTTCACGGTTTGGAACCATGAGCTGACTTTGGTCTGGGTGTCCAAGAATCCCTTGCGGATATTCTCGCGGATCACGGGGAGGTCATCTATTTTTTGGCGGAAAGGCCGTTAGTATTCAGATGACATAGCAGAATGCAAGTACATACCATCGAAAAAGCTGTACTCCCTTTCGTCCGAGTGCTCACTACCCCTCCGAGTGCGCTCATATGGAGGACCACCCTCCCACTGGGATTGCGGCGCACGGCGGTTGTAGTGTTCAGCGAGTTGACGAGCATACAGCTCATCTGCTTCTAGCTGTCTCTGGGCTGCAGATGGACGGGGAGGTTTCGGAGGAGCTGCCACTTCCTCGGCATTCGGGTCAGTCATGCCTAGGGATATGATGTTAGTAAACGTGCAGTCCCCACTTCCTCCCAAATCCTCCTGGACTAGACCCCACGAACCTAGAAGTGCATGAAAAGCCCGCTCGACATCGAAATTGCTGGCCATCAACACTGCCTTGACAACCGATGCATCAACCGAGGGAAACGCTTCTTTGAGGGTGTTCTCTGCCTGCTGCTGAGGGCTCAATGGGCGCGGCGGTTTTGGCGGGGCAGCTTCCGTCGCATTCGGCTGCGTCGTTGCGGAAGGGGAGACCGAAGTAACGCCAGACTCCTGGGGCTCATCGTCGAAATCCATAGGACGTGCCGTGGTAGGAGACTCGGGTTTCGGACTGAGGGGCCCAGCCGGGGGCTTGATGGTGGACTGCAGTTCAATAAGCGGAGGCTTGAAGACACGGTTTAGACAGGAGAGGGAACCAACAGTCTTATCCTCTTCGGACATTGTGGAGTTGCTTGAGATTGGAGGTTCAGAGGTAACGTTTGGTCGAGATGGAGGCCAGGCTGGTTGAATTCTGCCGACACCAGAAAAGAGTACGCGACAGCAGAAGAATGAGCCCCAAGGCAGAAAGCAATGGGAACGTTGCTATTGGAAGCTCCAGACATCAGCCACACTTGGGCGAGCCGATGCGCAGTGACGTTAAGCCACGTGATTGGGTGCTGAGGTAATCCGTGCATGTGAGGGCGGAAATCACCTGCCCTGCGCGTAGTACATTGGGGAAGCCACTCACGTCCCGCGCAGACTCGACGCTTCGATTCCTCCAACAGGCACCTTCGGCGGATCCATCATGTCCCATATTCTCCCGCCATTCAACACCTGACTTTAGACGTGATTGCGTTTGGCGTCCGCAAATGGCGTCCGAGCTGGAGCTTTCCTCAACTTTCATTCCGGCGCTGTACAAGCCTGCTGCGCTGTTGCCCATCGCAAGACATAGGCAAAGTTTACTCTATCTGGTAGAGACCTACCCCGTCACTATTGTCGTGGGGCAAACTGGTTGCGGGAAAACGACGCAATTGCCTCAGTATCTCGACCAAGCAGGATGGTGCGCCGACGGGAAAGCCATAGCAGTGACGCAGGTGAGTCTCACGCACGCTGGAGTGTTGATGTTATGCAATACTACGCAGGGGGGGATGGCTAAAGTAATTCCAGCCTCGTCGGGTGGCTGCCACCACCGTGGCAACCAGAGTAGCCGAAGAAATGCGCTGCAAAGTGGGCGAAGAAGTGGGCTATTCAATCCGTTTTGAGGACCTAACCTCCGCTTCCACGAAGATCAAGTTCCTCACGGATGGGATGTTACTTAGAGAGGCCCTTGTAGATCCTCTTCTATCACGATACTCCGTAATCATGGTGGATGAAGCCCACGAAAGGTCTCTTAGCACAGACATTCTTTTGGGGATCCTCAAAAAGATCATGAAGCGTCGCCCTGAGCTCAGGGTTGTGGTTAGCAGTGCAACACTGCAGGCTGAGGATTTTCTACGGTTCTTTGCAGGTGAAGATTACCGCGATGACGCCGGGTCGAATGAACTTGGGGGGAACGTGGGACGGATCATTAGCCTGGAAGGTCGAATGTACCCTGTGGATATACTCTTTCTGGAGTCACCTGCGGAAGATTATGTCGAAAGAGCGGTTAAAACCGTTTTTGACATACATTTGCAGGAAGGAGACGGGGATATTCTCGTGTTCCTCACAGGCCGAGAAGAGATCGATACCACCGTGCAACTGATTTCTGAGCGCGCTGCTTCTTTGCATCCAAAAGCGCAAGGAATCCTCGCCCTTCCCCTCTACTCCGGTCTCACGACAGACCAACAAATGTATGTTTTCGAGCCAACACCGGAAAACACGCGCAAGGTGATCGTATCAACAAATATTGCCGAGGCGTCTGTCACAATCGACGGTATTCTATATGTCGTCGACTGCGGGTTCGCCAAGCTAAGGGCATATAACCCAAGCTCCGGGATTGAGACGTTGACAGCGGTGCCGATTTCGAAAGCAGCAGCGGTCCAGCGTGCTGGTCGAGCAGGTCGAACAAAACCTGGGAAATGCTTCCGACTCTATACCCAGCAGGCCTACGAAGCCCTCCCGGAGGCCACCGTTCCCGAAATTCAACGATCGAATCTTGCACCAGTCATAATGCAGCTGAAGGCCCTCGGTATAGACAACATAGTGCGATTCGACTTTCTAACGCCGCCTCCTGCTGAGCTCGTGGTTCGGGCATTTGAACTTTTGTATTCCCTTGGAACGGTTGATGATTATGCCAAGCTCACCAAACCCTTGGGCATGCGTATGGCTGAATTGGCGGTCGACCCGATGATGGCAAAGGTTCTCCTGTCCGCGCAGTCCTTCAATTGTTTAAGCGAGATTCTTTCCATCGCGGCCATGGTCAGCCTCCAGGGATCAGTCTGGGTGCAGCATGAAGGAGACAGAAAATCAGCTGAAAGCACTCGCCGAAAGTTCGCCGTTGAAGAGGGCGACCATCTGACGTATCTCAACGTGTATCAGGCCTTCGTGACGGTTGGAAAGAAGGATTCCAAATGGTGCAGGGACAATCTCCTGAACTATCGCTCGTTGCAACGGGCTGTGAGCATCAGAGCCCAGCTGAAGCGGTACCTCGAACGCTTTGGCATCCAAGTTGACGAGACTCTTTCCTCGTCTCGTTCCAAGCAACCCGTTCTCGCCAACCCCTCCGAGTCCCTTCGAAGATGTCTCACGACCGGGTATTTCGCCCACGCCGCCAAGATGCAACCCGATGGGACTTTCAAGACAGTCAGCGGAGGCCTTACACTGCATGCACATCCCAGCTCACTGATGTTTGTGCGTATTATTTCTGCCCATGTCCCTTCATTCTTGGCGCTTACTGACTTTTGGTCCTTCTAGAATCGAAAAGCAGACTGGGTGATCTTCCACGAGATTCTGCAGACTGGCGAGAAAACGTTCATCCGGGACATCACGAAGATCGAAAAGGGATATCTTGTTGAATATGCCCCCAACTATTATAAGGTTCAATGATGGGTTCGGGCCGCATCTAGACAGAGCGGGACGTGTACCACTAGGGAGGACTTGCTTGCATTTACCGTATAATGTGTATATACCCTGTGCAGAATGAATCGAGGATCGGCGTTGTACATACCCTGGAGTACATACCTTAAATCGCTGGAGACTAGAAAGACCATTGACGTCATGCGGCGGCTTTTGTTGTGTCGCTTCGGAGCGGAAGAAGATCCGCCTGGCGTCGCCTTTTCTCGTGGGGAACCAAACCCAAGACCACCATCTCGCGTCCATCCACTCTCAGCATGTCGGGGCATCATCACCACCACGATCATGGCGGGCATTGCCATGGAGAAGACGGACATGACCATTCCAATGATATCACCCCCGCCATCCAGTCCCTCCTGTACTCGCAGATCCAGTTTGATTCCATCACGACATTGAACGGTATGAAGAGATATTATTGCATGCGATCTCCCTGCTCTCTGCTTCTGAATCAAGGTGAGTCCTGACGTGGAGCTATAGAAGCGGTCCCAAATTCGGGGGCTGCGATCGCCCAGAAGACGTGGGCGGACAGACTAAACGACCAACCCGAACTCGAAAGCGACGCGGACGAGCAGCTGCTCATGTATATCCCGTAAGTTGCACCTATCTTAGTCTGCCTCGATGTCCCTTGAGATCTTCCCCCGGCGTTGCAGGGAACCCGTTTCAATTCGTGGTCGTTGATCATTTCTCCGTCTCCCATTTACCCCGCCATGAGCCCCTCATCCGCCGTCAATAATCTTTGCTTGCTGACCTTCTACGGCCGTCCAGGTTCACCGGACAAGTCAAGGTCCATTCGCTCCTCCTCTACACCGCGCCGACCCCATCTGCCCCCAAAACCCTGAAACTCTTCAAGAACCGGGATGATCTGGATTTCGCCACGGCCTCGGAACTCACGCCTACCCAAACAATCGAGGTTCCTCAGCCAATCCCCGGGGCGGATATCTTCGAGTTGCCGCTGAACCGGGCTCACTGGAATACCACCACCTCCGTCACCTTGTTCTTTGAAGACAACTGGAGCGATGGCGAGGAAGAAGTGACCAGAGTGGGGTACGTCGGGTTCAAGGGTCAATTCATGGCTCTGAATCGGGAGCCGGTCAATTTTCTCTACGAAGCAGCTGCCAACCCCGGTGATCATAAGGCGATCCAGGGAGTAAACGACGTAGGTGGCAGGATCATGCCAGGCCAGTGATGATACTTTGGGCCACCGTGACATTCAGTGGGGGTTTGCAACGAGAAATATGATTCTACTGTTTTCCCTGTAAAAATGATCCTTGGAAGCGGATTATTATGTCGATAATACGGGTAAGTACACCAATCAAGCTGAACAAATGCCACCCAGAAATAGAGAAGGGATGAATGGGAGGGAAGGCCGATAACTTCAAATGTAACGCTCAAATTTCTAATTGCGAAACTCATAAAATCTTTACTTTCCATATATATGTCAAGAAAACCGTCAACGCCGGCGATGCTTCCATGGCTGCTTTGGTGAAGAAAAAGGAAATACTCCGCATGATAACGAAATCTGGACACCCACGCTGTGTAGAGCACTGCGGGTTAAGCTGGAACGGCAGTCCGTTCTTTTGCTCTGGCCGGTGCCTTGGCTTCTGCCTGTTGCGTATCCTCCTCGTGTCGGATCGGGGGAGGCGCCGCTATGGGAGGAGTCGGTAGATCAATTGGCTTCTGTGTTTCGCGCTGCAATGCCGCCAACTCATCCTCGACTTCGTCTTCATCCTGATGCGACAAATGACCAGCAAGCATTTGGCTGATTTCCTGTGGCACGAACACCTGATTAGTACGGGGAGAGAACCCAGCTAGCATTAGCCCAGAAGATATTCTCACCTCCTGATAAGCTCTCGCGTCCTCCGTCTCGCCCATTAGTTTCTCTACCCCTTCAATGCCACCCATCTCCTTGTTGATGGTCTGCAGCACCTGCGTACCCTGCCGCAGGCCAAACAGGACATCCTTCTGTACAAGAGAGAACTCCACCTGACTAGTCAACTGTTCTAGCTGTTCGAGTTGTCCGTCCGTCTTGGCGAGAAGAGATTCTTGATATTTCTTACGGCGCAGAGCAAGGAGCGCACGCTTGCGATCCCCCCGTGCAAGACATTCCTTTGCGACTGCGGTCTCCCGATCGGTGAGGACCGTGATGCGCCGTTGATATTGATGAAGCTTATCCCTCTGGTTCTTTAAGTCGAGGATCGCTCTAGGGAGGTGTCCGGATCTCAGTCTCGTTTCGGCTGGACAAGAGGAGTCATGACGTATCACAAGGACAGCCAGAGACTTACCTATCTTGAGCCGAGATCTTGGGGGAGCTGCTAGAGTTGCCCATTGTCATCGCATGGTGGTCAAGTCGCAACTTGGGAAGAGTCGCCCGTCGATAAGAAACAGCGATAAGCCGCATGACGTGACGCCGCGTTCTCGTATTTCACGAGGTCCGCGGGCGGACAGGGGCTGCTGTCCAATCACCGGCCGTTTTGCTGTAATTTTGGCTTACCGCCGGCACATCAATTCTCCGACCGCCTTCAAAAATGATAAAATAAAATCAGCGCAATTCCGTCGATCTCGCCGCGACGGTTAGTGTTCAGTGTTCAGATCGTTCAATCGCTGCGGGGCTCAGAAATCATGCGTCGCGGGGGAAGACCGACGTTGAGGCAAGGCCTGGATCGGGAGGTGAGAGACCCTACTTGACATTGCATCTCTGCCGACATTGTACATATCTCTGAACTCTTCCGCAAAATATATAGGTCTACCAGATCGTGCGCAAAATCATTGACGATCAATCGGAGAATGATAAAATCCGTCTCTCGGTGCCGGCGATCTACGATACCATCAAGCGCTCTAACTCGAGCCTGAATAGGAAGCCGAAGCGTATGCTGGAAGACAGCATCGAGCGGGTGGTCGAAGTGGTCAAAACCGACGAGCTTGGACAGGATGACGAGGATTCTGTAGAGGGTGACTTTGCGGGACTGGAGGAAACACCGCCGGTTCCGGTATGAGATTCATATTCCCCTCAGTATCTTGGGGCGCAATGCTGACTCGCCCGCAACAGGAGTCCAACAGTCTCAACAAGAGCATGGTGGGCATGTGGAATACGACGTCGAAACAACCGAAACCCGCCGAGCCCAATAGCACCGAGTCTGCCGCCCCTGCGACCACATCTTCCAGTAAAAGACGACAGCATGGAGGAGAATCTCATTCCTCCAAGCGCCGCAAGGCCGAGAGCACGGTCGACCGATCACCTCCAACCCATGTGAGTCTCACGGACCTGGGTGGACTCGACGACGTGGTTCAGGACCTTGGAGATCTTGTCATTCTCCCCATGACTCGTCCACAAGTCTACATGTCATCGAACGTACAACCCCCGCGAGGTGTTCTGTTGCATGGTCCGCCAGGATGCGGTAAAACCATGATCGCCAATGCCTTTGCAGCCGAATTGGGGGTGCCTTTCATCGCCATATCGGCCCCGTCGATTGTCTCGGGAATGTCAGGAGAGTCTGAAAAGGCCCTGCGGGAGCACTTTGAGGAAGCCAAGAAAATCGCCCCTTGTCTGATCTTCATCGATGAGATTGACGCCATCACGCCTAAACGAGAAAGCGCACAGAGGGAGATGGAGAAGAGAATAGTCGCCCAGCTCTTAACATGCATGGATGACCTCGCCCTGGAGAAGACGGACGGTAAGCCAGTTATCGTCCTTGCCGCTACTAATCGGCCCGACAGCTTGGATGCTGCCCTGCGGCGAGGAGGCCGCTTTGACAAGGAGATCAACATGACCGTGCCGTCGGAGCCCATGAGAGAGCAGATCCTTCGGGCACTCACGCGCAAAATGCGCCTGGCCGATGACTTGGACTTTAAGACTCTGGCGAAGCGAACCCCAGGCTTTGTGGGCGCGGATCTGAACGATCTAGTTTCTACCGCCGGCTCTGCAGCTATCAAGAGATACCTGGAGCTCTTGAAATCCCACGGCGGCGAAGAAATGGAAATTGAAGAAGTCGATGACATCAGCCCCAAGATCAAGGAGCTGCGTCGTCTCATCGCTCACGCCAAGGAGACGCCGATGGGCGAGGAAGCCCAAGTGGTTCTGGTCTCCAACGCAGATTTCTTCACGGCGCTTCCCAAAATCCAGCCATCCTCGAAGCGTGAAGGCTTTGCCACCATCCCTGATACCACGTGGGCGGATATTGGGGCTCTTAGCGGCATCCGCGATGAACTGGCGACTGCGATTGTCGAGCCGATCAAGAACCCGGATATTTACGCCAATGTCGGCATCACAGCGCCTACCGGGGTGCTCCTCTGGGGCCCCCCTGGATGTGGTAAAACCCTGTTGGCGAAGGCCGTGGCCAACGAGTCGCGCGCCAACTTCATCAGTGTCAAGGGTCCCGAGTTGCTCAACAAGTACGTCGGTGAATCGGAGCGTGCCGTGCGGCAGGTATTTGTGCGCGCGCGGTCATCCATCCCCTGTGTCATTTTCTTCGACGAGCTCGACGCCTTGGTGCCTCGACGAGACGATACGCTGTCCGAAGCCTCGGCCCGCGTGGTCAACACCCTGCTCACCGAACTGGATGGCCTGGGCAGCAATCGCCAGGGAATCTATGTCATAGCGGCCACCAACCGACCGGATATCATCGACCCGGCGATGCTGCGTCCAGGACGCCTGGAAACCTTGCTCTTCGTGAACCTTCCCAGTCCCTTGGAGCGGGTCGAAATCCTCCAGACCCTGGTCCGCAACCTCCCCATCGAGTTCAACGAGGACCTCAGACGACTGGCGGAGGAATGCGAAGGGTACAGCGGTGCCGATCTGGGAAGTCTGCTGCGTCGCGCCGGATACTCGGCCATCAAGAGGCGCGATACCATCGCAATCCAGGACTTTGTGGCTGCGAAGGAGTTCATTCGCCCGAGTGTGTCGGATCTGAAGAAATACGAAAAACTGCGGAGAGATTGGGGTGGAGGTGTGCTGTAAATGTAAATACCATAGATTTTCCTATTCATTATTGTTCTTTACCCTCCTTCTATATGCCCCAATACAAAGACGAGATCGTGACCTTAATGCAGCGTTTTCTCTCCCCCAGTGGCAGAGAGGTGCCATTTATGGTGGAGACCTTGCGCTACTGAGCCCCTACACGAGAGGTAGGTGTACATGGAAAGACGCAGTTGTAGGGTGAGAACTTTTATAATGGATATCTAAACAGTAACATTATGCACACAAAACGCCTCATGTAGATATGGCAAAAGACGATGACAACAAGAAGATTTTGTAATTACATCCACAAACGGCAAGTTCCATCTGCACCGGCACTGACACACCAGGCTTCTCGGGGATGCCAATCGATATCCAACACACCCAGTTCTCCGGTGATCTTGTGACCCTTCAGCACCTTGAGGGGTACAATACTGGCATTGCTGAGCATGTCACCCGTGACGCTCCCGTGGAAGATCTGAAGGGAGCCATCGTCACTGGCATCGGCGAAAAGAGGATAACGGCCACCCGGGTGGAATCGCACGGAACGAATGGCCTTGCGGTGGTACCGCAGAGTCTTGTACGGACGCTGCGACAGCTCGAGATCATGCCACAGAAGGCGTCGATCGTACGACCCAACGATGAGGTTGTCGCCACCAGAGGCGGTGGAAGAAGTCGGATGAATGTCGAAGGATGAAATCCAGCGAGCACCGGGCTGGATAATCTTGACAAGGAGCTGTCGTGAGAGGTCGTATGCGCGAATGGTCCGCTGGTTGGCAACAAAGAGGATCGGCTTCGAGGGATGGAAGTGAGCCGTCTGGGGAGGACCACCGCCCTTGATGCGTCGGCGGAAGGGGAACTGAGTCAGATGCTTGGATAGAGTGTGAATGGAAATCGCCACGGAAGCCGGAGTAGAAGAACCAGGGCAGACCGTGACGAAGTAGTCACCGCGGCGATGCCAGGAGATAGACTTGACCACATGGCGAAGAGGAATGACCGCACAAATACCGGAGTCTGCAAGGGACGATGATGGACGGATCCATTGCGGAGGGGTGTTTTTCTTGTTTTCGTCGGCGACGTTCGGGGGAGGCCTCGATGCCGCAAAGCCCCATCCGGCATCCAGGATATCCAGACTGGCTTGTTCGATTTCGGGGTCGACGATTGGAGGCACAGCAAGGAAGATATCGTCACCCGCGGCGGCTGCAAGCACCACGGCGTCCTTTCCAGGTCGCCAGCGTACCACATTGACAGGTTCCTCGTCACCAATCTTAACATTCCACAGTTGACGACCGGTAAGAAGCTCCCAGACCCGGACAGTTCCATCATCACCACCGGTAGCAAGCCACACTCCGGTGGGGTCGACAGCCAGAGATCGAACACGGCCCTTATGACCCCGGAAGACTGTGGCGCAAGCGGTGGGGAATGGCTTCAGTTCTTCAGGGCTGGGAAGTTTAGGGAGAAGGCTTTCAGGGTCGATGTTCAATTTGCTCCTCCGAACTCTAGGAGCCAGGTAGAGATCCAAGCAGCGCTCGAATTTTTCTTTGACGAAAGACTCGTATCCAGGAACCTTCCGAAGAGAGCCGAAATCGTTGGGAAGGAATTCGTGCTCCCTGTCCTCCGGATCTGCCTCTTCCCAGGCTTTTCGTTCTTTCTTGTCGGGCAGGTATTCGGCAGGGGGGTGGTAACTCTCCTCATATCCCGGTGGCGGAAGTTTGGGAGCAGGAACATTCATGGGGTGATCCGGACGTTCTGCTTCATCCGCCCACAGATCATAGTTGATGATATCTTGATCGGCCTCATCTTCTTCGGTCGGAGGCTTGAAGGGCAGAATGCGTCCTTCTCTGATCGCCTTCACAATTTTCATGACCCGCTTAGCTTCGTGTTTGGACGGCACGAATCGACGCTTCGGCTCCGGTGCAGCACTCAGAGGCATGATCTCCTGCTTGCTGGTAAACCATTCCACGGTTGGTTCGTAGGGATTGAATTCGTCATCCGGAATTTCGTTCATCTGGACCTTACGCAATAGCTCCAGCTCATCCTGGCTCAATTCCAAGGGTTTGCCGGTCGAAGGATCCGTCAGACCAGTCCAGCCCTTGGGAATCTCAATGCTGTCGAGTAGTGCATCGAGAGCTTCTCCCTTGGCGGGGCGCAGAATCTTCTTTCCGTTGATATCGTAACCGATATGCGGGTACTGGTCGTAAAACGACAGGGGAATATCACCGATGGTGTTGGCATTCTCGTCGGCATCGGAGTATTCGGAGTTGTCATCGGGATTGATCTCGTCATACAGGAAGCGGTCATTTCCATTGGCGTCCTTTTCGATGCGAAAGTTCGGTTGTTCTTCGTCGGAGCTCTCATTGTCCTCCGCTGGCGCATTCCCCAATGCCTTGCTGGATTTTACCTTGGCAGGCTCTTCTCCCTCTGACGGGATCTCATCACTGTCCAGCTCCTCCTCATCGTCCTCCTCGTCACTGAAATCATCCACCAGTTCAACCTCCGAATCACTCGCATCTTCATCGCTCGACAGGTCATTGGCATCATCCGAAAGTGCACCATCCAGGCCATCAGCGTTCAACTCATCGCCTGAAAAGACACCCGGTTCCTCCTCGACATCGCGAGTGACTGCCTTGCGTTTCTTCGAAGCCTTAAGGGCAGGCATAGTGGAGGAATAACACCGATTCCTGCGTAGACTTGTCTAGTCTTTGGGTCTTTTGGTCCTGTCCGGAACTTTTTTTTTTTTTTTTTTCTTCTGGGACTACCCGACAGACACACCGCCCACGTGACACACCGCCCGCGGGGTCATCTTATCGTCGCCATTTCTTCGCGCCAAACTTGAAATCACCCATGACATCGCAATAATATGTGCCTTAGATGCTAGCGCTGAGGATCCTTCGCCATCATGCAGTTTGAAAATCTCGAGTGGAGTGAGCCACTTCCTGGTCTGACGGGTGGAACTTGCCCTCAAGATCCCGTCGTGGCCCCGGCTCAGGCGTTGAAAAGGCATGCGGCGTGTGACGAGTGCAGTAGGTTATCTCGAACCCCCCGTTTTAAACCGACTTGAGTGCTCACGGCATGTTTATGGAATAGGAAGCCGCAAGTTAAAATGCTCAGGGGAAGCAACAGGCTGTAGTCGTTGCCTCAAGCAATCCCTCGTCTGTCATTATTCTGTGCAGAAGCAAATGGGGCGCCCACCAAAGAAGCGGGCACGAGAAGAGGACAATCCTGCACAGTTTAGTCTGTCAGGAAGTGAAGGATGGACTGACTCCGATAGCTCTCAGTTCGCCTCGCTTGGAACAGATACGCCCGCCTCGGCAGACCCGTATCCCTTCTGTGCTCCAGTTTATGCCACCCCTTTTACCACACCGGAGGCATACCCTCACCTGGTCTCCACAGACAACAACCACAGTCATTCGTGGCAACTTGAGCATGGGAAATTTCTAGATCCGGTCCCAGCAACGTCTAGTCCATGGCCCGACTTTTCTAGCGTATCCGCGGCAGCATCTAATTCATTCACATTGCCTCCAGGCCTGCCACAATTACAATCTCCTCCGTTATCTCCGTCCAATTCAGACCCTTCCGAACCCCATTGCACTTGTTTATCGTACCTGTATTTGTGCCTCAGCCATCTTTCCTCTCTTGCTCCGTTCCCAGTCTCCCAGCATACGCTGTGTTCTCTGTTCATCGGCGCGAAGACTGCGCGCGCAGTAATACGGTGTCAAGCCTGCCCCCGAAAGTTTGCCACTGGTTTGCAGAATGTCATGTTTACCGGAACGTTGCTAAACGTCATGGGTGACGCTTGGCTTCGCGTGTCAAAAGCTGACGCGGTTGAGCTTGGGAAGCAAGCGGCACCATCCAGCTATGTGCAGGCCATAACCCAGAATTCGCCTGATCCTGCCGAAAGCTGGAAGGAATGGCTGCGTCAGACGGTTCGAAGCGGAGTTCTTGGGGGGCCAAGTGACCCTGCCGGCTCCGTTCGATGCTCGGATTCTCCAAGTTTACTTTGTCTCATCCAGGAGATGGAGGCTCGCCAACGAAGATGGCATCAATCCCATCCGCTTCCTCCATCGGAACGTATAAATACGCCGCCTGAACATTGCGCCAAACCCTATGACCCTCAAGAGGAGCAGGACTATCTCTGTTTGCGAGTGGTCAAAAGTGCCAGAGAAGTCATTGCGAGGTTTGACTTCAAGCCGCATGAGTATCCGGATGGCGTGGTTGCCTGAATATCATCCTCTAACTTTCGGCTTCATAACGATACTTGGGTTCTTGTCTGGCGTCAACACGGCTTACCACTTTATCTCAACATGGCGGAATTCTACTCGGGCGTTGGGGATCTTTTACGATACGACTTTCTTTGAGCATACACCTGAGGTCTGCGGCAAGGCGCGAATGCTACCTTCTCTTTCTTTTCATTTCTGACGATGTTTAAATGCTCACTCGCATCTGTCTGGTGCCTAATACTGTGGGCGAGTCGGCTGCAGGAGTCTCATTGATTTTTTACGATATATAACGGGGTTTAACCCAATAACCAACTACATGTACATACACATAAAAGTACAAGACAACTTGTGCATTTTTATTTGGCACGTATATTAATTCGTTTCTATTTTTCTTTTGGGATCGATGAAAAACACCAGGACGCAGGATGACCATTCGTTCGCCAAGGAATAGATTACCCATAGAAAGATTTGATATAGATACAGAGTGCAGTGATCAAAGCAATATTCATAGAGGACATGATCGAGGGGGGTGAGAGAGAAAATCGTATCGGAGGCTTTATTCGTCGTCGTCATCATCCACAATGAAACGATTCTTCTTTCGGGCAGGAGGAGTGCCAGCCGCTTCCTCAGGCGATGCTCGTCGCTGCTTGGGTTTGGCGGCGGAAGGCTCTTCCTCCTCACCCTCGGCATCCATGTCCTCGTCTTCAAGAAGATCCTCGTCTTCGTCGTCATCGGCGACTTCCGGTTCCTCGTCGCTGCCGACAAGGAAACCGTCATCTTCATCATATTCATCCTCCCTCGTACGTCCCTTACGATCGTAGTCCTCCTCGTCATCGGTGTAGATTTCGCCACGACGGTTAGGCTTGCGCGGCTTCTTGGCCCGAGGCCTCGTGGTGAGTAAACCGTCGTCATCCTCCAGTCCGCCGACAGTGAGACCAGCACCCCCGGTACGAGAAACGCCGACCCGACGACCACGGTCGAGCTCCCGGTCGGCGAGTTGCTGGCGTCGGCGAGCAGCCTTCAACTTCTCCCGTTCTGCAAGTTCCGCCTGTCGTTTCGCGAGTTCGGGGTCCTCCGTCACTTCAATCACAGGGGCCGATCCATCCGCAGTCTGTTTGCTACCACGAGTAGCTGCGGCCAACGACTCTTGGAGGCGTTGAACGGCATCATCAGCCTCCATGGTCGTGGGGTAAACGGTAAGCCCGTGGGTTAGGTGGGAAGTCAATCGGAACACGGAGGACGTTTCTGCTGCAGCTCCCAGATACACATGTGAGTCCAATTTGGTATCGTAATCACCCGACTTGTTTACAGGCGCCAGCGGTTTAGTCGAGATCCTGTATTGTTCTTTAGGGGCCGAAGCCAACTGGAGAGTCATTGAGCCATCTTCCCAACGAATGATACGGGCATTGGATTGAAGAAGGGCATCGTTATCGGGGTCGTGGCGCCAGCAGAGAGACGTGGCTGCGGTCGAGTATGGGGGCGCAACGTAGGTTTCAGGGTTGAACTCTTCCGTCTCCACCGACAAAAAGTTGGGGATTGGCATGGTATAGATCTAAGTCCGACCGTATCAGCCGATATGAAAACCTTCGTTTCGGGCCGACTCACGTACCTCGCCATTTGAAGTCACCGGCTCCGGCGCTCGGCCTAAGCTCAGGTCCATAATGTTCACCGTTTCCTGGTATTCACCCTGGTCGCCATCTTCATAGTCCATGCGCTCCCCAGTCCTATCACGTCGGTCTTCGTCGTCGCCCGAGTCAAGCTCCTCGTCATCCAGAGTCCGTTTTGGTTGACTAGAGGCAGAGTTAGTCTTTCTCCAATGGGGCAGAAGGGCAAGTTTTAAGGAAGCAGAGAACGTACTCATCATCATTGCCGAATCCTCCGTCCGAGCCATCCGAGCCAAAGAGGTCAGCATCATCATCTCCGTTCATGTTGCCGGCATCAGAGCCGGCGGGACTTTCAAGTCGTGCGGCAGGGTTGCTACGCTCGCTCCCAGAGGGGCTTGCAGGTTGACCAGCACCCGAGCTCCGTCCTGGGCGACGAACCACATCCTCATCCGACGAAGACATGATGCGTGATGGGGGAGTCTACCGTTCCGAGCGAAAGGTAGGACGATGGCAATGACACTGCATTCATTCATTCATGGGAAACGGGCAACGCAGGCCGCGGAGCTTTGAGGCGGCGCGGCAGTTGATCCGGTCCGGACCCAACGGGGCTTAGCGGCCGCCAGCAGCTGGACGGGGCCAGACCGATACAGGCGAAGCGCCGTTTCATCGATTCCATCCTCTCTTTCTCCCTCCCTCCCTCTCTATCTCGTCTTTCGCTCGTCCGCCTTGCTGCTCCGCGAAAGTCATCATGGCGACCTTCTTTCAGAGCGTGTAAGTTGTCCTTGTCCCACGTCTACCTCCCTCCGTTCGCTCTCCCATTCTCACCGATTGGGGTCCCCTTAAACTCTCCCCCCTCCCCTCTGTCTCTCTCTCTCTCTGGGCTTAACTCTTGCTTCGTTCGCTCCCCCCTAGAGCTGCAGCATGATGCGCTCCGAAAGTATAATTCCCAGCGTTGTCAGCCCTCACTCCGTCGCGCTTCACCATCTCATGCCTGCACATCACCTTGAATTTCCCCTTTTTGAGGGGGACCGCTCTCTTCCCCACATCTCGTATTCTGACTTGTTCCTCGATGCTCTCTAGTCGTCAAGGGTTTGGCCGAGGGGGTAACAACAAGAATAACAACAACGCCCCGAAAACCAACAATGGAAGTCCGGCTCAGTCGCCGGTTACCCAGATGCCTCAGGCGGGGTCGGTGCCGAACTCGCCCTCTCTCACGTCGAACCTATCCGTGGACGGCCCCGCACCTTATGACCCCGATGCCCCCAAATACTTTTTCCAGGAGAAATATGCCCCCTTGAATGTGAAGGGCAACTTTTTGACCCTGTGTGCCTGTCCCAAGAACGTCGAACTGGGAGAATGGCTGGCCCACCAGAGTAAGTGGATTCTTCGAATCTCGAAGACGTTCGCAAGTTCCGAAGCTCTGACCTTGTGATGTGAATAGTTGTCGAACAGTATCGCCTTCTTCATGGCATGCTCCAGGTCATCCAGGATGTCAATTCCGTGACTGGCTTTCCCATCTGCAACGAGGCGACCTGCCCCACGATGTCGGCTGGCCGGTAAGCCATATCACCCTAGAATAGCGTCTGATGAAGCAAGACCCCGCCTAACGACTCCTTTTTTCAGCCTGACATACACCTGGCTTGTGGATGGCCGCGCTGCGAAAATCTCGGCCCCCAAATTCATCAATCGCGTTGAAAAATGGATCGTGAGCAAGATCCACGACCCCGTCATGTTCCCCACGGACAAAGTCAGCGGCATGCCCGAGACCTTTGCAATCCACGAGGCTGGGGGCACGAATCCCTCGAGCCCCGGTACAGGTGGCCCGGGGGAGGAGTGGATTGGCAAATCCAGTGGTTTCCCCCAGACGTTTTACAAAGACTGCCAAGGCATCATGAAGCAAATGTTCCGGTGCTACGCACATCTATACCATGCGCATTGGCTGAATCCTTTCTGGCACATCAACAAGCACGACATCCTTAACATGTGCTTTGTCCACTTCGTCACCGTTGCCAAGTATTACAAGCTGGTCTCGGACAAGGAGATGGAGCCTATGCAGCCCCTCATTGACTTGTTCATCAAGCAGCAGAGAATTCCTCCCGAGGCCCTTTCAGGCGGTCACTGGGGTCAGCCGAACTCTGGCTGAGCTAGAGAATTGGTCCCTTTCCCCCCTACGTTCATTGGCAATGAATCAGTCTTCTGACCTGGCGTTGGAACCTCTTTCTTGGTGTCTTGTTACTTTCTGCGTGCGCGACAAATAACTGACGGTATGACCCGGAATTTAAGAAATTGAGCATTTAGCATGCGACGTGAATATCCTTTTTCTCCGTTACCCTTGCATAACCTTTTCCTGTCGAGATTTAATTATCAACCCAAACATTTGTTTGATTTTTGGCCTAGATGATAAACAGTGCATCGATTCTTCATGTTGAGACTGCATGGTTGGATGGGATCTTTTGATTTTCCCTGGAACTAGCGTGAAGTGATTCGTGAAATGAGCCTGAGCTGGAAATATAAACGGTTAATCGAAGCATCCGTTTCGTTCGGCAGCGTCCCGAAATATTGTACAGAATAAACAGATAGTTGCAGCAAGATATGTTGTCTCAATACGAGGTCGTGCGCTCCGTCGCTAGATCTTCGTGAAGGTGACTGCAAGATCCCGAAGTAGCTGGACGACCACGAGCCCCGTGTGTTTTACAAGGATATTTTTGTCTTGCCCGGGCTCCCTGCTCTTCGAGATAGACATGCGCATCATTCTGGGCAATAGACAGTCTCCTAACAAGGCAGTGCTTTTGGTGGCCATCCCATCCTGGTCGGAAGAGACAGGCCAGAACGACGAAGACCATGTTGGTTAAAGGTACACGCCCTCTTGATCCTGACCAGCCTGCGACTCGCTTTGCCCATCTCCCACCGGGGATGGATCTGGTTGCGTCGTGGCCGCGCTTGCTCCATTTGCACCATTTACCACCGGGGCTTCTGTTCGCTTTTCCTCCGTTTCGATCCACTGCTGGCCCCGACGTTCCACTTCCGCCTTCAGCAAGGCAATCCTCTCGGTCATAGATGTCATCACGCCCTCATTCTCGGCAATGTAGCTTTCAAGTTCTCGCTTCTCGTCTGCCGAATCACATGACTCCAGCACAAACGTTTTCAGCTCGTCGTTTGAGCGTTGCAGATGGGCGACGGAATTTCGGAGTTCCGAGACTTTGGCATACAGGACAGAGAGGGACAACTCCTGGATCGCTTCGGCGAACATAGAAGGAGTGATGGGGGCGGATTCTGCAGACATGACGGGCTGTGTGCCTTCTCCGTGGGAGGGGGTGAGGGGTAACAAGGGAATAACAACAGAAGAAGGGGAAGTCCGGAGTAGAAAAGATGGGCTGGAGCTTATCGGTCGTTTATCAGCACGTGACTATGCTTTATCTCCACGTGCCGCGGAAGTGTCAAGTCTCCGCCGCGTCCATCTTTCGGCCAACTGTGAGCCTCCATCTTGCAACCCTCGACGAGCTGGTTGAATTTCGGGTCCAGCCCGCAGTCGCAGGATATGAGCAATGCGTTCTGCGTAGCATGGCGCGTTCCATGCTCGGGGCTTCGGTCCTCGAGCTTGCTCCCATCAAATCCCACCTCCCTCCGGTTATTCGGGTGCATTTCTCCCTCTCCTGCGGTGCCGGTGAATGTAGCCAGGCGGCCCGCTAGCACTCTGAGGCCCTTGCCCGGTATCACCCATCCCACGTCGCCGCGCGGGTCAATTCGATCGCCATTCCCGTTCTCCTTCGCTCGATCGTTCGCAAATTCAGGCTCTCGTTACGCCCAATCAGGTCCCCCGGTGGAAAATGGTATTCAGCCCCGTGCTAAGCCATTTTCGCAGGCTGAAATCAATGCAATTTTCGGACCCAGTGCGAGAGTGTCCCACTCCATGGGAAACCGTGTGCTTGCTGTGCTGCACGGCAGACGTCTCAATGGCACTCCGGAGTTAGACCTTCCTAGGGACATTATCTTGGCCGTCCGCGGACCCAGCCGCGATAAAGCGTTGGAGTGGCTTCGCGAACACTATCCACTCGACGAGGACGCTGCAATTCTTGCACGGTTTGAAAGAGAGGAGCGTGAGGCGGAAGAAAGGCTCATTCGCCGTGCTGAAAACCTGGGCCTCTACAAACCCCAGAGTGGTTCATTTGGCGCTGAACTCGGAGAGTCAAACGACCCATCTGGCCGCAGTATTCTGCAAGAGACCCGGCAGCGCAACGAAGCGAGGATATTGGCAGAGGAAGAAAAGCGACGTCAAGAATGGCTCGAGGGCGAGGCACAGGATCGTGAGAAGATGCAGCGCATGGTGGAACGCAACACGGCGCTTCAAAAATATGAAGAGTCAAGTGCACTGGAAGGTAAAGACTGGGCGAATGTCAACTATTATACGTGCCTGAAGTTGCTGACGCTCTCGATATTAGCCCGACCGCGCGCAGACCCTTCTCAGCGTCCTTTCCTCGCATGGATTCAAAAGCATCACCTTCAAGCAACAGACTGGGATATTGATATCTCCCATGTAACCACCGTGAGCCGCTGACTTGTGATCTCTCGTCGAAAGACGTAGATGCTAACCTCGTTTTTTTCCCGGATGTAGAGGAGCCGGTTGCTTCCTGGGTTGGTCTTCACCGTCATTGCCCTCGGTCTTTGCTATGTCTTCGCACAGAATTACGAACCTCCAGCCAAAGCAGACCGGATTTGGCCTACGGTGCCTCCGGCGGCAGCTACGGCACTGGCTATTGTTGGCGCTAATTTCGGCATATTCGCCTTGTGGAAAGTATGCCCCCCGGCGTGGAGGATGCTCAATCGCTATTTCATCACTGTCGCTGCCTACCCTCGTACAGCTAGCTTGGTTGGGAATGTCTTTAGCCATCAGTCGTTTTTACATCTCGCAGGAAACATGTTCGTCGTTTGGTGGGTGGGGACACAACGTGAGTTTTCTCTTTTTTCCAATATTGCCTTCTGACGGGAAGGCCGACTGACATTTTTGAGCCTAGTCCATGATGAAATCGGCCGAGGAAACTTTCTGGCCATATATCTTGCGTCCGGCATCTTTGGTTCCTTCGCCTCTTTAACCGTCAATGTACTCCGGGGCAGGTTAGCGGTGACCTCGCTTGGAGCTAGCTCAGCAATCTCTGGCTGCCTTGGCTCTTGGTGCACACTTCACGCCGAGTAAGTATCGGCCAGCATACCCTGCCTACCGATCACCGGGAGAATTTAGGATTGTTCTGACTCTTGCCGTTCTCAATAGCGATAAATTCACATTTTTCTTTGTCCCCAAAGAATGGCAGGAGACTTGCAGTATACAGGGGAAGGTGTTCCTTACGGGGCTGGTCCTTCTCGAGCTTGTCAACCTACGGTTCTCGGCCATCGGAGGCCAAATCGATAACTGGGCTCACTTGGGTGGGCTTCTCATAGGAACTCTCTCGGCCTTGGCACATAAACGTCAGGAAAAGGAGCGCCTGGAAAACACGTCCTGGTTTGATCGGATGTTTCGGGGCGAATCAAAATAGGGTCTACTCCTATTCCAGACTGAAATGGTGGAGATAGAAATGACGGTGTGTTTGGATCCTTTCTCTTCATCCTATGCCTTATAATACACCATTCGCATCTTGTATATCTCTCTCCCCTTGTATGTATGTACCACAATGATAATACCCAGCTTCGTCTATTTTCATTGTGTCTTTCTCTGGTAGCGGTGGGGCTGATGGCTTTGTTTGCTTTGACTTCTCGCATGGGCTTTGCATCATAAAGGGTTCGATTTTGCCTTTGGTGGAGAAACCTGTGGGCTTCCACCACATGGACGGGAGGTCCCGGTTGTTTTATGGCTCTTTCAGCGCATGTCACATGACCCTGGGTATATAAGCCATATTGTCTCACTTTTAGCACGTGGGGAATTCGTGAGCAACGAAACTATCATTGTCTATTTGAAAGCCCTGCAGTGGAGAATCCGTTCTAGAAGCTTTCTTGCCGATTCATTGGCGAAGTGAGGTGAAGTGAAGTAAAGAAAGAAAAGGGCTGCACTGGTTGCCAGACCCACCACAGATAGCCATCTGGTTCTAGATCTGAGAATATAGGATTGCTGTCTTGCTGATGCGTATCACTTTATTCAAATCATCAACACTAGAATAAGGCTTCATTGTTAGTAACCCGGTAGAAACAACTACCTGAAAGGAGAGGAATATTCCTACCTTGTTGTTGAGGTCCCAATCTGTGACAGCTGCGAGGTGAAGAAGCTAAAACACTTTGCTTCTGTGCCTGCAAGTCACAGTGAAGTCCACTGGTATCTATTACTTTGACAGCCCTCCTCTCCATCCTCTTCCTCTCTTCCCACCTTTCCAACTCCCCCCGTGCTCGTTTTCTCATCTGCGTATCTCTGAATCCTCTGAGGATATTCTCATCTGCTATTCGTATTTCACTTCCATCTGCCTCTCAGCCCTGATCGGGCATTTCTAACATCCGGGATCTTGCGATTTCAATCAGTTATAAACATTGCCTATTTGATCGGAGGCCCCTACTCTTGCTGGGATTCCACAACCATGCCTTTCAGAGTTGACTGCACCGCGGCAAGAGAAGAGCCAATTCCGTTCGTGTTCAAGCTTAGGAGAAGCTGGGGGGACCTCAAGTATGCACAGAGAGTCATGGAAAGCGACAGCATCTCCTTTGGGGACATTGACCAAGTTTTTTCGGGAGACGAAATGGTGCATCATGCCCAAGACAAAGTGCAAACTGACACGGCGGAATTTCCAGACCCTTCTCCCAGTGACTTGTCTGAAACTGCATCGTTAGCGTCTGATCGCCTGGCCGAGTCAAAGTTCCAGAGCAAGAACAAGCAAGCGCAACAATTCACCCACAGTGTTTGCCACCCATGGGACGTGGTGGACTATCACCTGTACCTTTGTGGAATCGAGAAGGGCATGGATGCATACAGCAGACGCAATGGCATGTATGTATACGACGGACTCGATTGCCGGCCGATATCCTATAGCGAGCTTTGCGACGACCAGGCTTTCGATCCATCCAACATCGGAGACGATCCCAAATTCTTGTCGTGGATCCTGCCCGTCAGCAGTAGAGGATCCCCCTTCAAGGGAAAGAGCTACGTGCTGGGCTTCGACTACGGCAGCAGGACTCTTTTCGTCCGCCAGTTTCACTGGATCCCCGGCCGGATCGATGACATCTGGTGCGTGTGGGACGAAGGCTTTACCGTGTACCGTCTCACCATTCCCGACTTGATCGAGGTTCTGGATTCAGTACTCTCTGGCACGGCCGACGTGAGCCGAGGGATCCTCAGCTACCACTCCCATTGCATGATTCCCCGGAGCGGCGATGACCCGGGCCTCGAGATCGTCATCACCATTCTACTTTGTCAATGGGTGGTCGACTTTGCGGCAGTGTTCTCCGGGATGGACACGGCGGCATGCGACCAATTCACCAAGACTCTTACCACCTACATGGAAGATTGCCGGCTGATTCTGCAGCGTGCCTCGTACCGGGCGTGGTTCGCCTCCCGCGATGGCCATACAATGAGGGATTACTCCCGCAAAGCGGCCATCGATAAATACACCAATGATCTTTACACCTTCAGCCAGTCGGCTGAGAGCGGAAGTTTGAACGGCAAGTCATGGCACGCACCCGGCCTTAACACATGCAGTATGCTCCGTCGCAGAGACCGGTATGTGAGACGAGAGCGGGCAGAATGGAAGCTGGAGGGCCTGTTCGCGCGTCGTGCAGCTGCTCTCCCTGCCGAGTCCTCGGAACAGGTCTTTGAGAAGATGCTGGCACGATTTGAAGAGGATGCGCAACCTGCGTTTAAGTTGGAGCCTCCCCGGACACCTCCGCCACGTCCCTTGCATGATGCACAAGTCCCTCGTGATTCGTCGGGCACGCAATCCCCCGAAATTGTCAGCGCGGCAGCCGAGCCTTTGTTCATCGAAACCACGGACTTTCAGAAGATCCCTCTCACTCTTCTTTTGGAACGCTTTCTTGAGCTGGTTGAGACTTACCCGGGATTGGACACACCGGGCCACCGTCGCCGATTTGGGGGCTTGCTGGCCGAAATGGGGATCGACATTGAGCAGGCGAGTATGGAGGACAACTCGACAGGCCTTTCATTGGAGAATCAGGCTGGCCGTTGGACCTACTCCGAAGCAGGCTCTTTTGGAGGCTCTCCCCGGGCGTTTGCTGGTCCTGGTCTTCTGCCGAGCCCTCTTCTTGACTAGTCGTTAGTAGTACTGGATGGATTCATTTGGTTTAATATGTTTCCCGTCGGGGAATATGTTGAATATCCTGTCTTTTTGTTGCGGGCTTGCAGTTTTGTATGTATGTGTAGACGGATGATTTGACGGATGGATGAATTGAAATTAATCAAATGGGCGGATTCGTTAAACACGTGCAGTCACCTGACCTTCTTCATTTCTCTGCTTTTTCTCCTCCAGCGGGATTTCTTCTGTCTTATCAACACATCAACTCCATCACCATCACCATCACCATCAAGAATGCCATGACTGCATGATGCGGTGGCGCCCCGGTGGCTCGCCGGTGGATTCTGCTCGCCTTCACACGTCGCATCATTGGCCCCCTGGTCCCTGGGTCTCACTAGGGCGATCTGGGCAGTTCCTGTCGGCCCATGGATCGGCGCGACTCTTGGTTTCCCCCTTATCATCGTCGTGGTTTGTTATGGATTAATTTTAGTTCGCCCTTCATCCCTGTCCGTGGGATTTTTTATCTTATTTATTCTGGCGGGTGTGTTTGTTTTGTTTCCTGGGACGGTTTCCCCTCGACGTCAGCCTTAAGCCTTACACGCCGTACACCGTACTGCATTCTCTCCCTTTCCCCCTGCCGTCCCTTTTGTCTCTCCCTTCTGCCTTCTTCACGATCTGATCCACTTGCCTCGCTTGTGCAAACTCAGCCTTTCTTGCTCTCTCTCCCTCCCTCTCTCTCTTTGCGACCAGTCACTTTCTTTTCCGTTGCTTTCGGTCATACAATCCTTGGGCTTTTTCTCTTTCTCTTTTCTTTCCTTTTTTGTTTTTTATGTTTTTTTCCTCAAAACTAAATTGATTATTAATCCTCGGCCACTCATTGCATTGCCTCTTCTTCCTCCCTCAATCATCGTCGAGAATCTCCATTCCATTCATTCCTTCGTATTCCGGACCAATTGAAACATGGCCGATCAGTTCGATCCGGGTGAGTTGTCTCTCTTCTCGGTGCCTCGCTTGTCGCTGACCTCGTGTGCGTTCGAAGGCGTCGAGCTCAATGGCCAAGCCCCTAGTGCCCAGGCCCAGATTGACGTAATCTGCGGGCCACTGATCAATTTCAAGAACATGGATGTGACTCCTGCCTCGTCTGTCTGGCGTGGCAGCGTGTTGATTGTCACGAAGCCTGGTCAGACTCTGCCGCAGCTGCTCTTGCGCCAGGCCGGTCCTGTTGGCGACAGCGCCGCCGTCAATGGCGCCGCATCCGCCCGTCAGGAGATTGCGATTGACGGTCTCCGCCTCTATGAAGATCCTGAGAAGGCCTTCTGGCGCTTCTCACTTGCCGTGACCCTGGAATCGTACGAGTCTCGTTGGGAGTACCACATCCCGGGTTTCCAGTATGCCGACAGTCCGGATGTCGCCGCGCCTTGGGACTTCGTCGTCCCCTCGGCGTCGCAGTCCATGCGCCTGATGTTCCATTCCTGCAATGGCTTTTCCGTCGGCACCGACATGGACGCCTGGCTCGGCCCGAGTCTGTGGAACGATGTCCTGCGCGTACATGCACAGAAGCCCTTCCATGCCATGATCGGGGGTGGGGACCAGCTTTACAACGATGGCATCCGGGTGGACGGTCCCCTGAAGCCGTGGACCGCCATCGGCAACCCGCACAAGAGACGCGCGCATGACTTCAACAATGCCATGCGCGCCGAATGCGACGAGTACTATTACGCCAACTACGTTCGCTGGTACTCGACCGAGCCGTTCAAAGCCGCCAACGGACGCATCCCCCAGATCAATATCTGGGACGACCACGACATCATCGACGGCTTCGGTTCCTACACAGACCATTTCATGCGGTGCTCCGTTTTCCGCGGAATTGGCGGCGTCGCCTTCAAGTACTACTGCTTGTTCCAGCACCATATCGCACCACCCAAGTCCACCTACACTACTGACGCCCCGCAAACCATGCAAGCCATCAACGGTACGGCCGGAGCCGATCCCCGGCAGCTGGAGAACACTTACGTGCTGGAAGACCAGCCCGAGGACGACAGTTGGATTATTGGCCGGCGGCCGGGACCTTACGTGGAGGAGCGGAGTCGGAATCTATACATGCGCCTGGGCAAGCGCATAGCCTTCGTTGGCGTGGATGCCCGTACCGAGCGGACGCGCCATCAGGTGAATTATCCGGATACCTACGACGACATCTTTGCTCGACTGGAACGCGAGGTGTCTGCCGCCGCCGGCGATATCAGACATCTGGTCGTGTTGTTAGGTGTGCCCATCGCGTACCCCCGTTTGGCGTGGTTGGAGAACATCCTGAGCTCACCCTTGATTGCCCCTATTCGCTTGTTGAACAAACGCTTCGGGTTTGCTGGCGGCTTCTTCAACCAGTTTGACGGCCAGGTGGATCTTCTGGACGACTTGGACGATCACTATACCGCCCGCCAGCACAAGCGTGAGCGGCGCCTCTTCATTCAACGTCTCCAGGACTTCGCCAAGGCTCACTCGGTTCGCGTGACGATCCTAGGCGGCGACGTTCATCTGGCCGCCATCGGCCGATTCTATTCGAATCCCAAGCTCGGTCTACAGAGCGATAACGACGCCCGCTACATGGTCAACATCGTCAGTAGTGCGATCACCAACAAGCCGCCGCCCAAGGCCGTCGCCAACCTCTTGGCACAACGGAACAAAATCCACCACATGGACGCCGATACCGACGAGACGCTAATGGACATGTTCGACCGGCAACCCGGCGGTCAGGAAAAGAGTGCCTCATGGAACAAGGTCACCATGCCGTCCCGAAACTATGCCTGCATCACGGAGGTCGACCCGCCGGTCCCCAACGAGGACGGATCGGTTCCGCAGAGTAGCAGCGCGATCGAGCATCTGCCGAAGGATGGACATTCCCCTCTCCATAAGGCCGAGGCCGAAGCCGGCTCGTCTTATTCGGCAGCGGACGGATTCAGCAACGGCAGTGGCGTCTATGGGGGCTTGGACGTGTCCATTCGCGTGGAAATTGACCCTCAGAACCGCGAAGGAGCGACGGACGGTTATGGATTCAGCAGTAAGTTTTTCTTTTCCTTCTATCACCAGAGCCACCGAGAGATTAGCTGACGTCCGACGTAGTTCCCGCTTTGAACTACATTGCATCGCAGGACAGCACACGGCGCAGCTCACGCTCTCGTTCGTTGCGCCCTCGATCCTCTCAATCACAGGCCCAGAACAAGTCAGCTCGTCCTCAGACGGCGACCAATTAGCCCTTTGCGTATCGGTTCCGAAGACTTCTTGGAGGACTCCCCGGATCCCGGACGACTTCGGCTTTAATGTCATAATATATCATATATCCCACCATCTGTATAGTCCCCCTGCTGTTAATGGAATAATTCGACTACCATCCAAAACTTATTGGTTATTAATCTCGTAACTCAACCCTTGCATACCCCACGAATGGAAAAAACGCCCTCCAATTACACAGGGGTTGACTGGCTTCCTTCGTTGCTCGCTGCCAGTTCGCTTCTCGTATTCTTGAAGCCTCTCGATACCAGGAATCATGGCGTCTGGGTCATCGGGAACTAGACGATCATCCTCTCCGTCAACTTTGGGTTTGCTTCCTTGGTGTCCGCCTAGATCGCCTTCAGATTCGTCCTGTTCACCATGCTGATAGTACGGTATATATACGTCGTGAATTAAGAGTCTCTCCGATATTACATAGATCGCCATGAACATGTCATGTCTGTATGTGCTTCCCTGCCTATGACGAGAGCGGAATTGAGAGGCCAAGAGAGAGAGAAAATACTCAATTTAATCACACCAATGGCTAGAAATAGACCTGTGTCGCGTATAGTAAAATAGTCCCGAATAGATTTCTCTCCAATTTTATCCTGATCAACTCAGCAAAACATGTTTAAATCAAGTGGCTATAACGGATTGGAATCATCCTCTTGATACTCCATTGCGCCCAACGCAGCCACGGGATCTCGTCCGTAGTCAATACTATACCCTCTGCGCCTCCGAGGGAGCCCTTCATTCGGCATGCGTCGTGGTCCGGCGGCTGGGTACGTCTCGGACGGCCGTCGCCGCCGCACAACCTGGTACCCTTTATCCAGCTCGACCTCCACCACGCATCGCACCCACAGGGCGCTCACCGCCGGCCACAGTCCCTTCTCGCCTTTCAGGATCCAGTGGTCCAGACTCTCCTTGGTCGGGTTCTCGAACAACTTGGTAAAGTCTCCCCAGGAGAGATCGGGGACCAGCGTCAAGCTGGGGCCCGGGATTGTTTCCTCGATCAGGAGCCTGCCGATCCACTGGGGCAGAAGACCGAGGAAACTCAGCTGCTTCAGTCGGTGGCGGAATTCCGCCACGACCAAGCGCATCGGCGTCCGTGTGAAATTCCACCGGCCCACGGGTCGCTGGTCAAGAAGTTCCGATTCGGAGCTGAGGAAGGGAACGAGGTACGGCCGCGCCTGCGAGATAATGAAGTGATTGACGTTGAAGAGCTCGGCGATACGGGATAGAGGTGACTCGCCCTCGTTGTACTGCACGTGCCGCCAGGGCTGGAAAGTGACGTCTTGAGAATATGGCCATGGCACGATGGAGCCGGTTTCATCCTTGCAGTAGATCGTGACTGGCTGATACAGTGAACTGCTGGACACATTCGAAGCCACGGCAGCAGACCATATCAACTACAGCTCCCCCGTCAGCCCAAGAAAGGTACATATCTTTGCGGGGAGGAGGGGGTGGTTGCATACAACGTTCGGTGCTGTCAAATAATTCAATAAATTCGGAGCCCCAGTCTTGCTTGACGTGGCAATCGTAATATTCAGAATGTGCTTAGACCGGGCGTACGCCTCTTCGAATGTCAGGTCGCCGAGATTCGCCCGTACACATTCCTCAAGCACCCCCGAATCGAAGAAATGGCCTTTCTGAACGAACCGCTTGATTCGACGCAGAAGAGTCCACAACCGGCCGTCCTGGGTTTGTCGCCACAGCCACTGGCTGCGGCCTTCAGATACTTCTCTCCGTCGACGACGGTCAAAGGCGGTTAAATCTATGCCATCTCCGTGGAGGAACGTCAGTAACTCATCTTCAGTGTGAATTCCAACCAGAGCAGCGATCAGGGCCCCCGTGCCGGTTCCGGTGATGATCCTGGGCAGGAGGCCCTGCAGGTGCAGTGCCTTTACCACTCCTAGATGGCACATTCCAAAAACAGAACCGCCCTGAAGAATCAACGTCGTTCGCCCGAAAGCTTGACGAGTATCGTGCAGCAACTCCAGTTTCGCTTGGGACGTGAATCCGCTCTCGTGGATCGGGGTCGTCTCCAAGGCCGTCACATGTTGGATGGCGTGCGCGACCTCGGTGACGTACTCGGTGATCAGGAGCTTTGTGCCGATGTAGGCGTGGACGAAGAGCTTGGGCGACGTGATATTGCCCAGATTCCGCACCAGGCCCGACCGAAGCAAGTTGACGAGATTCAAGATGTCGTTGTTACGTTTGGCCGTCCTTAGGGCTTCCAGTCTGCCTTTAATCAGCCGATAATCATAGTGGCGACTTGCATAGTTGTCACGCCTGGTGTCCAGTTAGCGTGAACAAGCTCCTTTCTTCGACCTGCCCTTCCTAGAATCGCCTCACCATGCATCCGAGTTGAGCAACTTGTCCAACTCCAGGGCAGTTTCCTCCCATTCTTCATAAACCTGCGCCGAAGCCAACACTTGTCGAAGTTTTTTCTTCGCATCGGATGTCAGCCACGATAGGAGTCTCTATTCAAACCCAAGGGTTAAACGTGGTGCTTGTCAGTCCGAGTCACCGCAGGCTGGATGTATACATATATTATATCTGCATGCGGATGAACGTACGACCTTCCAGAACAACACCACGTCCAAAATCATCCTGCAGAACGCAACAAATGCAGCACAGATGCGAACGGGTTTCCCAGAGTCGTCCATTGTGGCCTGTCGTGGCCCGTCGTGAGCCGGCAGAGATGGTGCAGGAGGAGGGTTGATCGCCGCCGGAGGGGAGTCTCTTTCACATGCCCGTCATGCGGCGTGGTCGGTGCCTGCCTGAGGTATCCCCCGACATCCTCAGGCATCCTCGTCCGACAAGGCTCTTTCTTCCGCCGGTCCATCAATGTCTACCAATCGGGCCTTCTTTACAGCTACACCTCCAGCCCGGCCTGTCCCCCAGGATTTCAAGCCACCCCCGAAGTCTTGGAAGGAACAAAAAAAGAAATTGGATTGCTCATCGAAAAGCCGAATATTTTTTTCTACACACGTCTCCCAAGGTGAGAAAAGCCATATCCGTGAACACGTAAAAGGGGCATTGGAATTCCATGGTCCTTGTTTTTTGCTTTAATTTCGCTTTGCTTCCCTATGCAAGTGGGCGAAAATTAAGATTCTCCAGACATCCTATCTACCCACCAAGGCGGACAATCCCCGTCACCATTTACTCTTCAACAATGTTACCCCGCTCCGACACGTACAGACCGTCAAGGAACTGGTGAAAGTTGACTGGTTAGCGATGCGTTCCCGACAATGTCACGGGTCCCTCCCGGATCCCCGTCGATTTCGGAGCGCAATCTCACCTTTCGGATATCCTTGTTGCGGACTCTGCAGATCTGCTGGATGTCGGCGGCGCTCTGGGAGACACCCTCAAGGGAGTTTCCGGACAGCTGGAGCTCATCCTTGACGTTGGGGGAGGTGATGATCTCGACACCGGGCTGGGCAGTCACACGGCGGACGTACTTCTCGCCCAAGAAGTTTCTGTAGAAAGACAAACGCAACCCATCAGCATATCGTTCTTTGTTCGGCAGTACACCCGATCCTCGCATTTTCATCGTTTTGCTTCAAAATGTCGACTCCAAAACTCCGTGCGAATCCCGGTCCACGTGCGGTCGGCATACCTGATCTCAACTTCGAACTGGCCAGTCTCGCCGTTCTTCTCAATGTTGACGTTGATGGGAAAGTGAGCGTAGACGTAGCGCATCTTGTACTTGAAGCCCTTGGTGACACCGATGATCAAGTTGTTGATGATGGTGCGGACGGTACGGAGAGTGGCGATACCCTTGCGAACACCGTGGTGCATCTCAATCGAGATGACGTTCTTCTCGGGGCGACCGAAAGTGACGGCAATGTGGGAGAGGTCCTTGACAAGCTTGCCTGCAATAGCACAAGGCGCCGGAGGTCAGTGTGCGTGTCCTTGGTGATGTCCTCCCTCCGCGCGACGACAAATCTTTGCGAGGGAGGCTGCTCGTATCTTCTGGGTGGGAATATGACATACCACGGGGGCCCTCAACGGTCACAATCCGCGAGCGAATGTGAACCTTCACTGTAGGACGAGATTCGAATCAGTTTTCCAGAACCCTTTTCAAGACAAATGAACATGACCCATTTTCGACATCCTCCTCTTCCCCTGGCCAGACATTGGGCAGTCTTGGTCTTTCTTTCTTTAGCCGATCGCTATGCTGAGGCTGGCGCAACGCTGTCTCCTCCGTCCTTGTCCTTCGCGACGCTCATCCTGCATCCGGCCTGTCCTCTCCTGCAACACCGACACAGAGGGTAAAATCAGGGGGGCGATCGAATGCTCACCATTCTCGGGGATGGGCAGCCGTTCCTCGGAGTGAATGTACCGCATCTTGACTGCGTGGGCTGTGGAATGTCCGAGGGGAGAATTGTCGATGTCGTCGTGCGGTCGGTCGTTCGAGAGGATCGAAATTCGTCGAGACAAACCGCAGGCTTTCTTTGGTGGAGCGAAAACCCGCGGGTTGTGCGTCGCTTAGGGCCTCTTGCGGTTTAGCGCCGTCCGCCTAGGGCTGCCGGTGTATCGTCACGTTACGCCGCCGCTTACCCGTACGGTAACTTTGCTGCGACTGTACCAAAGTGGTAGACCGTAGATACCTACCTGTATAGACACCTAGGAGGTACAAGGTAAAGTATGTGATTGGGTTAATCAGGCTGAGGCGGTCGTCGTCTCCAGGAATACGGAAATGGTGCTGGCGCATGGTAACTGGGGAGGTATATGCTCCCGTACTATTCCAGGCCCAAGGGCACGTGATCTACAACGCCAAGAAGGCATCACGTTATCACTGCCATCCAGAAGCTCTCCATCGAGCATGGACAACCTTTCGAATGATCATATAAAACTTTCATCGGTGGACTGCCCCGTATATCCGTTCACTTCCATTATATATATGCTGCAATATAAAATCATCATCCAGTGCGCCAGGCCAGTATCCCGCTTTTGATATCAAACACAAAGAGCGCCACTTATCCTATATACTACACAATCCCGGTCTCTGTCTGATCGGCCTTAACTGTCGGCCTGCTTATGACTGACCCCTTGAAGCCATTTGCCCCCGAAACTCTTCAGGGTGGATGCCAATTCATCTTTCTCGTCGAGAGCTGCCACATCGTCGCCGCCCCCAATGCTCCGGCCGCTCACCAGCACGTTGGGAACAGTGCGGCGGCCTGTGTTTTCGGCTAGAAGAGCCTGTAGCTGGGGTCCCAAGGGGTGCTGGTCGAGCTCCACAACGTACGGCGCGGGGACGATAGAATATTTGTCTAGGATGATAGATTTGGCCCTCGCACTGTGCGGGCAGTAGGATTTGGAGAAAATAATGACTGGGCAAGGTCAGCCAAGTGAACTTCCAGATGGTAGGAGATGATTAAAAAGAATGAAGGGGTAAGGTAAGCAGCTGGGCGGCGATATACTAACTTGGAGAGCGTTTCAATATGCTATTAAGCTCGGTCTTCGCCTCAACATGCTCATCAGCCACCGACACCTGCTCTTGCTTTTCGGCGTCATTGCGATTCTTGGTGACCGTCATCTTTGTCCGTCCTGCGATTGGTATCTCTTCGGTCTCCTCCTCGCCCTCTTTGGGGATCGCGGGCTTCATTTCGTCGGTGATCGGTTTCATCGGGGTTCCATCGGCCTGCTTCAAGTTGGGCGGCTCTTTCCGCGACGAGCCTTCTGCGGTAGTCCCAAAGTTCCTCGCATCCCTATGAGCTTCTATGGCCGCTACTGTTGATTGATAAAACTTCTGGTTCTGGACTCTCCGTGCATCGCCCTAGGTGGCAGTCGCGCGCCATGTCAGCAAACCGATTCTAGGCTGTCACCAGGAGGCAATATATATACCGAGTAATACAACGTGATAATGATGAAAGCCAGGACCCCAATGGCCAATAGCTTGATGCGGCGTTGGGAAAGCATTTTGGAAACGAGAAGGGAGGTTCCTGAGAGGCGGGAGATTCTCCAAAGGCTCGTTCTCGTCACGAGCACACGATAGACAATGGCGATTAGTGGCGACTAGATGAGGTTCCAAAAAATAATCAAAACTGCCGGGTCAAATGGCCGCTTGGCACATCGGACTCGGGTGCTCTTTAACAGGCCTGGCGAGTCGATAGATCATAGGCGCAGCTCCGACACCAGTAAGGACGGGACATTTGGCGCGGGAAGGCAAAGACAGAAACACTCCAGCTTTGCGGAGTGAACACACGAGGAGTTCTCTGCAATGTCTCAAGGGCCTCGAGACGCTCTCCACAAGACTCAGGTCTGACAGTCGGGGATCGCAGGAGGTTGTCAGGCGTGGGGGCAGCACATGGGAGAAGGGAAAGGGAAGGTCAGGAACCATTCCTTGTCGGGGAGCGGCCCGCGCGCCTAACTCGTTACGTCACGAGGGTCCGGTCCACTAGTGGTTCTATTCTTATTTCATTTCTTATGTCTTGTACAAGTCTACTCCGTACGACTCTGTCCCACCACCAACTCTTTGTCAATTAGGCATTATATTACCAACCATCCATGCTATAATCGGGTATTGGGCTGAGAAACTACTAACGGCAAATGGAACATTCCATGGTATCATGATCGAAGGGGGGGAAACAAAGGCACTCATCTCGCACGGGCGTGTTCACGCAAGCAGTGGAAGGAAAAGCCACCAACCGCAGGGCCTGCAGCGGTGCGACTCGAAGCCATGACAGATTACGCTTGAACGGCAATCCCTGACCGTGGTCCCATGGTTCCTCGGCGCTTGCCCTGGACCACGATCATCCAATCCTCCCATTCCTTGGCAATCTCCATCAGTACATTGCCCATCACCCCAGCCGAGGCCATCAACCCATGGCCTTCCCCCTCAAGGACTCGGACTTCGCAGCGCCGCATGGTTTGACCTAGCCACCGGACATTGTCGACAGGAACGCGGGTGTCTCTGCTTCCATGGTGGATGACAACGTTTCGAGTGATATCGACATATCGAAAACCAATTGGCTGGCGACGCTCCAGGCACACCAGTAGATCGACGGCTGGGTTGGCGTTCGCGGTAGCCAGCTCCCAGATTTTGTGAGTTAGGCGAGTGTCGTAGTCGGTCTGGCGCTCCCGTTCTTCGGATGCCGTCGACGGGGCCGGGTTCGCGGTGACTTCGGGCTTCTTGTCCCCAGACGCGTTCGGTATTGACGGGGGTTGAATGGTTTGCAACGTCCGAAAATCCGCTCCCTGCTGGTGTATCTTGCTGGGAAGACGCTGGGCCCCATTACTCTCGAGGGCAGTCGGGCTAGATGTGTCCTTGACCGTCGCTCTTCGCCTGGCACGTCGAGGAGACTTTGGTAGACTGGAAGTAATACTCGCGCTGGTTGCGCTCATGAAGCTGGAATTTGCGACCTTCAAAATGGATGTCGGAAGCGCGCGGAGTATTCTCTGGGAGTAAGGAACAGCGTTGGTGGGCACGGGGGCCTTGGGCGAGCCTATACTGGATAACTGGGAGGGTGGTATCCAGGGAGCGAGAAGATGAATCCGTCCTCGGATGTGTTGAGGTATTCTCAAGGCAGTCGCCAGCGCATAGATGGCGCCGGCCGAGTGAGCAAGGATGGAGAACTTGGTCACTTTGAGATGATTGCATACGATCGCAACGTCGTCTACTCTCGGGGGTTAGTACGCGCGTGCGGGGGTTTGCGGGGTTTTTCCTTACCAGGCCAGCTCAAGGGAGTCCCCGCCTCGCTCACATGAGGCCCACTCTCACCAACCCCGGGGCGATCCAACGTTATGAGCCGGAGATGAAGAGACCGTGCTAACTCGTCGTAAAAGGCCATCAGATATCGAGTCAATCCCATCCCGAGACAGCAGAGTACTACATAGCCCTTGGGGTCCCCGACTTCTGAAAACGCTATGGCACGACCGGTAGCGGGATGGACCACTTTCTGCGTCAATTTTGAAGACGATACGTAGTCAAAAACCGCAAGGTCGATAGAATCCGCACTTGACGGGCGCTCATCTACGATCGAGCCATGCCCTGGAGAGGGCTGGCCGGACGCAAAATGATTAGGATGCCGGGAAGGTGTCGAAGACTCCATGGACTGCCGGTGATGGATTCTTTCGGTGGAATCGAATTTCTCGAACGATTGCCTCCTCGACGAAGGCTGTAACGGTACGTTGGTCGGTCTAGATGCGAGTATCGGGCTTGTGCGTTTCACCGACCTGCTTTTCCCCGTCATAACAGCCGGTGATGGTGCGCTCTCGTCGAAGTCCAATACAGACTTGCAATCATTCTGCCTTTTCGCGGGCTCAGTGAGACGCTCCCCTTCATCGAGTCTCTGTGGTGGCAGAGTGTGTTGGGAAGGGGACTCTGCGACGGGTTTGTCGGGACTGTCGTCAATTTCCAGCTCAGTTTTGATCTTCTGCTGCTGATCCTTTAACTGTTGTATCCTCTTGGTCACCTGTTCGGCCTCGTTGCTGGAACCGGCGGCGCTACTGTCTGCTTTCATCTCTTTACTTCCCGAGGATGAATACCGACGAGCATGACGGACAGATCTGTGGTGCTTGGGGCTGGATGAGAAACTATGGCGCAGGGACGACTCGCGGGTGGGAATGACCCTGCCACTTCCAATACCACCCGGGGTGCCGGGCGCGCTCTCAGGGGTATATTGCAATGATTGTCGCTCCTTGCTGGAGCTCCTGCTAACGGTCCTCTCCTCCGTAGTGGGGACCATGCCAGATGGGCCCGGCCGGCCCTCCTCGGCGACATCAGCCATAGAATACAAGGATCGCAGGCTGGCTCTACTGCGGGGAATGTTGTGTTTTAAGCTGTCGTTGTAGCTACTTGTCTTCCGCAACCGCTCCGCTCGCTTGTCTTTATCTCCGCCAAATTCTCGGGAGCCTTTCTTCAATAGGACCAGTTGGTTCTTCAGGCTCTTCCTTGAACCCGACGAAGCAATGCTCGGCGCAGTCGACAATCGAGGACCCGGTTCCGCCGTGATCATGCCAAATGCGTAGTCTTCATATGCCGCCTTCGACGAAGTGTACGAGCCCCGAGAGGTCGGTCGTCCCAGGATGGAAGAAGGATCGGGGCCCGGGTTTGATTTTGGGGAGGGAGGAGCTCGAGCCATGCGAATGACGGGCGCAACGGCGGCATCATCCGGATGCAAGAAGGGAGTGTTCGGCGGTTCATCGGAGGCTGGGGGTGCCCCGTAGCTCACACCAAAACCATGCTCGGTGGGCGGGCGCTGGTCTGGGATGGAATGTTGATCGGACGGCAAGACAACGGGCGAGGATGGGCCGGTTTCAGAACCAATGCGCGGGACGTTGTCGAAATGAGATTGAAGGGGCGCGGAGATCGTGGACAGGGATGAGATCAACGAGGAGATCACCTCGGGCGATGCCGGGTCAACCGTTGACGGATTGGCGGAATGTGAGCGCGAAGGCGCGGCTTTGCGATGTCTCGGTAGGAGTGCGGCGGACGACTGGAAAGGGGTTTCAAGCATCGACACCACCGCATCGTCGGTGCGATCCATGGCGACCATGGGACCGGGGAATTCGAAGATATAGTAAACCCTCCAGAGTTTTGGCCCCCTCCCAGTCCGAATTCAGAGACGGTCAAGGACGATATATGCGGGTAGCCTTGGTGCTCACCTGCATGATCTGGAGGGAGCAGGAATTGGCGTCTGCAAGTTGACCTAACGGTGTCAATCTATGACTCTAGATTGCAGGAGTCGCGCGCATGTGCCAGTCAGAAAACAAAGAAAAAAAAATAAAAGGTCGAAAAGTCAAAAATGATCCTGTAAGGATCCAGATCCAAGAAGATCCTTCTTTTTCGCCCCTTGGGATATGCAGGTGAGCGCCCCCTTGCAGAAGGTTATTTCTTCTGGGGAGTGAACGAGGAGAGGAATTGTCGATCAGAGAGAGAGAGAGAGAGAGAGAGAGAACGAAAGAGAGAGAAGAGGATGAAAATCCAAGAGGGGGGAGGAGAGAAATTACACAATTAATAAGATTAAAATTAAATGATAAAAAAAAATAAATCACAGAAAAATTGAGGTTGAACGGAAGAAGAAGTGAAGGGACGGTAAAATTGACCAGGTCGAATAGAAATACAGTCGAAGGCGACTAGAAGGAAACGAAGGGGAGACGAACAGAAGGAAAAAGGGGCAGGAAGCCGAAGCATCCAGGAATTCCTGCGATCTGGAGATCATCCGACAGGCCAATGAAGAGGGGCACGCATGGGGGGTTATCGGGATATCCTCAACTTTCAACCCTCGTCAACTCCCCCCTCGGCCACCTCCCCTGCTGCTCCCGACTTGAATTCCGTCTCCCAAATCTACGCTCGACTCAACTCAATCTGGATGAGAAAATCCATCCAGACGCTCCACCGTCGGCCCCCGATTCGACCGGATTCGACCTACCCTCCTCCGCATGGTTCGCAGATCCAAATTTCACTGCACTTGGCCCACGAGATCACTGGCTGCCCAAAGTTGGATCATCGAACGATCCAACCTTGCACTTACGGAGTAATGCAGTACTTCGTACTTCCTATTGTTCGGGGTTGACCATTATTCAGTGGCATTCATCCAGCAAGGGACAGACACCCCCCTCCGTCCGGTCGACGGTGTCCACTTGGGCTTCTCATTCCAGTTCCACCCTTGACCAGATGGAGAAGACCCCCTCGATTGGCTCCTTTTAGTTGGCTCCTGAGATCGTAAGGATCCTGACGGAGGCTCCCGACCCGGTCGAGGCCCCCACTGCCGGACCACCCTGAAGACCGTCCGGACTTTCGAGTTTCGAGAGTACGGAGTATCTCAGTGATCAGGGATACTCCTCCGTGATTCAAGGGACCGACAAGGCCCCAATTGGTTCTGGATCCATGAGCGTCGTCGTATCTGGAAGATAGCAGCATCGGCATTCTGCGCAGTTTGGTGGCCGGGTGGAGAAAGCTTCTTCTACGGAGAGTCTTGTCCAAGTCCTCGGTCCCCTCCAAATATATATCTTGGGTTTATCCTCTATTCTCCCACCAACAGGTTGTAGGAACCCGTCAATCCAAAGCTTAGCAGGTCTTGGTCCGTTGGTGTTCTACTCGGGAGTATACCGGGGTTATTTATGGAATCATCTCTTTCAGGTCTAGATTTTTGCCAGGTATACTATTGCTTTGAGTACTACTATACTACTATTATGATCTATCCACCATCCATCCATCTATGTTTATGTATTCAGGCTGCACCCGTATCCACCTCTTCGCCTATCCAGGACTATCTGGTGGTCCTCCAGGGCTATACTCCGTACTCCGTTGGTCTCTCGGGCGGGGCTTGGCATGTTTCGCGATGAACTTCGACGTTCAACTCGGAATGGCACCACCGTCAACTTCCCGTCCGTCACCGCCATCTGCGCTGCATTCGATTACCTGGCGAAACAAAAAGAACCGGAAGAAGAAAAAGATATGCGGTGATCTAACCATCCACCAACTACCTTCTGTCCGCAATGGACGCCTACCCCGAAGATTACGTCGTCAACAATCTCCCGTTTATCTTGCTGTCGGGATTGGAAGCAACCGCCGAGGATGACCTGGAACCAAAGCAGACTGACGATCCTCTTCTCCGTGAGAACGGGGTGAGAATATTCTCCGATTTCCCACCCTTGAACGGCCCGACCGCAAAGGAATTGCGCGACGTACTCGTGGAGGAAGATGCATCGACGGCTCCGTGGGAACCGCGAGGGGAGCTCAACACCGAACCCCCCCGGGTAAACTATAAAATCAAAAGCGTTGGTCGGGTAGGTCGGTCCATGCGAGCCCGCAGAACTCTCTTCGCACCAGTGCCGTTGAAGCGCGGCTGCTCAAGAAGTCAAAGGAAATCCTACTGACGGTTAGAAAGTCCTACAGTCTTCCTCCGCGCAAAGCTGCCCCCCCACCCGCGTCTCCTCCGACAAGCCCACCCGCCAGGCAAGGCAGTGACATATCGCATGCGTCGTCGTCGTTGATTCTTCACTCCCCAATCTCGCCCTTGACTCCCGCCTCCCCGACGTTCCCAGATGGCCTGCTCACCCCGCTATGGGTCACGAAACATCAGGACCGGGTTCCGGCCGCCGTGATCAACTTCTTCCCCTTCTGTCTAGATCACAACATGAGCTCTCTGCGCGACAACCAGCTGAAGATCGAAATCAACGGCCTGAAGAAAGAATGGTCATACTCCGGCTACAAGACCCGTTTCATAGTGGTCTTGCTGTCGGAAGAACCGCACAGTGGCTATATTGGGGACGCGGATGATCGGGTGGCGAGCATTCGCAGGGCGACCAACCTGGATCCGAAATCCATCTTCCTTCTCCCCTCGGATGCAACTTCCTTGGAGCTGAAAGAATTTGCTCGATCTCTGCTGTCATTGCTCCAGCCGTCGATTATGGAATACTATCGAGACCTGTCCAAGCATGCCAGGCGAAAGCGCAACCGGAGCACCATACCTCCCCCAACGGCGCCGCCAACAAGTGGCACTTCTCAGACCCTCTCACTGCAAGGATGGAATGTCCGATATGAGTTCAAGATGGGGATCTTTGCCGAGTTTCGGCATGAGATGGATGCCGCGCTCAGGAACTACGAAAGCGCCTACGAGACTTTGTTTGGCCAGGAGGTATTTGAGAACATTGCCGGATGGAACCCGAGGTTTAATCATGCGCGTCTTTTGGCAGATGCCATCGCCATACGTATCATTCGCTGTCTGCTTTGGTCTGGACAGACCACTGCCGCGGTGCGGTCATGGGTCAGCCATCGAGATCACTCTCAGGACATCATCAACAGACGCGGCAAAGGAACGAGAAACTATGGATGGGAAGCTTGGGAGGCTAGGTGGTCCATGGTAATGGCCCAACTTATTCGCCAAGCTAGCATCCCCTATTTCACCTCCGTCGGGATCACCCAGGACCAGTTCAACGAGCAATTTTCGATTTTCGTGCCTCGCGAGAAGAATGGCCCCCATGCCGATACAATTACCCCTTGGGAGCATCTTCACCATGAAGGATACTGGCTATATCGATCGGCGAAACATTCCATGTATCGTCGAACTCTAGCGGAGCAGATCCCTGACGAAGACCGGATGCCGCCAGGACAATCTCCCGCTTCACAAATCGCGAGCAAATCCTATCTCTACGATACATATCTGGCCCCGGAAACCCATCTGGAGGCGCCTCAGGCAGGCTCGACGGGCTTCGACCATTCATCTCTAATAATAAGTACCCTAAAAGCTGCGCTGGAGGAGTTTGCAAAACGAAACCAAATCAGGAAAACGGAAAGCATTACCTTGGAGATAGCTGAAGAATACATGCGCACAGGCTCTTGGTCTGAGGCTTATGGTATACTCCAGCCGCTTTGGCCAACCCTTACCTGGCGACGATCGGGTTGGTGGCAGCTCATGGCCAAATTTGGCTGGGCGCTGCGAGAGTGCGCTTTACAGGTGCATGATGGTGAAATGGTGCTACGTGTAGACTGGGAGTTAATTCATGGAGGTAAGTATATCTTTCCCGCAACGCCTAGCAATTGCATCTAGTTGCAAGATCCTCCCTTGGCCTTGCGTAGCTAACGTTCGATTGCACCCAGTCTTTCAACCAAGACCCGACTGGCAGTATGACCTCCACCGCAGCCTTGAGGACCTTCCACTGGTGAAACCTAAGCCCTCCATTGTTCTTAAAGCCGAGGATATTCTATCTAGTGGTAGGTTTGAGAAACCTAGTTTCGATGTTTTCCAGCTAAACGGTTTTGGTCGTTATAGTCACGGCCTCCTTCGTGTTCGCAAACTCCGAAGGGAATGTTGGCGAGCCTTTGCGGTGTCAGATTGCGATTACATCATGCGCCCAAAAGTCTTCGAAACCCATTCGATTTTCCGAGGTTAAAGTTGTTTTCGAGGGCTGTCTTCGCCCCATAAAACTAGAGTCTGACCACAGCACGGATGCCAATACGGCGGCTACGTGCACCGTATCTTCACTCTCATTGCGTGAACCGAACATCTCCAGCGATTCATCATCTCTGCAATCGCCTAATAGTTGCTTGACAGCCCTCGTCGGTGCCGCCGATCTGACCCTCGGGCCCTCCCAGACTAAGGTGTTTGATTTGACCTGCATTCCCCGAGAAGCTGGAGACTGTCGGGTTGCATCCGTGGCCCTTCTGGTCGAGGAGGAAAAGTTTGATTTGGCGTGTGTGGCTACAGACATGGCCCAGCAGGAGTCTTTCTGGTGGCGACATGGCACGAAAGGTCCAAGCCGAAGGAGGGTTGGCAAAGATCGGGATATAACCCGATGTAAGATTATGCCCAAGCCGCCCAAGATTCGGATAGCAACCCCGAATCTCCGAGATACCTACTACACCAACGAAAGGATTGTTCTGAGAATCGGCATACACAACGAAGAAGATGAGGCCGCAGATGTTTCCACCGAGATCCGACTTTTCGGTCAACCAGAGTCCACTGCTAAAATTCTATGGCTCGACGAGGAAAACTCGCCCGATTCCCAGGACTCCGAGCGAAGCTCTCCGATCGAGGGTGTTGCTCATTTTGCGAAGCGGCCGATTGGTGTGATGGCGAGCCTCTCACAACGGGAGCTGGCCGTAATACTCACAGATACCCACGATGCTTCAGAATATGAGCTTGAGATATCCTCCGTATATCACCTGGTATCGGACATTCAAACACCTATAATCGCAACCCTAAGGGTTGGTCTGTCGGTCATTCGACCATTCGAAGCCAACTATGATTTCCTTCCTCGTCTGCACTCTCAACCATGGCCGGATTTCTTTTCGATTCAGGAGAATTTACTTGCTGATGAAAGTGTGAGCAAGGCCGGGGGCCTGCAGCAACGATGGAACCTAAATTCCAAGCTGGTTTCCTTTGCACTGGAGCCACTCGTTATCGAAAATGTGTCCTTAGTGCTGCTCGGGATCGCAGGGGGAGCCACTTCTGACATAGGAACCGAGTGGGTTGTCAGTCCCGAAACACCAGAACTCCACCCCGAAGAGCTCCGCGAATCCAACTTCGTGTTGGATATACAGAAGGCGCTTCTGGGCGATCGACGGCCCACGGCGCTGAATCTGGCACTGGAGATCAAGTGGCGCCGAGCCGATGAAAGTGAATCGCCTCCAGATAGTGCCACCACCACGAGGCTTGCAATCCCTCGCTTTGTTGCCCCAGCTGGCGAACCTCGTGTGCTTGCGTCAGCGATGTCCTCCAAGACCCTCTCTGGCCTCATTCACCTGGACTACACTCTGGAAAACCCATCGATGCACTTCCTCACGTTCAACCTGACGATGGAAGCCAGCGAGCACTTTGCTTTTAGCGGCCCGAAGACAATGGTTGTGCAATTGGTGCCGTTGAGCCGGCACACTGTCCGATACAACTTGCTGGCGTCTAAGAGGGGACTGTGGATCCAACCTCAACTTCTGGTGGTCGACACATACTTCAACAAAACCCTGCGCGTACTCCCCACGGAGGAGATGAGAGCTGACAAGAAAGGAATCCTGGTCTGGGTCGATGCAGACGACTAGAGCGTCCGGTCCATGGTACTAAACATTGTGCGTCCCTGAGGATTTGTGTGGCATTTCCCTGTTATTTCGAGAGAGGCGCAATAGAGCCCTGCATAGAATAGCGACTCATCGACGTGATGAGAATATGATACATGAATCCCAGTGCATGTCCCGGCCGTAGTTGAAGAAGCCGAGCCCCCGAGGTCGGGTCCGCACGTGACACGGCCCTTATCACGCGCGGCCCAAAGCGGACTAGCGGCGATCGCAGTTGCCCGCAGCTCTCCATTCGGCGGAGAGAGAGAGAGAGCGACAGAGCGAGAGAGAGAACCCTGGAGAGCGCCTGTTCCTCCATTCTCTTTCCTCCCATTTCAGTCCCCTCGCCGAACTAGATCGCCTATCTCGATCACACCTCCCCTTCCTTCCCCGCCTTTTCTCTCTCTCTGCTTTACTTTTGTCTTCGCTCGGCCGCAGTGCGACCCCGTCGCCCCCATTGGTCGCCATGGCTGCGCAGGCGGCTTTGATTGCTGATACCATCGTGGGTATGAAGCGGGCTTTACATAAGGAGACTAATTGTAGGCTACCCTAGATAACATTACTCCCGCCCATCTGACTAGCGCCTTCCTGACTTTCCTTCCTCCAGACTCAGGCCCGGATGACCCGATTACGGAACCCACCAATCGAGGCAACAAACTGCGAGCCAATGCACAGTATGTTCGTGAGGGTGCACTAGGATACATTCACTCGGAGGACCTCTATAAACAGGTAGGTCATGTCTTCTCGGCACGAAAATTGCCTGATGCGCGCGTCTGCTTCCCAGTTGAACTGTCGTTTCTAGAATTCGCTAACTTGAGGGTATTTTTCCCCTTTCGTTCTGAGCAGAAAATTGAACATGCCGGATACACCCGTTACATACTTCAACCCAATCCTATACGGTACGACTCTGAGGGAGACGAGCTTGACGAGGATGACGAAGATTCCGAGGCGGATGCCATTGCGGCGGAAGAAAACCCTTTTTCTGAAATTGCGCTGGAAAGTAAGCTGTTAACCTTGATTCCGCCTCTTACCTTCCCCATGCTTTACCCTTTCCTCCTTCAAAGCAAAACCACTCGAACATGACTCTAACGACTGTTTTGCGTCTAGATTTCCTATGCCCTCTGAAGCATCCGTCGGAGCTACCCACCCACCCCTCGTTATCCCATGCTTATACCTCCAAGGCCCTTTTCAATATGACACAGGCTATTGATACCAAGTTGCGGCAGGAGCGTGCTTTATTATGGCGCGCGAGGAATCTTCATCGGCAGTTTTTAGGTGACGGATCGTGGGTACCATGCGGGACGATAGAAACGCCAGAAGACAGGTGGATGTTTGAGCCCCGAATGGCTAGCACTGGGCACAGCACTCCGTTAGCCCAGGGGCGGGAAAATGGAACTTCCACACCATCAGCCGCCGCGGGGACACACGCTCAAAATAATGAGCCACCGAAACCACGCTCCGCAGAGCTTGTGCCAAAGGAGTCACAGCCGGATCAGAACGGGGCACAAGCTGCAGACAAAGATGTGGAGATGACAGATGCCCAGAACCAAGAGACGCCAAACGATGTCCCTAAAGATAATGTCGAACCGGGAAAAGTTCCCAAGGCGGAAGAAGTCGATACACCTGTTGGGGATCTCCCACAACATCCGGAGACTACGGGTCCGGGCCCACAACCTAATGGAAATAGCACGGGGAACGCGCAGTCTGAACAAGATCGGGCGTCCGACTCCGATCATACACTTGAAAAGGAGCGGAGAGAGTGTGGGAACGACAGGCCAGCCGCAAGCGTCGAGAGGGCCGCTGCTGATCGCGGAGAAGGGAATGAAACGGACCGAGACGAAGAGATGCGTGATGGGACTGAGCCGGGGCCGCCGCGGCGCATGACAACTCGGGCACAAGCTGGCGCCGTCAACTCACAGCCGGAGCTTAACCCAGGCATTCTCTCCCCATCACCCTCCGACACTCTCAGTACACTTCCGACACCACATCCTCTTTTCCTCACACCGAACTCCGTCCGACCGGATCCGAATTTTGGTCTGCCGCCCAACGAGGCCGAGGATACGCGGCGGCTACTTTGGTCGTATGTCCAGAAGCAAGAGGAAACGGTTCGCGGGTTCGAGCATATGTTAGAGAGTCTTTTACGTGCCTGCCGGATGAAAGACGACGTCCTGGAGTGGTGCAAAGCGGAGGGCCATGTGGGCGAGATGAGCGACGGGGAAGATTGGTATGACCGTGAGAAATGGGGGCTTGCAGAAGGAGAAGATCTCAAGAAGGGTGCCGACGAAGATGAAGTCGAGACGGTGGAAGAGAGTCGGACGACGAACAAAAGGGGCCGAGGCCGACGAGCCTAAACCGACGCCCCTCTCTAGCATAAATCCATAGCGTGGAGTTGGCGGTGTTTGCGTTTAGATGCCGTGGACATTTCTGGAGTCGTTCATTAACATGTATTAACCAGATTCCCCGACGATAACATTTTTTCCCCTTAACGAACTATGAGAACAAATCGATTGCTTTTGATTTATCACGGTCACTTTGCTCCGCCTCGAAGACTATCTATCTACTCTTTTCTCTTCGGAGGAAAAGAAGCCCACGTAGAAAGAGAAGTAAATGAACCATCCACCGCCTCTATTCAAATGCCATCGCATCACGATGACAGGACCCCGATCGTCAGACCTTTCCTTGTTGAAAATGCCACCCTGTACTACTCACCACGGCCGTCTCTGACGGGGGTTCGACTGACGTCTCTCGTCTGACCACCCGTGTCGGTGTGATGGATGTTGAAAGTCCAAAGCCTCAACTGCTTTACAAGGGGCATATGCCCTCATTCTGCGTCGGGGCTCGCATTACCGTACACCTAGACGACCGCCCATTCTGGCTTTCTATCGCAGTGGTTTACTGGCTCTTGCCGCCTTGCCTCGACTTGGCGCGCTCACGCTCCCGCTTAGCATAGATTTCGGCGGTGAAAGGACTATCCAGTCGCGGTTAGCGGGTTACACCATTTTCTCTCGTCTCTTTGTCCCGGGTCGATTCCGACGGGCACCAGGATCTCGGGTGGCTGCAGAGGGGCAATTGACTAGGAGTGAAAGGGGCGGGGAGAAAAGAAAGGTTAAGCACTTACTCCTCCCAGCGGAGAGCAAACCAATACAGAATGAAGACCTCGGCAGTCAGGAAGATGCCCGCCACCTTGCCCTTGTACAGAGCAACGCCCAGGAAGTTCAGGGTGCTTCCCCAGTACATGGGCGAGCCGGTCACATTGAAGGGGAAGCCGGTGACGGGAGCATCCATGAGAATGCCAAAGTAGTCCCCAAGGTAGGTCCCGGTGACGCCCAGCGCATACATGCTGGACAGGACGAGAACGGAGCCGATGGCGAAGAGGGCGCCGCCTAGGATCGGTTGGTGCACTGGGGCGTAATAGGGTTGGTCTTCCAGGGCCAGTTGATACACATGGTCGCGAGCGATGCCCAGGGTGAAGATGGTGAAGGCGAGGAAATAGCACCCGTTGTAGGGGCTACCGAATATACGAGTCAGGTAGTGGTTTCGATACTCTACAGAATGACGCATCAGGGTTGGGACATGAGCCTTGTATACACGACGGAGACCAGCGTCTCCGCGCAGGTGAGCTAGGATCGAGCCAAAGGGGACCAACCGGCACGGGCCACGATGCTAAGGGCCAAACGGGTCACGGTTAGTGAACTGGTCAACGGCTCCCGGAGTATTTCAGATCTCGAGGAGGAAGGGACGGCCAGAGCAACTTACTTCCAAAAGATGGGGTTGAATGCAACGGACAGCGCACACACTGGGGGGGAGAGAGCGGAGTTCAGTATCACATGCGGGGAGAGACTCGGCGAGCAGACTTACATTGAAGGGATTGTTGGGATAAATCGACAAAGTCTGTGAGGGTTGCCATGGTGGATGGGGAGTGGTGGTGAACAGGACGTGGGTTGTGGAGGGGAGAGAGAGGAGGAGGAAGAAGAGAAGGGAGGAGGGAGGAGGAGAGAAGAGGAGAAAGTGGAGAGAAGCGGCCAAAACACATGACGTCGCTGCTCTGCGTATTATTCCGTATGGTAATTGGTATGGTATCCTCTCTCACCGCCCTCCCGACACGCGCCGATCCGGTCCTGTCGCTCTTCCTACTTGCTTCCTTCCCTTCTTCTCCTTCTGTGGCAGGTCGTCTCTCTTGCTTTTCCCTCCCTTCCCCCTCGGAAGCGTCATGGGAGAGCTTCTTTCACTGACAGTGCATCTGGTCCGGGGAGAATGGCCCTGAACCGTCGTGATCTTGTCTTGCTGGCCGCCGGTGGGTTTATTGCGTGGGGCCTGGCCGTCCGTTGGATTCCCGTTCTGCGGTTTCTGGGGTATGCCGTAGGACTCGGCATCCTCCTTGCGTCGGCCATTTTATTCGCCCTCGTCCTCTTGACCGTCCAGACCCCGAGCCTCGCGAGCACTGCTCGTCCGAAGAACCCGTGCGTTGCAGCCGTCGCTTCTCGTCACTGGCGAGAGGAGTCGCAGGGTCTGCAAAGGCGCTCCGCTTACCAGCCAGCCTCTCTCTTTCCTCCGTCCTTCGTTGTGTCGGAAGCCATTGATGACATCTTGGCTCTTCTCGTCCGAGACTTCGTCGCATCCTGGTACAAAAGCATCAGCCCAAGCCCGGTTTTCGTGAATGAGGTGGATCGTGTCATCAGAATAGCGATTGGCAACCTGCGCGATCGGATTGTGGAGGAAGACCTGGTGTCTCTCGTCGTATCTCGCGTGTTCCCTCTCTTGACAACGCATCTCAACGAGTTTGACGTCGCCGAGCGGTCGGTGCGTGGGCGCAACCTGACGCGGAACGTCACCGAATCGGAGGAACTGGATCTCGCCATTGCGAGCAAGTATCGCGATGGCCATCTGCATCCCGCTGCTGCGCTCTCGCTTGCCGATCAAAAGCTGGTGGAGCAGGAATACCTCCGAAAGATTGCAAATGCGCTACTGCCCCAACTACTCCCGGAGACTGTTCTCAAAAGTCGCATCGTCTCGGTGTTGGTCAGGGAGCTATTGTCTTGTGCCGTTCTTTTCCCCTTGGTGTCTGCGATGTCAGACCCAGACACGTGGAACCAGCTGATGGAGGCCTATGGGAGGACTGCTCTTCAGGATCGGAAAACGGTGCGTAAGCTCCGAGCCGCGTTGGATGAGCATGCGTCTCCCGCCTCGAAGTCAAAAAACGCCCGCCAATTTCCCCGGCTTGGCCCAAATGATTCCGAGCGTGCTTTCGAACGTTTTGTCCGTGCCATCCGGCGGTGCAACAATCTCTCAGATGCCAGGCGGTTCCGGGCCCTCGTCGCGAGCCAATTGAAGCGAGAGACCATGGTTGAAGGGCAAGACCAGGTTTATTTGCGGCGTTTGGAAACTGGGAAGAGAGTTTTGGATCAGAAGGTATCCAAGCTTTCAACCAGTGGCGGTGGCCCGGTCTCGTACGCCTCCGCGGCAACGTCGCACTTTCACCGTAAAAACTCCTCCGCGTCCCATGAGGTTTCGTTGGTGGATGTGATGCACGATGCTGCCGGACTCTCCTACTTCATGGAATTCATGGATCGTCAGCAGCTCATGCCTCTGGTGCAGTTTTGGATTGTTGTCGACGGGTTCCGCAATCCGCTTGAAGATGATTTTGGCGACGAAAATGCCCCAGGCTCGACCCACTGGACAACGGCAGACCGAAATGATATGGCGCTGATAAGTGAAACATATCTCTCGAAGAGCGAGCTCAAAGTGACTCAGGAATCACGTCAAGCGGTGAAAGCATTCTTGAATGCGGGCAAGCGGGCTACTCCTGAGCAGTACCGGAGAGCTAGAACAGTGGTTTTGACCACCCAGTCGGCGGTGTTGGAGGAGCTCCAGAGCACCTATTATCCTAAATTCAAGCATTCCGATTTGTACTATAAGTATCTCGCCTCAGACGAGGCCTCGCATCCGCGCTCTCATACCTCACCAGTGCCTCAGCAGCCCTCTTCCGCAACGGAAGCTCCCGAAAGGCGGCCTCTTCCCCCGTTAATGGGTCGCACGGCATCACATCCAGGAATCAAACCAAAGGACCTTCGGAGGGCCGCTGTTTCCTCGAGCGATGTTCGAAGCATGAGCAAATTGTTTGATGATGACGAGCCTCTCCGACGATCCTTCGACTCGGAGCGGTCGGTTCCGCTGTTCGATGATGACTACGACACAGACCCTCTTGCTATGTCGACCAACAGTCTGGGGCGGGACTCACAGAATGGCGAGAACGAAACGAACCAAAACCAGGTGATTGAAACGATGGAAGCTGCGTTGAACGATATCATCACCGGCGAGCCAAAGAATGGCAGGCTGGAGGATCTCAAGGGCGTGGATTTACCTTCAACCGGATTCCTAGGCAATGACTCGGCGTCGAAATCTCCCCGGAGCTCGTTGGAATCGGCACGGGCAGACGACAAAGCGAAGCCCAGCATTGCCTCGCTAGGGCTTGTAGACCAGTCCTCACGCCTAGGAGTCTTTGCCGATGATCTCTTCCCCGACCAGCAGAAGTTCATCGAGGATGAGTACGAAGAGCCGGTGGGTATCGACGACAAGGATCCGGCCGACGAGGTTCTGAAGGCCGCCCCAGGCGATCTGGGGCTGACGGAGGCGGTTGAAGCGCTCACCGCAGATATCGAGAAACTCGGATCGCAAGATGCAGTGGTCGACGCTCTGACCCGGAAGGCCGAGCTCACCAACAACACCGCCGAATTGAGGATTCTTCGAAAATCCAAGGCGAGCATCCGCCGGGAAATGCAGCGTAAGGAGATGCAACGACAGCAGTACATCATCCAAGAGAGTGACAACAGCTTGTATGGTCGGTCGGCCGTTCGAATCAAGTCCATCGTCGTGGGCAAGGAAGAAGACGGCCGAGAGTTTGCCATGTGTATGCCAACCCCTGCCTTTCTCCATCACCCAGAACCTTGCGAATCGGCTAACACCTGTTCCAGATGTGGTGGAGGTACGAAGAAATGCTGGCGAGCAGATGCCCGCGGCGTCGTGGGCCGTTGCTCGCCGATACAGCGAATTCCATGAGCTCCATCACAAGCTACGCATGAGGTACCCGTCGGTTCGCAACCTGGAGTTTCCTCGGCGCCGCATGGTCATGAAACTACAGAAGGAATTCTTACAGAAACGGCGGCTGGCCCTCGAGGCCTATCTGCAAAGACTGCTGCTGCTGCCAGAGGTATGCCGCAGCCGAGACCTGCGCGCGTTTCTGTCCCAGCGAGCCATCATCCCCCGCGACGAGACTCCTCGTGAGGGAGAGACCAAGGATCTCGTGACTCGGATATACAACTCGGTTGCCGATGGCATGGATGACTTTCTAGGGAATTTCGGCGTGTTGGACCAGCTTTCGACAGCCGGGCAGAACCTCATTTCCGCCGCGACCACACAGCAGCATGGTCCAGCTTCGGAGTCCGGACTCGCCACCGAGGATGCGGTGACGGCGGCGGAGGCGGAAGCCGAACTGAATGCATTTGAAGATCGTGAACTGGAGCCATTCATCAAGCCGATTTGCGACCTATTTCTGGAGGCGTTCGAGTTGAACCGAGGGAACAACTGGCTGCGGGGCCGGGCGGTTGTCGTCGTCCTTCACCAGCTGCTGGGTGGCACGATTGAACGCAAGGTGCGTGAAGGGGCGCGGTCGCTGGTCCAGGACGAGCCGTTGCTGCGGTATCTCGCGCTGGCCAAAGAGACGCTCTGGCCCGGGGGCTCGCTGCGCCAGAGCAAAGTGCGCACGGCGTCCGAGCGGCTGAAGAGTCGCACCGAAGCCAGTCTGGTCCTGGCCACGCTGGTTCCAGAACTCGCGGGCAACGTCGTGGGACGAGCCAATGCGCAAGGGGCCGCGCGCCGGATTTTCGCGACCGTGAACAACCAACGGCTCAACACCCACCTGGTGTTTACCGTCCTGGACGAGATCGTTTCCGTCCTCTTCGGTGGCGTGCGATGAAGGATGCTTCCAAACTGAACGTCGTCTTACCTCGGGTGTATCGAATAGATTATCTACTTGTCTAGTACTCTCCGAACTCGTAGTTGGTCAGTCCAGCCAAGCGACTAGTAACGTTAGTGGCCGTCGGGATCAGCTTTAATTCTGCCGATCCCCATCATGCCCCCTTCTCTACTCGGACGGATGGTGCGGTTTGTTCCTGGATTACAAAGACCTTTCGCATTGTTCAGTTGGTAAAGAGAGTGAAACTGATCCGAGGGCAACCCCCGGCAAGCATAATGAACAACCCAATAGTTAAATAGACAAGAGAACCGAGAGAAGGATTGCAGTGACTAACGCCATCTGAGCTCCAGCTTCTACATTCCCTGTAGCCTTTAGAACAGACAATTCCGGAGTGGGGAAGGGAGTGACCGAGAACAAAAAAGGAACGGTTGATCCTTTGCCTTGCTGGCAATGGTCCATCTCTATGCCTCTTCCTTCTTCTTCTTCGACTTCTTGCTGGGCTGTTGGGGAGGACCTCGCTTGGTCTGGTGAACGATCAGACGTGTCCAGCACTCGTCCTTGTCCCACTCAAACCCAGCAAGGTAGGGCTCTTCAAGCTCGTCGTCGGCCTAGAAACCGAGGTTAATTCCGTACGACCGATAGTCGGGAGAGATCGCGGAAGATTGCTCATGGCATGGTTAGTTGCCAACGTACCTTCTTCTTGAATTGCTTGTAGATTGCGTCCAGCGCATCTTTGATCGTGACTCCCTTGATGTTCCGAGCAGTCACTTCCAGTCCCAGCGGGAAGTGCAGGTCAATCTTCTTGACCGGTGGATTGATGAGCTGGAGTTTGAGAATATCTCTATCCTCGATTGTGGCCGGTGAGGTGTTGAGTTTCCTGCGAAGGATTAGTCTCTGGCAGACAGACGGGGACATGGCCCACCGCGGAGTGGAATATGGGAAATTCAAACCCACCATCCTGTCTTCTGCGTCTCGATCGGCAGCGTCAATTCAATTTTCTGTGCCTCTGTAGTATCAATTCATCAGTACGCAATTCGAATGGGGCGAAACTGGGCCATTGGGCTTGAGCTCGAGGACCGGCTCTCGCAGCTGCAGCAGACTTACCTAGATCTTTGATGTTCCAGACACCTTCCGACACTGACGAGTTGCGCTTGTGAGACTTCTTGGCCTCCTTGTCCGGGGCCTTCTCGTCTTTGGGAGATATCGACAAGCCAGCAACGGCAGAGTCGACCTTCGTGAGTTCGGCGGACATGGCTCAAACCAGGTGAGAGATAGAGGGGATGTAAGGAAGATTTGGGAGAGAGATCACTGTCGATACAGACAAACTTCGGGCAGATGGTCAGAACTGCTTTACACCGGGGAATTGTGACGGGTGAACAAAGAGAAGAGGGGAGATGTTCCGGGTGTGGGGCGATCGAGTCATCAGAGATGAGCCGAGATAGACAGACGGATCGATGGAGAGAAAAGAGAGAGAGAGAGAGAGAGAGATGGAGAGAAAGGGAAAGGGAAAGGGAAGAGAATGAATGGGGATGGGAATGACAGCCTACGGGGATGGATGGAACTTACCAAGCTTGATGGAGGAAGACTACCAGACAATTGGCATGGAGGAGAAGAAAGAAGAACAGGAAGGAGGAGGGAGGACGAGGGGGAAAAGGAGCGGTAGAAGAGGGGAAGGGCAGGTGACCAGACGGACCGGACTGGACATGGACTGGAAATGGACAGGAGTCGCAGCTACCGGCGAGGCCCGCCGAGTCGAGGGTGGCGGCGCGGTACCTGCTACTTCGAGACGAGCAGTCGACGGTACGAGACATCATTGGATTGCAGCGGATGCCGTACGATGATGATGATGATGATGATGATGCCGGCGCTGCGGGGTCTGGCCAGCCTTCATTCTTCGTCTACATTCATTCATTCGTGGGTTCCGGTCTAGCCATCTGATGATCTAGTAGTAATCGTATACTGCGGAAGTCGACCTTTTAACGGACCTATTTACCACTACCTACAATACTGCGTAGAGAAGGAAATACTTCACTTGAAGCAAGTGGATCTCCACCTTGGCGCATACAGTGTAGGTATACCTCGTGGATACATCGGGTGTACCCCGTCCATCGACGGGTTCACGATGCCCTCTCGGTATGGCATGAACATTGGATGAATGAATGAACGAGACGATGCCCTCCCCTTACGTCAAAGCCCCAAACCCCCAAACCCCCAGAATGCCGGCCGGGGCAACCGGATCACGCGAGAAACCTTTTGACGTCGAGAGCTCCCTCGGCGGTCCACTAAGGCTGCACCCCGCATTCCCGTCCGCTCCACTCGCCCCATCCGACGGTTTAGTCCCGTACTTTAATGCCTCCATGGGAGGATGGATTGCTGGGCTGCTGGAGAGGGGGATGGAAAATTGAAAGGGATTTATTCAAGAACAAAGAAAATGAAAAGAAGGAAAGTTGGCAAAAAAAAAAAAAAAAAAAAACAAAAGGTACCGAAGAGAAGAAAGAAGGAAACGAACATCAGCCCACAAGAGGAAGACAGAACACGTCATGCCAGACGGTCGTTGAATTCGATTATCCTCATCCCCAGGGATATCCGACCTGAATGCCCTTCTTTGGGGGAGGAGCTGAAACCAAGTCATGGCATCATGGCCAAACCTTGTATGTTCCCCCTCATCATTGGATGATCTCTGCCCGCCCGAGTAGGATCGTCGGGAAGGACAATTGGTCCAGGTGGGCAGACGGGTGGTGTGATGCACGAACCCTAGTCGATGCAGGTGTATACGTCAAAGGATGGGGAGATCATCATATGGTTGGTGGCCGGCCACCGTCTGTCCAAATCCAGGCCCGTTGATCTGAGCGGTAGCCCTCGCAGGAGGAGGAGTGTCTCGTTTTTGAGAAAGTGACCAGGTGCTCTGGATATGATTTCGTCATGAAACTACTCCGTACTACTACGGAGTTCAACCCCCTGCATGCTCACCGGCCGTACTGACACCGATATATACATCGACAGTCGGTTCAATTGTTTGATGCCGAACCTATTCCGTCGACGGGACTTCGGGGGGCGATACTTCATACGCCATGGGCCGTTGACCGACGGTGAATGCAGCCGTAGTGGATCCTGCCTGCGTCCATTCCTTCTCCCGTAGAGGTCATTGTCAACAATACTCCGGAGTAATGACATCCATCCACGATGGACGACGAAGAGAGCGGTCGGAGGCGGTGTGGCGGGCCCGAGGATACTGCCGCATGGGCTTGTCAAGCTGGCCAAGCGCGTCGTCTCTTTCTTGACCATCGACCCTCGACCCTTGGTTTGGCCTGGACTGCCCTTTTTTCATTGACCACCTAAAGCCGAGGCAATTATTGCCTTCGTGTCAATCCGACCATTCTTCTTGTTCCAATCCCCGTGCCTGCGACAGGTCCGTGGTGCTGCCTCGCTCTCCCGTGTTTGATCGGACGGGTCCCCCGAAAAAAGGCAAAAAGTTCTCGCTCGAATGTCGCTCTTCGGTACCGTCGGCGCTGCGTCGACATCGGCAGGCCAAACAAACACCACCGGCGATATATCCAAAGATGTCGCTCTCGCCTCACCTCCGGAGGACAGTATCTCGGACCTTCAATTCTCTCCCGCCACCGACCATCTAGCCGTGGCCTCGTGGGACAAGAAAGTTCGCATCTATGAAATCAACGAACAAGGTCAAAGCGAAGGCAAGGCTCTTTTCGACCACGAAGCCCCGGTTTTGAACTGTTGTTGGGCCCCGGTGAGTCCGAAGACCTCGCAGCGCCAGACGGAGCTCTGCTTCCCCCCATCCTCCGCCGCTCCATTGCTAACGATCCTTTCGCACATCAGGACGGAACCAAAGTGATTGGGGCCGGCGCCGATAAAGCTGCTCGCATGCTCGATCTTGCCTCAAATAGCACGACGGCCGTTCAAGTGGCTGCCCACGATGCTCCGATCAAATGCTGTCAGATGATTCCCAACCCGAATGGAAACGGCCCCCTTCTCGTCACCGGGTCATGGGATAAAACGATCAAGTATTGGGATGTCCGAAGCTCAAACCCCATTGCCACGGTGGAGTGTCAAGAGCGCGTCTACACCATGGACGTGAAGAACAAGCTGCTGGTTGTCGGCACGGCTGATCGCTACATCAACATCATCAACCTGGACAACCCCACCAAATTCTACAAAACCATGCAGTCGCCTCTGAAGTGGCAGACGCGCGTGGTCAGCTGCTTTACCGACGCCACCGGATTCGCGGTCGGTAGTATTGAAGGCCGCTGTGCCATCCAGTACGTCGAGGAGAAAGACTCCAGCTCCAACTTCAGCTTCAAGTGCCACCGCGAGACCCCCCCAAACCAGCGAGACATCAACAACATCTATTCCGTCAATTCGATTTCATTCCACCCGGTCCACGGTACGTTCAGTACGGCAGGCAGTGACGGCACCTTCCACTTCTGGGACAAAGACGCCAAACATCGCCTGAAGGGCTACCCTTCCGTCGGGGGACAAATCTCCAGCACGGCCTTCAACCGCACCGGCACCATCTTTGCCTACGCCGTGAGTTACGACTGGAGCAAGGGTTACTCGGCCAATACCCAGCAGCTTCCGAACAAGGTGATGCTGCATCCGGTGGCGCAGGAAGAAGTAAAACCTCGGCCTGCCGCTAGGAAAAGGTAATGAGAGAGCACGGAGCATCTAAAATGGGGCGTCGCTTGGGGTTCGGGGTGCCTGGGGCCAACTTGTTTTAAGTCGATACCAAATATCAATTATGTCGAATCCAGAGTCCTCATTTGACGGTGCTTTTCGATCAATGATCGATCATCCAAATGGTCCTGGTCACGTTGGATTGATTTCTTTGCATTGTTATTATCATTTCTTTTCCTTTTCCTTCCCCGGGAATGTCTCTTAAAACACCCTTGGGAATGCATATGAGCGAATAATTTCTGGTGGGACATTTCTACGTGCCCTTTTTTTTTTTTGTCAATTTTTACGATCTCCCCATAAATCCCGGAAGGAAGTGCCGGTCAATCTCTTATGTTTGTAGTCAGGTTTTATATTCCATAGACAAAGAGTAACAATCAAATCAACCGTCTCTTAGATATGAGGGGGTTACGTGAGGAACAAAGCTGGTAGAAAGTCAAGTAAACCACGGCTCCTGTATTTGGAGGGGCTGCCAAAAAAAAATTAACGAAGACCCGCCATTATTTGCTGGAAGCTTCTCACTAATCACCACCACGCCGCCAATCTCCCAATCCTTGAGATCATTCTTGCTTTCTTTCATCTCTTTAACCTCCTTCTTTTTTTGTTATTATTTTTTTTTTATTGCTGGGGCATTCAAAGTTGCCCCGGGTGCTTGATCTACCTTTCTGTAACCCTTTTTTTTTTTTTTTCGGACCATCCTCTGTTCATTGTCCACCATTTCACTCCCCCACCACCCACGACCTGCTTGAAAATGGAGAATAACCTACTTGAGAGTCTTCTTGACCTCGAAGAAGAATTCTACCAGGAGGGGTATGACTTAGGGGTTTCTGACGGCGCAAAAGCCGGCTATACCGAAGGAAGTGTGTTTGCTGTCGAGAAGGGATTCGAAAAATTCATCGAGCTCGGGCGTCTTTACGGGAAAGCTCTCGTCTGGGCCCAACGATTGGCAGACAGTAAGCCATCTAACAAGTCCGATCATGGCCTTACCGAAAGAGACGATTCCGATGCCCCCCAGCGGGCCAACGGCCATGAAGAACAAATTTCGTTACAGCCATCTATCTGCAGGGAGATGTCAAACTTCCCCTCCAGCTCCAGGCTAGCCAAAAATATCGACACGCTCCTCGAGCTGGTTGATCCTGCGTCTTTACCAATGCAAAACACCGAGGAAGCAGTCACAGACGTAGACGAGCGCCTGAAAGGCGCTATCATCAAGGCCAAACTCATCCAGCGTGCCCTCGGGGAGAAGGAAGATACGTCGGATGTTCATCCGGATGCAAAAGACACCCAACCCGCTGGCAACGGGACTGGCAGCATTGAAGACATCAGCGCCCTTCACATCCGCCACTAATACAGACCATTATCTCTGCAAGATCTCCCTTGCGAAGGCCCCATCGGATCTGCGGTCTGCTCCCCCGGAAAACAGCATCCCACGTCCTCCCGGAGTTCCTCCGGCCGCAACCGAGCATAGCTGCCGTTCTCGGAGGCAAAGGGCGATCAATGGGAACATTCCAATTTTAGTGAACTTTGAACGAATGATATCACGGCTTCATGCATCAATTTACCCCTCTCGGGGGCTTAATTCGATAATCGGTTTATTATTTGACACCCCTCAACGGCAATACACCGCCTGTCCGATTAAAGCAACCGACCTTGCTTGCCCTGGTGGTCTATAAAATCTCCGACGGTCACTCTGTCCTTGATCTAGGAATTGTCGTCAGCCCCGAGTGTTTGTGACTCTGGTCCAGCCAGTTCAAGCGTCAAGGATCAGGACATCGGCCATTTTGCCAAGGTCTCCATTCTCGACCTCTGTTAATTCACCTCCAAAGTCCAAGAGTAAGAAGTGAACATGCGGCTGGCCTCGCTACAAAGCCAGTTGCTTCTTGCTGGATGCGCGTGTGCACAGTCCGGAATCACCGCCCCGATTTCAGAGGTCTGTGGCCCTTCGGTGACTTGCATCAATCGTTATGCAAATGTCCTACCGTGAGTTGGATTCTCAGTCCCATTGAAAAGTAAAACAGACGGAAGTTATATTAATGCACAATCAGCTATCACTTCTTTCGCAACGTATCTACCCTGGAGGCTCCCACAACATTCGGTGATACCACAGTTGCCAACGGTTCTGCGCTGTCAGAAGTGAAATCGGCTGATTTTGTTGTATTCGACAAAGAAAGGGGGCTGGAGATACTGGGATCAAAACCCAGCTACGAGTTCATGTTCGCCGTGTCCGAAGCCGTCCACGAAGCGCCTGTTTACGTGGCGTCGCAAAACAAACTCTACCTGTCACAGTTGGCTCCTCCCGCAGGATACCTGCCTCAGCTCGTGGTCGATCTAAATCAAGACCCTCCTACACTGTCAGAGTTTCTTTCCGAACCCCCCGTCTATGCCCCCAATGGCGGCACTTTCCATAACGGCAAGATCATCTGGGGAGCCTCCGGCGGTAATCGATCCGTCGGCGGTGGTGAGCAGCGTGTATCTTTGAGGACATTGGATCCAGAGACCAACAAGACCACGAATCTGGTTAATAACTATTATGGCTACTACTTCAACACCATCGATGACCTCGCGGTACATCCGAAGACGGGAGATATTTGGTTCACAGACCCTCGTTAGTTGATCCCATGAATTAGTTTTGAGGTTCCGTCGCGCACCAGTCAAGGAGCACAGGCTGACGCGCGAATAGACTACTCCTGGTTCAATGCCCTTACCGATACCCCTCCACAACTTCCGTCGGCTAGCTATAGGTACAATGCGTCCTCGGGTGCCGTCATGGTCGTGGATGACAGTATTGGCCAGCCCAATGGCATTGCGTTTAATCCGGACGGCACCACAGTATACATCAGCGACACGGCCGCGATTAGCGGACCCGTTGACCCCAACGCCGGGCATCCGGGAACCCCGTTTAATACAACCCACCGCAGGTATGCACTCTGACTGGGAACACGCGAGTGGAACAGGGCTGGTCGACCATTCTAATTCCATGATAGGACTGTCTATGCTTTTGATGTGAGCGCCGACGGTACCCAGGCATTGAATAAACGCCCTATCTATTTGGCCGCCGGGTTCGTGCCTGACGGCCTCAAGGTGGCTGCGAATGGGTATATTCTGGCAGGAACCGGGCAAGGCGTTGACGTACTAGACCCTGTTGGCCAGCTTCTCCTGACCATCCAGACGAACTACACGGTGCAAAACTTTGCTTGGACAGGCCCCGAACTTAAAACCCTCTGGTTGATGGGGAACGGGGGAATCAGCAAAGTCGAGTGGGAGCTCGCAGGCCAGCAATTGAATTGACTGCCAGCGCCACGAGGGGGTATCTGATATTGGGCACGCGCCGATTGTAGATAATTTGGGCGGGTGGCGACCTGACACGGAGAATGGTAAAACGAGGAGGGGAGTGGTACCCAGAGAGACGGAGAAACGTAAACAAAGACTTTTAGACCATCAATGCGACGACCCCCTATTGCCGCCAGATTTGCGAACAGAAAAGTAAAGGAATTGAGGTGCGCCATAAATCATCATTGTAAACCACCAGCAGCTTCTTTTAAGGAACATCATTTCATACTATAGCCCCAGGCCACGCACGGCCATAGCGAATGCGCCGTCCTTGGTTTGATGACCGCCGATGAAACCGCTCGCGTGGACAAAGACGGCACCTGGGGGAACGGCGGGACTGCCTGCCTCGGCGGCCATGACGCCATCGAGGTCCGCGTCGCGGACCCCGCGCCAGGATTCCGGTAGGGGCTTGCGCGACTCAAAGCTCCCCTCGCTGACCGACACACACTGCACGCGCCACTTGGAGCCTTCATTGGCGCTCTCGGGATAGAGGACATAGTACACTTGCTCCTCGGGACTCGACTGCCCAGCGCTGGACGCCTCCTGCTCGAAGTTGTACAGGTGCTCTTTCCACGGGACGCCCCCCTGCGGCAGGACGATGATACGGCCGGAAGGATGAACGTCCCGGCGGGAGCGATAGGCAGCGCCGACGGTCGTCCGGGCGGGCAGCCAGGAGGAGACCGCATGGTGTAGCTTGCGCGTAAACACGTTGCCGATGAAGGTGCTGGCCCGAGCAAAGAGACTGTCCTCGTCCTGGGGCTCCCCGGGAGGACAGGTGGGGTCGGGATTGTTCATGTCGCCCACGACGGAAGCAATGGTGATACCGCCATCCTTGAAACGTTTCTCGATGTTGGCAGTGGCCAGGGCGGCCGGATCGTAGGCCGAGACGCCGTTGTCGTTGGCATCGATGGCCTCGATGAAATCGGTGTACAGTTTCTCATACAGCAGGGTGACGTCTTCGTGCTCCAACGGCAACGAGGTGTGCTGAGCGATGATCGCGCGACCAAAGTGCATGTACACTAGGCCAGCGGACGAGAGCTTGGTGTTGTGGCTGGGGAAGGTGGTTGCGAAGGTCCGCTGGTGATGGTCGTAGCGGTTGCCGGCGGGGTCATATTCGCCGCCAACGTCGACGACAGTATGGCAGGTAGCCAACTGGGCGGGATCCCGAGTGCGGAGGAGGGCCGAGGCAGAGTAAGTCGGAAGCTGGCGGAGGAGGTAAACGGCAAGGGCCTCGTCGGCGTGGAAGTGGCCGCTATAATCATCAAGCCCAAGGATCAGTAATGAGAAAACGATCATTGGAGGCGGGCGGACCAGCGAGAGTTAGGGCAAGGGACCAAGGGAAGACAGACTTGTGGGTGCCAATCAAGGGCGAAGAAGTCTTGAGCTTCTTGGTGAGAGTTTCGTCGGCCATTTTGAAGAGGTGTCGGAAGCGTATCATCCAGGATCAAACAGCAAAGGGAGTTGGATCGATCGAGCTTGAGCTGAACGAAACGGCATCTTGAGGCTTTCCCCATGCGGCTTCCAGTTAGGGCTCGGATTCCGGGGCTGGCTTGGCTCACGTGAGAGCCGACGGACTCGAGACCCGATCGGGCTTAGCGGCTGATCTGGTACGGAGTCCTGACAATACGGACATCCCCGCCGGCATACCGTACAGGTACATACCGTATCTGTACAGGTCACGTCCCCCGTCTTTCTCGTTCTTTTGTTTCTCTCTCTCTCTCTCTCTCTCTCGCGCGCGCGTGGATTATGACAATGATGAGAATCCCCAGAAGAATGACAAAATCCTGAGAACAATTTCCTCCACCGTGACTGACATTCAAGGAGGCTGCTGCGTATCCAAACGCTAATCCCTTGTTGACCGCTATTCGCAACCACCAGCGATGGTTTAGTCTGCTTAGTGGATGAGCAATGAGTCCCGACAATTAGAATTAGATTACTATTTCTCTTTCGCGGCCTCTCTCTTGTCTTCTCTTCCAAACTGTCCTCTTTTATGCCTTTCTCCTTTTTTGAAGACTGTGAGATCATTCGCTCTTATATTGAGTATCCCGATTCTCTGATTACCTACAAAGCCTACAAAGCCTACAAAGCCACGTGAAAGTCCACCTTTCCCGTTGCGCCTGAGGCATTAAAAAAAAGAAAAAAAAAAAAAAAAGAGAGAAAGAGAGAGAGATTAGATCAAAACCCTCCAGAAACACAAGGGAGAACACAAAGGCAATCAAACAGAAAGAAAGAAAACGAACAGACGCCTGAACTCCTTTTTATACTTCCTTTTGCTTGACTGGCCTGTTTTTCTCCTTATCGCGCACCTTCGTTTCTCCTGACTAAGGATTTCGTCACCCCGTCATCTCCATCCATCTTCATTTCCATCTCGCCATTTCAACCCCCTCCCTCGGTGTATGTAGCCTACGCCAACGACGGCTTTTTCACTCCGTTGTCCTGATATTTTCCTGCCTCATCTCCTCCCCGCTTCTCCGTCTCCTTCTGCCGCGCGCGTGTCTTTTTCCGCCGCTTCTATCCGATGTGGTTCTTCCGGATCCTCTCGTCGGCCTTCTTCCTGACCGTGACCGTTTCCTCCATTCCCCTGGCCTTCGATGTGGGCGGAAAGACATGCGGTCTGGCATTCTCCCTATCTCTAGCGACCTTTTACTTCCTGTTCTCGCTCCTGCGACTCACCACGCCCGATCGTTCCTGGCTTCGTTCCTCCTTGATCATCCTCATTCGATCGACGCAATGGATCATTATCCCGGTACTGCTGATTTGGTCGCTCAACCGCTTTTCGATCGACGTGGATAACAACCCTGGGTGGGTGGAGCGAACCTTCAACCGGAACCGAGCCCAGGACATTTCAGTCAAGGAGTGGCTATTCGGACCTGGCGGCCTGATAGAGGTGGTGACAATTGGCAACTGGGATAAACTTTTGAGATGGTCAACGCCCTTCTTTCAGCTGGTGGAAGGGTTTTGCAGTCTCCTGGTGATACAGGCTGCAGGGCAGATCACGCGCTGGCTAGTCAACCGCGGTGGACGAAGTGATAGCTGGATGGTAAGCACAAATCAGTGCGTTCACCTCAATCACGCCCAGAGGCTAACCATTCCTTGTTAGATCGGTCTCCTAGTCCTTTCGGCCTCGGTCATCTCTAGTGCCGTTTACTTCCTTTGGCGGGTACTCCAATTCCCTGAGATCTCCAATGTCGATGCGGCCCTGATTGGCGTGTCGATTACCTGTGCCGTGATCTTGTGCGCCTGGGGAATTGGTAGTGGTCGTGGGAACCCCGTGGAGAGCTCTCTGCTGTTCGCATATATCGTGCTGTGCATCTACCAGATCTTCACCGACTACCAGCCGTCGTACCCCTTGGAGACGGTTCCGTCCCCCGCACAAACCGGAGAGTTTCCTCCGCTACCGCCCATAATCATGGCCTCCTATACCACCTTGCTCCATGCGCTGTCCCTTCTTCCCTCCATTATTCACGCGGCCTTTAATGTTATCACCGCTGTCTTCGGCGCGGTGACCCCGTCCGTACTGATCTCTTTGACCTATCGCATTGCGGTCCTGTATGCGTCCACTCGAATCATACCTGCTGTCCGTGAATCGGGCGCCCGTGCGCTATCGCAAGAAGCCTCGTTGGATGATTCGGATGCCGCAGGCCAGTTTTTGGGCCTCCTGAGTTACTTCTCGCCGTCTATACTCATTGCCGTCTACACGAGTCTGTTGATGCAACATTTCGCTTCGACCTCCCAAGCCATGGGAGGGAGCGGCGAATGGTGGAGCAGTCAAGGAGGCGGCGGTGGAAACCTCTGGCGATGGGTCAATCTGGCCTGCACAATGGCCCTCTATGCTGTTGAACTTTGGCTGGGCGAAAACGACGACCTGGACTCGGGATTGGCGGGCCACTGGAAGTCAGACTGAAGCAATAATATACCGGCCCGGTAACCTCGAGGACCTTTATAGCCGGAGACAAGATCCCGATCATTCTAGCCCCTGTGACAACGAGAGCCACACCCTGCTGTCGGCTACATATGCACGCGTTTGATCGCTTCACCGCACGATTGCATGGCGATTGGTGACCCGAGTCGACCGTGGCAGTGCCACGAGACTCAGCAAAGCATGTTTCTGATTTAATCGGAGGATGTGCGACTTTTGGATGGTGATCAACCACTCGGTGACCCTTGGAAACTCCCTTATTCGCCCGTCCATGGCCCACACATGCTTCTTGTATCCGTGCCGTCCCAGCATGGCAATCGACGGTCTCGCCTGTTTTGACAAGCTCTTCTGTTTCTTGGAGCCTGGTGGCACAGATCGGATAGGCTAGCAGAGGAAGTATTGTGAATGGTGCCATGAATTTTGATCGCCAGAATCTCCCGGTTCTCGGTCTAGACGCCAGAAAATAGCTGCGACGGATCTAACCAGGCAGCGTGGATCTTTTAATCAGTTCGGATCGATGCGGCCCTATTTTTGCGACTATGAATAGTATGCTTGTATTGCTCCTTGAACTCAGGTTGATGTGCCTTGTTTCTTGTGTCTTTATGTGGATTCTGTCCGTATTTTAGCCCAACTGCCGTTGTTCTTATACCCCCCTGGCATTTTTGTGCTCTTTGCTGGCTCTGTTTTCTTTGCTTTCTTTGCTCGAATGTTGTTTTGACTGGCGACGTACGATGCATGTGTGGCCAACTCGATGAGACTACAACCGTCGGTTGACTTAAGACCATGTATACTTACCTAGGTACTTCGTGAATGACGATATCCAACTGCGAGGAGCTTTTCTCTCATGTGCAAACGACCTTTGCAATCCACGTGGGCCGCTTTCCGATGAGGCAAACCGAAGATGACAATTAGTCTATTCCAATTGTTCTAGAGAGTAGACGCAAGCCAATCTAGTTTAGGGCGGCCACCGTAGTTTTGGCGGATGCTCGATGTCCAAGCGGTGATGGGCGGAAACAGAGATATCATATTCAACGAATTGCTTTAAATACCATGCTTAATTGAATGCACGTCTAAACCACCCCGCTGGATTTGTACGGGTGATTAGGGGACAGCTTACAAGACCAAATCCAATACAACCAGGCAGTTTGGGGCCATCTCACATGAAGCTGAAGTTCCAAAACAAGAAGCAAGAGCCAGGAGCTGGCGATTGTAAAGTTTCGGGTAGAACAACCGAATAGTAAACGGTGGATATTTATGGATTCCAATGATCTGAAGGAAACCTTTTGAAAGGGTGGGGGGGGGGGAGAAGGTTGTGGAATATCGGCGTAAGAAGGAACAAATATACGATCTGCATATAAACAGAGAATTGAAAAAGAAAAGGAAGAAAAACAAAGGGTGGAGGACAGGCATGAAGTCGAAGATAGACAGTCCCTATGTCAATTTGGGACTTCTCGCCATGTCGAATTATACTCCGTCCGCCGAAAGAAAACAGATCATGGTAAAGTTTCGTGAATACATAAAAGAACATGAATCCATAGCGCCAGGCTCTTTTGATACCACCGACCACCGGAGGGTGCGTGACGTAAAAACATAGGAAGAAAAAGAAAAACAAAAGAGAAAGCAAAGCGAAACAAGCTAATAGCCAGGGACCACAATTATTGTCGAATTGGAACACCACCTTGGGTAGGAGGAGGGCTCACACTGAGGTCCTTTGCATCTTCGTCCTTGGTCAGGGTAGGGTCGGACTCCTCTGCACTGGTTTCCCGTTGTAGGTAGCTGCCCTCCTTCACAGGACTTCGACTCTGGAATCCAACGGAGCCTGGATGAGCACTGAAACTGCCGGGAATCTGCTGCCCTTGGGAGCTCGTGCTGGTGCCATTGCTGGCGGCGGCGGGGTTGTTGGCCCCGGGCGACGTGGCGGTCAAGTGAGGGATATTCTCAGGCACAGGGTGCTGAGAGCCAATGTTGGTGACACCAACATCAGAAGCTTTGCCAGCCTTGCTCAGGGCATAGTCACCGGAATCGAAATATTTCCGCTCCTAGATAGTGGCGAGGAGAATATTAGAGCAGGAAAGCGGGCTGGAAGGCATTTGAGTCCACCCACCTTAAGCTTGTTCTGCAAAACGTCTTTTTTGTTGGGCATTTTGCCATACAAGCGTAGAAGCCGCTGCTCATCGGGATTCAACGACTGGGAGGGGCGTGGCTTATTATCAGTAACTACTTCTATGACTGCGTAGGGGACCAGGACCAGGACTCACGCTAATGTCAACCTTATTTTGCTGATGAGGATTCATTTTGAGAGAGAGAGAGAGAGAGAGAGAGAGACGGGGGATACGTCCAAATAAGGCACAAGGGGTGGAATGGGATGGTGACAATAAAGAGAATCCCAGACAGATAAAGATAAAGATAGAAGGAAGAGGTTAGGCGGCGGAGGAGGGGGGAGGGAGATTGGGAGACAGCGAGAGAATCAATCAGTGAACGCGGGTGTCGTCAGAGAACCCCACCAATCCGGGATGGATCCTCGAGGAGGTTCCCACTTGGCCGATTTGATGGTCAGGAGATGAAAATCAATCGGATCCGCCGCCACGAAGGAGGAGATGTGATGCTACGATGAAGACGAGCGGTGAAATGAAGTGTGTGAAAAAGAAGAGGGAAAGAGAAGAAGTTGTTGGAGGGAGGATGGCCGGAGATAGCCGTTCTTGAAACCTAGTGAGGTTCATATATGAATACGGAGGATGTACGGTATTATATCAGTACCATACGGCCTGGTCCCGGGATGAGTCAGCCCGGTGCCGCTTTTATCTGCTTGCGATATGCCTTAATATCAATCCACTTAGATACCTACTTATGACCTAGATATATCCGTAGACTCAGTCATCTTGGTGCCTGCTTGCCTCTTGCGCCTGGCTAATTCGTCGTTGAAGCCCATTCTTCAATCCCTGATCCGGTCAGATCCACTTTCCCGTCTGAAAATTGGTTCGCTATTGACAAAATCTCCAGAGGAACCAAGACAAAAAGAAAGATAATAATTTCGGTTCTCTTGAACCGGCCTCCAACTCCGTGCCCGTGATGACAGACCAAGTATCCTCCAACCCGGTCACAATCGTGGTCGAACACTTGGACCCTGAGTTGGGCGCCTGGTCTACTTTGGAGTATGGTTGCATCGCTCGTGAGGCGCATGCATCTGGCAGTCGATTTCTCCTAAGCTCCGTGCCCACATCCCTGCAGATGCCACCGGAGTTGGCTGCGACGCAAGGGCTTGATGTCGAACACCGGAGCATCGAGGAAGTTTTTGCAGACCGGAAGTCCAAGGTCTGTCTGCTGGACCCGGCCGCCCAGGTGGAATTAAGCCCCGCGGACGGAGAGAATTTCGAAGTGTTCCTCTTCGGAGGCATTCTCGGTGCGGGCTACCCTTATTCTCTGACCTCCATCCGGCTCTCAGTGCGCTAACTACAGACCCTCCATCGCGTTTACAGGTGATGACCCTCCTCGCGGTAAGTCATCCATTCTAATTGTACTCTAAGATGGAGAAGATCCTGTCGTTAATTGCCAATGGGCCAGACCGGACCTCGGAATTAAGAAAAAAGGGCTATGCCGGAAGGCGATTGGGCCCCAAGCAAATGACCACCGACACGGCAGTGCGAGTAACGCGCATGGTGGTCCATGATAAAGGTTTGCAGACTTGAAGCTCTAACCCAAGGGAGCAGGATGCCAAAGCAGAGTACTGATCAATTCGGTAGTGCCGCTGGAGCAAATCCAGTACCTGGACTACCCGGAGATCCTCATCAACGAGCATGAGCGAACCGAGATGCCCTTCCGTTATGTGAAGGGAGAAGATGGCCAGCCCATCATGCCTGGGGTGCGTATTTCTCCCGACGGACCCGCATCTTGTTTGGCTAACGTGATGGCGACGACGACAGGGAATGGTTGACTTGATCAAAAAGGACGCTGATCAGGGGATCGACGATCTGTTTTGAATGGGTTCGGATAGGAATGAGCTCGCCAGCACCAACCAGGAATAGTAAATAAATGCACCGATTGAACCCATTGATCTTTCCTATAGAGACCCGAAACGGGCCGTCGACACCTGGACACCTGACCCGCTTAGTCACCAGTGGTTACCGTACGGTAAGGAGGCCACGCCAGCCGTTGTTTCATCGCCGACGCTGTCTGGCGCAAGGGGTCGCCTCGCCTCTCTTCCGCTTGCTTCCTCGTCCGCTGTCGACGACTCAGCGATCTATTCTCCCCCCCCTTCCCTCTCCCACTTCCCCCTTTCTCCGGCCCATCTTTTCCTCATTCCTGCCCTCGGCTCCGTGTTGCCGGTCCACGTCTCTCGTCTCCCCAAATCCCGCCTTCCCGCCGCGACTCTGCAGTCCCGAGCCCCATCGTCATCGTCAGCAGCAAAACCCATGAGTTCTTGAGTGGCTCCCTCGTCCTCTCAGGACCGTTCCAATCTCCCGATCGCTTTGAGCTCTGCAAGCCGATACCCCAATTCCTCTCTCCGCCTGTCAGTGAGCATGGCTCGTCCGTTCTTGCGCCTGGGTGTCTGGAAGGAGAACGGCGCCGCCTCCTTCCTCGTCGTGTCGTGGTTGCTATCACTCCTCTTGATCGTGAACCCGACTTTAGTCTCTGCCGCTACAGCTGCAGACTACTATGTTCGCTCGTTACCGGGGGCTCCCGAAGGCCCGTTGCTGAAAATGCATGCTGGGTGAGTTCCGGACCATCTGTGAAATTGGATAGCAAGAAGTCCTCCGGCTTCCGCCCCCAAACCTACTATCGTTACTGCCTGAGGCTTGCAGGTTGCTGATTCTTGACTCGTGAAGGCATATCGAGGTCGACGAGAAGAGCAATGGCAATCTTTTCTTTTGGCATTTTCAAAACCGGCACATCGCCAATCGACAACGAACCGTGATCTGGCTGAACGGGGGACCAGGATGTAGCTCGATGGATGGCGCGCTGATGGAAGTCGGTCCTTACCGATTGAAAGACCGCAACACGCTAGAATACAACGAAGGGTCTTGGGACGAGTTTGCCAACCTACTCTTCGTGGATCAGCCGGTCGGAACGGGCTTCAGTTATGTCAACACCGACAGCTATATCCATGAGCTGGATGAGATGGCTGCGCATTTCATTACGTTCCTCGAGAAATGGTTTGAACTGTTTCCGGAGTATGAACCCGATGACGTACGAATCCCGCCCCCTCATATTCTCGGAGCCCTCGTTTCTGACTTGTGCTTGTGGTGACAGCTTTATATTGCGGGCGAGTCTTATGCCGGTCAACATATCCCATATATCGCCAAGGCCATCCAAGAACGGAACAAGAAAGCCCAGGGCAGTGCCCAGTGGAAACTACGGGGTCTCTTGATCGGTAACGGCTGGATTTCCCCCGTAGATCAGTATCCCGCCTACCTGAGTTTCGCATACGAGGAAGGTCTCATCGAGGAGCACAGTCGGGTGGCCAATGAACTGGAGGTGTTACATTCGGTCTGCGAATCCAGGTTAAAGGCCGGGAAGAATAAGATTCATCTAGACGATTGCGAAGCGGTACTGCAGAAGCTTCTGAGCCGGACGATGGACTCGAAGAACACATGCTACAACATGTACGATATTCGCCTGCGTGACACAGCACCGTCTTGCGGTATGAACTGGCCGCCGGACCTCGAAGACGTGAAGCCGTATCTGCAACGACAGGATGTCGTCGAGGCTTTGAACATCAATCCCGAAAAGAAATCTGGATGGGAAGAGTGTTCGGGTTCGGTTTCCAGCACGTTCCTGGCGCGGAATTCCAAACCCGCCGCCCAACTACTACCCGGCCTCCTTGAATCCGGGGTTGCAGTCCTTCTTTTCAGCGGCGACAAAGATCTCATTTGCAATCACGTTGGAACCGAGCAACTTATCAACAACATGAAATGGAACGGCGGAACCGGGTTCGAGACTTCACCAGGGGTTTGGGCACCCCGTCACGACTGGACTTTCGAGAGCGAACCGGCCGGGATTTATCAATATGCCCGGAACCTGACCTATGTTCTTTTCTACAACGCTAGCCACATGGTCCCCTTCGATCTTCCTCGCCAGAGTCGTGATATGGTGGATCGATTCATGAAGGTGGACATTGCAAGCATCGGAGGTAGCCCGGCGGACTCTCGCATCGATGGCGAGAAACTGCCCCAGACATCGGTTGGAGGCCACCCGAACAGTACTGCTGCCGAAGAGCATGAAAAGGAGAAGATGAAGGAAACGGAATGGAAGGCTTACGCCAAGTCCGGCGAGGCTGTTCTCGTGGTTGTGATCGTGGCTGTGTGCGTATGGGGCTTCTTCATCTGGCGCAGCCGGCGTCGCCATAATGGATACCGGGGAGTTTTCCATCAAGATATGAGTGGGAGCTCCATTCTAGAACGGTTCCATAGCAAACGCACTGGGGCGGATGTTGAAGCCGGAGATTTCGACGAATCTGAGCTCGATAATCTTCATTCGCCTGGAATCGAGCGAGATCATTATGCTGTGGGGGAAGACAGTGACGAGGACGATGCAGCCCAGCGACATTCTCGACAAGGGTCATCTCAAGTTGGAGGTAACAAATCATGAGATATAAATCTGTCTATAGCCTTCGATGTGAATATTCTTTTTCTTTTCTTTTCTTTTTCTTTTTCTTTGTTTGCTTTCTTGCCCTCCAGTCTTTCTGCATTCTTCGATTATCATAATTGTCATTTTCTTGCGCCATAATGAACATACGCAGTTTGAGTGGAACTTGTGCGCAGGTTCAACAGACTTGAACTGTATTGATCCATAATTGGCAAAGGTGAGGCTTGGATTTGTAGAAGCTTCTTGGCCTGTGGTTGTATTTGTGCCTCTTGATACAGATCATGTCCATTTGGTCCTCGATGACAAGCAGGCTGAAGTAGAATAGAACGCTCTAATGACCAGCCTTTCCCTCGATCTAATGCATTGGAAGACGAAGAACGCCAGTATATACCGTAGATACACCAACCACAAGAGAGCAACGCCTTGAATGCATCATTGCCCGGGTATTCTCCTCCCCTCTCAAAGCGAGAAGCTGTGCTTCTAACATCCAACCGTCCAAACTTTTATACTTCCGTCATCGGCCGTGGTGATCAGGACTTCCTGGTCTTGACCCGCCTCCCGGCCTCGGTCGGCACGCTTGGCCCAGGCGACATGATTGATTTCGTAGATACCATGTGCACCATCGACGACCGCAGTTACCTCCCACTCCGTCCGGGGCGCGGGCAGACCGGCGTCGTCACTGGGAACATCGGTATTGTTGGTCTGGGTCAACCCAGTGGCTACAAACCGCTCTTGGTATACGACGATGCGCCCATCCGCGCCCACTGACGCAAGAAGCCCAGTCCGTTTGCTCCAGGATACCGCGTACACAGAGAGCTCATGTTTCGATGGCAGAACTGTCTCCTCCTCCCAGACTTCATCGGTGCCCGTCGGCCGGATGATGCTGGGCATGCCGGCACCCCCGAACGGCGGCTGCGTCTGCTGCTCCTTCGCATGTCGCCGCCAGATGCGGACGGTTCGGTCATCAGAGCATGAGGCGAGTCGGGGCCCTGATAATGCGTGTTGGCTCTTCCACTGGGAGACGAGCGTCGACTGCGCTTCCCCTGCGAAGGACGGTACGTTGTCAACACCCTCCCAGTCCAGATACCAAACAGTGCCGGCGTGGCCCTTGATACAGGCCACCTGACCCCAGTCGTCGATGTCTTCCCGCCACAGCCGAATGGTATCGTCGTAGCTAGCGCTGGCCAGGCACTCTTCGACCGGGTGCCAGGCGACGCATTTCACGTCACCCTCGTGCTCCTGCATAACGGCCACCGTCTCGAAGTTGTTATCGCCGTCATCTAGGTCCTCCCAGATCCAGATGGATTTGTCACGAGAGCATGTTGCCAGCAACATCCCCGAGGGGGACCACGACACAGATTTGACCTCGCTATCGTGCCCGTCGAGAAGAACTGCGAACCGCCACTCTTCGTCGTCTTCGTCGTTGCCATTGCCACCGTCACTATCGCGCCCACCGCCATCGACAGATTCAGCCTGGGGGCCCAGACCATCTGCGTCCGCCTCGTCACGGCCATAACTGTCCCATCGGCGCCAGATTCCCACGGTAGCATCGAAGCTGCCCGAGGCCAGAACGCTTTCGCCTTGCACATGCGGTTTCCAAGCAGCGGTGCGCACGCTGCGCTTGTGACCGCCTGAGATAGTCGAAAGTAACCGGAAATTCGTCAGCGAGTAGACTCGAACGGTTTTGTCAGAGCTGCAGGTTGCGACTATTGGAAGGGTGGGGTGCGGCGCGGTCAACCAGGTGCGCTCGAGGGACGGAGGGTTTAGGTCCGACAAAAACTCAATATGTCCTGCCATGATTGCAGGGGCGAGCAGTGATGGATAATGCCTTGCTCCTGTTCACTCCCACTAGGATTCGGATTGGGTTGGAGGGGATTTGATCGGAGGTTGGGACTCGGTATGAATTGCAGGTGGGGGAGGGGGAGGCGGTAGATTGATTACGTTAGCCAAGCATTATGTATTAATAAATCGTATGCAGATAACTAACTACCTTACCTACCTTGGGTAGTTAGTTCAATCTCATCATGTTATAACGTTCAGCTATGGACAGCAACAGTAATCGGGTCAGATCATTATGCGCATCTCATCATCCAGGAACAGCAAGATAAAAAAAAAAAAAAAAAAGACCAAAAACGTCGAGGCTGACATTATAGAAACAAACAAGCAAAAAGAAAATCAACCATTAAGATCCCCCAAGACCATCAAGTCGGCCTGAAGAAACGTCTATATTGATGAACATTATTGATTGACCACACCGCCGATCTCAAGCACTTGGCCCTTGAGAAACGGGTTCCCCGAAGATCTGCTCATATATCATGCCGTGGCTGATCCAATCCACCTCACGGACCTTCTCCAGCTCTTCTGTGAGTTGTCCCACCTCGTTGACAAACTCGGGCATACCTGCACCGGCCAAGCTTTGACTGGCCGTCGATGTAGCCCGCACTCTCTCACTGGCACTACTGGCACTGAGCCGTGAGAGGACATGGGTGCGCAATCGGGAGAGGATGAGGCGGGCAACGGGATCTGTAAAGCTAGTCATTCCCGTCCCGTTTGCGCTCGATCCTACGAAGCTCCCGGGCTCCGACGACGATGGGGTCTCCCGCAGTGACGAATCGGTATATATTTCCACCGGTGTCTGTAATGTTTCAAAAGGAGAGATGGCAGCACATGCAGTGGCAACCGGCCCCAAAACCCGTCGGATGGTGGCCGCAAGTTGAGCACTTGCACTGGATGGCATGGGATGCGTTGATTCTAGAATGGATTGAACTCGGTCCGGTCGGATTTCGCTGAAATCCAGGGATAGGATCCGATCGGCGTCAGCTTTCCACTGGGAGCGCACGTCGCGCTTGAGCAGATTCTTCGCCGTTATCAGAATGGACGCCGTGGCCACGATGCGAAATGCCTGTGCATGGAGCTTCCTGAGTCGCCGCCGATCCAGTTCAAGAGTCTCGGGTATCAGATCGTCGGACACTTGTGCATTGCTTAGGACAAGGTCTATGAGACCATGCGCATATATTTTAGATGCTGGCGGCCGAGGCTCTCCATTGACGTGTTCCGGGTCGCGCTTCCGCATTTCGTCCACGAGGATTTTGCGATGTGTTCGGCAGAAACGCCGGCTTTTCCCCAGACCTATAGAGCCATCCTGCACCCCTTTCTCGAACGTCCTCTGTTCGTATCCCGGGGCCTCCTGGATGAGCTGGGGAGCGGCGATCTGGATCATGAAATTCGTATGGTCGAGTGAGAGAAGATCGATGACGGCCATGAGCCTCGCCAGACGGTCGATTGCATCACCTGAAGTGTCCTCGGCGAATGCCTTGACCGCGGGATCCCGGTAAGGGGCGCAGAGCTTTGGCAACAAGGTGTTCATGAAACCGAAGAAGCTGTCGTAGGAGAATGCGCCAGCTTTGCATTGGCCCTCGACGAGCTTGGGATCAAGCACCTCACTGATCAGCACGTGGAGGGAGTTTCCTGGGCGTAGCGATCGTAACAAGCGATCCTGGATCACCGTGGCCATGGCTACAGTCCAATCGGTTCCCAGCCCCGCGTCTACATCTCTTCGCATCATGTCACACATGTGTGCCATGATCTGTCTCCGGGGTTCCGTGTATTGGGTTTCCTCAATCTTGAATTCTTTGTTGATGAGAAGCTCATGGACCAGGGCTCGGTTTTCTGGAAGAGCCGTGAGGAGCCGGGTGAATCGCTCATGCGGGGAGACCCGCTGTCTTTCGAGCTCTCGCAGAACCGTACTGTCTACATTGTTAAAGGTCTCGCTAATGGGGGAGGCAACACTTTCCGTGAGGGCCTCGGTAGACGAGGGCGCAGCTTCGGCGGACCGCGGAATGGCCTGCTTGGAAGTAGTTCGTTTCTTCTCGCGTTTGGCCCTTTTCAGAGCCTCACGCACCATCTGCATTGCCTTGTCTGAGCCTGCAAGGCGCTTAAGCCTAGCGAGGAGCAGAATCTGGTTCTGTCTAATGCCCTGGCGATAGTCGTCTGCAACTCCACCAGCTCGGTCATCTTTGACAGTCTGCCAGATCAGCTCCAGCTCGATGAACTGAGCCAGCATGATTTCGATTAGAACACTTGAGTCATGGGTTTTCCAAGCATGAAATGCGGAAAAGAATACGTTATACGCCTCATCGAGCGTCTGGAGCTCGGTCGAGATGGCGGTGGCCGAGCAGAAACCAAATGAGAGCAGCGGTACAACTTGTTCAAATGCCATCAAAAGCTCACGAGCTTTGGCAATGAGATCCTGTTCTTGCTCACCGTTACTGCTCAAGACCTCGGCTGGATGAGTCACGATGAGGTAGCTGCTAAGAAATGTCCGTACTGCACCTCTTCCGCCCATCGTGCCGCTTTCCATGTCTTGCAATCCACAAAGCCGAAGAACATGGGCTGTCGTGGTCAAGACCGTGTTCTCCGAGAGGAGGGAACCCACATCTTCGAAGACCATGTCCCGGATACGGTCGGTAGTCAGCTCCAGTCGGTGGAATTCCTGCATGACGGTTCTTGCGTGGTAGGCTCGCCAAGCCCTTTGGATGGTCCTTGCGGCTGCATCTTGAGTGAGAGACCTAGTAACCACTCTGGCCATCTTCTTTTCTTCCGTGGCAGGCAGACTGCTCGTGCGATGGCGTCGATGGCTTTGTTGGTAAAGCACCCGTCTCTTTTCTGCCTCCGCAAATTTCTCTGCCAATTCCAACCGAAGCCGCGCGTGCTCCGCGGCTTTCTTTTCTCGATTGTCCTCGGCCTTCTTTTTTGCCCGACGAACTTCCTCTTCGCACTTGGCAGTGATCTCGGCTAGCAGTCGCTCGCGAGCCTGGTGCGCAGCCAGTGCTCTCTCCTCCCTTTGGAGGTTTCTAGTGGCAGCCTTGGTTAGGGCAGCGCGGAGTCTCACTTTCTCCGCATGCAAGGCACGGTCCGCAAGTCTGGCTTTCCGGCTTTCCAGAATAGAGGTCCGGCGGAGGTGTTGCGCAATGTGGTCGGTGGGGGATGCGCCATGAGAGGACGCAGTCGAATGGTGAGAATGCAGCGAGGAAATCGAGCTTCGGCGAGAGGAAGCCGCAGATGAGCGGCGGACTACACTCGGCTTCCGTGCGAAACGAGCCGCAAGGTGTGCAGGCAAACTGAGCGGCAGCGCGTGCTCATCCGATAGCATCTCCACATCGGGCTCATTAAACGAGTCGGGTGAGCTGGCGGGGCCTGCGTCAGGGAGTTGAATCTCCAGGTCGGAGTTGCGTCGGAGCATAGTCTCGAAGGCAAGGAGGCGCGCCGTTGATGCCTGCAGCGCGGGAAAAGCGGATTATCGATAGCGGGGGCTAAAACCGATAGGAACTAAACTGGGAACGCGTTGGCCGTTTTTCGGGCCTGCCCTCCCGTTCAACAAGATTTTTTTTTATTGAGTCCGTTGATGCGCAAAGGCGACTATCTGCGAGGGACCCAAGGAGAGATCGGATCAAAATATAAGGGGGGCCTCTTGAATCACGGACACTGCAACATGTCCCGGGCCTGCGGAGAGATCCGTGCTTGACTCAGAAGTGAGCGACGAGATACGGAGTCAACCTCGAAGTAGGAAAGAGTTTAAGCCCCGAGCGAGAGGAAAAGAATGGGAGGAATAATGAGTAGATTGCCCCAACTATGACGGGATACGAACGCAGTCGAGGCTCATTGGGGCGCCTGACTAAGACCGGCCGAAGAAGGCAATCGAAGCCGCAAGCAGAGCGTGACTAAGCCGCTTATCTGCCTGAGGACGGAGCCCTCCGATCTACTGCGGAAGGTAGCTCTGGACTACAAACAAACTGGTGGTTTCTTGGGAAAATGGAAAGCATAACAACACAAAGTGGCGGCCCCGGCCATGCTCATCGATGTCCAAATATATCGATGCCTTCATCTTCGTCTTCATCCTCCTCATCCTCCGCTCTCTCGTCGTCGTCTTCCGAGGCACTATCCTCGGATGTGCTTGCATCTTCTCCGCTCTCGGCATCTGATGCGCCGTCATTGGATGCTTCCTCGTGACCAAGTAAGCCATATCCATATTTGAACTTCTTTCCCCAAAACCGCAGTTCACCCGCATCGGGGTTCTCCCGATCTTGAGATGCCGGGCCGCCGAATAAGGACGTCGAAATAGACCTTTCGGATCCGCGGTCTGGGGGTATTCCGAAGTAATTGCTGATCACCGGAGACACCGCGCGACCACGCGTGAGACTGTACGAAGAAAATCGTCCATTGGGCTCGGCGGAAGAAGGTGCGCTGAGCCGCGAATGTTGACTTGTTCCGGGGACGGAACTAGTATCGACTCGGAGGGATGCTAGTGTCGATACCATTGCGTCGTCGGCATTCTGCGAAGACGACCTCAATCGAGGTCCGTTGGCATCATCGATCCCACTTTCCTGCTCTAATGGCCCTAAGGAATCGCTCTGTACAAGTTTTATTTGCGCGGTATTATACGATTCACACCTAGCCCGCGTTAGTTAATGGATTTAAATGGTGGGCCAATGGAGGGTAGAACTCACATATCACATCTCAGCCCCAGCCAGTGATACTTCACAACTGACTTTACGCCGCAATCATTGCAATATACAAGAGCTCTGGTGTCTTTAAACTCTGCCGGCATGGGTTGACTGTGAATGGTGCGGTCCAGGTTTCGAAACGTAGACTCCATATTGGTGATAGTCTTGTTGCATATAGGACAGCGATAAGACGTTTTGGAATACTCGGAGAGACATTTCTGGTGAATACTGTGGCCACACCGCATGAAGACTACGGTTTCCGGGGAGGTGAACATGTAATCACCACATATCGGACAGTCGCACTGAGTGGAGCGTTCAATGCATCGATGTGTATTCTCAATTGAGATGGGCAGACATACACAACATGTCTAAATACATTCCATCAGCATTCGACGTTTCTTCAATTTGCGCCGGGCGCCCTCGGACGGGACACAATGGTGGTTTCTGCGCCTTACCTTGCAGTGAAAAAAGTCTTTGCCCAAGCCTTGACCGATTCGGCAGATCCCACAATCATTGCAATGGTAGATACTCTTGCTGCTGTCATTATCCCATAGTTTGCATGTGCTGCAATAGTACTGAGCGGTCAATTCGCCACAATTCTGACATAGCTGGGCTGCAGGCTGTGCGTGGCCACACAACATGCACAGCATGTTCTCTGTTTTGGGCCGAATAAGATGGTGGTCTTCAACTTCGTCATGGCAAAAACGACAGGTATGCCACTTTTTGCAAGAGAAGCACTGCAGCTTAACATTTCGCTTGTAATGCTGACAACCTAAGCAAGCTTCCTCTAGCTCCTCGGAATCTACTTCCTCGGCATCACCTAGAAGCGAATCCGGGTCAGCCTTTGGGTGGAAAGTTGGCCTTAGGTCGTCTTCTGTCAGGTTAAACCTAACTTCCTCGGGGACAATTGAAGTTGTTGTGGAAGCGGGAGTTGAAGACAATTGGTCGAACGACTGCCGACTCCAACGTGAGATGGGGGTACCAGCTCGTTCTGGACTTCGAGAACTGGAAGGCGACGGTGCGGTTTGAGACGATGGATTGCCATCATCTCGTTGGGAGGAATTATAGTTGGCCGTCATCAACTCATGGATCATGCGTGCTTTCTCTGCACTACCACAATCTAAGTCCCTGATGGCGTGGATCTTTTCTCTCAATATGCCCATGCCATCATCTTCAGGAAGCAACGATTGCCCTCCGATGTCATACAGATAGAAACGATTGTCTAGATTCCCGCCGAGCTCTTCGGAGCCAGGATCTTCATGCGGATGGGGGGGTTGCGAAGATAGGGGAACGGGGACAACTCGCTCCAGCCCGGGAGACTGGGCTCTATTTATGGGACCCGGTCGAGCTGCCATGGCTGGCGAGGACGTATTCTCCGAGCCATGTCGACTTCGCTGGGTTCTGGAGTAGTCGCTTTCATGGTGTCGAGTGTTCACGTCAAGTGCCGGGGATGCGGAGGGGCCAGCGTCCCGCCCCTGGCATCTATCAGGAAAGTCTATATCTGAGCGGGTCGTGTCCTCTAGATCCGACATAATGTCACGCCCGTTGCCATTGCTGCTGCAGTCGTTCGCGGAGAAGGTCCCGTCTTGGGTGTTGGGGGAGGGTGCGACTCGGTCATGGTCGGAAGGCGGGTGAGGGCGTGCCGGATGAGAAAGGCGGCGGGCTTGCCGAACAACGGGTCCGATCAGCAAAGAAGAGATGAGCCCGCTCATGGAGGATTGGGGGTAGCATTGGAGGTGATGAAAAGCATGGGACAGGAGCAGTGGACTACTCGAAGGCAACCGAGAAATGGAAGTCTCAAGGGTTTTCACAGCCCCCGTGGCCACCAGAACCCTCCTGTGAACGTGCCGGAACAGGAATACGACCAAACATGTGACGCTGGCCCGCTGATTCGCTGCCTGAGGTGCAGATCGTCGGCCCTACGCAGCAAGTACACCTCGTCCTACTGTAGCTACCTGACCTACCTAGATACTCTCCGCAGGAGGTCCTCCAGACCCGGCTATGGAAACAAACAAGGAAATTGCGTGGTATTGAGCTTGGGAGGCCCCGTAGACCCAGGAGCTGCGTCGCAAGGGATATAATAGGTACCTCGTGAGCCGGTCGATCATGATCATGCCTTCCTCTCCCGCATTTGCGACCATGGGGCGGGAAACTCTCGGTACTCTACAATGACCGCCATCCTGAAGCTCTCCGCCTCAGACGACTGGTCGCTTTCCAAAGGTCTCGCCGTTTTGTGTGCCGGTACCGACCTCCGTCCCCCCAAGCGGAGCCCTAACAGGAGACTGTGGGCGTAAGGATAGAGTCTAGGACGAACTACTTCTTAAAGAACCTATCATTTCAGACACGTTCCCAGACTCTCGTTAAGTAGCAGTAATGTCTGTTTGAACTGCTCGTTGGCAGCCGCCCGCACAACGAACTGCTTCTGATCAATCCCTAGACCTCTAAGCCTTGAGAGAGCATCAATATCCAGGCCTCCATCGAGGAACAATAGGGAAACATACCTCCGATACTCTTTCCTCATGCGGGGCTGCTCCCAGTAATGCACTATCAGCATGTTCCTCACAATCTTGTGTTCCAACCCTGCAATGTCGCACGCTCGTTGGAGAAAGCTCAACGTATTGGCGATTTTGTGCGGCTCGAAATCGTCGGGCGTGCCGGCTCGGAAGGTGGAACGAAGAGTCTCGAGAAGCACATGTCGCGACGGGGTCGAGTAATTAACCACCTTCAACCCTTGGCGGTACAGGTGGCGGTAGGCGTGGACGACGGCCTTGGGGTCGGCCCGAGCGAGTCCGTTCATCGCCACGGGTCGGCTGGGTCTTCGCTATCGAAAGGAAGGGGAGAGAGAGAGAGAGAGAGAGAGAGAGAGAGAGGAAAGGGAGGGAGGGAGAGCAAACGGGGAAGCTGGAAGTTCCCGCAAGAGAAAGAGCGAGAGAGGCAGCCGCGGAACTAGCCCCAATCGGGCAGGGGCCGCGTTAGGCCGCCATCCCGCCCCGTCGTCCTCTCTTTCCCCCGTCCCTCCTTCAGCCCAGCCTTCCATCTTTCGCATTCCTGTATACTGTCCTAGGGTCTCGTCTTATTCCTGTGGACCGGCTTCTTGCTCTCTGCCCCTGGCCTGGGCTGGCGTATCCCACAAAGGGTCTTCCCCTTCTCCAGAATCTCCAGATCAACGGCGGCGAGCTCCTGATCGTCCCGTTCGCGCTCCATTGCTGGCTGTCTGCAACTCCATGCGCACGCGTTCCGTCGTGTTGTAGAGATGACTACTAACTAGGCGCATTAACTCGTGGCATACTACTGACTCTTTGGGCTACTTGCGTATAGCCTGCTCGGAGCAACGTCGTGATCATGAAGACTAGTCCTGTGTAGCCACCTGAGCAGACACCGACGTTGACAACATGGCCCGTGTATTTCGAAGGCCTGGCTCGGCCCTTTCTAGGCGTGCTCCTAGTCGAGCTGCGCGGGCGAACAGTCGAAAGCACAAGGTGATCATGGAATCGGTTACGCAGGAGAAGAAGAAGCTCCGGAGTGTTGTATGTTCTTGTGCGCTGTCGGGCTCGTGTGGACTATCTTGACAATGGAGACAGATATCATTTGAAGCTAAAGCACCCCCTGGTTACACTTTCATCCCCGCAGGCAATCCCAAACTTACGACTGCGTGCAAGGAGTTCTGCCGGAAGGATGGCCTCAAAGTTTTTGCAGTCACGGTAGGCCAACCGTTACATTTCCCTTCTCGGGCTACTTGATCCAATCCATCCCTCCCATCTTTTTCCGCGTCTAATCCTCGTCGCCGCTACTAGACAACTCCACACATGCATACCCATAATCTTTCTCAGCATGTTCACCGCATTGGGTATCATTTCCCAAGCGCTGTCGTTGCCGCAGTGTGTATGGACATGGGCCTATATCTGACGGCAGCCGGGAAAGCGGTCCCTTTCCACGGCGGTAATAGTGCGGAGAATTGCAAACGTGCTAACTCAGAGGCGTCTCAAATCACTATCAACACTGAAGCGAGAGACGTTTTGAAAGACCTCTTCCCAAATATACCTGCCAATGACCTGAACCAGATTATCAAAACGGCATTTCAAAAGGTAAGTGGTCATGGCTCAAAGTGTTTCGGGGCGAAACAATACTGAGTCTTTGTTAAAGGGCCAACGGAAAGTTGGTACGGCGGTTGAGCTACCCTTGGCCCGCCGAGCACAGCTGGCAGTGGTTGCTCACATCCGACATCTCTACACTGATTACGATCGTCTACTGAAAACGACCTCATTTCACGAAGCCAGGAGTACTGTTGAGGAACCCACTCTTGCAAGGTTGGTTGAATGGCGGGGAGACGACGAAAACGGCAAGACAGTCCTTGAGGATGTCTTTCGTGAAGTCATCGTCATCTCTGATGATGAAGATAGCGATGCTGAAGGGGATTTACCTCCCTCTTTAGATCGTGACTATAGTGTCGAGGTTGTTTCAAGCCACCCACGAATTGATGAGCTGCAGACAAATCCGGTGAACTATGCGAATCCGGTCCACCAAGAGTCTCAGCTCGATCTTTCAGATGATGATGCCCCTCCCGGTTTTCGTTTTGTTCCGGGAGTTCCTAGAAACAAAAGGGTTGATCGTCGCGGTTTTAGCAGGTATCAAGCTTGGGACCGTGCCATGAACCGTTACAGGAACATCGCAAACGGGGCTGGCGCAACTGGCCCCAGGCGGCTGAATGATGGCTCTGCCGACCATTCGGTGTCCCATTGCGCTGTACGACAGCCCCTCTTGGAAGCTAACCACCTTGAACTGGAAACTGCTCCCCACCGACCTCTCGTCCCTCGCAACAGACAAAACGCGAGGCCTGTCACACCTAACCCGAGACCTAGGATTAATGGAACCCACAGCTTAGTTCCTAGTCCCACCTTAGACCGTCGCGTAAGTCCCCAGAGCTCACCGGCAACTCGCATGATGCAACTTCATCCAATGACAAGCGCTGGAACCGACGACTTGCTGACTTTTCCGGAGCCGTATGAGCTATACCCTGTGACCCAACCATCTCGTCAGACTCTGATTGCCCGTTTGGCTGGCGGTGGGTCCACGGATCATGGCCCAACATCCCACCATGAAAGGGGTACTTTCTATCGAGGCAGCTCGCCCAACGCCCCTGTTTTTGTTAGCGGCCCTAGGGAAATAGGTGACCAGCCCAGGGATCGATTGGGTCCGCTTAGGTCGTCAGGTCACTTACTAAGCCAGCCCAATCTGAACCCACAGGATCGAGTATTGCCTTCTATCGAGACTCCTCCGCCTACTGATGGCAGGCGTCCTGATACTGGCCCCTTAGATCATCTAGCCCACAGGATGTCCGGAGGGTTTTCAATTCGCTCAGAAACACCGCATCGCCTACCCCCAAAGAAAAGCCCACTGCAGGCTTATGAGGACAACACACGAGGTCAAGTCCCTAAGAGAAGACGGGTAGCCTTTTACGAGCCCAGCAAGCCGTATGGGATCCACTCGGACGTGAATCTTCATGCAGCGGTAGAATCCGACACAGGAGAACGGCATATCCCTCCAGGATATCTGCCAGCCGGACATCTGTCCACTCAGGATGAACCACATATCCGTAGGAGATATGTGCCTCCAGCTAATCCACGTTATTCTACAAACGCCCATCCTGAGGCCTTGCAGGATTCATTTCTTGATGTATCCCGGGCCAATGCCAATCCGGGAATCGTTTTGCATCCGAGGCGCCCAGAAGGTCTTGATCGCCACCCGATCTCTCGTGGTCGTCTGCCTGCGGTTCGCGAGTCCCCCGGACAGCCTTGGGAGCTTGCAGATATGGGGCCAGCTTTAGCCGCGGAAAAAAGCCACAAGAGGGTTATCCCCGTTCGGTCTTTAGGACAAGGAGAAAACCGCATCTATAACCCTGGCCATCCCTATCATGCTGACGGCATCCGGCCATCTGACGTGCCAATGTCCCATCAGCCCAGCTTCCGAACCAGAGCTAACCACTTTGCATTGCATGAAGGTCTTCAAAGGAGGCATTATGCTGATGATTTTGTTCGTACTATTGATTTGCATGACCCTATTCCATTGGAATACGCCCCACAACGCCCTCTTCAGCCCGCCAACCCAGTAGAACTCCCGTCTCCACCTACTCTTGCCCGACTCGATGAGGATCAATACGGACCGCACGTGTCCGGTAGCATGGCCGCAGGACTAGCCGGTCAAACCCATTCGGGTCACCTGTTGAAATCAGGCACTCATGACTATGCTGTGGTGGAAGACGGCGGTTCAGGGTATCATGGCAGCAGACCCATTGAACCCCGGACGGCAGCACGTCATTACGACGGAGGATATGATGGCCCTATAAATCATCGGTATGGTTCCGATACGGAGTCTGTCTCGATATCAGAGCCCAAGATTTCCCGCGGCCTTCCTAACCACCCCCCTTTCGTCGCGAGACCGTAGGAGTTGACATGGACTGACACCGCGGCACAGGCAAAACTATGAGCAATATATTCAGTCTTATCCCACATACGCCGGGGGGAATGAGCGATCCCAGCCACATTATTCAGTGCCCAAGGGCCAAGCGGTTGTCATTGTGGACTGAGCGTTCGGGAGGTGGGGGAGATGGTCTTCTGAATGACACCGTCATTGCCAGCCATGGTTATCTGCCGTCCAGTGTGACGTTGGCTATATTGATGTTGGATTGCAAATGCGCGCGTGAGCCACTGTACATACCAGGAAGTGTGAAGAACATGATACCCATACGTCAGTGGAGACTACATCCTTGACGAGATCATCTTACTATTGACCCCGAAATTATGCGCGGGAAGATCAAGCATAACCAGTAAGATTCAGAGCACGCTAGGAAATACTAGATAACATGTTTGCCGGGTACGTGGCATCTCGGGGTGCCTGGCGTCTATCTTATGTCCATATGGTGCCCCGCTGTTAGAGAAACCCGCTCAACTATCCACGAGCCATCACCCAAAAACCATATATACATCCCTCTCTAGCTCAGACGCTCATGGCCTGGCCATCCGCTTCTCCGCCAGTGACGGCTTTCCCGGTTTTCTTGATGGTTACGAGCACGGTCTCGTACGACAAGGAGGGTTCCGTGGTAACGAGGGCGGATTGGGAATCGAGGCTGACGTCGAAAGATTTGACACCTGAGGAGAAGAAAATGAGTCAGCACAAAGTCATTTGGCAGGTTCAGGCACAACTTACCCTCCAGTTTCTTCAGAACTCGCTCCACGGCACCCGAGCAACCGCCGCAGCTCATGGTGACGTTAAACTTGTACTGATGCTCAGACATGGTGCAGGCAGATGGGCGATTCAACGCGGGGTGTCTAGTGGAAGTCGTTGGTGAAGTAGAGTGGGGGGTTGGAGGATGAGCGAGGAGTCGACAAAGGCGGGCTGGGCTGGGTGGAGACAAAACGCGAGAATAATGACTAGTTGTCCCTACGAGTCACCCGCAAGATACCTGGTCTCCGAGGACCCGTGACAAACACATGGAGTTGAAGATTTGAAGCTGACCGTTGGATTATTAATCCTACGAACTGCCTAGTTAGGTTAACTACGGTGTCATCCCTCGGATTACGCCATCGAGCCGTCCTTCCCCCTAGAAGCCAGCTGCCCTCTTCTTCTTTCTAGCCCTCATGGCGACCTTACGGCTGGCTTCGCGTCCGCCGAACATCCCTCGCTCGATTTGGGTCATTGGAAGGTCATCTTCCACGGGTTGACTGCTTTGCAGTCTTATGGCCGGCGGTTCGCCGTTGTCTGGCTGGCTGCCCCAATCCCGAACAACAGGGGCCGCGGAAGACGCCGGAGGTGTGAGGGCGGAATGAGGCTGACTGGCCCCTTGTGAGCCCCCTGGTACCTTCTTGCGCGGTTTTCGTTGCGAAGCTGTCGTCAGGAAAGCTCGCTGCGGGTCTTCGCCATCCACCATTTGCGTGGTTTGGTGCCAGTTGTAGGTAGTTGGATCTGTCCCCAATTGCCAATGTTGTATCATGATGGTCGTGCTTCTGGACAACGGTCGCTTGCTTGAAAATGTAGTCAAGGAAGATAGACTGGAGCACACTGCGGCCAAGTCTTCCGCAAACTCAGGCACCCCATCTTCCCTATCACTACTTTCTCCGAGAGAAATTGCGCCGGGTGGTCCTAAATTCTGGTCACCCGGAAAAGAAAGCATTGCTAGATCAGGCAATGGTTCATTGGGTTGGCTTCGTGATGTATTCCAGGTTGCGTCGTCATTTGCCTGGGATGGCGGATGCGTCACGGATATCTGAGCCAGGGCGAGATCAGCCGCAACGGATCTTATGACTTTTTCTTTCATAATTCGGGTGCGCCCCGGTATGCCATACGGCAAAACAGCTAACCAATCATTGACCAGTCGGTCATAGACTTCTACCAAGGTCCCGGGAGCGGAAACCCCTTCCAAGTCAGGGGCTGTCGATGATGGCATACCAAAAAGGTCGGGTGGGTTGAGAACGGATATTTTCTGATTCGAGGTTGACCATGATGATCTGCTGCTCTCGATCGAAGAAAAAAAGGCTCTAAGATCCCTTGCATTCTGATCGATATCATCTAGCAGCCAGCGACTTTTTCCAGAGGCTTCGAGTCTACAAAAAGAATCTGTTAGAACAGGAACGTTGGAACGGAGGCATGGTTGCGAAACCTACAAAGTATGACTGGCAATGTGGCTGGTCTGAGCTGCGCCAGGAGTATTAACGTCCACATGCTCTATGAGATCCCGTAGACACTTCCCGACTGAGCTCAAGCCTTCGCCTTCTTTTGAAAGAATCAAGCTCCCAATGGCGATTGCATAGGCATGCGAGTAATCGAGGGTCCATTGTCGTGGGGCTAATGGTGCACACCTGGAAAGCTTTGTATCAAGTGTAGGTCGCGCATTAGCCCCAAATACAGATTCGTCCCAATCATCTACGATGAACCCATCCAGAGACTGCTTCGAAGAGACTGTGGCAACTCCCGGGTAGCGTCTCCTCAGTCGCAAGATATCTTTCTCGAGAACATGCTCATCAGCAGCATCATCACCACAAGGTCGGGTATAAATTATTTCGCGGACAGATAGGTGGGAATCGAGCAAGAAGAGCTTTATCAGTTTTGCGGCCGGGTCATAGTGTTTCTTGCCAAGAGATGAAGGTAAGTATGTAATCTCCTTGAAACAGAGTGAAGAGAACTGGTTCGTGTTTAGAGGCATTGTGATTGCTGAGGTAGGTTCGTATGGAGTTGGGACCTCTAACACGAATGGATCAGGGACGGATGCCGTATCTGTGTGGTCCTTGGATGCAGTAGGACAATGAAAAGTCAATACAAGATTGTTTAACCGAGAAGAAAGCACGAGGTAGAGTTCTAGTATAGACCATATTAGTATAAGATGATAAATGCAGCGAGATGAATCCTGACCTTGGTGTACTAGGAGCGGTGATAGTTGCAAGGTTGTGTCCTCAGGGTCACGGAAGTGATGCCAGGACAAGCGGGGATATAAAGAGCGCCTCGTACTTCTGGCGGCGGTCGAGGCAGGGTCTAGAGCGATATCAAGCCAGAACACTCGAGAGGTTGTGAGGATGGAAACGTGAGACACCTTGCAAGCGCTTCTTTTGATATCTAGAATCCATTCCGATGTGCGCTTCAAGTCAAGTTCTATCGGAAAGGAATATACCTGGTCGTTTTCCATGCGATAAAGTATTGGGCAACGGCGATCAGACACGATAAAGCTATTGAAATCGCTGGCCCATTCTATGATTGCCCATCCATCATATCTGGAACAGTCATCTGTGACCTGGCTGTCGCCATTGTCGAGCCATGGCAAAGAGCCGGATTTAATGCACTCGCCAGCCCAATTGCCCTTGTTTCTCTTATGGCGACCCGATATGTTCCATATACCCCAGCTTCCACTCACGTCGACAATACCCAGTTGTTTTGGGTACCACGGATTGAAGGTCACATCTGCATGCATGCAGCCCCCAGTCTGCTGACAAGAAATCTCCACCAACGGGTTCGCATCGAGGTGGGATATGCCGCATTCGATGGGGTTTGCGGGCTCGCCATGTTGATATATGCGAGCAGACTTGGGCTTTCGGTGGTACAGCGGCCGGAAGATTATGGTCGAATGAGGGAAACGAGCCGCCATCCATGTCGCCTTTTCTTCTACAGTTTGACCGAAACAGATTTGCCGGACTGGCGCACCACCTAGAGACCAATGGACATTCTCTGATTTCTCAATTGATGGAACGCGCACTTCGGCTGTTGCATCCTGCCTCAGTTCGACTGTGTCCTCCTCGATTCTGTACAAGCTAATAGCGTTGCCGCATTCCCCGGATGCTACAGCCGCTATGGGGACAAGGCGGTTGCCCGAGTCGTCATTTTCAATATCTACCGCGTATCCTATATCGAGAAGCGAGGAGACAAGTGGGTCACAAACTTCGCTGGTTTTCGAGATGGCATTGGAGAGAGTCTCGTTGCGAAACTGGGGCCAACAGGGGCCAAGCTCGGGATATGCTTGCGGTATCAGGGATTTCTTCGCAGATGACGAGGACCGTTGGACCGTGAGGGGAGATGGGACCGTGGTTCTTGCTGCTCCGGCGTAATGTAGACTCGGCGCTGAACAATGCTTTAGTAACAGCGTCTTGTTGATCCTCTCTAGCTCTTCAAGACTCACCCGGTGTCAAGGTTCGGGGAAACTTCCATGATTGACTCTCCGGATCATATTTTAGTCTTCCCAAGTGCCCATATTGCAGAGCAGCTGTAGAATATTCATTCATCGGGGACTCTGGAGAAACGGATAGGCACTAGGCTCTGATTTGGCGCGCATATCGGGGCACATTCAGCGGTGATTCATTGATCATGCAAGACCTGATCGGAAAGCTGGCTGGAAGAATAGCTTGGTTTATGTGCCACGCTTTGCGCGAGGCGCGATCAGCAATTCATCGATTTAAGTTGGAACATCCAAAAAGTTCGTTTGCTCTCTTCAGCTGGCGAGTGGAGACGTCGATGGGGATTCTGTCCGTCTTCACCGCCCTGGCTCCCGCTTTCCCGCTTTGTTTACGGCGTTGTTTACGCCGTCCATCCCCACTGGACCGACAGTTGCGACGCAGCGCAAAACATCAGCGGAACGGTAATCGAGAAGGCGGTTGGAAATACTGTCTGGATAAATAAACGCCTGGATCTGAGCCGAATCATCTTCTAGTCAATCAGGAAGATCTCCCGTTATGTCGTCGTCATTTGAGCCCTCATTGTCCACCAGTGGCATGCGCCCACCTCTGGCATCGGCGGACGCGCCCTCCATGGCAGACTCACTGCCTAGTATAAATTTTGGATTCGAGGACTTGCGCAACCGCATGGCTCAGTTTACTGCTCGCTTCGACGCCTTCATTGAACGGGGCAGAAAGCAGGTCTTGGAGGAGAGGAACCAGTTCAAAATAGGGCTAGCCGAGCTTCAAGGTGGGTGGAGGCCCTCGCGTAAATCGATAAAGATAAATGAAGCTGCGCCATTGCTAATGCTGTTTTCAGAGGATGAGCGAATGAAGCAGAGAGACATCGAGATACTAAGCCTCAAATCGCAAACCCACGAACAGACTCTCCAGAAGGAATCGGCCGAGGCTGCTGAAATGCATGCGTCGATCTCCTCCGTGACGTTGGAGCGCGACTCTCGCCTTTCCAAACGTGATCGACTGAAGCAGCAGATTGATGAAACGCAGAAGGCTACAAGCCAGAGATTAGAAGCCCAGAAAGCTCACGCAAAGTACCTAGATGCGCAGTCCCGTCTGAATGTCCCGGAATTGGAATTCTGGCAGGATTACTTGTGTCTTCGAATCGAGGGTGCTGGGAGAGAAGATCGCTTGAAATTTATTTACAGCCATTTATTGGAGAAGGACTGGGAAGCGGAGGCATGGTTTGAGCTAGGCACATCGAGCCGTGATTACGAGGTATTTCATACGCGACCGAAGTTGGACAGGGAGGCTCTTGATCGAGAACTGGATATTATGAACGAGGATCGTGATTTTGGTGCCTTCCTGAAAAGGATGCGAAAACTCTTTGTTGAGACCATGAAGTAACTGTTGGGTTGGCCAGCAATAAACCCGCAGGAAGCCCTTGCCTCTCATTCCTGTTAGTGCAGTAAATAGATGCCATGGATCAATGTCGGAAACAGCGAAAGCAACTTATCGCAACAATTTAGGTATCATGATCAGTTAAATAAAGAAAGCTCGTCTAGGTGTCAATCCCAATATAGTCGGAGAAAGACCCAGGTGTACATTCAGGATGTCAGCCTCCTGTGGCCTCCCTATAGAATGCTATGCTCCGATTCGCACCAGACGTTGCGAACCCTTCTGATCTCCCGATCTTCGGAACCCACTTGACGCTCCAAATCGCTTTCTCGGTCTCGCTATGGGTTGCAACACAGGTTCTTGTATCGATTGACCAAACTTTGACTTTCCCGTCAAATGATCTGGCGGCCAGTCAGTCTCAAATCACGCCTAGTATGTAGTTTGCCAGAGGGGGTGGCGCCATCCATTGCACATACCCACTCAATAGATACTCTCCAGTAAGGCTCCAAGAAAGTGAGAGGACCCAGGCCGAATGCCCGGAGAAGTTAGCGACCTGCTCGCCGGAGGATGTGTCGTAGAGGACGATGATCTTAGAATCTCCCGCAGCAGCAAGAAACTTACCACCCGGAGAAAATGCAACGGCCCTGACAGGCTTTACCAGTCCTACTAGACATTAGCGACATAGAATAAGGCGCGTATGCCGAGAAATTTCGTTTCGAAAACTCACCAGACAAGCTGAATGGCATGCGACCCGTTTCCGTGCTGAAGATATAGATGCTGCCGTTCTCATGCCCGCTGGCTATGAAGCGGCCATCCGCAGACTGTGCGGCACGTGTCAGCCCACAAAAGTTTATTATAATAAGATGGGAGCATGTTACCATGTCTAAGCAGGTGCCAAAGCTCCCTTTGGTTTCGTAGTCGCGGATTTGTTCACCGTTGGAACTTAAATCCCAGACTTTGATGTGTCCATCCTGGCTAACGCCGGCAAGGTATTGCCCATCCTGCGACAGAGAAACGGCCCAAGCCTCGGCAGATCCTGTGCTACCAACTTTTCGGGGGTCAGCTTGGGACAAGCCATCACTGATCGGGGTGCTAACGACCTGAGACGGCCTTATCTTGTGACCAAGCTCCATTGTGACAATCCCAGACCTTGATTTCGCCACCAAATCCGACGCTGACTGCCCTCGACCCGTTTCCGTTTGTAACCACATGGTGGCATCCAGCTTTGTGGGCTCCATCGATTGATTGTACAAGCGGAAACTCGGGATCTGCAGTTGAATGAACCTTGAGCGCAGAGGCCCCGGACGCCGACAGCACTTGGGTGTCGGTTACGGCCAGCGAAAATATGTCAATGGGATGCGCTGAGTTTAGGTTAATGGGAAGACAAGGATCAAAAAAGCCAGGGAGGCAGGAGAGAGCCTATGGATTCCGGGCATACCATCGTCGGCGGAACCACACGAGAGATATTGTTTCGACTAGCAGGAATAATTTGGTCATGTTAGAACATAGTCCAGTACAAAAACGCCGAGTCCGGTGCATGCCGCCTTACCATCGTTCCTAGTATATCATGGGAGAGCAAAGGGTGAATTCTTCCGTCCGTAGGAGGCGGGGGTTGGGAGAAGTGAAGGTCGATGCAGCCGGCGGCGATGGCGGACAAATAGTGGGACAATTTCGCTGACCTAGACGGATGAGATCATGGACCGCATCGATGTCCTTAGCCAAAGAGCCATCTTTGTACCCATATCAGCACGGAGGTCTACGCTAGTGGCAGGGCTCACTTCTCCGTTTACTTATCAGTTTGCAAGTGATAGAGTGAATGATCGGCCATTCAAAGTGGCTTCTAACAAATATACAGCGAAACCCGAATTCGTTCACCATCAGATACCCAGACGCCAATTGCCATGCAGCATTTATCCTACACCTCATATATATCCCAAGAGAAAAGCATATATCAAAAATCACGGTACAAATACAGCCTCGAGTTGCAACACTGGACCCATCAGTTCATCTTCTATGTTCCTGCTCCACCTAGTAGTTCCTTGGGTTTCAACTTTTTTTTTTCTTCCTTGATAATTCATTATGCTGTTTGGGTATTCTTCCATTGCTTTTTGATATCTGAAAAGAAAAAGAAAGCATGGTTAGAAAGAAAGCTTCCAGCCGGGAGAGACGAAGAAGAAGACATACTTTCAACGCAGTGTGGACATAGAACATGCGCGCGCTTGATTTGACCACATCCCGGGCAGGTGCTGAGGTTTTTCACGTCCTTCAAAGCCTTGCCAGCCATTTGCCTGTGACGTTTCTTCATGTGCGAGGTTTTCTTCTTGGGCACAGCGCGCAGGACGGAGTCCCAAACCCCCGACAGCAGGCCGGGGACGTTCAAGGCGAACGCGGCGGGTCTCCATAGGTTGTGGACCGGGGCAGACTCCAGGAGAACGCGAGACCATCGGCCGGCGGCGATTGACATGGTAGGGGAGGCCATGGGCGAGGAGGAGGAGGACGGGAGGCGATCGCAGAGCCGGATCGGGGGAGAAATGGCCGGCTGAAGCTTTTCAGGCTTGGGCGATTCGGGTCTGGAGAGACACTAGGCCCGATGCGGACTAGCGGCCCCCTGAGAGCCCGCGACGCCCGTTAAAGGGGTCCAGAAGATTGCATCGCATCTCCCTTCCTCCAGACCGACTGGCATTCCGGGGGTAGAATACGGATCGTTAGTGATACAGCTGATCTCGCAAGCTCTAGGCCTTCTTCTTCCCATCTTCTCCCTCTCTCGGTCTTTCCATCTTCACCCTCGTCCGTCGTTCATCGTTCATCGTCCAGTTCACTACCATCCATTGTTTACACCCCTCGTCGCTTCTCTCCTTCCACTCGCTTATCCATCTTGCTTGACCATGGCGGCCACAGCTAGCTCGGCCTCGGCCTCCCCGGCCCCCGTTTTCCCTCGCAGCCATGTCGGTTTCGATAGTATCACCTCGCAGATTGAGCGGAAGCTGCTGAAACGTGGTTTCCAATTCAACGTGATGTGTGTTGGTAGGTTCCGCACGCCGCTGAGATGATCTTCTCCTGTGTTCAATGCTGATCCATGCGCAGGTCAAACCGGTCTGGGTAAATCCACACTGATTAACACCATCTTTGCTTCTCACTTGATCGACTCGAAGGGCCGCCTGACCCCCAATGAACCTGTGCGTTCGACCACTGAGATCCAGGCCGCCTCCCACAGTATGTTGCACACTGCCGATCAATGCGAGGGGTATATCGCTAAAATCTGTCTTCTAGTCATCGAGGAAAATGGAGTCCGCCTGAGACTCAACATTGTCGATACCCCTGGGTACGGTGACCAAGTCAACAATGACAGATGGTATGTTGGGCAGTCCTCTCCTTGCCTTCATGAAGACCAGGCTAATTGGTTGATAGCTGGGATCCGATTGTGAAATATATCAAAGACCAGCATTCCGCCTACCTCCGAAAGGAGCTGACTGCTCAGCGCGACCGCTACATTCAAGATACACGTATCCACTGTTGTCTGTTCTTCATACAACCATCCGGTCATGCGTAAGCTCTAACGGTCCCCGTCCTGCGATAAGTCTGAAGCTTACCAATCTATACTTTCAGTCTCAAGCCAATTGACATTGTGGTCCTGAAAAAGTTGTCCGACGTTGTCAATGTCGTTCCCGTCATTGCCAAAGCCGATTCGCTTACTCTTGAAGAACGCCAGGCGTTCAAGGAGCGTATCAAGGAGGAATTCGCTTTCCACAACCTGAAGATGTACCCTTACGATAATGATGAACTTGACGACGAAGAGCGAGCCGTCAATGTCCAGATCAAGGTATGAGATTCGTGTATTTGTCTGGTCCTCGTACGCAGTCTAATCGCCTCGCAGGACATCATTCCATTTGCCGTCGTCGGTAGCGAGAAAACCATCGTTGTCAATGGTCAACAAGTCCGTGGCCGTCAGAACCGATGGGGCGTCATCAATGTGGAGGATGAGAACCACTGCGAGTTTGTGTATCTGAGGAACTTCCTGACCCGCACCCATCTCCAGGACCTCATCGAAACAACAAGCCAGATCCACTATGAAACGTTCCGTGCCAAGCAACTTCTTGCGCTTAAGGAGAGCAGCGCTGCAGGAGGCCATTCTGGCGGTAGCCGGCCTATCAGTCCTTCTGCCGACAGGGAGCTGAGCCGTAACTCTCAACGAATGACTATGAACGGCTATTAATTACTCGCGCCCGCTCAAGATGGACTTGGATGGCTGCCGGAACAGATGTTCTTGATTGGCCGTTTCCAAACTTGACAGGACTGTCTTCGGAGGACAGCTTCAGCGATCTTCCTGCCCTCCCCGTTTTCTCTTCCCCATAGCAATACCTTCATACCAGCAGACCCTTACAATATTTTTTTAACTTTAGGCTTCTTTTCGTACTAGTTTCTATCTTAATATCTCCTCTGCAGGGAACACTATCATTCCTGGATTCACCTAAATATGGTGTCGTCGTTACCGAACGGTGGAATCTACTTTGCATCGGGAACGTGTGGCGTCCTTGCGCGTCATGCTATGTATTTAAACATCCTCAATTTCAATTCTCTGTGAAAAAAGCCTGTCTATGCGTTCGAGATACGGAGCACCAAACATTTTATGCGGCACGTAGAGATAGCTATCAACGATTTACTCCTGAGGAAGGCCGACAAGTCCTCATTGCTCTGCTCCAAATCGGCCTCCATCAACAACCCAGTCTCTCAAGTCCACGTAGGCCTTCTCAAGATCATCGTTTACAACAATCTTGTCATGGGCACCGGGCTCCTTGGAGAATTCAAGTTCGTTCTTCGCTTGTGCGAGACGTTTGCTTCGGTCCGGTTAGCGGAAGTCGGACGGGCTCGCGTAATGAGCATTTATGATTTAATCGTGGGGTTGGGTAGAAGCCCTGAACTTACTTCAGACTTTCTTCGGTCTCCGTACCTCTCCCACGCAGCCTCTTTTCGAGTTCTTCAACTGATGGCGGTGCAAGGAACAAGAAGCGAGCATTCAGATCGGTGCGTTTGACCTGCTTCACACCCTATTTGCATGATATGAGGTCAGTATTCCCCGCTTCTTTTCAGCCCCAACTAAGGGGAGCTCCGAATCTGCATCTTCTGAACAGGCTCATTGGGGAAGGTTATGATTACCTCCATTTCAATGTCAAGGATGCAGATTCTGCTCCTCTCCGCAATGTCCTTAACCGCCTGGACGCTGGTGCCGTAGTGATTACCTCCAAACTGCGCATGCTCGATGAAGCCATTTCGGGCTACAAGGTCCAAAAAGTCCTCCTTGGTTGTAAAATGGTATTCACGCCCGTTCTGCTCGCCCGGCCGAGGTGCCCGAGTAGTATCTGAATCGCTCGGGCATTGTTCAGTGTCTCAACATGCATTTGGGATGAGGGTTATCGGAAAAACGGACGGGAAACTGAAAACCCAAAAGTATCGGGATACTCAGCGAAGAGCCTCTTGAGTAACGTCGACTTTCCCGTGCCGGAGGGGCCTGAAACGACCACCGGGCGGAACTTGTGTACTGCGATTGCGGTCAGCAGGGCAGCGATTCTTGCGCACGGAGTGGATCGTAGGCGATTTACCAGCATTCGTAGCCATCGTCAGAGTCCGGCAGCGAATACCGACGTTTCGGATGTGAGTGGGAAAAGACAAGGATAGCGAAGTCCAGGAATTTAGGAATTTATGCATAGAACTCGGGTTACTCTCCGCAGGCGAAGTGGGGGAATGATAATAATAATAGGGAATAAAAGCCGCGGGCCAATCCGTCGGCAGACCGGGCAGAATTGGAGGCGGTGAGAAATAACTACGACGATCACTTGTGCGGCTGATAGGAACATGGCCTCTTGCTTATCATGCGAAGTATATACCATCACGATTCATGCGGATAACTAGACATTTCAGCGTCTATTGCGGTGGCCACCGTCCTGTAGGAATGACTATGCATCCATGCATTATTCACGGTCTTTCTTCTCTAGGCATTGTTTCTTGTGAAGCCTGCGACTCCTGCTCGAGGAAGTTGGACCAGAGTTCTGCCAGTGACTCCTTGCTCGTGTTACCGTTGTCCAGGAACTCCGTGGCTAATGTTGGAGTGCTGGGTGTACGATGAACCGGTGTGCCAGGTACTCGGAGTTTACCTGAGCTATTGGAAGCCCCAGGGCGCGCAAGGCCCGCTTGTTCACGTTGTTCTGCAAGACAGTGATCAGTCCGGTTCCCTGCCCCTGGTAGTGAAAGGAGATAAACTGAACCTACCATCTGTCCAGCCTAGAAGTGCTGCAATGAGTTGCAAGATTTGAAATTTCTTTGGATCTGACCGATCAAGGGCCAGGAAATGCAGGAGGTGGTTTGTGACAATGTGTCTTGAGAAACCAAGTTAGTAAACCAAAAGCAGCGGTCTATAGCTACAGAGCCGTCCATTCGGAGGGAGAGCATACCTGTCCACGTTGTCTTCTGGCTTTCCTTTCTTAAGGAACCGCAGAGCCTTTGTTAGATGGTCATTCAACGTCACTGCTTCGTGCCTGAGCTTTCCGATCAACAAGTTTTTCTCCCTGACTTCTTTCTCAAATGGCTTCACTCGCTCCAGCTCGTTCCGGACTTTTTGGAGAGCTTGGTCAGCGTCCGAAGCCTTCTTCTCCGCACCCTGAAGAGATTCTTTGAGCTTCTCTAGTTGAGCATCGGAGCTCTCCACAACCTCACGAAGTTCCTGTTTCCGAGCTGGGACACATTAGCATATAAGACGCTCCATGAACTCCCAAGAAAGCCTGCTCACCTGTCTGGATCTCTTGCAAAGCACGTTGTAAGCCATCTACCGTAGCCATCTGGGAATCACGTTCGGCAGCGGCCTTTTCGTAGGCATCCCTAAGGTTGGCCACCTGCTCCTCGAGGTCCACAGCCTTGTCACCAAGATTCTCCCGGATAGATCGCTCTTCCATAGCAAGAACCTCCCAGTTGTGCATAGCCTCCTTAGCCTGTTCGAATTCCGACTGAAGATACGATTCTTGTTCAAGAAGTTCCTCTTTCTCCTTCAGCCAGTTCTGCTGGGACAAATTGGTCCTGTCTCGCAAAATTGAGATTTCCTTCAGCTTCTGTTCGCTGTCCTCTGAAATCTGGTCTATTTTCGCATTCTGTGATTGGACCTCTTCTTTCAGGGTTGAGTTCTGTTCCTCCAGCTCCTGGATCTGTAGCCTTGCTTGTCCAAGTTCCTCCTGTTGAGATATTAGTTTCAAAAACCAAGGGGGGGTGGCGGCTAAACAAGACTTACGGCATCTTCCTTCAGTCGTTCACCCAGTTGCGATTTGATTATATTTACTCTCTCCAGAAGCTTTTGGAATTGTGTCTCGGCGTGTTCCTTTTTGCTCTCCGCATCTTCCAGTTTGTGCTGCAGCGTTTCCATGTCCGTGCGATGCTTGGATTGTATCTCTTCTAAGGATCTCCGCATATCCGTCACTTCGGCACGTAGCGAGTCTCTATCACGTATAAGGGTGTCGAATCTGTCCTTTGATTGTAACGCGTCAGGGGGTGTCGTTTGTCCATTGTCCGTACGCCCAGTATTATCGCCGGCGGATGGCAATTCCTGATCGTCTCCGATTCCACCCTTAGGGCCATTGTTCGAATTAATTTCGCCCTTGCTCGTTTCAGTTTCCTGGCTCTTTGTATCATGATTCTCGATGGCGTTGGATTGCACAGCCTAAAGTACCGATTCAGTAAGGCCGACCAGATCACTTCGCGGATTGACGTACATCTGAATTCGAGAGTTCCGACGGATCGTAGGTTGCGTCTTTATGTTTCGAAGGCGCGTTGGTATCTTCCACTGCTTTTGCGGTGGCCGCATTCTTTTTCTTGCTCTTCGATTTTCCGCCTTGCCAGATACAGTCAGTGAAACGGAACACAGAGTCGTGGTTGATGACAGTAGATGAAGATACCTTCAGGCATTTTCCGTTAGATTTTCCCCAGAGGGCCTGATGCGGTTGTCTGGGGCTTGTGGTGACCGGTAAGTATTGTTTGAACTGCGCTCTGGGGGACGATAATCAAGTACGGGCCATAGTTGTCAACACCGCTAGCGCCCTTGGATTCCTCTCCCGAAGTCCGCACCTCTCTCGCTTAGGTACGCAAGCAACTCACTAGTTAACTAGTTGGTAACTACAGAGTACTTCTTTTACCCCGAATTATATATTCAAGAGATAGCTATGCGACCCGAGAAATTAAGCTATTGACGTTGAGGGGATTTTTACAGTTATTTCTCAGAAACTGAGAATGATACAAGTCACAAGCATCTGTCCAACCCATCCATTAGCTCCCAATTGCCTCTCAGACGTTCGTCAATACAACGTTAACTAGTGCGAGAGCTTTTCTCGTGATGAGAACCAAGTAAAATCTAAGTTGAGAGGTCGCTTGACAGGACCGTAGCCATACCGCAAGAAAAAAAAAAAAAAAAAAAAAAAAAAAGAGGCCAGCTGAAATGCCGAACCCAAGCCAGCGCACTCAAAGTGCAAAACCCTCTTGACTCCACTCCACTGTATTTGTACTATGCGATATGCGATGTGTGAACAGACATGGGACTCGGGAAGCCGGTAAAACTTTCTCCTGGGAGGTGGCTTTTCTTCGGGAGGTGGTTGCCTGAGTGTTGTAGCGAGGTCACATAAAGTCATCCAGGAAGTCAGGGTCTCGATCCTGGTTGTTGCTTTGTTGTACATTCTCTTCACTCAGCAAATCATCGTAGGCATGCTCTTTCTGCCACTTGAGCTGTTCTCTTTCTCTCTTCTCCTGCTTCTCCTTGTTGCGCTGCTCGTCTCGGATCTTTCTCTCGCCCCTCCGTTTCATTTTCAAGTAGTCTTCCTTCTCCGCTCTCAGATCCGGAAATTTCTCCTCGCGCGTCTTGTTGAGCCGGTTGACGATGGCGTTTTCGCGTTCGCGCACGAGCACTTTACGGACCAGTTTGGGGTTATGGAACGAGACCTGGCCCGTTGCCATGGACCCGTCTTTCATAAGATTGGACCACGGTGTATAAATGATGGTGACGTTATCTTTCTTGTTCCCTGTTCAGTTTATTGTGAGCCGTTGTCGCTTCAAGTTCGGCGCCTCGGGTTCAATCTTGGCGAGCCGACCTTCAATTGAATTTGCCTTGGTCAGTTGCGCACAATCCTCCAAGAGCGACTGCGGGACGTTATCCCACTGCTCGTCATCGCGTAGCCGGAGGTAAACGTGCGCACTGGAAAGGTTGTCGACGTGAAACTAGCCGTGGGGGGTTAGAGTTGCTCCGGAGCCGGGGGGGGGGGGAACAGGATATCTCGAAGAAACGAACCCTTCAAGGCGTTAGTTAGCGCATGCGACCTGGAAAGAAAAGGGAGACAAGACCAGCATACCAGACATCTTTTTCTAGTCCGTGTTCGATGAGATCCTCATCTAGTTAAACGGATTGATCAGACATTGGGGCTGTCGCAGGAGGTGAAAGTTGACTGTCGTACTCTCGAATTTGTCTTTCCCTACGTAGATGAAGGCCGCGGGGTCCACCACCTTGGACGTGAAATAATAGACCATGTTGCGAGGGAATCCCGAAGTTCTCAATTAGAAACGTTCGCCTAGGAGTTCCAACTCGCCGTGAGAACCGGATAATCGGGTTAGGGGGAAAAAATACAGAGATTTAATACAAAAAAAATTTAAAATAAATAAAATAAAATAAATGATACGGAGAAGTGGATGGGATTTCTCTAACGAGCCGGTGGGCGGTGGGCGGGCTGGTCGGGGTGGGGTTGGTCCTTAGTCAGCCGTCTTGTCACCGACTTACCGGGCAGCGTATTTACGCCGTCCTTCCAGGTACGGAGTAGGACTTCCTCCTAGGTACATGTAGTCATGTAGTCATGTAGTCATGTAGTCATGTACCTACGCCTAGCCTCTAGGTAATGACTTCCTCCTCCCATGGCATGATCCCAGACCCAAACGGGGCTACGGACGGAGCTGCGAGTCATTAATATTATTTAATCTCCCGGAACATCCAGCGATCAAATCATCTCCCGACAAAAGGCATTGCCTCCCCACTTAACTCATGCACCGGACCATCCGTTTGTGGGCAGTTAGGCTCAGGATGGCCTTCCGGGCGACGGGCCCTAGGGACGTATGGCCGTTTGCTGCAATTGCTCCGAGGCATCCTCTCGAACCGTGCTGCTCCCACGAAATCAGGATGGCCTGAGACCCCACCGGGGCTCGTTTCGGGAGCAGCGTAGTGTTCACCCTAGTCGACCCTACCGTGGAGTCTAAATCGGATCCTTTCCCAACGCGATGAAAACCGTTACGCCAATGTTCGATGCCATCATATCATCCTGCTGCTACAGCGGGTGAGCCCGTACACAACCCCACCCGCCACATGGCCTTTGCCTTTGGGACCTCTCCCTCTCGGCCACTTCATCTTTGGGCGATGATGGTGACCGTCAGGTATGAGGAGGAGGAGGAGGAGGAGGATCGCGTTGAAACCAACCCCGATTGATGCCATTGTTGTAAGATGTAGTATAGTCTAGTCGAATCCGAAGAAACGGAACTGTCCATCACCAACCCTCTCTCTACTTCCGCTTCTCTTCTTTCTCTCTCTCTCTCTCTCTCTCTCTCTCTTTGTCTCTGCCTCTCTTCCCGGTCTCTCGGTCTCTCTTTTTGTCGTCCCCTTTGGCTTTTCTCTTTTCTCTTTTCTCTTTTCTCTTTTCTCTGGTCCCTCTTCCCCTTCCACGCCGTGGGTGGTGATGGGAGGCCGTCGCAGCGACAGATGATCGATCCAATTGAAGGAACAAACCCAGGTCGATTCCAATCAAACCGCTGTCAAAGTAGCTGTGCCCATTCTGTCCCTCCGTAGCAGACTCGATCCACGATAGCCCACCCCCTGCTCCACCTGGACTGCGTTAATTTGAAAAGGTTCGGGGGCTTTGTCAAAGAGCAAAATTTCAACAGGGTTTTAGATGGATTATTTCACTCCTCTTATTCCCCCCTGCGACCCCAAACTGGGCTATTTCTCCCCGTGCTTTTCCTCTCGCCAACCTTTGCGCAGGCCACGACCACCACCCTCGCCAGCGTGATTTTCCCTGCTCCGGCGAGGAAAACATTTCAAACCCCAGGCCCAAATGGCTAATTCCACCTCCTCGGCCAACCAGGCCCGCATCCGACAAGCCCTAGAGCATGCCCGAAATTGCGAAGATGGAAATATCGACCGTCAAACCAGCGAAATCCTCGAGGCCGCCATCACCGACCTATGGCGGAGGATACAGAGCCAGCCCGACAGTTACGTCCTGAGCCGGGACGAGTTTGCGCTGTTCAATTATTTTCTCCGGCGATTCAATGGTTCGCCCGTGGCGCGAAGAGCCGTAGAGCGGTTCTGGAATAATTATCAAGGAACCGGCTCGAGTGTCGACGGAAGCAAGACATAGTTTCAGAGTTCAGATCTTCGCCGCAGCCTCCGTTTGTCAACCACAGCCATGGTCGGCTTCCCCCGGGAACAATCCATTTGTCCCCGTGAGCTGGGAAATCCCAGACAAAAAAAAAATATACCAGTCTTTTGGTCGCGGGACGAATTGGAGTGACATCTCTTCCTCCTCTTCTTCTTCTTTTCCTCCCTCCTCGTCTTCTTCAACCGATTCGATTTGATCCTGCTTTCTTTCGTCATCCTAGTCTCCTTCCCCCCTTCACCTCCTATCTCGCTTTTCTCTCGCTTTTCTCTCGCTTTTCTTTCCCTCCACCTATCCTTTCCTCCACCGCCTTCTTCAAATCCAAAGGACAGGAAAAGAACGAGACAAGTCATCTCGAAAAAGCACGTGGCTCTTGAGCCCAGGTTCACCAAGGCCGCCCGAAAGGCAAAAAAAAAAAAAAAAAAAGAAAAAAAAAATTTATGGACTGTCAACACGGATCGTAAGGTTGAGCCGAGTCGGTCGCCCGCTACTTTGTTTAGGAAAACCCCCGGCGTTAATTGGAGGAGCTGTTTCAACGCCATCTGCCTGCTATTTTTGTTTTCTACAGTCGTGATTCCCTTTTTTCCCCCGCCCCTGTTCTTCTGTTCTTTTGGTTCCGTTCTTCTCTCATCTCTTTCTACAACAACTTTGTGGCTAGTGTTCATCGCTTGCCTTCCTACTATGTATAGCTGGGCTACATAGGTAATTGCATTGCTTTGTATTGCTGTTTGATTGTTTTGTGATGAGTCATTTTCCTCTGTATTTGTTGGCACTTTTTTTGGTCTTTTTTCCTTTCCGCTGTCCTTTCCTTAGCCTTTAGAAATCATGTGGTTCCACCCAGATGCGCAAGGGATGCTGCATCTTGAAATAATCTTCGAACATGCCAACCAAGTAAACCAACTAGCGACGATAATGTTCGAAAAAAAGACTTGGGTTTGAATGAGTGAGCCCGCTTCTTGCGACTGCGAACAGAGGTCTAGCCCCAAAGTTTCGCCGTACTAATGCTCGTCCTCATGATGCACGTTTTGGAAAACATCCTACGCTCATATGATCCGTACACTCGCAACTCACACCATAACTGTACAAAATCTTGAATTACTTATACATAAAACGCTATATATAAAAAAAACATCTAGTCTTTCGACTTATTTGCTGGCCGCCGATTCAGGAGCGATCGGCTTGTTGGAAGCTTGCGGGCGAATGTCACCCTCAAGCACATCAGCAGGGGGGCCTAATCCATCGGTTAGCATAATCTAGTCTTAGGGGATCTTCTCGGGTTCGGGTTTACACACTGGTTCGTGGCGACGTCTTGTGCTCGGCAATATCGACATCCCTCACCCGGCCAGACTCAACCTCCGCTCGAGAGAGCTCGAGCAAGTTCTTGGGAAGACCCATCGACGAGAGAAACTGGACGCTGTCCTTCCATTCAACGTCCTTTCGGTTGCTGTCCCATTTGAGCTCGTCACCCATCAGGTCGATGACGTTGGGGAGAGCTTCAAGCGCGGCCTCCGCATTGAGGAACGCCAGGCGCGTGCGGCGAGCGATGACGTCAACTGCCGTCTGGGCATACTCGTGGCGGATGGCATAGCGGATTTCACCGTCAATGAAAGGGTACAAGGTGGAGATTCTATTTCCTCGGACGGGGAATCGAGCGTTTGTAGGCGCAGACAAAGCAGCAACCTGCCAGGCCCGGTCTCCGTAGGACTGCGTGAGATGCTGGGCAACGTCGGTCTCCAGCCCGAAGTGTTGGATGAGGTTGATGAATAGGGTCTTGGAGAATCCATGAGCGCCAATCAACCGCACCTGGTGAGTCTGGCAGGTTCCATCTAGAACGGCACCGTCGGCAACCAATCCACTTCCACCAACGCCGCTAATGTCCGGAGACTGGCTCACCGGCCGAGGCTTGAGACCGAAGACATCAACAGCTTCATCCACTGCCTCCTCGGCCATTTGGCGGTAGGTTGTCCATTTGCCACCAGCGCACGTCAACAGGCCCGAGGGAGAAACAGAGATAAGATGGTTGCGAACCAGCGCCTGGGAGCTTTTCACCTTGGGATCACGGACCAGAGGCCGAATTCCAGACCAAGCGGCGAGCACATCACTCCGCTCAACGTTGATATCGGGAGCGAGGTAGCCGCGAACTTCCGAAAGAATCCAGTTGATGTCATGTTCCGATGGCTGCGGCTGTGGCGTAATCTCGGTGGGCTGGTCCGTAGTTCCCGCGATTGTGTTGCCCTGCCACGGAAGGAAGAAGATGACACGCCCGTCAGACGTGGAGGGATCAATGAGACCCATGTCGGAAGGACTGTAGTAGCCTGGAAGAATGACATGGACACCAGCACTGGGAGCCACAATCTCCTTCACTTCCTGGTCGTCCATCTTTCTTATGGAATCGGTGAAGGGGCCGGTCGCGTTAATGATGCCTTTTGCCCGAACAGTAATTTGCTCTGGCTCTTGTCCGTTTCGTTCAGTAATGACGTCTTTCATCTGTGCGCCGTTCAGTTTACCCGACGCATCCTTGGTCAAACCAGTGACTTGCATGTGGTTGACAACGGTCCCACCGTACAACGCGGCTGTCATCGCAAGGGACACGTTCATCCGAGAGTCGTTGTGGGCACCATCTAAAACTCCGATGAGCATGGGGAGCTTAAAGATAGGATTGCTGGAGTCCACATACCGTAGTAAACCATAGCACCGACCAGATTGTCCTTCCTCAGCATGGGGAAAGCGTCGATTGCCTTACTCTTGGGGAGGAAATAGGAGCTTTCGATCCCCTCAGCTCCAGCCAGGAAGTCATAGAATTTGGTACCTGCCCAAAAATAGGGTGCCTGCCACCACTTCTGCACGGGAACCATGATGGGAAGCCAACTAGAAAGATGAGGCGCCGTGTTCAGGAAATACTTTCGTTCTCTCAGTGCCTCCTTCACAAGCTTGTACCTAGAGAAATGTTAGCCTGCCGTCCGGCAATCAAGTTTCCGCCTGGGGACAAGGGGCAGCACTAACTGGTTGTAATCCAGCTCCCACACGGCCTTCTCCAAATAACGAACACCGCCGTGCACCAATTTCGTACTTTTGCTGCTCGTCCCAGCACTGAAATCGTCTCTCTCCACGATGGCCACCTTCAGCCCACGCGTCGCCGCATCAAGCGCAATTCCGGATCCGGTAGCACCGGCGCCAATAACAAGCAAATCATACTCGTCGGCGCTGTTTCCGCTCGAGCTGCGTTTGAGGTCTTGTATCTGCTCCAACCGCGATTTGATGGTTGGGAAGCTCGGCGGTACAAGTTTACCTTCGTGATAACCTGGGGGAGGAACTGCCGGGGCTTCGGAACCGGGGATGTTACGTGGCCGGTATGATACATATAAAACACCCGCTCCCGCGGCCGCGGCAGCAGATGTGTAGAGAAGGGGTCGCAGGATCTTGCGAGAATGACGGGCGGCCATGGTATTTTAGTGTTGTCGAGATCTAACAGGGTCGGTAGGTTGGATCAGGGATGCTTTCCCGAACGTTCTAGCTGGGCTTTCTCCCCGTTGTTCTTTTTGGGGGGCAATTCAGAGGGGTGGCAAACTAGCAGTCCGGCACGTTAGCTATCGCGACAGACGAGGCGTAACACAGTGGTAGGAGTGCCAGGGTGAAAGGGGGGCGATGAAAGGAGTAGAACGCGATGGGTCGCGCAAACCGTACCAATGGCAGATTCGAAAGGTATAGAGTATATATAAGGAGTCTATATGGCGGAAGGGAGGTGGGAAGGAGGGCTTGATCAAGCAAGTCAATGCTTTGACACCGAGGAGCGGAGTTTGAAAGGAAGGAAGAGGAAGAGGAAGAGGAAGAGGAATGAAAAGTGTGCGAACTGCAAGACTTATTATTGACCTTGGAATGCCGGACCACTTGTCCAAGTTGGAGGACCGGGTAACCTTCCTCGGGGGTGCGTCATGAACAATTCTGCGCTGGATTGAAGGAATTCTTCCAAGCCGGAATGGGGGCGGGTCCGATGACGGCGACGCGGCGTAAATCAGCAAAGTCCCACCAATCAGACGCTCGGCAGGGCCGGCAGCGGGCGGGGCTGGCCAGTGATCCCGTGATGAGGGTGCCGTTCCCGAGCCTCCGTGCTCCCATGTGACCAGCAAAGTTTTTGTGCCCGTTACCCAGTCGGGCGAAGGCGCCTCTCAAGAATAGAACTACTGGCCCATAGTGCCGAGATCCCCTGGAGATTTAATCTATTTATTCTCTCGACTATTTCCTCTCGCGTCCCTCCCACTTGACAGGTTCGACTGCAGCATGCATGCAGATCGATCGCCAGAAACCTATAGTCCCTCTGCTCCTATTTCGCTGGCGCCGGTGAGACGACAGGACGTCGGGCGAGACCACATGGGTTGCTTCTTGTGGCCAGGCCTGGTCGACGGGTCAATCAATAGTTCCGCAGTATCTACAGCTACGGAGAACGGTACTGGTAGAATAATAGGTCAAAGTGAGTGCCTCACGCAGAAGCCTGCCCGTGTGGTTATTGTTGTCTTCGTCTACTTTATCTACATTATATATATAATTTTATTTCCTCCCTTCGACCTGCCCCCCCTTTAAAAAAAATTACAGATAATAATAATAATAATAATAAAACAAGTTCAAGTTCTTGGATTTCTGATCCACTCCTCCCTGGGGTACGTAACTTCGGAAGGCAGTTCCAGACCCTTTTAAAGTGGGTACCGCCAACTACCGGTTGGCAGTATTGGAGAATTTTCCACTTTCCAGGGCAGACTAGTCGCACCCTTGGATGCACCGTGATTTATGCCCTCTAACACAATAGGTATGATGTTATCTACGTCGTCTGTACTGGAAACCCGGACAATGTTTCCACTTCCAGGTTTTTAATGTGCTTTGTATTACTACATAATACATATTGCTTCATCTTCTCCGCCGCCTTGCCCTGTCTTGATTACCTTATCCACTCTTCGTTTTCCGTGCATGACCTTACCTTGGCGCCCATCAACCCCTACTATTAACCCACGTGTTTATAGTACTACTTTGTTCCCCATCTATCCCTAGAATGGGAGGTCCTCCACGTTGGAATTTTTCTTTTCCACGAATCAATGCTATCGGTGGCTGAGGCATGGCAGACCAGATTTATATCGCTGCAAACCCGAAGGGGCAACCACGTCATTAGTTATGAGGAGCAGAAATACCTTTAGTGAAGATCTGATAGGAGTATACCAAGCGACAAATCGCAAGTGCATGTAAACTAAAACGGAAGATTCGACGATACCGTGTTGGTATGAATAATTCTTTTCCCCGTATACATGCTCCGGGATTCGGCTTCTAAATAGCCTGATACCCATTTGGAAGAATAACATATATAAGGAAAGAAAATCCATTTCAGTAAGTGTAGATTATTCTATACTTGTGAATTCTAATAACTACGGAGTAGTGTAGGCTTCTATAGTTAGCTAACTATCTACTGCCAGGTGGTGGTTATGTTGGTCACCTGACCAACCAACCACCCTCTAGTTCACGCACTGTATCTTCCCGGTGCCATCCTATGTATGTTCCTTTAGCCAGCTTAGTGGTCTACCTTTGCCCATCAAATTCGAAGCGTTTGATCGTCGTTTTTCATCTTCATCGAGACTGACCGGTGGTCACCCTGGTTCATTGAGAGCCGAAGTTTAGTCGACGTGTAGGTTCGTCTAGGGGGTGTCACTACCCAGGTAGTTCCGGAGTACTCCGTAGATACTAAGTACCTCACTCAGGTCGTTGTAGGTGGTTGACAAACTTCACTACGCATTCATTCACTGCGCATTTTGAAAGAGTCTCTTCTCTATAAGTTTCTCTGCCCCCATTTTCAGACTTCTTTCCTATTATAGCTTTTCCAGCTTTTCTTCTCTTCGCCTATCGTTACACTCCTTCTAGGCTTCTTTTCTTTCATCACCTTGTTTTAAACCTCCCAGTCTCAACTAGTCTTCTGACTATATGCCAACCACCGGCCTTGTCTCTTTTCCTCAACCGCTACTGTTAGTCCACGGCTGTTTGACATTGTGACGGGAACCAATCAGTCATCAGAGGGGTCTTCTTGCCCATCTCGCGAAGTTGAATCGTGGGTTGCAACTGAACTTCTGGAGTGGATCCAGAACAGCCTGAAGCAACCACTTGATCATTAAGATTCTGAGATTCTCTTGAAGGCCAAAGTGGATGGAGAAGCGTTCTTAACTAGTGGTGGCAAGCAGCACTGGTTTGAAAACCTTGGCATAGCTGCTGGTCCTGCCTCGAAACTTGCAGGTCTGGCTAAGACGGTGTACGCGGGTTTCCGAAGAACTAAAATCCTGCGTCTTTTACTATTGCATTATAGCTGTAGCTAACGCAGATGCTAGAGCTAACCCCACCCCGCGAAGAAATTTGGTTATTCCGTCGGGAGGAGACTGTTTCGAAGCTGGCTGAAATCCTGGACGCTCCAAGCCCTATACTTGTCCGCGGGACACCCGCCAGTGGCAAGACTCTTTTATCCCAGCCATTAAGAGATTATCTTCGCAAGCAAGGGGGGGGGGGGGGGGGGGCGAGTATTTTGGCTTGAGGGTTGAAATTGCAATCTGCAAGAGCTTCGTTTTGACGATGTTATGGGAAAACTTATGCATGTGATACAGAATGAATGCAATTTGTATCAGATGGACGAAGACGCAACTGCTCCAGGGACTGTTTTCATCATTGACGAAGCACAAGGGTCATATCGCAACAAGTTATCATGGAATTTCATATTGAAAAGAAGACCTGTTACCGCGAAAAATTTATACTTTTGTCTTTTTTGCTCATATGCCAACGCAGAAAAAGGCTTACCTTATTCGCTAGGCGTTCAGCGGGCCCCCAAAATTTTCAGCGAAGAGCAAAGGATTTCGTTGATACCGTCACCTCCGGGTTTGCCGTCCATAGGCCTCTTCTATACCCCAGCCTGCTGAGATGACAACCGGGTTGTCAACCGAGAGGACGCCCCTTAGAGGTGCAGGGAGGTCGTGTAGTTTAGTAGCATTCTCACTACAGCTTGAGCATTTTCATCGAGCACATCGATTGACGTCACCGTCCCGGGCGGAATGGTTCCGGGTGCGGAAACCTCCGGGTGTTTCCAGCAGGGCGGAAGATCTGTCAAGGTTTACCCCGGCTTTCCTGTGCATGGGGAAAGGCGGGGAAGAGGCCTCCAACAACATACCAGAGCCGGTCCAGGGATGATCACGGCGGAAAGGTTCCCTCCCCACGAGAGAGGGTAAGAGGTGGTCTTATAAGGAACAATACGCAGTATACTTATGGGCCACTGCCGTCTTCTACTCTGCGATATTCTTGCAGCCACGCCAGCGAACCGACAAAGACCAAGGGTTACATACAAGGCCGCGCTAAGATGGCCATCGCGAAGCTGCTGTTTGCTGTGCAAGAGAGCCTTTTCCAATCCCCCCTACGGGCGTTGCCTGTTGTCTTGTTTGTTGTTCCTTTGCTTTACGTCATTGCGAATGAGTTCAACCGCTCCTCTGCCAGGGTCCCAGGAGTCGGAGGGCCTCGTGGGATGCCGTTGATTGGAAACCTCGCCCAGATCCGCCAAAATGCAGCAGAACAATACCGTTTATGGTCGAAAACGTATGGCGCGGTCTATCAGATCCAACTCGGCAACGTTCCGGTCATCGTCGTAAACTCTGCGGCGGCCGCCAAGGTTCTGTTTGGACAGAATGCCCAGGCCCTCAGTTCGAGGCCAGAATTCTACACGTTCCACAAAGTACATCTTACTATCTTCCTTCCATTGAGTCTCGTGAATGTTGACTACCACAAAGAGATCTGACATACAATCCAGATTGTCTCTAATACGGCCGGCACTACGATCGGTACGTCTCCTTACAGCGAGTCGTTAAAAAGACGCAGGAAAGGTGCTGCATCGGCTCTGAATCGGCCTTCCGTGGAATCTTATGTCTCACACTTGGATGTTGAGTCTAAAGCATTCGTGATGGAGCTTTTTAAATATGGGCATGCGGGGAAGACGCCAGTCGATCCATTGGCTATGATTCAACGACTCAGCCTAAGTCTGGCTTTGACCTTAAACTGGGGAGTACGTGTTGCATCCCAAGAGGAGGACCTCTTCGATGAGATCACCCATGTCGAAGAAGAAATCAGCAAGTTCCGAAGTACCACGGGTAATCTGCAGGACTATGTCCCACTTTTGCGTTTGAACCCATTCAGCAACAACTCGCACAAGGCAAAGGAGATGAGAGATCGCCGTGACAGATACCTCAACGGGCTGAATCGCGATCTGGACCGCCGAATAGAGGAAGGGGTTCATAAACCTTGCATCCAAGCCAATGTTATCCTTGACAAAGAAGCCAAGTTGAATCCAGACGAGCTCACCTCGATCAGCTTGACCATGCTTTCGGGGGGGCTTGATACAGTTACCACCCTCGTAGCCTGGAGTATTGGTCTCCTTGCCAAACGACCAGATATCCAAGACAAGGCAGCAGCAGCTATTCAAGAGGTTTACGGCCAAGATCAACCGATGTGTGACGCGACTGATGACCAGAGATGTACTTTTGTTGTCGCCTTGGTGAAAGAATGCCTTAGGTGAGTGAATATCGCCTCTTTCCAGCGCCATCCATCCTCGACCGGTTGAGGTTAATGGCATGGCCCAGATACTTCACAGTTCTTCGTCTCGCTCTCCCGCGCACTTCGATTCGAGACATTACTTATGATGGCAATGTGATCCCCAAGGGAACTGTGTTTTTCCTGAACTCCTGGGCTTGCAACATGGGTAAGCTGCTCCTCGATTGGCCGTTCCTCATTCAGTACGTATGCTGATATATCGCCAACGCCTGGCAGACCCGCAGGTCTGGAGTGACCCGGAGGAATTCCGACCGGAACGGTGGATAGAGCAGCCGGAAGCACCAATGTTCACCTACGGGATGGGATACCGCATGTGTGCAGGCTCACTACTTGCAAACCGTGAATTGTATCTGGTCTTCATACGAACCCTCAACAGTTTTCGAATAGAGCCGTATGATGACATTGACTGGCATCCGGTCAAGGGGAATTCGGATCCAACCAGCTTAGTGGCAATTCCCAAGCGGTACAGGGTCAGATTTGTTCCTAAGGACGAGAGAGCACTTGCTCAGGCTTTGGCCTGAAGGATGTATTCGTTCCTTCACATGTTTTGTCTCAGCCATGGATGGTCTATCCATTCAAATTGCTATTACTTCCACTGGTTCTCAGAATGTGCCAACGCGATGGCAATCCATGCCACTGGCGTAATCAGTGCAAGCCAAGAATCAAGATGTGTCCTCTGATTGTGAGATGGTCTTACTTGAGTAAATTGGTAGTGTAGATTTTCCCGCTTGCGCTCCGATGGCGGCAGTTACTTAACTATTTCTCCCCGAGGCCTATTACTAATACCTCACAGCACGGCTCGCCGGAACTGAAGAAATTCCGTCATCGCCCTGGTCTAGTTATTACAACAAGCCCAGGATTCACCATTTGATTGTCCTCACAGGTTCTCGGTATCACCCCTTCTTGCATCATGTTTTCAAGAGCTTTATTCTCATCCGTGAGTTTGCCCCTCCCCTTCTTCTTTTCTTCTTCTTGGGCTTCCTGTCCATCCCCTTTGCCCTTGACATCCCCTCCGAATTCCTAAGCTTACGGAAATCCAGACATTCCGGCCTCTCTCTCGGTCGTCATACGTCTCACCACCGCTCTCCGCAGGCCTTCGGCTTCCCTCAGTCCTCCATGCCCGGCTACTTTCGACTGAAACAAGGTCCGCTATTGATAAAGCAGTTGGCTCTGCTCCCGTTGTCCTTTTCATGAAGGGTACTCCGGAGACGCCACAGTGCGGCTTTTCACGAGCAAGCATCCAGATTCTAGGTTTGCAAGGGGTAGATCCCAAGAAGTTTGTTGCATTCAATGTGCTGGAAGATACTGAGCTCCGCCAAGGTGTGTTAAAACTCTCCAAGTCGAATGGTCTTCCTGTCCTATTAGATTCATCGGCTAAGCCTAGTCACCGTGTCACTGATTGGCGTTGCAGGCATCAAAGAGTATTCGGACTGGCCAACAATCCCTCAACTGTACCTCGACAAGGAGTTCGTTGGTGGTTGCGATATCTTGATGTCTATGCATCAAAACGGAGACCTTGCAAAGATGCTTGAAGAGAAGGGCGTCTTGGTTGCTGTTGATTGAGTTCTTGACTCAATCGAAATTTGGAGGCCTCTTATCATTATTTGTCCCCCCACCCCCCTTTTTTTTTGCCTAATTATCTTGTACGAATAGAATCCCAATATGAAATGTGTGATAGCTTTCTTTCCTCTCTTTCTTTCCTTTTTTGCAGTGATTCTTGGTTAAGGTTTAAGGTTTTTAAAACCAGCATCAATGTCTTACCGATGAACGAGCAGGTCACAACAGTATCTACAAGTCAATTCATGACTTTTGTGTGTTATCAGACTAAGTTGTGGCTTCCTTCGATTTCTCCAACTCTTCAATGATTCCCTTCTGCAATTTGGCACGCTGCCGTTCTTCATAGGCTTCACGACTCTTCAATATCCTCTCAACTATCTCACCGGCATTAACATGCTGGAAGAGGTGGCTGTTGGTTTCCTTGAATATCCCCATTTTTTTAGGGGCAGAATAAGGGTCATAAGTGAGGGGTATAAAAGTCGTTGGCCCGTGGTAAACAATATCTGGAACGCCTAGCGGCATGGCCTTTAAGTAAGGCTCGCTTGGAGAAAATGGGGCAGAAAATATGACACCGTGGACGTACTAAGGGGAGGCTGTTATATGAAGACCTTCGGAGGCAAAGGGGGGATATGAAACTTACGCGACACTGGAGAACACAAAGTCCACGCTCGAATATGTTCATGATAGGGTAATTAAGCCCTTTCCAATGATTAATCACATCGTCATCATGAATACCGGCAACAACATAGGCTGGCCCGTAGTCTTCTCCACATTCGTCGAGCCTCTTCTTTCTCTGCTCAGGATCAAACCAGCCACGTTCACGGCCTACAGCTTCCTCATACGCCAACACCTGTCTGAGAAATTCAATGTGGCCAGATGAGAAGAGGTCAAACCCTCCATCCACATAGACGACTCGCTGTCCTGGCTTAGGTGGTTTCCCCCCAACTAGAGTTTCAAAGCACCCTGATTCCTCGACGGTGTTGTCGAATTTTGCCGAGCTCGGGCCAGCCCATAGCCAAACATGGGGGCCAGGCTGTAAACCACTCTCGTCCGTGGCATAATCGCAGATCTGCTGTTTGAGTGTAGCAGATGACAGCCTGCGCTCTTCCTCACTTCCCGATCCCTCCTCACCCGTAAGAGTCCTCTGTACGCTCTTCACGAAATGTCCTTTTGTACACAGAAGCATACGGCCAACAAGGTCCGTGGTCGAAATGCCGGGAGTCCTTTTAACGACTCGAAAACGCCCTGCAGCCTTTACGAATCGATAGCAATCATCCCCGTTGCTGTCAGACGTGATGTCGTCCCCGTGAACCACATACTGGCACCCATAATGGGAAACCCATGGGAGGTATGTGACGTAAGGAGCATGCGGTACACAGCAAGTTACCCAGCGACATGCTTCCACCGCAGCTACACTAGCATCAGAGGCAATGGTTTTAGCAAGCAAGGTGAGATAGAAAAGGGGGGTAAGCCAACCGTTCATGCAATGTCATCACCGTGGGACCCTTGTTCTCCAGAATAGCTTCATCGGAATGAACACCAACATAGAGTTCATTGCCCAATTTGCGGGCTTGAAGCATAGCCCCGGCGTGTCCTAAACATCTCGGCCCAGATGAGTCTCGTAAGCAGTTGAAAAGCAAGAGATAACTTCTCACCGTGATGGCTGAAATCAAAACATCCATCTACCCAGAGGCGGTGCTCTGATATCGGTGCATCTTCCTGGGGATCCACTGGCCATTGGCCTGCCGCTGGGACTACTTCCTCCGGCGAAGTAGTAGTGCCCATCACGAGATGGACCTTAGGAATGTAGAGAAATGAACACGTTCGTGATCTGATGTTCGAGAGTGTGGCCGTTAAATATGATACTTGATTGCTAACAGTTGAAGTGTTTTGTTTGTATTTGCCCTCCTGCTTAACGCAGAGGAGGGGCTCGGTGAGCGGGGGGCGGCCCCCGACTCGAACCCCGCGGAGGGCGGTGAGTAAGTGGTCTTTGGTAACCATACCGTACTACAGAATGACACCTCCAGGACTGGTTACAGATACCGTCAGATACAGATACAGATATTTGGTGGAGTAGGTAAGGTATGATAAGGTAAAAACGGTAGAAAAGGTACTCACCACATATACCTCCTTTAGGTACCTACTCTGTAGGTAGGTAGGCACATACCTCCAGGGCTATCAGAGTTACCTTACCTACCTTAGGCACCTAGGTATTCTAGCGTAACATGCATATACGTACCTACCGCCAGCTCAATTCAAATACGGCATATGATGTACCGTATGTATGTACATTACCTCGGTAGGTGAAGGCATGGACAGGGTGCGCTTGACCTGTATGGTACTCACTAGGTGTACGGAGTAGGTACCTAGTAGGCAGGTAGTACTGTGCCCATCTGTCACAGCCACACGATAGCTACCGTACCTTAGATAGGTACCTACCACCTAGGAGCTACTCCGTACTATGTATCGACATTGCAATTACAATTACCCACATCGATCGCCGCACGAGTGCCTCCCAAAAATGAGTGTGGACTTCCCCGTAGGGGGTTACTTAAGTGGGGAATGGGGATTCATCTTATCTTCCAACACCGCCCAGATGACCGCCTTCCTGCTCCGACATTACTCTGCTAGTTCGCTCCATATCTCAGTAAAGACAAAGAGCCACGCTTTTGATGACTGTCCGCTGGATTGGGCTCAATTGAAAAGAAAGATTGGAACAAGATCATCTCCATCAGCCGCGTGGGGCGCCTATTCACCCTATCTTTTCAGTGATTATCCGTCTATCCCCCTAAGCTGTCGTCGAGGACCGTTAACCATTAAGCATGATATCCTCTACATTTGCCCCTAATTTGTCTCGCCGGGACACGGGCAAATCGAGCATAGGCCATGACAATGCTACTGGTTCAGCTCCTCCTCCATTAGCTAGTGGTGGGGGATCATTCGGTCCGCAGAGTGCCACAGCGATTTACCAACATGTTCATGATATGGCTACCAAGCGAATATCTACATTGGACTACTTGCGGAAAGCGTCAGTTGCCTATCTTTCATTCCGAATGGGAGTTGATTGAAGATGGGAGGAAGAAAATGTTAAGATTGGCTTTGCGTAAACATCCGCTGACACTTTCTCCCTTCACAGACATGAAGGCCGCATTTACTGGTTTAACACGGTACATTTCTCCCGTGCCGACATTGGTCGAATCCCCTACTTCGAATCCCGAAAACTTTCCCGCCGCGCCATCAATTATCTCCTACTAGGCTTATCGCTCCCACCAATACTTGACGTCAGTTCGACCCCTGTTGAGTATCTGCGAGCATTGAATGCTCTCCTGATTGAATTCGAAACCTTCCAACAAGTTCACCCACCGGATGGAAGTTCATCATCATCTCTAGCCAGAGCACGGATTCCCCAGATGTTCAAAAGAGCTGCACAAGCCGGGGCCAAAACTAGACGAGCAAGTTCGGCTACTGAAATTGGCCTGCCCATGCAGTCTAGCGACCCTTCCGACCTGAAGGGCATGGCAGGGAATATTTCCTCTTCGGCCTCGGCGGCGGCTGTCATTTCTTTCCCTCATACTGAAGCCTCGGAACTGCTCCCGGGTGAAGAATATTCGTATCTCTTGACCCCGTCATTACCCTTCGAGCCGGATTACTTCGAGACCTTTGTAACTCTATGCGACGTGCTGATAGATTGTTATACTCGACTTGCCTCGTTAATCTCGAGCCCCTCGGTTTGCACCGTCGGGTTAGGTGAGATGTTTTCGAAAGCAGATGCCAAAATCAGGAAAATCATGGTTGCAGGCATTGTACGAGAATTCGAAGACGCAAGTCGGAATAATGCCAAAAACGAAGTCTTTGGAGTTAGCCGGGTTGTGCTTGGTGGTCTTCTAGGTTGACACGAAAGGGGGATTTGTTCTTACATTATTTGGATGCAGGAATTACCTGGATGGCTTTACGGGATTATTAAAGTGAACTGAACGGAATGGGATGGTTAACATGATTTAATTCTCCAATTTGTTCACTATGCCAAGTACCAGGGGGGCTTCGATCTGAATCTTTCATTTGGAAAGAAATAAATAAATAAATAAAAAGGCTGAAGGGATGAGGGGAGGGTGGACTTGGTCTAAAACACTTCCATGTAGACATGAGGAAATAAGGGAACAAGATACTCACTCACCACGGTGCAGAAATGTTTGAACTGGTGATGGAGCACATGCTTCATTGAAAGCGAAATGATAAACTTAATAGTACAGCAGTAACAAAAGGGCCAATATCAAAAGACTCTAGAGAGTTCTGTCAAGAAAGTATGACAAACGCCAAGTCGCACCAAACGCTTCAAAATATGTCAGACTAACGCCAATAAATGCAACCGCTTGGAGTGATGATGCTCAAGAAAAACAAGTCCTGTTGCCCGCAAACACCGTCAGAGTCAAGGTACAAAGAGCCGAGACAGGTCAGGGCTGTAGTTGCTGCTCTCGTTCACGCTGTTCACCAAAAACTCGCCGGCTCATTTCGAGAACAGCCTCGAATCCTTCCCGCCCCCTCTTCGCATTTTGACTAAACCTCTCGACACTCGCCTCCTCGACTTTGTTCTTGATCTTCTGCCAGCCACCGCATAGTGCAGTTATCTTTGCCTCTTGGTTGAAGCTGGTGGTTGAGGTCGGTTCTGCTGACGTTGGTTGATAGGTAACGGTCTCACGAACGTTCAAAACGTTGGACCACGTAAGGTTGGAAGAGCACATCGTGACCTTTTTCGAAATTGGATCGACATAGGATATCTCATAGACATGGGAGGTAGCGCTGCCACCAAAAAGCGAGAGGACCCATTGTGGAACGGATTGATCGCAGGTGATAAGGCGCTCCGTACGCAGCTAATGAGCGGGCAAGGTCAGCGACTGTTCAGAACTTGAAAAGGTTCTTACCAGAACGAAGAGTGAGAGAGCGAGAGATATTGGGAGCCAACAAAAGAAAGTAGACGCTAAGATATACATACAATACCAGTGGTTGAATCAACGCTTCTTGATAGGGTATCTACCGCCACGACATGGGGAGATTTGTCGTTCCAGGGACAATATTTACGCCAGTTCGCCGTTGAAACTTCTTCCCATGAATAATCGAAGGTACATGTTGAAGAAAAGACCTTCATGGTAATAGGCACCACAAAAGGGTTCACTGGCCCGAATTCCTTTCTGTGGAGGTTTTGTATTCTCCCGGGGCGCCCGCAACGTTCAACTTCTCGGGCTGATGGAAATGTCAGATCCAGTAATTTCGGGAGGGTTGGCTGTGGAGATGCTCTGTTGAAGCAGGGTGGTAGTTATGAGAACTAAGAATGAAAGCCGATATTCATTTTTTAAATGACTGATTAATAGCGAAAGGAGCTCCGAACACTGTAGTGTAGAGTGGGTGGCAATCGAGTTGGCCGTACGGAGAATGACAAAGGGAAAAAAAAAAAAAAAAGTTCTCCTCTTCTCAAGCGCCGAGTTTTCCCGGCCGCAACGCCGCGGTATGTACTCCGTGTATCAGGTACCGTACCTCCACATGGACCTTGCCACTTTCTAGAACTGGTGGGTTTAACCTAAGCTGCCAAAAAAAAACTTAACCTACATCTGTAGTAGAATTATCTAGAATAAGAGTGTCGGCAGTGTTCACTTTATAGCCTTGGCTCATTTCTTTGAAATTGTATACACGGCTAGTACGGGTATCAGTGCTCATCTTCTGTATTTACTATTTAGACTAGTCAAAGGTATATACTCGGTATGGCAGCGCAGACTACCTACGTCTCCCAAATCTTGGTATATTGATGGTGTCACCTATCAAGTCTATAGGTAGCTTAGGTGGTGTACGGTAAAAGGCACCATAGGTACCTACATATACCTAGGTACCTACCTACACTTTCGTACCTACGGTTACCTCGTCGAATGTGACAATACGCCGCCGGCAGCAAGGTTGGCAATCTTTGCTCTTATCATTCTACGCACTCCATATCAGTCCTTCGACCCACCCTTCCCTCTACTACGACTACTACTCCGTACACCAGTGGCTCGTCTAAGGCCCCTACAACAAAGCTGGTTGGAAAGAATGGTTGAACTTCGCAAACGCAAGACTTCGGAACAACCCCCGGTGGTGGAAAAAAAGATCAAGAAAAGCGTCACCACTGCCAAAGCATCAATTGGTGCGAGCGAGAAGAAGAAGTCCGTCTCGGCGACTTCTCCAGCGCCGATCTATAAAGTCGGCGATACGGTCACGTTGGATGACTTTGGCGGGCAGATTGAGATGAATGATGGCACGCAGACCACCTTGAAAGACTTGGTCAACGGCAGCGAAAGTGGGGTGGTCCTGTTTACATATCCAAAAGCCTCTACTCCCGGCTGTAAGTTGTTCAAGCCCTATGTGGACATGTCGATGCGATCAATATGAACAGAGACTTATAATATCCAAGGTACGAAGCAAGCATGCATGTTCCGAGACAGCTATGATCACCTAACGTCGACTGGATTGTCAATCTACGGGCTCTCGGCGGATTCACCCAGAGCGAATAGTACATTCAAGGCCAAACAAAGGCTCCCCTATCCCCTCCTCTGCGACCCTACCTTTAGTCTCATCGCAGCATTAGGACTCAAAAAGTCACCCAAGGGTACCATCCGGGGTGTGTTTGCCATCAACAAGAATGGGGATGTTTTGCTGTCTCACGCAGGAGGACCAGACGCGACAGTAGAGGCTACCCGACAACTGGTGGCCAAGTGAGCTGGATGGTCGGCTAAGCCATATCAAAACTTTTCTCGTCCTGATCAGGTTGAGTGATGGCAGTACATCCTTGGAAGTACGGGTTGTTCTTGATCCATTCCAGTGCATGCAACAATCACTGTATCTTGACAGCTTCGCAGATCAATTAATTAATCTTGACTTCGTAACTATTATTGTAACATTCGACTGTATTCGATTCCATCTGTGGAGGCGGGCGAACGGCGAAAAAGGCCGTCATCGGAGTTACTATTCTTCCGGCCGTGCCGACCCTCGCCGTTTCTCTGGAGGCCTTGGCTTTGCTGGAGGCCACACGGCAGAAGGTGATTTGGATTACCATTGTCTGTCCGCAGCCATCCCCCGTATCCATTAGGTAGGTAACGGACGACTGAGGTTGTGCCGACAAGATCCAAAAGAACCAAAACGTCCGAACCGGGAACGCTCAAGGCGCTGATATCTTTCGAGGACACAGGATCTCGACCGAATATGGCTCGGGGCTTTCTCAACGCGGCCAAGTCCGCATCGAATGTCATAGCCGTTCATAAGGTATGAAAACCCAGTAGCGCCGTGAGCTCTTGATCGCAATGCTTCTAAACTCTACTAGAAATACACTGTTCAGTCCGTCGGGGTATGGGAACGGCTCCGCCGTATCTTTTCCATCGAACCCAACCGCTCGACTGGTGTGCCGTTGAACTCTCAGTTTCGACTGCCAACTCCTGGCGCTCTGCCTCCGCTTACCTATGATGATCCTGTTACTGTTCCGGCCGGTGATATTGCCGACAATCCATACTGGAAGCGCGACGTTCGGAGGAGCTACCCCCGGCTCAGCACCGTGAACCAGGCCGATGCCGTCGGTCTTCTCAGCGTCGGTAGCCAAGCGGCACCCAAGGATGATGTTTTGCAAGTCGGCGAGGCCGGGGAGAAGCAGCTAGTCTCGGTCAAGCAGCAGGGGGAGGAACGCGGTCTGGCCGGCCTCTTTGAGAAAGACGGCAAGGGCATTAAAAACGTCCTAGGAGTCAACGGGTTGCCGCCAATGCCTTGTAATTTGAATTCCTCGGCTTCGAAATACCAGCTGGGCGATGACCACGGCTACCCTGATGTGTACGTGTGACCTACTCCCTCGGACTTTGCAGGGGTTTTTGACTGACATCTTGAACAAGCTACCCCTGTCGCACATTTGTTTAACCCCTTCATTGACCTATCTGTACCGAATATACTTATGCTTTGACCTCGTTTGGCAGAGCAGTTAGTGGAGAGAATAGGAATAGTATGTATTAACAATGTCAACTTGTCTTGCTCTCGCGTTGGGTCTCCAGTTGCAGAAGACCCCGATAAGAAGTCTTCCACTATACTATGAACTCGGAGTAGAGTATATGCCATGTACCTGTGGCGGGGAGAGGAGAAAGGAACGGAGGAAAGGCATTCAATAATCTTCGGGACTATTGGGACAATCATCTCTTGATCCACCACATTCCACAGCACAGTTTGGTAAGGGACCCAATGACACCAGAAATCATGGCATGTTCAAGCCTAATGCATTGTTGCTAATTCTTGGACAAGTGTGAAGGATTACGTTGGTCGAGCAGTGCAACGCGGTGTACATTGTTTACATATTATAAGACCAAAACTATACATGGAAATCCGAGGGATACGGGTCCGCCGCATCAGGGCATTCACTTAATCAAATGGGTTTGTGCGCGTACCCCACCATGTCAGGAATAAACTCAGACCGACTGTTTCAAACACTCTACTCACTGCTCCCACGGCGACCGTATCTAAAGGTCTCTTCTCTGCGAAAACCTGGCTGATAAACTGTTTCCCAGGGGCGGGCATGTTAGCGCATATTGCCCGGAGACTTGGATCGATCATGTGGATATCACGCGGAAGGAACATACACCTGGGGCGGCGCTTGCCATGAAGATCAACCCACCCAAATACGCCGCACCCTTGTAACTCAGGGTCCCGGTTGCATTGATCAAAGCTGCGACCCCGTAGGTCTGGAGGGCACTCCCAGTTAGGGAACTACCCCAGGCAGCCGCGGCTCCAGCGGCCTCCTTCGATTTAAGGAACTCCTCTTTGGAATTGGCAGCTTGCGCCCGGTGGTAGGTATCGCCAAACACCGGTGCCAGTATACCTAACGACGCGGTGTGGGTAAAAAAGGTACCGAGTGCAATAGCCGATGGCTTCACGGGAGGCAGGTCTAGTTAACCCTCTCGTTAGCATCGAAGATATGCACGGCCAATGCCGACTCGGGAGATGCTGGAATGAGTTCAGTGCAAGCCAAGCACTTACAATGAAGAGTAGTCATTTTGGGGTTGGGGGGAGGGGATGGTAAGAAATCTCGAGAGGTTGCTTAGCTATGCTGGTGAAAGGGAGTTGGCTGGATGGACATGACGGTTCTTATGAATCAGTTCCGGTTGTGGTGTCATCATGGGCACACGAAGTGACGTATCTATGATCAAAAGACACTGCCGATATCGATGTTGACCACCGTGACATGGCATGACGTCAATATAGGATCTTGGAGCCCACAGAAAGAACACCGGGCGAGTTCCCAGGCGGTTATGTACGGTAAAAGGTAGAGCCTGGGGAATGCTATGGTAAAGCAGAAAGAGTCCCGCCAGCACTCCGGGCTCTCGCATCTCGATCTTCGATCTTATCTTTGATCTTCCGGGAATCTGGCGCCAGAGAAGAAACCCCCGGGCTAGAGCAAATTTTGAAATGGGTCACTTCAACCACCAATCCGCATTTGGCCCTGGGAAGGAGCTTTCCCCCTCCTCTTTGAATTTTATCTGAACCCTCAAGTCGGTTCAATCCTCCACCTTTAGCACTTCAACGCTCAATCGAAGCTACCGGTTTCCCACCTTGCATTGCCTTGAACCGGTCTCGCCCAATCTCGTCGTCTCATCCGCAGAAAACCCCGCCTCCGTCACCATGGAACATTCCAACAATCATAGTCCAACCCCAGACGGTGTTGATGTGGATCTCGAAGTCAGCGAATCTCTTGTCCCCATGCGGGATCTGAAAGCAGCTGAACAAAATACCGTATCCTTAGACGGTCTCCTGGCGGAACCCTTAATCCTCAAAGAAGACCTCAAGGAAGGGTGTGGGGGCCAGCTATGGCCGGCGGGGATGGTACTCGCAAAATATCTGCTGCGACGGCATCGCTTGGATCTCTCGAATAAAACGATGTTTGTAGTTGATCCTTTGCTTCCCACCGCATGTCTAACCTCCTTATCAGAATTGAATTGGGAGCCGGCGGCGGTCTGGTGGGGCTTGCGGTCGCACGTGGGTGCAACGTCGGGGAACCCCCAATATACATCACGGACCAAGCGCCTATGCTACCTTTGATGGAGACGAATATCAAAATCAACAACCTGGCCTCGACCGTGGTTGCTGGAGTGCTGAACTGGGGGGAGGCCCTGCCCGATTCTATCCCAAGGCACCCGGCCGTCGTCCTTGCGGCTGATTGTGTTTACTTCGAGCCCGCCTTCCCTTTACTGGTCTCGACATTAAGCGATCTCCTAGGCCCGGAATCCATTTGCTATTTCTGCTTCAAGAGGCGCAGGCGTGCGGATCTTCGCTTTATGAAAATGGCCAGAAAGGTTTTCGATGTGGAAATCATCACCGATGACCCTGATGCCGAAGCATACGGGCGAGAGAATATATCCATCTTCTCCATCCGTCCCAAGCACGGCGAGAAAAGGGCATCGCGAAGTCAATGAAGGAGAAAGCACTGTCCAGTCTCGCTAATTGCCGCAAGAGGGGAGTTACGTGAACATACAGGCTCCAGAGGGCGGGGTTTTTTTCCCGGGGGATATAGATAGATATACATGTATAGAAGGTATCCGGGCATGGAACTGAATCAACATATGCAACAAAAACTCCACCGTGGTCGTCTAAAAGCATCTGATCCCTAAAGCTTTAACATATCCGCCCCCTTCCCTCGGCTCCCGGAATTCATTTCTGAAACCCTGTTGCCCTGGATGTCAGTAACCTCACCCTGCTTTCCAATAACCTTGACGCCGCCCTTTCTTAAATCAGACACGACCTGTTGTCTCTCAGCTGCTTTCCCGGACGTCGGCTTGGAGTGATCAGTTCCAGATTTCTTCTGTTTCTTGTTCTGCCGCCGAAGCCTAGCCTTGTCTTCTCGCGTCATCTCTTCCTTTGAAACCGACACCCCGTTTTTCAACACCAGTTCACCGGCAGCCTTGCTATCGCCACCGGGAGTGTATATTTCCTGTGGCGCAAGAGTGACTGTATCAGTAGCGGTACTGGATGCTGTTGGCCGCGCATCCTCCATGGAGATTGTTGCCACATCAGTAACCACGTTGATACTTGGCTGTGGAGCTTTTGGTTTATAGTGCCAGTTTGAGAGGGTGTCCAACTGGGAGCCTATCTCCTTCCACAAATTAGAGATCTCAGTATGCTCTCGCACCAATTTTCGATCCTTTGGATCGACATAATTCGGGTCTGTCGCACGAAGGTGATCCGTCTCATAAAGCTCAGCCAGACTCTGCTGGGGTTTGGCATCATCCAATTCAAATCGCCCTCTCCTTGCATCTCGTGTATCTGAAACGCCAGGGTGTCGACGGATGATCTCATCGAACTCTCGTGAAAGAATCCGACGCTTGACAAGCTCCTCAATGTCCTCTGAGACCTCCGCAGTGACAACTGGCACTGGCTTCCCAACTCTTTCAAATTCCATATCCTCCTCGATGAGAGAGTTCACGGGCCTTTCGACTGCCCTGGCCTCGCCCCCAAGCATCCATTCCTTCTTGGCAACATTGGCAGCTTCTAGACGACGAATCTCATCCGCAATTTGCGCACGCCTCTTCTCATGGGTTGAACGCTGACCTTGAGCATTGCTTGATTCGTTGTCAGAGGCGTCCATTTCGCCAGCTGAACTTTCGTCGTCGAACAAATCGCGGCGCGCATCAGCCATCGCGCGATCTATCTCGCTGTCGTCAATCGTTTCACGCGGTTGCGTTTTTGGCAGGGGGCGGGATGCCTTGCCTTTGGCCTTGCGAGGAGGCGGTGCGAAGAAGTCGGAATACTTGATATCGCTTGTGTTGACCCAGCCGTTGTCATTCGAGTCACCGAAATCGCTGCCGCCCTCCGAGCTCAGCTCATTATCGACATCCATCTGGCCAAATGTCGGTCCCTCTTCGTCGCTCTCCTCATGTGAACTTCCATTTTCGGTGCCGGGATCATGTTTGGAGCTTGTGAATGAGCCTGCAGAGACCAATGGATTAGAATGCCAATTAATCTCTTCCTCATCACTCTCGGCATCATCATCTGGCCCACCCCTGGCATCCTGTCTCTCGAATGCCTCAGATTGCTTGTTGAACTCATCGATTGAGAAGAAGCCATCGTTGAGATTGAAAGGGTCTTGCGTATATGTATCCTGTGCACTTTGGCTGCCGTTTTTTATGCTTCCTGCATCTTCTGAAACACCGTCGTCCAACTCATCAGCAGAACTATTGGGTTCAGAGCCTGGGTGTGATAATGCGTCTGAAACCACTACTGATTCCTCGCTTTCCTCCCTGAGAACACCACTTGTTCGGTTTGCATCATCTCCGGAAGGGGTATTTGAGTCATCGTTTGACCATTCGTCGGGTTCAAGGTCCACGTTGTTGGGACGAGTTGCGGGAATCTGCGCATAGAGCAAAGACGCGTTCCGAGCACAGTCCTGTTCGATTTCTTGACTGGCAGAATCCAGTATTCTCAAAGCCTGCTCCCATATCTGATCGGAAGAGAAACCATCCACATATAATTGTTTCAGTTGCAGGATATAATTCTCGTTATCTTTGTCAAATGCCGGTCTCTTGCGTTTCCTATTGTTTTGCTGGCGAGCACCCTGAGAAGCACAAACCGAAGAGGCAAGCGCATCGACTATATATTTGGAAAGCTCGACCGATTGGGCATGAAGCTTGTTTGTTGGATGAAGAAAAGCCCATGGCGCAGACAAGGCTGTGTTGGTAATAAAATCACCGTCCCTCGAGCTAAGAACATTGGGGAGACCAGAAATTGCTCGATGATCAAGAAAAGGTTTTGCTTGGTTCATTTTAGCGTTGAACTAGCCAATACTGGTATATTGCCCCAAATAGACATAAAAATAAAGCAGCAAAGAGAGACAGAATTGTTGATCAAATTATTGAACTCGAAGATTATCACGGAAAGAAAAAAAAAAAAGTTCCAGAGATGGACAATCCTAATTTGGTTAACGGCAGGATCTAGTGCATGTCTGGTAGGCGGTGTCCGTGATGGCCCCCCACTTCGGCCTTGACTGTAATAACCTACTCCATATATACAGGTAGCCTTGATCTTTCTTGAACAGTCCCCAGCATATGGAATACAACTATCTCCCCCTTGGGCCATTGGTGACAGCACAGGTTAACTAGGTACTATGGTCTCATGATTCATGGATACTGCGCATCGGGCGCGATAATAACTTGACCCGTTTCATACCACAATCTTTGATTGATAGTACCTAGGTACCTAGGTACCTACTCTGGACGCCTTTCCGCCAGTCTATCGTAACGGAGCCTTGGGGTGTACCTAGCAATTTCCTTCCTACATGTCGTCTAGTCCAATTGAATGAAATCGCTCGATTAGCGGCGTCATCGTGTGTTCCTTGCAAGTCAGAATACTCGTCATCCCCCACAAACTGGTGCTTACTGCTCAAAGAGAGTACAATGGGCAAAGAAAACGGAAAACTGTCTGGGTTAAAGACAACTATTTGTGGAAAGGTGAAAAGAAAACTAGGCTATAGCATCACAGAAGCAGTCAGGCGAGGTAACTGGCCATCAAACAAAGCCTGCAAATTTTCGATGTCCTACGGATGCATTAACAGCACCCAGAACTTGGTCTAAAGTCGCAAAAATGCCATTGAGCAATAAGATACACATTCCTCCCCCCTCCCTCCGGAACAGCATACAAGTAATGAGTACATGACACATACCTTTTCTGGTTTCCAGCCAGGGGCCTGCTATTCTCACATACACGGGCTCCGCCTCACAAGATCAACGCCTGTACCACATACGCGTGATTCTCGTATGTCTCATCTTCTTTTGAAGCTGGAAAATACCATACATCAGTGCCTCAGATGTAGGTGGGCCTTCGGTTAATGTTAGCAAATATCATACAAGGAGTGGCGAATAATCAGGGGTGAACGAACATCCAGGCACATAGACGTCAACGGGGACGATTCTATCACATCCGCGGACAACGGAGTAGCTGTAATGATAGTACCCGCCGCCATTTGCGCAACTCCCCATACTGACAACCCAACGAGGGTCAGGCATCTGATCGTACACCTGTCGGAGAGCAGGAGCCATCTTATTGGTCAAGGTACCGGCGACAATCATGACGTCCGACTGTCGTGGGGAGGCTCTGAAAATGATACCTAATCGATCCTGATCGTATCTCGGCGTAGACAAATGCATCATTTCAATGGCGCAGCATGCAAGGCCAAAGGTCATGGGCCAGAGAGAGCTCTGACGCGCCCAATTGGCAACTTGATCGAGCGTAGTCCTGCGCACATTGTTAACAGGCGTTGAGATATCCACGCCTCACGACAAATGGGTCACCAACAAGACATATTGCATCGCACCCTCTTTCTTCTCCTGGCTCGCCAAAGGCACCTCCTTCCGTACCTTTCCAGATGCAGACAGAGATTGACCGGGTTGGCCTTGTCGCTCCAGCGCCGTCGCTGACTTGAGAGAAGAAGTCGAAAGCATAGCGACTGATTGGATCCGAGGTGTGCGTAAGAAGCCTGGTCGCGCTACTCAGTGTGAGCAAATCAAACGTCGATGGGTTCTAAGAAAAAAAAGTTCAAATTGCCTACCATGCAGGGCGCCCGGCAGGGCGCGTTTGGTCAGGAGTGACATATCAAAAGTGGGCGAATTGGCTGGGGATCAATATTTTAACGCTTCTCTCTCTTTTCACCGGCCTCAATTGATAGATGGATATAAGGGTAGTGGTGGTGGCAACCAAATATCGACCGAAGTGAGAGACATGGGCAGAAGGCCTTCATTTCCTCGAGGCTCCGCATGCACTAGTGACCTATGTGGAACCCGTCGTTCCGGGTGTTACGCAGGCAGTACTTGATTTGGCTGCCAATGGGGCGTGAACATGGTGCCGGCGCCGTTTAATACCGTATTGCCGGAGGCACGGTAATGGAACACTTAAGGTTGAAATCATCAGAGGGGCGTCTCGTACAGGTAAGATCAATTCAAAGCGGCGTCATTGGCCGCTAGTGTCCACTCTCCTTCTAAGGGGCACTTGAGCGGCCAACGGAGCAGTTCCTCAGCCCCTACACTAGGTACCTGAGGTATCTACTCCGGAGTACCTGTCTAACCTTCCTACCTGCCCACCTAGTAGCAGTGTAGGTGCTACCTAGAACGACTGGTACTTAACTAATTACCTACCTTACTTACCCACTTACCGACGGTACCTACTTCAGGTATCCCTAGGGACTACTACCTACCTACCACGGCCATTTTATCTACTACCAGGTAGTAGTTGACCAAGATACCTAGAGGTATCCGAGTCACAGATCTGGAAGAAACCGCGGGTTTGAGCACCCGTTCACTTGCCAATCAATCCTCTGTACCCCCACGGCTTGGCTTGTCGATGTTGCTGGTCTGAAACATAACCAACATTTTCTCAAGATGGAAATGAATAGATCTTCCCGGCCAAAGATTGCTTGCATCAGCGTAATTGGGAAAGCTGTGCGCTCCTCTCTCACGAATCCAAAGATGCATGCGTGCTAACAGAACCCTTGAAGGATAATCCTCTCCTCACCTCCCTCTTTCCGCCTTATCTCGGTTCAAGCATTGAATTCTCACTTCTATTGAATTCGTGCCTTGACGTATTTGAAATACGTCAGAAGCAAACCTCCGTGGATCAGGATTTAGGCTTGTTGCACGCCGTGGATGAGCGATTAGCAGTATATGGCTGGCTTACCACGACCGGAGTCAAACTGCTTGTTGTGGTGGACCTAATAGGGCAGGCCGTTTCTCCTAATGACGAAGGCCGCCAAATTTTGGCAGGAAATGGTGTGAAAGAATCGGATATGAAGCCGGTACGAATACCATCTCCGTAGGCGCCGATAGACCTTAGCGGCATCCCAGCTAACCAGATAGTTTTCCAGGTCTTCCGAGCTTTGCAAATGGCCTATATCCAACTCCTACAAAACCCGTTCTATTCCCCTGACGCCTACGGTCAACTAGCGAAAACATCTTCTGCGGCGTCAGATTCATTGCCTATTACAAATTCAAAATTTATCGCGGAAGTAAAGCGTATAGGAGAATCATGGGTGCCGGGTGCAGTCTCACTGTGAACCAAGCCATTTCGGTGCTATGCAGATGGTAGGGACTAATTTTCTAGTCTCCGGTCCCCTTCTCTCTGGAGGAAGTAGGTCCTTGAATTTATGAACATCCTCTTACTTTTCAAAAAGCCAGCGTTGAAATTCAATGGACTGAATAAGACATGAAACTACGTCAGGTGTAGGTATGGTCTAAGTTATAGGCCAAACGGTTTCCATACCCGCGTCGCTCATGATCAATCCGGTATTACCTGAGACCTGAGCAGAGGCAGGAGGCAGACAAGGTATAAAAATACCCAATGTTGATGTACAGATGTTTTTGTGATATCTCCGGTAAACAATTGTATCTAGATATCCCAATGAACCAAGTAAAAGGAGAAAAAGAAAAAACCAAAAGAAAAATGAGAAGCAAAAAACAAATAAATAAAAATTAAATGAAAAGACTGCTAAAGTACATCAATAAGCCTAAGCGTAAAAGTAGAGATAGCTGAAGGCCTGCTCGGACATTTTCAGTGGCCCGAAAGGTCAGCTTCTGTTTGCTCCAGAGCAGTCATTACCCTCTCAAGCTCGCGGGGATCACAAATAGCCCAAACACCACCACCCTGTGTGGCAACCCTGCCGACACCTTTGCCTACCAAGTTCCTGCCGACCTTGCCGGGACCTAAGCCAAGCCATCGCTTGACTCCTTCCTCCTGATCTAAAAACCTAATACTTTCCCACCATCTCACCGTCTGAACGCATTGTTTTGACAGCAATAGTTTGAGCTGCTCTCTAGAGGCAAAAGGACGACCGGAAACGTTTGATACACAGGGCATGTACGCTGGAAAGTTTATTGTGATATCATCCAGGGCACTCCTCATGTACTCGGCAGCGGGTGCCATGATAAGGCTGTGGAAAGGGCTTTCACTGTTCAGCCTCACAGCACGAGGATCATGGCCGCCGAATTGGCGAAGCTGAATGAGAAGGGTTCTTATCCTGTCCAGGCTGCCACTGAGCACTATTTGGTTTCTGGAGTTAATATTTGCAATCATCACGTGTTCAATGGGCGGCATTTGGGAGCTCGAGTCGTCTTTCAAGCCAGGCGATGAAAGACCAAGGAATTCATGAATAGCTGAGAGCAATTCGTCAAGATGTTCCGGTTCGCAGATTAACGCTACCATACCATAGGTTTCACCAGACTGTTCAGTGGCATGGCGAGTGCACTGGGCCATGATTTCAGCCCGTCGTCGCACGATTTTCAGAGCATCGCTAAAGCTAAGGTAGCCGCCGGCCACCAGAGCCGAAAACTCTCCTAGGCTATGCCCAAGCGTAACGTCCACACGTGATTTGATGTCGAAATCAAACCCTTCCTCCAAGATTCGCAGGATCAAGATCGACGTCGCCATTATAGCGGGCTGTGAATTTTCAGTCTTGTTCAGTTCCGAATTGGGCCCTTCCGAGATGAGACGAGATAGCCCAAACCCTAGAATCGTATCCATCTCATTGAGAAATCTTTCGGTAATGTATGGGAAGTCATGGGCCCAGGAGGCAACCATTCCCACCCGTTGTACCCCGTGACCTTACCAAGGAATTGTCAGTGAGGATGAAACTCTTAAGGCAAGACAAACAGAGAGAATTCAGACCAGGGAAAAAAAGGGCGGTTCGCAGTTGCCTTTTGAGCGAGGATGTATAGAACTGCCTCCAGCACCTTGCGGGTTCAAGTCTTGGCTGGCATTTGGAGCGAGGATGGTACAGCGTGGTTCGGACATGTAAACCAGTCTTGGGTTTGCAGAGAGCTGGTAGCATTTTCCTTGGATTGCGCCCCGCTTGGCGACCCCCTAGGCCCTTTTATCGACAAGCCAGAGCTGGCATATGAGCATTATCATTCATCAATGTTCGACAAGGCTGAGGATGAGCCGGCTACTCGGTGGATGATAGATGACCTTCCCGAAGTCCAGATCTATGGCATGCTGACAACTCCATCACGTGATTAGGACAGGGTTCTTTGTAATGTCGTCATTCCAGGTGAGGCCGTGAAGTGTAAGTAGAGCAGATAGCTTTGCCAACGTCGTAGGCTGCCGCGGCAGGAAGATTCCTAGTCCTACAGGGGAAGGTAAGGTCACTTTCGAGAGGGCCCACAAACGCCTGTGGTAGCGCTACATCACGCCGCGTTGTTATTGCCGCCCTCGATCTCACCGCCTTCGGAAACCAGCAGCTATCCTGGTTTGAATTGCCTTCACTTTTTACTTTATTCTACATATGCGCAATATTGACATACCCGGACCAGCAACGCACGTGTGCATGGCAGCATCATCCCGCGTTGCCAACGTCCGCTACTCTTGAACCTCAGTCTTCTTGCCAGATGAATTGAACAGCCCGCTCCGTCCTTCGCAAATCCTCGATTGATTGCGACAATGTTTGTACCGAAAGCAGCACTTACATCGACAGGCTCCCTACGCAACCCTCGAAGGCGTCAGCGTACGGGCTCCGATGACTCTGTAAACCCACCAAGTGCCAAAAGACAACGCTCTGCTTTACGGAATGAAGACACCAGGACGTCTTCGGAAAACCAGGCGGGCCAGCATAGTTCTGATGAGTCTTTGGGATTTCCAATGCGCTCGATCTCGGATGAACGCGCTGCGTCTGTTGCCGATGCTTTCTCCAGTCCGAAGGAGATACCAATTAGGGTTCTTCAGAAGCCCGAGAAAGAAGTAAACAAACTTGACGCCACCCTTGTCCTGGTCTGTTACTTTACGCCTGTCCCTCGCTCTCCCTAGTCACTGCCTCGAGAACCACCTAGCTGATGTCTCCGGAGGACAGTCAAAAACAGACTTCTATGAAGTATCACAACTTCCCACGTTACCGGATCAACTACGTAGCTCACGGTCCGGTATGTAAACCCCGCGCGCTCTTTGTCGCTGTGATTAACAAGATAAAATAGCACCTTTAACGTGTTTTTTCGGAACTAGCCTGGGGTATGCATTGGCTATGACAAACTCCCTTGCAACAATTTGGCCATATTCAATTGCCGCCTCGTCACCTTCACCCGCCGATGTTTTTACGCTATCCATACCCGAAACACACAAGGATCCTGCAGAAACAGTTCCTTTAGGTGTACTATTATCTGCTGCGACAAATGGTATTCCCGGCCTGATGATTATCATGCCCCACAGTGGAAAGATTGTGTATTGGGAAACCGTTACTAGTGCAGCGTCTTTGGGGTTGCAGAGAGGGAAACAGACAGGCATTCAGGCTCAGGTAAACAATTTGTCTTATGGGGAACAGGTGACAGATTTGATCAATTGCGAGCCTTCTGGAGTCTTGGCCACGTTTTCTAGCGGACGTGTCGCGCACATAACGCTCAGAGACCCCCAGGGCAAGCCCATGGTGAGTGCGAATTTCCTCCGGAACTCACCAACCCATAGCCGGGCCAGTAGCTTTTTCGGGGGTATCAAACACGTCCTTGGAAGCAGTTTCTGGAAGAAAGACCTCGCTGCTATTCGGGCAGGTCAGTCGCATCAGCGTGGGCAACGCGATGTCATCATTGCCACCATATCTGGTGATGTCGAAATTTGGGACACGCATTGGAACAACGGCAGCATTCTCAGAAAGCAGTATGACATAAAGAACCACCTCAACCACTTTCTCAGGGCCCACGATATGGATATTATTGAGGATTCTAGTCTTCAGATACTCGACTTTGCACTCAGACCCTTGAAAGGCAACACAACGTCCTCGCCAGCCGAGACCGCCGGGGGCTGTCAGATCCTGTTGGCTATAGCGCTGCCTAACTCGAAGGGCAACAGTATTTCTCTGGTGCAGATGGATTTGTCAGAAGAGGTCCATATTCATTCTATCGCCTCTATTGATCTGTCCAGCGTTTCTGCTGACTTTGATACCATGAAACCGAAATTGCTTGTTCCCCACCCTGGAGATACCGCATTCGTCATGATAGGACATTCAATTATACTTGCGTCTTTGACGCAAATGAAGAACACCGTTTCTGGCACTCAGTTATACCCAGATACCGATCAAAAATCGCGGGTTGCGCATGATTCGCTTACTTTCCGCTCAGGCAAAGGCTACGAGATCTTAGGCAGTTGTGCCGAAAACCAAACTGTCGAGGGATCACGTCCTGCCTGTCTTGTTATGGTCCGAGATTTTGGTCTTATTCGTGTGTCGGCATTCCCTCGTCTAACGACCGAGAACAACGTTGAGAATGCCGGCGTCTCCGCTAAGCAAAGAATCGAGCAAGCGATATTTTACGGAACAATGCTAGGCAATCCTCTGTGTCTGAATAGAAAGAGTGACTTGGATTTCCCTCCGGGTGAGATCGAGCAGGCTGTACTGGAAATTTGCTCCGAGTTACTACACTCCACCTCGAGATTTGTACCCACAACAGCAATATCCATGGATCAGAACTTGCGGTCACGAGCAAAGGCCCTGAATGATCTGGCCTCTCTTTTAACGGCACTGAATTCGACTGTTAACCGGCGAACTTGGTGGGAGCTGTTGTGGGGCGCAGAGAAGCTCGCAGCTCAACGGGCCTTGTGGAAATTGGAAGAGAATGCTAGGAGAAGCAAACCCTCTGTGCCAACATTACTCAGTCACGTCATTGGAATCATGAGCGATAAATTCAAAACTTGCAATGATAACCCAGCGGATGAAATTGATCCGGTGCGCAGTTGGCTCATGTACGACACCTTTCGAATGGAACACATTGTTCCATGGATATTCAATGCCATCAAGCCCCAGAAAGGACATTCCACAAGGCAAGGGCGAATGATGGCCGAACAGATCTACGAAGCAAGTGAGCTTTCTCTCGCCGTGTTGGAGACCGCTTTTCGATACCGAGATGAGCATGCCAGTCAGTACGGCATTGGCGATGGATATCTAGAAGAGGGCATTTTGATAACCGGCTACGAGGGCCTACCAGAATTCTGGACGTCGAAGAGCATTAGCTGTGTGGAGACCGGGCATCTTTTGGACCTGGAGCTCGACAGCTGCAGATTATGGATTCAAAAGGCAAATTCGACCGTCGAAACCCCTGAAAACCAAACCATCAGAAGAATTGCAGGAAATTGTGCCCGAAAACTTCAAGTTCTAGGCCTGATGCACAGTGAAAGAGTCCGGTGGCTTAACGCTCAAGAAGACCCAAAATTGCTCGAAGAGAGTATCACTACGGAGCAAGCACTTGTCAAACAACGCAAATGGCAATTGTTCAAGTTAGCGGGTATCGGACAACTGAAAGACGCTATTGCCATGGCCGAGAAATTCCGAGATATGGGGGCTTTGGTAGAGCTCATAATCGAGTTACAAGATCAGACCAAAAGTGGAAATCTCCAACAAGCATTCCTGGGAAAACATTCGGGTAGTGAGTCAGAGGACTTAAGTCGGAAGATTGGCTTATATTTTGAGAAGTTTGGGGAGCCATGGGCAGATGCCTTCTTCTCACGACAAATATCGATGGGTCAGCCCGGGGTCTTGTTCGCGATGACAAAGTTCCAACCTTTCGTTACGAAATTCTTACATAAATATCCGGCTTATTCCCGCTTAGGCTGGATCAATGATGTGCTTGGCGAACATAATTTTGACGTTGCTGCTCGATCATTGGAGAACCTGGCCATTGAACATGAATCAGACATCTGGAGTCATCGCGCCCAGTTGTCTTTTGCAAAACTTGCCAAGTTGGCGTCGTGGGAGGAAAGCAATTGCGCAGACAATGCAGCTCTCCATCACGATATCCGGCGTCTTGAGGACCTCGCAGAAATCGATGCAGTTCAGGAGGTCGTCCATGCCTACATCACACCAGTATTACAAGGCGCGATTGATCGCAGAGCTGAAATCGATCTAGCTGTGGATCACTTCGGAAAATCAACTACGGAGGACAAACCATCGCTCCGTGAGATCCTACGCGACGCTTTAACTCGAGTAATCAGCCGACAGGTCGTCGGTGTGGAGCGATTAGTCGATTTTTTGACATTGATGGACTCCCCTGGTGATACAGAACTTGATCAAAATGAATTTGCTGGGAAGGAGTTCTACCTGGCTTTGCGTGCCATTCGGCTCAGCCCTTACGGCCAACGCGACCCACTATATAATGCGGCGTTGCAAAAGCTGGTATGGCGAAGATGCATACTGAAAGACAATTGGAAGGTTGCAGGACGAGCCGTTCAGGAACTAGATCGTGAATTTGAGTCTTTTCTCTATAATTCTGCTCTTTTCCGTACGCTCGATTTGTGCCTGAAAGACCGTAAGTACTGATACGTCATAGAAACATACATGCACTGACCATACCTACCCAAAGGACAAAACGAAGACAGTAATGTTTCGCTCTATGTGCCAACTTCTCCTCGGGATGTGTCACTCACGGAGTCGGATCTGGACCTTCTTGTGTCTCGTTTCCCCCTTGAGCAACGCACTAGAATTGGCCGAGATCTTGAGTTAGAGAATGAGAGCTTATCTCAGAACGTTGAGATCGGGAAGCTTGAATTTTGGTTTAATCATCTCGTTACATCTGCTGAAGACGCTGGGCCAACGACAAGCACCGCAAGCATCACAGACCAATCTACGAATCACCAAGGGCAGGCTGAACAATCCCCACTGTCTGCCGAACGGATGGAGACGAAGTCTCGTCTAAACTGGCTCTAATCCTTCCTACCGTTGAGCTCCTAACTTCTTTTCTGTTGCCTTTTGCGTTGCTGTTCGAGTCACTCCCGACCATTTCCTAGAAGCAAAGAGAAAGCTCTGGCTCAATGTGTACATCGAATTAGTCGGGAAGATCTTGATTGGGCAGCGAATGACTACATAATATTTTCATTATGTTCAAGGTAACTGCAAGTCTTATTTGGTGAGGTCCACCGGGAGGAGGGCATCAATATCTAGATTGTTTCGAGACGCCCCACCCTTTAATAAAATTCAACTAGCTGGGAAGATGTGATATTTAATTGTCCGGCATGCGTTTCAGTTTAATGATTTTGTGATCTGCAATCTGTAGGCTATCAACTGATAGTTCAACCAAGTATCAAATAGAACTCATCTAGGCCACGGAACACGGAACCACAGAGATAACAAAAAGGGCCTGGACTTCATCTGATCCTAAGTGCTTGAGTTGTGGACTCCATTATCCTTGCTACTGTTCATGATACTGCTATGTTTACTCGCAACATCCCCTCCTGCAGCGCTAGTGGCATTTAACGGTTCGTGCAGGTTTGATTTAAAGACTGGCTCCAGTTCTGTGGTTTCGAATTTGGTTCTGAACTCCCCAATGCCCCGGGCACTACTGTTGGAGTAGCGTCGAGCGTTTGTGAGCGTGTAGTCATAGTCTTGGACTTCATCCCCTGAGCGGCCCCTGCGATTATAATTAGGAGATCCATTGTTTAGAAGATCAAAAACCTACCAATTTCTCTTTCCTCCGCCGTTCTTCTTGGTTTTCCGGGGATCAGCATCAACTGGCCCAGATTTGGTGAAGAACCGTGAAAGTTGCTCGTGGGGTGTAGCTGGTGCATTATTGATTAATGAATGGTCTCGGTCGTTGGCCTTGTGAGAGCGTGTCACTAAGTCTGTTAGCAACGATAGATAATATAGACCCTACTCCACCGGCATTATTCGGTCCCATTGTGGTAATAGTTACTTGTCAGTATTGTTTTAAGGCCAGTCACCAAGATCTGTGCGAAATGTCATCAAAACCTAAGTACGGTCTTGTTAACTTCAATCGTGTGTTTGCAGAAAATACGATCAGTCAGTGTCTCAAGAAGACTAGTAACTCACTGGGGCGACGTGAGAAACATACAAGAAAATTTGTAAGAAACAGAGGGAGAGAAGGGGGAGAGAAACGTGCTTGTAGCTTCAATTTAAAGGCAAGAGATTCTGGGTAAAAGCTTTCTCCGGGAGTTACAGATATCAAGTTTGTGCAGGTACAAGCGTAGTTGGAATATGGGATGTGTGTTTGCTCTTTGTGGGTTTGCCGCTCAGTTGCCTGATGCATGTTGACCTTGAAGAAATGATAGTAAGATATCCAAGTACTCAACAAATAAACAACTAAGCAGTATTAGAGAACAATGTGTCACGACGGTGCGTTGATAAACATGGACTATCGCAAAGACAGCATTGACGAGAGAATGCAAATTCAAGGAAAGAAGAGATAGGCTGACAGACTCGCATTATTAGAATTTGCCGTACTCACAGTGTGAAATCTCGAGATTGGTGGTAACTCCCTTTGGTGTACTGCAGTAGCAGACAGCAGGAGGTAAGGCAGTGTTGGGATGGACAACCCGATGGATTGGATTAGAGGCATGTGACATCATACCGAAGACCTCGTAGGAACTGCGGGGTAGCTAAAGGTACACCTGCCTGATAATAATGGGAATCATCATGGATACATTGCCAGTAAGTAGGTATGTATGTATTAAGCCTAGGTGCTAAGGTACTATAATAAACCGCCCGGAGAGTCAACCACACCTGCAATAGGTAGTATGGTAGCCAATATATTATAGGCGCTTAGGACAGACCGTATCCTACCACATCCTTTCTGCTCCGGGCTGGCTTGAGGTTACTTGATTTTTCTCCTCGTAAACTTACGGGATGTTGAATGAATAATCATACTCTGGGTGCGTCCGGTTTTGGTGGTGGAGGCCACTGACAACTACTGATCGACCCGACAGTTTGTTGTCTGATTACGTTAACTACCTAGTTGCTTACTAGTAGATGCTGGAGAACTCAATCCCTTCTCTTTACACTCCAAGCTGCTTGGCTTCTGGCAACTTCACTCGGCCTTCTCAAGCAAATCAGCTACTCATCTTACTAACCCACAAGAATGGCTGAATTACTCCCTCGACTGACATCCGTATCCTCGCATTCACATGTCGCAGCGAGCTGTGATGAAGCCTGGAGCATCCAAATAAATGATCTGATTGCCTTTCTCAAGCAACCCAGCAACGCATCTGCGATCACCTCGTCCAGTGACTACCTCTTAGATGTAAGTGAGCTCTTCATAATCAGGCAATTCAGAAACTTTCCCATACACTATGGAAGAATAATTGGCTTATTTTGATCATTCCGTTTTCCTAGAACCTGGACCCTTCCCGGCACAGTCTAGCTTACCTATTTGTCTTTCACCTGCATGTTCAATCCATCCAGAGAACAACCAAAAGTCCCTTACCAAGCGAAATTCTGCCTGGTGGGAGGCTGTGGCTAAACGCAGTTCATTTCTTACGGCACTTTGATCCTGTACAAATCCGATATGCGGGCATGGAATGGCGCCAGCTCATCGAGCTTGTTGCTCAAGCTGCGCAGCTAGAATCAAAGGTGAGCTACACATATATTCTACCTGCCTTGACTGACTTAAGAAGCCACTTCTCGCAGTTTTGGTCATCAGAGACTCGATTTTCCGGCTTGGTATAACCGACACATTCACATCCGTACACCTTTTGTTTGTTAGGTTATCTCTTCTTGCGAAAACATACACTCATGCGCTGCCCATTCTCGATCGACAAGTCTGTCATTTGCCTAATCCTTCCAACCAAGGCTACCAGCAGTACCGCCACTTGATTCCATGTACAGAACATGGGCACAATGCAGCACTCGTTCCTGAAACATCTGGATTTTCGGCCAAGCTAGCATATCGAGACCACTTGAGCTATTTCCTTTGTGGTGCAATGGTTTATACAGTGCTAAAAGATTGGAACAAGGCGATTCATTGGTTGAGTATAGTCATCTCCTCTCCTGTGACAGGACCTGTCAGCAAGATTATGGTGGAGGCGTACAAGAAATGGCTTCTAGTTAATTTGCTGGGACAGGGAAAGGTAATATCTAGACAGCCTCTTCTTTGGTTGCCGACTGACTTTGTTCTATCGCTATAGCTATCATCCCCCCCTTCAGTAGTCCCTTCTCATGTGATGAGGGTGTACGAGGCCTTGACGAAACCGTACATGTCATTGGCCGAAGCTTTCGAGAAGTGCCATTATGAAAGATTTCTGAGAGAAGTCGAAATGGGTCGCACCATTTGGCATATAGTAGGTCGTGTTATTTCTATTCCATCCGGAAGAGGCGGCTAGCAGTAGGAAAAGCATCGTCATACTGATCACTTTTTAAGGACAACAATACGGGCCTTGTGTCCCAGCTGGCCCCTGCCTTTGATAAGTTCATCATTCTGAGGCTTGGAAGAACCTTTTCCGCTCTCAAGATGTCCGATGTAGCGTGGCAGCGATTCAGCGCCGGCCAATTATCTCCCAGGCAGATAGAGGCATTTGTTGCGTCACTTGTGATGTCGGGGCGTGTCAGCGCTGTCTTGTTTCACCTGAGAGACAATATAAATTCCACAATGCTTCGCTTCGCTTCCAGAGGAGGGCAAGCTCTTTATTATGAACGCCACTTGCGGACAAAATTAAATTTTGAAAGCCAATTGGTGAAAACAATTGCGAATGGGATTGACCATAGCAAGTCGGGCCTGGGATTCAGCAATGAACATTTCCAGTTCCTGCACAAGAATCAAAGATGTGTTGATACCCCGGCGAGGGTCGCGTTTCTTGCAGAAAGTCAAGCTGACAGTCAGATCCATGGTGATGAGGATATTATGGAAGACCTCCATTAGTCTGTCCTCTCTGGTCATTACATCTACGCATGCTTTTCTAATTATGATTCATGATAACATATAGCCGCTTCTTGGTACGCATAATTATAGTACTAGGTAGGACGTTAGAATAAAACAATCCCGTACTTTTGTATAGCATTCGTATAGTATTAATACTTCCAGGTCCTGAAGAACTTCTGCTTCTGTGATTTAAACCGCGTCTTTACTAACACCTACCTACCGCCCTCGCTTAGGGAAAACACGAAGCCTAAGGTTATTTTGATTCTATGTATTTAATTTTTAATTGTGTAAGATATCTTATTCTTCTCTTGATCTTAAGCTTTATAAAGTTAAAATTATTTAATTCTTTTGTTATTACCGAAGGTAGGTATGCCATTGCTGGGAGAAGGAGTCCTTCCCTTCATAGAGCCCTTTGCTGGCTCTTTTTCTTATACTACTGCTAGTATACAGTATTTGCCTTAGTCCTCAGGCCAGTTAATCTTTAGTATTATACTTTATAAAGGACTGTAATGGAACTCTAGGTTTTAGAAGACTTTCTTATAGCTTATAAAGTTTTGTATTTTTGGCTAACCTGTTGCAGCTAGACTTCGACAAAACCCATTAATATGTCCAACATTTGGACCTATCAGCAAACCCATATGGGTTATAGGTTCTTTTTTAATTGGTGGACCTATTCCAATAGGTTTTCATAGGTTTTTAATAGATACCCATAGACTTCGGCAGGACCCATGGGTACCCATCTAAAACCCATTGATGGGTTGGGTTTTAGGTCTAAGTCTTAGACTCATAATAGATTATAGGTTTTATATTAAAATCTATAATCTATTATAGATAACCTATAAATACCTATATTAATATAAATAAAATAAACAGAAAATAATCTTATATCTATATAATTTATATTCATTTATTTATAATTTTAAGTATTTCAATTATATATAGAAGTTTGAAGTCAAAAGATTTAATATAAATAAAATTATCCTAATATTATAATAATTATAGATAATTTACTAAAATTAGATTAACTACATTTTTTTAATAATACTTGTAATTATTATCCTTTTTATACTTATATTTCTTTTTAGATATTTATAGTTAAATTTTATTTTTTCATAATTAATAATTTTTAATATTATTTTTTTATCTTTAGTAAAATTAATACTTAAATTAACTAATTTATAAAAAAAAATTTTTTAATATTTTTTTTCTTCCTCCTCCTCTCTATTTGTTGCGCGCTGTTATGTTCTGCCTTTGCCTTCCACCTTCGGGCGAGGATCTTCTTGGCGAGGTTCTTAGTTAGTATTAAAAAAGAATAACTTATTAGAATAGAATAAAATATTATTATAATTAATAAGCTATGTCTTATATAGTGGCATGTCTTAATGATCCTGGGTGTCTTCGGATTATTAATTCTTTTACTTTTTTTAGTATTTTCGTGATAAATTAGGCTTTTATTATTTATAGTTATTAGGAGTCGGGTTTATAATCCTGTCATACTAATAAGTATTAATTTTTATTAACTATCTTGTTTAGATTATTGTTAAATTCTTTAATCTATTACTAATAATTATTATAAAGACTTTGTTTAAAATCTATGTTTTATATATTTTATTTATTACTAATTTTAATTATTTAAATATTTAGAAACCGGTCGGATAATGTTATGGGATAGATGTCTGAGGCACATAATACTCGGCTGGTTAGCCTTGTTGCTAACAGATAACTTATTAATATATATAAAATCCCTGAGTTCCTGAGCCCTTTTCTTAATATTAGTTATTTCTTTTTATATATAAGGTGTGGTATATCTAGTAAAGGTTTTTGCCTCTAATATTAAGAATCTTATTAACTTCTAATATAAAAACTAGCTGTATATTAAATAAAAAAAAAGAAAAAAAATTAATGAAATAAAAATTAAATATTAGCCTAGCTACTTTATAACCTAATAGCTAGATAAAAAAGAGTAAAATAATATATAATTAAATAATAAAATTTTTATTAATATATTTAAAATACTAAACATGAATAAATAAATTATTAGATTATTAAACTTTAAAATATAATTAATATATGTTGATCGTACTCAGCGCTCCTCCTTTGCTTCCATTGCCTAATATAGCTTAGTGCCGCCCACAGTGGCTTTTTTATAGCTAGGGACATCTTATTCTTATAAATAAGAATATATATACTTTATTATTAATATGCTCACAGGTTATAAGCCTAGTTCTTAATTATTTTACTTAATCAGAACCTTATTTTAATAATTAGATTTAATTTTATTTATTAACTTTATTTAAAATTATATCCGGGGTCCGCCTTATTAAAAAATAATATTTATTATTAAACAGGTTTATTTTATAATATTTCTTTGGTCTTACTGTTCTATATCTTATTTATATAATTTTTTATTTATTTAAAAATATTATGGCGGAATCTACTTCTTTTTAATTAGATATTAATTGTCACCGGCGCTTATCTCAGCGCGGAACACAGAACAACCGGACCGCCAGAGGTCCGCAAGGTTACCAAGGCATTCAGGAACTAATTCCCGCGATAATATTATACACGGGAAACCTCTTATTTAAAGAGATTACCTGCTTAACCCTTAAAAAATTAAATAATTAATTTTATTTATTTTATATCTGTTTTTTAATTTTTTATATCTCTTAATATATAGTAATTAATTTATAAATATATTATAGGCGTCCTAAACTCTTTAATATCTTTATTTAAAAAAATTAAGTATCCGGAATAGAACTTTTATAATTATTTTTTATAATTTTAATTATTTTATTTTTACCTTGTTATTATTATATTTATATACAGGCGATCTTATAATAAATAAAGATATTATATTTATTAAATATTTTTAAATAATCTCCCTTCTGCCTCAGAGGAAATAATTTAATTTTTTATATTAAATAATAATTTTTTTTTATTTAAATATTTAAAAACTATTATTTTAAGTAATTTTTTAATTGTAAAAAGGCTAGTAGTTAGCTTATAACCCTTTTATTAATATAAATAATCTTTAAAATATTAATAATATTAATTAAAATTTTAGAAAAAAATTTTAGAAAAAAATTAAATTTAAAAAATTAGAGATCTTTAGGGGTAGGAACCTATATTAATATATAATTTTTATTTAAAACTTAAAATAATATTTTAAGAGTAAATCCCGCTTTTTTTTTTAAAAAAAATAAAAGTCTTATATATAAAGATATACCTATTAAAATCTTTCCAAAATTTATAATATTTAAAAATTTTAAGATTTTTTTAATAAAATAAATAAAAAATAAAGAAAACCAGGAATAAATCTATATTTATAATTTTACTTAATTAAAGTAGGGCCTTAATTAATTTATTTAAGCTATATTAAGTAGATATATTTTTTTTATAAAGCTTATATAAAAAGATATTAACTAGTTTTTTATTAATTATTTTTTTAAAATATTATAACTAGATCTATAAAAAAATATTAAGCAGGCCTTTAAATTATTAATTAATAAAAAATTAAAAAGTTTTATTAAAATAGATATTTTAATAAAATAATATAAATAATTAGTAAAATAAAATAAAAAGTCTTACTAAATATTATAGTTATATAATAAATTATTTTTTAAGGATAGATATTTTTTTAAGAAGGAAATTTCTCTTAAAAAAAGAACTTTTTTTAAAATAGTTTTTTTATTTTATAAAATAATTTTTTTAATTTTTAGAGCAATAATATACTATATATAAAATATAAATATTCCGAAAAAAAAGGCAGTTATTTTAAGTAACAGGCCTTTAAAAAAAAGTATTTAAATAAAAATAAATATTATTTTATTTATAAAAAAAAATATTATTCCTAAAATTATTATCCTTAAAGAAATAAAAAATTATTTATAAATATAATCTTTAATAAAGTAAGATCTTTAATAATAAAAAAAGAGAATAATTTTTTTTTAATAAAAAAACGCGCCTTTAATCTTTAATATAATTAAATCTAATATTTTATTATAATTTTTTTTTCTCCGCGCGGATATTTAACTATATATAAAAGAAAAATAAACTATTATAAATATATTATTAAATATAAGAGTAGATAATAATTTTATATTATATTACTAGTTAAAAAAATAAGATTTTTAATTTAATATTAGTTAGATATTAGCCCCTGTCCGCTTTATTAGAAATCAGATAATATTTTAATATAAAATATTATAAAAAATATAAAGATTTTTAATTTAAATAATAATATATATAATTATATTATATAATTTTATATTATTAATATAATAAATTATAATATAATACTTAATAAAAATTAAATAAATTTTATAAATTTTAATTTTAATATTATTATAAAAATTTAGTAGTATTATAATAAATTATCTACAGTTAATTTAATATTTTATTATTAATTTAAATAATACTGCTGTGCTAAAGAATTAAAAATATTATTTAAAATAATTATATTAGATTGAAAAACTTTTAGTCTTCTTAAATAATATATCTAATTTAAGAAAATATTTTTTAAGTAAGAGATAATATTTATATTAATAAGATTAATAAAACATACTATCTTATTAAAGCCTAATATAAAATTTTTATATAAATTTTTATATAATATATTTTATATTAAGTTAAAAATGCTATAAGATTATTTAGATAAAATAATTAAAAAAAAATAAATTTAGTTTTTTAATAAATTTATTATAGCCTCTATCCTTTATATTAAAAAACCTGAATATAACTTATAATTATATACAAATTATTAAGGATTAAATAAGATTATATTAAAAATTATTATTTGCTCCCGCGGATTAATAAAATTATAGATTAATTAAAAGGTACTAAAGTTTTTATAAAATTAAATTTATATAATACTTATTATCAGATATGTATCTACCAAGAAGATAAATAAAAAACAGTCTTTTAAACTTATTATAGATAGTATAAGTATATAATAATATTATTTACATTATATAATACTTTTTTTATATTCCAGGCCTATATAAATAAGATATTATAAGAGATTTTTAATAATTATTATATTTTTTATTTTAATAATATTCTTATTTTCTTAAAAATAAAAAAAAATATATTTAATATATTAATAAGATGCTAGAAT